GATTCAGGCGCCTCTCGCAACCCTCGTCCATGACAGTGGAACGTATTTCCGTCCCGGCCACTCGGTTCGTAATTAGCTGGAATACCACAAGTAGAGAGCAGCAGAGGAGGCCGTCTAAACTCATACACCCTGTCAAGATGGAAAATCCAAAAACGGGCAAGATTGAATTCACGATGAAGAGCCACCAAGGGCACTTGGGCACGTACTTCGTAGCTAGCCTTGGCAAGCACCTTCCCCAGTGCTAAAGTTCCCGATCACATTAGTTGAAAGTGTGCATCTTGGCTTACGGTGAAGAGAACAGCACGGGCGAGCAATCCTAATCCACCTATCGGAATAGTCCTGGGGGCAAATTTAGGGGCTCTTTCCCCAGCAAGTCCCCGCCCCCTCCTTTATTCTAGTGCCGTTAATGGAGGACAGATTGACAATCAAAGGCGAGACACTAACAACGAATGACGAACTAGACGGTATCTCCTCCCCGTTTGCGCAAGGATCGCTGGATTTAGTGCCACGCGCTCCTCAGCTTCCAGAAGCGTATCGCTAAAATGACCAAATCTACTTCTAGCGACCCGGGTGGGTAAGCCACAACGAACCTCGACAGCGAACATTATCACTTTTTTCTTTTCAAACGGGGCAAAGAAGCAATTGATTGCGATCTGTGTTTGACACACTCCGCTCCACCGCACTACACCAAATCGTTCTCATGATGCGAAAGGCTCCGCTTTGGGCAGGATGCGTTTGAGGGTGAGAGGGAAACGGCGACAAACGCTCATTAAGAGAACTGCCTAGGTTCCATATTTTCTCAGAGTTTTGATGAGGCCTGATCCTGGAAAGAAAAGGGAGAGAAAAAAATAAGAAGGCGAGAGCAAACTTGAAGCTCAACCACAAAACATCTCCCGTCGGTTCCTTGCTGCGGTGATGAGGGCCCATCTCCGTCAGGGATATGGCTTGATTTGGCTCGGTCTGTCCGTGGGTTTCTGGGGTTGAAAGGGGCGTGCGGGAAAGGCTGGTCAAGGATTGCCCTCTTGCTCCAGGCTGCCCCATTCATTCCAATTCCAAGCCATTGACTCATAGTCCAGTAATGGAAGCTTGATGGAAGGCGGCACAGGCATCCGAGCACAAGGGTGCATATTGTACTTGTATATTAGTGCCCCCGAAGAATAAGCCTTTACTGAACCGTGAACAGACAAGTATGAGCAGACTTCTCATTCCTCACGGCTCGCACGGAGTGACATCCTAAACACGGATATTGACATTCAACAAGTCAGAAGGGAGAAGGAGAGAGCTACGAGACGAGGGCAGTGGAGAGGCGTTTGGGGGCCAGATCGTTGTCGAAGGATGCCTCGTGGCTCCCGGGAACTCTTCCGCCCTTGCAGCTCTGGTGAAGGAACTCCCATGCCGCTGATCATTTGAGGGAAGGAAGGGTAAGATGGAAGGAAAAACTTTTCTTCTTGTCCCTGTTTCTGTACCGCCTCGTCCTTTGGTTGCTGATCGTACCTTCGGTTGGGCCACTAGCCCACAGATTTTCGCACCCTGCAAGGAGACCAGACCTCGCTGAACCCTCTCGTGCAGAATGCCGCCTGTGAGAAAGGAGGTGCACTGGGCTCAGGAATGAGAAGAAAGGCTGGCGAGGCCGTACACTAGTGTGGGACATGCCCCGTTCAGCCTGGTTTGCACAACAACAAACCCCGTATGAGATGAGTGCAAGGTTGGCCGAACAAGTTTTCATCCCAACCTCCAAAAGGGGGAAGCTAGGCTGATACGGACCACCGCTTGGCAGAAATCGCCCGCAAGGAGGGGCCGGAAAATCAATCCGCACATCTGCGACACCTGGACGGCCAAGTCTCATCATCACTGAGGACGGACAAACCTACCGAGTTTGTATTATTCCGACTGATCCCCAGAATACATGGTGGGAAGTGAAGAGAAAAGGTGGGACGAAAAAGAAAACAGACGGCCGACGGGAAAAGAAGAATTGCCGGGAGGTAGGTGGAGTGTCAAATTTACCGACGTCCAGAGGGGGTGTGTGCATTGCGGGCTGTCTTCCCTTTCCCTTGCGTTGCATGTGGTGTTGGCGAAGCTCTCTCAACCCGCTAGAACCAGGAGCGGATAGGTTTGGGGCAAGGCATGCTGCATCATCGTTGGCCTCGTCGCCAGGGAGCAGAACAGGACAGAGAAGGAACAGGCAAGCAAACAAGCCGACCAGAGGACGGCTGGCCCATTTGTCCTGTGGATATGGGAAACACCGCCGTCATGCGCCGCCAGCTAGCTCAGAACGAACACTCATGTGCCTTGATCCCCATAATTAGAGATGAGACCGCATCCGATGGGGCGAGATGGTCGTGCCGTCATCGCCCATGGACCACGGCTACAGTCATATTAATGAGAAAGAAAGGAAAAATTCTGGACCTCCAGTCGCAAGCGAGAGGATGACGAAAATGAATGAGCCCAGATATGGGAAGACGGTGGGCAAGGCAGGGTGCTTAAGCGACCGGTGAGCAAATGAATGCAGATGAATAGAGTACCTTGGTTCGGTGAGTTACGAGTCCCAAGGAATCCAGTCTAGGCCTCTTGTCTCTCTCGTCTCTTGCGTCTTCCAATGTTCCTTGGCCTAGGCTGACGGCGCGAAGGAACCAGACTTTTGGAGCTGACTGTTGGCGCGCCGAGAAGGAAGCGACGGCAAACATGGCGATACTTGACCCAAAGCGGCAGGCCAACGGGCCAATGATTGCCAAAACGGGAGGTTGAATACCACGTCCATCTGCACCCCGTCCCTGAGAATGATCGGCTTTGGTTTGCCCCAATGTCTGCTTCTGGAATTCCCGCGTTTCTCCTTGCAGATTACTCGTTTTGTTGATTTCTCCAGAGATCCATGTGACGCAGTTGGATGTACCAAGGCTGCGATTGCTGGTGAATGGATGGAGCTCAGAACAGGGAGAGGAAAGAAAGAAAATGACGAAAAAAAGAGAGAAAAAAAGACAAAGGCCTGGCAGGACGAAAATGAGCGAGGCAAAAACCTCAGGCGGTCTGATCAATGACTATGGCGGCAAGGACCGCGAGTACTCCTTGGTGCAACACTTTAAGTAGCCCTCCAACAATTACCCCTTTGTTCCCGTCTTCCCCCATACCCCGAGTCCCGAGTAGGTTAATACCTCAAGATCCGGCTTTTGCTCATTTGGCCTTTGGACGTCGGCTCCTTGCCTCTTTCTTCCCGTCGAACCGCTAGCCTCTCTCAAATGTGTGGAGAAACCCGCGATCGTAAACCGCCCCCGACTTCATCGTCGGTCAGGCGACGCAGGGCAGCGATACTACCTGCCGGTGAAGCAAGGTACCTTGCTTATTATAAACCTCCTCGCTAAATTGAAGGCCTCGGTTTTGGGGGCTGGGGGCCGGGAGGGAAAGATGGGGACGGGGACGGGAAATACCTGGTACTATTGCCTCCTTGCAACGAGTTTTCCGTGCACCATCCAACATATCGGGCGAGCGGGTGCGAGGAGCGAGCTCCCAAATCACCCGCAGCCGCTCCCCAGAGCCCGTCCACGACTGTGGAAGTAAAACGCAAAATTGCCTCGGTGAGTGGAGAGTACTCACTGCGGTACCCGTATACTGTCGATACGGCTTAGACCTTCTTGTCTGTTGAGAATAATAGGGCTTCGGGCGCAACAAAGGTGTGTGGCTGAGGGTGAAGGTGAAGGGGCTGAGGACGGAGTCGTTTCCATGAAAGTGAGCTTTTCCGTAAATTTTTCCTGTAGAGGTAAGCAACCTGTTTCTCCCATGCTCGTCTTGTCTCCTCTATCAGCGGGGCGATGATGAAGTGTACACCGAGGTAAATACATGTTGTGTCTTTTGAAGCGCGTTCTTTGCGACTTTTCCCGTGGATTTCGGGTGCGAAATCGCCCGGGGCGGCCACCGAAAGGTGTCACGAGAGCCGTGAGCCGAACATGCAGCCGGGAACTGCGCGCGCAAACTCAACATCCGTGATCGAAGGCGGAGTCTCCACAAAGGTGGTAGAGATACACAAAAGTGGGCTGTGGAGAGGGGTGTTTTTTTTTTCTTTTTTCTTTTTTTCTTTCCCTTTTGTCTCGACCTCTTTTTCTTATCTCTTCAATTTAACGTGCAGGTGGTGTTGCGTGGCTCAGAAGTGCAGGACGCCAGCCTCGGCAACTCTCCTGCGCTGCAGCCCAAGGCAGAGTAAGTTGGCTGCTTGCCGTATTAGCGAGAACGTGCAACGTGCATGCTGCGGATAGTGATAGACACGTGCTACTACAGATTATATATAAGGGTGAAGAGCGGGCTTGTGATTTGGTAGGACTGAAGCCAGCCAGCGAGAATATCATGCATGGCAGTACACGGCTCTCTGGTTGAGTTGTATCGGGCTACGGTTGGGATGTGAGGCTTTTACTAAAAGACGATCTATTCGAGAGCAGTATTTTAGGCGTCGAGTTCGTGGTCCTCATCAGGCATCGTAGAGGATAACACTTGTCTTGGGCCGAGTACCCTCCAACTCCGTGATCCTAATCTATCACGGTTGGGCTAGTTGGCATGAAGACCAGGACCGTTTCCCGAGTGAAGTAGAGCCAGCCAGCCCACGCCTTCAGCCTAGTCATTCTGTCATTGGTGTTAGCAGATTGAGTCTGTCTGCGATGTGACTTCAAGTATCCACTACGCCGTAGGTCGATCCATCCATCAAGCCAGTTTGACCCAGCTTCGGCATATAGCATACGCTGATTAGTATGTTCAGAGTGGCTTCATTCTGCTTATAGAGTGTTTCTTACTCGTGTCCCAGTTGCGTAGAGCCTTTTCGGGAACCCTTTCCGTTATAATAGTGACGTGGACTTCTGGGGATATCGAGCCTTGAGCTGGTTTGAGAGCTACCAAGGCGCTTCGAGCCCATTGCAACATCACGAGGAGTAGACCGAAAGCCTGGACGAAAGGCTGGCATGAAGAAATGTCATTTGCAACCTTCAGAGCGTTGCCAGCCTCGTGACGTACACGCTTCAAGAATGAGGTTTGAGCCAGTTCCTAGCTATGGGTCCCATGATATCCACTCTGCCTCACGATGTGCAGGACGGATCTACAGGTAGGTATACACTGATGAAAACGGAACTGGTTGTTATACTATCCACGATACCAAAAGTTCTCTCTACTCCCATGCAGACCGGTACATTGGTTGGTAAAGCAGCGATGATCAAGCGCGATAAGAAAGCCTCTCCCTTAGATATTAAATCTAGTAGTGATGTGTTGAGGCGCTATGATTCTTAGATGCTCACTATCTCGCACCTCTATCTATCTTTCATGGGGCCTTATATATTCTTCTTCCTGTTTGCTAGCATTCATCTTCAATGTCGATACGCCAGGGAGAAACTTGCGTGTTAGTAGGGGCGGAACAGCCCAGGGCGCAGGTGGTCTTGGAGGCTAGGACGGGCTGGCCGGTGGGCTTTTCTGAGTGCGCGGCGTCCAAGTCCTCATGATTTCAGAACCATCTCATGCCTTGAGCTTTCCGCTTCTCGTACGTTGGACGAAATGTGTAGACTTTCTCGGCTGAGAATCGAACTGATCGGTGCAAGCACGTCTTCCTAGCGCCCATGAGGCTGCTCGAGTTCTCTTTTTGGCAAGTTTTGAAACGAGGCCCCGTGATCTTTCTTGTCCACGGCCGCCATCCTGGGACTGCTTCTACTCAAGTCGCATATGACCGAAATTGGTAGTCGTCGGCGGGTGATACATAGCAAACTGTCTTGGCTAGCAATATCTTTTGTGACCCAACGAGCCGACGCGGAGGAGATTTAGGGATTATAGAGCTTTCTAAAGTAGACAAAAGAAACCCCAATAGTTTGCCTCTCGTATAGACTTTCGATACAGCAGAGTAGTGACTGGTAAGTAGGACGGGGAATATCTTAGGCATCTGTCTATCACTGACATCGCGTTCAAGATGGACGGACTAACACGAAAATCGAGGAATGCGTCACAGTGTATTTATCTTGCAAATGGCACTGCCCTCTTCTCGATGGGCTTGGGTGAATTGGGTGCGTCATCAGGGCTCCACCCCTGACTAATAATCAAGCTCGCGGTTTTGCTTGCGCGGGGTGCTCTGTTGGCAGCCTCACGCACCTGCCACAAGCCAACCCCGCCACGAACGTCTGGACGACTGACCTCGAAGCTCTCCAACCTCAGAAGCCCCAGCTCCCTCGAACCCAAGAATCTACACCGAGACCGCTCCTTGGGCCGGCCGTATAATTACGACGATACCTGCAAAAGAGGCTGCGCCTATTCCCTGCTCTATTCCAGCCTAGAATCCCCCTCTTTCCCACCCTTAATCCTACCGCCTGATCCGTCTCCTCCCCTACTTTCGCCATGTCCATCATCCAACAGCACTCTGACTCGACCCTTGGCGATGCCTGGCGCACAATAAACATCGACGCCCTCGAGGAAGACTCGCCATTCAACTTTGATACGTCGACGCTATACCCCCGCAGCCCGAGATCTCCGAGGATGAGGTACGCGGGTTGGCTGGCCAGGTCAGGCAGTTGCTGAGGGGTGGAGATGCCGAGGGCGCGTTGAGGGGCTGTCTAGAATTCCCAGTGTACAATGCGACTGATGTTGCCAAGGTTAGACTTCGAGCGCTCCATTACGGAAGAAAAAGGCATGCAAGGTGCTGACGAGTGACCTTTCACTTCTTCTTTTTTACTCGTTTAGGATTCGCACCTGCAGACCATTACGGAAGTTCTTCAATCGATCAAGGCGAGCGACATGACCCCGCTTCTCACTAGGATCTACCAGTCTCAGGGAGGAAATGAGCTTTTGGATGTCCTCATGAAGTACTTGTACGACCTGCCCGTTCCGTTTCCCGATGCCCATCGCATGGTCCCGAGCTAATCGTGTTATCTAATTGTCGCAGATACAAGGGCATGTCTGCCGGATCCGGCGGACCTGGACCGAAGAGCCCGACGCGCGTCGGTTCTCAGGCCACTGGCGGGTTTAGCCAGGTTGGTAATCGACCCGGGTCCGTGAACGAGTCGGTCACGGCGGCGATGAGCGTGCTGCTCAGCTGGCACGAGAAGGTTGTTGAGGTGGCTGGGCTGGGCTCCATTGTTAGGTGCATGACCGATTTCAGGAGGGTTTAAACGAGGTTTATAGAGCGCTGGAGGGGTGTGCATGGGTGGGGCCGTTTCTTGAGCATACACCGGGCGGGGAAAAGTAGGTTGGCCGAGATCAGGCCTCTAGGCGTTATATCTCTTTTCCTTGATCTTTTTGTTAATTGACGCAGTGATGTAATCTTGGATGTTTGTTTTTCTTTCTTACTGTTTTTGGTGTCCACAGTGTCCCCGATGCCAATTGCACTAGTATCCCTTACACTACACTTGAGTATCCCTTGTTACGTGATGATATTACAGCCCAGAACCCCGCGATACTTTAAAAGCCGATTCGTGTTATACATGAATGCATGCCGCCGCCATGCCTCGCCATTGTCATCTCACTTTTGTTCCAAGATGTCCTTGAGGCTCACTTGGCCGCTCCCTCTCGGCAAAGGTTTCGCCTGGTTTTCACTCTCGCGCCATCCAATCATGTAGATTATCCTAAACGTGGCGGGAAGACTGCCGTCCTCGTTGCCGTGAAGGGCACGGTAGATGGCCTCGCCCGCCATAAGAGTGTCTCTGCCGATGGGGCCCATCTCCCGCCCAATGATGGCGTTGCTCTCGCCCATGGCTTGCAGATCATGCATCAGGGCAAACATGTTGGGATAATCGACGATAATGTCATCCACGTCCACGGTGAGCATCTTGAAGCCGGCTCGTTGTAACAGGCCACCCACGTCTTTGACGTCGGCGAGCGGCGACACGTGCGGGGAAATACCGCCCTTCCTCTCTTGCTCCGCTAGCTGCAGCGATGTGCGGAGCTCGAACAGGGTGTCGCCGCCGAGCATGGCGCCCACGAAGGCGCAGTCCTTTTTCAGAATGCTGTTGACCTGGGAGAGCACCCCAGGCAGGTCGTTGATCCAGTGCATGCTCAGGGAACTGAGGACGAGATCAAAGGTCTCGGGGTCGTAGGGGAGGCTCTCTTCGTCGTCGAGGACATGCCGCGTGATGTTGAGCGCCTTGTTGAAGGGTAGGTCGGCATCGCGGTAGAGCAGCTTCTCGGAGGACTCGGCGGCGACTAGTTCCGTGATGCGGTTCGCGATGGGCTCTGATTTTGGTGCTTCGGGGTCCGGATTGAGGTCGTCTTGGGTTAGGGCTCGGGCGATGTTGCAGGAGTTGGCGCCGAGATCGAGGACTTTGGGGAAGTGTCGCTTGACATCCTGTGTGTCGCAATGTAAGCCTTCTGTTTCTCCTTTTGTTTAAAGTGTGACGGACGGACCCGGGGGTAGCATGGATCAGAAAAGTATGGGTGACCGTACCAGTAGCCGTTCGCATAACCTGCGGGCGACTTCGTCTTTGAGATAGTCTGCTGTCCGGCTGGCCTCAACATCGGAGGCAGCGCGCTCCTTTTGCATCCATTTCGTGCGGCGATTGAAGACTTGGAACCGAGGGGCGCCGGGGGCTTGCGTCGCGTATGCGCGGGCGCAGATCAAGCCATCGAGGCGTAACCTTGTCGTCGCCGGCCGTAGGAGCCGCAAGTTTTGGCTCATCGTGAGCAGTCTGGAGAGTCTGACGCGCGTGTTTCGTACCGCCGCCTTAGCGTAAGGGTAGGTTGCTCGTCATAAAAATGTTGGCCTTTCGACTGGTGCTTGGATAACGTGGGGTGTTGGCTAGGAGAAGGGAAGGGGGTTTTGAGAAATAGTGGATGGACAAATCACTTGGATTATATTGGAGATCTCGGCCTTCGTGGTATCAAGCCCACCTGCTTCTTCCTTTTCCGGGGTGGATGGGATGGAAGAATTGCTCGAGCTCTTATCGATAAGGATTGGGATATTATTAGAGGGCCAGACCGAGGAGGGCGATTGGCAATATCAATGGCGCGGACAGTAATCGTTGTACCAGACCGCTGGCCTACGCTATGGGAGGTACTTGTCATCCACTGTTAATTATTATTAAAGTGGATGGGGCAACGCAGGTGCGCTACACTAGGAAAGAATCAATTGCTGCGCAAATTCGCACGGTAGGTTGGGGTCCCTCTCCACCTTTTTGATTGTCACGTTTTCGAGAGGGCCCGACGACGGGAGCGTCCCTTCCACATTGAACTTGCTTCTACTAGGATGCTTTCTCCATGAGCAATCGGGATCTCGGATTGAAGTAGCAGGTGAACCGGCCAAGCCCATTGTCTCATGTCTGCGAATTGCATCAGCCACGCCTCGGCTGTATTGTGACTTTTGTTCCCCGCCTCGAACTCGAACCCGTCCCGTCCAAAGCTCGAGAGGCTTTGGGACCCGACATCCCCGCAGGAACGAGCACCGAACCCCTCGAAGACGCTCGCCGCGCCGCGCAACCCGGAGAGAGCGAGGTAGCCGAAGATCTCACCAGTCCCTCTTTTTGGCTTATTGTCTTTGGCAAGAAATAGAATTTAGGTGGAATTTGGACGGAAGATTGGTGGATTCGCTCGATTGTCCCCAAAGCCCCCTCGGGTGACGTTGCTATTCTCCCAGCGAACCCCTATTTCGATTTCGAACGGCAGCATCGCGAAGACGCCGATCACCGATCAGCGCCCCTCCCACCGTCAAAATTTGACAAAGCCACTCTATACCATCGGAAATTCCTCCTCGACCCCGGAAATTCAAACGTACGAGTTTCACGCTGCGAGCCAGTCGACCACGTGCTGATCAGTCGGTAGGCCCGCCGCCTTGGACCCGACCTCAAGTATAAGTGGGAGTTCTTCCTAGATAAATACGGCGGGCAGCAGCCGGGACTTCCGAAAAGAGGAGTAGTGACAGCTAGGCGACCGATTGCAGACTTGGGATTCCCGTTGTCCCTTTGCTGTGTTCATCTGCCCTCACCCTAGTCTACTCCCGTCATCATGTCTTCCACCGCAGGAAGCTTCCTTGGCCGTTCGGCTAACAGCAATTCCAATATGCGAGGCCTGGTACAGTTCATTGCCGATCTGAGGAATGCTAGGGCGCGTGAGCTGGAGGAGAAGCGCATAAACAAAGAGCTGGCGAATATTCGGTGAGTAATGGCTTTGGTGGGCGAAGAGTGTACGGCCAGGTCAGAGGGCCCTTTTGAAGTCGACGGCGTGCTAACGATTCCGTCCTGAATAGCCAAAAGTTCAAAGGTATATTCGAATCGGTGGTCGTGAATAGCCTTGGCATTGTCGAAGCCATGAGGGCGTGGAAGAGGACCTGGCTAACGAGTTTATGGATATAGATGGAAACCTGAGTGGGTATCACAAGAAGAAGTATGTGTGCAAGGTATGTATACACCCCTAATGGCCCCTCTTGCACCCCTCTTTCAAATCTGTTGACAAGGGTCTGACGCTTTTTCTAGCTCTTATACATATACATTCTTGGCTGGAACGTCGACTTTGGCCACCTCGAAGCCGTGAACCTTATTTCTGCTAGCAAGTTTTCGGAAAAGCAGATTGGTTACTTGGCCATGACCCTTTTCCTACACGAGAAGCACGAACTCCTACATCTAGTCGTGAACAGTATAAGAAAGGATCTTCTTGACACAAACGAGCTGTTCAACTGCCTTGCCCTTCACGCCATCGCCAATGTCGGAGGTAGGGAAATGGGCGAGGCCATCAGTGCTGAGGTTCACCGCCTCTTGATTTCCCCGTAAGCGCTTCTTCGAATAACCCTCTAGGGGACGTTTCCTGCTCTTTGAACGAGGAAGACTAATCCTCGCGCCGTAGTGCTTCGAAATCCTTCGTAAAGAAGAAGGCTGCCCTCACACTCCTAAGACTGTACAGGAAGCACCAAGATGTCGTCCAGCCGCAGTGGGCGGAACGCATAATATCGCTAATGGACGATCCAGACATTGGCGTTGCCTTGTCCGTCACTTCTCTCGTCATGACTTTAGCCCAGGATAACCTGGACCATTACAAGGGAGCGTACGCCAAGGCCGCGGGAAGGCTGAAGCGCATCCTGGTCGATGGGGAGTATACGCAAGACTATCTCTATTACAAGGTGCCCTGCCCCTGGCTGCAAGTGAAGCTCCTCCGCCTTCTTCAATACTTCCCCCATCCGGTATGTGCCATCTCCTTAGTTCCGTCCCCATCCCGTTCTCCGCGACCGGAGGGCGGTCAAGATCATGCCTGGGCTGACTAGTACGCTTGCAGAGGATACCCATGTGCGCAACATGATCCGCGATGCCCTTCAAAAGGTTCTTGATACTGCCATGGAGCCAACCAAGAACGTGCAGCAGAACAATGCGCAAAACGCTGTTTTGTTCGAAGCCATCAACCTCATCATTCATCTCGACACGGAAGAGACACTCATGATGCAGATTTCTACGCGTCTTGGAAAGTTTATCCAATCTCGCGAGACTAATGTCAGATACCTTGGTCTGGAGGCCATGACACATTTGGCGGCCCGCGCTGAAGACCTGGACCCCATCAAGGCCCACCAAGAAATTATCCTTGGCTCTCTAAAGGATCGAGACATTAGCGTGAGGAGAAAGGGTCTGGACCTCCTGTACAGCATGTGCGACTTTAGCAACGCTCGCGTCATCGTGGGCGAGCTTCTCCAGTACCTGCAGAACGCCGACTTTGCTATCCGCGAGGAGATGGTGCTCAAGATTGCCATCTTGACGGAGAAGTACGCCACCGATGTGCAGTGGTACGTGGATATCTCGCTCAGGTTGATCGCCATGGCAGGCGACCACGTGAGCGACGAAGTATGGCAGCGCGTAATCCAGATTGTGACAAACAACGAGGAGCTCCAAGTTTACGCCGCACAGCATTCACTACAGTACGTCAAGCAGGACCACTGCCACGAGACCCTCGTCAAGATTGGCTGCTACATCCTCGGAGAATTTGGGCACCTCATCGCGGATCAGCCCCGGTGCAGTCCGATTGAGCAGCTGCTCGCCCTTCAGGGAAGCTGGGTGCCTGCACGTCGGGGACGAGGGTTATGATCTTGTCGTGCTTCGTCAAATTTGTGAACCTCTTTCCCGAGATCAAGCCCCAGCTTGTCCACATATTCAAATTTACAGTCATGCGATCGACGCCGAGCTCCAGCAGCGGGCGTGCGAGTACCTGGCGCTTGTCCATATGCCAACGGATGATTTGCTGAGGACGGTGTGCGATGAGATGCCGCCCTTCCCCAAACGACAATCCGCTCTCCTGTCCCGTCTGCACGAGAAGCACGCGAATACCAGCGATAAGAGAACCTGGATCGTCGGTGGCAAGTCGGCGAACTCGGATGCGGCAGAGGTGGGCATGGTCAAGAACCCTGGGCTCAAGAGGACGTTTAGCTCCGGCGTTGCCCTCAATACGAATGGGGGCGTTGCCAATGGTGGTGGCGCACACGGGAATAGTGGCAACGTCAATGGCAATGGCAATGGCCAGGGTAGTGGCGGCGCGAGCGACCTTGCGGGCTTGGACATGCTCAACATTGGTTCGGCCGAGCCCAAGATGCTTAAGGCGCCCAACTTGGCGAGCGCAGCGCACTTGTCGCCCGGCTGGGAACCCGGCTATAATAAGTTGCTGGTACGATCAGACGGCGTTCTGTTCGAGGATGGCCAGATCCAGATTGGTGTCCGGTCCGAGTACCGTGGCGAGATGGCGTGCCTCATTCTTTACTTTAGGAATAGGACACCCACCTATATGGGCTCGTTCACGACAACGCTCGATCTCGACGAGGCGGAAAAGACCAAGCTGACGTGGGATGTCAAGGGTCTGCCGGACAGCAACATATCTCAGGGTGCGCAGTCGCAGCAGGTCATCATGTTCGAGGCCAAGACCGTGTTCGAGAAGAGCCCGACCATCCGTATTAGCTACCTGGCGGGCGCGCTGCAGGCGCTCACGCTGAAGCTGCCGGTGGCGATACACAAGTTCATGGACCCGGCGGACCTCACGGCGGAGGACTTCTTCAAGAGGTGGAAGCAGATTGGAGGCGCGCCGCGGGAAGCGCAGCGCATCTTTGGGCTCGCGAGCAGCAAGGACGGGGAGAGGGAGCTGACGGAAGGCTTCCTGCGGGCGGTGATTGAGGGCTTCCGGTGGAAGGTGCTGGACGGCGTGGACCCCAACGCGAAGAACCTGGTCGGCGCTAGCGTGCTTCATACCTCACAAGGGGGCAAATTTGGCTGCTTGATGAGGCTGGAGCCGAATTACGGTACAAAGGTAAGCTGATGAACCCCAGCCACGGAGGGTAAACTCCCTCGTGCGCGTCTTTTTTTTCTTTAACTTTTCCCCCTTTCCCCTTCATTATATCTTTCTTCTTGAGGGGAATTTCTTCGAAAGCTAACACAGTGGTCACAATCAGATGGTGCGCTTGACGATTCGTGCGACGGATGACGCCGTCCCTAGCATCTTGCTCAAGTTGATGGAGGCACGGATCGCGGCGGGCTTCTCGACGAAAGCAGAGGCACGGGGACCACAGATGCCTACGCGAAGCGAGATTTCGGACGCATTCAAGAACGTCATGGTAGCGTAGAGGTAGGTAGCAGGGGAAAGAGACAGGGGGCCTTGGCTGAAAGAGTCCAAGGAAAGAGGGAAGATGGGAAGGAAACATCCAGACCGATAATTTCTTTGTACATGAGAAGCCTTATTTTTCTTTTCTCTTTGGGGCCGTTTCCTTGCGCTTGTTTTGATCTTGCATCGTACGGGGACTCCTCATGTTGCTTCCGCTCGTCTTTCTGCGGCCCCTGTTCTGCGCAAAAGAAAAAAGTATCGTTTTATTGTGGCATGCGAGTTAGGAATATATATAATATCTTGTTTTCTTCTTTCTCCTCTTCAACTCTTATTCTTTTCTCCTTTGCCCCTTCTTTCCTTCCTCTATGTAGACATTAACGAACATGATTCTCGCCACGTCACCTTTTGCGCATCACACACATACACACATACATACGACAGCGATGGGCAACGCTACACCGTAATCTTGGCGTCCGCCTTGGCAGGACGCTCGCCAAAGATGGTGCTGCCGACGCGCACTTCGCCGCTGCCCATGGCGATGGCGCCCTCAAAGTCGTCGCTCATGCCCATGCTGAGCTCGAGGGCGTCGGGCTCGAGGCCGAGGTCGCGGGCGACGAGGTCCCTCTGGTCGCGGAGGGCGAGGAAATCCTCGTTTTCGTTGTCCGGGGTGGTGGCGCGGCTGCGGGCGATGGCGCCAATGGTCATGAGGCCGAGGAGGCGGAGGTGGGGGCAGTCGCGGGCGACGGCGCGGGCGAGGTCGAGGGTGTCTTGGCCGGGGCGGCAGCCGGACTTGGCGTCCTCGCCCGAGGTGTTGACCTGGACGTGGACGTTGAGGGGCGCCACGGAGGGTCGGCGGCGATGAGGTCGCCGCGGGCCTTGTTGAGGAGGTGGGCCTTTTGAGGGTGTCGAGGCTGGAGACGCAGAAGAGGTTGGGGATGCGGCTGAGGGGTTTGCAGTGGCCTGGTTGGTTTGGGAAAGGGGGAGGAGGAGGAGGAGGAGTCAGTTTTATGTGAGCCAAGGTGGCGGTGGGTGGGGGATGGTTTTCTTTTCTTGGGTTTGGTGGCGGTGAGGTGGTATAAGACGGGTAAAGAGTGGTTGGTTAGGGAAAGGAGAATGAGAAAACTTACCGGACTGGAGACCGCCGATAAAGTGCCACTGGATGGACTTGGGGAGGAGGGCGGCCTTTTGGCTGAGCTCCTGCTGGTAGTTTTCGCCAAAGTGGGAGTGAGAGGCCGGGGCCTGGTGGAGGGCGAGGATGTCGTTGGCGGGCTTGAGCTTGGAGACGGCGACGAGACGGACCTGCGGGCGTTCAAACGGCTTCGTTAACACTACAGAATTCGTTGGAGAAAGTACGCAAGGGAGCGCAGGGCTGATGCGGGGGCTCTGCTCTCTTGAACGTGGACAGCGGCGGGAGGGTTTTCCGTACTGTTCTGCCCTTGGAGAGGGCGGCGACGCTCTCGGCGACGCCTTGGAGCTGGGACACCAGGGTCTTGGCTCGGGCTGGATCAATCTTCATCTCGGGGACTTCTTCGGACATGATCTGACGCCCTGGATCGGGAGCCTCGCGGTTCGTTTTCTGCTTCTTTCTCTGTCTTATATATATATATCTGGATGCTGGGGGTTTCTAAGGGGAGCGAGTTGAGGTGGGTGGATGTTGAGTGTGAGGATGGGAGGTGAGTTTGTGGTGAGTGTGTGGTGAGTGTGTGGTGAGTGTGTGATGAGTGGTGGGTGTGTGTGTGTAAGTGCGATGATTTCCTTTGCGGGGAGTTTGGTGGGGAAACGACGAAGGTGGATGACGGATGCAGCAGCCAATGAGCCAAGGTGAATTTCCCTAGCTTTAGCTATCAGGTAGGAGGAGAAGAGGACGTTGATGTTGAGAGGAATCTTCTCCAGTGACCCAGAAAAGAAAATAAAGGTACAAAAGCCCGCAAACCTTCCAAATCTACGCATGGAACCAAGAAAACACGGAGCAACTTCTTCCAGCCCGGCTTGATGCTGCTTGTGAAGTGCATCAAGCGTCGGCTGGGCCAAGAAGCGACGTCTATATTCATTTATCGATGCGACATGTACTAATACGCTTGAATCGGGTTAAGCGGCAATGTACTATGATTGGATTACCTCATTGGTGCATAGAACCGCGACAACGCGTCCACATTATCGCTGTACTGAAAAATGGAGCTACAGCTCATCAGTCAGGAACCAAGAATGGGAAGGTTAAAAAAAAAAAAAAAGAATAGGGGGCCAGAAACAGGCAGAAGCTGCAGAAGCTGCAGAAGAAGTATGGACAGGCAGGATAGGCCAGTCAATTAACGACATGCTGGTGTGGCTCGTATCGAATCTTGGGGGACAAAAAAAGCTTGAACTGGTTCCTCGACCCGCGAGAGCCTCACGCTCTTCAAATGTTTCTCAATTAACTTTTTTCTTTTTCTTTTTGTCTCTTTGTTTCTTTTTCGAGTACATCAATTGATCTGTCTCTCATTCCTCTTATCAGGGGAAGACCACAAAGACATAATTGATTGATACTGTGCGCCATGCTGTTTAAATCCAGCACCAACCAACCGGGAATCTATTGACACCATTGGAACGACTGGGATCAATTGATCCATTGGCCGTGACAAGCTCGATAGCGTCAGCGCGGAACCCACTTTGGAGCCAACTGCCCCTGGTCTTGTCCTGGTCTTGTCCTGGTCGTGTCCTGGTCGTGTCCTGGATTTGGTTCTCTTTTCCAGCACTGGCCTTGAATCTTGCAGTCGTCCAATGTCATGTTGCCTGCCTGAACCCAACTTTTCACCCGTTGAATTTATTTACTTGGCCCCTTCAAGTTCACACGCTGCCCCCCTTTGGGATTTTTCATGCAAGGGGTCGAGTCCTCGATTTCTCTCTCCAGCACCGTCGAGGCCACAATCCCTCTACTGAACTAGTTGAGGCTACACTCGTTAGGACGGAAAGAAAAAGAAAAAGGAGAATCCGGATAGAAGAGAACACGGTCCTTTTGGTTTCTTTCCTTCTCCTTTTATCCTTTCCCCGCGCTTCCGAAGGCCACCGCCCGAGCCGAGATATCCAGGTCCATTCACGACCAGGCGGAAGGAGCGAAACCGAACATTCCAAAATAGGGACGAAAAAAAAGCCGATTGATTGAGTAACATCATAAACCAGCGCAAGATCAGATCAAAAAACGCGACCATGCCGCGGCTCCTAGGCCTCGCCGGCCGCCCGATCCCCGCCTGGCCAACCGTCGCGTCATCCGCATCGTCGGAGGCCTGGCCTTCTCCTTCGTCATCATCGTGCTCTTCACCCTCGCCGGCAGCATCCCCACCGGCCCCAGCCTGTCCGAGTACGCCTCCAACAAGTTCCCCGTGAGCCTGCCCAAGCTCAAAAACTTCAAGAACCCGCTGTCCGGCAGCAGCCTCCTCAGCCCCTTCCGGCCCCCGTCCACCCGCCCCCGAGGCAGAAGAACGACACGTACGAGGAGGCTTCGTGGTGGGCCGACTGGAAGTGGCTCGTCCCCTTCTCCTCCTCCCTCACCCTCGACGAGGACCGCTCCCTCCTGCCCCCGCTGTCCGTTCGCCCCGCCGTCTACTGCTACTACGACGTCGATGCCAAAAGGACCTGGCTACCAAGGATGCCGAGAGCGAGCTTCTGCTCATGTGGCGCATGGCTTGGTGGGCCAAGGGCTTCCGCCCCGTCATCCTCACTGCCGCCGAGGCCACCAACAACCCCCACTACGAGACCCTGCAGCACGTCCAGGTCGAGGACGCCTTTAAGCCCGAGCTGATGCGCTGGCTCGCCTTTGAGAACATGGGCGGCGGCCTCCTATCTGACCCCGCCCTGCTTCCTATGGGCGCCTACGACGATAGCCTCATCTCCTTCTTGCGCCGCCGGGCTGGCGAGTACCCGGCTCTCACCACCTGGGCCGGCCTCGACGGTGGCCTCTACGCCGCCACCAAACAGCAGGCCGCCGACTTCCTCCAAGAGGTCATGGAAGCTGACTTGTCCAAGCCCACCCACCCCGACAACCTTACCGATCTCGTGCGCCCCGAGTCCATCGTCTTCGACGCCACCCCGCGCTCCCTCGCCTACTACTCCCCGCCACCCTCGAGAAGTCGTACCCCAAGGTTGCCGACGCCGTCAAGAAGGACGGCGCCAAGGGCTTGCTCGCCCTCCGCGACCTCATGAACGCCCACTCCCACATCATGTGGCAGAATCTCTTCTCCGACGGCATCGCCATCCTCAAGCCTCTGCCCCGTCACACTACCCTCGCCACCGAGGACGCCTGGCAGCTCGGCCACATGCTCGCCAACTGCCCCGAATCTCCCCTCCCCGACTCGTGCCCCCTAACCTGCCCAAGTGCGTGCCCTGCGAGGGCCGACTCGAAGGTCAAGGTCACCACTCCGGAGCGCTACGTCAACTCCTCCACTGTCTTTACAGTCGCCACCGTGCTCCACCCCTACACCCTCGTCACCCTCGACAACGTCAAGGAGACCCTCACCGTCGACTGGGTGCGCCGCCAGATGGCCCGCGACCCCTGGCTCTACGAAACCACGCTAGAACTCCTCGGCACCAAGGTCGGTTCCGGTGTCCGCGCTATGCGCATCAAGGAGGCCATTGCCGGCACCGAAAACACTGGCCGTTCCATCTGGCTCACGGCCGAGAAGGAGCCCCCGTCCGACCTCCACTGGAACTTTGGCTTCCGGCTCCCCGCCACCAAGACCAAGCCCCTCCCCAACCCCGGCGGCAAGCCGTCCGACGCCGATTCCCCGAGGAAGCCGACCCCGAGGCCGAGCAGGGCTCCTCTGCCGAGGCTGAGCTCGAGCGCTCCCTCCTCCTCAAGGCCCTCGGCGTCGTTGCCAGCCCCGGCAAGGACGAGAGCCGCCTGCGCGACGCCGTCGAGGCCTGGAACCTTGGCGATACCGAAGCTTGGAAGTTTGCTCGCGCCTTCCTCGCCCGCCAGACCGTCGAGCGCGTCACCTGGGAGGCCGAGGAGTCCCAGTACGGCGAGGGCGCCGGCTCCGAGGGCGGTCGCCACACATTTGACCGGTGGGTTGATAAGCTCGAGGAGAAGCTGGATCGTATCCGGCATTAGGCGAGAAAAAGAAACGAGATGATGTTGCTTCTCTTTGTTGTATGATCACCGGTCCCACGAGTACAAGATTGTTCACACCCCGGAGCCCTTTTGGGGGGCTAATAATTTTCCTTATCCATCTCTCCTTTTGGGGTTATCCTTGTTTTATATCTTTTTTTTTCTTCCTCCCCCTTGCACTTTTATCACTTTCCCTTGAAATATTCATGTATTCAACATGTACAGTCCGGCAACACATATACGGGTGGGGGACGGGAATATAAAACAAAAACTAGCAAAGACGATGAGCAGGGGAAAACAAACGAAGGCAAGGCAGCAGTTGTGCGCCCTCGCTACGGAACTCAAGACTGTCCTGGCTCTTCCTCACATTTCCTTTTTTGGGTTTGAACTTTTATCGGAGCTAAGGGCGCATTTCCTTTTTAGATTTTATATGACTGGTTTTTTTCATTCCTAACCTGCTTCGCTTCCTCTGGCGGACTTTCAATTCGCTTTCGATCTTTGTGACCTTTGTGACGGTTCGGCTGTGCAACCTTTGTTGGTTCTGGATTCCTTGTCTTGATCGTGAATGCGTCGAGCTTCATACTTGGGGTTAGTATGAGCTACACATCAGTACTGTGGAGCTGGAAAGGAGAGGATACCGAGAAGAAGAAAAAGATACCATGTATCCCCTCATTTTTTCCGAGGACTCCATGTGAACCGCTTGGCCGTAGCGTTAAGTTCTTATGCTCCTCGCCTCAGCTAGAAGTTCCCACTCGCGGGTAGACCAGGCCTTTACGGAGAAACTACGATAATACGGGGATTGCGGGAAGTCGTAATCGACCTTAGTATCGGGTAGGCCTTGCGCAGTAAAAGGTTACAAAACTAAACGAACAGGACCCGAGACGGTTTCCGTCACCCTAACGGTCAACGACTGGTCATCAACCGCCGAGCTGGCCCCCTTATCTACATGGCGGCCATCGCCGGTACAGTGGGACAGGCAAACGATTCACGTCACGGCTTCTTATGCACTGCGTATACGATGAGAGATACCAAAAGTAGAGGATAAGAAAACTAATTCGCATTGTGAATAAGCGCATAGACTCTCTGGACTCGAGACCGATGTTGAATCAGCAAAGCCAGAGGCCGCCAAGGGCACCCCCACCTCATGACAAAAGGTAAAGAGGTGGGAAGAGGCCCCGGAGGAGAAGAAGAAAAAGGGCCGAAGAAGAAAACTTGACAATCAGGACCAAGATGGGGGAGTGAGGCCTTCTGCCTCCTCGCATGTGACGTGCAAAGAGTGGAGAAAGGGAGGAAGAACAAAGACTAGGAGATCAAAGACTTGTTGCGCGAGAACAAAAGAAAAAAAGGCCACCACGAGCGTTACCGCCTCTCCCCACTCCAACCCCCACCCTCTTCTTGGTCCCTGTCTTCCCTTTTCTTTCCTCCTCTACTCCAAGAGCGTATCGCCGCCCATCTCACCGCTCATTTCTCGTGACGTCACCCCACGTCTCTGCATTCCGGCTTTACCGTTCTGCTCGCCGTTTTCATGGACCGCCCCGTTTCCGTCCGCGGCGGCGGCGGCCGGGTAGGCGGAGCCGGTACGGGAGTCGAGGTAGGTCGCGAGGGCCGTCTTGGCGGCCTGGACGACCTGCTCGGCGTGCTTGAGCGCGTCTCTCAGCGCGTCCGCGGTCTGGTCGACCCCATTCTCAGGGGCAATGGTCTTGGTGCCGTTGGCGTGGTGGCCGTTGGTCTGGCCGTTGCTCGCCGTGGTGGCGGCGGCGGCGGCGGCGGCGGCGGTATCGCGCTCCTCAAGGAGCTCGCGAATGTGGGAGTTGAGCCAGATACCCGTGAGCTGCTCAGCAGTCATATCACGGGCGCCAGCAATGCGGCCACGGCAGGAGGGGCGGCCGCAGAGGCAGTCAAAGGGCTGAGCCATGTGCCATTCTGTGGAGGGTAGAAGAACTAGCAACGGAGTGTTAGCCGGAAGAAGAGAGGGGGCGGGGTGCGTCTAAAAGGTGGGGACTGCCGAGGAAGAGAGCCTTGCCTACAAGGTATCCCTTGGCAGGTTGGAGGGCGTGGGGATACAAGGTGAAAGGGGAGGGTATACAACTCTCTCAAGGGAAAAAGGAATTTGCTGGGTGAACCAAGCAGGGCACGGGGCACAGGGCCAAAGGAAGGGTGTGAGAGTGGGGGACGGGGGAAAGGTGTTAGGATGGGGAAAACTCACAGTAAGCTCGTCGCCAGGCTCCAGGCCTTTCGGGCCGACGATGATATTCAAGCCAGAGGTATCAAACATCTATACCCCGCGGAGGAAAGAGAAACCGAGTTAGCGACATGGCTGCATCACGGGAGTGACACAAGCTAGGGATTGAAGGTTTGAAAGGTGCAGAACAGCGGGACCAGGTAGCTTGCGATAGCTCACATGCGTCCCGATTTACACAAAAAGCGGGAGGGTGCGGAACCAAAAAGGATTAAAGGAGGGAGGGTTGCATGAAGCAAAGGTAGTTTGATAGTACCATCCCGCCTAGGGTCAACATCAACCACCACCTCCAAAACGGAGCGAGGTAGGGGAGTGACAAGGACAAAACCAAACCACGCTGACGGTGTGCGCGCCGTCGGCCACGATAAGGGGACTGAAGACAAGCGACAGAATGGAGAAGTAATACATCTTTCTGACTTGCTCCATCGCCGAGTAGACTGGATCCGAGCACACAGAATGTATACCTCGCACTAAACTTCTTCCAGGGAAAGTGTTTGGGTAGGGGAAGGGTTGCGGGGCAGATCCCGATAAGGAGGGGCCGGCTGAGCCCGGCTCCCCGGAGGAGGTGGGGGGTTCATCTTACCACGGACGGCTCGCACGAGTGGTTGATGTAGAGCAAGTCACTGTTCAGATTGAGGTGCTTGTCCTTGCCCATCTGGACCGTGGCGTACGTCGCATTCTCAGCGGCGGTGCACGGAGGGAAGGACAGCTTCGCAAAGAGGGCGAAGGGGGCAGCGAAATCTTGGAGACGCTCTTGGAGGTGAAGGCGGCTTCGTTGACAATGACCTCTAGCCGGTCTGGGTGGGACGGCTGAGCCCAATGGGGAGTAAGAGGGGCCGACATCTCTACGCTGGTGCCTGTTTCTGCGTTGGAATAGCTCAAGATTGCCGTTGAGGTTTCTAGATTAACCCCAAAAGAGGAGGGACAGGAAGGAGGGGGTCGAGACAAGGAGAGAGGAGAGAAGGAGGGGGCGTGGAAAGAAGAAAAAGAGAAGGCAAAGGGACAACGGCTCCAGAAAGAGAAGGCAGGTATGTCCGGGTGTTGTCGTAACGGCTGTGTCACTCTGTTCAGGACCAAAAAAGCTGAACTAAGGAAAGCGTTGTTTCATACACCACAAGAGGAGGAAGAGGAAAAGAGTCAAAATGAGGATGATGAACAAGTAAGGGGAAACGAACAAGACAAAGAGGCGCGGGACGATCGCCGTAAATAAAAAGGGCCCAGCTAGTAGCTTCGGGGTTTGGCGTTCGGAGCAGCCCCAAAATCAAGCGCTACTCGTGTCATGTAGCCCACGAGTCTCCACGTTGCCGGCGAACCCTTCCGCGAGCTCGGCCCAGCTTGGGGAGGAAGGGGCGGGCTGGCTTTCCTGACAAAAGTCAGTCAACGCACACATAGTTTTTTTCTCTCTACTTCTTCTTCCAATCGGCCTCCTCGGGCACCCCGCGCGCAAGCGCGCCAATTTTCGAGGTCTTCTAGGACAGGACTGGCGCAGTCTGGCGTGTTCTGCCAGCAAGCCTGCCAGCAAGCCTGCCTTCTCCTCATGCTTTCCCGCTAGAGAAGCAAATCACCCCTCCCGAGGTAAACTGGGGCTGCAGCTACCGAGAAGGCAAGGGCTCTTTTTCCCCTTCGCACGGAAACCGCCCTAAAATCTGCTGTTCTCGACCAGTGACGTAGCCGTCCTGGCTCGAATGTGGAGTAAAGTGTCAGCGATTCGGGGGCGCGCGGGGTGCAGTCTTGTTTCACGCCACTCCATTCCTCGGCTCTTTTTCAAAAGCTAGCTGGCTTGGCCGACTCTCACCTGCCCTGGGCTCTTCAGGATATTATTACCTGGATCCGTTGGGTAATCCTGTATTGCAGCTTAGCAGCTTAGCACGCTAGGCCTTGGAAGGAAGAGAGGAAGGAGAACAAGGCAAGAACGCCAGCAAACAAAACGAAACCAAAAAAGCCTCGCTTGGGAATGTGGGGTTGAATTGTGCCACGGCACACCTGTGAATGGGTCGGCAACCTCGTGCTTTTTCGTGGTTTGCATGCGTGCATGCGAAAATCGCCAGTCTAATCCCCGAGGGGTCAAGCTCGGGGAACGGCGGTTTGGTTCTCGCGAATCAGACCTTTCCCGGAGAAGCGCGCGAGAGTGCCATTCTTCCTTTGGCGGGGTTTAACTTCCGCAACCAGCTGTTTCTTTTCTTTCTTTTTGGTCCCCGAATTTCACCCACCCCCGCCATGCAACTCCACGCCATGCATCATCGCGGTTCCTGTCCCTCTGCCTGGCCCTACCAACTGTGACATAAGCAGCCTGTGATTCGAGAGGCGTTGGCGCTGATATGTTCTATCGTTTATCAATTTGTATGGCCAACCTTGAAAGGGAGGGGGATTCGTCCGTTCAGCATCTGTTGGACGAACGAGGAGGTGGCGGCGGCGGCGGTGGATTGGCCCAAGCATGTGGGCAACGAAGCCTGACATGCATGCGCTGCGAGCTGTGCCTTCTTCCTTGCTGTATCTGCCATGCACTGCACAGCATCTTGCGGGTTGATGGCTGCTGGCTGCTGATGTCAGAGCAGCTGATACTATTGCAACTCGAACCACACCAGAACGAGTCTTGGGGAGCCCAGATCTGCTGCCCCAGCCGATCATCTGGTGGAACTTCCCGGACCAAAGGCAATTTGATGCGTATCATATCGGGAAATCCTCTGCGCATGTGGCATGTGTCGTGGGACGTTGGCAAACTATTAATGTATAATCAGTGAACTGGACCTTACTAGGTGTTCATGGGCCGCCACTTCCGGGCAAAGATGAACGAGACCCGTCATGCCAGCCCATCCCGGCTCCCTCGACAGACTTGGCGATTGTCTCAAAATCAGCTCGGCGACCTGACCAGCGAGTAATGTTGCATCATTTTTAAACCAAGTAGTGCGAACTCGTTTCTCCTCTGCACCATACTATTTTGCCGTTGTCTTATCGCGAGGCCTGCCTGCCTGATCTTTTTTTCTTTCCCACCAAGTGCTCAAGCCCTCTCTGACCATTATCACGCACCCCCTAGCCCCCGCTTGGGGACGGAACAGGGTGTGACACCCAAAACGGATTAAGGCGGAGGCACCACGTTTGTAACCTTCCTTCTAGAATCCCCCATCCTCGGCCTCTGCCCTGTGGATCGTCTGTTCCCAGGTGTGCTTGTGATACATGTTGCCGCTTCGGATCGACTTAGAAGTCGAAGTTTCCCCTACGCGATGTTCGAATTCCGGCGGGCCGGACCGGCTAGATAGCTTCCGTTCAGGGTAAGCCTCATCAAGGCAAAATATATCCTAGCCTCCTGCCGATTTCCTATCCCTTTCAGCACCAGAACAACCTCCTCAACTCGCTCCAGAAGAAGCTTCGACCAGCGGTATACGCTTTGCCAGCCGTTAGCCCCCAAGCCAGTGAGAGGTATCACGAGCGCCCGCAATGGCACGGATGCCGCTAGGTTTGGCCGAAGTACTAGTTGTAGCTTCCGCATCTATTCATCTGTGCGCGTCTCATAAGCCCCACTACCGCGGGATAGCCCGCCATCATCCACCATCATTCACCATCAAGAATCTTCAGTGTTCACCGCCACCGCTCTTAACACGGTCACGTTCTCAACATTGAGAAAGCGCAAGCGCCCCGAGTGTTGTCCACCCAGCGACCGACCTCCATCATTCTCCCGGCCTGTAGGCATGCCGTCGCTGCTGCCTGGGTTTGCACACCCTCCAGACTGTCGCGGAACATTTTGTGACAGAGTCTGCATAATGCTTCTTCTCGTTGAAAGACTGATGGTTGGTGCATGAGAGGGTTTCCCGAGTGGCCAGCCCATCCTCGAAATGGAAGCCTCGTAGCCCACCCTCATATCGGGCTTATAGGTTGTCACCACGCGGTTCGAGACGAGGGCAGAGAGCGCAGACCCCGACCCTGGGGATGGTAACGCCCACTTGTATATACATCATTGATGGAGTCCGGGCCAGACCTCCCAGCATGCAGTTCGTTCTCAATCAGGCCTATATAATCATGCGTTATATCCAGTCGATCACCGAAAAACGGTTGTCAAGTATGGGCAGGCTGGTCACCTGGCCGGTTTAACCAGGAATCTCACATCTTCCCCGCGCATCAGCTTATCTAGCCGGAATTCGTTTCCGTCTAGATGAGCCTGACAAGTGAGTGAGGAACCCATCTATTCGGCTCCAACAAGGTAAGCGTACCTCTGCGATAAGGATGGGCGAATACTGCGATACCTCTCCCCTCAATATCTCGGCTTGGAGAATAGACACACGCATTCTGGACAGAAGATGACGGGAGCGTCAGGGCTTCAACCTAGATGACCCATGAATTGAAACAATGACAAGTCTGACCCGTGTCAACCCGGCGCCTCGGCCGACGCCCCAAGGAGAATGACAAAGGAAAGAGAAACAGGGACGGACAAAAGCGGCTTTGCGCAAGCCTGAAAACAACAATATACCTGATAGGCCGATGGGGGACCAAATGGAACCGCCGAAAGCCTGGCTTGACTCTTTTTTTGTATCCTCCGCAACCTGGGTCAGGTTTCGAAGAAGAGGGTCTGAGTGAGTGGGGTGTCGAAACAGGCGAGCCCGGCCCGCGTTGATTACGCGCCCCGGGGACAAGTTTAGTGTAAGTCAATACTTCTTCGTTCACAGAGTTGGCAGGGGCCGCAACCCCGACTCCTTCTCCTTTGAAGATTTGACAGCCCCGAGCAAAGTAGCCCACGCCCTCTCTTGTGGGGGACAGGATTGTGCGGTTTGCGCAATACGACACGCTTATCCCCTGTAGTCTGGGTTGCATGGGTCCTAAGTGGGGTTAAGCGGCCGTTGTCGAAAGGGCTTTCCACCGCCGCCTGCATGGTATGAGACCGGCCGCGGGAAAATTCTAGAATTCACTTCGCTCCCCTGAGCATATCTTCACTTGGCTAGTTGTTTAGAAATGCGCTCTGCCATGTGCCCAGGAAACCAGAAATTACCGCCTGGATGGGTTTCCAACGGTGAGTGTGAAACCGAAGGATCATGCTCGCCGCAACTACGACTAGCCGGCTTTCAAGCGGTGTGGCTACACTCGTTCATTCTTCTTTTCCATGTAGATACTTATCCTTTAGAGGAGAACTGTTTTCCTAGGTCGGGTGTGAAGAAGAGTGGTGTGGAAGTCTACTATTTGACTCTCCCGAAGGCTTGATGAAACCTATAGTAATGGGCGTGCCTTGTCTGCTAGGCCAGTCATCTGATGAGTTGTCAGTGACACGGAGGGTTTCTACCTCCACAGGAACGACTGCGCCGTCCTGGGGAGCCTTATGGATCAAGAAAGGACGGCCACACCCTGGGATATGCGGGGTACTCGCTATGACCAACTGCTCACGATCTTATGCCGTTTCGGTTGCGGAAACCTACCCATGTCCTATCACGCTGTCAAGAGGAGGCCGGAATATCGCCAAGCAATAAGAACGGACCACGAGGGAGCTTGCTTCAGCGGGTGGTACCGTGCGTAATAATAACTCTCGTTCTTGTCTCGAACCTCGCGGCTCAAGTATCTTGATACTGGTGCCGGTGGGGGTCGATACACACGGCCCGCCTGTACCGACCTGAATGATCCCTTTAAAACGGCGTATATGCCCGTTCTTTCTTGTAGTCCCGGTGTCTTCTTGAATTCTAGTTCTTATTCCCCTCCCCTTTTGAATTTCGAGCAGCGCGGCCGTAGCTACCACGCAGTCCGATTATAGGTGGCGTCTTCATTGCTTGCACTTCTAAAGCACAGTAGCCAAACACGATACCAAATCCCGAGACCATCTTTTGCGATTCCCTTTGACTCTCACGGGACATAATGACAAGCTGGATCGAGCCCGCCATGACCAATGCGGTTATGCAGCAGGGAGACAAGGCTGAAACTCCAGACCAACCGCGCCCGGACCCGCCTAAGCCAGAGCTACCAGAGGACCCATGAGACCGATGGTAAGGGAGATTTCGCGTCTTGCATAGCTTGTAAAGCTGACCATGTGAATAGGTCGATTCCGACCTTCGGTGTTAGTAGATAACTAGACACCTAAGTGACCACGGTACTAGCTCTGTGGCCTGTGATGGACAACAAAACATGAGGCAAGGTCAATGATTGCGGCTACCACCAAGTACCATATGTGGCTATGAGTTTCTCAGGAGGATGGAGATGGGTTTTCTTTTCGAATTTAGCGTACACGCCGTGGAGGATCTAAGGATATCATTAGAGGACTAGGGCCTCATGAATGCGGTTTGTGCCACCGGATGTCATAGATAGCTGGGCGTGTAAGTTGTTTAACACTGGCTATACCGAGTATCGAGGCACTCAAGCGCAAGTATAGGATATTTAAGTGTTGCCAATTCAAGGACCGTCTTCAATACTTCCTCGGTGCCACTTTAACCTACCGAGATGCGGTCTAGGAGATCACAAATCGGCGCAAGTCTGACAATGCTAGAATAATTCCATTCAATACATCCATATAATGGATGGATCGATTCGATTGATGCTTCCGCTTTTATGAAACAGAAGGAGTATTCGTATTCGGGGCACAGGGCGGTATACCAGGAAGAAGGTGTTATCCAAGTGTTGCCCATCATAGAGGACCGCAACGACGGGCACTTTCCGTTCTCGCCTTGCTTCCGAGCGTAACTTCCGTGTTTTGGCCGTGACCCAAGGGACACGCTTTCCCAATCCCAGTGCTGAACACTTGGGGTTCTCTGCCTATAGCTCCTTCCCGCCGAAGCGATATTTATGTTTTCTGCCTCTGACTTGAGGACTGCTTGAGGGCGAAGGTCGTAGTTACCTTGCTACCCTTCGCTGCTCTTTTTCTCGATGAAGAAATTCCCTCCATTAGTCTAATACACACATTCCAAAAACACCCCTCCGTCCTTGGCTGCCCTTGACTCGCATCATCGCGGAAACGCAAAACTTCCTCTGACTTGTCTCCTCTCGCAGTCCTCAAAGTCTAGTGCTATTTGGCAAAGACTTGATTTGGGTCCCTGGTTCCCCGTTGACGCCGCGACGGCGATTTATTCGGCTTTTCTATACATCGTGTATAGAAACAACGCCCAAGCAGACTACCCTTTCTATCTCTTTCGGATGTTAGCTTTCTGGTAAGTATTCGATTGGTTTCCGCCAGTCACTGCCATCTCTTTTCTTTCTTCCTCTCGTGGGTACGCGGAGTGCAGAGCCCTGGGCCATGAATGCTCATTTCTCTCCCCTTTTCACGGTCAGGGATGGTATAGTAGACTAACGCCTCAAAGGTTCTACTTGTATTGTTGGGCCGCCTGACTTGTATCGCAGCTCGGTCACCTTGCCTCCTCTTCTTAGAACCGCAGGAAACTACAATGACCGCGTCCAGAATTTATACAGTCAGGGAACTTCTTCGACTGCGTCCCGAGATGGTTCGTTCTTCTGATACGAAGCGAACTTGTGAGGCACTAGGGGCGGGTAAGTCGAGGGTCGACCCTAAGGCGGAGGGCAGGGAGCTTGATATCTCTGACGAAATCTTTAGCTCATATTTTAGCCTCTAATACACCTAGAAAGGCCGGTCATAGCGAAAAAGGTCGGGAGCGACGTCGCACAAATACCCAGAAGACATCGTCAGAAGACTCCCGGGAAGTGGTTGTTACCCTCCCCCAAGCATCCGAGTGGCACTATCGGGGTAGAAGCCGCCATGAGGCCGGAGCAATTCAACCTATACCTGCGCCTAGCGGGCTGGGAGCTCAGAAAGATGAAGGCTTTCAGCGGTTTTATAAAGCGGTGGTGTCACCAACCCATGTACGGGTGACAGCTGGTGGCAGGATCGTTCCCAATACCAGGGGTCCTTCGTCGCCCAGCGTGAAGAACGAGCTGATGAATGAGCAGCCACAAAACGGCCATCAAGAAGCACAGAAGTCCCGGGAGCAGCCTGTTCCAGTAGCTTTAGCTCCGCTCCCTCTCGGTTATTCAACACCATGGCCAGGGTATTCCACAGGTTTACTCGCGCCACAGCAGTTTCCGTTCCCCACATGCCCGTGGGCTTCAATTATCCAGGAGGCGTTGCTCTTCCCCAGGTCGCCATTAACCGAAACGGCTATGGGCATGTTGGCGAGCTCGTTGCCGGGCAAGCGCTCCACAGTCAGGGCCTTGACGGAGCAGGTGGGGTTGGTGTGCCGCCTGCCGGGCAGATCGACTCATCACGGCCTTGCTTTGTCAACGGACAGTGGATGCTCCCTCTGGGGGTTCCCTCTTTCCTTACGGACTTCACCCTATGGCAGCATCCACTGGGTATACAGGTGGGCAGCATCAAGGTCCGGCCGTTAGTCATTCGCAAGGGCAGGCTCATATGCCTCCTGCAAACACGCTCTACCACGGATTTGATGGCCAGGCAACCCAGAGCACGGGCACGCCAGCAACGACACCACTAGGTGCACCTGCACACCCCCAATCTCTTCCATTCGCCCTAGCCAGATCACCAAGTCACATATTGAATCGTTGAAGCACAATTTGAAGCGAGTGGAAGACCAGCTCCAGTACAATGTCCACCAAATCGATGTGAAACACATGGAGGGCTTAGCAAGGGAGATTCGTCACTCAATAAAGGCTTTAGATGAGGCTCTTCCTCGCCAATTAGAGTTTGAAGAGATGCACTACCCTAAAAGCGACAAGAACGATTCAAGGCAAGGAGGCGCCGCTTTCAACCCCATGACTTTGCAAGCTACGGCAGGACTCAATGGATGCCATGTTGCTCTCAAGTCGAATGGAACCCTCGAGCAAGGGGCTGGAAGCCTGAGCAGGGGAAACCGTGGGCTGTTCTCTATTGAGCATGCGTTTCCGAGACATACAAGTTCGGACAGCGAGCAATTTCGGCAGTTCTCTGGCTTGCCAATGACTGCGGCTACGGCGGCACCATTTAGCCCATCCGTGCAGTCGTTTGGTTTCCAAGTGGGCTCAAGCTCTGAAGATGGTTGTCGAGAGCCCGAATCCAAGGACAATAGCCGAAAGAGTCTCTTATCCGTCAGTGGAAAAGCGGTTCGTGAAGCGGCGACAGGGATAGCTAAGAACGATCATGGGAGGGCAGTCCGCAGCAAGGCGGGCGTGCTGCAGAGCAATCTCACCGGGCAATCCGGTAGCAGCATTGAACTTACTGATCGCCAGTCACCTCGGTCGACTCCTTACCTTGTCGGAAGCCTGGCTCCCGGGACAGTCTCCAAAGACATGAGTTCAAGGACTTTTGTTTATCCCCGCGAGCTGAATATTGAGGAAATAAGGGCCCGGCATTTATACTGGGGCCAGGCACCTCAATCAGCTATGAAGGGGCTTCCTAGGTTTGACGGGAAGGACTTTTATCCTCCGTCACCATCCAAAGTACGTGGGGTTCGATTCAGAGGGAAATGGGGGCCCAGGAATCTTCAACCGTCATCACAGATCCATTCTCGTCAACGGAGTCCGGAAAAACTGCTGGCCACACCGGGGACACCAGCTGCTCCGAAGCAGAAGACCTGGTAAATGGAAGCCTGAAACAACAGATGGATGATAACAATGTAATGAGATATCCGCCGACACAGGGTAATTTGTAAGGCGCCAGCTGACAGATGATGTTAGGTCCTTGGCCAACAAAAGACAATTCGCTTGCGACGGCTGGAAAACCTCTCCAGGTATGCACTATGCCTCCTAGATGTACGAGGAGAGAAATAAATCTAACTTGCAAGAGTAGTGGTCGCAAGGAAACGATCTTTTACAGAGTATGCTAAAAGAGGCAGTCCAAGTAGCAATGCTCTTCCCGGGAGGTGACTTCAACAACAGCTCACGGCTTCCTTCCCCAATACGGAGGGCACGCAGCCGCTTCTCTAACACCAGCAATTGCGAATACTGTGTCTTCTCGGGCTTCAACGACGAAGAGCAGTGAGCAAGAAGATAAGTATGGAGCCTCAGGGGCCCGACTGACAAACGAGGAGAGAATAGGCCGCCTGTGGAGGATAAGCCAGAGGAAGCGGGACGTCAAATCCGGGTTTGAGCCGTGACGAGTATGGACTTTTCGTAACCATACCACGGTGTTTGTTGCGGGGTAGGTGGAGAGGAAGATTAAGCTACAAAAGATTTCCTGGCATCTTTAAAGCCCTCATTAACTTAGGTGGACATGCATGACTGTAGGCTGTTTTGACGGAATATCCGTATGCTGGGCAGAAACGACATGTTTATTGGCGAGCAACGTATTCTATGAGTTGGCTGATATGGTCAAGGACTGGAGATGCTGATTATATGGGATTCGCTTCTCAGGCGTGTGTGGATCATCAGTCTTACCACAAAGCTTACCGATGCAGAGTAGAAGATAGAACTTAGATATTAAATAGACCGTGTACCGCTGTAAACCGAGCGCCTGTAGGTGCCTGCTATCAAGACCTAGACGTAATCCCGGACGCTTTCGGTTCCAGCTCACTAGACATGTTGCCGGAGTGGCTAAGTGTGGGGAATTTTTGGAAATGCGTGATAACAACGTTTGGTATTATTACTCTAAAACCTGGCGACCTGGATAAACTCCACAACTCCCTATCGAGACAAAAAAGAGGATGAGAGAACCGAATGAGCGAATCATATAGAGGGCTGAAAATATATGTGTGGAAAGAGTGATGTGATGATGATGAAGTATGGGGTGCAGCCGGATGCGACGAGGGGCAAAAATCATCTGAACTTGCTGAAGATGACGGCCACGATGAGGAGAACGAGCACGGTTATGATGGAAATGGTGATTATCCGATTGGTAGCCATCCTAGAAACAGAAGTACACGGAAAGTTAGCTTAAAGCCTTGTATATTGTGCGCGGATGGGGGATTCGCAGAAAAGCATTATTAAAGGAGAGGGAACCGACCTACGGGCCATGCCCCTCAGAGTCTTGACGCTCCTGTCGACGTAGCCCTCGCTCTGGCCGAGAACGCCCTGGGTGTGGAGGATGGTTTCGCGCTGCTGGTGGAGATCGGCGAGGGCGGCGGCGCCGATGGCCTCGGTTTCGTTGGCGAGGGCCTGGGAAGCCTTGAGGCGCTGGGTGGAGCGGTCGAGGCGCTCGGTGCCGGAGAGGAGCTGCTGGCGCTGGGCGAGGTGGATGTCGGCGTTGGAGGAGGAGGGGTTTTCCGGGTCGTCGCGGTAGCGGCCGCCGAAGAGGGCGGAGCGCTCCGAGGAGAGGTTGGCGAGCTTGGATTTGGAGGAGGAGACGGTGGACTCGTAGCCTCGAAGGCGGGCGTTGATCTTGGGGCGCTGGCCGGAGGGGATGTTTTGCTTCTCTAGGCGCATTTGGCCGAGCTGGGATGGCGTCAGTTAACGAGAACGAGATGGCTAGAGCTAGAAGGGAAAAAGAAGATGGGGCACAAGAGGGGCGGGCTTGAAAGCCGTGGCAGATTGGGATTTTGTGGTGTTTCGGTTTTCCTTGGGGGTTTAGACACATACTAGTTCATCGGCTTCCTCGAGGGCGCGCTCCGCCTGGGAGACGGCAGCCTTGCGGGGTTCGCCGGAAAGTTCGGGGATCTGGTCGAGCTTCTGGTTGAGGTCGGCTTGGACGAGCTTGAACTCGGCCTCGTAGGAGGCGAAGAGCTCAGAGCCGGCGTCGGTGTCGAGAGGGTTCGCCATTGTGAGAAGGGGGTAGGGCGAGCGGGCTTGTCGTTTGCCGATGTTCGGCAGCGGTCGTTGTCTAAAGGGGGTGAAGGTGGGCCAAAGAGGCTCTCGAAAGTGGCGCAAAAAGGTCTCGATTGAGGTATGTGGGTGAAATGGAAATGCTGGCTATGCCACGATACAAAATATAATTGAAAAACAGTTCTAGAAAAAGGCGATTTCGTAGAGGGGTTTGTTGGATGAGCCAAGATTTGTTGGATTCAAGGTGGTCGGGGAATCATGGATGGTCACAGGCAGGCGAATAGAAGGAGGCAGTGGTTGGCTCAAACGGGAATGGCATCAGATTATCGATAATCAACTTACATCATCCATCTGTGGAGTCCGAACCTGACACCGGATTGTCTTTGGCCCAGCTGGCTGAACAAGCCGGAAATGGCATGGCGGCGCACTGCACAGTGCATGGCGAGGATTGATTGTCACGTGCGTACCACCCTCCGACTGCTGACGGAGCCTGCGGTAACGGAGCATGCCAGCGCCGCCGTGCGTTGCCGGCGAGAACAATGTAGTCACGTGAAATGTACAGTATAAAGATTTTTCACGCCTCCCGGCGCTTTTGCCTTGGGGTTTTCTTTTCTTTCTTCTTCCAGAAAGAATTTGAATCCCCGGTGCGAATACTTCTCGCTCGACTTCAGGGGGCGAAGAGCCCAGGTGTGCAATTCCCTTGCGGGAACGGCGTCTCCTGCTTCGTCCTCGATTGGAGTAGAGTTGTTCAATCCGGGCAGAGAAATCTCTGACGGCGCTTCTAAGAATTGGTGCTTCTTAATCTTCACAGGTTACCGATCCCGTTGAGTGTCCGACAAGACCTGCTTGGTGAGGCTTTGTGTGTATGTGTGTGTTTATATTGATGTAACGTGTGCTCCTCTTGCGAGGAGAGCTGGAGGCGTATATGAACCACCGGAATGAACAGGTCTAAGAAGCCGTAATCTGCGTGAAAACCTGCTGTTCCAGGTGTAGATGCATGCGGGAAGGGGTTTACCATGTCTTCTCTTCTCGTAGAGAATATGCGTCCCATTCCACAGTCAACAAGCCGTTCCAGTGTCAAATGCGATTTGTGGGCAATAATCGTGGACGGGCTAGAATCGTCTGTGCAGTTCCCCGCCGGCGGTGTGAACGGTGTTGTCCAGTGGTCAATCACCCCCAGTCCCCAATGATAGCACTAAAACGGGACTGGGGCCCGTGGCATTGATTACAATTGCGGTGAACTGATTCGATGGTTGGTCGGTCTGGCTGCCCCCAAATGCAGCAAGTGCGCTCGAGGAACTCTATCTGGCGGTATCCGCAAATCCGTCCCCATCAAAATCTCAATTGGAACTTTCTGAGTCAAATGACTCGACGCTTCCTCCGCCAGCAACTTACACACGAATTTTCTTTAACTTCTTCAAACACAACCGCCCTCCCAAAGTTCTTTGCCATTGAGATCCTCCGCCAACGTGAATCGCAAGACTCCCCTGCTAGACTGTTCACTATCAGCTTAGACCAACCTTATCCGCATCGTAGAATTAGCTTGGGGATTCCCAACAAAAAAACGTGGCCGTTCTTGAAGCTTTCCACCTGCGCACAGGGAGAGCTGCTGTGAGCCATCATCATGCGTCAACAAGCGAACCGACTCGCCAAGGCGGCCACCCAGGGCCTTAGGACGCAGGCTCGCTGCTACACATCTTCCTCTTCCCCTTCCTCCTCGTCCACTCCTCCGCGCCATCTCATGACGATAGCCGACCTTAGCCCGGCTGAATTCACTAACCTGGTCCGCAATGCTGCTGCTCACAAGGCCCTCGTCAAGGGAAAGGATGCTAGGCATCTCGAGCAACTTAGGAAAGGACTGGCTGGTACTGCTGTTGCCATGATGTTCAGCAAGAGGAGTACCAGGACCCGTGTATCGACCGAAGCCGCCGTCTCGCTTATGGGTGGCCATGCCATGTTCCTGGGCAAGGACGATATCCAGCTCGGCGTAAGTGTATTCCTTTTGTGGTTTTCATTTCTCCGCCCTCCCCTTATCTTATCTATCTCCTATCTCCTATAGTAGTATGGGTGATGTGAGAGATCTGGGTAAAAGAGGCACTCGTATATCATTGCGCCGAAAGCTAATTCCCTTTCCAGGTAAATGAGTCGCTATACGACACATCCGTCGTCATCTCATCCATGACATCGTGCATGGTTGCCCGAGTAGGGCCTCACTCCGATGTAGCCACCCTCGCGGAACACTCCTCCGTGCCCGTCATCAACGCCCTTTCGGATGACTTCCACCCTCTCCAGGCCATCGCCGACTACCTCACCATCCATGAAAACTTCCCCTCATCAAATCCTTCGGACCTTGGTCTCTCTGGGCTCAAAATCGCCTGGATCGGCGACTCTAACAACGTCCTCTTTGACCTCGCCATCGCCGGCGTCGAGCTCGGTGCTACGGTCGCCGCCGCCTCCCCCACCGGGTACGGCATTCCCTCCAACATGAAGGCACTCATCAACTCCGCCGCTCAGAACTCGCCCACGCCAGGCAAGCTTATCGAAACCACGGTCCCTGAGGAGGCTGTCAAGGACGCTGACATCCTTGTCACTGACACCTGGATCTCCATGGGCCAGGAGGCCGAGGCTAAGAAGCGCCTGGAAGCGTTTGCAGGCTACCAGATCACGAACGAGCTTGCCAAGAGGGGCGGCGCCAAGGAGGGCTGGAAGTTCATGCACTGCTTGCCTAGGCACCCGGAGGAGGTCGATGACGAGGTATTTTACGGACCTAGGAGTCTTGTGTTCCCCGAGGCGGAGAACAGGCTTTGGGCTGCCGTTTGTGAGTAATCTCCCATCCTTTTATTTGTGCCACGGATGTAAATCCTATCCTGCATTGTCATCTTGCTAACTTTTACTTAGCTGCCATTGAGGGCTTCGTTGTGAACAAGGGAAAGCTCTAAACGTTTGCATTCAGGTAGTAGATTACACCACTTTTTCATGTATGCCAAGATTCGCCAGATTGAATAAGATATCAATGTATCCTCCCCCTTTTTCTGTTGGGTTCCCATGGGGTGTAACAATAATGAAGATGCCACTTCCAACTATGAAACGAATTGAACCATTCTAATGCATTTAGAATGCAGGAAACAAGAAACTGCGAAGGAAAAAAAAACGAGAACAGAAAAAAAGTACTCAATATGCGCTGGTATTTGCAACGTGCTGGAATCGATGCTAAACAATCTAGAAGGGAGTGTGACGCGTAATCAGTTATGCTTTCTCTTTGCCGCGCCCGCTTGTCCCCTGGATCTCCTTTTAGACGCAAACACTCGCTCAAGTGGATGGATGATGAGTAGATGGATGAGAATGAGAATCAGCCTCAACGCTAGATCCCGCAGGCCGATTTCAGGCCTCCGGCCACGGCTAAAGGTCGAGTCCTTGAACTCGAAGGGCAGTTTGGCGCCGAGCCTCTCTGCTGCGGCTAGACCGCTGCTGAAGCCGTCCTCGTGGAAGCCGTATTTCGTCCAGGCACCGATGTAGCTCACCCCCTGCGCTCCTGGATTCTGTGAAGACGGTCCTGGGCTCGGACGGCTTCTGGAGTGTAAAGGGGTGGGTATAGAGATACTCGCCTTGGGTCTTGGCGGGGTTGGGCTTGTGGAGGGGTTTAGAGTCACGAGGACGTCACCAAAGGTGTCACGGGGATGTGCTGGAGGAGATTCATGTTGTAGGTGAGGCAGACGGTGTCGATGTTGGCCTTGCCCGTGGGGCTAGACTTGGTGATGTAGTTCCAGCAGGACCAGGCCTTTGGATTCTGAGGGAGCAAAGAGAGATCGGAGTGGAGGACGGCTTTGTTGAGGGAGGTCTTGAAAGCGGGCATGATGGACTTTTCCTCGGCCGTCGCAGAGTTTCGGACAATGGACCAGGCTTGGTCGCCGTGCGTGGCCAAGATGACGTGATCGTAGACAGGGGTGCCGCCCGACGAGAGTTGAAGGCGGACCTTGCCATCAGGCTCGTTTGCGAGCGACTCGACCGCGGTGCCGAGGAACACGCGGCTCTGGGGAAGCCCTGCATGATGGCATCGATGTAGCTCTGTCCGCACTTTTGCAGCGTGAGCCATTGCGGTCTGGAGGAGATGGTGGAAAGGAGGTGGTGGTTCCAGAGGAAGCGCACGAGGGTGATGGCGGGGAACTCTAGGGTGCACTTGTCCGGGCTGGTGCTCCAAACGGCGGCGGCCATGGGGATAAGGTAGTCGTCTCTGAAGGCATCCGAGTAGCCTTCCTGCTCAAGGTACTCGCCAATGGTGGCGGTCAGGGGTGATATCCGTTCACCGTGGGCGGCTCACTATTGGGAATAGATCTCTCGTGATCCTCAATCAAGAGGTCGAGGGCGAACTGGTTGAAGCGGATGATGTCGAAGACCATTCGCCAAAATCGGGGTGAGACGATGTTCCGCCTCTGGCAGAATATCGTGTTGAGACTTGTGCCAGCCCACTCGAAGAGTCCCTTGTCACGCGAGACGGCAAAGGTCATCTCTGTGGGGTCAATGGGGACATTTACGGACTGAAGAAAGTTGATGAAGTTGGCTTTTGGGTCACCAGCACAGGGAATTGGCTCTCATGTCAGTCTAGGGTACGAAGACAAGACCGGAAGCAAGTACATCAATCATGGTCAAGAGGAGTCAATGGGGTTAGAAGTGCTGGGTAGCGAGCGGGTTGCCTTACGATACGTGGCTGCGTTCAACACTATGAAGCCTGTATCCACGGTGGTGGTATACTTCCCCGCTTTCCAGTTTACGGTGTTGGTGTGTCCACCGAGCCGGCCGGCGGACTCGTAAAGAAAGACATCGTGATGCGTCTTCTTGAGGGCCCAGAGTGCGGCCAACCCGGCGCAGCCACTGCCGACAATGGCAATTTTCTTACTGTAGAGATGGTGAGTATTAGACAGGCGAGACAGGAGGGTCACATTCGCAAGCCGGGCGTTTTGAGAAGGGAGGGAGGGGAGGAATGGTGGGGTCAATGGCTCTCAATCAACGTACGGCTGCGACCTAGGCGACACGGGAGGCATTGAGGGTGTAAGACGCCGGAAAACCTGTGTGATATGATGTTGATGTATGGGGGAGTCTTAGCACGGAGGAAATGTTGGAGAATATAGGTGAGAAAAAAAGAAAGAGAGCGGCCCCCGTCCGGGTTTGGTGTAATGTTGGTTGCGTTTTGGAACGCTGGCGAACGGCCGGCCCGTGTCTGTTGTGGTGTTGAAACCGGGATGTTGGTGAAGCGGCTCATGTGATCTCCTAGGCAGCTCGGACCCCTGGGACGCACCTGAGCACCCCTACAATTGTTCAAATGTTCACCAAGAGCATTGGGAGCTTAAAAGGCCATCCAGCCAGGCTAATAATTGCCGCGTCGTTGAGGAGGCCGTTAAAACGGGTCAGAGAGATCCCTGGTTGGCTGCCCTCTTCACATTGGTCCCCGATGATCGAGGCATCATATCGAACTCGAGGTTTGATTGTTCAATGGTCGGGCTGGGACGTTGGGAAACCAGCATTGAGGTGGCATTCAACCCGCAGCACTTGATCCATTCAATCCACTGGATTTTGGTTATTGATGGCTCAATGCAGGCGGGAGCATTCTCGACGCTGTAATTCGCAGGCTCAGGGCCTTGGACCCACAGTAGCAGTTGGGGTACCCCACTTGCCCACCACCAATTCCAGGTGGCTCACTCGTTCTTGCCCTGACAGTCCGCTAAAAAAGCCATGGCAGTGGTGCAGGCCAGGACCATCATTGAGGGGCAAAAAGGCAAGTTCCGTCCTTGTACTATTATTAGTCATTCCCCCAAAGGGGAAAAAAATCATTGGGAGAAGAACGTCGCGCCAAACGGAGCTCGGAAGGTCTCCGGTGAAACCGTACGATGCGAATTCGACCTCAAAATTCACCCCCAAAGTGACCGATATCTTCCTTCTCGAACGGAAATTTGTTTTTGGGAAGGCCATGAACCATGAATAGCTTCCGGAGCCTCTCCTGGCGGCTGCAACAGTCCCAACAGGCTCTCGCTTGCTTCGCCCGCCAGAATGCCCGTCAACAATCTCGACAATGGGCCCAGTCGAGCTTCCGCCGCTGCGCTTCCAATTCCACCAAAAAGACGACCGCGGACCACACCTTTGACTCGGTGCGCGACCACTACAAGAGGAAGAACCGATCGACTGCGTAAGTCGTCAGGGCTTGGCGCCTTTACTCCGGCGCAGGTCTTGCGTGGGTTGTGGCTGACCGAAGGTGGAAATATAGATATTACACGCTGAGCGTCATTCTCGGGACGGTCGCGCTATCCTATGGCTCAGTACCCCTGTATAAGATGGTAGATCTCCCTGCTTCTTTTCCCTTATTGTCGCATTCTATTATCAAACACCCCCGCTCTTCTCGTATCCCACGAAAGTATCGCCGGTTGCGCCCGAGTACTGACATCCCCCTCTCACCTTAGATCTGCCAAACTACCGGCTGGGGTGGCCAGCCTGTCCGCGCCCACTCTGGTCCCGAGGATGCCGAGAACCTGGCGAAGCGTCTACAGCCCGTTACCGATGCCCCTCGAATCCGAGTAACGTTCAACTCGTCGGTATCAGATGTGCTTCCCTGGAAGTTTACCCCCAACAAAAGGAGGTTCGCGTGCTTCCCGGAGAGACGGCGCTGGCGTTTTACACCGCGACAAACACGAGCGATCAGGACATCATTGGCGTGGCCACTTACAGCGTGACACCTGCGCAAGTGGCCCCGTACTTTAGCAAGATTCAGTGCTTCTGTTTCGAGGAACAGAGGTTAAACGCGGGGAGACGGTGGACATGCCCGTGTTTTTCTACCTCGACCCGGACCTGTTAAATGACTTCAACATGAGAGGCGTCAAGACTGTCACGCTGAACTACACTTTCTTCAGTAAGTCTCACTTGTACCCCTACTACCTAAAAGTTGCAAAGCTAATTGTCTGTCTGCCACAGAGGCGCGGTATGATAACAACGGCAAATTCATGGCGCCTGCTTCCAAGTAGAACGACCGCCCCCTTCGCGGTTGGTTTTGTATGGGTTCTGTATATATGCTTGTATGATAGCCGGAGAAGTACTCCCCCTTATATACTAGAAAGATGATTTATAGACTCCGTTTGGACTTGACAAAATGTATAGCTCACTTCTTCAGGCCCACGCTTATCCAAAGACTTTGTCGGCTTTGCCATTTTACCTGCACAGATGGAAACTTCTTTCCCCAATATACGCTCTAATGCAGGAGTGATATTTCTTTATTTTGTTTAGCGATGCTCCTTACCTAGGCCTCTTCAACACGACTACCCAGCTCATCGCCGATCATCGTCCACAGGTATATTTATTTATGCGGCCAATAACTTGTATCGGGGCATTGACTTTCGGCCCCACCCTCACAGCCGATTAGATAATAATGGCGGCTGCGCAAGACCAACCATGGCATTGAGGGATGGGAAGAAAAAAAGGAGTCACGTGTTCAGGGCCGCCCACCGCCCGTGTCAAACTATTCTATTTCCCACACAAGAAAGCAACGAAATTTCCGTCTCGTTTTCTCAACCATCCGAGTCTACTAACCACCACCACTCCAGATCACCAGCCGACAAAATGAAGACTGGTAAGGCATCCCTACAAGATATTCACAAAGGCTGTCCTTTGAAATACACCTTTCCCGAGAAATGATTACTGACATTTTAAATTTTCCAATGCTATAGCTTCGTACAACTCCAGGCGCAAGTCGCGCAAGGCTCACTTCGATGCCCCCTCCAGCATTCGCCGCACCATCATGAGCGCCCTCTCTCCAAGGAGCTCCGTGAGAAGCACAACGTACGTTGGTCCCAAAACTACAAAAAGAAAACTTGTTAGGGAGTGCAAATGAACTAACGGTCAACATGCAGGTCCGCTCCATCCCCGTCAGGAAGGACGACGAGGTCACCATCATCCGTGGCTCCTTCAAGGGCCGCGAGGGCAAGGTCACCTCCGTCTACCGTCTCAAGTACGTTATCCACATCGACCGCGTCACCCGTGACAAGGCCAGCGGCCAGAGCGTTCCCGTCGGCATCCACCCCAGCAACGTCGTCATCAACAAGCTCAAGCTCGACAAGGACCGTGAGGAGATCCTTGAGCGCATCAAGCGCGGTCGCGAGACCTCCACCAAGGAAGAGTAAATTATTTACCCAACCTTGGTAACGACAACGAAAACAAAAAGAACCCTGGACCATTGAAAATTGTGGCATCTCGACACTTGATTTCTGATTCATATCATGAGCCCTTCCTTGACAACGAAGCAATGACTTGACAAAAGGAGGGCAGGGGGCGAAGGGGACATGTTATACCAACAGCAGCGGCAACGGATTTGGCAAAGTGGACAAAAAGGTGGAAAAAAGGGACGAGGTGTCGTCGGGAGTTTTCTTCTTGTGTGCTTTTGCTTCGCTCCCGACGATGCCTCTTGGCGTTCAAGCGTTTCGACACCGGCATGACATGGCATCAGCATATAGGTCTCGGCCTTCGAGGAAGGAGGGGCGTTTCTCGATTTACCCCTGCAACGCTCTCAACCACCTCGGGCCGAGCTAGATTTCAGAGAATTGAGAAAGAGATGAACAATTCTCAATGGCCGTTTCACATCGCCTCGTCTTTGTGAAATGCTCCATGGGAGGTACTCCCGAAGTCAACTCTCTGAATCCAGCCCTCGTAGACTGGCAGCCCGCCCAAGCCAGGAGTACCTCTTCCCCTACCCGTTTTGAAATACTAACCCTCCCCCAAGATTTAGGCAAACGAATCGGTGCGGTCTTAAAAATTGAGACTTTAAATGGCACGATTCACCACAGGTAAGCTTATATATATATATATGAACTTGCGAATCAATGAGCGCAGAGGCTCTCGTGGAACCAAGAAAAAGGAACCCAGGCCTCTCGCTCGTGATTCTCCCCGCCAGGATATCTCCTCGTCATCCACCAAGTCAATGGATCCCGAGGTATACGACTGGCGAAAAGTAAAAACGCGTTTCAGGCTATCGGGCGTTACCACACTCGATAGGCTGTTGCGCCGTTCTTGTCCGAAGACTTTCGCCGAGATGTTTTCATGTGTCGATGAGGCTGGAAATTTTGATGATGAGGAACAATTCCTTTGCTATACCAATTTTTTTTGTTCTCGTAGGCTTGAGGAGTGAGCAGCTCCCTCCACTATACAAGTAGTCACTGAATACAACTCATTGCTCTTGGTTACTCCACCTTATTACTTGAAGATCAACGGTATCCGATTCTCTCAGCACCAACGTGAACCATAATGGCGAAAGAGCAAAACTTTTTATAATTCCTCTGATGCGTTCCGAACGGCGAACGAGGTATAATACGAAGAATCCAACCCCCAAAAGAAGAAGAAACACAAAAGTCGCATCTCACGCATCACTCCTTCTGATCAAAGAAAGATAAGGGAAAGCCGCTTGTGAAAAAAGTGAACAAGATGATGAAATATACCATAAGAAGACCCATACAATTCTCTCCAAACAAAAGAAAAAAAGATCACCCGTTCCATGAAGCGCAAGGACAAATGCCGCCCCTCACCTCCTGCCCCTCGGCTTCCCCACGCCGCCCCCGTTTCCACCCTCACTTCTCCGCCTCTCGCCGCCCAACGGTCTCCTACCACCGATCCCTCCCCTACCACTCCTCTCACCACCCCCAAAGCCTCCACGTCCACCGCGTCCTCCACGTCCACCGCCGCCACGACCACCTCCACCTCCACCGCGGCCAAAGCCACCTCCACCACCTCCACCGCGGCCAAAACCACCTCCACCACGACCGAAGCCGCCTCGACCACCACCACCTCCTCCGCGACCGCCGCCAAACGACCTGTCGCCCCTCCCGTGGCTACCGCGAGGCGACTTGCTCGAGAGCCTCTCGCGGACAGCCATGACATCCTCGGCGTCCATCTCCTCGTCATCGTCGCCGCCGCCGCCGCGCTTGTTGGAGAACTTGAGCTTGCCTCCGCGGATGCGCCTGCCGGCATCCTTGCCGCGGAGAGCCGCGACGTACGCGCCGACGCCGGACTGCCCGCCCGCCGAGGGGTCCTCGCCGTCGACGTCCATGGCGTCTCCCTCGTTCTCGTCCTGTCCGAGGATGAGCTTGCCATCGAGGTCGACGCGCGCCCTGGACTTGACGGGCTGGCGCGTGCGCGAGGGCTTCGTCGTAGAGATGTTGGCGAGCGCGCGCTTGTCGAGGAGATCGAGGGGCTCGTCCTCGTCCTCGATGATGTACGCGCGGCCGCCCTTTTCTCTCTTGCCCCTGCCGCGGCCTCCGCGGCCCTCGTCGCCGTCGCCGCCTCCCTCCTCGCCTTCCGACTCGGAGCTGTAGAGCGCTTCGTCGTACTCGTTGTCAAACTTGCGCTGCGGCTTGCCACCCTCCTCTTCCTCCTCGCTCTCGTCCTCGCCCTGCCCGCCTTCGCGCGCGCTATCCTTCTTGCGCTTGTTGCGCTCCTTGGTCTTGCGGATGTTGACGACCAGCTTCCTGTCCGACTCGGGGCAGTTGTCGTGCACCGTATCGTAGCCGAAGCGGCGGATCATGCGCTCGAGAATGTGCTTGACCTTGGCCTTGAAGTGGCCCTTGTGCTCGTGGCTCCAGATGATGAGGTTGGGGACGAGCGTGCCCATGCGTGCCTGCATGAGTTCCATGGGTAGGCGGAGCACGCAAATCTTGATGAAGCCAAGAACGCTCTTGACAATTTCGCGATTGTTCGAGGTCAAGAAGAGGTCCATTGTCTCGACGAGGTCCGTGAGCGTGTGAGTGCTCAGCTGCTCGTGGAACTCGTACAGGATACGGCTGAGCGCGGTGATGGACGCGGAAATCATGTGCGGCGTGCTGCCGGCGAGACCGGCGCTAACCATGGTGAAGTATTCCTCGATGCTAGCCGTCACGGGAGGTGCGTCGTCGGGCATGTGTGAGACCTTGCTGTTGTCGACGGTCGCACCCTTGCACGCCTCGAGCTGGTTGCCCATCTGCACAAGAAGGCTGTACGCGGTTTCGCGAGCGCGCTCGTTGTTTTCCTTGCAGCAGATGACGACCTCGCTCAGCACCTGGGGGATGAAATGGAGGGAAGTAGTAGGGATGAAGGGGATGAGGGCGGCGATGGCAGCGAGCCTTTCCCGCCTCGCGGGGGCAGAGACCTTTTCCGCGTTGGCGATGAGGAGCGCCTGCAACTCAGCGTTGCGGTCCTGGAGGGCAGCCCTACCCGTCTCCGATTCGCTGAGACGCGGGATGAGCTTGTACGCCTTCTTCTGCAACTGAGGCTCCGCCTCCCGTGCGATGACGACGGCGGCAATCTCGAAGAGGGCTCCGTAGCTTTCCCGGGGCAGGTAAGGGGACATGGTGATGATGAGATCCATAAGGGTGTTGCTCGTCGAGGGCATCTTGTCTTCCCTCTGCGCCTGGCCCTTCTTCTCCTTGGGAGGCTCTTGCTGGAGCTCAGCAGCCAAGAGCTTGGAAACGCGATCAAAGGTCTCGGTGACCTCGCCGCCAGGGGTGATGCTGAGGAAAGCGTTGATGGTTTGGAGGATGGGGCCTCGGGACTGGGGAAGAGTTTGTGTGTAGACGTTGAACAAGACCGCCAGCATGTTGGCCGCAAAGGTACCCAAATGGTCAAGGTTGGCATTGGCCTGGGCCCTGGTCACACGGCTCTGGAGGATCATGTCCTCCTCTTCTCCCTCCTCAATGGTGACAATAGCCTGGTTAGACTCTACAAGCATCCTCAAGCCCCTGCACACATCCAGCCTGAGCTCAGTCTGCTGATATAGAATGTTGGCCAGGATCTCAGCGAAGCCTTGGTCAAAGGCCTCGATCAAGTCGAGGGGCAGGTCGCAGTAACCGGGAAGGGCCGACCAGACCTGGTTGACCAAGGTCTCGAAGATCTTGGTCTCCATGGTCTTCTCAGCTTGACCGTGATCCAAGACCCTCTGGAACATGGCCTGGCTGAGCGGCACCATCTCAGACTTGAAGTGGGCGAGGTTCGTATTGCTCACGTAGTCGCGGAGGATGGGCATCATCCAAGCGCGACCGGGCTGGCCCTTGACAGGCTTGGTGAGGTTAAGGGGCAGGACGGAGAGGACGGCTTCGGGGCCCATGGAGCGGACAGCCTTGCCGAGGACCTCGTCGGCCTGCTTTTTCTTGTGGAACGAGTCGTTGCCGCGGATTTCGCCGAGGAGCTTCGTGATGTTGAGCATGATGGGGTAGGCGCCCCACCGCAGCGAATCGTACATGGCGCCGAGCACGGTAAACGTCTCCAACCAAGCGGCCTGATACTGGACGCTAAGGAGTGCCTCGGCCTGCTTGGCCACCTTTTCGAGAATTTTTGGTCGTAGATGGAGGGCTCGAGAATCACCTGCCTCGGCACGCAGGTAGCCATGAACGACACGAGACATTCGGAGGCGGAGATGCGGATGTTTTGAGAGGAGGATTCGAGGAATTTGGCAACGGCCGCGAAGAGCTCGGGCAGCTTCTGGAAAGTCTCATCGGGTTCCACCTGGGCGGAGACATCGTAACCGCGGGAGAGGATGGCCAACCACGGGGTACGAGCTGGGTGTCATTGGGCGCCGGCTGCAGCTCGGAGATGATTTCCATGAGACGGGGCAGTTTGGACGAGGACACCTCGTCAGCCATGCCAGAGAAGATCATCTCAAAGATGTCAAAGGTCGCCATGGTCATGTGCTCGTTGCCCGACTTGGCGATGCGGAGCAATAGTTCGCAAAGCGGCTCAATCTGCTTGCTCGGCCACCCGCCGCTGGAGCTGGCAATGGCCTTGATGAGCTGGAGGGCGTGCACGAGCGCGGGATCCTGGTCGGTCGAGTTCTTGTGCTTCCTCGCCTTGGCGGCGGCCTCGGCCAAGCTCTCGAGGTGCTTCATGGCGCTGTGGGCGCACATATCGGAGGCCGGGTGGTCGAGGGAGGGGCTCGGGGGCGGGGTCTTGAGGACGTGCTTCAGGGCGTCCAACGCCCGCTTGCGGACCTTGGGCTTGGGGTTGAGAGACAGGCTCAGGAGGTCAAAGACGGCCATGCGCGGCCCGACCTGGGAGACGGAGAGCTCCCAGGCGGCCGAGTCCTGGGCGAGGAGGAGGGACTCGAGGCAGCCGATGGAGGAGCGGAGGAGAATGGCCTCGGCATCTTTGCGTTGGAGGAGGGGGCGAGGATTGTGAGGATCTGGGTGAACTTGGCTCGGAGAAGGGGCTGGGGGCGTGGGGTGTGACGACGTCGAGGAGGTAGACGACGGAGGTGAGGATCTCGGTGTTATTGGCATTATTGGGCTGGTTGAGGAGGGCGAGGAGGGCGGCAAAGTAGCTCGTCGCAGTCTGGGAGGTTTTTTGTTCTTTGAGGGTGGCCTCGACAGCTTCGAGGATCAAGGAGTTCTAGAAAAAAAAAAAAAAAGGTCCAAAAGTTAGCATGAAAAAGGACGATATCCAGGCTACCCAAAGCGCCGATTCCTCGCAAGACAAGAGAAAAATGGACGGGCGAACTGCTTTTTTATTACCTTTGCTGGCTTTGAAGACCAGGCGACTTGATCTTGTCAAGCTTCTCTTGTAACGTCAAGGAAGCCATTGCGAGCGTATGTGTTCGACCTGCGTTGCGCGCTCTTCTGGTCCTGAAAAGAAATGGCACAAAGAGAGGAAGAAGATTCTTTGGTATCCCAAGCCCAAAAGGCCCCTCTGCAAAGGCGGTGGGCGACAAAATCTTGTGCACCGATTTTTTTTTTTGGCCCGCCAGCGCCTTCCCACTTTTTTGCCCGTCCAAGCAGAAAAAGATTGGGAAACGAGCGAAATTTCGCACTTGGTCACAGACGTTCAGGGCCGACAGCCCGCTTGGTATTTCTTATCGCGATAAGAGCGGTGGGGCAGGAGATGGAAGTTTGGAGGGGCATTCTCCACACACATTGTCAAGGGTCAGATACTATAAACAGGGCGGGCTGAGACCAAGGTCGAGGCATATCGATCTGTCTCAATTAATTATTCCCGTTCAAGTGCAGGTCTTGTTGAAATGGTATATTAACGAAGGTTTTAAATCGAAAGCCATCTGGACAACCTCATGCATACTTTGTCGCCTTGCTAGATTCAACCACCCCCAAAAAAAGAAGAGAATAATCCAAACCCAATCCAGGGCTCATCCATCAGGTAACCTCCAATCGTGACTTCATAAGTGACTCCGTTCTCTAATATGCAAAGAAAATAAAAATCCTCCTGGAGAAAGAAGAGATAAAAACAAAAAAGTAAAGGTACAGGTGAAATGCACTACAGTTGGTTACAGTCAACCTCTTTCCATTTCCTGCTACAGGAATAGAAGCGATGACGAGAAAAGGACCCCGAAAAGCCCCAAAGTCCGTTCAAGGCACAGGAGAATCAAGTCCTAAAAGAAGAATCGTAGTAGGGAAAATGTAAAAAAAAAAAAAAGGAAAGAAAAAAAGAATCGAGATGGGAGGTCAAGGAGAACCAAAATCAGGTGATGACCAGATCAGGCGGAATCGGTGTATCCCGCCTCGTGTCCGTCCTCTCCTCTCCCTCGCTCGTCTCGCTCCGCGCAAGGCTCGCCGCCCTCGTTCTCAAAAACAGAGACTGCTGATTCGTCCGCACCAAGGGCGTCAGATCGTCAATATCCATGTCGTGGGGGTCACGGCGCGGCTGCTGCCCGGCGACAAAAGCTGCTCGAGTCCGACATGTCGACGTCGTGCGACTCGGCGCTCGAGTCCTGGCTGCACAGGCTCGGCGTCGCGTCGGGCGCGTATCCCGCGGAGGACGGGACGTAAATGGTGGGTAGGAGCTGCTGCAGCTGCAGCTGGAGCGGGGCTTCCTCCGCGACGAGCGCGCCCGGGGCCATGGCGGGCGCGGTGATGTCGACGTCATCCTTGGCCTTGGCCGCGGCTTCCGCCGCACGAAGCGCCGCGATGGCGCCGCCCACCTCCTCGTCGGGGTCGTCCTCTTGGTTATTAATGGTCCAAGCCCACTGCCGCTTCTTCTCCTTCCTCCGCCGCTTGCGGATCCCGCGGTGGCGGTGAGGGGGACGAAGTACCGAGGTTGGCCATCTTCCGCCGCATGTCCTCCAGGGGCCCCGGCGTGATGTCACCGGGCGTCCTCTCCTCGCCGCTGTAGCACGCCACGGTCTCCACGGTGGGCAGGACCTGGGGCAGGGCAGGCGACATGGGGGAGGGCGAAGCGTCCTCGGCCAAGAGGTCGACGTGGGAAAACACGTACTTGCTGTTGACGATGGTCTGCTCGATGGGGCTGTTGTAGCCCACGCGCTTGGCGGCTTTTCTTGCAGGCGCAGGGATTGCCTCCGCGGCGAAGGCGGGATACGGGCGCTGGAAGGGGGTAAGGGGAGTTTCGCAGGATGCTGTGGATGCCGCGCGGGTGGATGTAGGGCGGGGTGGTTTTGAAAAAGGGCCGGACCGGGTTTGGCGCGGGGTGGTGGGGACGGCGACGGCGATGGGGGTGGTGGCTTCGGTGCTGGCGCCGAGTCGCCGGACCATGTCGGACGGCGCAAAGGAGAAGCTGGGGGTGGTGGACTCCACCGGGCCGGCGGATAAGGGTGGCGTGTTGGTCATGGTGGAGGGGAGGATGAACTCGGGGTTGTTCATGGGTGATTTGGGGTGCGCCGTGAGGGGCGTCTCCGGGTAGGAGGGTCCATAGGGGATGAAGGGCGTCACGGTCCTCTTTGCATCTTCGGCGCCCTTGAGCCCCGTGGTCTGGATTTGAAGGGGTTGGCGCGTCTTGATGGCGGTAAGAGGTTCGGCCTGTACGGGGGTGCTCCGGTCTATCACGGTGGCGTAGACGTTGGAGAGGGTGTTGAAGGCGGTGGGGTCTTTGGGGTCGACCACGACGATTTTCCGCGAGGAGGATATCCTGGAAGGGGGAACCTGGGTCGTGTTGATCTGGAGAATAGGTCTCCTGGGTTTCGAAGGTTGAGAGGCCATGGCGACGGTGTGGTTGTGTTTTATGTGTGTGTGTAAGTTCCCTGATGGCGGCGACGTTCGGGGAACTCGCTCGTATTAATCCTTTCCTCGCCCGCTTTGGGAGCAAAAGGAAAATAGAATAAAAGGGGAATGGTTTTGTTTTGGGGGCGGTCGCGAAAAGAATTACATAGGAGGTCGCAGGAATGGGAGGCTGAGCAATGCCCCAACTAGGGCTGTGGGATCAAAAAGTGGAAGAAGGGCCACGTCCTCGATTTTGGGGGTGGGAGAGAGGCGCGGAGATCAAAGTAATTGAAGGATTTCGGTCGCCTTGGGCTTGTGGCTACGCCATATAAATCGGAGGCTCCAGGCTTGGTCAACAAGGCCAAGAAGGGGGTGATCTCGAGATCAGTCAAGTCTACTAGTATAAGAAGGGCTAAAACGAAGTAACAAAAAAGTAAAACAACCAACACAATAAAGGGCGATTAGTAGGGTTGGTGATCGGAGAAGGGGAGGGCCGAAAGAGTGTAATTAGAATGAAGAGCGGAAGGGGGCGATATGGCGGCTATTTAAGAAACAAGAGAAGAGACGGGATGATTGAAACGTTCGAAACCCCCTTTCAGTGGCCCCGAACCTGGATCTGTCACACCACACCACACACGCCCCTCCCCCAACAGATCCATTGATCAATTGATACTAGGGCGAGCCGATAATAGTAGCACGGCACCCGCAAGGAGAGGGAGATCCGCCGATCTGACTCTTGTTCGAGCACGGACGGAACAGAGACCTTGGCAATTGAGGTTCCCCGTCATCAATCTCGTCGCGGTGCGATCCAAGACACCGAACTTTGCGGGTTAAAATCGTATTATTTTTGGTGATTATTTTTTATTTAATTCATTCGCATCGTCATGATCTCAACACAGCGCGACCAGAAAGACGAGCCAAGTCACTCGATGGGAATGGGACAGGGCAGAGAGATTGGTGGGATGGGGGTGGGAAAATCCTCATCCTCATCCTCATCCCGGTCTTGGTGGCTGCTGCAAGGTGATGAGAGGGAAAGAGAGTGTGGCGTCTGACTGGCCTCAGGCGCGACCCATCTCGCACGAAGAGTTTTCTTTTGCTTGGTTTCTCCCCCTTCCTCCATTCTCCACATCTCTTTCTCTCTTCCTTTCCACCTAGAAAATTGGCTGGAGGGAGGGGTGAAAGGTGCAAGGTGAGAGGTAAAAGGTTGAAAGGAGGGGGAAAAGAGACTCTGCAAGGGTGCAGGCTGCAGTGTCCATGCTTGCCTGCAAAGCTGGGCGGTTGCTCGAATGTTGCCAGTGGTCGCGGAGACCCGAGTCTCGCTTCGAAACCTCCCAAAGGGGCCGGCGTCGGTCGCTGATTGGCTGGTGTGGGAGACCCTGGAGCCACTGGAGCCCATTCTCGACACACAAGCTCTTGCAGGGCGTATGCAAGGTGATGGAGGGTGATGGAGGCAAGCGCCAACCAAACCCCTGCCCGCCCGCAAGCGGCATGGATCGCCAGCACAGCAACCAATGATGGTCGGAGAAGGGCGGCTGTTTTAGTGTGGAATTGGCGGCTATTCTTGCCCATGGGTCCTTGTGTCTTGCTGCTAACGACTAGTGCTCACTTCTGTTCTTCTTTCCTCTCCCAAGCGTCTGCAGCACAAATGCTGGCTGACATCCATGCCTAGCGATGCCAACCAACCCCGCCCTTTACTTTGCTCCGAGGGTTTCTGGGTCTTGCCCAATATCTGGACCAACCAGTAAATGCAAAGGCGGGGAGAGAAGAGGAGGTTACACGAACGAAGAAGCAGAAGAGATGGTACATCAATTGATGTAGCGAAAGGGATGATGCAAGTAGAAAGAGGGCTGATGTTCACTCAACAGGGGAAAACACAGGGTTCAATGTTGATACCCAGCAGCAGCAACTTTTGGGGAATGGAGGCGAGAAACACATCGCCGCCCGTCGCTCTCCCTCAGAACGGGCACGGAGCCTCCGCCAAGGGGTGAAGCAAGCCCAAAGTACCGACTCACCGTGCGCTGCTCCCTCCACAATCCAAGGTCCCGGTCCTACTAGTGGTGGGAAGTAAATGGGCCCTGGTCATCTTGGCTCGGCCAAGTTTGCGGAGAGGACCGGTGCCTTGGTATAATGTATGTGCAAGTTCAACCACCACCCACAACCCACCAACTTTCCCACCCCGCCCCAAAAGAGGGATAGCCAGATATTGACAAGCGTCCCCAACTATTGGCAACCTGCAGGACCAACTTCGATCCTGGATCAAAAGAGGGTTGGTTGGGTTGGGCCTCGGGACGGGGGAGAAGAAGAAGAAGAAGCGGTCAAAATTCGCGTCAATGGCGGCTCCTCGCCCTTGCGCGGCTGCGCTGCGCCTGAGGGAGGCCGGGTCCCCGGAAGAATGGAAAGAGGGCATTCCAGCGAGTTTGTTTTTTCTTTCCTGTTTTTCTGTGAGCCGGCAATCCTGGAGGACGTGGGTCGGGGCCCTGTTGAGCCCTTGCTCGCTTGTTCGCTTATTCGTTTGTTAGCCTTCCTTGGCTTGCATCCGTCGAGGTTTTTGGCCAGCGGAACGAAGAACAAAACCTAACCTGCCACGGGCTTTCTCGAACACACCCGCGACGCCTCACTTCCTGTTGTTTTTTCTCCCTCGTTTCTTGTTTCCTTCCATGGTGGTTCAGCGCGGCGCCCCCGTTCCCGCCTCCGCCTCCTAAAACATTCCTCAATGTTTATCACGGCACGAAGAGAGAGAAGGGGGTACGAAAGGTCGATCACCCCGTCAGAGGAGGGGTGGGCGGGTGGGTTGCTCGGTGCCGGGCGCCGGGGGCACCAGACTACGATCAAGTGTGTGTGTTTTCCTGAAAGTCCAGGGTTAGAAATCCTTCCAACCGGATCCCTCGACTTCCCCTCTTCTCTAGCGCGAGTGAATCGGCTTCTGATATTGACATCGTAATGCGAGGTACCGTCCGAGCCATGTGAGTGACCCAAACAACTGTGACGTGGGTTGGGGGAGAAAATGCGCTGAGGGGAGGTGGTGAGGGCAGAGGTGGTGACTACCTCGGTAGAGGGCTCCCTCTTACACGCACCCAGTCCCTCATTTTCCCACGTCTCATCACATCTCGACAAAAACAACACATCGCGCTTCCGGGCATGATTAAAACTCGCCAGGCTGGAGTGCACGAGCACACACGTAGAACCGATGCGAGTTTCCCTTGTTCACCAATTGCCTCCGTGAACCTGCCTGAAAGTTCAGCTACGCATCTTCAATGCGCGACTAGCAATGTTGTGTCACCATTCCCGCCTCCTCTCTTCCGCCGCCCAAGGTTGCCACGACAAGCCTCCAAGCCGTCTACCAGTAATACCAGGCTCAGCGTTTTTGATTCCGCGCCTTCCTCCCCTCGTGACTACCCCGGGGATGCCGCATGTTCAGTTTCTTTTTTGGGGGTTTTTGTGTGTCTACTAGTAAGCCCATTTTGCGGCCGCGAGAACCAAGGCGGCGGTGTCGGTCCTGACGGATGCATATCATTGATCCTGATGGACAGTGGCTTTTTTCCTTCTACTTGTTTTTCTACGTCCTTCTATTTCCCAACCGGTCTCGCTGTTCGGGCCTCCTCGCGCCAGGTGTGTGGTGGGCCAAAAGACCCCGATCTGGAGACTTCCATGTATTCCCGCGAGAATAGCGTAGAAAGCAGACCGGGGGTTTACGTTTTCTTTGGAAATCCAGTGGCGGGCCTGACTTGGTGCGAGTGCATTAGCCGACAAAGGAGACCTTGACAAGGACGGAAGAGAGGAGAGTGAATGACCCCAACACAGACGCAGCACAACCGACGGCTTGGTTCAGCTTCGATCGATCCATGTGGATGGGATGGGCACTTGGTTCGAAACCATGTGTAGTGCCTAATACCGAGGTAGTGGACGTCTGTACTTGTCCTCTCGACAGCATGCGTCCATCCCATGTCTTTCAGCCATTGTCCAACTCCATTCGAGCGGAGATGCCGGCTTTGTCGATCATTTCCCTAGAATGTTGTGAATAGGTGGCGCTGGTCCGCATTCAGCCCTCTTTTGCCAAGAGCACAGTCGCCGTGTTAGACGCGTCCGCGAATTTGTAATTTTCCTCTTCTTTAAATCCAAGGCCAAGACTTTTGTCGCGATAAAGGTTGCAACATTTTTCAGGTTATAACCAGTTAGAAAGATCCAGCAGATTGGATGCGACGTAGGCGATGGTCGGATTGGAAGCCAGCGAGGCGGGAGATGTGCGCTGCGTGAATGTGCAACCCCAGATCTTGAGGGTGGCAGCCCGCGGTGGACGGCCAGGCCCATTCAGGTTTGGCAACGGACCCTACGACTAGACGTGACCCCACCGTTCGGGCCAGGCTGAGCTAGCCAGCAGCGTCCATGACCGCTGAGCATCCTAGATCCCTTGATCCATAGATCCATCCACGGATCCATTGGATCCATCAGACCGGGCTCAATCCCATAATCCTCTCTGTGAATGGACCACTCGTTTGGGTTTCCAAAGCCGGAACCCGTGCTACCAGCTAATCGGATCGAGTAGCGGAATGCTGGCAAACGCTGCATCAACTAATTGGTAGCACTTGAGCTCCCTTAATGGGAGCCTTTTTACACTGTTCCGCACTCGCACCCACACACACACACTCGCCGTGAATTGATCCAATTCCACCCTCACGCAGTCCCCGTCCCCGACGGCTTTCCGCATGGATCCTCCGCCACCAAGGGTCCCCAAAAGAAAGGATGACCGGGTCATCCTCCAATTCGTACGTTTTGCCCAACGCATTCTTTTTTTCTCTCTCTCTCCCTTGGCTCCGCCTGCATTCCTCGGGTCGTCTCTCGTCACCACTCCCTTAGGCGTGCATGCCTACCTGTTCACACACCCCCAGCTGATTCACGATTCGCTTCCCGCGAGCGGAGACTATAGGACTATGACTGCTTTTACGCATCCGTGTTCGAGAACCAGAACCCTGCTCTCAAGTCCCTCCCCGTAGGAGTCAAGCAAAAGGGGATCCTCGCAACGTGCAATTACGTCGCCCGCGCCCGCGGCGTGGGGAAGCTGTCGCAAATCTCCGTCGCCAAGAAGGCGTGCCCCGAGCTAGTCATCATCGATGGCGAGGACCTCACCCCTTTCGGGACATGAGCAAGAGGCTTCACGCCATGCTCAAGTCTCATTCTTGGAACGGAAAGGTTGAGAAGCTGGGCCTCGATGAGGTTTTTATGGGTATGTGTGAACTTGTGTCTATGGAGGATGATATCTCCTTCTTTCGTAATTTGCTTTTTTTTTTAGCTTGACGCGGCCACTTACACGATGATATCGGTATGTAGACGTCACCGACATCATCAACTACAACCTCTTTTGCCTTAATAAAAGCTCCCTACCCTCCACCTTTTTCCACTTATCCAAAACCAACCCCGAGCACGGCTTCCCCTGCGACCTCACCCGCTTCGCCGGCTGCGTGGAGCGCTTTTCCGACGAAGCCCTCGACATGGAGAACCCCGTGTGCGTGAGGCTCCTGCTCGGCTCCCACCTAGCGCACTACCTCCGGACCAAGCTCGAGAGCGACTTTGGCTTCACCTCCACCTGCGGCATCTCCACCAACAAGATCCTCAGCAAACTCTCCGGCGCCAGGAACAAGCCCAGGAACCAAACCACCCTCCTCGCGCTCACGGACCGAGACTACGCCGCGTTCATGGACAAGCATGGCCTCCGCCAAGTCCCCTACATCGGCTCCAAGACCTGCAAGTCTCTCGTCGCCAAGATCCGGCCCGACCTACCCCCGCCCGACGCCCACACCCACGACTGTCCCATCACCGTCGCCGACGTCCGCGCCTACCCGGGCATGTCGCCCGCCCTCCTCGAGAGCATCCTCGGCGGGCCTGGCGCGGAGAGAGGGACGGGCGACAAGGTGTGGGCTCTCCTGCACGGGATCGACGACACCGACGTCAAAGCCGCGGGCGACGTCCCCACCCAGATCAGCATCGAGGACACGTACAGGGAGCCGCTGGAGGACCTCGACGTCATCACCAAGGAACTCTACAAGATTTCCCAGTCCCTGCTGCGCCGCATGCGCGTCGACCTCGTCGCCGAGGATCCCAACCCCCACAGGCCCTCGGCGCAGAGGTGGATCGCCCGCCCAAGGGTCCTGCGCCTCTCCATCAACGCACCCATAAGTGCGGACCAGTCCTACTTTTCCCGCACTTCGGTCGGGGCCCCTCCCCGGTTTCGTCTTTGCGCTGGAGGAGGACTTGCGTGACTTGGCACAGAGGCTTGTGAGCGAGGCGGTTTTGCCGCTGCTGCGGAAATTTGCATCGGGCAAGGATCACAAATGGGGCATTTACCTGCTCAACGTCTGCGTCACGAATATGGCTCTGACGGGGAGTGACAGCGGCGTCGGGGCGGGAAGAGATATATCCGTCATGTTCAAGACGCAAGACGAAGTTCTGCGCCCGTTTCGTCCAGACCTCGCCTCGTGGCGCAAAGAGGAGGTTTGCCGCGAGGGAGGAAGAAATTGACGAGACGGAGGATGACGACGAAGAGGAAGATGAGGGTAGTGACTGCGAGAGTGAGGCTGATGGGTGGATTTCGCCGGGAGATGACTTTGGTGGTGGTGGTGGGGAGAGATGTCCCCAGTGCGGATATACGTTTCCTTTGTTTGCGCTTGCGGCGCACTTACGATACCATGAATTAGGAGACTAGCGATGATGATAGCGCGTGAATAGAAAAAGAACATAGTCATGTTTTTGGTACAGGATATATGGATGAATGCTACAGTCCGTGTCGTACGCCGCTCGATGAACATTGCGAATAAGTTGAAGAGAGAGGGTCAAGGGAGAAGGCAACGGGAGGTACGCCGCCCCCTTTCTACTGTATGGCCCATCCTTATCTGGATTGCCTCAGATTGCGGGACCCAAGCTGCCCCGTCGTAAGAAACCCCCGATTACCCATCTCCCCCTCCACCCGATGCTCAGAGTGCCAAAGGCCGTTCTCCCCTCGCCATCTTCCGATACCTTGGCGCCCGTCTTCTCTTTCACGATGAAGCAGATCTGCTCCACCTCAGTCGGGTGCAGAATCGGCCGCGGCGTGCCGTCGATGCCCCAGTTGCAGTCGCTGTACTCGAGCTCGTCCCGTAGATCCAGCAGGACGTTTTCCAGCTGGAGCACGTCCTCGCTGCAGTTCTCCAGCTGCGCCTCCAGGACCCACCGCCGCCCACCGCCGCCCTCGTCGACCGCTCGCCGCCGGAGAGGCCCGGCCTTGGTGCGGACAATCATGGAGGACTTGCATATGAACTGGTACAGCTTGCGAAATGTCCTCGTGCGCCCGCTGAGCTCCGTGGCTTCGTAGTAGCTCACCGTCACGGCGAGGACGTGGTTCCCTTCTTCCTTGAGGTCGAACGAGACAATCTTTTGCAGCGTCTCGCCGGACTCGAGATCCACGCCCTTGGCGGTGCCACCGCGGCCGCCGTCGTTGTCGGGTGCCGGGGAGGCGGGGAGGAGGTCGAGCTTCGTGACGGCGGAGCTGGCGCCGGGGTCTTCATCTCGGCTTCGATGCGGACATCGCGTATGCGCTTGGGGGCGAGGATGCGCCCGCGGGGTCGGAGGAAGTGGTGGTGGTGGTGGCGGCCTCGAGATCGTTGTTGGCGCAGAGGGTGCAGCTAAAGGTTTCGCCGACAAAGGCGGAGCCAAAGGAGAGCGGGAGGCTGACGGCGGGGGTGAGGAGGAAAGGGTCCGGGTTGGTGGAGGAGCGCGCGTACGCGAGGGAGGGTTCGGCGGAGGATGTTTGGGTTGTCGATGGCGTCGTGTTTGGGGTCGCGGTGGGGGTTGGACGGGGTATTGGACGACGAGGGAGGGTCGGGAGAGCCTGGGGATGAGGGGCGCGCGGGGAGCGTGGTTCTCCCGGTTAGCTTTTCGGAACTCGGTCAGGCTGTGGGTGTGGCGCCCGAGATAGGTGCATCGCTTCTTTTTTGGGTTGATTTTCTTTGAGGCGGGGGCTCATCTCAAGCTCACCTTAGGACTTTGAGAGATATGGAGTGTGGCTCTTTATCGGGTCGTGCGAGGGATACCGTTGGTGGCTCATTTTTCCCGAGGGACGATGGGGCTGAGAACCCGAAAACAAAACGATGTTTTTGGCAAGAGTCGGCTATCGCAATGCTTGTGGTGGTGATTGTGGTCGTGGTCGTGGAGGTAAGGTGCATGCGGTGGTGATATGACGATGTTGATGTTCCTGTGCTGCAAGCTCCTGCCTCTCGACAAATAGAGGGGCTCTTCCACTCCACGGCGGTTGGCCCTGCGGGGCTAAAGTGCGTACACTACTTTTGCTTGGTGAGCTGTGCCCCAGGTTCGCAGTCTGGCTCCTTGGGGGCTCGTGCTATTTTTGGTGTGCCGACCCCGGCACTCGATCTTCATGTTTGATCTGAGGACTGCATCCCCTTTCCCCTTCTGGTCCTTCTGCATCTTGGGATCCTCGTAAAGGTTCTAGAAGAGGGTATTTTTTTACGGATGGTGGGAGGAATGGATTGATTCAAGGAAGTGTTTCCTCTCAATTCATTGTTGGGGTTTATGGTGTCATCCTCCGAAAAGGTCTCGCTCTCGTCAGACTCGAGAAGCTCGTTCACGATTCACATTGCTTTTTTGAGATAAGGAAGAAGAGACGATTCGAGATTACATACAGCGTCTGATTCATAAATAACCGCTCGTTCAACAGATAAGAGTCTAGAACACTACGAGGGTAGCTCGCCTCGCCAATTGAGGAGGCGTGAAATTGTAGGGTCACTCATACGTTGAGATTGATTGGGTGCAGCTACGTGTAACCCACGCGCACGACGCAGCCCTCTTGATCAATTGATCGACGAAATTTCCCTAGGAAGGCACTCTATGCTGTACTGTATGATGTCTACAAACACTACATGTACAGGGTGAGGCCTTTTTCCTTCTTCTCCATCTCTAGTGGTTTTGCTGACAGGGACAAACAGCCACAAGAATACATGTACACGGGAACGTAGCAACATAGATATGGCCAGACACGGAGACCGAGGAGACGCAAAGGAAAAAAGCAATTGACTTGATTCCATAACGCCTAGGATACCCCAACCCCTCTAGGAACACCAGAGGCCGTTGATTCCTCTCCCAGTAGGATGGTTCAGACTTGGCTAATCGAATTTCACTAATATGACAAAACTACATATTTAACCAGGGGAAGCTGGCTAGCATCGACAATCTCGTCCAACTCCTTGTGCACGGCATCCTCGGTAGGGTCGAGGAGAGGCGACCTGGGCAGGGCCATGAGACCGGTGCGGGCCGACTCGAGGAGACCGAAGGGGGTAATCAGCTTCAAGAAGGAGTCGATACGGTTGGGCTTGGCGGAACTATGCAGATTTGGTTAGCATTGATAGACTGGATATAGTTCTGCTGAGGGGCATGCCGAGGGGGTTCAAGAAAAAAAGAAACAAACTCACACTTCAACGATGCAGCTGTTAGTGCTGATGTCGAGGACCTTGCCGCCAAACTGGTGAGCAAAGTACGTAATGGACTTGAGATGTTCGTGCTTGTGGCGGAGAGCCTCGCTCATGGCGAGCCGGCTGGGGTGGAAGTCCTTGGCCATCTGCTCAATGGAGACGTGGGCATCGTCGGAGGCGGGCTCGATGGCGGAGATCTCGCGGTGGTGAGCGAGAAGCTCCTCAAAGTACTCGGGTCCAAGGATGTTGACCTTGGCGAGGAGGAGCTCCTCTGTACGAGGGCGGTACCGGTGTAGTCGAGGACGGCCCAGACGGGGACCAGGTCCTCGAGCTGCCTCCTGGCCTGCTCAATGACACCTTCGTGGCCCTGGAGGACAATGGTCATGCGGGAAAGGTCCTCGACCTCGGTGCTGCAGACGACGAGGGAATCGATGTTGAAGCCTCGGGCGGCGAGGATACCGGACACGCGGGACAGGACACCGGGCTCGTTCGCTACGAGACAGTTGAGGATGTGACGCTTGGGGGAGCGGTCGAGGGTAGCGGGGTCTCGTAGAGAATGTTGGAAACGGCGGCCTGGGCGGTCCAATTGGGCGTCTCCGCGATGGGGAGAGGTCCGGATCGACGGCGGAGGGCCTTGTAGGCGAGGGCGGCGGTGGAGGAAGAGCCGTGGCGAACCTGGGTCGCAACGGGGCCTGGGTGGCCGCCCGCATGAGCGAGGTGGTCAAGAGGCGGCGAGACGCCATTTTGCTGACCGGGCCGAGGGACAAGAAGAACCTAGAATAAGTTCTCTATTGTGTTGGATATGTCCGATTAGAAAATGTAGGGAGCCTCGCGGCTGACTGTAGATGATTTCCCATGATTTCCGGGACCCAATGGCTCCTAGAAAAGATATGGGGGAGGGGGTGGTGGTGAGGAAAAGGAAGACTTGACTCACCGTTTTCTCTTGGTTGCGGTGTTGGGGAAATTTTGCCGGGGAAGGCTCCTCGCTTTCCCTTTTTTTCTCGTTATCGGTGTCTCTTGTCCGTTCCTCGGGTTTGGAGCTTTGCCATAGGCGGTTTGGTGCGGTCACCGGACCACCCACGCACGCCCCAGGCCCGGAAAATTACCTGGGACCCCCAGGTGCTGCTGCGAAACCGCCTCAGGGCTCTTTCTCTTTGTAAGTTGGAGACCGAACAATCAGCCGAGGAACAACCACCATTCTTTTGCTAAATCAATTGGTGGTTCGCTGAGAAGCACTGTGCGAACGTCGACGATTCACGGCTGTGTGGGTGCAGTGCGGTGTGCTACAGTGGGTTGTACCAGCCATTCCCTCACTATTCTACGCTAAGCCGAGCATGAATCGGGTCTGAGGCCTGCCAATCGTCCCTGGTCCAAGCGCAGCCCAAGTTTCGGCTTTGATTTGCATGGGGAAGGATTTGCCTGGGGAAAGCGATCGATGCCTTTTGAGAAACTCAAAAAAGGAGCACCCTTGGTTCCATCTTGCATCGTCCCATGCACACGAAAAAAGTGAGGTGCCCGGAGACGTAAACCCCAACACGAAGGGAACTTGATCTTTCAGTTCCGATCATTCATCTCTTTCATCTTCTACCGACCATCCGCAGAACCCCGCCACTCATCAACCCTTCGCACGCGACCTTTTTCTCACTCCTTCGCCCGAACCATGGATGATTCCGAGAGACGAACAGTGAAACGGTCTCGTTTCGACCAGACAGAGGCGGAGCCGAGACGCCCGTCTCGCTTTGACCGCCGCTCCCGATCTCCTCCGTCTAGGCGCTCCGAAGCGCCCCGAGAGCGCAGTCCTGTTGCGCGTCCCGACGACGATGCGAAAAAGCCTGGCGTAGATCCCGCTGCCGCCGCTGGTATGCCATCGTCCCTAGCTCGCTCCTGCCCCTCCACCTACCCCTCCCCTCTTCCATCATGGTCGCGCGCTAACCTCTGAACGCGCTACAGCTGCTGCCGCCGCGAGAATCAATGCTCAACTACAGGCGAAACGGGGAATTCAGCACGTCGACGTGCCCCCAATCAAATCCGCGTCTGGCGACGATGACGGGCCCGCTCCTCCCCTCGGCAAAACCAAAGAAGGCGGTGTCATCGGCGGAGATATGTATGTAGCCGACGGCGACTACATCAAGGATATCGAGGTCAATGATTTGCGCAACAAGTATCTCATCACGCGAAGCGCGACGCTCCGAGAGATTAACGAGCGGACCGGTGCTGGTACAAGGACTCACGACCCCAGCGCGTACTTCATGTTGCTAACGTTGCTCTAGATGTCACCACCCGCGGAAAATATCTGCCGGACAAGTCGATGGCCACTCCTACGGTACGGCGCCTCTCACAACGTTGCTAGCCATTCATGGCCTCCGCTAACTATTAGACCAGAATCCCCCACTGTACCTACATGTTACCAGCACCTCGAAGGAGGGCCTTGAGAAGGCTGTGGCCATGATCGAGGAATTGATACACCAAGAACTACCCAACCTGGTCGACGAGCGCCGTCTGCGTAGGCGTGATCAAGAAACCGTCGAGCGCGACGAGTATGGAAGGGTATACACCGGCCTCCTCAACCCATTCCCTATACCCGTCTGGCCCATGCGCGTGCTGACTTGAACTAGCGTAAATGGCCCGAGGAAAGATTCCCATCGACCTCGACCCTCTCCCTGGCTTCAACCTTCGTGCCCAGGTGGTTGGTCAAGGTGGCGCCTACGTGAAGCATATCCAGCACGAGACCGGTTGCCGTGTCCAGATCAAGGGCCGCGGCTCCGGATTCCTCGAGCAGGCGACCAACCGCGAAAGCGAGGAGGAGATGTTTCTACATGTAACGTAAGCCTATCATTTCTTTTGCCCGGCTTCCACTTACTCCCCTTACTCTCTTCTCATGCTCCTGTTGCTCACGTGTCGTGACTCTCGGTATATAGTGGCCGCGAGATCGAAATGGTCCAGAAAGCTAAGGAACTGTGTGAGGATTTGATTGACAATGTCAAGCAGCAGTACGAGGAGTTCAAGAGCCGACCTCCCCGCGCGTATGGTGGTGGTGGTGGTGGCGGCGGCGGCGGCGGCGGTGGTGGTGGCCACCGTGGAGGCTATGGCGACCATGGCGGACACTCTCGTGGCGGTGACTCTTACCAAGGCTATGGCCGGAATAACAGTTACGGTAACAACAGCCACAGTAACAACCACGGTGGCCATGGCGGCGGCCATAACAGCCACCACGAACCCAGGTCGGCGAGCCCGAATACTCCGACCGCGTCTGCAGCGCCTGCTGCTTCCGCGGCGGATTATGCTGCGCAATACGCTCAGTACTATGGCGGCCAAGATCCTTATGCAGCATATGGAGGCTACGCAGCGTACGTATCCATCGGCCCGTTCCTTCTTCGACTCGAGTTCAAGTGCTAATTCGAGGTATAGCTATGTTCAATATTACCAACAATACTATGCTGCAGCTCAAGCTCAGGCACAACAGCAAGGTTCTCCCGCACCGGGAGCTGGAGCCCCCCTCCACCACCTGCAGACTCACCACCACCTCCTCCTCCTCCTAGCAGCGCGGCACCTCCCCCTCCCCGCCGGGATCCGCACCCCCTCCTCCTGGTGTTTCCGGCGGGTACAGCTCGGTAAGATGATGGATCCATGGATAGTGTTTTATTCAAGGAGGTTCACGGCTGACGACGCGTTTAGGTCCCACCTCCCCTGGGCTGTGATGAGGTAGTATTGTAGAAAACTGGGATATTCTTTTTGGCCTGTATGGCATCACAACTGACCTCCATCAGCACTGTTTTAAAGTTAGTTCTTACAGGAGATTTTTTTCTTTTTCGTTTTCGTTTCGAGCGGTTAGGAACCAAGACGTTCCTTTCGTGCGCAGGTAATAAAAGTTGATAACATGCGTGGGCTGAAACACACAATTAGCACAGGTCTTCAGGGACTCTGAAATGTCTTCTCTCCTTCTTTAGAAATTTCCGTTAGGAAACTAACTACCCTCAATCTCTCTCGCCCTCTCTATGGCGTTTACGGCCCGGTCCATCCCAAGGAAATGGCGATGGATCTGCGGTAGCAAGGTTTGGTTCAAACTTGATACCTTTTTCTAAAGGCCTACTGAATGCTTGCTTCAGGCGTCGACGTGGCTGCTGCTAAACACAGTATCCATCCGGCTCTCTTCCCCCTAGACTGATGACTGGGCCCCGCTCGAGCTGCTTTTGGCGACGATACCGATGCCGATGCCGATCCTGGTACGAGATTCTTGTCCAGCTGCTGCTGTTGCCTCCCCGTTGTCTGTTTTTAAACCCCGTTTTGAACTTTTGTACATGCTAGTAACCGGGGCCATGATTGCAGCCTTGGCCCCTCTCTAACCCAACCCTCAGGAACGCAGCTGAAACCTTTTCTCTCTTCTTGTCCTTAATCCGGCTTTTCCCTGAACCAAATACCTTTGACGTAGCTGACTCTCAAGGCCATATGATTCTCATGATAGCAAGCATACCCGGGCCCTCTGTATCCTCGTAGTTGCCACCACGCGTGCGGTATGGGGCCTGACAAACTCCAAACTCGTTTCCCTCGTTGTGGCAGACGGGGATGGCGCTCAAATTGAAGAGGAAATCACATAGGTGTTGCTACTAAAACAGGGCTTCCCGCTTGCTTTGCGCAATTGGAGGGGAGCAGATGCCGAGCTTGTACCTAGTCGGTGCTCATGTATGGCGGATGAGGCTTCATGTCGCAACGCATACAATGCGGTCGTTTTTGGCCAACCGGCGGCGACTGAGAAGGCGCTGACTCTGATGATTGAGTTTGCTCACTCTGAGTTGGCTCACGCGAGCCGTTTAAGACTCGAGTGACGCGCTTATCTCTACTACTTCTGCCTTGTTATTTGGGGCACTTGCTTATACACTCAGGGATGAGTTTGCTATACTATTGTTGCTATCCAGTTTTTGACGGGTTGCTAACGAACCACTGACGAATACTAATTCAACATACAAAAGCCAAGTAAGGAAAAAAAAATGAAGCTGGAATGGTAGAGTTGAAGGATCATCGCCATGACGGTAGCAGCCGAGGAAGTTCACCTTGCACACTGAGATCAAGAGCATATTAGGATTAGTACCAAGCTATTAGATCCTAATCATTAGCCCTTTCATCTCTGAGATCCTTCCTTTTTCTTCCTGATTTTTCCAAGACTACTGATGCTTTCCGCCATCCCTCCCGTGGCCTGTCTCGATTTAGTTTATACAGTAAGAATAACCAGCCATCTATCAATTGGACGTTTGTTGAGAGTATCGTGCTGAGCTGGCTGGCTGGTGCCTTGGCTTGGCGAAGCCTTGAACTTCAAGGTTGCTGCGAGCCTGTCTGCAAGTACCAGGGGGTGCGACAGGCCCCGGAGCTCCCAAGGGGAAAGTAACTCGAAGCTAAGCCGAAAGTACTTTGTCATGGAGCAAGGTGACCAATCATGTGGGCGGTATCCCCACATGACCAGGCGATCCACGTGACTTACGTGATCCACTGCACCTGAGGTCCTGGTAAGAGTGACTCCAACAACCAAGGCCCTCCAGTAGCGACTTCAAGCCAAGGCCAACCAACAATAGGTACCTCCAGGCACGTCACCTCCACAGGAGTTAGAGTTGTCAGAGCCCGAAGCAGTGGGTGCCGATCCAATCTGCGTCCCGCCCTTCCCATTGCACTCACTCGATTGCCCTTCCCGCCTTTACCTATTACATCAGGATTCCGACACCCGCTTCGTGACCACTTCTCCCTCTCTTTCCCCCATTCTACTGCCAACAATCCCATTATTCCAAAGCTCAAAGAGGGAGGGGATCAGTTGAAGCTTTTACAACTACCGTTGATCATTCAAATCAATCTCTCTCTATTATTCCAAATCGACTTTGTATTTCCCGACGCGGGCAGCGTTTCAAGCGTCCCTCTTCGTCATCCCGAAACTCCCGCCACCCACCCACCGCCCGACCATGTCGAGCGACGGAGAATCCACCTCGTCGACGCGGGCGGCGTCGAGAAAGGCAAAGCGAAAGCCACGAAACAAGACCTCCACAACGACTCGTCCGAGGCCACACCACTCCTCTCCGGGTCCGCGTCGGCGACCCGCTACGACGGAGAACAGCAGGACGACAGCGACGACCGCGACGCCGCCTCCGACAATGAGGACGCCGCGTCCCACCACAGCGCCAGCCCGCCGTCTTCCGTACGGTCGACCAAGGGCTCCGGCGGCGTCGGCTGGCCCTCGCTCGTGGCCGGCCTCACGCTCATGACGCTGACCGTCGTCATCATGCTGGTGGCCTTCTTCGTCCCCGCCGCGGTGGAGGAGTACGCCAAGCAGGCGGCCGTGCTCGAGCCCACCAACCTCTCCCTCGAGGCGCTCACGGCGGACGGCGTGCGCGTGAGGGTGCAGGCCGACTTCCAGCTCGACGGGTCCCGGGTGCGGGAGGAGAATACGCGCCGCATCGGCCGGGTGGCGACGTGGCTTGTCGGCTCCCTCACCACGGAGGAGACGCGCGTGGCCGTCTACCTCCCCGAGTACGACAACATCTTGTTGGGCACCGCGGCGCTGCCCCCGCTGACGGTGCACATCGCCGACGGTTACACTACCTCGATCGACATGGTTGCCGAGCTGGCTCCCGGCGACACCGACGGCATCCGCTCGGTAGCCAACCAGTGGCTGGAGGAAAGCTGGACAGGGTTAGGCTGCTAGGGAAGGTCGATGTCTCGCTCAAGGCCGGGGTGATCCCTCTAGGGACGCACTCCCTCGCGGAGTCCCTCTCTGTTGAAGGTCAATCTCTCTATCGTTCCTTTGCGTCTTTGTATTTTGGGGAAAAGGCCTTGTTTTGATTTTCCGCCAGTGCGGTCGTCTTTCGTTCCATTCTTGTCTTACTAGGGGTGCTTGTCTTTTTTCTTCCTTCTTCATGACTTCTTCCTTCTCTTCTCCTTGTTGTTTTCCCACTGTTTTTTATCCTTTTCTTCTTCTCTTTTCCTGTCTTAGCCAAAAGCAATTCGATTCTTTTCTTTTCTTGTGCTAATACCTGCCTTTTAGCCAACCAACTGCCAACTCTACCAGCGTATAACATTTCCCAACTGAGTTTCTACGATATTCCGGGTACGAACCGGGCCGTAGGCGCCAATGTCACCATCACGTCGTATAATAAATACCCGGTCGACCTCGTGGTACCGGAGCTGGGTTTCGATGTTCTTGTGCCTAACTGCGATGAGACGGAGCCCCTCATTCCCGTAGCCGTGGCCATCTCAGAGCCCGTGCCTGTGCACGCCAAGTCCGCTGTCGAGGTCACCATTCACAGCGCTGTTGAGAGGCTCCCGGATGACCTAGTCCGCACATGCCCAGGCACAGGCTCGTCCCCTCTCGATGACTTTGTCCGTCGCTACCTTGACGGGAAGCCAGCCGACGTCGTTGTCAGGGGCAGGAAGCTCCCCAGCTCTAGCACGCCGGCCTGGGTTGGCGAGATATTGTCGAGCATTGCCGTTCCAGTTCCCTTCCCTAGTCGTTCCTTTGACGACCCGATCAAGGAGTTTTCCTCACCGACGTGGACTTCCAGCTCCCGGATCCCTTGGCCGATCCGGATGACGAGGACTCGGATCCCACGGTCTCAGGAACCATTCGTGTGGTGGTGGCGCTTCCCAAGGAGCTCAACGTGGACATCGACGTCTCGAACCTCAAGGCGACGGCTGACGTGTTTTACAAGAAGCGGCCGTTTGGAACGCTAAAGATTGAGGACTGGCAGCGGGCGAACTCGACAAAGCTCAATGATCCAGCGAGCGGAGAGACGACGCTGGAGGTCAACTCGCGGGTGGAGGACGTGCCTCTCCACATCACCGACTCGGCCGTCTTCACTCAGGTTATGCAAGCGTTAATCTTTGGCAACCGGGACGTGATGCTCGACGTCAAGGCTCTGGTGGACATCAAGGTGGATACGGCGCTCGGCGAGCTGGTGCTCAACAAGGTCCCGACCAAGGGAAACATACCAGTAAAACGTCCGTCCATGTTCCACTAACCCCCTTCGTTTAATGCCTCGGCGAGTACCGAAGACCTCGTGGATTGTCCAGTTTGGCGCTGAGGTATATATATCTTGGCTTTTCCCCATTCCCCCTCTCTCCACGAGGTTCGCGCCCAGGACTTGTAAAACGAGAACAACCAAAAAAAAAGGCTAACTCGTGCTTCTCTTTTTTCCTCGTTCGCCCGATTCTACAGACCTTCCTAGGGACTCGATCGATGGACTCCAACCTACGGTCAGCGCGGTCAGGGTGCTGAAGACGACCAAGTCGGCGATACACATCGAGGCGCGGGTCAACGTGACGAACCCGACGCCGTACTCTGCCACGGTCCCTTACTTTACGATTTACGTGATGAAGAATGGCTCGGTCATTGGCGACGCAACCATTCGAGGCGCCCGGATCGTGCCGGGCAAGAACGAGAACTTGCTCGTGTCTGCAGTGTGAGCCCTCGCGGGAAGGCGAGGAGGGGAGGGCGATTGGGGTGGAGCTGATCTCCAAGTACATCTCGGGACACAACATTACGATTGCCGCCAAAGCGCACCGTGGTAGCATACCCGCGGCGCCGGCCATTGGCGAGGCGCTCTCCGGGCTCGACATCGAGGTATCGGCGCCGCACCTAAACCTGCCCTCGGACGACCCTGATGACAAGGGCCGATTCATCCGGGACGCGACCTTCCACGTGTTCTCGTCGACGGCGACGTTTACGCTGGTGTCTCCGTTTGAGTACAATACGCTGCTCCTCGAGTGGGTCAACGCGACGGCATACTACAACCACACGGAGCCGGTGGGTCGCATCGAGTACGACGAGGCGTTTGCGGTGCCCCCGGGTTGACCAAGACGCCGCGGCTTCCGGTGGAATGGTCGGTGGGCTCGGTGGGGTACGATGCTGTCAAGCGGGCGCTCGGGGCTCGCTCAAGTTGGATGCCGAGGCGGATGTGACGGTCCGGCTGGGTCAGTACCGGGAGACGGTGTGGTATGTGGGCGAGGGTATTGGGGCGTCGATACGGCCGTGAAGATGAGGCGCATTGTCTGGTGATGGGGCTGTACACTAACGGGAGGTGTTTCCTTGACCCTGTCATCTCTCGTCACTCTTTTGGGGCTTTTCATATCATTCTGGGGAGTTTTTTTCTTTGGCTCTTTCTTTTTTTCTCAATACGGGATTTTACAGCGTTGGAGTCTGGGGCTTTATCGCGCTTCGAAGACGGCTATATCGGAGTATGGAGACTACACATTAGACAGAACGTCGTCTGGATACCAGGGGTTCTTTCACTTCTACCTTTCCTTTGTTACGGTTTGTATACAGATACAGATACATACACACACCCGGGTATTTTATATGGCCAGGAGGGAAATAAGATTTATACATATCAGATCAGTGACCCGGTGCCCGCCACGCTTTTCGAAGATATCTTCTTGACCACTCTTTCACAAACTATTTGATTTCCGGAGACGGTATGTGATTACCTAAGCGCACTTGCCTCGGGATTTGGCCTCAAAAGCCAGTTCCGTGACAGTTCTCCACTCTCCGTGTTTTCGCCGGGGAGGAAAAGAAGGCAATTGCTCGCTGTCCTCGTGGAAGAATTGATACTTTTCGAATTTGTCCGGGTCAGCGAATCGGGGTTGTGCGTTTTCCTTTTGCGCTGAACGTCGAACTCTACGGAGAAGCGCACGGAGGGCGAAGAAAGAGGAGTATCAATATATATCACGCGTCTGTCGACTTATAAGCTGTCGGCACCCCCGGACTTTTCCCACCCTTTCACAACCTCCACCTTGACGAATTCTTGCAGCGCCTTTCTTCATCCTTTTATTATTATATCTAATAACCAACGTTAGAAGGCTTTGTTCATCTTGGCTGGTGGCTAAACTCCATCTCCAAAGAATCGAGAACAGTGTTTGGCTCCTTGCTCTCACTTTACAAAATGTACGTCATCCAGCCTCATAGTTTATGAGAAATAGCTACTAATATCTCGCACAGAACAAGTGACAAACCAAGACAGAAAAAGAATCTTGGCCCTGTTCGCGAGAACATACATCTATTGAACGCAAGCTCTCCACTGTATTTTTCATTTTCATCTTCCTCTCCCAAAAATGGCGCTGGAGATGTACGGCTACACCCCGCGGTCCCGCAAGTCACCGCAGCTCGTAGCGGCGTGGATCTCGGTGCTCCTGCTCATCTTCTTCATGACGTGGTATCTCACCGCCGGGATCGAGGGCGAGCCGAGAACGATTGAGATCCAGGGCGCCAAGTTCCGCAAGGTCCCGTAGGGGAGGGGACAAGGTGGACGAGGAACGAGGAACGAGGAACGAGAGAACGCAAAAGGGACTGGCGATGTTTCACGAAATCGTTCTCAGACGGAAGATGTTTTTCTTTTTCCTGGCTCTGGATATGGATTCGTTTCTCTTTGTGTCTTGGGGTAAGATGCCCCATCTCGTGGCTCGTTGACAAAGGGACGTCATCGAGTTCGTGAGAACATAGGAATGGGGTGGCAATGGTATGGAGATATCTCGGCTGGAAAGAACAAAGGCCAGTTGAAAGAAGTGTACTACCACAATGCAATAATGTATGAAAGAATGGAATCTTGATATAACTGCAGCCTTGCTAGTCTTTGTGACCCATCCCTCTCTTCACAAACGCGCAGAGCAGACATTTGTCACAAGAACGGACAAAAAGCCCTACGTCGCCTCCAAGTAAACTATTGAGAGTGCCAGTTGATAGTCCATTTGTCCCATCCCAAACAAATGCACCATCGCTTTACTAAAGGCCTGCTCTCGTCGCATCTCATACACGTAGATACTCGTTTTCGGCCAGCACCCCAATGAACCCAGCCCCAAACCTCAACAAGCCCCTCCCCGGGCCACCGTCCCCCTCCACTCCCATCCCAAGCACCGCTCCCGCACCAAACCATGCCGCTCCTCGACCCTCCCACCCATCCGGGAAGCGCACCGCCCAACCCCCGCACACCACCACCGCTCTACAAGCGGCGCGGCATCGACCTCCAACCCCCTCCGCCAACGGACCCCTCCTCCTCCTCCCTTGCCCGCCCCCACCCATCGGCAAAATGACACCCACAGGCCGAATCCTCAACGCCGGGCCCTTGCGATCAGGCATCCCCCAGGACCTTCTCCTTCCGCTTCGCAACGCCACACACGGAGACGGCCAGGTCACCCGCCCCGCGGCGGCGGCGCACGCTCGCGCGCGTATCCCCGAGCCTACGACGTCCTCCCGGCGCAGCGTAGAGTATGTACTAACCGGCCCGTGGCTCCAGCCATCTTCACCGCCGAGAGGCGGGCCCAGCGGGTTCCGCGCCGAGAGTGGCCCTTGTTATTCGACCCGTGGGGGATCCGGGAGAAGACCCGGCCAACATGCGTTCGGGATCCCCCCGCGCAGCCTCGCCTGGTCCTTTGAATCCATGGGCCCGCGGTGTTCGATTCCCCCTTGTCGTTCGTTGACGGTCAGTATTCCCTATGGCAGCCAGCCTTGAATGGGTGGATAAACAGCGCTCTGGAGTCCCCCAAGCCCGCCATCACACGCAAATGCGCCATGCCCTCTCAGCAAAAGGGGCAAATTACAAAAGTCTACGCGCCAAAAGGCCTATTACCTGCGAGCACTGCAGCGAAGCATCCCCGCAACCGCTGCCTTCTACCGCCGCCCTAGCCTACGCGTCATCTCCACTCGAAGACCTCGTCATGGAGGTAGAGAGACAAGCCAATCAGCTTATACGTGGGTTCAAAAGGCTAGCGAATGCCAGGGTTAGGTTACGGCCTATCGCTTCTGCAGCACCTCAGTCGAGCTTCGCAGGAGTAGCCGCGGACAGGGAGAATGCCCTGCCTGAGAAGCCAAGACCGCTGCTCGTAACTAAAGAGCTTCGACGATGGATATAGAACCACCACGGGGAGAGGGTAAAACCACCCATGCCCTTGACAACAGGGTTGTCTATCCAGGCCGAATGACTGTGGGTGATCAGAGTATATGACAACGCACCCGAAAAGTCCCTTCAAAAACAGCCCGCGGACGTGTTTTCTTCAAAGGCGTACTTACCTCTTCCATAATCTAAACAGGGATCAGCTCACACGTGTCAGCAAACCAACAATCACGTAGACGGGAAGGAGAAGAAAAGAAAATGAAGTGATGAAAATGCACCTTTTGGTATAGATGTCCTGCATATGCTCCTGCCCCGTGAATAGCAAGGCAAAGAAGAAAAGAAAAAAATACCAACTCCGGCCAGATTATAACCCTATACCCCACATCACGAGACGAGAGCAAAGCTCTTCTTCCTCTTTCCATATCTTTTCCGCCCCCCTCTTACGCCAACCGCACGCCAGCCTCCCTCCTCTTCTTCAACTGCTGCGCCGTGACAGAGCTCATATTCACATTCTGGCTAGCGTCCAAGACGCTCTGGGCCTCGCGCCTCTGCTCGTCCGCCATCTTCTTGAGCTTCTTGTCCGTCTTGCCCTTGCCGCTGCCCTTGCCGTGGAACTGGTGGCTGAGGTGCTTGAACGCCTCCTTGCGGTCGAGCCGGCGGCCCATCTCGTCCGTGTACTTGATCTCAAACGTCGGCGTGAACTCGGCGTTGAAGAGCTCCGCCATCTTGCGCGACGCGTGCATGTCCCGCTGCGTGTTCTGCTGCCTGGCAAACTCCTGCTGCTCTCGCTGGCCCATGCGCTCCAACCGCCCGCTCTGGCGGTCCCGCTCGCGCTGGTGCCGCGTCACGTCCTCAATCTCCGCTTCCATCCGCTTCTTCTTGAGGAGGAAATCCTGCTTCTTCAGGAACGTCTCGTGCCGCTCCGAGCCGTCCGACTCCTTGATGATACCGCGCTCCCGCAGGAGGGCGAGCGTGGCGCCCATGCCGCCCGATACCGTCTTTTCTTCCAGTATGTCCTCATCGCCGGATTGCTCTTCTTCGTCTTCCTCGTCGCCTTCCTCCCTTTTGAGCGCCCGCTCCCGCTCGTCTTGCGTGGGGAAGTATCCTTCCATGGCAACGTCCTCGTGATCCGAATCTACCTCCTTTTTCACTGCCGAGGGTTCGGTGGACTGTTTGCGCCTCTTCACTCTTTCCTCCTCCTCGTCGTCGGGTTTCTTGATCCCCGCCACGAACTCGGATACCTCGCCGATAACAAGACCGCCGCTCTCTTCCGGCGGCGCTTCCGTTTCATCGGCCTCCTGAAGCTCCTTGGCGATGTCTTCCGGCCGCACCCTCTTCCTCTTTTTCAGGGCATTCTTTCTCTGCATGGACAGCGCGAGTTGCAAGTCGTCGTCGTCGACTAGGTTGACGTCCTCCATCCTTCGCTTCTTGGCATTTTCTTGAGCGCTCGTGTCCACCTGCATCTTCTCATCTTCCTCCTCGGGCGTGGGCTGCTCGGGAAGCAAAAGTCTTCGGGGTCCACCGCCTTTTGGCGACTGGATTTCGTCTTCTTCTTCTTGGGCTTCTTGACCTTGATTTCCGATGCATTGAGATAGTCGGATGAAGGCGCGGCGTTCTCGTCGATGATGTCCAGGTTAACGGCAGCCTGGTTCCGGCTAGCCGCGACAGGCGCACTATCGAGGATATCTGCGAGCTCGGCGACGGCACCTTTGCGCCAAGCGTAAACCTCTTCCTCTTCTCGCCGTCAATCTCCTCGTCATACTTGGAGAGGACATTCGACGTGTCCATGTCGTCCAGGTCCATAGGGTTGTAGTCCGTCTTCTTCTTCTTGAGATCGAGATTCTTCTTGAGCTTCTCATGTTCTCTTATCCCCAGGTTTTCAAGCTCATCGCCCTCCTCCTCGTACTGGTCTATCGTCGCGTCCTTGAGTGTGAGGATCTGCTCATCGCCGTCCACAAACTGGGAGACCTCGTGCGCCACCTTGACACCGGCAAGGTCCCGCGAGGTATACTGAACGGCGGCCGCAGCCTGGGCTTCCGCCGCAGCCTGCTCCTCCTCGAGCTTTCGCAGCTTGAGATCTTCTTCTGCCTCTTCTTCTGGCCAATCAGCCACGCCTTAGCATCGAGGTCATCTTCGCCCTCGGCCACGTCTCCGAGGCCCTTGCCCTCGAGCAAGGCATGTCGTTGGGCCTTTTCGCGGGCCTTTTTGATCGCGGCGGCTCGCTCGTCGCGTTTCCGGCGGGCGTCCTCCTCGTCGCGCAGCTTCTGGAAATTCTGACCGGCTTCGGCGGTCCGGGCGTCGAGGTAGTCGAGGGGCTCCTGCTCGTCGCCCGAGTCCGCGGCCGCTGCGCCGGGCACAGGCAGGGGTTTCATTCCCAGCTTGGCGCGCAGCTTGTTCGTCTCTTCGAGGGTGGCGGCGTCCATGGCGGGCGGAGGGTGAAGGGGGCAGGCTGGCTGGGGAGACGGAGGATCCCGATTCGGGGGCGATTTTATCTTCTTCCACCCACTTTAAACACTAGGGTCGGGCGCCGTAGGAAGATTAGGAGAAGGGAAAGTGGCGCTCGCCGACGGGTTCGAGTGATGCGCCTCCCGTAGAATTTCAAAGAGTTGAGATACGAAAGATGGGTGCTGCCTCTCAATGGTCGCCTCAAGCTCGATGCGTCGTAGGATGGTGCCTTGGACGGAATGGACGTCAAATCGGCAGAATATTAGCAAATGCTGGTTACCCACGCCTGCCAGGCCAGGATCCATCCACCTGCCGCCCAAACACCAAGCAACAGAAAAAAAGATTACATAAGGAATTCGCAATTAGGTAATCAAAAATATTGGCTGCCTATATCACTAAAATTTTCTTCGCACATGCAGCAAAGATATTTTTTCTTCTTTCCCAAACATACGGATCTGTTCCCAGCTTTCCTCCTGCGCGCTTTGCGTGTTCAGCTGTTGATCGCTAGGGAGGCTCGATCGTCTACTAAGGAGCCACCACTAGTCCCCATGGTGTCAATCATCCGATCGACAGATCCCAGACTGACCAGCTTTTCCTGAAAGTCGAGCCCTTTTTGGGCGCGGCTGGAGGGGGATGTCTGAGGCAGCTATATTCCGATCCTCTTTCCGAGATCATTGATCTATGAGGTTGGGGAAAACCATAGTCTTGCCATATCTCTACGCTAATGCGTTTCTTATATCCTATTGTCTTGTTGCCCGAACAGATGTTGGTGGGCGGGGGCTATGCAGTGCTTTCCATCTCTGCTCCCCGCTTCAAATTTGCCCTGCTGTGCCCTTAGCTGTGGCTACATGTGTTTGTGATGAGAGATGTGAACTGCCCGAGAAAGAACTATCGGGCTGTCGCGTAGTCTATACATATTCCCGTAACTCGCACAAGCCGGTACCACAGGCGGCCCTGGGCGGAGGAGGTCCGGTGTCACAAGTCGGGATTGTCACCGCTGCGTGTGCCGGCGGTGGAGCTCTGTCGTCGGCACGGAGGTGGCTGTGGCTTGAAAGTTCTCGCCGGCTAGAGTTCAGGGACAAGTCCAAGATATCTCATGGTCAAAGCCACGAATAACTCAGCTCTAGTAGTAATACATGGCACCTACAAAGGTGATGCTAGGCACTTGCTATCACATTAGCTTTGGCTGCCACACCTTCATCTGTAGACGGCATCCGCCCGCAAGAGAAGAATTAACCCGATTTGGCGAGTCCAACAGCAATGCTTCAATCACATGGGTGGCAACACGCATCATCCACCAATGTACAGTTCAAGATGTGCGACTCGTGACGTGCAACATTTAAAGATTGCATAGACCAGAGCCGTTGGATGTTTACTTCACCGTGCCGGATAGTTGCGCCGTTGGTATCATCCGTCGTGCCATCCGATCCCGTAACATCGCCCGGACTATCCTGTTTCCCGCTCGTAACTCGATGCACGGGAGGCAAGCACATTTCCAGAACCAAAGCTTCAACTGAATGCCTCTGCTCTTCTCCTGCCGCCCTTGTTTTATCGTGCCTGTACCGCGCGATTCCATTCCCTACATAGATATTGTAACCATCGTTCTTGTTCCACCATTGACGCATTCTTGAGAAAACGCTCGGTCGCCTCTCCACAGGGCTACTAGCACATCCCCCTCCCATCCCTGCCGGCCCATATATCTAACAACCTCCCATACTCACCAGTCCTAGCAAGAGGCTAGACTGCCTCCCCGTTCACGATGGAGGCAATGGCAACCATGTACCAACGAGTCCTCGGTCTCTTCGGGACTCCTGCGTTCCTCCTCTTCGCCCCCACCGCCAAGTTCATGAGCCATCCAGATGCGGGGTCCATGTCAATATCAACACCGACGTCATGGAACGGCTCGATCGACGACTTTATCGCCTGGGAGCGCCCCATCGCCCTAGCAAATATCCTGTGTAACATCGGCCCCGATTGCGTCCATGACCAAACCGTCAGCCCCGGCGTGGTTCTCGCATCCCCGAGCAAGGTAGATCCGGATTGTAAGTTCGGCCGCCGGTGCCCTTTCCCATCCCTCCTCTCAGAGGATTTTGGTCTCGTCTCTAAACCCTAGAGGACTCAGACTTTTACACGTGGACGCGGGACGCCGCCCTAGTTTTCAAAGGACTCGTCGAGATCTTTGCCGAAAATCCGACAGCCTCCACGGCGCTGCAGACCGAGATCCACAACTACATCCTCACCCAGGCACAGCTCCAGACCCTAGAGAATCCTTCGGGTAGCCTAAGAGACGGGGCCGGCCTCGCGGAACCCAAATTCGGAGCTGACCTTAGCCCCTTTGCGGAAAACTGGGGTACGTAGACGGATCTACTTCATCCAATCTAAAGTGGCTGCGTTGCTAATCACGGCGGCCTTGTCCACCTGTAGGCCGTCCCCAGCGCGACGGTCCTCCGCTTCGGGCCATCGCGCTCATCGGTTACGCTAACTGGCTCTTGGAGCAGGGTGACGTCGAGTCGGCGTTGGAAAGGGTCTGGCCAGTTATTCAAAACGACCTGAGCTATGTCGTCCAGTATTGGTATTCATTCCTCTCTCTCGTAGTTCCCGCATTCCTACTCGTGTGGTCAACAGGGTGTGAAAATACTGACAAGGCTGTTTCCACCAGGAATAGAACTGGTTTCGATCTATGGGAGGAAGTTCGAGGCAGCTCTTTCTTTACCACAGCAAACCAATATCGTGGTAGGTATCCCAGCACTTGCATCCATATGACTTAATAGGTCTTATGCACAACATGTTACTAATTCACCGCCTTATCTAGCTCTTGTCGAGGGAAGTTCCCTCGCCAAGGCACTCGGCTTCTCATGTCCGCATTGCGACATGGTGAGCCCCCAGATTCTTTGCTTCATGCAAGACTACTGGTCTCCCACCCAAGGCCATGTCCTATCCAACAGTATGAAACCCTCCCAACCCCAATCTCTTCTCAAAACCCAAGCTCAAGCAAGTTTTGCACTCCCCCTTCCCTTAGTCAACTCCCACGACGCCCGCTCCGGCAAAGACGTCAACGCCATCCTCGCTTCCATCCACCTTTTCGACCCTCCGCCGGCTGCGACGACGCCACCTTTCAACCCTGCAGCCACCGAGCCCTCTCCACGCACAAGATCCTAGCCGATGCCTTCCGACACGAGTACCCCATAAACAACGGCATCGGTCCCGGGAAGCCGGTGGCCATTGGTCGGTATCCCGAAGACGTCTACTTTGGCGGCCACCCTGGTACCTGGCCACCCTTGCCGCCGCCGAGCAAATGTACGATGCACTCTACGTCTGGCAGCAGGATGGCCGCATGGACGTCACCGAGACTAGCCTGCCTTTCTTCCGCGACTTCTCCCCTGCGCTCGGCACGGGGACGTACTTGAACAACTCGGCCGAATTCGGCATCATTATGAATGCAGTAACGCACTACGCAGATGGCTTCCTACAGATCGTCGCTGACCACGTTCATCCCAACGGGTCCATCGCAGAGCAGTTCACCCGAGACGAGGGGACGCCCACTTCGGCGCGAGACTTAACGTGGTCTTATGGGGCACTCCTGTCGGCTATCGCCAGAAGAGACAAGCAGATGCCTCGTGAGTGGCTTCCAATTGGGACCGACATCCCGCAGACATGTGCCCCCATCTCCATCATTGGGTACTATGCAAGCGCAAACCCATCCCATTTCCCCTCTCCGGCACAAGACTTAGAAACAAACCTTCCCAAGGCGAACTTATTGCCAGAGGGTTCATGCCCGCCAACGCGCTATGTTGTTGTCAGGTTCGATGTTCGTGCGCGCACCTCGTGGGGCCAGAAAATCCGAATGGTCGGGGACCAAGACATCCTCGGCTCCTGGGACCCTCGCCTCGGGGTTGACCTAGATGCCTCAACGTACACAGAAAAGGATCCTGTTTGGAGTGTCTCGATGGTCCTGGTGGCGGGTCATACGCTCAAATACAAGTTTGTCCGTGTAAGCACAGATGGCGACCAGGTTGAGTGGGAAAACGATCCCGACCGAACGTACTCGGCGCCGACCAAATGCAACACAGCTGATGTTGTTTCGGAGGCATGGCAATGAAGCTGGTGAAGTGTTGGGCCCTATCTCGTAAGGGAGAGGGGGAAGGCAGAATAGAGCTAGATGGAAAAGCGACTCCAGTGAGATTTACCGAGGCAGGGTTTAAGAAGCTTAAAGGAAACTTGGAGAGGTCCCAGGTGTCCTCAGTGTGAGGCTTATGAAAGCTACATACATCCATGGATCCATGGATACATCGAACTATGCCCTTAGATTGCCTGTTATATACAGCGCCCAGATCCAATTGAATATCATGTATCCCCCAAGTTGGTATTCCTCCGAGAGTCGTCCCATAATCTATCTTTACACGCACCCACTTCAGCAAGTTGTTCGCGCACAGAATCAACGATACCCATAACATGATCAAGCTTGCTTTGGTTATTAAACCGTGCGTATGACCTCTCCCCATCTTCTCGGTAGAGAACATAAGAACACCGATCAAAATCGAAGCACCAGCTAAAATGAGCTTGAAAGCCTCCCAATACCAAGCACCGATAAAGGATACTAATCATTTCATCACTATAAGAGAGCAGTGTGGCCGGGTTTGTCATGGCTTCCCGAAGCATCCTCCTTCCTTGACTTTTAAGACCCGTGGTAACGATTCTTCGAACTGTCTTGTCGAGAAATGGATCCTTTAGTAGCCCTATAAGTTCGTCGATCTCAGTTTCCGGGAGGCTAGAGTGGCTAGATTGGTAGTCAATCACCGAAGCTGCGTGCTGTCGAGTATGTGCATTCGAATGCTTAAGTAACTCTACAAGTGGCTTTATTGTAAGTTTTAGAGGGCTAGATTGGTATCGAATCGCATCCATAGCGTCCTCTTGAAGATCTAGATCCGGATCCTTAAGCAGTTCTATCATTGTATTGGTTGTAGTCTCTGAAAGGGTATATTGGTGTCTTCTAATCTTACGAATAATAGTGCTTTGTTTAAAGGAATCTAAATCCTCTAGTGCCATCACAAGTGCGTTGATTGTAGTCTCTGAAAGACTATGTTGGCTGGTAATGATTGAAGCAGCGGCACCTCGAGTTTCAATATCTGGTTCCTTTAATAGTGTTGCAAGTGTGTTAATGATGGCTTCTGGAAGGCTAGATTGGTGCTGAAGCCCTGCAACAACGGCACTTCGAACATTTCTCTTTCGATCCTTTAGTAGCTCTATAAGCGCATCAAGTGTAGTTTCTGGGAGACTAGATTGGCCGCTGATTGCTAAAGTAGCGTATCTTCGAGTTTCGATATCTGGATCTTTGAGTAATAGTGTTGTAAGTGTCTCAATTATAGTCTCTGGAAGGCTATATTGGCGCTGAATCCCCCAAGCAGCGGCATCTCGAATTTCCAGATCTGGATCCTTTAGTAGCACTATAAAGGCATCGAGTATAGTCTCTGGGAGGATGGACTGGCCGCTTGTCGCCCAAGTTGCGCATTTCCGAGTTTCTGTATCTGGATCCTTGAGTAAAGCTACAAGCGTATCAATAATAGTTTCTGGAAGACTGGGTTGGCGTAGAATCGCTAAAGTGATGGCTTCGTGCATTTCTAGATCAGGATCCTTTAGTCGCGCTATCAGTGCATTGAATGTATGTTTTTGAAGGCTAGAATGGCTCTCAAGCGCTAAGGTAGCGGCTTCTTGAGCTCCTTCAGCTGGGTCCTTCAGTAGCGCTATGAGCGTGTTGAATATCGTCTGTGGAAGACTCGATTGGCGCCTTATTGCCTCAACAGCAGCATCTCGAATATGCGCATCGGGATCCTTCAGTAGCACTACAAGTGCATCAATTCTAGTCTCTGAAAGGTCGGATTTGTTGCACATCGCTAAAGCAGCATATTTTCGAGTTTCTATGTCTGGATCATTTACTAGTGTAATAAGTGCATCGACCGTAGTCTTTGAAAGTTGGGGTTGTTGACTGATCAGCCAAGAAGCGGTGTCTCGAGTTCCCATATCCGGATGCTTTAATAGCGCTATGACTGCGCTAATTCTCATCTCTAAATTGTGGGGAAGTCTGTAGGAAATCACTGTACGAGCTGCTTTCTGAGTTTCTCGATCTGGACTCTCAAGCAGCTCGAAAAGTGGGTCGATAAAGGCATCCGGTATGGGTACAAGTGTGCTGAATCGGAACCACCGATCCTTTAACATAGAACCTAAAATGCGAGGGTTCGTAGCTAGCAACGCTCTTAACTTGGCGTCTGCAAACTGCGTTAGGCCCGATTGGATTGCGAGCATCTTAATAGCTTGCTCCTGCACCTTCGAACCCGCGTCCTCGAGCATCGCCAAGAGCTGGTTCACTGCAGTCGCTGGGAGGTTCGATCGGGTGAGCACTTCAGCAGCTATCTTTGCAGCCTTAGAATATCCATCCTCATATCCATCCTCATCTTTCATCAGTTCGAGAAGCAAATTCACTGTGGCCTCCGAGAGATTTGGTTGTTTCTGGAGCAGAGAAATGATCACGTTTTTATCGTTCCATTGTAGGTCTGTATCCTGAAGCAGCGCCATAAGCATGCCCTCCAATAGCTCTGACAAGTAAGCTCGATACCGGAGGGCCTCTACGGTGATTCGTCTTTGGTCTCGAGAACCCTCTTTGAGAGCTCTCTCTAGAACTTTGTTGGGAAACTCCGTTTCTCTTGCGAGGTATGTTTTGCCAGTATAGTTGCATTCCAAGTAGAGCCATTGCAATAACCTCTCTTCTAACTTGGCTCGGAGTTTGCTCACCTCACCTCGCTGGCCTGTCCTTTGACCAGCTTCATTGAGGCAGTGCATGATCAACCTCTGGTGCGAGGGCCCTAAAAGGTCGACGGGCTCTTGCTCAAGCGCCTTAAAGAAGGATAGGTAATCCTTCTCTAGGCCAAGGTATAGCAACCCAGATACAAAGCGCCAGAAAATATCGTATCGCGAGTTGTACTTGTGTCTCTGTAGAAAGTCATGAGGCCTGAGGGCCTCGTGGGTTTTGGCGCAGAGATCTACACAATGAAGTGCCTCTTGAGTTGGCCAATGCCTCGCAAAGTGTTGAGCGGCAAAATATTCCTGGAATGTGAGGTGTATGAAGTGGTAGCTTCGCTGACGACGATTTTGAGAGGAATCCGACGTCCGCAGGAAAGAAAGACGTGAAAGGACGTCTGTGAAATAAAGCCCCGCCCTTTTGTACTTCACTTTGTCTTGTATCATCTCTTGATGTTTCCAGTTGAATTCAACAATATTACTGTAAAGCCCAGCAAAACCGAAGGTCTCAAGCAATTTGACTTCGGAAGTAATCAGCGATTTTACTTCCGTCGACGTGGCTTGCAAGACGTTGTTACCTCCTCCAAGGCCAAGGCGAGGGATGTCTTTCTTCCACAACTTGTTCTCAATGGCACAGTAAACGTCAGTCATGGTTTGCGGGGAATCCTCCATATCGGAGCTTTCGTCCCAGGTAAAGCAGAATGCGTCGAGTTGAATCGGAATCCGAACAAGGCCGTGGAGTAGTGGATTTCTCGTTAGAAATAGTTTCATATCCTTCACCTTTACCTTGTCGGGCGCGTCAGGCATGGTGGCTTCAAGATAGTCATTGACTTGCTCTCGCTGAAATCCGACTGTCTCTAGCTCTAGGTCGGGCTTCCTGGTCGACTGAAAATGCCCAGAAGATTTGGCCTGCGGTCGCATAGTAACTATGCAGTTTGGTTGACTCAATAGATGTGCAAGAAAGGTGTCCATCCCCTTCAAGTCCGTCGCTTCATCTAACCCATCGAGAAGGAATAGTGTCCTGTTAGCTGTAGACTCTTCTAGCCATGCAAATAAGTCCTTAGCTAAAGTCTTGCCATTTGGGCACTGAGAGAAGTATTCGTCGAAAAACAACTTTCCAAGGTTATACCCGGCTGCCTCTCTTGTTCGTAGATTCCTGAGGGGGACCCATAGCACCCTGTCATATAACTTTGACCACATGTTGTTATAGAGAAACTCGAAGATAATTTTCTTGCATAAAGTTGTTTTGCCAACTCCAGCGCGGCCTTGGATGAGGATCCTTCTAGGGTTTACCATAGCACCCTGAATTTCTCGTGGGTTAAAGAGATCTACTAACTCCATGTGTCGACTTTTGTCTGGAGTCTCGATCATGAGCCGAGAAGTATATGAGAACGGAGATGACTTGGGCATGTCGCTTTCATCCCTCGCTCCTTTCAATGGGTCACTGTGCTGGATGAGAGCAAGATTGATATAGCACGTGTCCATTGGCAAACAGTCGCCCGAGATACGCTCTATCTGGAGTCTCTCTGGAGTATAGTGCCTTTCGCGTATATAATTATCGGCGGCGTTAGGTGATGAGAATCCACGGATGGTGAGAAGCATCCACCGAATCTTCTCAGAGACTAGCTGATAATTAGGGTCATCCGGACTCGGGAACTTGTTCATAAGGACATGGGGCACGGTAAGACTAAGGGGATGTGAAACGATGTCGAGGCAGGCAGAGGTTGCATCCACCAGCTAGCAAGATATTGTTAGCCTCGAAAGTTCTAACGCAGTCTGCTATATGTAGATAGCTTTGCTCCCTTGACTTACTAGTTCTGAGCGATGGAAAAATTCTGCTACCTGAGCAGATAGGCCCGGGACTTTACTCAAAAGATTCGACTTTTTGTTTCATAGAAAATCGCCAACTGTGGGCCCCCGTCCCTGTCCCTATCCCTGAGTTTGTGTACATCTGTGAAAGCGCGGGCGAGTTCTTCGAGGGACCGCGTTGACTTCCCTACACTATCAATGAGTTCCGTGAGGGCTCGGCCTGTTAGTTTCCCATAGGCGCGCAAGGATGGAATAGCAACTGCGGCGAGATTTTGGAATGCTGTTCCTCTAAAAGGCGTAGCGAGAAAGACAATACCCTTTGTCGCGTTCCATAGTGATTTATACTCTCTCCCTTCCCTCGCAGCGAAAACGAGAGCCTGTATAAGTATAATGCCACCTAAGCACGAGGCAATAAATAAGGCTGGCCGATCTGGATTCTCAGCACGCTTAGCGTGGATATTTAAGAGTAGAACTCTAGCAAGCCCTTGAACGGTCCTTTCAAAGGTGTCTGTTGGTACGAAAAGGCTAGATGGCCAATCGCAGGTGAAAATTCGACTGGATCCCGCGACGGCAGGCAGCATTTCCGAATCAGTCAGCCAGTTCACAGGTGGTCCATCACTAAGTCGGCCTTTATTACGCGGCTTCCAGGTCCAGGTTTCTGGCGATCTCGTATCGAGACCAGGTATGGCGATAATATCAATGTCCGCTTGGTCCTCATCCTTAGTAGGGCTCACAAGGTGAAGCAACGTGTGGCTGGGTTTTGGATCTAAAGTTGGTAGGGGAGTACTAGTCTCTGGGGGATCGTGGCTGCCTTCGGATTTCAGGTCATCCTGGATGGAAGCAGCAGTTGTCCCACGCACGCTCGAGGCTTCCTGTCTACCAGTCGCAGGTGCGGCTAAAGTTGGCGATGATGTCAGCTGCCTGTTGGCACGGGACCAGGGGAGAGAGGCAATAACTTACGTGACGATGATGGCGAACGGCCCCGATCCTTAAACTTGCCCTTAAACCTTCCCCAACTCAGTAACTTTGAGGAGCCCATATTCTTATCGCATACCCCGGTGCGGTTGAAACGGGAGTTACAGGCTGGTAAAAAGAAAAACTGGGGAGTTAACTAGGGACAGGATGAGCCTAATCAAAGTATAGGAACTTGAAGTAAGAGTATGATATGGTATGATGATGCTGGGCGACCCAAGGCTCGACGCGGGCCTACCCCTCTTCCTGCTCCATGCTGAGGCTTGGGCACGGATGGAAGCGGGGGCAGGCTCCCAGTCTTTCTTGAGATGGGGTGCTTATTGGCCAGCCCAAGGAGAGGCGTTACGAGCTGCATGGCCACGTCAATCTACCAATAGTGAGCAACTCGATGCTCTCAGAAAGGGAGCTCGCTTTAGAGCTGATACACTCCCTGTGCGCCGGAATGGTGATCCGGGGACCCAAGCGGACGCGAGACGGAGCAGCAACCGGATTCCAGGTTAACGGGTCTTCTCTCCATAGCTTCCCATCGAGCCCAACGGTTTCGGTATCTTGGAGAAATCGTTGATGGTTGTGTTGTACGCTGGTTATGCTTTTGCGTAAACCATGTTCCACGCCGGCCAATGCGGCTCCGGCGACCCACTTCCGGGATCCGCTATCTCAATGGATCCATCAATTGATGTCTGTCTGAATATCCGGCAATGGATCCATTGCATACTCTGATCGCAAATGGTGACAGAAATACTTCGTAAAACTGAGCGACAGCTTTTTTACCTTGTCGGTTTTCTGTGCGTCAGGCTACACAAGATGCAGCATTCCAATCTATTGAAGTCCTCGGCGGAATTCATTCATTGGGCGCCTCAACATTTCGACACGTAGGCGGTAGGCGACGGGCTGTGCACTCAGATTTCGACCGCCCCCAAGCTTGTAACTCCCCAATCTCCATCTGTCACCTGTAATCGCCGTTCTGCAGTCTTCCACTCCTGACATTGTCTTAGCATAAAGCGATCTCGAAAGCAGAGGTCTGCGACAAATTCAGCACTACGCCATTAAGACTACGGCAACAATTAGTTAGGCCCTAGTTGAAATCTCCCACGATGGCTCGCGTCAAAACAAGTTTGCCAAATCCACTGGAAGGTGCGTCCGAGAGAGAGCAGGCTACACAGGGCCTTCCAGCATCATATCGAGATTGTAGCCACAGAAAGCACCTCATTGTCGCGGCCGGCATACCCCATATCAAGGACGACTTGAATGTCAAGAGGCTCAATGAGATCCACCGCTGGCTCAAGCTGGCCGGGCTATCGATGCCGCCTCGATCGCTCAACTACCAGCGGGCTAGGCTCCGGAGCATTATCGCCTGTGAACAGACCGACATGCACCTTGTTTGGGCGCCTGGATACATATTCATAAAGCCCCTACCCGACTATCTCCTGGACGCGAAGTTTTGGACAGATCACCTCACCGGGGACAAAGACCTCTATGGGCTTTGTATGGGCTTGTTGTTGTCCTACACGGCCTTGATTCAGTATCGGAGCGACTTTGTCATCGCAAAGAACGAGGGCCTGATCAAGGACAGCCTAGAGTGGGAGGATTGGGTCAAGCACTCCGCAGCGGTGTTGGCGCAAACCAACCCCACGGTGAACAAGCGCTACAAGTACGGCGAGCTGAGGATGTCTCGGCTCAACAAAATACTTTGGGCGCACTTCCAATTGAGAGGCTACCGATTTCCCTACCAAACGTATGGGGAGATGTTCATCTCCAACATGGTGCCTATAGCAGGCGCCACCATCTACGCTGTTTTGGTTTTGACGGCGATGCAAGTGGGGCTGGCGACGGACGCGCTCAGGAGAACGATGCGTTCCAGAAGGCATCGTATGGATTTGCCATATTATCGATTGTAGCGCCCATTGGAATAGTGGCGTTTGTAGTTTTAGTGATTGCCTTGCATTTCTGCTCCAACCTTGTCCACACATATACTTTTCGTTTTCGGAATCGAGGCTCTACGCATGGAGGGTCAGTCAAAAGCCCAGAAGACTAGGGACGTTGAAGGAGGTTGGATGCAGGGAATTTTCACAGAATACTCCATGTAGTACTCTATAATAAGTAACTTGCCTTGTCTTGAAATCTTTACAGTGATGTCGACATCGAGGATGATGGGCCCGCCAAGTCATCCCAAGCAAGCGCGATTAGCATTTAGGCCGATCTTAGTGGTCACATTAAAACGGGAAAGAGCACCACACCCACACAGCAATCTCAAGTTGCTGCCCCACCATCAACGACCTGTATCAATAAGCGAATTAGCGAGCTAAACCTCCCCCACCTCACCCTCCAGCAAAGAGAGAGAAAAAACCAAGGGTATTCCGTCATCGACGCTTCCAGTCGTCTACTTTGCTTTACCACCCCAGCTTGCCTCAGCGGCGCATCTACAAAACCACCATCCCTTGAAGGCCCCCACAACTCGCACTGGTGCCAAGGGAAAACAAAATTCAACAACCACGGAATACAATAGATTCGAGACGGCCGCCAACATCTCGACATTCGGGCACTTCACTCCGGCCCCGCCCACCCCCGCGAAAATGCCCTCCTCCACCCCACCCGCCTCCATCATCCCCCTCGCGCCCCTCAAGCCCGACCTCTACGAGCGCGCCTGGTCCTCCACCCCGCACCCGACCCTCCCCTCCTCGCCACGTCCCACGGCCGCTCCGTCACCATCTTCTCCTCGCCACTCTCACCCCGCACAGCAGCCTCACCAACGGCCACGAGCGCTCTGTCCGCTGCGCCGCCTGGAAGCCCAACCTACCCCCGGCCGCCTCTGCCTCGTCTCCGGCAGCTTCGATTCTACCGCGGGGCTATGGAGGTGGGAGGGCGAGGATAAGGATCGGGACCACGCCACGGACCTGACGTCGCATCGAGAGGAAGGACAAGAAGAAGAAGAAGAAGGAGAAGAAGAAGAGGAAGACACGGATTGGCAGTTCACGCTCGTGCTCGAAGGCCACGACTCCGAAGTCAAGGGCGTCTCCTTTTCCCCTCGGGCACCTTCCTCGCCACCTGCTCGAGGGACAAGTCCGTCTGGATCTGGGAAGACGTCGGCGCCGAAGAGGACGACGACGAGTGGGAAACGGTCGTCGTCCTCAACGACCACGAGGGCGACGTCAAAGCCGTCGCCTGGTGCCCCGACGTGCCCGGCCGCAACGCGCGGAGGTCCTACTCCTCCGACGTCCTCGCCAGCGCCAGCTACGACGACACCGTGCGCATATGGCGCGAGGACGGCGACGGCGAGTGGGTCTGCGTCGCCGTCCTCACCGGCCACGCCGGCACCGTCTGGGGCATCGCCTGGGAGGGCAGGGAACGACCCGACGGCGCCTTCCCCCGCCTGCTGAGCTGCTCCGCCGACGGCACCGTCAAGGTGTGGAAGCTCAAGGTGGACGCCGACGAAGACGACCAGGGCGGCCCCGCGCCCGTCACCCTCGGCGGCATTCCCAACACCATGCGGCGGTCCGCGCGGGAGGACTGGGAGTGCGAGGCTGTGCTCCCCAAGGTCCACACGAGGGACGTGTACTCCGTCGCCTGGAGCCCCAAGACCGGCCTCGTCGCCACGACGGGCAACGACGGCGTCATTGCCCTCTACCGCGAGGAGGAGGACGGGGAGGAGACGGAGGCGGAAGGGGAGCAGCAGCAGCAGCAACAACAGGCTCCCGAGAGCAGCACGGGCGCTACCGAATCCGCGTCCGGCCCCGCGGCGTCCAAGAGGTGGAAGCTCATCGCTACCTATGATCAGGGCCACGGCGCCTACGAAATCAACCACATCACTTGGTGTCCCAGGTACGATTCGGGTAGGAAAACCGGCGAGGAGATGCTCGTCACCACAGGGGACGACGGCCAGGTTCGCACTTGGCGTGTATCGTTGCCCGAAGCGTAAATGTTGAACGGGGCGGGGGACACTTGTAGGTGGAGGACGAAACTCCCATTCTTTTTCTTTTTCTTCATCTTCTTTTACTCTAGGATCGGGAGGGCTAGGGTGTGGTATTCGGCGTTATCCAAGGGGGTGGGAGGGGAGGGGGATAGTTTCAATTCGGATCAGTTGTGCATTCTCATACAAGGACGGTTCAGGATAGAGTAGGTTTCTTCATCTGACTTGGTTTCTTTTGGTTTTTTTCTATAGACATTTATAAAAACAACCTTGTTTGAACTTTGGAGTAGTCAAGTCACTGCATCGTGTATATCTTCATCTCGTCCATGTCAAAAGGATCCGTGGCTGCAAAAGTCTGCCGTCCGCTACATGTAGGAACGAACGATATTTCTCTAATATCTAAACTTGAAGACCAATTCAACTAAGATGCTCAGTCTTCCCAAAGTCTAATAACTATTGTATGACAACACTGTCTCTATCTCGTCTTATCACACTCTAATCTTCTTTTACTCTTGTGGTACCCACAACCCAACCAAGGCTTGATAATTAAACAAATGCTAACTTTTAGGTGGTCTCGGGGGTTTACCCCTCGGACTCGCATATCTTGATAAGAAGCGATGGAAATAGAAATGATCGTAAAATAATACAAAGCTTGCTTTCTGTCTAAATTTTTTCGTTTGGAGGGTTTTGTTGCGTTCAAGGCTGTGAATAATGGTAATGATGGGATTCTCGCGGGAGAAAATGTCCCCCTCTTCCCGTTTTCCCCGCCCCCAGTTCTAGAATCCGTGGTTGTTGTATCTTTTCTCCTGCTGACTCTCCTCTCAAGCCGTGCGTTGGCTTATTTTTCGTTTTCTTGTTCTTTTCATTAGAAGAAAAGATATTACAAAAAGGGAGAGGGAAGCCTTTTGTAGCTGCCCCCTGTCCCTTTTCTTGGCCGCAATCATATCCCGTAGAAACAAAACCAAAAAAGAGTGTGAAAATGTACAAAATATCTTCCCCTCCTCTCCTCCTCGTCTCATCAAGTCCGTCTTCTCTTGCTTTCTGTCTCGCTCTCTTTCATTTGGCCAACTGCCCCCTTTTGTCTCAAACGAACAACGCGAGCCCACTTAAGCCTCGCCCTTGAGCTTGTCCTGCTTGACGTTGAAGGCCATTTCGAGGAACTCGGCCTCCTCGCTGGTGTGCACCGCCTTCATGCCGGTGGCGACCGAAGCGCTGGGGCCACGGCCGGCGTACATGACGTGTTTCCTGTCGTGGTGCTTGGTGTGGTTGAGGAGGGTCTCGATGCGGGGCTGGGTGAAGCTCCACGCACCAGCGTTCAAAGGCTCTTCCTGGGCCCAGACGACGGTCTTGGCGTTGGGGTACATGTCGAGGTTATCCTTGAGCTGCTGCCAGGGGAAGGGGTTGAGCTGCTCGATACGGGTCAGGGCCACGTTATCGATCTTGTTGTCAGCACGGTACTTGTGGAGCGCGGCGTAGACCTGGCCAGTGCAGAGGATGACACGGTCAATCTCCTCAGCACCCTTGATGTTGCCAGTCTTGTGCTCGGGGTCCTCAATGATCCAGCGGAAGCCAGTCTCGCCGGTGAACTCATCAATAGAGGAGCGGGCAAGAGGATGACGCAGGAGAGCCTTGGAGAAGAAGATGACAAGGGCTAAAAAAATTCGTGTTAATCTTGCGTGATTTAAAAAGAAGAATCGGCCCCAGAAGAGACGGGGGAAAATAAGAAAGAAAAACTTACGCTTGCGGAACTGCCTGTGCATCTGTCGGCGGAGAACGTGGAACAAGTTGGAAGGCTCGGTCATGTAGACGACCTGCATGTTGCAGTCCTGGTGCTGGCGGGCGAGCTTCTCCTCCGAGGGGAAGATGCGGGGATCTTCGTTACAGAGCTGGAGGTAACGCTCGATACGTCCGGACGAGTGCTCGGGTCCCTGTCCGTCGTAACCGTGAGGTAGGGACATGACGAGACCGGTGCGCTGCATCCACTTGACCTCACCAGAGGCGATGAACTGGTCAATGATGCACTGAGCGTTGTTGGCAAAGTCACCGAACTGGGCCTCCCACATCACGAGAGCATTGGGCGACGACAGGGAGTAGCCGTACTCGAAGCCGAGGGCGCCGAACTCGCTCAGAGACGAGTTGGAGATGACAAACTTGCCCTGGTCCTTGCTGATGTTCTGAAGGGGAGTATAGGTGTCCTCGGTCTCCTGGTCGTGGAAGACGGCGTGACGCTGGGAGAAGGTACCTCGCTCGACATCCTGACCGGAAACGCGGACGTGGTGGCCTTCGGTAACAAGCGAGCCAAAGGCAAGAGCCTCGGCGGTGGGGAAGTCAATGGTCTTGCTGCCATCGAGGACGGACTTGGAGCGGTTCTTGAGGATACGCTTCAGGTTGTTGTGGACGTTGAAGCCATCAGGGAAAGAACCGACGACCTCACCAATGTGCTTCAGAGTCTGCTCATCAACGCCGGTGGGGTTGTGAGGCAAGACTTCGGTGGCAAGCTCCTTGGGAGACTTGAAGCCGTTCCAGGCCGAGGTCGTCCATTCCTTGGAGGTGGGCTGGTAGTCTTTGGATCGGTTGAAGCTGTCTTGCAACATCTTCCAGACCCAGCTCTTGTGCTCCTCAATGTCCTCCTTGGTGAAAGTACCCTCGCGGAGGAGCTTGTCGACGTAGATGGCGATCTGGGGCTCGTGGTCCTTGATGCGCTTGTACATGAGGGGCTGGGTGAAGGAAGGCTGGTCGGTCTCGTTGTGGCCGTGCTTTCGGTAGCAGATGAGGTCGATGACGACGTCATGTTGGAACTCGGCACGCCAGTCGGCAGCAAGCTGGCAGACAAAGGTGACGGCCTCGGCATCGTCGGCGTTGACGTGGAAGACGGGGGCGTCGATGGCCTTGGCAATATCGGTACAGTAGGCGGTGGATCGGGCGAAACGGGGATCGGTGGTGAAACCGATTTGGTTGTTGACGACCAAGTGGATGGTACCACCGGTGGAGAAGGCGGGGAGAGAGTGGAATCCGAGACACTCGTAGACGACACCCTGGGCAGCGAAGGCGGCATCACCGTGAAGAAGGACGGACATGGCAGTCTTGTGGTCCTTCTCATCGTTGTTGTAGTGCTGGATAGCGCGGGTCTTTCCAAGCACAACGGGGTCCTCGGCTTCAAGATGGGAAGGGTTGGCGACGAGAGAAAGCTGGACGCGCTTGCCCGAAGGGGTAGGCCTCTCGAAGTTCATACCGAGATGGTACTTGACATCGCCCGAACCATCGTCGGGGTCCTGAGTACCGGCAAACTCGCTGAAGATGGACTCGTTGGGCTTGCGAACGACGTTGGACAGGACATTGAGACGACCACGATGGGGCATACCGATGACGATGTCCTTGACACCATAGTCGACGCTGCGGTCAATGAGAGCCTTCATACCGGGGACAAGGGTTTCGCAGCCCTCGAGACCGAATCGCTTGTCGTTGGGGTACTTGCTGGCAAGGAAAGACTCGAAGCTGGAACTCCAGATCAAGCGGTCGAGGATGCGGCGCTTCTCGTCAATGGAGTACTTGAAAGGTTGGGGAACCTCGAGACGCTGGCGAAGCCAGTCGCATCGGGTGCGGTTGGGAATGTGGATGAACTCGACACCATACGAGCCGGAGTAGCTGGTCTCGAGGGTGGAGATGATTTCGCGGAGCGTCATCTTCTGGCGCTCGGGAGTCTTGAAACGGGGAAGGATACCAGGTCCAAGCTCGAACTCGGAATCCAAGTCTTTCTCGGTGAAGTTGTACCACTCGAGGGTCAGTTCGCGGGGCTTGACATTACCAAAGCCCTTGGAAGAGTTACGAATGCCGAGGGGATCAACGTTGGCCTTGTGGTGACCACGGGCCTGGTAGGCGCGGCACAGGAGCTGAACCTTGAGATGCTTCATCACCTCGCTGTTCTGGCCGCCAGAGGCGGTGCCGGGCGTCAAGCTGGGGACACCGCCGGTGGCGCTGGGGACCAGGTTGGGGGTGGCGTGAAGGCCTGAGAGATGGGCATCTCGCCGCTCTCCATGTTGCGGAAGTAGACCTGCCACGAGACGTGGACGCTCTGGGGATCCTCCTTCCACTGCATGTACATCTCATCGATATAGCTCGCAGCGCTTCCGGAAAGGAAGTTATCGCTCGAGTCGGGGGAGCAGACGTGGAGCTCGTGGTGTATCTCGTCTTTTGGCCACCGAGAGCCATGGCGCGGCGGGCGGAAGCGGCTCGCCATGCTGGCGTAGCCGAAGGGCTGAGGAGGCGACCTCCGGCCCTGCAGGCGATATTTCTCAGCATGCTGGGTGTGGTGTGCGATGTGCACACTTGGGTTTCGACGCAATTACGAAAAGAATCGCGTTTCTATGTCGAGATGTCGCGACGAAGGTCCAGCTAACGGATGGACGCTTCGGGGGTGAGGGATAAGGTTTCGTGGGCAAACTTCGGGTCGCGAAAAGTTCTCGGCGTGTTAAGGGGAGGACTCTGCGAACGGGAAGCACCAGGCTGGCCAAACGGATTCGAAGCTGAATGAGCGGCGGAGTAAGTCTTATGGGGGAGGGAAGAAAAGAAAAAGACCAGTTTACAACGCCGCAAGTGATTAGTACATGGGGAGCAAATGATCAAGGGGAAGAAGGGCTCAATGGCAAGTGGCGGAGAGACTACTTAAATGTGCTCAGCAAGCAGTTCGGCAAAGGGGAAGTTGGAGCGAAAAATGACGACGAAGTAATGGAAAGCAGGGATTGCCGTGTTGTGTACACAGCTCCTGGAGCACACGGCAAGAGAGCTCGGAGTAACGACGGCAATGACACTGAAACGGCCCTGACCGTGCCTCGAGGGCCGTTCCTACTGGTTCAAGTCCGCTGGTCAGGTGGGCCCGACGCCCCACAGAAACCTGGTCGGACCAAAGAGCGGCCAGATTATGTAAATTTCACCCAATCACGGATGTCGCTGGAAGTCTCGGCAGCGTTGCAACTAACTAGCGTCACTCATAGCCGTCGCCACATTTATTTTTCAGTGCAGGTGGCCACTTTACTGTGGAAAACTGTGGCTGATGCGTGCTGTATCTCTCAGCTCTCAGCTCTCAAAGGGAGCAGAGGGACCAGATTGGCAGTCACAGAAATGTTCCCCATGTCTCGTTGCACGCCAAGCAAACATTTTAAGCCTCGAGCAGCTCCAGGAATCCGGAGCAGCCACCAGCCCATGTCTCTTGGGTCTGCTGACCAGAAAGGCACTCATGGCACTACATGGTTGATGGTTGACGGAAAAATCCTGGCAAGGGGGCAGAATGACATAGACGGTACGTACAGGATACTTGCACTATCATGCAGAATCGAAGATTGGAGAAAGAACATCCAGATCTAGAAACAATAAAAAGAGAAGAGGCCACAGTCTTAACAAGTCTCCACTACACTTGACCCCACTGACTCGTCAGGTTGCAAGGGCGGGCAGCGATGGAATCCGCATTTAATAATCATTATTGGTCGCGGTGTTTAGACGGAACTGAAAAAGGCTATCAAGGATGAGCTCTCACACGACGTGCTTCAAAGACAGGAGAGCAAGCACAAGGTCTGCGACAATGGAGCAACCGATCTGCAAAAGGAGCTCACCTGCTAGTCCTGCACACTGTCACACTGTGTTACACCGTGCACTTCTCGGTCTCATTGCACTGAGCAGTGGCAGGCTTGGCAGGCCTCTACAGATCAAATGGTGTGTGGAGTCAGTGTGTACGGAGTACGTACCCAATCAAGAGACTTGTACATTTTCTTACCGTTCAGAGCTCAACCACCATGCTATTCCTAAACTAGACCTTCGTACCTGCCTGATTGAACATCCAGAAAAAAGATCGTGAAGCTCAAAACCCACACTCAAAGTCCATCCGACTTCACCGAGCCCGGCCCCGTGGTAGCGTCACTCCTCAAGAGCACCCCCTTCCGGCGAGTCATCTCGTTAGTGCCAGGCGTTTCGTCTAGATCCATCTCCTTGCCGTCGCCTGGATTCCGCCACCCGTACATCTAGATTTTTAAAAGAAATTCACACTTTGTTGGCTTCAGGGCGCGACGGCTGGCTGGCGATTTCTTGCTTCCCTCACTTCGAGGTACGGGAAGAGGACCTCTAGGCTCCGCACGCGATTTGGCGGCGGCCTGAAGGGGACGCATAGAGGTCGGGGGTGGATTAGGTGACTAGGCTGGTGGCTTTCTCGTGAGGGCTGGCTTGTCCCCTTTGCTGAGGGATGAGCTGCGGATGAGGAAGGGGCACACCTATATTCCATGCTTCTCCGTCATCATAAACTTTCCTCTCGCTCCTTCGAGCCACATATAAAAACCCCCAACATCCGGGTGCAACCTCCGAACAAGTCTCGCTCGCGCTGATTGAAGGCCACTCGTATCCTTTGTTGGTCACGCATCTTTTCGTTTCGGTCCCTCCACCGCACAATGTCTAGCTCAGAGGCACCCGTCTCCGGGCGCGCCGCCTTCAAGAAGAAGGATGGCGTTCTATCCATCTCACCAGATCAAAAGACTGTCCTCTGGACACAGGCCCCTGGCAACGGTCCACCGACCATTGCCCTTCCTATCGAGAACATCTCGAGTATGTATTCTCTACCTGCCTTGGCGAGGTGAGACTGTCAAAAGGGTGGCTCCGTCCTGACCGTTCTACTCTGCAGATCTCCAAAAGACCCCAGACACCGCAGCCAAGGTGATGCTGAAGATCTTTGAAAAAATCCTAATGGAGAGCCCACCACCTACCTCTTTCACTTCAACACCCCAGATGCGAAGCCGGAGGCCGACGCTATGAGAGACGCCCTCTCGAAGCTAGTGGGAGCTCTGCAAAGTAACAACCCCAATGTGCCCAAGGCGGCAACGCCGGCGACGAATGGCCCCGGGACACCCGTGCCAACCGCTGGCGCATCCGGTTCCATGGCCTTTGCCGCCGCGGCCAACTCGCTCCCGGCATCGGCCAAGTGGTTTGACGATGCTCAGCTCCTGAGTGATATCTCGCTACAGTTCGAGTACCTGAAAACGGATACAGCCCTGAACCAGACGTTTATGGAAGCCAGGAGATGAAGCCTGACTCCATTTCCCTCGGTTCCTTCAACACCCAGTTCTGGTCCTCAAGAGTCCACATCCTGAGGGCCTTCTTGATTGATAAGAATCAGCAAAGGCGGACTACAACGTCCTCGCCACGATCAAGCCCAAGACTATCGACGGCGATCTCAAGCTCAACATCACCGAGAAGCAAATCAGCCTCATCTTCAAGCAGCATCCCTTGGTGATGAGGATCTACAACGAACACGTCCCCAAGATTTCCGAGCCCGAGTTTTGGTCCCGCTTCTTCCTCAGCAAGCTCTCCAAGAAGCTACGCGGTGAACGAATCGCCCCTGCTGATGCCCACGACCCCATCTTTGACCGGTACGATCCGAACGAGAATCTTATAGGCACCTACTCCAAAATCACCCCAGAGAGCATTCCGCAAATTATCAACGTCGAGGCCAATGAGGCCAACCAAGGAGGCTTCAAGGGCGGAAACCGAAAGGACGTGGAAATGCGCCCCCGGCAGGATATCCCCATCCTCAAGACGTTGAATAGCATCAGCGCCAAGATCATGGCCAACGTCGCCCCCACGGACGTTGACCCTCACGGCCCCAAGGGCGTGGACGAGAAAACGTACAACGAGCTCATCCTCCGCGACCTGCGGGACCGCGAAGAGGCCCACAGGATCCCCCTCAAGATCAACGAGGAGCAGGCCTTCTTCTCCAACACCGGAGACGTCTCCTCGGCCAACGCCGAGGTCTTCGCCAAGCAAAACCCCGACGAGGTCCTCAAGCTCTTCCGCACCAACGTCGCCAGGCTCAACGACGGCTCCGCCAACGGCATCGACCTGCACGCCCTCACCGGCATAGAGGAGGACAGCGACAGCGAGATGGAAGACGACGCCCCTCGCCCTCCCCGCGTCGGGTCCCGCGCCACCCGCGCCGCCGCGCAGGACGATATCCTCGAGGGCATCCGCCGCCACCGCACGGAAAAGTACGGCGGCGACTGGGCCACCGAGTCCCCCATGGGCCTGCCCCCGTCCTCGCCCACCAGTGCGCCATCACCAACAGCACCACCACCGAGTTCCTCCGCCAGTTCTGGAACGCCTTCCTCTCGGGCGATCCGGACCGTGCCCTCGAGCTGCAGTATCTCAACGAGGCCCTGCAGCGCTCCGTCGTACGCATCAACGCCGTCGCCGACGATGCCGAAAGGCGTCGCGAGGAGATCATCGCCCAGAAGAAGCGCGAGATCAGGGAGTATTACGAGCGCACGCAGAGAAAGATTCGATGGAAGGCCGACTCCGTCGGTGGTGGAAGGCAGGCCGTCCTCGCTCTCATGGAATCTACGCTTTCCGCCCTGTCCAAGGCGCAGAGCGAGTATAAAAGGCTTTGGAGGCCGAGGGCCTCCGAGCGAGCACAGAAGGTTGAAAATCCTAGGAGGCACAAGTCCCTAATCATGGCTTGTCCAAGAAGAGCACAGTTTTGTAAAAACAGTTTGGTATAACAAGAAAGAAGCCCTTCAAGCTTTGGGATAAAAATCAAAATAATTAGGAGAGAAATGCCCATGAGGGTGAAAGTACTTTGTAGCCTAGCTTGGAATACAAAAATGGTATACCCCCTGCGCAAGACCATCGTCTCTCTCTCTCTCTCATGGATATGCATCATGAAACCTTTTGTGCCTGTCTTGAAAACCCCGATTTTCATTTTGTGTTCTTGACCGGATCCTCCGTAGTCCTACAGTCTATCATTTAAACAAGTAAAACACGAGCAAGGTGGAATCATCGCAAAGAAGATATGGCTCCCGAAAAGCCACGGAGGCGTGCTAATAATAATACAGAGATATCCCTTCCAACCCTACTCCAAAGATATTTGTACAAAGCGTAAAAGACGACGACGACGCGATATATCCCGGGCTCTCGCCGCCGCAGACACACCCATCCGCCCCAAGTCCCCCGAACTTGCCTCACGAGGCGCGCACCCTCGCTTCCTTGACAATCTCCTCTCCCTTGGCGACGCTGAAACCCATGCCCGACTTCTTCTTCTTCCCCGGCTTGCCGTACGTCTCGTCGAAGCGGCGGATCTCGCGCATGGTCTTCATATCATCGCTGATGCTGGCCCCAATCTCCTTGATGGCGTGCTCAAAGTGCTCCGCCCTCAGCGTTCGGTGCTCCGGGTAAGTGGCTCCCGTTTTATCAGCGAGTTCCGTCTCCTCGCGCACGGCGGCCATGGCAGCCGCGACGCAGAGGTTCTTGAGGTCGGAGCCCGAGTAGAGAATGGTTCGACGAGAGAGGCTGTCGAGGTCGACCGAGGGCTCGAGGCGCTCGCCGCGCAAGAGAATCTTCAAGATCGATAGGCGGTCACCTTGCTGCGGGAGGTCGACGAGGATGCGGCGCGGGAGGCGGCGCAGAACGGCCTCGTCGAGATCAAAGGGCCGGTTGGTGGCGACCATGATGAAGGCGTTGGTGTCGCTCATGCCGTCCCACTCGCGGAGAAACTGGTTGATGGTCTCGCGATGCGTGCGGCGGTCGTTGTCGGCGCGGCTAGCGAGGAGCGCATCCGCCTCGTCAATGAAGATGACGAGCGGCTCAAGCTTCTTGGCGAGGGAAAAGAGCGCTTGCACGTTCTTCTCGCCCTGGCCAACCCACATTTCGTTGATGCTGGCGGCGCTAACCTCGAGCATGCTGGCACCGCTCTCCTTCGCAACGGCCTTGGCAAGGAGAGTCTTTCCGGTACCGGGAGGGCCGTAAAGAAGACATCCCGGAATCCGATCTCTGGCGAGGACACCATAGGTGAACGCTTCCGGCCGCTTTAGGGAGAGGGAAGTGAGGAGTCTCAGCGCACTGATGGTTTCGGGAGGCGCGTGCACATCCTCAAAAGTGGTCTTGATTTGATCCTTATCAATAAGACCAGTGAGAAGTTTCTTTTCGTAGTCATTGGTGATGCCCAATGTTTCGGCAATTCGTCGGGGCTGATCAGAGGATCCAAATGCGTCCGACGAAGGGGTGGATCGCGAGTGGGACGGAGGCTCCCAGGCTCGAGCCCGAAGCCCCTCGTTGGTGCTCGCAATCGTCATGTCCCGTTGCCATTGAGCTAGGTTGAACGCCTGCCAGACTTCGCTCGGCTTGGGATTCTGGTGGAGGACGTGGCGCACGCAGTGATAGAGTTCGGTAGGCGGCAGGATAGCGCTGCGTAGGGGTTCGGCAAACATCTCGAGGAGCTTGCGGAAGACCTTTTCCATGACCTCGCTATGCGAAGTCATGGGTTCATCGTCGCCCACGGCAAAGGTCTTGGCCGACACGACGCCAGCGACGCTAAGATAATGAAGCATTGTGTGGTAAAAATGGAGGTGAAGACGCATGCTATGATACGTTGGCGAGGATTTGGGGTCCGCGGCCATCGCAGTCCACATGTGGAATGCGTTATCCATGTTGATGGTAAGACAGTCAAGTTGCTCGTAGAGGTCCAGGTTGAACCCTAGGGCATCACGAGAGGCGTTGCAGATGGTCACGCAATCTTCCAGGGCGATTTCTCGCAGCGATGTCAGATGCTTTTCAGACAGCTCCATGGAAGAGGAAGTTCCCACGAGGGCAATCTTCTTGCCCCCGAGCCACATGTTGTCCACGATGTTCCGCAGCCTCCCGATAAGAAGGGCCCCTTCAAGCGTCATACCAAGCTCGACAAAGTCGTCAATTTGGATAATGAGCTTTTGGTTGCGCGGGTCCTTGGACTCGGTCTCAGCTGCGCGAATGATGCATTGAAGCGCAACGTTGATCTTGAGATTCTCCCACCGGTCGACAGAAGGGAGAATGTAGTCCTTGGCATTGTCACGGATCTTGCCGAGCTCTCTGTCCAGGGGGTCCTTGAAGTCCCCGTCAGATTCGTCCGTCCCGAGGTGGAGGACCGTAGCGTCGCCCTCCGAGTCATCCTCATCCCTTTTAACAGGCCACTGGATGGGCTCGCCAAGAACGTCGTTGAACTCTGCCACCCTAAACGCCATCATTGACATGGGTCCTTTTGAGTACGCCCAATCCTGGCCCAAGTAGCCGCCCACGAGCCTCGAAAGTTCAAACGCACCGATCCGTACCAGGTCGGCGCCCGTAGTAGACGCGATGTATTTAGTCAGGAGACTAGATATCCGCTTGCCCGAGAAACCCGAGATGTTGATCACGTTCATCGGCCGCTTGATATCGGTGCCGGAGAGGTGCTTCGGCGGACGGGCTTCGAGGTCGGCATTCACGGCTTGGGAGAGGTCCTTGTAGAACAGGGAAGTTTGTTGGAGCTCTGGCAAGAGAGCCTCGGGATCGGAATAATCATCCACTACGACTTCGAGATCGTCGGGCAAACCGACTCCGGACCATGGAGTCGGCGCAGAGGCATGGATCTGCTCCAACAACGCAGCAAATTCTGTCGGCTCCGTGGTCTTGATCGCCGGGTTGTCCATGAGCCATGCCTGCACCGCCAAAGCAGCAGTCAGCGTGACCAGACTCGACCGCTCCGCGACGCCCTCAAAGTCCTTTTTCGCGGCTTCCTCCACGTCCTTTTCATTCCACCCCGAATGGCGAAGTACCAAAGCAAAGACGTCGTGGTACTCTCCCTTGGGGAAATGAAGAAGCGCGGGTCCTCTTCCAGCTTGTGAAACTTCCAGTCCGTCGACCGCCCGCTCGCCTTGACGAGCCGAGTCCACGTATCCACGATATCCTTGAGCGCTACCGAATCAAAAAGCGAAGGGTGGTCTCGGGATTTGTGATCGTGTATATAGACATTGTCGTCTAGGAATTCTTGCGGTATCCGGAAGTCGGGGAGCTCAGCAGCGGGTCGTTTCTTAGACTGTCGCGCCCGTAAAGTCGCGCGGTGGCCCGCTCTTGGCCGTCTCGAAGCTTGGGCTGCAGCCTCTGCATCGTTCACGGAGGCGTCTTCAACATCATTCTTGGTGGTTTCTCGCGGCGTCTCGTCGCTGGGCTGTTCTGCCGTGGGGGTTTCGTCGACGGGGCCGGGGTTGGCGGGTCGTCCTCGCGGTGCCGCAAGGTGGAATGGCCGCGTCGACTGCCGACATATCGGAGGCAGCAAACAGCCCGGCCGTCTAAAAATACGCCCGGCGCCGGCTGCGCGTAACCTCGTGGCATGCATTCGGGAGATATTGCATGCAGTCAACTACGATTGAGTCAACTCGGCGGAGCAGCTAGCCTTCGAGATTGTCCATCTGTTTGCTTCCCGAACTTTTTTGGGGGCGAGGATCTGAGGCTATGGGTAAACATCGGGTGAAATTACAGGCTTTATCTTATCTTATCTCAAGCACGCGAATTATCACTGCACTAATACGGAGCACTGGGGATAAAGTATTGTCCTTGCTTCTTCATTCTTTCGTTCATAAAAATCCATGGGTAATGTCTTAAAAATGCTAGCAAAGGTCTATCAACTCCGGGAGCTTAGGATCATGTCAAGCCCCATCATGCATAGTGGTTTCCCAAAAATAAAATAAGAAAAAGCTTCCTCTCCTACTTCTTCAAAATACCAGTCCAGGGAGAACCGTCGGGCCTCTCGCCCGCTGTTTTCCCCTCCTCCGAAGGAAATATGAGCTCCTGCATCGAATTCCACACTTCTAGTTCGTTATGTAAATTCATCGTTACTTCGTATATGTCCCAGGGCTGCTTCACCACGCCCTGTCCTGTCTGGGTCGAGGTGGAACTGGTCGCTCTGCTTGGTGCTTGAATTGTCATACTCGTGTCTGTGATAATCCAGTTCCTCCGCACATCGGTAGCGATGGATTCCGCAAATGTCAATGCCATGGGGTCTGGGGGAGGTAGTGATTGTGCCACACTTCGCAGCCCCTGAAAAAGATCGATAGCTTTTGGGGACGCCCCGCGAGCGAGGAGAAGGTCGCCAAGGTAGGATATGCTCCCCTCGAGCCAACCTTGCACCCGCCTAAAGAGAAATTGAATCTCGCGGAGAAGAGGAGGCAGTGCATCCGTATAAGAGAGAGCCATGAATGATGGCCATAGGGCGTTCGTGATGGCACAGAGCTGGCACGCGACGTGTAGCTTCTCTGCAGACAATTGAGGCTCCGGCCCTCGCGAAAGCTCGTGCAAACATCTTAGAATTGATTGGAGCAGCTGGAGTGCATCTGGCAGCAATTCCGGCGGAAGTTCGCGGCTGGCGGGGAGTCGCGTAAACAACTGTACCAATCCATCACAATAGATGTCAAGAAGGGTATAGGCACCCGCCACTCGCGTCGACGCTGTGATGATGGCTGGCAGCATCTTGCTCAAGACAAAGCCAAGGACCTCGCCGTTCTTCATGCCTTTGCGCAGCATCTGAGCTTCGCCGCCGAGCTTATTGTTGATCAAGGCAACCTTGAAATTATTGTAAAGATAGTAAAAGAGCTGTGGCACAACCCTCGTGTCTCCTTCTCCTAATCTGAGGCCGTACGAGACAATCCCTGCTACGTGCAGCTGGGGGTCTTGTATCGATGGCGAATACTCCTTGTTCATTTGGTAAAAGAACTCGTCGATAGCGCAGATATCGGTGCCGTGGGACCGAATAAGCGATATGATATCTCGGACGAAGGCAACATAACCAAGGTGGTCCACAGGATCTAACGAGGCAACTTTTAGGTCAGACTTGATTTGCTCCATGACAGTCTTTAAGGCGACTGAGAAGTTTGAAGCCAGCGCTTTCTGTTCCGAGGACGAAGCTTGGCGCAGAGAGCGCCTCATCCAGGAAATAGCATCTAAATTGGCATAGCCGAGTTAGCATCTTTGTACTTTTGACAAGATTATTCGCCGAATGATAGGTTTACTCACATTCAAAGAGCTCTCGGTTTGAAGTGTAATCGGGATTGATCGAAAGCCCCACAACATTTCCCGGGACGAAATCCTCTTCGCGCTTCTTCAACTCCTCCGCAAGCTGGTTCTCGTACGCAAGCGCACTTCTCGGCTTCACAATGGCAAGCAACCAGATATTGAGCAGGCTCGGTCCCAGACTATCAGGGTCGGAAAGGCCTCTTTTGAGAAGGACGGCCACAAACAAGGGAAGGTATCGTCGATGGCTGAGGGATAGCTTATGAGCTTCCGTCTGGAAAAGGCTGCATTTGCCCCGGCCAAAGGCTTGAGACACGTCGAGCAGGTTTGTGAGGGAGAAGGATGACAGCAATTGGGCAGAGACAACAACCGCAAGCTCCGAGCATGTCTCCTTCTCAATGGCAGCGGTAGCGGACTTGGGCTGAATGGCCAATGAACCCAAAACGCACCTTGCCATTGAGAAGTAGCAACGATAGTTCCCGGTGAAGGGCCGTCATCGCTTGAGAAAAGCTAGCAGTAACGTCTGAGCCTTCCCTGGGCCCATCAACGAAGAGCTCCGACTTAGCTAGGTAGCCACGCAGAGTCTCCAGCGCCACTCTCAACATGGCCCAGTCTAACGTGACTGGCATGAGCGAAAAGTGGTTAAACACCTCCTCTAGTTGCAGTGATCCAAGCGCGAACGTGGCTGCAGTCGAGGTCCGCGCGTATGACATGGTGTCGAGGGAGGCTTGAAGACAGGCGTACACAATCTCTTTTGCCACAGCTCGGTTCATCTTCACCACGAGCTCAATACGCGCCTGAGTGATTCCTTGACTGTCATCTTTTGAAAGGGCCAGGTACTGTTCCTGCGCATCTATCTCCGCCGTCTTGAACTGGTCTAAGAGTTGCTGAAAGATGCCGAATTGCCAGCGACGGAAGATTTTAAAAGTTTCCGCGTCTTCTTCGGTCGCCGCGATATATCTTGCAAGTTGGTTCCAAGCTCGAAGGTTCACGAGACAGGCGTCCTTGTGCGAGTCTCCAGGTTTGATTAGCGTCTCCAAGATGTGCGCCCCAGGACGAAACTGGCGCGGTGCGGCCCAGAACAGCGTGCAAAGCAAGTCATGGTGGTTTCGCAGAGACGCGAGGTCATGAGAATGCAAGGCTTGCTCCTTGAGATACACACGGCTGTGGTTGGGCATGAGCCGGGCGATAAGGTTCCGAATATCGTTTGTGTCGCCACGATCTCCAAGCCGCTTGATGATGATAGCCACAAACTTGAGAAATATGTGAAAGCATCTATCCTCCGGCTCTATCACTAAGGACGGTTTTCCCCCAACTCCTCCAGGAAGCGAGGCGACTTGAAAGCTTCTTCGTTTCTCAGATGGGAAAGATCCTGAGATCCGAAAAAGTCGAAGATTGTCCCGATGATGCCGCCGCACTTTAGCCAGCCCCATTCTTGCGCCAGGAAATGGCACCTACCAAGAAGGGCTCGGCAGTAGTCATTGAAACTCGCAGGCTGGCGATTATTCTGCTTGTACAAATCGAAAACCCGCTTGATCAAACGCTGGGGCAAGGCCCACCCGTCCATAGAGATCAGCCTCCGGATTCCCGTGACAATTGTGCCATGGCTGTCAAATTCACGCAAGGGAAGGAGGAAAACATAGTTTGCCATAGGCTTTCGAAGCTCTCAGCGTCGACTTGCTGGTTGAGTTCATTGGTAAGAAGGACGGAATAGGTGACATCCCAAAACCCGGATCGCGGAATATGGGCAAGCTCAAGCACTCGCATCAGGACGACCCAACAGTGCACTACTGCCTCCTTTGGCCGCACCCCTCTCCCGGTATGGCCGATCTCGGCACCTTTCTAAAAACCGCAACACGGGGTCGGTGCCCTGTCCAAAGAGGGCTCGTGCCGTCGACTTTGCGATGCGAACTAGAAGATCCTCCATGGTCATGGATAGATCAAATAGAGACTTTAATTTTCGGCAAATATGTGTAGAGGTGAAAGCGAGGACCAGGATTCTAGATAGAACATCGACAGGTGCCACACGACCGCGAGAATTTTTGGACAGTTGATCAGCATCAAGCCTCTCCTGAAACCCTTTCAGAAGTTCAAGAATACGATAAGCAAACGACTGTTCCGCCGCAGCGTCCATGAGGTGCATAGAATCTTGGACATAGCTGAGGACGAAATCAGCGGCGCGGACAGCGGTGGCATTGCCGGACGGATCAGTTTCCTCTGGGATTGAATGAAGGTGGTCTATCATCCAGTCCATTAAAATTCCGAGCTCCGAGGAAACCTGAGCATCCCAAGAGCCCCAACGAAACGTTTTCCCGTCCAGGTCGAAGCTAACGCGGGGGCGAGCGTTCTGGAGCCTTCCATCGTGATAGCTATCGGTCGCCCTGTCTAGGCGGCCCCGCCAATCAGGGTCGACTCATGGAAAAAAACATCCGGGTCTAATGGGAATATCTCGAAATGCTGGGTGTAGAGAGTGCCAAAAGGTCCTAGCCCTATAAGCCTACCCGAGTCCCCGCTACCTTCCGTCACCAGAGTCTCGGTGTAGGCGTGACCAGCTTGAGGCACGGGCTCATTAGCGTACTGGAATTGGGGTGCCGTCGTATCAACTTTTGTAGGAGTGGACTTCTTTCGAAATTTAGACCGCCTCCCGGCGTGCACAGGCACGGGATCAGCCAGGTCCTCCTCGCCTGGATGATGAGGTTCTGGTATGGAAGGCTCGTGAGGGCCCAGGGGGCGCGTTACATGGCCGCCACTGTGTGGAACGCCTACAGAGGCTGCGAAGGGCCTCGGGGGCCCTAGTTTGTTTTGAAATTTGCTCCAGAGGTTGTCTAGTTCACGTTTCCTGAGATGGAAGCTGCGCTTGTTCTGTTCCGCAGCATTTGTTTCAAGCTGAGCTTGTCTATAAATAGGACCAGGAGGCTGGTACATTCGGCTCGCCGTCGGCTCACGGGTGGCTTCTTGATTCGACCGAGGCTGTCCCGGACCCAAGGCTGTTTTGTCATACTTGACGTTGCCCTCATTGTTAACCTGCCGAATGACCTTTGTCCGTTTAGTTATAGGCCACGGCCGTACAGCAGGAGCAGCATTGAACGGTGGCTGGGGAGAGGTTCGCGCCTTCGAGACGGCACAGGCAACTGTCGGGGGCGATCCGGCCCATTCTCCAGTTTTGCATGACGCTATCAACATCGACATGATCCCAGCGGGTAGCCATTTGCAACAATTTGCGACTGGGGCTGGATCGCCCCTGAGAGGCACTCTGCTTCGCGGTGCGCGCGGCTATCTTAAGAAACCGAGGCGCACCAGGTTCTATGACGTCGAGGATACCAAGTTTCGGGATAGGAACGTGTGGTCGAATGCGGCTGGTGGTTTGCCTCGAGCCGGAGACACGGGTGCGGGGGCGGCGGTGGGCCTTGCGTTTTGCGGGACGTGGGGCGGCAGGCACCTGATCATCCGTTGCGCCAAAATGAGAGGTGATCCGAGATTGGGTGCTGCGGCTATTCGAGAGTCTTGCTTTCTTGACCGGCTTTGAGGATCCAGCGCCCATTGGCCTCCGCTTTGAACGGGGTTTCACAGGCGCCATTACATCGATATGATTGTCCTCCATCGCCGAAGAGCCACTCTCTTCCTCTAGCTCTTCGGCTCCCTCTGTCCGCCCCGCTACAGTCGGCTCGAGAATCAAGGTCCTCTGCAGCATAGGCGCGGGACTGGACCCACGGCGGGCAAGGGAGCTTGGCCATCGTCGTCGTCGTCATCAGAAATATCGAATATGAGCCTTCTAGAAACGGCAGACCCAACACCTGGATCTCTTCGTTGAGCAACGCCACGTCGTTGCGCTGATCTTACTGGGGATTGGGCAGTTGGCTTAACAGGCTGCTGTGGACGCTGCGCTCTGGCATCTTTTTGCTCGTTCAGTCGTAGATATGACGGTGGCAATACGCCACGAAGGCGCTTCCCGACCTTCCGAATAGCTTCGGTTTCACTACCGCTGGCTGACGATTTAGAAGATGCATCAGAATCTATGGCGGATTCATCATCCAGTCCAGTAGTGAGATCAACCAGTCGATGGTGTGGGGTCTCGGTATCTGATTTTTCATCAGGAAGTTGAACTGGTTCTGGAGTTGGCTGCCGGGATGGGGTCGGACGCGGTGGGGATGATGAGAAGAGCCCAGCCGGCACCTTTAACCTCGGAAGTGAGGTGATATGAGCTGCATTAGCCTCGGGGCGAGAAGGTGTGAGGTCATGTCCCCCATCTCGCGGATTGCGGTGAGCGCGAGGCTCGGTATTGACATCCCATCTCGTTCGTTTCGAAGGAACAGACAAATGAGTCATGGATCTTCGCTTTTGCGCCTTTGTAGAAAGTGTTTGCTGCCTCGGTGCCCGTATCAGTTGGTCCAAGGACGGAAACTCGTCGAGGTCGGCATCATCATCCACACTAGTATTATCGGTACCAGTCACGCTTGGCTGGCTGCTAGGGCCCCGTGATGCGGTGGAAGAGAAGCAATCGGCGTGATCGGGGAGGATGGCAGGTCAACATGTATCTGGGGCTCGTCAAGAGGAGCCTGCGCTTGGCTCTCATCGGAAAGATCAACCGTGTCGCCCGTCTCCTGCGTCTCGTCCTCGAAATCTCGCTCCTGCGAGTCATCCTCCGGCTCGGGATTTCGGCGTTGGCTGGACTGAGTTTCTAGACGCACGGGCTTTAATCCGTGGGACTTGAAGATCTTTGAATACAAGGCATTCTCTAGAGCGTATGGGTGTTTTTGGATCGGCTTCCGCGGGCGAAAGGTCCTATTTCCTAGTCCAAAATCTTGAAACTGGAGGTATTCAGGAGGAAAATCAATAGATTCATCGTTGCTTAGCGAGAAATCCAAAGGGCCTTCTTCAGCACCTAGATCTGTGCTTTCCGCTCCTGAAAGTACGGTGTGTCGGGGGCCGAGCTGGTCGCCGGCCGCAGGTTCGATGTCTACTCTCCTCTCGGCCTCTCGGGGCTCGTCAACCTCGGGATCCGCTGTTGGAAGACATGTTGGCTGACTATCGAATCCCCCACTACCAGCTATTTCCTTTCCAGTTGTGCGAGAGCCTGGGCTGGCCGACAGGTTTCGTGCGATCGGCTCCCTCTCGGGGAGAATGCGAGAGGATCCGGGGAGAAGACGCGAGCATAGTTTCTTATTATCGGTGACGTTCTTTGTTTGCGTGTCTGCGAGTCGTCAATATCGGAATCTAATTCTGAAGGCGGCTCGGAAAGTGGTGAAGACGGGAGGACGGTATCTATCTGTCCCAGTGTTTTGTGGTGACCAGATATCCGTGAAACGTTCTCCTTCTCTAAAGAGGCGGGAAGATCCCAGATAGCACTGTTCACCGGAAAGGATATCTCTTTTGTAGAAGACGGCTGCGTGCTGTTGCTCGATTTGCTTCTCAAAATCGTACCTAGCACAGGTGTGGCGGACGGGAGGGTGGCGTTTTCGTCGGTGTCAGAACCAAACTCATCTTCTGAGTCCGGTACCTCTCCCCTCTCCTTCCAAGTGGCCATTGGAGTGTTGTGTGGTCATCGAGAGATCCCGAAGAGTCGAGTTAGCATCACAAGAGCATCTAAAGTTTCGCCAGTTTGCTCTAAAATTATTACCAAGGGAATATCTTCGGACCATCCGTCAGGTCGCGGGGCGGAACGCGTCGCGGTTGATTAAAGTGGTTCACTCTCACTGCACAGTTCACGCCTCCACGTGACTATGGGGTATGCCACCCGATGCAGGTCCAGTCCCGTCTGGTCCTCGCGTTTTTATGCTGGACGCTCGCCTATCAATTATTAGCAACTATCTGCGGCGCATCTATTGGCTTGTCCACCATTAATTGTGCCACACGGTGCTCTGACTCTCGAGGCCCTATCCCATCAATTTTTGGCAGTGTAGTCCTCTCAAGACGTCCCACCCACCATAAAGACCTAGCCGTGTGCAGTCTCATGAAAAGCCTTTGGGGGACAAATTGACTGGTGCTGGTGTTTTTTCAATGATACGAAGCTTGCAATAGTTTGGACAATTTACGGCTACAGCTTGGATGACCAGAACTCAGCACGCATGAACAACCTCGACCCTGACAGACACCTCACCAGCCCAACGCCAAACCTCCACCCGCCCCCAGCCCCAGAAGCGATCATGTCTCTCGGTCGATACATACCGATGGTTCTCACTGTTGCGGCAGGCATCGCCATTAGTTAGAAAGCCCGCTCAAGTACCACCAGTCCTCCACACCACTAACCATGTTCTATAGGCAACTATACTTTCAAGCCACTCTTAGAACGAGACGCAGAGCGGCGAAAGGTCGAGACCTCGTCCAAGGACAAGGATCAACCCCCAAGACAGTTGAGCCTCCGAAGGAGACAAAATGAACCTTTCGCAGGACGGGCGGCATTTGTGGCTCTACTTGTGTAGATTTGTATAATATTTTAAGGGCATTAAATCATGTTTATTTTCTAGACATTTCATAGGTGTGCACAGCTATTTTAGCACAGCACCTAGAAACTTACTCCAAGCGACGAGAATATCTTAGAACGAGCTACCTCGGTGATAGAACTTTCATGAAAAGCGAATTCACCCCGCTCATCTAATCGTCGCAGAGTCCCCTCAAAGCCTGTCAGGCCATCTTTACAACTGACATGGGGAGTAAATAGAGAAGGATTCATTGGCCCGCAGGAATGACATCCAACCATCCTAGGTGTAATAGCCAAATCCAGTTCACAAGTCCTTTGGCGTTGACTCGCCCACATCAGGTGAGGTTTCAAGTGGAGAAGCACGGAGCATATTGGTCCACATCAATGGCAAGCAGTCCGCTTCACGCACGCAGGAGCATCTGCTGGTATGTGCAGGAAATGCATCTATGTTCAATTGATGTTCGCTTTTGGCTTGTCTCACTGCGCTAGCTCCCAATCGGACGAGTACGAAGGCCCTGGCTGGACTTGGTCGGAAAGTGTATGTGTCACGTGATGTTATCGGTCTTTCAAGCCATTAGGTCATCTCCGAGGAGTTTTCGGCTGGGGGACACTACCAATCAGAGCACAAGCAAATCATACGATGACTTGGAGCTGCCCCCGAAAAAACCTCGTCGTTAAGCCAGAACAGCCGAACTGACCTCTGCTCTACCCAAAATCCGCCGGTATCATCAATTGACTCCCCTCCACTCCAACAATCGTCTCTCCTTCTTTTTCGTGGACCAAGGAAACGAGACCCGAACACCCATAATCCTTCTTCACGATGCTCCGAACGCAAACCGCCACGAAAGTCGTCCGCCAGGCGCTGGTCCGCAGCCAGTTCGCCTCGGTCCCTGCCGCGACTCGGGGTAACGCCACCCGCGCTCTCTCCAACCCCATGCTCAACAACATCGAGAAGAGGTGGGAGTCGATGCCCCTTCAGGAGCAGGCCGAGCTCTGGATGGCGTTGAGGGATAGGATGAAGGGTTCCTGGAAGGAGTTGACGGTGCAGGAGAAGAAGGCTGGTGGGTTCAATTCCCTTTAAACGATCCAACGTCATTTCATCAACCACACACCCAACCACCTGATGCGAGCAATTGGAAATTGCCAATTGAACTTGGAGTGAACCAGGGAATTGTGGATAAGCCTTTACATCGCAATTGAGACTCATCGGCACGACCGAGGACACCAATTGGCGGCTTGTTATCGACAACCTCGTTCACTTGCTCCAAGATCGCATGGTGTTCATTGGATCCATTCCGCCCCTTCACGTCCAAGATTGAACCTTGAAACAAAACTGACACTTCTTTTGACAGCCTACTGGATCGCTTTCGGTCCTCACGGCCCCCGCGCCCTTGACCCTCCTGGTGAGGGCAAGAGCCTCCTCTTCCACGTCTCCCTCGTCCTCGTCGCCACCCTCGGTCTCTTCGTCGCTATCCGCTCCTTCGGCAGCCCCTACCCTGACACTATGAGCCAGGAGTGGCAAGAAGCCTCCAACGAGATTCTCAAGGTACGCGTTTACCACGCCCACGCGCTCTTCACCCTTTTTTTTCCTGCTATATACTTCACTTACCCCAGGCCAATTGCCTCGATTGACTCGCTAACACTACATTAACAGGAGCAACGATCCGACCCTCTCACCGGTATCACTTCCGAGGGATACGAGGGCAAGGGCATGGTTCAGTCCCCTCCTAAGGGTGCCTAATTTTGTGATAACACACCTCCACCACCAACCAAACGTATCTAGCGTACTAGTTTCCTGCGTTTCTCTTTCCTTTGTCGATAGAATAAGAGGAGCATTTGGCTCGCTCGGTTCTACCCCGGGCCGCCGTTTTGTAAAAAAGAAGAAGAGATTATCCTTTTAGATCCACTGTCGATATAACAGAGATCCTATCGTTCACTTGCTGGCTGTTTCCGCTACCAAAGTTGTGACGTGAATACCTTGGCATGCAAAAGAATCCGCTTACGAAAACCAATCTTCACACAACCCTGCGACCTAGATCGCAGAATCACGAGCTTCCCATATTACGATCCGGTCCGCGAACGAGGCGGGAGTATCTATGAGCGAGCTTTGGCATAGACACCCACCATCGCGATGGCCGGATACGGTGACTCGAGCCTTTCATGGCATAATTGTAGTGGAAAAGGTGGTAATGACACTTAAGGTTCAGGTTGAGAAATAGCATGAATTCGTATACTACATAATCATCTAACAAGATATACTTCAGCATACCTATCCTCCTGGCCCCATCCACATGATGCAAAAGAAAAGGAAATATAATAAAGGGGGTATTTACAACTCATCCCGTCTTTTAGCTCCTCCAACTAGGCCCCGCTCTCGCCCGCCTCTCTAAGCTGTTCGAACGAGGAAGTGGGGCCCGTCTCCGGGGCACCCTCGCCATCCTCCTCCCTCAGGCGCCTCTCGAGCTCGAACTTGCCGTCCTTGCCCCAGTACATGGCCTTTTCATCGCCGCGCACACAGGCCTCCGTGATGAGAATGTAGGGCATGGGAGCATCGAAGATGGGCTCGGCCAGCACCCTCTCCATCTCCATCTTGAGGCCACGCGCGCCCGTCTCGGACTTGGCAGCGCGTTCGGCGATGGCGTGGAGGGCCCTGCGGGTGAAGAAGAGCTTGGACGGGTAGGTCTCGAAGAGGGCCGAGTACTGGGCGACGAGGCTGTTTCGCGGCTCGGTCAAGATGCGGTAGAGGTCGTCGAGGGAGAGGGGCTCAGGGCGCAGACGTTGTGAAGGCGGCCAATGAGCTCGGGGATGAAGCCCATGGTCTGTAGATCGGCGGGCGTGGTCAGGTCGAGGGGGTAAAGGTGGAGGGTATGCCCTCGTGCGTGTTCTGGTGGGGTAGGTGAGAGTACACCTTCTGGGGCAAAACATTGCCTCCTGCCGCCAGAGAATACTGCGGGCTGATCTGGGCGCCGAAGCCCATGGAAGGTTTAGACACCCTGCGCATGACGATCTTGTCGAGCCCGACAAAGGCGCCGCAGAACACAAAGAGGATATTACTGGTATCGATGATGAACTGTTCGGACCTGCTCCCAGGCGGCGGCGTGGGGGTGAGGCGATTGCGATTGGGAGCCTGGGCCGGTGGTAGCACCGGCACTGTTGTAAGTCGTCGTGGGGGAGGAGTGGCACGAGTCAGCTTGCCGTCCTTGATGGTGATGGTGACTTTGGTGCCCTCGACCAACTTCAAGAGTGCCTGCTGGACACCCTCGCCGCCTACATCCCTCCCGTTCGCGATGTCTTTCCTAGCAATCTTGTCGAATTCGTCCAGAACTATGATTCCCCGCTGGGTCAAGTCGACGTCGTAATTCGCCTCAATCAGCAACCTCTCGATACAGGTCTCGACGTCCTGGCCGACATATCCAGCTTGGGTGAAAGAATTGCAGTCAGATATCGTAAAGGGCACATTGAGCATCTTGCTCAAGGTTCTAAAAGAGAATTACACACATGTTAGCGAGGCGTTCATGGTACTCGTAGAGATAATATAGATATAGAGACACAGATGGCACGCACTCTAATATGTAAGTCTTTCCGACACCCGTAGGACCAAGGAGCAAAAGGTTACTCTTATCAATCTTGACATGCTCCGGCAGGTTGGTTTCTAGAGTTTCGCCTCCAAAGAGATTCTCTAAAAGCGCTCCATCTACGCCCTGACGGCCGGTCGGGGTCGCCTGCGGGTCATTAAACTCGTGGCGGTAGGTCTGGTAGATGGCGTCATAGGCCGGCTCGTCAGACTGCTCCTTCGCCCGCTGTCTCTGAAGCTTCTCCCGGTGGTTCCGGTCGGAAATTTCCTGGTAGTCTCGGCGTTTCACGGCTTGGTAGTGATTGAATATGGTCGAGCATATCGTCTTCTTCGCGCGATGCTGTCCAACTACAAAGTCATCGACTCGCTTTTTCAGATCGCGAGGGTAAAACTCGGGAACGCCATAGTTGGCCTTGTGTTTGAACATGGGCCCTCGGCCTTCGTTGGCAGGGTCATAACTCGAGGAGAAGCCGGAGCCAAAATCCTGACTACGACGATGAGCCGACCGACATGTGGAAAGAGACAAGTAGCGGTTTCGAGGGCCGGTTTTAAGGATACTCGGTGAGGAGGTGGCGAGCGGTCTCGTGAGCGGGGCCATTTCGGCGGGGAGGGGAGGAGGGCAGAGGGAGTATACAAGGATGGCGATTTAGTGTTTCATGGACAAAGAGGAAAGGAAGCCATTGAGTTTTGCTGCCGTTCTAGGATTTCAAAGAAGAATGGAATTAGACCCAACAGGCGTATCTAGATCATTCCGGGTCAATGTGGTTGAGTGAAGGAGAGGATGCGGGGTGACGATGGCATCAAGGTTGGAGAGTCGGCGGTGGGATGACGAGCTGCGGCTTTCGTCAAACCGCCGCACGCACTAGATTGATACTTGGCCCCATTACACTGTGCCCACGGGGAGCATTTATGAGTGGATGCTGTCTTCAATGGTGCGATAACGGAACAAGCTACCCCATCCAATTGATGGGGACCGCTCCGTGCACTACCAAAGCCTACCAATCCACAACGAGAACCCTGTTCAGTGGGGCAAGGGTGATGAGGTAAGCCAGCAGAGAGGCTCGATCGATGGCGCTGCTGTGATGGTGGTGCAAAGAACATTGAAATTGTACAAAATCAATGCACGCATTCCAAGCCGGTACATTGACTACATTGACCGGTCTACAAGAGATCGATAGACATCTACTTGTATAATAGTCGATCTATCAACTTCTCCTCTCCATTGCTGATCCCGTGCGGTACAGTCAAAGTCTCGGAGAGGTAGGAGACAACGTAGTAGTAAAGGTCAGCCACGCAGACCCCGAAAGATCATCGAGTTTGTGCAAGTCGAGTATTAATGAACAGCGAGGTCGAGTATCCAAGACTAGCCCTCCCTTATCGATGCAATGACTCACTTTGAGGTGGGAAGGGCGGGAGCTAGGAAAGGAAATGGGGCTCAGGGCGAAGATTTCAACGCTTTTATTATATGGAGCTGAGGCAGTGTCCATCTTCGGCTACAGCCCGCTCTTGGGTTGGAAAATAAGAACCCATCCATGGATGATATTACCCAACAAGCCAATCCTATCCGCTCACGCCATAGAATTCGTCCAACACTACTCACACAAGGCCAGCCAGCCATGTCGTTTCACCGCGCCAACCAAGCAAGGGAAATCGACGAAAATCTTGATTCTGGCAAGGGAAAGCGGATACACTCCGGGCACGTCCCTCGAAGCTTAGCACCGGGAGAGAACGGCCGAATCTGCCGATACCCTGTCTATCTTGTCGATTTTTTCCAATACCTCGCCTCGCGTAAGCTTCAATGTTCTGCTTGTATCCTCTACAGGTTTCCGTTCCACCAAGCTCCCCTCCCCTTCCCCTTCCTTTCGGACAGATGCAGACTAGCGAGTGGCCTGCAGCTATCTCGCCCCACCACCTCTTTGTTTCCAACGTCCCTTTTCATCCAGTGTTGAGCTCGCAACCATGCACGAACGTAATCAGTACTGATAAAGCTTATCCAACTCGCCCCTTCCCTCAGCGCTTGTGGCTCGTGTCAACCCAAGCAAGCGAAGGAGGAAGGCTCAATTGGTTGAGCTTGACTTGCAACTTGGTACGATTCGGAGTCAGGTACTTTGTTTTTCCCATGACTCTACAAGTATAGCATTCCGTAAATATCTACCCGCTCACAACATTCAAGTTACTTCTGCGCCGAGAACTCGAACTTCAAAATTCTCTTTGCGGGTGGCGAAGAAAATCCCAACGCAAACGCACGTTGAGACGAATGAGGCCGAGTGCAAGAGTATTTGTTTTCTCGCCTAGCGTGCGACAGAGCTCCCGCGCTGGATACGAGGGCTTGAAGCTACCCATGTCAAACAGATAGCTTCGACTTCCCTTTAGGATTGCACAATGGACCAAATTGAAGCTAAAAACAAGCTTGCAAAATATAGACATCAATGTATCGATTAGCTCGAGATCCAAGTAGTGTACCTTCTTTCGCCCTGCCCGTCCCCTGCCGCTTGGGAGCTTTTTTATTTTCCCTTCTTTTTTCTCTCTTCTCTCGCTCCTTTTCTCTCGCCCCTCTTTCCGGCCTCCGCGTCAATGTTCTGTTGATGTCGTCTTTCAGGGTCTCGATTTCTCTTGTGTCGTAATAGTGCTATCAGCTTGTCACGGCATTGTCCCCTGGCTGGCTATCTTCTCTTAGCTTGACACCCTCGCCTCCCATGCCCCTGTCCAAAACCCCTTTGGTAGCCCCGCGCATGTAGACGTCATTTATTATCTGCAAGTTGAAAAGAAAACCACCTGCTGCCCCGTTGCTTCTCAAGACCTCGATTTCTCACATACCCAACTCCTCTTTGTATCAGTTCTCCCGTGCGGTTTACCTTTGAGTCTTATTCGTCGCACGAGGCAACACGCCATTGTTTAAGTTCAATTGATTGATATCCGGAACGTTGTCTTGTGCAGTTTTCGCTCTGTTCTGCCTACCCCCGCTCCGCAGCTTGAGGTCTCACTATCAGGAAGTCGGTCGCAACTTGCTTCCTCCTCGAACTAGCCCTTCGTCCACGGCGAGGATAATAATACGGCAGGTCCGTTCTATTTCGTCTTTTTTCTTTTCTTTTTCCTCTTCCTCTTCAATTCTTCTCTTCACCTTCTTCAAGATCGCCATCTAACATCTAACATCTTGAAGCTCAGCAAGTAAAAAAGAACGTCTTGACTATATACACGCGCGATCGCATCAATCACCCTCTTCCCGAAGAACTCCCAAACTCCAGATCCCGTCCCCAAGGAAAGGGATAAAGGCGAAGAATGGCGGCCATCGTCGAGAATTCCTCGACTACTTTGTCTAGCGGCACTACCGCCCCAGGTATCCCAGCAGATGGAACTGGTAGGTCAAAGTCTTGTGAAAATACGAATCCTGAAAACCCATGTCAGGTTCGTGGCGACGAGATTTACAGTCACCTAACCATGCGATCTTAGGCGTTGTGAAGCTTGACCCGTGGCTATCGCCCTTTGAGCCCGTGTTGCAGCGCCGTTTTGCGAAAGCGCACGAGTGGATTACCCGCCTAAACGAGACAGAAGGTGGTCTCGACAAGTTCTCAAAGGTGCGAGAAAACTAGTCTGATCCCGTAGCTTCGATTTGAAGTAGCGACGACAATAATCACTAACCATGGCCATGACGTAGGGTGCGGAAAAATTCGGTCTCAATGTCGACAAAGATAACAATGTCGTTTACCGGGAGTGGGCGCCGAATGCGACGGAGGCGTTTCTCATTGGAGAATTTAGTGAGTGGCCCAATGCCCCACGAACAAACAGATGATGGTTTTCCTAATACTAACAACCCTATCCAGACAACTGGGAGCGCGGACCTCATCCCATGAAGAAGGACGAATACGGTGTGTTCGAGATCACGGTGCCCGCAAAGAACGGGCAGGTTGCTATTCCTCACAACTCCAAGCTCAAGGTATGATCATCTAGGTCTCCTTCGGTATAGGGATGCGGATTTAACCCAAATTGATACTAGATCTCTCTTACTCTGCCTAATGGCGAGCGCGCTGATAGACTGCCCGCCTGGATCAAGTATGTCACCCAAGAACTGGCGGTTTCACCCGCCTACGATGCGCGCTTCTGGAACCCGCCTGCGTCCGAACGGTACCAGTTCCAGAACTCTAGGCCGACGAAGCCGCAGAGCCTCCGCATCTACGAGGCCCATGTCGGAATTTCGTCTCCCGAGCTTCGTGTCACGACATACAAGGAGTTCACCAAGTCCATGCTTCCTAGAATAAAGGCTCTCGGCTACAATGCTATTCAGCTCATGGCCATCATGGAGCATGCGTACTATGCGAGCTTCGGTTATCAGGTCAACAACTTCTTCGCCGCCAGCAGCCGTTATGGACCTCCTGAAGATCTCAAGGAGCTCGTCGATACCGCTCACAGCCTGGGGCTTGTCGTACTTCTCGACGTCGTGCACAGCCACGCCTCCAAGAATGTTCTCGACGGCTTGAACGAGTTTGATGGCTCCGATCACCAGTATTTCCACGAAGGAGGGAAGGGACGGCATGAACTGTGGGACAGCAGGCTCTTCAATTACGGCCATCATGAGGTTCTCCGCTTCCTCCTCAGCAACCTACGCTTCTGGATGGACGAGTATCAATTCGATGGCTTCCGATTTGATGGTGTGACGAGCATGCTCTACGCGCATCACGGAATCGGAACGTAAGTACTTACCCTATCTCAGATCCATTTTGCCTTGTAGCTATATTCGTAGTTTTTGCTAACGTGTTATAATTCAACAGTGGCTTTTCTGGGGGTTACCATGAATATTTCGGCGCCGAAGTTGACGAAGAAGGCGTTGTCTACTTGATGTTGGCCAACGAGATGCTTCATCAGCTCTACCCCGAGGTCATCACGGTTGCCGAAGACGTCTCCGGAATGCCCGCGCTTTGCCTTCCTCTCTCTCTGGGAGGAGTCGGGTTCGATTACAGGCTAGCTATGGCAGTTCCCGATATGTGGATCAAGATCCTGAAAGAACTCAAGGACGAGGACTGGGACATGGCCAACATCTGCTGGACGCTCACAAACCGGCGCCACGGAGAGAAGACTATTGCCTATTGCGAGAGCCATGATCAAGCGTAAGTGACACACCCGGCTTTTTTTTACCTCCTTCACGCGAACAAGAGCCGTTCTAATTATATTCTACAGGCTTGTGGGTGACAAGACCATCATGATGCATCTTTGCGATGCGGAACTCTACACGAACATGTCAAATCTCACACCTCTTACTCCCGTCATTGATCGGGGAATGGCACTCCACAAAATGATTCGCCTCCTTACCCATGGACTTGGAGGGGAGGGCTATCTGAACTTTGAAGGAAACGAGTTTGGCCATCCCGAGTGGCTTGATTTCCTCGCGAGGGTAACCAGAACTCGTTCTGGTACGCTAGGAGACAGCTTAACCTGACCGAGGACCACCTTCTTCGTTACCAGTATCTCAACGAATTCGATCGGTTGATGAACTTGTGCGAGGAGAAGCTCGGATGGCTACACGCCCCCAGGCTTACATCTCGCTCAAGCACGAGGGCGACAAGGTCATTGTGTTTGAAAGGGGCAAGGCCCTCTTCATCTTCAACTTCAACTCAACTGAGAGTTTCGCGGACTATCGCATAGGCGTCGATGTACCAGGCACGTACAAGGTTGTCCTCAACACAGACAGCAAGGACGTAGGCGGACACGATCGCGTGGACAGCAACACCCGATACCACACGACGGCGATGGAATGGAATGGTCGCAAGAACTGGACTCACGTCTACGTGCCCTGCCGAACCGCTTTGGTAAGATGCTCTTGATTCCTCCTCCCACATCACTATTCCCCAACAGAGAGCCATGCAACTCTATTTGTCTCCCATCTAACACTAGACTACCTCTTAGATTTTGGCCCTCGAGTGAAAAGGTGGAGTGTGTTCTCTCCTCGAGGAATGGAGTGATTCATGGATGAGTGGTGCGCTTTGCTAGTACACGCAAGGAGAGAGAGGTTCATGCCACGGCACTAGTCAGAAAATGGCCTTTGAAAAGCGGGCCGTAATACTGGGGGAAAAAGGCCGCTGGGTTTCTTCTTCAAGTCAAGAAGAACAATAGTAGGGGCAAGAAAAAGACAAAATGGTCAGATTGCAATCAAGGAGTGTGTAGAAAATAATGACAAAAGCCACTTGTTTCTGGGAATGTTGAATGGACAACACGTAGCGCACTTACGAAGTGGTGAGGATAGGGAGGTGTTGTATCACAGCTACTCGTTCCTTGTAGACATGGAAATGAGCCTGATCGTAATGCACCGTGCCGTCCCCGGAGCGAAGAAAAAACAGCTCGACTTCCGAACAAGGGCGACTTTTTACACACAGTGGTTGGTTGCTTGGTTGGCTTCGAGTTCAGCTCAATCTCCAGTGTTCCGTGAAACTCCGCACGTACCGCACCGTACTTGTCGTACTTGTCGTACAGTAACAGCGTATGTGTTCTCCCTTTCTCTCTCCTGTCGTTCCCGTCCCTCTCTCACTTTTCCCTTGGCCCCCTTTAAACACACAGTAACATTTCCCATCGCATTAGCACTGTACCCAACATTGTTTGGAGTGCTCGGGCGACCGGCGAATCGTCGGCAAAAAGTTTGCGCCCAAAAAGGCAAGGTGGCTAGCAAATCTCGGCTATAGAATCACGTGACGCAATCCGGGAGAGAAGCTTCTAACTTGAAGGCCCGTGGAATCTGAAGCAAAGAATCTGCTCAATCCCTCAAGTCCTCTCGTCAACATCGAACCTTCACCTCTCCGCTCCTATCCACAATCGCTCTCTGTCATCTGGCAAGATGTTCAAGAGGTAAGTAGACACGCGTAGCATCGTCGTTTGATGGTTCTGCGAGCGAATTGCATCCCAATTGACGCTGACCGATGCCCCCAAAAATTTCTCTCTCTTCGCAGCGGCCTTTCTTCCTTCGTCCGCGCAGCCCGGCCTGCCCTCACTCCTCGCAGCGCCCTTAGGCAATCGGCGCTCCGATATCCCGTCACAAACCGATGGGCCAGCACTGCTAGCGTTGGCAACGGCCAGATTCATCAGGTTAGTTTTTGTTTTTCCCTCGTTGTTTTTCCTTCTGCTTCAATGCCGTCTTGGTTTGGTTGGGGGTGGATGATTTTTTGGCTTGGTTTCGACTGCCGTTACCCCGACCTCGGGCCCTCGGGACAAATTGCTGACAACAACAAAAACCACAGGTCATCGGTGCCGTCGTCGATGGTTCGTACTAGAACGCCCAATTTGATTGAAATTCCATCAAATGCATAATTCTAACTCATTCCTGCAGTCAAGTTCAACACTGCCAAGCTCCCTGCCATTCTCAACGCCCTCGAGACCGACAACAATGGCAACAAGCTTGTCCTTGAGGTGTCGGTACGTACCGCTCGCTCCAGCCACCAATTGCCTCAATTGAAGACATCAACTAACAAGCCGTACAGCAACATCTCGGTGAGAATGTAGTCCGCTGCATTGCCATGGACGGTAAGCAATTGATTATTTATTCCTCGTGTTTTTCTCCATCTTTTTCATCGGCTCCTCCGTTGTCATTGGCGTCATTGATGCCAGACACGAATGACAACGGGGGTCGGCTATGGAAGGATGGGAAATGAATCCGCGCGAATTCAACGGCTAACCCGTCCCAGGTACCGAGGGTCTCGTCCGAGGCGCCAAGGCTCTCGACACTGGTGCTCCCATCACCATTCCCGTCGGTCCTGCCACTCTTGGTCGTATCATGAACGTCACTGGTGACCCGATCGACGAGCGTGGCCCCATCAAGTCTGAGAAGACGCGTCCCATCCACGCCGAGGCTCCCGAGTTCATCGACCAGTCCACCACTGCCGAGATTCTCGTCACCGGTATCAAGGTCGTCGATCTCCTCGCCCCTACGCCCGTGGTGGAAAGATTGGTCTCTTCGGTGGTGCCGGTGTCGGCAAGACCGTGTTCATTCAGGAGCTCATCAACAACATCGCCAAGGCTCACGGTGGTTACTCCGTCTTCACCGGTGTCGGCGAGCGTACTCGTGAGGGTAACGATCTGTACCACGAAATGCAGGAGACCTCGGTCATTCAGCTTGATGGCGAGTCCAAGGTCGCCCTCGTCTTCGGTCAGATGAACGAGCCCCCGGTGCCCGTGCCCGTGTCGCTCTTACTGGTCTCACCGTTGCCGAGTACTTCCGTGATGAGGAGGGCCAGGATGGTATGTCTCTCTCTCTCTCTCGTTCTCCCTTTGCTTTTTCTACACCCATTGCCTTGTCCACCTGCTTGCCATTTATCCCTCCCCATATGCGGGAATTATCCTCGGACAAGAAAAATGCAAAAAGATTTCGTAGACAACATGATGGCTAACCTGACAACCAATCGGCAGTGCTTCTCTTCATTGACAACATTTTCCGATTCACTCAGGCCGGTTCCGAGGTGTCTGCCCTTCTCGGTCGTATCCCCTCTGCCGTCGGTTACCAGCCCACTCTCGCCGTCGACATGGGTGCTATGCAGGAGCGTATTACCACGACAAAGAAGGGTTCGATTACCTCGGTGCAGGCCGTGTACGTGCCCGCTGACGATTTGACTGATCCCGCCCCCGCCACCACCTTCGCTCACTTGGACGCCACCACTGTGTTGTCTCGTGGTATCTCCGAGTTGGGTATCTACCCCGCTGTCGATCCCCTCGACTCCAAGTCCCGTATGCTTGACCCCGTATCGTCGGTGAGGAGCACTACGAGATTGCCACCCGCGTCCAGCAGATTCTCCAGGAGTACAAGTCGCTCCAGGACATCATTGCCATTCTTGGTATGGACGAACTTTCCGAAGCCGACAAGCTTACCGTCGAGCGTGCCCGTAAGATCCAGCGTTTCCTCAGCCAGCCCTTCACCGTGGCCGAGGTCTTCACTGGTATCCAGGGTTGCCTCGTCGACCTCAAGGACACCATTGCGTCGTTCAAGGCCATTCTCAACGGTGAGGGTGACTCTCTCCCCGAGAACGCCTTCTACATGGTTGGCGACTTTGGCTCCGTCAAGCAGAAGGCCGAGAAGATTCTCGCGGAGTTGGAGAAGAACTAAAGAATGGGTGAGCATGGTAAATAGGGGAAGATGCATCTTGGGGACGGACGTCGGGTTTTATTATTAAAAGGACCTGTGTATAGAAGTATTTAAAGACCGAGGTTCCCGGGTGTGTGGGTTCTTAGCTCAATCAAGCCTTTCATTTGTGAGAGCTGTGTACCAAAGATATCAATGAATATTCGCTCTATACTTTTGGTTCTTTTTCTCTTTTCTGTGACTGTGATGTCGATGTCCCGAGGACTCGGAAATGAATACTCAAAAGCGAAAGAGGAGGCACTTGTAAGCTAAGGTGATTGATTGTAAATCCAGATAGTGGTCGTTGATTTATCTTGACTCGTGATAACGTGCCCATGAGTGCATCAACTCTAAAGACTACTTGGTGGAAGGGCTTCCATTGTAAAGAAGCAAGCAACGTTTACACTCGAGAGGTGATGTGTGCGTGCGGGACTGTCTCTGGGACAATGTGTGAAGAGACAGCGGAAGAGGGCCACTTGATAGCATATGGTGGCGATGATCCATTAGACATGTTGAGAAGATGTGAAGATGCTCGAGGAAAGGATATGAATTCCAGTCATCTCACAGATAACCCGCCATATGCAGGAACCAACAGTCTCCCTAGATGACATTCTAGAGGAAGAGAGCACTTATTTACATGGCGAGAACAGTGACATATGCAAGGCGAGGATGAGTAAACGGCTTTGACCAACGGTCGCCATCCATTCATGTCCAGGACTTTGGGGAGGGACATCGAGTAGATATGATTACCATTTCTCATTACCTTCTCGTCGGATAGAACGGCAGGAATCCCGTCCCTATCTGAGTCAGGGTTTATTCAACTCAGCTCGCGCAATACATGCAAGTAGATGAGGATGGGGGAACTAATACGGGAGGTAGTAGATGTGTATTATGCGGCGGTTAAGAAAAAGAAAGTTCCTTTTCTACCTTGTCTACCTTGTCTACCCTGTTCTCTACCCTTTTCTTGCGTATACCTCGAGAGGAATTTTGCTCTTCTCTTTTCCTTTTCCAATCAACGGGATAGATGAGTATCGACTTACCCGGGGAGGCGGGGAAAAGAAAGAGTGCACCGAGTTTGCCGATACCAAACGCGAAAACAAGCCTTTTCGTTTCCTCCCTTCGCCATGTGCTGTGTGTCCTGATACCACATACCACATACCACCCGCCCTGCCCAATTTCTCCGACCCGCGTGGTAAACTCTCCATGCTAGCCATTTACGTTCTGATCCCAAGACCGCCGGGGGCTCCTTGTTTGGCTTATAGCCTTTTTCAGATGTGGCAATCGGGGCGTCTTACTGGGTTCTTTCTTGTTGGCGGTGGTTTTAGCCGCGCCGGACTGTGAGCTTTGTTCTCCTCTTTTCTTGTAGATGTATATTGTGTTTTTAAAACTGCTCCCCGTTTATACAACTCGTAGTTTCAAATCCCCTTGGCCTCCCTTCCTCTGAGAAATAGTAGAAAAGTAACAGAGGGTTTTGTTCTCACTCTATAAAGGGTGGTGGGGAAACGAGTCAGCGAGGCGAACGGGGAAGGCCTTTGGGGTGCCGTATGCCGGGAGGGTCAGCCATGTGTGTGTACCTCTTTTACGAAGCAAATGGCATGGTGCCAGCCCGAAAAGAAACAGGTACGCTGCAGCGTGCAAATCAAGACGAGCAGACACAAGGGGAGAGGGGAGCGGGATGGACGCTGAGAGGTGGAATAACCTTATTAAGGCTCGGGAAAGAAAGAATTGGAAAAAAAGACCCAAAAGAAAAGAAGAAAAAAGGGCCTGCGTTCACCCTCGCCCAAGGGGAATGCCGATGAGGGTTTGGGGCAAGGAGGGCGGGGGACATGGATAGATTGGCAAAATAGATTGGAAAACCTCCGACGTGCGGGTCGGTCTCTTTTTTGAACGATTTGCTCTCTTCTTTGCGGGGAGAGAGAGAGACCAAAGGCAAATTGGTCCCTCCCTCCCCTCCATTTTCTTTTTGGGGCATATGTCGATTCGGCGACTGTGAATGGTCGTGGACGGGAGAATAATCATCGCGTGGGGAAAACAAGGCACGAAAACAGGCGGAGCTTGAGCGGGCATTGGTGGATATCTTGACCTTGAGGGATCCTCTCATGACGATTTATATATGATTTATATAGATTGCCGCCTACCCGGCGGACGGTTTCCCTTTGCGAGCGTTTACCTGCTCTTGGGCTGGGGGATCAACTTCTAGCTATAATATTGGATGGGTTCGATGGGGACTACCCTTTTGCCTCGCCAAGGAGTTGTATAAGTAGGCGAGCTCGTGTCGTTTTTCTTGGCATTTCGCCTTACCTGGTGTTTCGCTTTATATTCGACTGAGGCTCACGAACAGGAAAGAAGAAGAAGAAACAAAGCCTTTGCCTACATACCCTTTTGGCTACCCCGAGTCAGACCTATTGGTTCTTCCCTCCCCGGTCTCTCCGACCCTACTTATACTCCGTCTAAGCCTTCCCTGTCCCTTCATTTCCTTCCCCGGGCCCCCGTGATCCCATATCCCGGTCCATTCACTTTCCTTATAACCTCTGCCATGTTGTTCACCTCCGTCCTCGCCGGCCTATTCGCCTCGGCCGCCTCGGCCGCCCAGCTCCAGCAGGTCCAGTACCCCAGCGCTCCTCAGTCGAGGGCCACCATGTAAGCAGCAATCTCAACCTCCCTCCCCCTTAGTAGAGTAGTGAACAAGGAGGAAGAAGAGCAACCAGACCCAGACCCATCAGACCTAACCTCACGTTCCTCTCTCTTTCTATAGGTGGGTCTACGTCCCCGACAACGTCGTCGAGAACCCCCTCGTCGTCGCCGTCCACTCCTGCCAGTCCTCCGCCCAAGCCTACTTCCAAAACGCCAAGATCCCCTGGCACCAGGGCTCCGACGGCAAGGGCTACATCACCCTCTGGCCCAGCAGCTCCACCGAGTGCTGGGACGTGTCCAGCCGCCAGTCCCTCACCCGCGACGGCGGCGGCGACTCCACCGCCATCGGCAACATGGTCAAGCACGCCATCGAGACGTACAAGGTTGACCCCGAGCGCGTTTTCCTCACCGGCGGCAGTTCCGGAGGTGCGTTTCCCCTTCTCTCTCTCTCTCTCTGTTTCTTCACCCCAATAAACTAACACACGTTGGAACTCCCTCCCCCAGGCATGATGTCCAACGTCCTCGCCGCCACCTACCCCGACATCTTCAAAGCCGTCTCCCTCTACTCCGGCGTCCCCGCCGGCTGCTTCGTCTCCTCCTCCGGCGCCGCCGCCCAGTGGAACAACACCTGCTCCGGCGGCCAATCCCACGCCTCCGCCGAGCAGTGGGGCGACGTCGTCCGCGCCATGTACCCGGACTACGACGGACCCCGCCCCCGCATGCAAATCTGGCACGGCAGCGTCGACTCCACCCTCAGCTCCAACAACTACGCCGAGACCATCAAGCAGTGGACCAACGTCTTTGGCCTCCCCGAGGAGCCCGTCGAGGAGATTCAAAACTTCCCCAGCCCAACTACGTGACTCAAAACTTTGGCGAGGGCGTCCAGGGTATCTGGGCCGTTGGTGTCGGTCACTCCGTTCCGAGCAACTTGACCGCCAGCGAGGAGTGGTTCGGATTGTGAAGAGATGGAGAGAAATACATGCGAGAGAAAGTGGAATACCGGCTCAAGGGACGGGTGGTGGGAGTCCGTCAGGAGCACGGGGTAAGCAGGGAGCGCGCATGAATAATTCGTCAGACGCCAAGGACCACGGCGTGATGAGCATAGGACGCGAGTGATCGGAATTCGACGGCAAGAGGCCGCTTGTCCTTCAAAGTCTTATATATTTTTCCACGTACATACATTACTTTCTTTATATAAGAATGAAGGGAGACGTTGATACTACACGAGTACCCTACCTCGAGCCCTTGACAGACACAAAAAAAAAGAGGAGATATAGTGAGACTGGGAAGGGAAAAAAAGATCAAGAGAGAGAAACAAAATAAGCTGGGTATTTCCTGCGATATCCAACACGTATTCCACAACACGCCAGCCATCCACCCTTCCTACATAAAAATAAGCCCTGAGGCTTCTTCCCCAACGATCCCCGGTTCTCTATGCTTGGTTTCCCCAGCGTGGCGGCAAGACTGTAACTAGGCCGGGATGCTAGAGATCGCTGCTGGTACCGCACGTCGTGTGCATTGGCCCAAGGATCAACTGGCTGTCCCATTGACTCGAGTCGTCCGCCTTCCAACGAGTGACGAGAATAAGGTTGGAAAAATGAAAATAAAAGACAAAAAGGTAAAAGGAAAAATAATAATCAAGATACTGGTAAGAGTTCTGTTCTTTCCTTCCCCCACATTACATCAAGTCGTCAAGCCATAAAACAAAGGAAAAACAAAAAAGAGAGAAAAGACTTTTCCCCTTCACACACGGAGATATAAAAATAGACCCTAGGGCAAGAAAACAAGGAAGGGATATATAAGATAACGAAAAGGATGGGGACGAACGGTAGGGCAAAAAAAGCCCCTTTATAAACTTTTCTCTTCACTGTCCCACTTGAGGTCCGGACGGATAGGCCTGCGGATCGAGCAACCCCGGTCCCAACGACGGTGTTTTTGGTCTCTGCGGTAGCGTCTTAAGGCTCATCAGGGAACTGAAGCCGACCACTTCGCCGCCGCGCTGGACCACCGTTGGCAGGGGCGGGAAGTCATACGTCCCGTCCCGTAGCAAGAGTTTGGCCAGCTGGAGCTTATCGGTGACTTGCAGGGATAGGATCGGGACGTCGAGGGCAGGGTGATTGGCCCAATCTGGGCCCAGGGTCTGGATGATGCCGGGAATCTCGTGGCTGGTGATGCCTTCTAGCCACCACGAGTCGACGAGCCTGAGGAAGGGGAGGTAGTGCGCGAGGATGATGAGGGAGTAGGGTTGCCTCTGTCTCATGGCGTTGACCGTGGGTTGCGGCAGATAGGTGGACCACGTGGTGATGAGGATCTGGGTGATGGGCGCGAGGCCGTTGAGGAGTTCTGCGTGAAGCGCGCCCAGGAATTTGAGCGTCAGCTCGTGGTATTCCTTGATGGGGTACTCGGGGTGTCCCTTGGGGATGGAGGCGATGAGCTGCGAAAGCTCTTCGGGGATGAAATCGGACGCCGCTGCCAGGTTCAGCACGGGGCGGAAGAAGACGTCCTTCATGCCCTTTGGTACGTCTTGTCCCCGGCCGACATCTGGAGGAAGACGCCGATGCCCCTCCAGATGGATATCCAGTTGATGATGTACAGCGGCGGGGTATTCGGTTCCCGAAACGCTTGCGTCTCCACCGCCGTGAGGAAGAGGGAGGCTGCGAGGATGGCGGGTCGCGTTTCCGGCTTCATCTCCATCACAGCTCGCTTATAACTGTTGAAGGCCCGGCCGCGGTACGCGGCAGCGCGCTGGATGGACATGTCCTGCTGCATCGTCGCCATGTGGCAGGCAGACAAGCTCAGGACCATATCCATGAGGAAGCGGTTCTGGGGCTGGAAGGCCAGCTGGGGGATGTCGATCTGCAAGACCCTGTTGACGGAGGCGGGCTGGCCCAGAGGGCCGGTGGAGAAACTCAGGTAGCCGTACGTCGAGTACCACCACATGAGCTTCATGTCTTCGCCATCGAACCCGGTGTTGAAGAACTGGGTGTCGTGGGGCTCGACCGAGGCGGCGATCGGGGGCGGGGAGGTAGGGTCTTCTTCGGTGGCGGTTGGCGTCCCATTAGAGTAGTCCCGGCTGCTGGGACTGCCATTCTGGGTGGAAGACGACTTTTTCCGCGACGTCCGGCTGGCGGTTGTTGGTTCGGGGGACGAGTGGCTGTTGGCTGCGGGAGACCGGCTGTTGGCGGCGGGACGCGTGGTTACGTAGACGCATGTGGTCTGCCGAAGGGTGCAGTTGCGGCACGAGGGACGGCCCTCGTCGCACTTGACCTTGCGCGTCTTGCAAGTCCTGCACCCCGTCCGGGATTTGCGATGCGGACGCTTTGAATGGTAGGCCCGGGGAGCTTGCGGCTCGTCTGGCGGCGAGTGCTGCTCGGTCGGGCTGTTCCCGTTGGAGTCCATGGCTCTGGGTTTTGACGTATCACCTTTCCTCCTCCTCCGTACAACGATATCCCGAACGAATAAACGGGGGTGGCCGTTGATTTGCCTGCTCTAGTGCTTTAGTGCTTTAGTGCTTTAGTGTTTTTGCAGTGTGATCTAATGTTTTGCAGTGGTGTTTGCTGCTGTTTGTTGGTGGGTGATGGGTGTTGGTGGATGTTGGTGCATGCAATTTAGGGGCGATCGCATCACTGGCGAATGCGAGTGCGATTGCGAAGGGAGAATGCGAGCATGGGGAAGAAATGCACAGCAGGATCAGCAAATATTAAAAACTATTTGACCATCCAGCTGGGACAGAACGGTTTTTGGGTGTGGGGAGGGGGGAGGGAGAGAGGCGAGGTTATTTTTTTTTGTTCTTCCTCTTCGCTTCTTCGTTTCTTGACCGCCAACCAGCCTAGGTGACAAGGGTAGGGGAGGGAAGGGGAAGGGATTGAAGAGTGAAAGCACGACGAAAAGGAGGAGCTATATTAAACTTCCTGCAGGGCTGGCAAGGGAACTTTGGGGGCAAAGGCAGCGGGCTCAATTGGATGGTGACAGCCAAGCCCACAGACGTGGTGATTGGACGTGCTGCAGCCTTTGCAGAAAAAAGAAAGTCAATGTTATTCGTGCTTTGCAGCATCAAACCACTTTTTGCTTTGCGATCGTCCAGGGGGGCCGAGTGGAAGAGAGGAGAGGGGGAAAAGAGGCCGGACAGGGGAGCGTGAACTCATGCAGCTCGGACGCATCAATTGAGCTTCCGGGCCAGCTAGAGAGGTTGGGGGTTGCAATCGTCCTGTCGCTGTGCGGAGTGGACGAGAGTATTTTTCTCCCTTTGTCATATATTAGAATGCTGGTAGGAGGATCAGCCGTAGGATGCCTGCCGGATGCCAGGGTGCGGGTGCTGGTGCTGGTGCCGATGCTGGTGCTGGTGCGGGTGCTGGGGGATCAATGGAATCGAGAAGAATCGCATTGAGGGAGCGGTCGCTCCTCCGTGTACCTTTTGAGGGGCCAGGCGAACTAATAAGGGGCCGGGGGCGCAAGGAAAGAGAGAAGTGAGGGAGAAGGGGAAGCTGACGTCTCAATCGATCAATGTTCTTTCTTCGATAACGACACGAGGAGACGAGAGTAGAGCACGCCAGAAAGCTGTCCTGGGAGCATTGAACCTCTTCTAAACCCAGTCGGCACTAGGGAAGGGACCCGAGAATAGAACAGAAGGGATGGAACAATACTAGACAATTAGCGCTGTCTATCCAGGTTCGGAGACCAAAAGACGTATGACTCGGGTCACGGAACGTTGCCAACGTCTTGTCTGATGGATAGATACTTTTAGACAAACGGGTCGTCCCTTTTTCCCTCTTTGTCGCAGTCCAAGTGTGACGGAGAACGGTACATCTAGATCGACTCCAGTGTTGTGATAGTCAAGGTGTATCCCTCCAGCCAGCTACAGCTATTTCGTCCAAGCCCCGCGGGTCCCAATTCCCAGGTCTCCTGTCCCAGCTCCCCGTTCCAGCTCCCCGTCCCAATCCCGAGGCCGGATACGGAAAAAGAGAGAAGAAGAAAAAGGAAGAAAAAAAGAGGCAAAAAGAGAAGAAAAAGTCAAAATCGTCAAGAGCCCGGCCACTATTAACTTTGTTGGGGCAAGAATGTTGCATGGCGAGAGGGGTGGGACGCCGCGCGAGTGAGGCGAGGTGGAGCTAGCTCGCGAAGAAAAAGAGGAGACCGAAAAAGGCTGGCTGTGTCTACCTGGTCGTTGGAAAATGCACTTGGCGATATCGGGCAACGGGGCTAGGGTAGTTGCAGCGACCATTGGATTGCTCCCCTTCTCCATTGGGCGGACAGCATGGATAACAGAATTGGGCTTGGAAGGCGGACCAAAGTCTAGCCTCGACGGCGTGTCTTTGCGTGGCCAAAGAGTTCGAAGAGTTTCCCAAGGTGGCACTTGCCATTTTGACTAGCGAGAATTTCCTTGGAATTGTCGGTACATCGATACAACTGCTCTCAACTGTGGAAGACTGCTCATCGCACTGGCGGGCTCGCTCCCCTCTCAGAGTGAGTGAGTTTGGTTGTGCACAGTGCCGTACCTACCTGCCTGTCCGTCCCACAACGCTCACACCCAAACCGACGGTACGGCTCACTGGGCAGCAGCTCGACGCGCTTCACGTGCATTTTCGTCGGCAGGCAGCGCATCCTGGCGAAATCGTGATGAATGGGTGACGATAGGGCCGGGTTCTGTTCTTTGTTTTAGGCCACGCATTCTTCATCCCCCGCCCCATTGACCATGGTCCCCATCTTTGAGCAGCCCGACGAACTGGTGATATCGTCCCTCCTCGCCCAATTCCCCTGTCGTGAGCCGCAGCTACGCGCCCTCGCTACCCTCCTCAGTGTTAGACCTCCCTTCCCCCCTCCCTCACCTCTCCATTCCTCCCTACCTCCCTTACTCCGCCCCTTCCTCTTCGAGGCCTAAGAACATCTTTTTTTATTTTGGACCTCTCAAGATAAGTAAACGAAGAGCTAACAAGCGTCTTGCTATCACCTTTTGTGCGCTTCTCAGCCCAATGGCGCGCCATGCAGGAACCTAGTCCTCTACGGATCCAAGGCCACCGGCAAGTCGGCCATTGCCGAGGCCCTACTCCAGACGCTCTCCGGCAGCAACGGCGACGCCTCCCTCCTCCGCTACGCTCTGATCAAGTCCGCCCGGTGCATAACCGGACGCCACCTCTTTGAAACCACCGTCGACGCCGCCGCCAGCGCCCTGGGCTACCAGGACCATGTGCCCACCCGGTGCGAAAACCTCACCCAGCTCGCCATCGAGCTGGCCAAGCTCTTGAAAGAGCGTCCGCAGCCCCCGGCGCCCGTCTCATCCTCGTCTTTGACGGCATCGACAACCAAAAGGAAGCACCAGCTTCCCTCCTCCCCGCCCTCGCGAGGCTTTCCGAGACGGTAAGGAGTCCCTACTTACCACCTTGTCCCTTTTCCCCTCCTTCCCCGCCATTGGCGCGTTTTGCTCTTTCCTGATGATGTGCTTCCTGAGATAAGGAAAAAAACTCCCGCTAACGCCATCTTTGGCTAGATCCCGGGCCTAACGTGCGTTTACATTGTCACCTCACCCCCTCCAGCCTACCTGCGCACAGTCGTCGGCTCTTACCTCGAGTTCCCCAACTACACCAAGCACGAGTTTGTCAAGATTCTCGCCCTCGAGGCCCCTCCACCATACCCAACGCCTCGGCCCAGGAGACCGCTGATCTCTGGCCCCGCTTCTGCGGCGCCGTCCACGACTCCCTCACAAAGTCCGCCGCCCGCACCCTCCCTTCCTTTCGCCACAGCTGCCACGCCCTATGGCCACGCTTCGTCGCCCCGATACAGGCCGGCACCCACTCGCCCAAGGAGTTCTCCAAGCTGCTCATCGCTTCCCGCGTCCACTTTCAGGATGAGTCCCTCTTGAACCCCAGCATCGCATCGAGCATCTCTAGGAGCGCCATCGCGAACCAGCCTGCCTCGTCCGCTTCCGTAAAGGATAAGGATTCGGCCACCGACCTTGCCACTTTACTTCCCACCCTCGCGCGACTCATTCTCCTTGCCGCCTACCTCGCGTCTCACAACCCGCCTCGTCACGATATCACCATCTTCTCTACCCACAACTATGGAAAGAAGCGCCGCAGGGTGGCAGTACCACCTCTACCGGCCCCCGCTCGGCCGGGCCGGGGCGCACCAAGCACCGCAAGATTGCTCGCAAACTTCTCGGTGCTCACTCCTTTGTGATGGAGCGCATGATGGCCATTTTTGCTGCGCTGAGCTCCGAATGGGCTGCTGGTGCCGGTATTGCACCTGGCCCGGATGGCACCTTGGCCCTCCCCATAGATGCGGACGTAGGTGTCGCCATTGCTACGCTGGCGAGCTTACGGTTGCTCGTTAGGGTTGGCCTGGGAGGGGATGTCATGGATAGGGGTGCTAGGTGGAGAATTAACGTCTCATGGGAGGCTGTGAGAGCTCTTGGTAGAAGTGTAGGAATAGAGGTGGAGGATTGGCTCGTCGAATAAGTGTTTGGAATGCAGGAAAAGGAATATAAAAAGACGGCGTACGACTGGCATGTGTCATTCGTGTATACTATCTACATTAACGAACCATTCAATACCATATAATGACGGCTGTAGTAATGGAGATGGCTCTTGCGAGAAACCAAGCTTTTGTCACAACTCCTTGGTTTTTAGTGTCGACATCGCTGATGATGAGACGAGATACGCAAGAGAAGAGGGTGGCACTAGAGTCTTGATCGTTGATCTCCACTAGGGGTTCTACTTGCTTATGCCCGGAGCACTACTTCCAGAATCCGCCTCCGACGTGAAAATTGAAGGGATAGGGGTTGAGATGGCTAGAATGACGGGACGGAGATAGCGAGCTATATATGTAACAAATGCTGATACCTGGCGATCCTTTGCGGAAAGAAGCAAGCGCAATCTCTCGGTACTGATAGACCAAGAAGAAAGGCGCGCGGGAGGAGAAGAAAAGAGTCAAGAGGTGAAAATGAAATCGAATTAAAATGTTAAAAAAGAACAAAGTTATATATCATAACGCCTAGTTCCCAAGCCGACCAGAACCTTTCATGATCTGGTGATGATGATGATGATGATAATGATGATGATAACGAATCCGTCTCTATATCTATACAGTGTGTATCTTCACTTTGCTTTCATGTCCCGATTTCTTTTGTGTGGGTTTCATAAGTTTCTGTTTTCCTTCGTGGATCTGTAGCTCCTGTCTGAAATGATACTCGTGTCTCTTTCGACGATTTCTTTCCCTCTTCTGTTGGTTGAGAAGCGTTGTGATTTGACGCCCGGCGGAGCATCTAGTTGCCCGCGACGTCTTGTAGAAATTGGGTTTATCAACAGCTGCCGGGTTTCCGTTGTAAATCGGGAACCCCCTCAATGTCGAAGAGAGGGGAGTGGAGCGTCATTCCAGGCCCAAGGTCGAGATATCAGAGAGAGCAAGATCGAGGAGCGCGTAAAGCGAGGAGAAAAAAAAGTTAAAGGGTAGTAAAAGGGTCTAAAGAAGAGGACAAGAAGCGGTGTTAAGTGGCCTTCAAACTTGAGCCAAAACCGAAAAGAAAGAGGTAAATGGGGAAGGGGAAAAAAATCATTGAACTCCGATAGCCCTGTCAGCAGCCAGCCACGTATCCTCCTGCCTCGTCCTGGGTGGAAGTGGAGCATTGCTCAACCCCCGCGGACGAGGCCCGTGAGGGTCGTCAGATTTCTTCGAGTACTCGGTGCCCGTACCGCCGTTGGTGTAGCCATGGCTCGCGGCGTTGCCGTTGCCATAGTAGGAGGGAAGAGGTCCGCCGTTCAACGGCGAGACCGTCTTCCGATCGGCGAGGAAGAATCGGGGCGTTCTTGGGCGAATCAGCCATGGAGCGGACCTTGTTGTCGGCCTTGTTGCTGGCGCTGGCGCGGTCGTACATGTACAAGCCGAGGAAGGTGAGGGCGATGCCGGCGCCCTGGACCCAGGTGGTTGGGCTGCGGAACCAGACCAGGGTGACGGTGATGACGAAGACGCGCTTGAGCAGGCTGGCGACGGAGTAGGTGACGGGGAGACCATGGACAGCAGCTGGAAGGCGATGATGTTTTGGCCAAAGTGGAACGTGCCGTTGAAGATGAACTCGAGAACCAGGCGGCCGTGGTCGAGGCTCTGCGGCCTCTCGTTCAAATCAATGGACCCGTCGTGCAAGAAGTCGCGCAGCATCTCGATGCCCTCGGACCAGAACCAGATGGGGGCCGTGAGGATAAAGGCCAGGCCGGCCGAGTAGCAGAGGAGGTTCAGCTTATCGAGCTTGCGGGACTTGGCGCCGAGCCCCTGCATCTCGGCCTTGGCGGCCTCGTTGAACAGGCGCTTGGACACGATGTTTTGGGTGACGAAGATGAGGGCGGCGGCGAGGGCGTAGAGGACGCCGAGGAGCTCGCCGCCAAAGGCGTGCTTGCCGGAGCAGGCGAGCATGACGCCGAGGGTGAGGGGCACGAGGGAGATGTAGGTCGCGACGGGGTAGCGTATGTCGTAGATGAAGCGGTAGGCGAGCACGGTGAAGAGCGGGGAGAGGCCCTTGATGGTGTGGACGAGGGACACGGGGATGAGCAGGGTCGCGTTGGAGCTGAGCAGGTGGCCGCCGATCTGGAACAGGGCGAGGGGCAGCGTCGTCTTGAGTATGTCCCGCGTCGGGGGCCGGATCGGGTTCTTGAGGGCGGGGACGGTGGCGCGCAGGTGGGGAAAGGCCGAGGCGACTGCTGAGCAGACGAGGCAGAAGAAGGAGACGAAGGCGAATTGGACAATGGTGAGGGTCGCGGGCTTGTCGAGGGTCATGAGGATGGACTTGGACGAGGTGTTGGTCAGGACTGACGAGGTATACCAGAGTATACACAGAACCTTGAGAGATGGCTCGATGTTAGCAATAATCCCCCTCCCCAAGCGAAGAAGAAAGAAGAAAAAAGAAAAAAAAAAAGGAGAAAAGAACCTACAACGAGGACAGGCGATACTGGCGCCTTGAGCGCATCGGTGATTTCGTGTACATTTTGGCTCACGCTGCCGCCGCGGGTTCGAATGGTCCGGAAGGCCTCGCTGAGGCTCTTTTGACGAGTGTGGCCGTTTGTCCTGGACGTGGGCGTGGGGCCGTTGGCATAGGTATGTTCGCGACGCGGGGCCCACCGAGAGACGGTAGGGTCAAAGGCTGAATTGTCGACAGTGTCCATCTGGGGAAACTGTTCGAGCCCGGCTTGGGAGGATGCGGCATCGTTGTACGACTTGGCGCGGCCAAGGGTGTATGACGGTCCCCGGCCGGGACAGTGGAATGAGGCATGTTCCGGGGGCGAGGGAGAAGGAGAGAAGAGCAGCCGATTATTCGTATATCCTTATCCGCCGCTGTACGACTTGGAATTCGGAGCGGCGGGTAGCAAGAGAGGCAGGGCTTCGGCGTAAATCGAGAGGGTTGGCGAGGGCTATAGCTGCATGGCTTTCCTTCGAGTTGCGCGGGATCAAGGATGAGAAGTCCAAGAGGGGGAGAGGAAAAAAGAGAAAGAAGAAGGAGAAGGAGAAGAAGGGGAAAGCGAGACGACACCCGGTTTGGGGTGGGACTTCCGGAGCGGGTAGTGGGGAAGGGAGTCGAAGACTGGAACAAGCGATTATGGGGAAAACGAGCGAAATGGCGACAACGAAGGAAAATGGATCTTCTATCGCCTGGTGCCAGTGGTCAGTGGTGGTGCTTCTTAGGCGGGCTGTCGCATTGGGGGTATCACGAAGCGCGCAATCAGTCGAGGTCTGGTCCGTTATCTCACTGCAGCGTACAATTCGATGGGGGATTGGTGCGAATGATGGAAGGGAGGAATGGGAAGAATACGATTTTTTGGGCTATGCGAGTGTGTCGAGGATCATGGATGTCTTAATTACGGCACACGGTACCATGTACGAAGCAGCTGTTCGTATCGCGCCAGGGTGGCCGGGAAGGGAAAAGCGACGGGCAAGATCAATTGATGGATCAATGTCGAGCCAAGCCTTTGATTGACCCCTGTCCTGTGTGTCCTGTGTGTCCTGTGTCCTGTTTCTGCGCGCATCCTGTCCCACGTAATAATTCCTGACGGCATGTTCGCTAATACTTTTTTTCTTTCTTTCCTTCTTTTCTCTCCCTTTAAGGTTCCTTTTCCCCTTTCCCTTGTCGCGCTTGCTTGCTTCGGGAAACGGGTAACCTTGTCCTGCCAGCATTTCGACAGCCGACACCACAAATGCGGCGACTGTGGCCCAATGTCGAGCCTGTCATTGGCGGGTGCAACAGAATCCAGTGTTCCATGTCCACATTGGGAGCATCGGCATACGCAATCCATTCAGTCCAAACTTGCGCATCACCCGAGATGTGGGCCTCGGGGAGGGGACTGGCGACACTGGCGACACTGGCGACACTACTAGGGACAGACAAGGGAGCATTTGAAGGCTGCTTTTTGAATACATTCCCGATGTAATGGTGGGGTTCGAGTTTCCGGTATTTTTAGTTGCGACCAACTAGAAACTTGGCTGACTGCACGCCGTGTCGTGGGCTCTCACTCATCACTAAAAGCAGAATAATTGATGCGCGCTGGCTCCAATGAACGACGCCACTGCTCAATCAGTTGCTCAGAGTATTAATTCGCGCTCCTGAGATGACAAGACGACTCGGTCACGGAATCAGTCCCCCTCTCATAAATCTGACACTGTGTCCCCCAAGATGTTGAGACGTAATAAACGCCGAGTGAAACGGGGGCGATCAGAGAGATCGCTCGCACTGTCAATGGTGGCGCAAAATTATCGTGAGACACAGCTAATATTCATCAGAGTGTATTATTAGCTGCAAGTGGAAGACATGGGATGAGAGGAAGCACGTTCCCAAGGACGAAGTATATCTGGCAGCGCTTGGCTTCCACGATAAGATAACGAAAGAGTGGGGCTGCCTGAGAAAGATGGTGGACAGCTGTCAAAAGATGCCAGCAACAGCCTCACCACTCCCGCGGATTATCTAATGGCCCGCCATCCGAAGACAACCAAAATTGTTCGGGTTGCGTGTGCGTGCGTGCCATGCAGCATAGCATGCAAGCAGAAAGTAGGCGGCGACTTATCAAGCGAAAAAGGTTTCTTTTCGACCAACGAGGCTCGAATCAACCCACCATCTGGGTCAACTAGGATTTGCGCACCAGCCGGACCAAGATTTCATCCCAGGTCGCGGTGAAAAGAGACGGGCTGCCCCTTGAACTGATAAAGGGAAGCAGGAAAAAGCTCTGCTAAAATCAAGTGCCCACCCGACACGACCCAGCCTGGCGTCCAGGCCCCCCGACAGCCTTTGAAGCCTCGGATCCCCGATTGCTGAGCTGAGCTACGCTCTTCTCGTTTGTTTCGTTTTCTCTATCGATACTCGCCGAGGCGCGTAATGCCACCGAAAGTCCCTGATCCCAAACGATTTGTCTTTCGCGTCGTCCTTGCCTACACCCTCCTCCAAATCACCGCTCCTCCCAAAAACTACCTCCCGAGCGTCGCGTCATCGACGTCCACATCGGCGCCATGGCCCAAAAAATGACCAAGAACCAGATGAGGAGGGCGAAGAAGAAGGAGCAGAAGAAGACAAAAGGACCCGATGAACAGCCTGCCGCCGACGATGACGTTGCTGCTACTCCCGCCACCACGACCGAAGACGGCCAGGAGGCGGCGCGCGACACCGTCACGAATGGGGACAAGCCGGCCGCGGACCTCAAGGCGAAGAAGCTTGGCGACTCCGCCATGGATGATGACGCCCTCGAACCCGACAGCCTCGATTCGATAGATGACCCGTCCATCGCGTACTTTCAAGACGTCTTCAAAAATTTGGCGCTGCGCCAGAAGGGGAGGATGAAGCCACGAGGAAGCCAACGCGGGGAACAAGGGCGAAGTACTATACGGAGACGATGACGAGATACCCAGCGAAGACGAGGAGGCGGTGCCCAAGTTGTCGAGGAAGAAGAGAAAACAATTGACTAAGCTCTCCATCGCGGAACTCAAGGCCCTCGTCAAGAACCCCGAAGTGGTCGAGTGGCAAGACACCTCATCATCGGACCCTCGTCTGCTCGTTCAAATCAAGGCACAGCGCAACGTCGTACCCGTACCCACACATTGGTCTCTCAAGAGAGAGTACCTTTCTTCGAAGAGGGGTATCGAGAAGCCCCCTTCAAGCTACCCCAATTTATCGCCGAAACAGGCATCACCGAGATGCGAGATGCGGTCCTCGAGAAGCAGGACCAGCAGACAATGAAGCAGAAGCAACGCGAGCGCGTGGCGCCCAAGATGGGAAAGCTCGACATTGACTACCAGAGACTTTATGACGCTTTCTTCCGCTTCCAATCCAAGCCCGAGCTGACGCGGTTTGGCGAAGTATACTATGAAGGCAAAGAGGTCGAGGTGGACTTTAAGAATTTCAGAGCCGGCGACCTCACCGACGCGACAAAGGAGGCGCTGGGCATGCCTGCCGGCGCGCCGCCCCCTGGCTCATCAACCAGCAACGGTTCGGTCCACCTCCCTCCTATCCTACCCTCAAGATCCCCGGTCTCAACGCGCCCCCGCCCCCGGAGGCTCGTGGGGATTCCACCCCGGCGGCTGGGGCAAGCCGCCTGTGGACGAGTTCAATAGACCTCTCTTCGGCGGCGACGTGTTTGGTCTCGCAGCTCCCAACGGCGCAGCTGGCGCGACAGGTGCGCCACCTGTGGCGGCAGTGCAACCCCAATATGCCGCCGAGGAGCCGATAGACAAGACGCTCTGGGGCGAGCTGCAACCGCGCGAGGAGTCGGAGGAAGAGGAGTCGGAAGAGGAGTCGGACGAGGAAGGGTCGGACGACGAGGACGGCCCTGGCGCTGGCGGTCTCGAGACTCCCAGCGGGCTGGAGACGCCGAGCGGGTTCGTCAGCTCCGTACCGACAGACTACCCCATCGGGGCGGAAACGTCGGTGGCGGGCGAGATGGACCTGCGCAAGGCCCGTCGCGGCATCGACACCGAGGAGTCGTCGCACCCGCGGTCCGCCTACACCGTCATTCCCGAGGCCGCCGGCCGCGGCGTGGAGGGTTTCTTTGGCAGCGAGCGCACGTACGACCTCAACGCTGCGCGCAATTTGTCGGTCCTGGGCCAGGACGACGACACGCGCAAGCGCAAGAAGCCAGGCGATGTGGACGTGGCGCTCGACCCGGATGCGCTGCTCCAGCACGACGGCATGAGCAAGGAGGAGCTCAAGAAGCGGTACGACGAAAGCAGGCGGGAAGAGGGCGTCGGCGCGCAGTGGTCCTACGAGGAGGACCTGCAGGACATGATCTCGCAGGAGGCGAGAAAGAGGCAGAAGATGGACGAGAAGAGGAACGAGAAGAAGCGCGAGAGCAAGTACAAGTTTTAGGCAAGAGCGGCAGATGGAGGGGTGGGGTGTGGTTGGGATGGGGTAATGGTGCGAGCGAGGAAAATCGACCGACTTCCGCAAAACCCGCATTCGTTATGGCGCCTGTTTGGCATTCTTTGTACGTTTACACAAAAAGAGGACACACTTTTTATTTCTTTTTCTTTATCAAAGGGAGGATTACGGGCGTACATTGTTATGTAATACAGCATTTGATTCACTTGAGCATAGGTGTGGAAGAGCACACTGATACGTTTTTCTTTTGCCTTGACCTTTGGTGCCTATACCCTCTGACGCCGAAGTTGTCCTCGTCTTGAAGGAGTTTGATGATGGGCTTCCTATGTGTACAGATCTTGTGATTGTGGAGATGGGCTCCTGCCTACTAATGACTCTTAGAGATGCAACAAGTTTGGGTCGTTTCGGGCAAACGGTAGTCAACGTGCGAGCGGTTGAGTCCGCTTGTATTCCATGAGGCTGGCGCTTGTTTGAATGTGAGGCTGACTAAATCCCATGATCGACGTGCACCGTGCAAGCCTTGCGTCCTACCTCTCCTAGATAGCAACAGGACACTTTTTTTTCTTTACCCACATTTCCCGATCCTCATACATTAGGTGAATCGTACGTTCCGGATATGTCGTCCGAGATTCCTAGCATGGAGATGAAAGGTTCCCATACCCTTGCGATGATAGTTCTGTTGGTAAGCACCGCTGCGGTGCAAGACTTGACCGATAGCATCAACATTGATGAAGTTTATAATCAGCCTCAGACAGCTGTTATATGATCGGTTTCCATGAGTCAAGAGAAGTAATATCATGGCGGGCTGCTCCTGGAAGCCCTCTGGGAATAAAAGGGCCATACCTGCTTCCAAACTCACCCGGAGCGAGTGGGACCGTATATCACACTGTATATCTCGAAGACTCGGAAGTATCATACAGCTCCATGCCCGCACTTCGCGATGCGCAACCCGTCCTGTAGACTTTATACTTGTCCAGTACTCTTCATATCTAGCGCCTAGACCGCGTTGATCTATGCTTTAGTTAGCTTTGCCCGGCCAACCACCTACTTTGCCACTATACGCACTGCGCGGCTGCATCATCCTGCTATATCACGCCTCTCCATGGTTTGAATGTTTGATGTCGTCTTAGTGTAATTCCGTATGCTGAGGTTCATAGAACCGCGGCCACTGTTCTGTGATCTCCCTGGTGTGTATAATCTGACCGATATTTTCCGGTTCGCTATAATGCGTCATAACCTCTTAAAGGCGACCTCGAGATGATACATGTAGGGAGTAAGCCCGTGAGAAGCACCCAACTGCGTGAGCAACCTCGTATAAAAGAACTATTCATTACGGCTAATCCGCTCGTCATATCTCATCCAAGTTGAAAAACATGATTGTAACGGCTTACAACCGCAGTCCTCAATATCCGTCGGCAGTGGCTAGACACATATCCGTTCACGCCTCGCCAGCATACCATTTCTCACATTGATGTGCTCCAGGGATACTAGTACTAGATCCACTCCTTCCTAGTGAGATAACCTCTTCATCTTATAAACATCGTCATAGCTCCCGTTCGGTTGGTGGGCCGTCTTCGATCGCGCGTGGTGCCGTGCTATAGTCGACATGGATCCGCGGCCACTGTCTACGCTATATAAACATCTCTCCCACGGCCTAGGCCAATGCTGTATGCATCGGGCCTGGCTTACTCACATCTAAAAGTATCAGGCCTCTGCTCAGCACTGACTGTCTTGGCATATTGGCACCTCCGCCAAAGTTCCCTCAGTAGAGTCCGAATCGATGCAGATCGCAAAGGCTCATGGATATCAAGAAATCAAGAGTGTGATTCTTGAACATGTTCTACTCTATCTAGATAGCGCCAGAGCTCTTCAGAGGCGGAGACGATGGTTATATGGCTAGATGAGAAAGTCGCCTTTAGATAGATGTTGTATGCACATGTACTTGTGGGTATGGAGATTGCGTGAGCTAGATTGTATAAATATATCGCTGCTTGCCAGCTGCGAGGATCGCACTTCAAGCCAGTACTGAAAACGCATCCACATGCCCGAATGATGACGGATCTAATGGTTCAAAAGATAACTGATATCGGGAGTGAAGAAAACCGGAGGCTACATCGATGTATGGCAACGGCACTTCTGCAAGTTTCATTAGGGTTAATTAACATCAATAGATTGAATTTTGTCCTCTACCAATTACTTCTACCCCCTATCCGCTCAACGTTTCATATGGATCTTCACGGCAAAATTTGGCAAGCAAGGCCGAGTCCAGAAAGACAATCCAAATAGGATATTGTATAAATGCGTAAGGGCACAACTGTGCAATGCATGATTTAATCCAGCCAAAATAATAAAGATAAAAAAAGCAGAGCCTTCCCTGTGACCGCGAAATCTTTCGCCTCTGTTGACACCAAGTGACCAGATGTTGAATTGTGATGAGTTCCGACAAGATAGTAAAAAAAAAGAAAGAAAACAAAAGAGCGCAAACGGCGAGAGAAAGACCGGAAAAAAGCAGTCGAAAATGGCAGAAAGGATATAATGCCTCGATATGCACCCCGACTCGAACCTACGACCGGGTCCTGTGTGAGCGAGCCGTACCCTTCGTAACCCTTGCCACCTTGCTAAGCCTAGACCGGGGACAAACGTTATCTCATGAACCCACCGGTCTGACTCGTCCACAGAACCTCAAGGCCCAGGAGCTCTGTGGAAGTGGACGAAGGGAGGACCAAGGAGAAAAACGCCATGCTATGCCATGGTTAAAAATGAACAAACGTTGGACATCAACTATACAAGATTCCTCTCCTGCTGTGTACTTGGCTGAGATGTAGCGTGGGACTAGAGGGGGTAAACGCTCTAGTTCGGACGACTATCCACCTTCGTCTTCTCCGCGGGGAACTGCCCCAGAGTTCCTCGTTTAGAACTTAAGTTGGCTATATTAAAACCCAAGGGGTGCTTATATTAGCGCCCGCTTCGCCCCAAACGTCGGAATCGATCTCTGGTGGAGCGTCTCACGATTCTTCGACGCGCCTTCTATGCGGCGTCTTGCGGAACATTTGCGGGTGCGTCCTGCGGTTCTGCTGGAGGTATTTCGTCCACGCAGCTGTTACAGAGCCAGTTCTCTTCCGTCGGCCTCCTGCGGATTCCGTCTTGAAGACAAGTCAAATGGAAATGGTGGCCGCACGCCTGTTCTCATTAGTAATGTTCTCATATGAGCAAGATGGGAAAAAGAGAAAGGAGATAAGATGGGAGGCTTACGGCATTGGAGCAGACCAAAGTGCAGATTGCACCAACCGGCGGCGAACCGCAGATGAGACACGTTGGTTGCTCTCTCTTCCAAACCTCTTCGGGTTCATCCTCCTCTTGGTCTTCTGCTGAGCCCTCCTTGTTAGCCCTTGCTGCCCGGGCATCTTGCAAAATAAGATTGATTTCGTCAAGAGTTGGCTGATCTACGACATCTCGGAGCTGCAAATACGCTAGATGCTTGAAGAACTCTTCCTCTCGCTGTTCTGAGGAGACGATCCAGACAGCCTTGGCCCCGAGAAACTCAAGGAGGACCCGAGGAACAAAAATTTCCGAAGACAGACGCTTTGGGAGGACAAACTTATCCCAGGCCAGGATATATTCCCTTTCGGGAAGCTCAATGTCCACAAAGTCGGAGATGATGTCTCTGTGCTTTTGGATCCACCATCTGTCATCGCTTTGAGGTGGGATAAGCTCAGTCCCGGGCTCCAGCCGCGCTCTGCTGACGGAGTCATAAAGCGGCTGCTTTGTCTGCGGGACGAAAATCTTCTTTGGTGGCTTCTTGACCGGTGGTTTCTGTTCGCGTCGTCTTGGTCAGCAATGCAGCTCGGTAGTTAGTCCGCGCTCGCGCGGGCGGGCATGGACAAAGAAGAAGGGAGGACTAAAACCCCCACTCTGATGCTCAGCACGTTGTGGAGGGGTTTCACTACTTACGGGTAAGGCCGGTCTCTTGATAGCGGCCCCAGCTGGGAGCGGCTTCAAGGATTTCTGTGGCTCGAGGGCAGGGTCTGTCGCTTCTTCCAGGCTGAGCGGTCTCGAAGATCTGGTAAAGTGGAACTCCTCCGAGGGAGGGAACCAGTCATAGTTGTGCGTAACCCGGAATTGCTGGGACCCTTTGTCGTTCGGAGCTCATATGAAAACTCAGGATGAGAGGATTGGAGGTGGAACTGAAGGATCTGAAGCGACTGATGCGCCACGCCGCAGGCCACGCAGCGGTAGGAATCCAAGGAGAACTGGTCGTTCGGGAGCACATAGGTAATCTGGCCATCGTCGCGCTTACGGCGCCTCCCACCTTTGCTCTTCCCTTGAGCCTTGTCGCTTAGGAGCTTGAGGTTATACACCCGATTTCCCCGAGTGCGTAGGGCCCGGTTGGGCGTCGTGTCTCCCTCTGGTTCCTCGCTACCATCCCTGACGAACCCATTCACCGAGCTGTTGGACGTTCCGTTGACGAGGGTATCCGGGGTTGGGACACCATTCGCATCAGTTCCGTTTGTAGCGCCCGTATTGGGATCCGCCACATTCACAGTGATGGAGGACATGACGCCCTTCTCGGGGTTGCTGGGCGTTGCTCACAGCCCGTTGACCAGCGCGCGTCAATATCGACAATATAACTGGTTCGCAGGATGCATTCCCGGGTATACTGATGCATGTAAAGATCCACCGACATACGCGACCTCTTGAACAGATCCACGAGGCACGCTAGCAGAACCCATCGCCGCGCGCCTTGGCTATTGCGCTCCGGTGGGATCGTGAGATCCAGGGGAGGCCATTCCTTGCCATCCGCGGCGGTTAGCTCAACGTCTAGCCTGTAGTTGTCGGCCAAATCATACGACCCGTCTTCCCGGACAATCTTGAGCGTCTGATCTGGAACAAAGAACGGCTGTTCCAGATACACCCTGGCCATGGGCGAGCTGCCCACGGGATTCTTGAAAGTCTTGATGGTACAAGGCTGGCTGTTACAATAAAGAACAGGAGGGGCATGTTTGCACAGGGGCGAGTTGTCCAGGATGGTAATTTTACAAGACGCCCGGATCGTCAGCAAATTGGTCAGCGGCTGGGGCGGCGTGTCCAAGTTGCTCAGACTGACGCTCGGTTTCACCCTACGCTCCGAATCCTTGTGAACGATCTTCAGGATGTCGACCCGCAATAACCGCGGCGAGGGGTGCGGATCTTTTGGTAGGAGCACATCGTCTATTGACGGAATCTCCGAAAGTTCGGGGTGGCATCCTTGCCGAGCCTTAGACGCTTGGAAGGCCGATTTTCCGCCTCAGCGCTATTGCGCGTGTCATAGCCAGTTCGAGTTTTGATGAATCCGTCGGCAGTTGCTGACCAGTCACCGACTCCTTGGTTCCAGTTCCGCTGCAAAAACGGCAGCTGACGTTGAGGGGTGTTGACTAAAGTCATGCTCGATACAACGCATGAGAGGCGCACGTCAAGATTACACGCGCTTTAGATGTGGGAGTCTTTTGAAGCGGCGGGCAATGCGCAAAGGTGGCGGAGATGATCAGTGATGGGCGAGGCAAGATTGCTGGCAAGCATAGTCTGGCAGAGAGGCAGGTTTGGAGGTCACAAGCAGGGGCGTGAAGGAAAAGGGAAAGGAGATGGGGCTGACGTCCTGATGACTAGAGCATGGACGTTGATCGGCAAAAGACCAGATGTGTCTCTCGAAATATCCGGCAGCGCGGACAAGATGGTGGTTGCTGACGCGATGAGATAGGGCGCGACGGCAAAAATGGACCCAGGCGACAATGGGAGGAAAAGAATGACACAGTAGAAATTGGGGCAAAAACCCGCGGCTCTCTCTCTTCTCTCTCTCAGGTTGGCGTTTCGCAGGCGCTGGTATTTCGCCACTCAGGGAGAAAGGGTGCACCCGATGTGCGTGAAGAAGAGAAAAGATGCCTAGAGGCGTTGATGGTCAAGTCAAACCGGCGCGCCTGGATGAGAAGAGATGAGACTGGATAAGAAAGGATGAAGAAAGGGGTGCTGTGGATGAGTGGAGATGAATCTCGATGGATGTTGGTGATGGAGCTAAGGAGCAAGGGACCGGACCGAGGATAGAGGGCGGGCGAGGTCTGGCGCCGAAAGTGAGGAATAAGAGAGGTGGCTGCCGGATAATTCTAACCGATATCCACAAGCGAGTCAGGAAGCCCAAGAGCGGGTAGAATAATAAAAATCAAATACGGACGCGATCGAGCTGGGATGCGTGCAAAGATGGATGATCACAACGGAGTTGGTGCTGGCGTTTTGCAGATGCTGGCCAAATTAAGGAATAGGCACAGCGAGGCAGATTGCGTATTGGGGGAAACTTAAAGCCGCGCGACACGAGCAAGCCAACGTCCGAGTGCTTAGTAGAAGGGGAGAAGTGTGATGGGGCAAAAAAAAGTTATATCGCGAACATTCCTTGATGCCTCCAGTTTCCGCAGCAGCGAGGCAGATGCGATGCTAGAGTGCTGGGATGGTGGGGAGATTTGTATTGTTGGCGGGTGTTGCGGGCGGAAAGAATCGAGGTTGAAGTAGATGAAAGATATTCGAACGCGTACGGAGAGCGCTCCTATTCTCGAAAATCAACAAGCGGTTCGTTTTCGCTGGCCGTCGCTTCCTCTTTGGATTTTGGCCAGAGCACGCGCCGCCTGGCCCCTTCCATCAGCGTAATTTTTTGTCTTTCTTTCCTGATTAGGAAAGGTGCGCTAAAGTGGATCTCATCCGCCACTGCTTGACTTGGTATTGCGTTGCGTAGCTTATACACTCAGGGCTGTATTACAACCTTGCATCAACCATTCAATTGCTGGAACTTCAAGCCTTCGGTTAATGCATGCCCCGGTAATGAGCCACCCGAACCACCAACACACACCTCCGCCGAAAGCATTCGATAGCGAATGTCATTTTGAAATTATTCGGGTTGTGTATTTCCATGAAATAAAGGAGGATGCAAGACGTAGGCTTTCCCTCCCATACCATTATAGCTGACTAGGGCTGGGCTTTCACGGCATGGGCTTCCGTGACCTATACCCTCTTCCTTTCCGAAACATAGTGCCTCTGGCTAGTGGATAGGGTTTCTAAGTAGAGACATAAGTTACCCTTATTTTTGTTTATCTAGACGGGGATAGAGCGATGGAAATGGCGTCGAGTCCAATTATCATTTGATCGATCAATTTTAAACTACGAAGATGGTTGATGGATCTAGACACAACTGTGGTACCCTGTTCAGTAGGACTTTGAGTATAGCTGGGGCCGTGCCTGCCTCCCGCGCCAACTCACATAAACGTTAGTCATTTCGATCTTCATGTGCCATTCAGAGCATGTAGATAGGCCGCATGGTTTTCTTACTAAGTAATAGTCTATGCACGAGTTGACCATCCGAGATCTATGGATGGCTGTCCACATGCGTCAAAAGTGAATCCTTTCTGAATGATTGGAAGGCCGGCCTTTCCTTTGCTGATCGGCCGTAGCTTCCCCACTTGTAAGTCTGCCACTGCGCAGCCTCTCGGGGTTCACCCATGGCTTGGGCACAGGCTTGTGGACCCGTGACTAGACCCCTCCCGCAGCCAAAGGCAACAGTCACGTGACTTTACAATACTGAATCGACATCCAGTCATAAGTGGTCCCCAATGTCAGCTCCAAGGCGATCCTGGCCTGACATTCTTCGGTACTAGGCAGCGGAGGTTGGATGCATGCTAAGGACGCAAGTTCAGTCCACCCCACATTCCCCATTCTGCCCCTCCGTCATCATCTTCCCCAGTCAATCCCGCCATAGGCTTTCGGTGCACATCTCAACCTGTGACAGGCGCGTGAATTGTGACACGAGCTTCAAGGCAATAGCCGCAATTTCATTAACGCTGCGGGCTGATCTCCCTGCCTCTGACTTGAGGCCCCTCCGTCCCCTTCATTGCGACCTTTTCACTTATTTTCCCCCTCTGCACAACTTGCCCTCTCTTCTTTTATACCCATTTGAGGAGTGTAGCTCACGTCTCCTTCTATCATCCGAGGATTTCTATCGGCAGGTAGTCTAAAGGTACGTGTATAAAAGCACCCACTTGACACTCCCAACGACTGGTCTCGTCGGTCCCGAAAAGAAGGAAAAATAGCCGAAAGAAAAAAATAAAACAGGAAAAATCCGCCGCACGCGCATCTTGTCCTCTCGCTAATATCGGATCATAGCTTGACCTGTTCCACCACTGCAGAGTGTCTGCTCCAGCCGCTGAGCTAGTGGTCGGCCGAATGGCTGACTCTCTGGGAAGCGGAGCGACTCGCTCCTCGGCGCGCATCCGCAACAATGTGCGCCGTGATTTAAAGAAGAGGTTGTTAGCATCCCCAGCTAGTGGTCGGCCTCGAACACGCGCTCAAAAGGCTGTCCTGGCGGGCGATTCAAGGCGCAGACGTGCGAATTTATATGACCACTTTCTTATCAGTAAAGCGGATTCTAGAAGAAGCAAACGCACGACAGACGCGAATGACTCGCCTGGAGACACTACTGATTCCCTTGAGGACGATGACTATTCCGTCGTTTCGGATGCACAGGGCGACAATCCGGCCTCGAAACGCCGAGCTCATCAACAACCCCGTCGATCTCGGCGAACGGCCAAGAAGCCCACGCTCGCTAAAGGCCGCCGACATGCCGTAACTAATACTGCAGCCAGAAAACCAGAAGAAGCTCCTCCAAAGCAGGTTGTTATTCCCAACTGGATCGTACCCGCAATGCAGCCCTATTGGGGAGCCGTCCTTGCCCACGCCGCCACCGAAGCGGGTTATCTAAACCGAAGCTGGCTGCTTGAGGCGTCGACAGTCTGCAAAGCCTTTGCGGAGCCGGCTCTTGATGTTTTGTACTCCAGCCCAGCCATAACGACTGAGGCGAAATTGCAAAAATTGGTGGCCACACTGAGCCGTCCTAGCACCATGTTCAGCTACCCCAGCAAGATTCACAGCCTTCATCTCGGCCCAAGGTTTATCCCAACCAACTCTATGATCGAGACCCTCTTAATATACCTTCCACGGCTGCGCCATTTTTCTATCGACCACGAGCTGGATCAGGCTCCATTCCGAGACCTCACTACGCTGCCTCGGCGAAGCTACCCGGATATCTGGAAACTCCTAGAGGAGCGAGTCGATACACGGCCCGGGATGATTCAGCAGCCAAGTCGGCTCCTCTCGTGGAGGTGGTCCTGGAGGCTTCTAGGCAGCCTCACAATGGACACACTCATACAGCTGCATACGATTGGTCCCCTGCGCGAATTGAAAAGCCTGCACCTCGTCAACTTCCCGTCCCTCGGATATACCCCACCAATTGAAGACGTACAAATGAGTGAGGTTGGGGGCAGCGTGAGTTTCCGGCCGAGATCTGCCCAGGACTGCGCCAAGGTGATAACCCCTTTGAAATTTCTTGAGCACGTTGCACTAGAGGCGTGCTTTGCCGTCGATGGCGAATTTCTGAGCCACCTACCGCGCGACCTCAAGCATTTGGAGATAATTCAGTGTTGGAACCTCCAAGCGGCACATCTCTCCGAGTTTCTATTAACCCATGGCAAAAACCTTCGAAGCCTGACTCTAAGGAATAATCAGTCGTTGGACCTTAGTTTCTTGACCGTCCTTCAAGACGCTTGCCCTAATCTTGAAGAGCTTGAAGTCAACATGAGCTATTTCAAAGATCCGGAGACAAATAACTCGGAGCCACTTTTTGACTTTGCGCTGTCCGAGGATCAGGTGCCTAGCTGGCCTTCCTCGATCCGGCACATCGAGCTACTGCATATACGGCCCTGGAGCTACGATGCGGCCGTCATGTTTTTGCAGTCTCTAATCCGGGAGTCCAAAACCTACCAAATCTCCGATATTTGGTGATCAAATCAATGTTGGATCTCGATTGGAGAAAGCGAGCCATGATGCGAGACGAGTGGCGTTCGCGCCTGGAAAACGTGTTCCTCCGGCCTCCATCCAAGGGTCCCGAGCCATGGACGTCGATTCCCAAACAAAGCAAGCCGCCTGAACCGAGCCATGACAAGGCCGAGGCCGAGGCCGCGGTAGAGGAGAAACCTGTCAAAGAAGTTGACGCCTCACGCCGGCGGAGTAGCCGGATCATAGGTAAAGATGAAGAAGATGGCCACCCGTCTGCGGTCATGACACGAAGGAGTCGCCGCAATTATGCCGAGCCTCCTACCGATGCCGAAGACGATTCGGATTCGGATTCGAGGGGAGATGATGGTGACGACGTGGACATGGCAGACGTGGAATTACGAGATTCTTCCAATGCGCATGGTGATCATATTCAAGGTTTGTGTCGCCGCGTGGAACTGACGATTGAAAACCATAAGCTCGCAGAGTTGCAGTACGACATGGACGATTTTGTCGACGGAGCCAGCTCAGATGAATCATCCAGCGATTCTGACTTTATCTGATGGTTTTACCTTCTCCATCGAATCTCTTCCGGTTCCCTCGTTATGTTCTCTTTTCGACTCCTTCATTTAGGAAATAGTTGATCCAAAGAAGCATGCGGCGTGCCCAAACGGGAGGAACTATGCTTTTTTCTCACATCTTTAAGCAAGGCGCCTAGGAAGACAGAGATAAGTCATTTGGGGGACGAATGGCAGTGGCCCCGGTATATGCATTATATTGCATACCGAGGTGCTTGATGAATCAATTGATGTAATTATTAGATGGCTTGGTCGCAAGACCTCAAGGATATTGCTTCGTGCTTCAGTCGGAGGTATCGAGGTACCTCAACTATGTGTGTTCTATAGCTCCTCATTTCCCTTCTTTTCCCAAGAGGAGGCAAAATGATTTGATGTTCACGGCAGGGATCAAAATAAAAAGGGGTTTTTCTCAAGAACTGATGTTATTTGGCTGTCATCTAACGGAAGCCCCACCAGAATGTGACTGGAATATAAATTGCGTGATGTCCCATCTCCTTACCACGGCTGTACGTGTAGACTTTTGTGGCTTCCGTGGACTTGAGGGAATGATTGCCATTTTCATATGCTAAAAAGTCTGTTTAATTCCGCTCAACTGTCATGCTTTGGTCTTTTATGCGAATGATGAGGATACAAGTGAAAGTGTCTGATGGGGTACATGCAAGGAGCGAACTTGACCATGGCTAAACTTTCTGTTGGCGAGTGTTGACGGTGTAATCAGGATATGTGAATATATCAGAAGTTTCCTCTGCCACAGCATGAGGGGAGGCATTTTGAAAGTACCATTGATTAAGAAAGCAGATTTAGAACCTAATGCATGGTTGCTTAGATGGATGGGTTGGTCAATGGCTATTACTACACTGATATCTCTATTCACTTGGCTATTCAACCGCATCCATCGATGTCACGAACGGTTACCACGATTACAGTCTCTCCACTCGATTCCAAAGGATTGATATAGTAGAGCCTTATAACACACGGGTTCCTGAGACAGATGGACATAGTACACGAGGAGAGTAGGTTGGGGAGGAGGAATATATCCCTATCCATAGATGGATCCATGAATGCGTGTATGTACGCGATTGTGTGTGGTGATGCTTGCCACTACCACTCCCAACGAGATACATGCCGATGATGAAGTGCCAGATACAGATTAAACCGTCTTGGCCCCATAGCCAGAACAGCTCCTCTCGTGTGATACTCTAGTCATGTGGGATAGTAGAGAATCACATATTAGGCGAGGCGATACTCGCCCGCTCAGCTACATGTGTACCTTGTGGCTTGAATAGGGTAGATCGTGCTGAGATCTCTCTTACAGTTGCAATAGAGACACTCAGTAGGTGAAGCACAAGGCTATTCTCAAACCTTCTCACGCGCGCTCTCGTCGTTGCTTGTCTGGTGTCCGTGATGCGCGTATACACATATTCGTGTACGTGCTGGTGAAGCAGGTCTTGCCAACCTTCTTGAGCCAAACACCACATAAAAGCGCATGCTTTCTTGAGAGGGCGATAAGATCACCTGCCTGATCACTTATACTCGAGTTATAATTGCGCTTAAAAGTATCTTAAAATATCTTGACGGGCTGGGGAAAAAGGTGGGCGAAGGACAGAGGCACAGACAAATTATATTCATCGAGCTCTCTACGTCGGACAAGCAAGGGAGGTGAGAGCTATAATCGTGGCGAAGCTGGAATAACCAATAAAAAAATTCGCTGCCTCTCTTATCTTTGAACCAGCATTGACGGTGGCAAGAGAGTTTGAAGGACTAACTTGGACTTGGGGTTGGAGATGTGTGGCGGAACTTTTGACCCTGGCCTTATCGACCCGCCAGCAATAATTGAGGACGTCGCCTCAACTTCACTCTGGTCTTTCAAGAGGGCGTGACGCGCTGCAACAGAATTGGTCGGGCTGCTCTTCCCTCTGCTCGCCCAGCGGTTTATCTTCCGGGGTTTGAGCTGTGAGACCAGTCACGCCCGGGAAGACAGGCTCCGGTATTCACACCCAGCCTGAGGTTGGATCAAGATGCGGGAGACTCTCACTACCCGGGTCTCTTCAGGTTAGGGTTTGGGTTATGCGGATCCGCGTTTTGGGCCATTTTCTTGGATTTTGAACGAAATACACGAAAATTGGGAAATCGGGTGGGCGACGTCGCAGATTCCTGACTTCCGGCCGGCGGCCCGGCTAGTGGAGCGTGGACTCGGACCGGTGGTCGTTCGTGGTTGTGGCTGGAGGGGACCCTGGGGTATGACAGCTGTGCACCACCGCCAAGGATCATACAGCTATGGGGCTGGAATGGCCTCAACAACCCGAAGCCACGCGTGGGCAAATAAATGGAGAGTAAAATTGAAAGATCATCTCCGTTGAGTGGTGAACTCATTTACTAGTGTAAATGGGAACTTGTACCTGATTTTACTGGGCCTGATGCGACAGCTCGAAGGCTCGGCTCTCCACTTCGTGTCTCTCGACTGCATGTAATCGTCGGTCTGCAATCGCTCTTTCCGCTTGGTATACTGTATCACTGGGAACGGATTAGAATGCTTTCGACTCTCCCTCTCAGGCGCAACGCCAAATTTACCCATTCCATTTTCCGGCCAGGCTGTCGTTTCCTGGGGGATTTTTTTTTTTTTTTTTTGGTGGTGGTGGAAAAGATATGAAAGGTGCACGGATTACTCCGACTATCCTGATATCACCCGTCTAACTCAACCATCTTGGGGACACTCTTTTAGCTCAAGACGGTAGGTAGCCTCTTGACCTCCGGTGAGGTGTATATCAACAGGGCTTAACAGACCGTCGCCATACGGCTCTATTGTCTTCGAACTCGACCCCGAATAGAGCCATGGCCGCAAAAGCCTAACAACCGACTACCTTGGTGCTGCGTACGCTCCTGGATGAATACATCGAATCGGTATATTACTGAGATACCTTAGGGTCTCACAGGTCCCTAGCTTCATTTTCCAGCTTCTCCAACTGTTGTAACTTCCTGGCCAAAAGGTGAGGAGAATGTAATTCGAGAACCGATGCCTAAGTACCCCTAGACTTCGAGAGACCTTGGAGATGAATCCAACCCCCAAGGCCATCACCCAAGACCCGAGGTGCAGGAGTAGTTTGTCCTCTCTCATTCAAGGCTGGATTGCCTTACTCGCCAAAGAAGGGATATCGCTAGCTAAAATCCCTACTCCCCACCCACTAAAACAAACCAGAGAGCCCGAGAAGGAAAGCTCAGCTTTCTTACCAGGGAGGCAATGACCCAAGCAATGGTGTCTAACCGTATAACTGTGCGACACATCTCATTGATATCCCTCCCTCATGAAGCACACGCAACTTCGAATGACATATTAAAGGCCAATAGCCATTGATAACCAGAGGAAGAGAAGTCTTCATTTCTCGAACGTCGTACAGGGCTGTAAGCGACGTCCACACTCGGGGAGGCTTGGATTTAAGTGAGAATCTATTTCCAGCCACTGCATCAAACTTACAGTCAAGGAGGATATCATCCTGGACACGCAAGGCTTACAACATTACAATGGTTAACCGGAGCCTTTTCTATATGCCTATTTACAAGAGAACCCAAGGCCTCTCTAGGTGCTATCACTGTGCGACCTATCATTGACGTGTGATGAAATTGTCACCAGCGGAGGCCCATTGACCCACACACACAGATTCACACGCCCATGCGACGAAACACCCAGGATACTAAGCCACGCGTCACACGTTGGGGTCCCCCGTTTCCTTAACGCTACGTAAATCGTATTTAGAAGGGTATCTAAAACATACTAGATACGGAAGCAAGCCCCTCTCTCCCGCAGCGCAGCTCAAACAACCAGTACAATGGCGACTACTCGTCATGCAACCCCCTTTGTTCACGCTCTTTCCACATTCCTGCTTGCGTAGTTTTTCTTTTTTTCCTTTTTTCTTCATGAGGTTTTCGCTACTTTATCTTCGTGGCCCCTTTCCTTTGGACCATAGCGCTCAAGGCGCCCCTTCGTCTTCGCTGCCAGCACTGCGTTCTGTACGGCGCGCGCCATCTGATCATGATTCCCGACTTTGTCAATTTATGCCATGTTCTCCGTCTGTCGTCTGTCTTTGGCTGCTCACGCTCCTTGCCCTTCAATGATACTCATACAAAATTATGGCCTTAAAACTACCGCTGCTTCGACGTCACCCATGGCTATCCCTGCTCCCATCAGTAGTTGATATAAGTGAGGGGCACATCTAAAAGGCAGCACCGGGTCCGTCCCCAGCGAGATTTCTCATACTATTCTCACTGAGGTCGCTGCGGAGCTCCCACGCCTTGGCATCGCGCTCCAGCTTGTCCCATTGCCGCAGGTTCTTAGACAACTTGTCCTGCTTGACACGGAGCTCCTCGCGCAACCTCTCCTCTTCTTCGCGGAGCTTCCTGTAATGAGGCTCCACCTCCCGCGTGACGCCCGACGTCAACGCTACGAGCGAGGGATCCACCTTGCCGCCACTGACAACGGGAGGCATGGATGACCACAAGCTCTGCGCGATTGTGGGGCGCGTGCTGGGGCCGCTTAGCTGCGACGCGGGAGCCGTAGGTGGATGGAACGGCTTGCTCGGGTTGGCGGGTGAGGCTTGCGTTGCCGAGGAAACAGAGTACCGTGGTCCCGTGGGAATGCCGCTTGCGCTTGGGGTGGTTGGTGCAGGCGACTGAGCGGTGGGCGTCGCATGACGAGGCGGCAATGGGGACGCCCACGAACTGCGAGGGCCACGGCCATTGTACGACCCTCGCGATGGCGCCACATACCCCCGAGGCCCGGTAGGGGCTACGGGTGGGCTGGCAGCGTCTGACCTCGTTGGTCCTAGGGGGTGGACGAGCTGCAGGAGACTGCGCGGGAGGGGTCGGCGGAGCCATGGCCCTGGCAGCCTGCCCTGGAGGACCACTCGATTGCTGTCGAAGGGCCGCAGGGCCGCGGGGGCGATTTTGCGGACTGAGAGCCAGATTCTGTAGCGCCGAGCTTGGGGGTTCTCGTTGGGCAAGGGTGGGCGTGGCGTTGAGTGAATGGTGAGGGGTGTGTTCGCGGGATTGCGGTTGAGAACGGGCGATGCTAGATGCGCGGCGAGGAGAAGAACGTCTTGAAGCAGCTTGGGAAGGAACACCAGGCGAGAAAGCGGCCGGTCGGGGAGATCGGCCTGGGCCAAAGGGAGGGCGGTCATCCCGACGCCCCTGGCTACGGGATCGTGGGCGGTACGACCCTCCCCTGGGCCCTGCTGGCGGCGTCCCCACAAAGGGCGACCTCTCGCGGGGCGGACGGTCCCGGTTGAAGGGGGACCGCGAGCGTCTATCACTGTGGCAGGTTAGTCAGGCAAGAATGATCTCCTCTGCTCTAGGGGCTGATCCTACCGTACGTCATCTCTATCTCGAGTCCGATCGCGCTCCTTCTCCCGCTCGCGATCCCGGTCCCGCGACCTCTCTCGTTCACGGTCGCGGTCCCTCTCTCGGTCGCCGCGGTCTCGATCGTTCCTCTCCCACTCGCGTTCGCGCGGCCGCTCCCTTCCCTGTCCCGATCCCAGTCTCGATCTCGCCGAGGCGAGCGGGCCCGGTCGCGGCTGTCCTCCCTCGGCGCTGGCGGCGGTGGTGGTGGCGAGCGCGCTGGGCTACGGCGCGACGGGCTGCGCCGGGACGGGCTGCGACGCGGCGAGTAGCGCCGCGCCGGGCTGCGCGTGCGTTCCCGGCGCCTCCATTCGCGATCGCGGGATCGTTCTCGTCTGTAACGATCGGCACTACGCGACCGACGTCGAGGCGACCTTCCGGGCACATAGCTGTCCGAGGCGGGTAGGGGGCTTCGTGGGCGAGGGCTGCGAGGTCGTTCCCTGGTTGGGCTTCGTGCTCGTCTTGGTGATCGGTCTCTGTTGAATGGTCTCCAAGACTCTCCCATACCATACATTTTTACTTCGCCATCTTCGTATCTAAAACAGGGTAAGAGGCGTTAGTTGATGCTTGCTGATTCATCGATACATGTATCGATATCTTTCGTTCTTGATCGAATGGCGAGGACGACATGATTGGGAAAGAAAACAAACAAGTGATTCAACAAGAGAAGGAAAAAGAAAGTGAAGGGTCAGACTGGCGCCCATCTCTGGTGCAAGGGCAGGTGCATAGCAACCAGAGAGGTGGAGGAAGGCGCGATGGAGGGGCGGCGGATGGCGAGGGATTTAGAGTGACAAACCTTCTGCTCCTAGTATCTCGGTCTCGGTCTCGATCGCGATCCCGATCTCTATCACGGTCTCGATCTCGATCCCGGTCCCGGTCCCTATCTCGATCTCGGTCCCTATCCCAATCGCGATCTCGGTCCCGGTCTCGTTCCCTGTCCCTATCCCTATCTCGGTCTCGGTCGCGATCTCTGTCCCGATCCCTATCTCTCTCCCGTTCACGATCCCGCTCTCTATCGCGGTCACGATCGCGCTCTCGGTCGCGATCCATGGTTTCGAATGCACTCAAGATGCGAAATAGAACGTGGAAAACGGGGGTTGGAGGCCAATAGATGGGGTTGAGCAATCAAATGGAGGAGCACGATTCCCGAGTAGATAAAGGCAGTCAGATAGCTTAGATGAAGACAGAAAAAAGTAAATCAAGTAAAAACCCCCAAAGATAGACGATGGGGAAGAGGAGGGCAAAAAATAAAATTGTAGATAAAATGCAAGGCTGACAGCACTTGAGATGTGGCGGGTCGCTCGCTCGCTCGGGGTCGTGAAAGGCACGGCAGCAATGCAGCCAACAACGCTCGCGTCGAGAAAAATACGGTGCGCTTCGTGATCGCCGATATCGATGTATTCGGATGATGACGACGAAAACCGGAGGGAAGGGTCGTGATGGGCCTCCAGTCCTGTTCTGTGTCTGCGTAGCTCCAAAGCCGAGCACCTTGTTATTATTGCTTTGCATCGCACGCGATCGGCTGGGCGAAAAAGGGTGCGCAAATTGGCAAAAGCTCGGGATTCGGTTTTACCGTTTATCCGGGAAATGCCGCTCATCGCAACCTGAGGCGCGACCCGCTCACTCTTCATTGATCTCACCAATATTACGCCGAGCACGAATGGGGTGAGAATACGGTTCAATGGATTTTTGAGCATTGACATCCTGTTCGGGAGAGAAGTATTGAACTTCTCAACCGGCGGCTTTTAGTCTTGTTTTTGCTTTTATATTTTGTTCTCTTCACGCTGGGGAGGGCGGATGGCGGCCGGAGCCTATCAATATCTTTGATTTTCATGAATTTGAAAAAGAGACCTGGGGCAGTCGTCCACTCGTGATACTGGATACGGGATCAGACACCTAAACTACCAATGGCCTAAGAACTAGACACAAAGAAAGGGGAAAAAAGAAAAGAAAAGAATCTGAGCCATTATCCCATTTTTATCATTCCATCTTCTCATCTTCCGTCGCATTACTATCCTCACCCACGCGCTCCATGATCCACTCCTTGACCTCGCTTGCGTGCGCGTTCATCATTTTGCTCAAGCCTGAGGCGCTACTGTGGATCACGTTGCCGAAGCGCCGCTTTGTGACCCGCCGGCGGAGGTCGGGGTCAATCCAGCAGGCGTGGTCGTTGTCCACATACACCAGTGAGTGGTCTCTGTACCATGAAGATAGGTCATGGTACACGTCTGACTTGACTGCCCTAAGATTGCCGTTGACAAAATTGACGATGCCAGAGATGCGGCCCATAGAGTCTATAGCGAGGGTGACAAGAGTTAGCAAGAGTTAGTGGGTGTTAAAAGCTACGCGATAGTACGCGATGGGGCAGATCAGTCAATCTGATAGATCGGGAGACGAACCTCGACAGGTCAGGAGTGACCGAACGCCAATGTGGGCGTAGCCAACGCCCATGAGGAAAACCTCCGTGTCGGGGTATAATTGGAGGTAATTGTCCCAAAGGTAGCACACCAGCTCTTGGATTCTCGCCTCCAGGGCCTTTTCAGCCAGACTGGGAATGAAAGGAACGATATCCTACAGCTCACGTGTTAGACGATGGCCGATCGATTGCATGGCATCCAGCTTCGACTTACGCTCTCCTCAGGTCCTGCTGGGATGTTGACGTCCATCACACCGAACTTGTGCTCAACAGCCCAGTCTATGAATTGCCCGACTTCATCAACCTGATTGCACGAAATCCGTTAGGGACTTTTAGTTAAACAAGGTAGGGGAGGACTTGGGCGTACCACGAATGCGTTGTGGGGATCAAATGAGTTATCGACGTCTAGCTGCGCGACCAACTGGGGCCTGTGTTGTTGTACAGGTTAGTAAAGCGATAAAGATCATGGCGTGTACGAAAGGGCTACAAAGGGCGGCTTACGGGTCGTGAATTATGAGAAGTAGTCGCCGTGCGTTGTGGAGGCCGGGGTGACCAAGACCTGGTTTTCAAAGGTCTTGAACAGCGCCTCCCGGTGTATGTGCAACGGCATCATCTGGTGCTTCCTCTGCCACCGCTGCAACTGAGAGTCCCTAATGATATCATGAAGCCGGGTAGAGTGTAGATCGTTGACGTCGGGCACGCTGAGAACCCCTTGCCTCATACACTCCCAGTAAGGAGCCTGGTATGCCTGAGCCTTGGCTAGCACCCGCGCAGCATCCTTGTTGATCTTGGGTATCTCCATGCGCGGAGGCGGCTCACCCATGAGAGTGCGTGCGACGGCGACGGCGGACTGGGAAATGGCCTTGAGGTTGTAGCCCCCTCGAGGCAGACAGCAACCTTGCCATCAGCCAGAGACATGAGCATGTGGGTCATGTGGGCGTAGCATGCTGGGGTGACGAAGCACCCGCCTAGCTCGTCGCCCTTGGCGGCATCGAAGCCGGCGGAGATGACTACTAGGTCGGGGTCGAACTCATTGGCAATTGGCATGACAAGCTTTTGGAACGCGGCCATGTATTCGCCATCGCCCATTCCTTGATCATGCCAGCCGATATTGATGTTTTTGCCTAGTCCAAGGCCCGAGCCGCAATGTTCCATGCCTCCGTCAGGTGTGTTAGGGTTTTCAGGTTCTCCAGGGTAAAACTGGCCATTCTGATACACGTGGATGGAGATGTACAAAACGTTGGGATCGTCATAAAAGATGTTTTGGACCCCATTGCCGTGGTGCACATCCCAATCTAGGATGAGTACCTTGCGACACTTTTCGGGGTACTCCTTTTGGCAGACCCTGACAGCGACAGGGACGTTGTTGAAGAAGCAGAAGCCCATGGCATGATCGTGCTCGGCGTGATGACCGGGTGGGCGGATGACGGCGAAGGCATTCTTTAGCGTGCCTTCGACCACGTGTCTACACGTCTCGATAGCGCCACCCGCAGAAAGGAGGGCGGCCGAGAAAGACATGCTTCCGACGTAAAGCGAGTCACGGCCTTGGTCCTTCATCTTTGTGAGTATGCGGAGTTCTTGGTAGCTCATACTTGCCAAGGACTCGACCCAGTCGTAGTGCCGGGGATCGTGCGCAGTGCAAATCTCGTCCCGGGTGGCATCTCGAGCCGCGATGCGGTACATATACTTGTTAGGCATGTCTCGCAGGATCTTGGCGAGATCCTTATGGGGCCCCATGTAGACTAAGCCGTGCTCCTTGAAAGCGTTGAAGATTTCCTCAATGCGACGAGGATCTTCCGGGTGATGGTCATGCGGGCTCCAGTCGACATTCATGTGCAGCTTCATCCGGTCGTCGTAACACACACCTGTCGGCTGGAGGCCCTTTCGGTTTCCTAGTGCGCCATTGCGTGGGAGGTAAAGAAGTTCCTCATTCGCCACCCCCGAGTCGCTGGAGGACTCGTCTCCCTCCTCCTCTTCATCTTCGTTCATGACATGGTCGGCCTGGAACCCATTGGCGGAGATGTCATCGCTGGGGGCCCGCGACCGACCCGAAGTGACGGTTTCCGGATTGGCGCCGTCGCTCATGATATCGGGCGACGGTGCAAAAACGAGACTGGGCTAGACGCCGTGCGATGCATGCATTAATCGGCTCTAGGGGTGACGGGGCGGGTAGAGCGTCTTTCAAGGGCAAGGGATGGATGCGCCTGCGGCGCAACGCTGAATTCTTCGCCCACAGGCTCGGCTAGACGAGTGTCAGTAAAGAAGAGGCGGGGAATAGTGTAAGTGGCAGGCAGGAACGCAGTCGAGCGATTCGCGCGGGGGCGGGGAGCAGAAGCTGTGGGCTAGGTGCTTGCAAAAGGTACTACAGAGCAGAGGCGGAAGACGATGGTACAGACTATGCCTCTGGTCATATGGATGTGCATGAAGAATCCAAGTAATATGCATGAGGTTGTTTGCGCCCTCTTGTCGGGATCAAACGGGCCACAGTGGAAGAGGGGGAGGGGAACCTACATCTGTGCTGCAGTGGTGACAACAGTAACACACGGGGTACCTGGCGCACTGGCTCAATGACAAGGGAAAAGGGATGAGAACCAATAGATGGTGCTGCACCAAATCTGAGTAGAGGCCAAATTTTTTATTGGAACAGGTGGATTCCTGAAGAGGGTGTGAGGTGATTGCAGTGGCAAGCTGCGTTTGGTGAGAATAAGTGAAGGTGAAGATGGAGCTGGATAGGATTAGCGTGAGAGCTCACAAAGGGGCGCGCCTTCTCGCAGCGGAAAAAGGAGTCTCTCACAGGTATGGCTCTATGCAACTGGAAATTGCGACCGGTCCCGAAGTTTCTACTTGGGGTTGGAGAGGGACGGGAGGCGATTAATACGTGGACGAGTAGGGGATTAGCTTGTATCAATGGGCGATGCAAGGTCGAGGTTCGCATATGTGCCCGTTGAATCGATGCAAGCGCTTTGCAAGCCCGAACCAATGGGTGCCCCTCTACAACACAACTTTTAGTGGTGGGTGGTGGCTGAAGCAGCCGCACAAGCCACAACTCTCACTCGCAGCCGTTCACACGCACCTTCCACCACAACACCCGGGCAAGGCCTTGGATTCCTCGACGGGAGTCAATTTCTCGAGGTTTCTCGGCATGCTCCTTAGTATTAGCAGTGATATTAGTGCATCTCGTCGCGTCACGTCACCCGACCTCCTGGATTATGAACTGCATTGGGACCAAGGGTGGCTCAGCATCAGGCAACGTTGTGTTTATGGCAAGAATACAGTCTTCCTAATTCAGAAGGACTTGGCAACTAGACTGTCCTTGTTCTATCTATCACTGCCTTCCACCGGCTCAAAAATACACACGTCGTCGCCATCGTTATGCGATTCCATTCGCCAGCTGGGGAGAAACGAAACTGGCCAATGAATTGGGATTCAGCAGGCAGCCACGAACGGATCTAGCACAAGCGGTGATATTTCCCTCTAGACTCGTCAAGCCTGCTTGCGATCGACGGCTGACACTTAGTGCACAGCCTCTGCGAGCGCAAGTCGGTTCCCGGGCTCAGATCGTGATGGGTATGACCAAGCATCGTTGCCGCTACCGTCATCACCACGAGGATTGAAAGTGGAGAACGAGCGAACGTACGAGGCAGGCTCTGGAAGAGACCCATCTACGCTACAGTCATGCCCGAGGCGATCCATTTCTTCGTCTCGCTCGTCGTCAAAGCGAATGATGCCGCCAGCCGCATCAGTAGGGATCGGCAGCTGCTCCAGCCAGCTCCTCTCTTCTAGGACAGAGCGGATGGCGGCTTGCATAGACTCTTGGTCGTTGGTGAAGCACGGATGGTTCAAACGAATGTCCGAAATGAGGCGCTTCTTGGGATAGCTGTAGATGGACTCGAAGTAGTGAACCAGCTCTTTGGGGTCTAGCTTGGTGTACGTTCGAATGATCCGCCCGAGCCGGCTCTGATCATTCCAGCACACCTCGGCATCCGTCGCCTGGCTGCTGCTATAGTCATCCTATTCGCGATGAGTTAGTAACACGCGCGCCGGGGCCAGGTATAAACGGCCCTAACATCATGGGAATGGTACTTACCTCGTCAGCGAGATTCTGTTCGAGGGTGGGGCAGATGTAATGCTGAACCAAGTGGAACACGGCTGCAAGCAGGTCGAGAAGCTCGAGAAGTTCAGCAGTCGAACACATCCTCATCTGGCACATTCGGATGTCATCGACAAATGCGGTTGGTTGAGCGTCGCGTGGTCTAGGTAGTTCTCCATGGAAGTAGAAGGCGTAGAGCCACCAGCGGTAGAGAGCCCGTCGGAACGCGTGCCGCTCATGATCATCCAAGAAACGGCAAGATGCCGGATCCTTGATCCAGCGCAAATGGGGGAAGAGCTCTTCCCACTGACGGACCACAAGACAGTACTGGAGAAGACTATCGAGGTCCTCCTCGTCCACGACGACCGTCTGCATTGGCAGGGTTTGCGCAACGTTTGGCTTCGCTGATTTCTTGCCGATACGCGTAAAGCCGCCCGATGCAGTCTCGCCTTTATCAGGCTGCCGGAACCCTCCTGGGGCGAGGATGGTTCTCGCCCGAGTCTTGGAACGCTGGAAAATGACGCGCCGAGGCTGGTACGTGAGTCCCCTGGTTTCCAGGTCTTCGTCGGAGGCTGTAAAGACCTGCAGAAGCTCATCCAAGGGGCTAAAATCTCTCTGGAGAATTGGAAGAAGGATCCCGGCTCTGTTGGACTTGAACATCATATTGAATGACCGGTTAACCTGGGCGAGTTTGAAGACGCTTTCCACGTCAAGATAGTGACAGATATCCAGGCGGACCTCCGTTGGGAGGTCTTCTAGGCTTGCGCTCGCCACCATCTTGATAGCAGGTGAAAGGTCGTTTGTGGGGATACCAGTGGGAAGTTTGACGAGATACGAATGCCGTGGATTGGCGAACAGTTCGTGCAGGGTGGGGGACTTCTTAGGTTGGTGCCTTCTAAAGCTGAAATGGGTGTTGGGTGAAAATGAAGTTGGCTGTGGTTGGAAATAAAGGGAGGAAGTGAAGAATGTAAATGGTGTTAGAACAACGATGGGTTTGTAAGATTTCGATAAACAAGAGTGTAATGATCAGGAGCTTGTTACAAGAATTTGTGTGGCTACTGTCAAGTTAGCAAGAGAACGATTTGTAGCGAGGCCCAGTTTCCCAGAGTGGTGGAAGTAACACGACTTACAGGCAAATTGGTCATAATACAAAGTGATGATACTAGGTAGATCTTGGATATTCTAAAGCACCGCACTTTTATATGAAAGATACAGGCGCTGGTTGCTTCAGGGAAGCTGGTTTGTCCGGCTGCGCGAACAGTCAGTTCCTCGTCTGCCGGGCAAGCAGAGAACCACGGCAACTTACTGCGTCAGAGGCTCCGGGGAGGCGTCGAATCGACGAATTGAGCAGATTTGCTCGGTAGAGGGGAAAGGAGAACTTTTGAACAAGTGTCTAGGAAGTGAATTGCTCACTCCCCAAATGCGTCGAGGCCGAACGATGACCCCGACGCGTCGAGACACGTAAGTTACTTTTCAACCACCCCGTCGTTGGGGCTTGAAAAGGTAGAGGCAACGAGGGCCGTCTGGGTATGGGAATGGGTTGTTTTAGTCGCCGCCATTATGACGGTCGCGCACCGAGGGTTCTCCATATTCGAATGGTCTCGTCTTTTTCGTTGTCGAATGTCTGGTATCTTGGGGGTTGCTAGATGGATGTGTGGTGAGGTGGTGGAAGGAAAAAAGGAGAGGAATGAACAAAGAGGGAACGAAGGGCGGCTTATAAGAGCTGAGTGATTCATCAGTTCTGGAACAGCTCCCAATTTGGCGGTTGAAACAGCAATAATTCCCGCTTACTTAATTGAGTTAATCAATACGAATCGGGATTTGGGGAAGCTCCCCAACTGGGAAATTAGCACGCGCGATCGATCAGCAAGCACCCATGCACTTGGAAACGTCTTGGGCAATTGGCCAATTGCGCCCGCTGGACTGGATTGGACAATTCCATCACTTGTGTGCGTGCTCTTCGTCCTACCTAGGCCCGCGCCAAACAGTGCTCAACCGACTTCGAGATTTGGCCATGATAACCCTTCTCGACAAATCTTGTGGTGTTGGCCGTAAGTGAGTTGGAAAAGGTAGGGGAAAATGCTACAGTTTCAATTCAATGCGCCTCCGGTCTATGGACAAAGCCCTTCTACGCAAACAGCATCTTGGTATCAAGCTCATCCCTTGGCTTCTGCTCACCATCCGACCGTAATCCCAAGTTTCGCTTCTTGGCTTGCCTTTCTACTACTTGCTCCGCCCTGCCAGTGTGCTTCACCATCTTCTGCCTCCGGAGATCCGACCTGACTTGGTTAGGAGAAACAAACTCCTTGTTCTCATAGATCAAAGGCCCGCCAAAGGAACCCTCTTGTATCACAATCGGCGTGAGGACGAACCGTGGCCCGATTTCGACTAGGTTGATGTCCGTGTTGCTTCCCGGAAGCTTTGACTTCTTCTGCTTCTTCTCCGCGGGGACTTCGTCGCCCTCTGCTACCGTCTCATCGACCTCGTTGATCTGGTAGTTGCGCACCCAAATCTTTCCGTCAAGGTATGTGAAGCCGAGGACGTGATCGATAAAGGGCTTGACTTTCTCGCGCCCTGCGGCACACCAAATGTGTGGAGAAAGAGTTCGCGGATGACTTGGAGGTAAGGGTCGTGGTCGAAGGCGGCATCGAACGAGAGGATGGGCCTGGAGCCTTTGAGACAGTTTCCGGCAAAGTGAAGTTCCTCCATGGTGTGTACTATTGCAGGTAAGGATTAGAAACATGACATGTCTCGCCGTCATGTGCCAAAAAAAAAAAAAACTAGAAGAGCCGGCTCGGTCATCCAACTTACGGTTCTGGACATGGAACTTGACGGTGGGGCCATTGGGGACCTTTGCCATCCACATGTAGAGATCCTGGGCCTTCCTCGCCTCGAAAAAGAGTACGTTGTTGCAGTTGTAAAGTTCGGCAAGCTCGTTGAGCTGGTACAGCTTCGACTTGGAATCAAACTTGGAGTCTTTCCTGCCGTGAGGAAGCATGGAGGCAAGATCATTGAGGAGATGTCGGTGCCTGAGTGCGTGAAAAGACACCATATTAGAATTTTATACTCGTCGGCGATGTGTGTCGACAACCAACAGCTGTCGCGAGGACTCACCTATACGTTACACCTCTCGAGGAGAGGATCAGCACCCTTTGCTTGTTCTTGCGCACTCCATTCTTCTCGTCGGCTTTGTCGCCGGTCGCCTTCGATATCGATTTGTAAACAGCCGCCATTTTGTTTTCTTCTGTGAGCGGTGAGCCGGGATCTAAGCGGCGAAATTGACAGAAGTAATCGGAAGTGAAGAGTTGTTGGAGGTTTTTGGAGGGGCCGGTGGAACATTCGCTGTCGGCGAAAGGCTGGCTCCGAATTTTTTTTTTTCTTGGCCTGCAACTTTTCTGTCCCCTCCACCGCCCGATAAGAATTCTTATCAGTATGGCGGTGCAAGGACCATCTGTTGAGGCAAAGTACACTGTACAAGTACAAGTACAAGTACACTTTTGACGTGCTCCTCCCTCTTTTGTTTCCCTGCCTTCCACACAAAATCCCACCCCGCCTTTTGAAGGGAAGGAACGAGGACCCTTCCTCTGCCGCCTGATGCCGCCCTCGTTTGCCCCTCCCCCGAGGCTACATTTTAGCGGACCACGGAAATAGGTGAACAGGACTGGAACCGACCGGCTTTTGGAAACTCAACTACCCTCGGATGATTATGATCTTTCCGGGCGATCACCCTCCCTGATGAATACATTTGAGACATTGTCAATAAACAGGCTGACGTTGTTATGAAACATGGGGTTCCCAAAATTATGAAATGGTGTGTGTGCGACTCGAGCGCCGCCGCCGACGATTCGTGTGGCCCGCGATGAAAGGCGTGACCCCGAATTCTTGGTACCTTGCGACTTGGCGAAACGGGCGTGACTCGTGAGGGGAGCACCCTGGAGGAGTAAGGAGACCATGGATATGAGCGGTATAGCGCGGCGGGGGAGTTACAATAGCTTCACGACCTTGTATTATCCATAGACCGCCATCTGCAGAGCCCAAAAACATGGCGCTTTCAGTGCATGCGCGGTAATGCCAGAATACAAGATCCACCCATCCATCGCGCATCGTTAATACTGTATCGCGAGCAGTTGTTTGGCCCAGCTGCGTGTTGCGATAGCCTCAATACATGGCGCAAATCTATACGCGCTCGCGTTTGGCCTCTAGCGTAGAAACGGGAAACTCCTTTGCGTCGGCATCTAAGCTTTAACAACCAAAGCTATAGGAGCCGAGGCCGAGTATGGCGAGGTGGAAAGAGAAGATTAATAACAACTGCAAAAGACTCCAGTCGCGAAAAAAGAAAAGCCCCTAAATGATGTCCGTTGTGTATGGCTCTCCCTGCCTTCTCTCATCTCTCGTTACATGTCCAGACGTATAAAGATGCCCGTGCATCAAAAACAGCCTACCCGTAGCCTGACAAAAACCCTAGCAAAGGAATAAAACTTAACAGCACTTTCCTCCCTTGGAGGCACCGTCCTCGGCCGGCTTGCTGAGAGAGATGTTGGTGCCCGCTCCGATGGTCGCCTGAGCGCCGTCGCCGCTGTCGAGGGCCTTGCTTGACACAATCCTGTAGATTTCTAGGATGAGGTGGAAGAGAGGAGATCACCGAAGTTAGTATCACAATGTGGCGATATGAGAACGGATGGAAGTCTATGGGTGACAGGTGACAAATTTGGGGCGGGAGGCGCATACCGGTGAGAATGTTTTGGAATGCAAGCTCGACATTGCTAGCATCGAGGGCCGAAGTCTCAATGAAGGAGAGGTGGTTTTCGCCTGATGCAGGTATCACGCTGTTAGCCATCTACCTGCTCGTGTAGTTGAACGGGCGGGTCTAAAGATGGAGATAAGGAACATACTGGCAAAGGCCTTGGCCTCGTCCGTGGGTACGGCTCGTAGATGCCTCAAATCGCTCTTGTTTCCGACCAACATGATGACGATGTTGGCGTCGGCGTGATCCCTGAGCTCCTTCAACCATCTAGTAACATTCTCGTATGTTTGGTGCTTGCTGATATCGTAAACGAGCAGCGCGCCCACGGCACCACGGTAGTAGGCCGAGGTGATGGCCCTGTATCGCTCTTGGCCGGCGGTATCCCAAATTTGGGCCTTGATGGTCTTTGCGTCGACCTGGATGGATCGCGTGGCAAACTCGACGCCGATGGTAGACTTGGAGTCGAGGTTGAACTCGTTACGGGTGAATCGACTCAACAGGTTAGACTTTCCGACACCAGAGTCTCCGATCAACACCACTAGAAGTCGAGTCAAAGGTCAGCAATTCGCCATCGGTATAGTCCTCCATGGTTAAAGAGCGCAAAGGGCGGAAGAGCTGCGGAGAGATTCGTGGGGAGATCGGCACCTTTGAAAAGAAACTGCAAATAGGTGGAACGGTTAGCGTCATGAAGCCACAATGGCTGGATGCGGTGAGCTGCAAAGGGGGCCAACAGTGGGGTCTCACATCATATTCGTCGTTGGCCATGATGGGCAAGTGGAAGGCGAGATGGCAAGAGGTTTTGGACAGTTACGTGTGCTCTCGTGAGGTGCAGGCGCAAGTTCAGGTTGTGTTTAGGAGTGAGTTGGATGGATGAAGTGGAGAGCGCGGCTCTGTCAGGTCAATCCGACTTTGAAATCGAGGGAGAAGACAATGGTGGTCAGGCACAGACAACACTGTGGCCTGGGGCAAGGTCGAGGTACCCTGGGATTGGTTGATTGCGGTGTTCAAAGGTGAATTTGGAGGTCGCAGGGGCTTGATGGCGGGGGCGACATGAAGCCAGCAACAAACCGTTGGTACTGGATACTTGTGGCTGAGAAGGGTCAAGTGGCAGTGATTGGACCCTCACCCAACACCAAACGCCTCACTTTGTGGCTCGCGCTGATACTAACTTCAAGCAAAGTGTGGCTGGCAGCCGAGCAACAGAGGCAAGGTCACACTTTGACGCGACTCAATCAATCAAACAGTGTCGATCACAACCAGAAACAATGGATGGCTCCTAATAATCTTCTGTACCCTCGACAATGCTGTTTCCCTATCGTTTTCAAAACTAGCAGCCTGGACTCGTCTGAAAGGCAGCAATTTAGACAGGGATCTCGATCAGCGGGACGAAATGAACAAAACTCCTGGTGGAGTCGCTCTGCAATTGTTCGTCATCCGAAATGATGGTTGGCAGTAGCCTCCTGGATCACATGCAACCCGCTTGCACTTTTAGAGTTGCGATATTAGGTTGCAAACTGCCTGGTGGAACGCCAGTAGCCAGAGTGCTGCTCTTTGCGAGGATAGAACTACAATTGCCATTCTAGATCTCTCTCTTGCTATTGTTCTGCTAACCCTGACTCGACCTGCCTCTGTCTAATATACCATTGCCTTCCTCGATTCCCTCTCCCCTTCGCCGCTTCTGGAAGAATGCTGAATCAGCACACAATTCTGCAGTTTGCGGGTCCTGTCTGCACGCAACCCCCTCTCAATCCCGGTTCCATTCTGTTGGGGGCGCTCGAGGATGGCACATCGTCAATTGATGTTCCTGTTCCCAGATCTAGAGAGCTCCAGACATGAGGAATGCAGTCTGGTCTTACTCTCGTTCCTCTAAACACACGTAGAACCTGCGAGTCGAATACCGACCCACTTTTTCCATTCCATAAAAGGTCGAAGCTTTAGCTTATGATATGGAGCTTGGTTCATCCTAACTCTCATACTAATAATAATACGAAGTATTTCCTGGCCGGAGGAAGCCTCGACTTGCGAACGGGGAAGCGACGAACCAGATCGGAGACTTCAAAGTCACAAGGGTTGCTCTGGGCTACAATTCGCCCAAGACAGTCACGCCATCAATATCAGATATATCCATTTAACTCACAGCATTGCCTCCATCTACCTGTTCTTTGTCAACATCTGCTTTGCGGAAACCATCCCACCAATACCTAAATTGCACCAAGCGGACATCGGGATTATAGCGTTCCTTGAAACTCACGCGGCCCGCTTGCCTTCCTTGCTTTCCTTGCTTTCCTAAGGAGAACATGGAGGATGGGCCCGGGTCAAAAGATGGTCGCCGCCCTAGAAGCCTCGCCGAGCCGGCAGCCGCACTTGTGGAAGAAGGTGATTCGGACACTACCCTTGAGGAAATGGAGGATGGTGACATGCTATGGATTGTCGAGGCCGTTCTTGCAGAGATGCCCTTGGATGAAGACGATGACCAACCTCACTACCTAGTTTCATGGGCAGGCTACGAACTTCATGACGCGACATGGGAACCACAGGAGCACCTGGACCCTGTCACTCTTCAAACATGGGGTAAAAAGAAAATATCAATTGAAAGAGGCGCGGAGGATGCTTTTGATGTGCGTGACTGGTACCAGGCCAAAACTCAATATCTCGAGGACCGCCTTGCTCGTGCGGAACGACGGGATATCGTGCGGCTCGCTCGTGGCCTCCCTACGCCGTCCGCTAGCACGCTAAGGTTGCGAGAACAAGTCGCGGAATTGGCTGCTCTATGTTCAGAGGACGTCACAAGCGGGGAAGAGAATGACCAATCCGACGAGACTAGTAGTGACGAACCTGAGGATTATGACGCTCAAGACGACCCCCGTTATTTCTTAGACCCGGCGAGGTGGGGCGATTATCTCCCACGGAGAAAAGTCGACCAAGGGAAACGCCAACATCTAGGAATGGCAGCGGAGTGCCTCAAGAGCTGCTTGGCCAGGCGGTGGCTCTGAGACGTTCTAAGCAATCGAAGCCGGCTACGGAACGTCGCAAAAGTAGCGGGATCACGGCAACAGAGAGTGCCGCAACATTAGAGCTTCTGAGGAGGCCTGAAGTTGGTGCCGGGAATACAACAAACTCTGGTACGCCCAAAACAAATCTGCATCTAGCATCGACACTTCTTAATACGCCTAGGTTGGGAGAGCCTTCGCAAGCTACGAGAGAAGTGGGCGATCCGCGGCGCAGGAGCCTGATTGGTGGTGGGCCCGGCCTATTACCCCGAGGAAACTCACGAGGTGCAGACCTAAACGTCGAGAGAGTGTTGCCTCGGGGACCAAAGTCACAGGCTGTGGAGACTAGACGTGCAGCACCAAGACCTTCAGAGCCAACTAGTCTGCGCAATGCTGCAGACATTATCAAGGCAAGGCGAAGCGTTGTTGCGAGAGGCTCGTTAGGCGCGGGTGCAAACATTTTTCTTAACGGATCCGTGCGGAAGGGACGAAAGCGCCTTAAGGAGGCGCTGGTCGACCCAACAAAGGGCCAAAAGCCGTTGCCGACCAAACGGCTGCTAAACCTAGCCTTCAAGAGGAGTCGCGATAGCACACGCCGACCGGCAAGCGTTCCCAAGAATCTTTTCAACATCAGCGATGGCCCGAGTCCTCTGCCAGTATTGCAACAACCGAGCACTGTTGATAGTTCTACTCGGTCAAGTGAATTAGAAGTATCAGGCAATCAGGTGCCCGCTAGTCAGCTTGCAGTGCAACCCCAACCCCCTCAAGAAAAAGTCGGTCCATTTTTCGGGCGTGGAGAATGTGGTAGATCATCCGCCGGAACCTCCTGAACATGCCTGTGGGGAGAAACCCTACAAACTGTGCGGCAAGAGGACGCGGGCTACACGTTGAGCACTGAGAGCGGTCCCACTACTACCCTCAACAAGGTGATCTCCATCGGTCCAAACGCTTCAACGAAAGTAAAGGTTCATCTCTGCAACCTCATATCCTCTTCTGAAAGCTGGTACCGCCATCTTGCCGAGACTGATCACTTACCCTTTACCCATATGGTTTCGATGGCAGATATCCAAGACCAGAAACTGTATCTAGCCCACAAGATCCTGGGTACTGGGCCCGTAGGGTGCGGGGATGAGGATGGCGGGCTGAGAGCGCTCGGCAGGTTATCCGCAAGACTGGAACGAACACTCCATGGTGTGGTCTCCGAATGTGATGAGTACCTTCTGATACTCTCTTCAAGTCCTCGTATGCCAGGTGATGTAACAGAAGCAGAGCTGAGTAGGGAGACTGGGGATAGCTCTCAGCTGGAATATCTCATATTAGCAAAGAGCATGCCGGGCAAGGCGCTTCTCCCGCCCGCGTCGGCGGCGAGATTATCCTCGTCCAAAGCATCCCAGCCGGTAACGAAGGAGACAGTTTTTGAAAACCTTCTTGGTCGCCGATACACATCCATACTTCCATCAGCTCCTGAGAAGAAGGGACATTCCCAAGGGATAGAAACAAACAAAACTATGGACAAAGGACCGCTGGCCCCATCAAGCAAGCCTCCTACTCAGGAAAGGGCGGGAGAAAAGACCAAAGTGAAGCACGCGTTTTTTTGGTTGTTTGGCCTTCTGAGCAGTACATAGCCTGGACGCTGTTCGCTTGTCTTCGGCTGCAGGACCCCGGTTGCAAAATATACCTGGCTACTGTACCGGGGTCGTGGAATTATTTGTCGCGAAAATCCTCAGCCAAGACCGTTATTTTCCACGAAACAAGCATTTGGATGGTCCGAAGGATGCCGGCGGTCCTTGAGCTCACTCGGTCAGGGAGTTGTTATCATACGTTTTGGGCTTTTCGGCCACCGATTTGCTGTCTTTGCATCAACCTCGGCCGACCGGTAGCCGCAGAGCCGTATCGACACCGCCTACAGGTTCCAGTCTGCAGCGAATCTTCCCTGTGGGCACCGCAGTGTTGGTGACACCGAGTTTCCTCCTGATGCAGCCGGCGGCGGTATGCGAATTCCTGGAATGGCACAATTCCAAGTTCGTCAAGAACCGCAAAACACGGTTCTTCAAGATCGTCATCGCCTGGGACTCCACGCGATTCGTTCAAAACCTTGTTTCTCAATGTGCGACACAATCGCGGAAACCCGGGGGTAGGGCCCCGCGGGTTTTCACGATTCCATACTCTTAAGATGCAAAGTTGCAGAGAAGATCGCATCACTCATCGATGGCGCCCGGGATGAAATGGGGTTAGAGGATGAGAGCCTCTCGCCCACAATCTTGGCACCCCAAAGTATTGATGCCGCAGATGAACAGAGTCTGGTAAATTGGTTTGGTTGGTGGTCCGTCAACGCCGCCAATGAACTTCGACGATTCTTCGTCCTCGGCACAAACGATAGTGACGTGTATAGTCGGTATATGTGTAGCGTTAGCCTTCGCGTTCCCACTTGCAAAGTGAGTAACATCATTGATTGGAATTGGAGCGATGGTCACAGTCCTGCGGGCGGTGCGGATTCTATCCACGCCCTTTTGCAGACGCCGTTGCGTTACCCAAGCCGGCTGCTGCAAGATGACTCGTACGACGCGATCACGGACTATATTACAGGCCTACTCTCGCCCCTTCACCGCCAGTTGATTCTGTTCAAGTTTCCAATATATGCAAAGGAAACGAGCATTGATCCAATAAGGTCGCGCGCTATCCGATATTCAGCCTTTAAGAAATGGCTCGCCTACCTGAAGCCATTCAAGCCTGGTGCGCTGAGGGTTGTTTTTGCTGGGATGGCCTACACGCCGCTAAATCCTAAGCCCTCGATTGGCACAAGCAAGGACGTTTTGCAGCTTCCTGGGTCATATTCTATCGGCCGAGCTATCTACCGGTCAGCAAGAAGGATACGGTTGACGAGGTTGATCTTATCATCTGGGACTGTTTTGCTGAGCTACGGGTTCCCCTCGACCAGAAGCTGACAGTGGGTATCTTGAACGAGGGCCAGCAGGAGCTGATTCAAATTGTTGGCAAGGAAACGGCGCAAAAGTTTCCAAATTCAAAGCTTGGGACGGTTTGGCTAGGAGGGCCGCGCCTTGACTGCGCCAGGCATGGATTCCACCCTATGGACATTACATTGGAGTTCATGGGTAAAGCTGTCATCAACATGGATGAAGAAGTCCCATTTTCCCATGAGGAGCTCCGGGCGAAGGGCTTCAGGCGTGTGAAGCTGGACGCTGACCAAGCTGAGGATGCACGTATTCCGCCTGCGGCATCCGCGGCCGGCTCCTCTGCGGTGATATTTCATTCACCACGGGCCCTGGCAGGACAGAAATTAAGTTTTGACTGCAACTCACTTTTCTACCAGGAGGCGAGAGCCAAAAGCGGCGCAATGTGCGGAGACGATGGCTCCTTTGATTACGAATTTCAACCAACGATGCAGTGGTATGCGGGCCAGGCGAGAGAAGGGCGCGGATACGCCCACATGCTGGTTGCTCCATGGCAGGAGACGCTTGAGGCCATGGGTGCCCGGGGCAAAGCGGACAAGTCAGGAATGTCATAGAGTGCCAAACCGTTGTCCGGGCTTAAGCTGGCACAAGAGGGGCCGGACGCGCCAGCGCGTTTACCAAATACTTATGGAGAGATGGGGTGTTTGCCCCCTTGGGTTGTGCAACTTTGAATCAGCAGAAAATTCCACAAACCACAAACAAGACAATACCCCAACGCCCCGTGCAACCCCCGTAGAAAGGGGCATTAGGGAGGCGGGCATAGATGTCGCTAGCCGGCGGGAAAACTCATCAACGTCGACACGACCCCCAAGACGTCAGTTCCGCCCTCGATCGTTCGCCCTTGACCGGTATACGCCGACTCAACCTTCAGAACGCCGATCTTCGGCCCCTACCAATCAGGGCGAAAGCGAGACATTAATGTTTGACAGACTGTATTCATCCCGAGACCGAGGAAAACAAGATGATGACCCATATAGGACCGATATTAGGCGGTTCTAGGATGGCGATACTGCATTGGGCCCCCTCTTTCTAGCCGTTTGGGTTTGGTGTTTGTGTTTGTTGCGGGCGATGGACAGCCGCTGGGATGATAAGCGCGAGTATAATGTAGGAGGTTCGGCCAAGCATGACTTACTTGATTAGGGATGGGGCGTTGCAGAAGCAACATAGGGAAATGAAACACCGGCCATGATTGTACGAGTTATTACATGTATGATAGAATGAAGGCTAGGGTCGTTGGTATTTGGGGAGATGGGGTTCGCCTGTGCACTACTACCCCCACCACACACTTAGTAACCTCGGATAGAGTTGCCCCGAGGCTTTTTTTCTCACAAAAAAGAAAGGAATAATAAGAGGGAGGGAGGCCCCCCTTTGTACTACTAAGACTTGAAAGATAATGTACTGGTTAAACCGTATCAAGCGCTATGAGGTGTCCGGAAAGACCGAATGGTCGTGGTAGTAATACATAATAACAACCCCTTGACTGTAGATAAGACTGTGGCTCAAGACGGAAAAAAGAAGAGAAAAGTGAGATATAACGTAGAAACTCCGTCCCATGGAAGACCGACACTAGTAGCACCCGCCCCCGTGCAGTACCGTGTATTATTTGGCAGAGACGGGGAAGTTCCTCGCGCTCAAGAAGACGCCCTTCAGCCTACGAATGTTATCCTTGGCCTTTTTGACCTCATCATCAGGCTCGGGCTGTTTCCAGCCGAGGCTGGCGTAGGAGCGAGAGACGGAGCTCTGGCGTAGGTCATCCCTGAGGTTATCGATGATGGCGAGGTAGTCGTGCATGTCGTCGGCCTGGGCGTCGAGTCCCTCCTTGACGTCGGCGAGGCTTCGGGCGAGCTTGGCGAGCTTCCGGGTTTGCGACTCGGCAGCGGGTTCGGTTTCCGCGTCCCCACCGGCAACGCCGTTCGCGCGCGAGGAGGAAGAGGCACCCGGAAAGGGGAGGGGACGGCGTCGGAGGTCTGGGTGCCGATATCGCGGTGGAAGAGCTCCGAAGGGTCCTCGCACTCGCTGGAGCAGTCGCTGCCGGCGGTGGCGTGGGCGTGGGCGTGGGACGAGGCGGAGACGACGACGGCGGCCTCGGGAATCTCGGAGACGACGTCCTGGAGGCGGGCGTTGAGGGCGGAGACGTGGGCGGAGGCGGAGGCGTGGAGGTCGAGGCGGGCGGCGGTGAGCTGGGCGAGCATGGGCTCGACGAGGTACTTTTGGTGCCGTAGAGGAGGGTGGTGAGGCCGGTGAGGGCGTAGGCGGAGTTGAGGACGAGGGAGGGGTTGAGGAGGGGTTCGGGCCCGGTGGGCTTGGTGAGGAATTCGGGGTAGGTTATTATGGGGGCGGGGGATTCTTCTTCTAGTGCTATTTCTTCTTCTTGTTGCGCGTGGGGGTGGTGTGGAGGGCGAGGAGTGTGTGGTTGAGGGGGCTGTTGTGGTTGTTTGGTTAGTCTAACGGTTGAGATGAAGGGAGGGGGCTTTTGAGTAGAAAGGGGCTGAGAGAAGGGGGAGGTTGTTTCCCTTACCTCTGGTGTAGAGTTGGGGTCGGCGCTGGGGCCGAGGAGGGTGTCGATCTCAGCGTCCGATAGGTCCTTGGATTTCAAGAATGCCACCTGCGCGTCCCTGGGGAGTTTTTCACGGTCTCGTCGTCCAGGAACCGTCGCGCGACCTCTAGCCTATCTTCCGTCGTGGGGGCGGGTTCGGTCGCGCCCGGCTCGGCGGCGGCGTGCTCGTCGGGCCTCTTGTCTTCAGGGCCCGCCATCGTGTGAGTTGCGAGAAAACGAGGCAGGTCGAGGGATTGGTGGCCAAGCTTGTTCTTGCGGCAGCGAGGGCAATGCTCGTATCCTTGCTGAAAAATTGGAGTAGCGCGATAGTTGGGGGAGGAGAGAAGAAGAGAGTCTCGTGGTGGGCGGGACGGGGAAAGCTGCTCGGAAGGCGTTGAAGGCAAAGATGCTGACCCGCCGGAGCGCAAAAGGCATGTGCCTCGGCTGGAGCGCACGTCGTTTGGGTGTTGGGTGTTTTTGGCTCGGCACTCAGCTGGAGCTAGACCCACTTCTTTTTTGGATGTTTGTGCTTGGCTTCATATTTACCCCGGATGATAGGTTTAGATGCATATCGATTTTGATGTGACGACAAGTTGATGGCCATTTGAAACTTCTAAGCTGCTTGAATTGGAGTTTTTGTTCACTGTTATATAGGAACTAGGTAGTGTAATAGAGAGTAGTAAGATGATAAAGAGAAAGTAAATGAATCTTGCTCTTTACTCACTTTTGACAAGCTGTGGTGAATTATAGTTAGGGCCATCCGCGTTACCAATTCACTTAAGAGAACTAAGTGCACAACCAACTTCAAAATGAGCCACAAAACCTGTGGCTCATCGTCCTGTGGCTTACTCTTCCCACTCAACCTGCATTCCACGTACTTCGTACCTCTCACTCACCCCATTTGATGGTCAACAAGACGGCGAATCCAAAAGCTCTCGCATCAATCTATCCATCCATTGACGAGATATCATATCAATTCGCCAATTTTTGTATGCTTGGTCCTGCAGCAGCCCTTCCTCGCCGTACGGACACATCGATACGCCGTCGTCGCTTACCAGTGTCCATCAACGACCAGCCCCCAACCCAACCCGAGTCTTTCACCCCCGTGGGTGACCTGGTAAGCCTTCCACTTTTTTTCCTCTTATTGCGTGTATCACCGCTTTATCCAAATCCTTCTGGAATCCGTCGCCGGGGCAAGTACACCGTCGCACCTTTGATCCCTCGATCCTATACCTCCCTCCTTATCCCCCTTTTCTTTTTCCGGAATATTTCAATCCACTTGGAGAAAGCTCTGGCGCCCGCCCTGCATCTTGTTTTTATGTTAGCCTATCCCATCGCTTCTTGCCACCGTCGGTATGAAGCCCTTCCTCTCCGTCTTTTGTACTTCCTCGACCAGCCATTGGCGGCGGGGAGCCAAGCAGGTCAGGTCTCGCCCCAGTGGCCGAGCCCCCTTGCCAAATATATGCTTTCCCGCTCTCGTGCAGGCTTTCAAAGTGGCCCGCTTCTCAAGGTGGCCTAGCGAGGTGCTGGGCCCCAACCCTGGGGTGCGGAGAAGAGGAGGGGAGGTTGCTTCGTCTACTTGTAGCTTGGGGAATGACAGCCCAAGCGGGAAGAGGCTTTGATACAACTCAAGAGCTGCTCAGCCCAGCTCAACCCCCTTGCCCCTTGGAGAAAGTCTTTGAGAGCTTTGAAAACTACAAGTATGAACTGCCAATGCTTGTCTTCCCTCAGTTCCCTAGACCCCCCAACTTGCCTTCCTCGCCGTCTTTCAATTTACCCTTTTGCCTGTTCTTCCTCCGGTCTGCTCGGCGCGCCAAAAGGCATCCAGACTTAGACGCCCACACCCGGGCGCACGCAGAGAGAACTTCTAGCAGGGCCGAACTGCCGGGTGAACCAGCAATTTCTCCGGTCCTGCTGTGCTATCTAGCAAACCTGTGCCGCAGACCACGCTCAAATAGCGCAAGTGATTACATCCCTCTTGGAAAAAGGGCAAGGGAAAAAAACAAAGAAGAGAAAGAGAAGAAAAAAACGCTACCCGCCACTCGAAGCATTGCCTTGAAGCGAAAGCGAAACCGTCGCAACCTGTCAATTGCTTCCTTCGCGCTGGGACTCGCCTTCGTCGTTGGTCTGGTAGTCTGCCGTTGCAACTTCGTGTATTGCTTTTGAGGCCTATTCTTTTTTTTTCTTTCCTGGAGCTATTACCCTTGCCAACCGCTAAAACCCGGAGATCCCGCTTTCCCTTGTCAATATCTCTCGCGTCCTGCACTTGCAAACCAGGTCCTTTGACTAGGTTAAGGCGGGTAGCCAGGAGCCCTCCCCGACGGCAACCCGACCCCTGGCATCCAGCACATCACCACCCCCAGACACGGCGCAGATGACTGTCACTCTCCCCTCCAATAACCTCTTCTTTCTATAAATCTTCTGCGCCTCTTCTTCGCCTCCGACCCCTACTCCCCTCTTGAGTCCAATTAGGCTTGGTCTTCCTCCTCTTTCTTGAGTTGCGCGCATCGCACACGACTCTTTTTCCCTTTCAGCCACATCCACCCCCTCGTCATTTGTTTCTCTCGCGTCTCCCATTTGCTCCACTTTCATCTTGTGTTATCCTGCTGCTTGGCAAGTGCCGTGGGTCCGAGGAGTGAATGCGTACAGACACATATGCACCCCTACAATCTTGTATCTCAAGGCTAGGTTGGCTGCTCGGCGACCCCGGCAAGGCTAGGCTAGCATCTGCCCGCCTCTCCAGGATCTTTGAACCCCAACTTTTTGGCGCCAAGACTGAACTTGTGCGTGCGGGACCACATTCAACGTCAACGCCGCGTATTCCAAGTTCCATCCATTCACCTACCCCTCCACTTGACACTTCGTACTTCCTACATACACCTACGCACCATATATCCTAATTCCCAGGAATACTACCCACCATGACTGGCCGTCCCCGCCGGTCCGCCGCCCTTCGGGCCAATGAAGCAATTACTGACATGGCAGAAGCCAACGACCGACCCATGTCTTCCCGGTCAGATCGCCGTTCCGGTCGGGCGTCTGGCGCCACGGTTTCCCGGATCCCCTTCCTCCCCGGACCACCTAAATCTCAATATCAAGGTCTCGTCCAACAAACTGCGCCAAGCCACAGTCGGCCGCGATGGTGTGAGGACGGAGCATCAAATCTCCGTCAACAGCCGTGACAGCTTTTCTGGCGGCGAGATCCTATCTGGAAAGCGGACGCGGGGTGCAAGGAAGAATTATGTCGTCGATAGTGATAGCGATGAAGACGACGATGACGCCGAGATGGAAGAAGATGACGAAGAGCAAGATAACGACGAAGAAGACGATGATATGGACGGGGCAGGCGAAGAAGACGCTGACGGAGAGGCTGATGAAATGGAGCTTGACGCGGATGGCGAAGCGGACGACGACTTTGGCGAGGCGGACGTCGACATGGATACTAGCATCACCGTGGGACGGTCATCCAAACCCGCAGCTAAACCCAAGCCGGTGGCCAAACTACCGCCCCTCCGCCTGCGCCCATCTACGCCGATTCTGATGATGACGAGCTCAGCGACCCAGGTCCGAGCGACATCGAGGAGACCATCACGTACGGTGATACGACGCTAGGCGGCGGTGACGACGACGACGAAGACGACGACGAGGACGAAGAAGACGCCGAGGGCGAGGAGGAAATTGAGGTCGCCGCCGAAGGGGAGGAGGGTCAGGAGGGCGAGGGCGAAGAGGATGCCGAGGGAGAAGAGGATGCTGGGGAGCTCGACAGCGACGACGACGCCGGGAGCGAGACTGTCGACCTGACCAAGATGACGAGGCGGCAGAGGGCGAGATTCGAAGATATACCGACCGAGCATATGAAGCTCTCCGACGGTAAGTAACCCAGCCGATTTTCGACTCTCCCCCTTTTTTTCTTTTACAGACTCAGCTACTAACACGCAGTTTCTTTTTTCCCCCACCCACAGAGGTCCAGGTGAAAAAGCACTTCACCGCAGAAGAACACGCAATGCGCCGCGCCGAAATGGCCCGCCGTCGCCGCAACCTAAGCGAAAAACGCACCGAAGAAGTCAAGGTTCGCTCCACCCTCCTCCTCCCTCCCCTAGGCCCATCCTCTCTTCTTCCTTTCTTTAGTCCAAGAATAATCTACATGTCAATACTAACCCTCTCGCTCACTCTCATCCTCCAGATGGAAACCATCAACAAGCTCCTCAAGAAACAAGCCCCCAAGACCAACCGCCGCACCAACCCCGCCACCGGCGCCGAAGAGGACATCGACGCCGAAACTGGCTTGCCCAGGCCCGATCCCACTTCTTTCCGGTGGGTCAGCGACCGCGCCGGCAGCCGCATCGCTTTGCCGGGCGAACTGCTCGCCTCGCACGCCGGCGACGTCTTCCGCGCCGGCGACGTCTTCCGCGCCGGCGGCGGCCTGGGATCCGGCAAGATGGTGGAAGAGGTGCAGTGAAATAGTCACGTGTGGTGAAAAAGGGGTACACTATAAGTTACGGGAACCTGAGTTCCGTGGCCATCTTGCTTCTTTTTTCTTCTTTTTTTCCTCTGCTTGCTTTTTTCCCACCTCTTAAAAATCATCTCGTAGTTCAACGGTGTTCGGTATCATCATGACGACGGAAGGGTTACGATTAGTTCCTTTTTTCCCCTTCCCTTCTGCTACTCTTTTAGTTTTCAAAACATAACATGGAACCTCCAATCATCCTTCATCCTCTACAGAGTGGCCAAGGCCCGGCTTTTTGTCTCCTTCATCTTCCCTCCTAGATGTCGTACACCACGTAGCAAAACATGGCATGGCCTCTGACAGGGGACCTGTTAGCTCACGTTGAAGAATGCAAGGTTGCTCCCCTTACAGTGCGAAACCCATGTGCGAAAACTGTGAATGTACGTCACGACGCAGGCCGACAAGAATGCTCGAAATCAAGGTTGGGAGTTTTTAAGCTTTTTTATTTAAGCTTTTGTAATGAACAAGAGAAAAAGAAAAGGAAAAGGAAAAAAAAAAAAAAAAAAAAAGGAATATAAAAGCACATCGTGTACGATTGACTGCTTAAAAGAGAGAGAGAGGGACAGAGAGGAAGAGCGGGGGTATATGGATATATTCAAGCAAATCAAAAGATTGCGCAGGACAATCGCTGCCTTCTCGATGCCATGCAAGGTAATGCGGAGAGAAAAGGATGGGTACAGATGGAGGAAAGTAAAACAAAAATCAGAAATCAAAGGCCAGAAAAAAAGCAGTACAATGATGCTGAGCCATCCTCCAAAGCAAGCCCCCAAAAGGGGAGAAAAAGACCCTGTGTTAGATCCTGGCCACGACGGCTGCGATAGGGAAAAGAAAACGTGATAAAGACCGAAATCCCAGGCCTGTAAATGAAGGGACCGCAGAAAGCAGGAAACAAGGCACCGTTCGCCTGTGGGGTTGACTGAATCGCAATGGCCCCGGCCCGGTTCGCTCCGAATCGTAGGTGAAATGGTGTTCAAATCGACAAGCAGCCTCCTTCATAGCTTTATCGCCGTAGAAGAAAGTCACCGAGGTCGACCCCTTCACGCCGCTCCGGGGTGGTGATGGTGTATGCCAAGGATCCGTTGCATGCTTCTGCGGATGCCGCCGCCGCCGCCGCCGCCGCCACCACCACCATTCTCACCGCCTTCCCTGTCTCTGCCAAGCAGACCCAAGCTCATGCGCCTCGCCGTGCTGCCGTTCTCCGTTGCCTTGTCCTTCTTCTTCTTCTTACGGATGGTGATTGGAGGCGGGGCCATGGCCGCCCGCGGGGCCACTCGCCGTCGCGCTTCCAGCCACATACGCAAGCACGGATCATGTCTGCCAGATTGACAGGGCAGCTCGGGGTGAGGCCGTTGAGCACCAACTTGTCGTAAAGCGCCGGGTATACGGCAGCAGAGATGCTGGATCGCATTGGGTTGGAAGGGGGTAGAAAGGGCGGCGCAAGGGGGATAATGACCTCGACGGGCAGGGGCACAGAAGGGATCGACATTGTCGATGATTTGTTGGTTTGCTTCTTGTCGAGGGCAAGCGACCCCCTGCATCCCTGTGAGGATCCGATGTGTCGGAGAGCACAGCGGCAGAGTCGCCGCTCTTACGTTCCGTTGGAGACGACGATAGTGGTGTCGCGGGCGGCGATCGGAAGAATAGGCGGCGCGGAGAGAACCCGGCGGCGGGTGAAATGGGCTTCTTCTTTAGACGAACCGTCTTTGCGCCCGTCCAAGCATTCCGTCTCGCCTCGAAGCAAGCCAGACCGACGTTCCAGGTCGCCTCTTCTTTGACGGCGCGTCGCCGTTTTTCCTTCTTGGATAGAACCTTGGCGCGGATGGTTTCGCCTACCGTGTCGGGGCTTTCGAATTTGAAGGCCGTGGGGGCCTCGTTGTCGTCGCTCTCATCGTCGGAGAGCTCCGAGGACCACTCAAGCCGCTGGCGAAAGTGGGTCTCGTCTTCAGAGAAGACGGAGTACACTGAAGAGACGTCGTCATCGCTTTCGTTGCCATCGTCAAGGCTAACATCACACTTGCTTGGCGCTGATTCCTGTTGGGTAGTTTCTTCCTCGACACTCACGTCGGGAACGCCGACAGGCGGGTGCGTTTCGTCGCTCGTGGGTAGGGTGGCCGGAATTGCTTGGCTTCCGGCATGCGTCGTGATAGTTGGTGGGGATCGGCCTGCCAAGACAGTAGCATCCTCGAGGGGAGGAGACTGTGGGGTAGCATCGGTTGCATCAGCAGTGGATAGATGCGATGTTGTCGCCGTGGTCGTCGCAGCCGTAGAATCACCAGCGGTAGGAACTGCAGGTTCGACGATGGGTTCGAGAACGACTCCCGGTTCCGGGCTAGGTACGGCGGCTTGAGCAGCCGCGTTGTTCGCCGAGGTCGACGCAGTTTGGGGTGGAGGCCACGCAAAAGCCCAATCGTTCCGAACCTTTTCGGCAAGAAACTTCCTGACGGCGGCCTTTTGTTTTATCTTGTCCTTGCTAAGCAGGTCGGGGTCGCCATAGTCGCAAGCTTCAGGAGGTTGACTATGGCGAAACTTGGAAAGAGTGGCCTTGGGGGATTTGTAGAGGTCGGAGAAGAACATGGTTAGGGATTGGCGACGTGCAGGCGGGGATGCTCAGAGGGAGCCGGGCCAGAGTCAGGGCCAGGGCCAGAGGACGGTTGCGGCTGCGGTCGAGAATCGGTCGGGGGCATGAGGCGAAGTCGAATTAGGACCTGGCTCCTGGTGTCCTGCTGGCAACGCTTCCGTCTTTTCATTGACTACGCGGGGAGGGAGGGAACGAGAGAGTCGGACGCGACTGGGTTGTGACTCTCGGGTTGCAGGGTGGGTTTTATGGCAGCCGAAGACATGGTTTTTACTTGCCAATGCAAAAGGGGAAAGGTGGGTTGGTAGTTCTTTGAGAAAGAAACTAAGACAGGTGCAGGCAAGCGGGGAGGGACAGGCGGGCTGGTTGGTGACCCTTGCCTTGCACCTCACGCCCTTCAAAGGCCCAGCTCACAGTGGCACAAGGGGGTGGTTGTGGGGAAGGAGAAAAGGAGCAAGTGATGGAAGAAGAGAGATGTGGACGTGGGTGGGCCGAGTACAGGAAATGGAGATGGCCGATAGATGGTGGCGATTTTGTTTTATGCGGGTGGTGTGAACCTTGAATATGGGCGAGTGTAGTGGCGGCGTGGAGAGGTAGCTGTGGCTTTTCGCCTTGGCTTGAGAGCAGGGCCGGATGGTGTGGTGGGTGGGAGGGGGAAAGGGAAGAGGGAGGGAAGAAAAGAGAGTCGAAGTAGCGGCTCAAATTTGAGGTCAGAGGACAGCCAGTGAGTGGGCACTGCTCTGGAGAAGAGAGCGAGAGAGAGACAGGGCGGAAGAAGATATTCAGCAGCAGGCTTAACTGAATCGAGTAAGGAGTCGTCTAGCAGCAAATGCTAAGACTTTTGTGCCATGTACTACTGGTCATGGAGGGACGCTTGCCGTTACAAAGTATGTCGTATGCCTTGTGAGCAGCGGCAGGTGTGACGATATCGCTTAATGGCCAAAAGTAGAAATGCTGATGCAGAGCAATCGGGGGAAACATGCGATGGTGGCGGCCGTATTCCTTGGCTCCGCTTAGTTTACCCTGGGTTGGTCGTACCCTGGTTTTTCCCGACGGCCTTTGTTTAGAGTCGAGGTGCCGAGCGCGCCCTAGACTCCAATGTTCCGTTGGGAACAGGTTCGTGCCAAGGTCCACGATAACGAAATACAAGACGACCCCAAGACGGAGGAGGGAGAGCACTGCAAAGAGTGGGGTGATGAAGGATGCTGGGGCTCGGCCTGGTTGGGGTTGCCGACCTGTGCCTCAGCAGGCGCCACGGAAGCGGGCGACTGATGGAGAGGGGGTTCGATGCGGGGAAAAAATGAGGACAATGGGCACGCGGACTGGACGACAGCCTTCTTGGTCAAAATGCCTGCTTCCTCCAAACCCCGTCGTATCAGGTTAAACGGAGAAGAAAAAGCAAGGACCTGAGGCGAGATTCGAGAATGAGATGGCGGGGGCCCAGGGGAGCTGCCACAATTGCCAAACTGAAGGTGATGGAGCTGGCTGCTTTGGAGAAAAGGGAACAAACAGAGGGGGAACACGAGGACCAAAGTAAAGGCCCAAATTAAAATTTCCCCAAGCGATGAAGGCACATGTCTAGGGCGTCAAGGAGGAGAGTGAAATTTTTTTAGAGAAAGTAGTTGATGCAGAGGTGACCAGGCTCTTGCCTGCGTACGGTCCCACAAAATAAGTTCGCTAGGTCGTGAGTACTCCGGGGAGGGAAAGCGCAAGTGAAGTGGATTTCTGGCAATTGCGAAGCTTGGTCCACCTTCCCCACTTCAGCCAGCTTGGTCCTCTGAGAGCGCTTCCACTTCGTCTCCCTGAGGAAGGATGCAGTCTATTATATCAAGTTGAAATGTGCTTCTTGTCGCAGCTGAAGAAGACGAGGAAAAGACAAGGGGGAAAAATCAATTCAGATGCCAAGGGTGGAAGGAGAGGGGAGCCTGGAGCTTATTCACATGGGTGGCGGGATCGGGATCGGGTTGGGGAAAGCGTCAATCCTCAGACGGGCTCCACACTCGTGCTGTGCGTGTGCGTATGCGTGTGGAGCGGGGACTCGTGAGGACTGTGGACGGGGAAACTGAAGCGAGGAAGCGCCAGCGGTCCCCTCTTGGCTTGGCCGGCCAGAAGATCTGACTCACGAGGCTAGGCGATTTTCGAACACTGAAAATTGACCAAGGGTCAAATGCATTGACGAAAACCAGGAGAAAATGAGGTTCTGCATGTCTCATTAGAGCTCAAGAGCACCGAGCACCGAGCACCAGGCAGCGAGGCCGAAAGCACCCTTGTCTCTGTATTTCACGTCTCCCGGGTTGATTATGAGTGTATGAAGTCATTGACACGGGCCTGCCTGTCCGTGGTCCCTACCAACCAGCCATCCAGCAGCCACCAAGCTATCCCTGCTACCGCCGCTGGTGGTTTAGTTTCTGATCGGCGAGGTTCGCCGTCTTTAAACGCCTTCCTCTCCAGCGACCTCGCGGCAAACAAAAATATACCAAAGTTCTGTGGGGAAAAAGGCGAGGTTGGGGCTCCTCCTCAAAGTGCCACCTCCATGACGAAGACCCAATTAAATTACTTCTTGTCGTGCTTGGGTGCTTGTGTGCTTCGCCATGTGCAACTGTACTCAAGCATTCGCGCGCGGAACCCAGAAAGCCACGCCCCTCCAGAGCTTGGCTTGTCTAATTGTTAGAAGGGCTCCTTCCCGTTAGTGGTATTGGCTGGCCCTTCCTCTTGAAGATATATCCCTCCCTTGAGGTATAAGGCACGTCACGTCTCAAACTACAGGTAGCTTTCTATCACGCATCGAGGACTGCCCGCTAGAAACCGCATTGCGCGTCAAGTATTTTCTTAGACCCGTACGGGCCTACTTGAGGTTTATGTCTTTCAATGGAGTTTACCACTGACTGCACATGATAATGGATGCACCTGTCAAGCGCGTGAGCTGCCCCGTTCATGATTGCTAGAGCCTGCTGGTCCATCCAAGCTTCCGCATTGGCGTATCCACGTTTCCCACAATCCACGTTCCCCATAGCTCTAAATGCTGCGCTAGTGTTCCGTCTGGGGAATTGAGGCTTTGGTGACGAGAACATCTATAAGTAGACCCTGGACAAGAAGGCGGAATCGACATAGACTACCTATCAATAAATTGAAATCTCCTTCGATAGCATGAACGAAGCCCCATAGAGCTTCACCGGGACGCGTGACGCGAAACCGGAGAAACGTGCAAAGCGGGGCCTTGTATCGGTTCAGTCGATTTCAGCGACGAAGAGTGGGCCTTCCTTCTCATGGCCCTTCGGCCAGGGCGACCTCCACTCCTATTCATCCAGTATAGATCGTGCTTTCCGACGGTCTATCAATGCCGTGCTATACACGATTACCTCGGTACCTAAGTGCAAACCAACTCCAGGCGATCCCTATAGGGCCAATGCCAAACTTGTCAAAATGTCTAGAAGCACGGAATTGACAAAGGTAAGAGTGCATAGACTGCCCTGCCTTCGCCGGAAATCTTGCCATGTTGCCCTTTGACAATTAGACGTCATACCTTCGAGGCCCTCGAACGGAACTCGACAATCCATGCCATGGGCTAGCGAAAGCACAAGGTCAACCGCACCTTCTCTAGGCATATGCCCAGTCCTGTCCATTTTCCAAGCCAAAGAGCTCAACCCCAAGCAAGGGGATACTACACACTGGTGCTAGAGTGATAGAAAGAGTTGGTTAACATACCGCAAGCATCGGAAGGTGATATTCTGTCTACAAACAAAGACGAGAGGGATAAGGTGCCCCTTCTCCCAGTAATATAGTCATCAATTACTACCGTCCCTCTCTGATTAATAGATCAGAATCTCACTATTTCTCACCTGTCTTAGAAACCAATCATGCTACCCCCTTCCTTACTTCTCTCCTAGCAGAGACATCAATCCTTCTAACTCCGTTGGGGAACATGGCCACTTGCCACGACAGATACTCAAGGGACACGAACGGGGTAGCTACTATGTATGCCTTAGGGTCACGAACACCAGAGGGGAAAGAGATGAACAAGACGCAATGAGACGCAATGGATATGGTCCATCCTCCTCAGGTTCTCCAAATAATCCCGCGATAGAACGGGAGCTACCATACCAACTGCGCGTCGATAGCTCATACGAGCTTATCGATAATACGCCAAGTCACGTCTGATTTCCGGGGCCCCCGGGTGACCTCCCCTTTCCTTTTTTCCCATAGCGGCAATACACTGGGGTGTGCTTATGCCTAGGAAGAGTGGTAAGTTACATATCGATATGAAATTTCTGGGCTCAGAGAAGTTAATTTGCAAATACTAAGAGCTTATTGAACCGAATTTGGCGGGCATACTTATGGGGTAATGAAGTCCTTACCTATTTTCGAGTTGTGAGTTCCTTTCGCAATTAGTGAGCTTCGCAAATGGTCTTAAGCAAAACGCAACATCAAGATCATTCGAGCACAGCTCCACGAGGCGGTTAGCCTCCGTAACGCTCTAGCTCATGGCAAAGCTAAATCCAAGCAGTTAGAACATCTGCTATCGGTGTTCGGGACATGGCATCGTCGCAAATTGACCCAGCCCTTCACCTTAATCTGCCCGACAATACTCCCCTCAGCCCTTACATAGCATATCTGGCGAGAGCTCCAACCTCTGTTTGACTGTGTCGCTAACGCCTTTGTGCCCGTTTCCTGTATCCTGCATGCCGCCTTGTATTGGCGCCCCGGGCTCGCCGTTAAGGAGGGGTGGCTTCGCCATATCGCTGATCACGCAGCCTGCCTGATCCCCGCCTTTGCCCAACTCTGTCCAACCCCGCCCAGATCTGCTAATTGTGTTGTCCGAGGTTCACTGTCTCTACTAAACTGTCGTCATCAACAACTCTTAATAGCTGTTTGCCGCCCACTTCAACGGTATTGCTCGACCACGTAGAAACAAGCTGTTTTCACGGAAACCTCTGCGACTGAATAGACGCAACACCCTTGATTGAGGGACATAGTAGCGCCCCTGGGCACCTCGCGCCCATGCTTGAATCCGCAGCGTTACGCGAGCAAATATGGCTGATCCCAACAACTATACCATCGGCTGGATCTGCGCCATAGAGGCAGAATATATCGCCGCACAAGAATTCCTAGACGACGAGCACGAACCGCCGAATTCCGTTTCACCAAACGACACCAATGACTATACATTGGGTACAATGGGGAAGCACAACGTCGTAATCGCTGTGTTGCCTGATGGTGAATATGGGCTATCTTCCGCAGCTATTGTTGCCACGAACATGCTACATAGCTTTCCTAATGTTAGGATAGGCTTGATGGTCGGCATCGGCGGCGGTGCGCCAAGTGAGAGGCACGACATTCGCCTCGGCGATATCGTAGTCAGCGCACCTCGTGACGGGGAGAGCGGGGTGTTCCAGTATGACTTTGGCAGGACGATCCAAGATCAGGCCTTTCAACACACGCGATTTTTGAACCAGCCCCCGACAGCTCTGCGAACGGCATTGACCGGGATCCGGGCCCAGTACAAGAGGAAAGGACATCAAATTGAAGAGGCTATCAATGCTGCTCTGGGAAAGAATCCGAGGCTACGACGGGATTACGGACGGCCGCATCCAGATACTGACAGACTATTTAATGCCCGAGTTACTCACGACTCGAGAGGCTGCGCCGCATTCTGTGCCAGTGAGCCATCCTGCTTAGTGCCACGGCACGAGCGTACCGAACACGAGGATAATCTGGCAATTCACTATGGCTTAATTGCTTCAGCAAACCAGTTGATGAAGGACGCCCTAGTTCGAGATAGGCTGGCAACAGAAAAGGACGTTTTATGTTTTGAAATGGAAGCAGCAGGGCTCATGAATCACTTTCCATGTCTTGTTATTCGGGGCATATGCGACTACTCAGACTCGCATAAGAACAAGGACTGGCAAGGGTATGCCGCAATGGCGGCCGCTGCATTTGCGAAAGACCTTCTTGGTCGAATCGCTCCAAATAAAGTTGAAGCTGAGGGGAAGATTTGTGACGTCCTATCTGGTAACTCTATCGTTTAGATCCATCCTGTTGATCCATGTTAATCCCATATATAGGCATACATAAGACTGTAGAAGAAAGCCGAGACATTGCAATGGAGGGGCTCCAGGTCCACAAAGATCTCGCCAAAGAGAGAATGACCGAAAAGGAAGAAAAGTGCCACCAGCTATTCTACAGCCAAACTGGAACCCCATACGAGTGGTACAAGGATCGAGTGGCAGAGAGAGTTGACGGCACGTGCATGTGGTTCCTTGAGCATGAGAACTTTCAGAAGTGGTTAAAACAGGAGTCCGGTCCTCTGCTCGTCTCGGCGGACCCTGGCTGTGGGAAATCGGTGTTGGCCAAGTACCTGATCGATCGGTACCTCGCCGATCAGTACTCGCCGCAGCCGGCAACCATCTGCTACTTTTTCTTTAAAGATTCGGACCAGAACACCGTTCGCCAGGCGCTTCGTGCCCTGCTCCACCAATTGTTCTCTCAGAAGCCGTCTCTCATCAAACATGCTTTGTCCTATCTCAAGGGGCATGGAGACGGCCTGATTCAGTCCACGAGATCGCTCTGGGCGATTCTAAGGGATGCCACATGTGATCCCCAAGCAGGGCCTGTCACCATAGTACTGGATGCCCTGGATGAATGTGCTGAATCAGAATTGCCAGACCTAGTGTGTAATGTGGAGAGCCAATTCTGCACCGACCAGGTTGGCCATAACAAGTTAAAGTATCTTCTGACATGCCGCCCGTATCAGCAGATCGTGTCCAAGTTTTACGGCCTGTTGGCAACCTTTCCAAATATCCGTATACCAGGGGAAGAAGAGTCGGAGACTATTAGTCAGGAGGTGAACCGCGTTATTAAGCACCGGATCGATAAACTACCGACCAGGGACGAGACTAACGTCCAAGCAGAAGGCCTTACACCCAGACTCAAAAGACACCTAGAGAAAAGACTACAGGAGAATACGCACCGCACCTATCTCTGGGTATACCTTGTATTCGACTACCTGGAGAATGAAGACTTCAAGAGGACACCAAAGGGGGTCAACTCTGCGCTTGAAACACTTCCAAGAAATATCAATGAGGCGTATGAACAAATTCTTAGCAAGTCTAAGAATGAACCAATGGTTCGGAAGGTGTTGAAAATTATCTTGGTAGCAACGCGGCCACTGACACTTTCGGAAATGAATGTGGCTGTAAATGTTGATAGCAATTCATACTCTTTTGACAGCCTTGACCTAGAGGATGAAGTCGACTTTGGGTCACGTCTTAGATCTTGGTGTGGACTCTTTATCTCGATTCACCATGACAGGGTTTATTTCCTCCATCAAACAGCTCGCGAGTTTCTTCTTGCAGATTTGGTGTCGCCTACAACCGATCCGTCGGGGCTATATTGGCACCGCTCTATCACTCTTGGAGACGCACATGCTATTCTCGCGCTGGCTTGTGTGCTCTATCTAAATCTTTTAACTCTGGTGTTAGCCCCCAAATAGCTGCGGCTAAGAAAGCGGACCATTCAGTTGAGAGCTACGCCTTCTTAAATTATTCGGCCAACGCCTGGAATACCCATTTCCGTGAAGCTGGTGAAGCTGACCAATGCGGCATTGTCCCCTCAGTTCTGAAAATTTGTGCCATGGGTTCGAATAGTTATTTACTATGGTCTAGAATCTATTGGCTGTGGGATAGCCAACGGGAATTTACGAGTCTTGGGCTAGCGTCCTATCTTGGACATGATGCCGTGGTCAAGGAGCTGCTTAAGAATGGCGCCGATGTCAACGAGAAGGGTAAGTACGGTGAGACACCGCTAGGGATAGCGATAACACAAGGGTATGTATCGACCGCCGAGCGGTTGATCGTGGCAGGCGCCGATGTCAACGTGAAAGGTGAGTACGGTGAGACACCGCTAGGGATAGCGATAGAACAAGGGCATGTAGCGGCTGCTGAGCGATAGATCGTGGCAGGCGCCGATGTCAACGTGAAAGGTGAGTACAGTGAGACACCGCTAGGGATAGCGATAAAACAAGGGCATGTAGCGGCTGCTGAGCGATTGATCGTGGCAGGCGCCAATGTGAACGACGATATTCAGATTGTAAGCGAATCCAACCAACGCAGAGTGAAGGGTGAGTGTGAATATGATAACTAATCTTAGAGTTACTGCTTGGTATAGGTTGTAAGTAAAACCTCTCCTGATATATAGCTAATAAGTATAAATATGATGGCTAATATCAGAATTTCCGGCCGGTATAGCATGTAAGTAAAATCTCTACTGACATGGAGCTGAGAATAGTGAATATGATAGCTAACATCGGGGTTTCTGGCTGGCATAGCTTGTATGCTAAGACTACTGTTGCCGGGCCGTTTAGAGTGGATGTAATAGCTAATATTGGGATTGCTGTTTCCCGCAGTGGGTAGGTGAAGCTGCTCTGGGGAATGATAACTTGGTTTTTAATGCAACATCCAGACGCCTTTATCATGGAGTGCAGAGATGGGCGATATGGAGATGGTTGAGCTCCTGCTCAAATATAATGCTCAGCCAACCTTGAAAGACGGGGCTGGTATAACTCCACTGGAACGAGCCCAGCAGAGCGGGAATATGGCAGTTGTAGAACGCTTAGAGGAGGCGTGTCGGTATACCATCCCCCTTCCGATACACGCCTACGATGATGCTGAACTTGTATTAGGGGCCTAACCTCGGAGGAAAGGTGACTGCGGTCACCAGTAGCATGGGTAGCTGGGAATGGTCATGGAACTGTTAACTGAACAAAGGAGTATTATTTCCATTTTGTGTTAGGGAAGTGATTTGAGAAGTTATACGACATTTAGGATACTAGCTACGTTCTACTTGTCAAGTCTCATCCGGTCGCCATCACCTCCGGAGAGTTTCCGCGCGGGGGCTTGCACAAGATCCGCTTGCCACGTGTGGATGGGGAAGAGTGCGTGAACTAGGCCGGGAAGATTGCGTTGGGACGGCCGGTTTTTTTGTTCTCTTGTATGGCTGCTGCTGTAGGACTTGTTGAAAAGGGTCATTTTTCCCATTGCGCAAGTAAAGCCATTTTTATGAAAGTAAACTGGAAGAGGGAGATTTGTTCGGCAATGTTATTTCCGAAAAAAACCACTTCCTGCCTGGTGAGGTGGCGTGTTTATCTTGACCTGGTTAACTCAGACACAATCTGCCATCAGCAATGGAGTCAGGCTGTTCATGCTATGAATTAGAATTACACGAGAAAGTTGGTCGGGAGTTGACCCCCACTTGGAATCGCGAAGGATTCAATGTTCGCTCCATCGTCCATGTGGAGCGAGTCAAAGCTTTGTGGGGAGGGCGATAAGTGGACTGTCGTCCTTGTCGTAATTTTGACCCGACTTCGATAGTCTTGGCAGCTCGATGTTTGGTTGGTGCTGCCCGTAGTGATGGGTCAAGATGGATCAGGACCGGTTGATGTTGCAAAAACGTGGGCACCTTCGTCTGATATTTAGGATGATGGGAGAAAGACAGCCCTGCCCAGCCCAGCCCAGCCCTACGCCCTATGAAGGGGAACCGAAATCGTCTGATGATTGAGAGCAGCGCGCGCCGGGCGAATGAGACGAATCATGCCGGCCCCTTACACGTGTTTAATTCTTCGTGAGACGACGCCTACGCCTTGTTCCTGGTGTGGAGAAGATGGGGAAGTTCCGCGGGGCAGTCAAGTTTGTGAAGAGAATCCCGACATTTATCTAATTTCCCCGGCCTGCCTTCCCGAATCTAGCTAGCTCATCGCAAGGAATTTCGGTGCTCGCCCCCGTGAAAGCCATCTTCCCCAGCTCCGGGTCGCATCCGGCAGATGACGAACTTCAGTGCCAATGTGGGCACCCGACCGGCCCCACATCTCCCTCCACATTTGGATCATCGCAGAAGAAGCATACCGTTGACATGAGATCTCGTTGTATAAATGGCGATCGCGGTCTTTGCCCCGTGTCATTAGGGCATTGTCGATTTGAGGTCCGATACGGTACGGGAAGACAGTCCTTGGAAAAGCTACTGGTAAGATGGCGCGCGGTCAGCTCCTCGTTTCCGGCATTCTTGCCTTGTGCACCACCCTCTGCCATGCTGCGGATGACATCAAGACGCTCCGCGTGCCTGATGGTCCTGGCCCAGCAGCGCCTGTTGTCGGTGGATCCTTTGTCTCGTACTCGATCGAGTTTGCCAACTTTCACGACTTCGTGGGCAATGCTTCGTAAGCTTCACCAGAACCCGCGGCGCTCGCTCAAAGTTTTTCTTTTCTTTTTTGCTAACTTTTATACCCCCTCCCCCAAAGGCATCCAAACGACCTCACTCTCCGCTTAGTGCAGAATCTCGCCAACGTGGCAGGCTCCTACCCTCGTATCCGCATCGGTGGATCGACCGCCAACCGCGCCACCTACGTGCCGGATCAAGAGCAGGCCATCCTCTTGAACTTTACGACGCCGGGCGCCGATCAACCCACGTCGCTTACGTGGGGCCCTTCCTGGCTCCGAGGATTCGACGTTCTCCCGTCCAAGGTCAAGTATACTCTTGGCCTGCCCTTTAACTCTGGCGCGGCCGGGGAGGAGAATACTTTGGCTTCGGCAAAGGCGGCGTACGGGGGTTTGCAAGACAAGCTTTACGCTTTCCAGATTGGCAATGAGTTTGATGGTAAGGAAAAGAAGCCCTCCCTGTCCCGGATCCCTCGTCGGGTATCTTCAAGTTTCTCCACGTCCTAACTATTGCCCACGCATCGGTGTTTGTGGGGTGCAGTGTTTCCGGTTGACCGGGAGAATCAGCCGTGGAACATAGCGATATGGGCCAAGCAATGGCTCGAGCGGAGCGAAGCCGTGATGGACATGCTTTCGAGCTCATTCAACCGCGGACGAGATCCCATCTTCCAAACTGGAGTATTTGTTCCTCCTGGATCCATCACGAGTGATACCAGTTGGACCCCGCAGGCCGCCATTGAGAATGGCGTCACTTCCCAGGGGACGGTCAACAGTTTCTCTATTCACCAGGTAAGCGACAAAAGACTGCAAGCTGGCAGCTCATTCAATGTTGATAACGTATGAAAGCAATTCTAACCAAGATATAGTATTTTGGCGCAGCCTGCTATGCAACTCCAACACTCGCCTCCTCCATCCTGAACCACACATGGCTGGAGACGAATATGAAGTTCCACGAAGTTACGTCGAATTTCATGACGCTCCATGGAATCAAGTATATTATCGGAGAGACCAATTCCATTGCGGTATGAACTTGACACCATTTTCTCTCGGCGGCTTAAGAAGCACCTGGTCAACTAACGCGAAATTGGAACCGTTTTAGTGCCAAGGGCTGGCTGGAGTGTCTGATGTCTTTGGATCGGCGCTTTGGGCCGTCGACTACGCTCTCTACGCCGCATCCCTGAACGTCAGCTCTCTCCATTTCCACATGGGCACCGGCTACCGGTACTCTGCCTGGCAGCCTAGGCTCAACGGCACCACCCTTCCCGGCCCCCGGCCCTTGTACTACGGCCATCTCGTGGCCGCCGAAGCCCTTGCTGGCGGCAACAAGCAGGTCAAAATCCTGGCCAGCGAGCCCTCCTTCTCCGCCTACGGCATCTACACGAACGGCGATGCGCAGAAGCTCAGACACATCGTGCTGGTTGACCTTCGCGAGCACCTCTCGTCCGCCACGGCCCGCCCGACGACTCGGATCCGGTGCCTCGCGGCTTGCAGAGGAAGGGTCAGGTGATTACGGCGAAGAGGCTGAGCGCCCCGGGAGTGGATGCGAGAACTGACATTGAGTGGGCTGGTCAGCGGGTGAGTGACGAGGGCAACGTAGAAGGCGAAGTCGTCTTGGAAACGGTCAAGGGTGGCGACGTTGAGCTTGCGGCGGGTGAGGTCGTTATGCTCTCGTTTACGCCGAGGTGCAAGAGCGGACACACGCGTTCATGATAGGGTGGTGAATGAAGGTCTTCTTTTCTAACTTTCTACTTGTTCGAAAGCGAGCAGTTTAATTGTAATTATGGAAGTTTTATGATAAATTCACTGGTTTTAATCCAGCACTGGACCATTTCTTTTCTGGCACGTCCAAGGCCAGAAATCAATGTATTAATCGTTGGAAATTACATAGAGACTATGACTAGATCCTGACCTTATTAAAGAAGAGAATGGGAGCTTAGGCCCACGATCTTATCCACTTGTTCGATCTTCCATGTATTTGCAATCGCATCAACCTCGCTCGTTGTTAGAGCTCTTGTTCTCCCTTGGTCGCAGGTTTCTCTTCAATCGTCATGCTCTATTAGTCAGCCTTTGAAGTGATTGTAATATCGACGCCCGCGCCTAGGTATAGTCGCAATGACTTCATCAAATATATCCTTAGATTGATTATATAACGGCGGGCATGAAGTGGCGCACCGATAGCATCTCGCGCATTCATAGATGTAGGTAAAAAATGATTATCTTTTTCAAGGTACGGCGAAATCAATCGAGACCGTAAAGGGACGGTATTAAATAAATAGTAGCCAATCGCTTACCGCTTCGCGGAGCCTTCGTCGCCGGTGGTGGATCCGGGGCCGGTTAGCCGTGCCGGGCCTCCAGAGCGGCATCAACACCCGGTGGATCACGCACAGGTACGTGTAGATTCTTGGCTACTTGCTTTTCTGAGTTGGTTGACGAAGGATTCCGCCTGATCTTGTATCCTATCTAGTCTGTGATCAAACAGGACTTGCAATTTTGGTTCGTACTCGATTCCCTCCCCTTTCCTTGCGCCTCGGAGTTGAAGGATGGAGGCTTTGCGGGGCCGGCTCGCTGTCCGGGGAGGTGCAGTCCTTTTCTTTTTGCTCTTTTTTTTTTTTTTTCTGGAAGTGAAATGTCCCCCAAAAAGCGTGGGTGGTTGAAAACTGGTCAATCTTAAAATGTCAAGTCACAGTTTCTACATGTGCAAACGAGACGTCCCGTGGCAGCGCGCAGGAACGAAAATATGATGAACTCACTTGTAGCATTCTAGAACCTCCTTGTCCCTTTGTCCTACATTATGGTTGATACCAGCGCCGTATAGATGGTAGCGGTTTGGTAGTGGTTGATATGAAGATTCTCGGTTGAACGATTTAGTGCATCTCCGGGGCGTGACCTCGGATGATGCATATCGTGTTCAGTCGGTCTCCAACGGGGCCTGCAGGCTCATGGATGAATTTTCCGATGAGGGTCCTGTGGGCCACAACTTGGGGGCAGTTCGGTAGTAGAGAGGTCAGTAAATCCAAGTACGGTAGAGAAAACACAAATGACGAATCTATGACCTTGTGAGGCCTGATGGGGTTTGGTTCAGCTTTGAGTGGAATCTACACTCCCCGAGAAAACAGTGTTACTTGAATCATTAGAGTTGCTTGCTAGTTAGTGTTAGGGGAACACCGAAATCTAAGATGTGTTTACGTAGTACCGAGGTAGATGACGCTTCATTTATAAAAGACGAGGTGGAAGCTAGGAAATTACATATCAAGGTTAAATCAACTTGGATCTGCTATGGTGATGCGGAAGACAAGATGGGCCCATCTCAAGGTAATAGAGCCGAGTCTGACCTTTTGGTCCCGTCACTTCATTTTCAAATGTGAATTACTATCAACTTTCCTTGTACCTAAACGCTACTCCTCGCTTGATAGAATCCGAGCCCATGTTTCCATTTTTCCCCCAAATTCCCATCGCAGCGGCGTGAACCTCTCTACTATCGACCAGACTAGAATCTACGTTTGCCAGCATCTGTATATACATTCAGAGCCGTACACTTTCAAAAGACCCTTCTCTCCGACGCCCATGGTGACAACACACCGAGCACCCACTCACTCACGGATACTATTGATGAAATCCACAACCATGCGATCATCCCCCGGCAGCCCATCCTCCACCAACATGTTCTCAAGCGTACCAGGAGACGGGAGCCGCGTAAAATCAACGCCTGTCAAATCAATCTCCCCGAGCTCCTCAATCTCGGCGAGCGTCGAGTTGAACGAGCTATTTGGCGGGGCCTGCAAATCACCGTTGCCCATCAGGTCGCGCAAGAGATAGTGGTCCGCGCCGAGCACGTCGGTAAAGCCCGTGAGCATATCATTCACCACGTCGCTCATCCCCTCGATTCCACTCCGCCCTGGTCATACTGGATCGCGGTCATTTGGTCGCCGAGCTGCGGCGAGTTGGTAAAGTTCACATTCATGGCACCCGATCGGATTCGCGGGCACGCTGCATCAAAGGAAGCTGGGAAGCGGCGGTGGCGACTAACTCTGGGGGTCCGGTGACGGCGCTTGGCATTCCGTGAGAGACTTGAGGCGCTTCCTACTGAGCCTCGGTTCCTCTCTGCTGCTCAGCCGCCGCCAGCGAAATGAAAGAGGGGCGTTGTTTGCGTCGAGCTGCATGTCGGCCGCGTTCATTCCATGAGGGCCCTGTGCTATGACCGATGGATCCTGGCCGAGTGGGAGCCCGGGTGGTGCTTGCGTGCTGGAATTGGAGAGCCAATCGTTAATCGAGCCACCGGCCTGTTCAACCTGTTGGTCTTGACCGGAGTTGGGATAAGGTGGGACTTGGGTAAACTGGGGCATGCCGCTGTTGAGAAGGGAGTCGTCCAGGCTGGAGGCCGGAACGCTGGGATCGACGATGGGAGAGCTAGCGATGGGAGCTGGTGCTGGCTCAGGCACTTCATCTACTGTCTCCGTGGCAGCCGCATTGGCGGAACCACCACCACGTGCACTTGCGCCGCCCTTACCCTTGCCCTTGCCCGCGGCCGTTTTCGCTGCCCTCCCACCCGTCCTGGCGCGTTTCCCGCCTCGTGAACCTTTTCCACGACTAGGTTCCGCCGTGGTGTCCGCGGCACGTTTCCTCCGAGGGGCAGCAGCAGTCTTCCGGCCCTTTGGTTTCGCGACGGGCTCCTCGGCAGGGGTACGCTGGCATTCTCGGCTGGCAGGGGGAGGATGCAGGTTGGGGTGGTGGAACAGCAGGGGTTGGCACCAAGGCCGGAGCGAGAGCTTGAGCGGGAGCGGGCGCAGGTACGGAGGACGAGGGGGAGCAGGGGCGGGCGCGGTATCGTTACTGTTAATGTGTTGAACCCGTTGCAGCAGCCCGGCACCAAACAAATCTGGATTGTTAGTCACCACCTGTTTCAGATGAATCAGTGGGATCTGGTTGCTCCGCACGAACTCGTCTCCTCGATCCCTCAGGCAAGACTTCACCGCCGAGGCCCAGCGACCAGGCACTTCGGAACTCTTGCTCGCGTCCGCCGCGTCTCCATCCGACAAGCAGAGCACTTCCTTCAGGGACGTCGGGTTAATCGTACTCTGGGCTTCAGCCACTTCGACGAGAAACGAGAAAACCCGCTCCACGGCATTCGTGAGGCCGTGCTCGAATCCGGCCGAGAACGCAGACGTGACGACCCTGGCATCTCGGACGCCGAGTAAATCTTGGGGCGTGCCAGAGACCACCGGGGCAAGTTCCTGTAATGTAATGGTTGGTGGCGCTGGCTGGATCGGGGCCAGCCGCGGCAGAGGCGTCGATCTTGGCAAACCCGTCGGCGCGGGAACGGCCGGAGTTTCCTGGCTGGGTTGGGCGGTGGATGTCACTTTTGGGGGTATATCAACGCGTTTCTGTTGCCCGAGCTTCCCGGGCGCATGTGCAAAAGGTGGAATCTCTTGCACCGTGTTCACTACAATGATATCCAGTTAGCATCGCTTCTCCTCCCCCAAAAACGGCCGCCAACGGAACCGAACCGAAGGGAAACAAGTACTAACCTGTTTGACCGGGCCGCTTGTTTTCCCGCAGCTCCTGCAAGTACTTGGCGAACCATATCGGGATGGCTGATCCATTCACTCTGACACACCCGGGGGTGTGGTCGGATAAGGGCGGAGCGCCAATGGAGTTTCTCTGATGGTAGTTGTGCCGCTGAATGTCGAGGAGGTGTTTACTTGAGAATAGAGTGCCGCAGCCAATAGTTAGTAGGCGGTATCGCGGTTGGTCACATTTCCCTATGGCGCATGGCTGACTTACCAGACCCAGGCGAATGGCGAGGTATAAGAGATGGATCGTGGATCGGGAGAAGGAGAGGCCCGATTCCCTCGGCCCTTGACTTTGACCTACTGATGATTAAGAAATGATGTTCTTGGAGCATAAGTCATGTTTGGATCGCGGGATTCTTACCAGCGCTACTATTTGCAGAGGTGAAGGCCTCCGTAGATGACGCGATATTGTTTGAGGCGGCGGTGTTTTTCGACGGCAAAGCGGGCCTAACGTTCCCAACCCAGTTGGGTTGGTTGTGCCACTTCATCAAATCGATCGAAGGAGCATCGCCCGAGTCCCCGGTTGCACCCATCTCCGAGTCGGACATCTTGTATAAAATCGGTATAGTCGGCTACCTAGTGCTGTTCAACACTTCGTGATAAAAGTTAGCCCAACTATTTCGTGTTTCCTTTGGCATGGGGGCCTTGATATATTCTCATGTTCATCCACAGGGCGAAATATGAGAAGAATCATCTCATCTTTACTTACCTGATTATGATGGAAGGAAATGAAGCCTTTCCCGGAGGAATATCTGTCTTGTTTTCTGTTGTGATGTTTCGCGGACGAGTTTGTAAGAATGTGTGTTGAGGTGAGCTGGCTAGGTAGAAACGAATCTCTTATACCCACGATATTCCCACTCATCAACGCTGCTCCAGTGCCTAAAAACACGAAGCAGCGCGATCGTTGGCGTCACGTCAGAGTCAGCTCTCAACTCTTAGGGAACTCGGCCCGAGTCGACGCCAGACAATTCTAGCCCCCGCCGAGTCCGCGAGCCTCGTTTACACAAATCAGTCGCCTTTCCAGTGTTCCAAGTGTTGTCGATGTGAAACAACACCTGGCATAGAAAGGTGTGATGTTGATGGCGATGATGGCTTTGATGGTGGGAGAAGGGGACGACTTGAAGCTGAAAAGCACCACACAAGATCTTGACTAGGAAATCGAGAAGTAGGTGAAAGAAACCACATGATTCAGGAAGATAAACATAGAAAAACGCCGAAGAGGTTGTCATCAGTGTATATATCAGGGAAGGAGCGATAGAAATCTCATCTTTTCTCTTCGATTTTCTTGGTCATCTCTTATCTGCTTTCAGTTGAGTACCAGCCTATAGTGATACTAGGTAATAGAGATGATCAAAGAACACTATAGAAATCATCTACTATCTATCCACAGTGAAGCTTATCTTCTAGAACTGCTTATATGGTGCTAGTAGCAGGAAAAAGGTTAGGACAGAGTAGAATATATCGATACTATAAGAAGTTAGGCTAAGAGGAACTTGAGCAAGCATATAAAACAGCATGAGGAGCAATGATAAACTTGCAACTATAGATGGCTACAGAGCGTAATTACTTAACATATTTGTAGACTCTGCTATGGGAGAAGGACTCTATCCGTAGAGTTCTTCCATCTTCGATGACTGAAAATTGTTGTCGGATAGTACCATTGTTACACGGCGAGGTTCTCAAGTTGGCAGGGGCAGTTACATTCGAGCCCGAGTAAGCGTAGAGACCCCAGTCATTACCAAAAACTGGCAGAGGCTTCGAGACACAGAGATATGCAAAGGTGTCGATGGACAACACTTGGAGGTACGAAATGGTCAAGGGTAACAGGTTGAAAATTATAGTAATACTTGGGGCTTGTGGTGTTGATATATACACTGCTATGGTAGCCGATACGGCCAATAAGGATCGGAAGCGCCGAGCGGTTCACACCTGTGCAGGCTCTCAGTACTTTGAAACACCTCGCAACTGTCTAAGGCGACAGGAAGGTGCTGGAACCTCGATCGCAAATGGCCTGGCTGGGCAGGTGAGAAAAAGAAAACCAACAAAAAAGGACATGGTAGCATCAAGGGCAAAGGAAAGGGCATAATAGCTTCTTAGGAAAAAGCAAACCGCGTCAACTCCATCCCAACGTGTCGAATATTCAGTGATACAAGGACAGAAAATGAAGGATTATGAAATGATGGAAAAAAGCCAAAATGCTCCGACTCTTGCTTTTGTCTCAAGCCGATGATGGAAGCACAAGCTGGTCCGGCTTATAGAGCAACTCCTTCAACACATCGCCAATCTCTCCGAGAAGTTCATGGGCGACATCCCTCCAGGACTCGACCGTCACAATCTCAATCGTCAGCTCGTCACCCTTGACAAACGCCTGGATCTTCCATTCGCGGAGAGGTTCAGCTTGAGCATAATACGTCTCCATTTGGCACGTCGTCTCCTCGAATGGGAGCTCTGTCACGTGATCCACATCCTGGTGCACCACCGTGTCGTACCAGGTGATATCACTTGGCCAGTTTGTGCAGTTCTTGACGATTTCGGGCAGACCCATGGCTTCGAACGCGGAGCCTGCAATATGCTGGTCCTGCACGTGGAGGAGGAGGTCGGCTCCGGTCCAGCTCGGGTCAAACTTGACACGCACAGGCGCGTACTGCCAGCAAGGGCCCATGACGGTGTTGGCGTGGTGGAAATCAATGTTACGACCGCTCACAACCTCTCCGAAAGTGACATCGGCAAGCTTGGCGCGGCGGGCAAGAGTGAGGGCCCACACCGCGGTGGGGATGGTTGCGACTGTGGTATCCATCGAGCGGGCCGAAATATCAAAGGTCCTCTCAATGGCATAGTGGTCTGCATTTGTGACGGGAATGTCGGGCCGGAACATGGTCATGGAAGAGCCCTCGAGGAGCTCCTTCCAGTATCCGATTGACTCGGGGATGCTTCGCCGGACGACGTGTTGCACGTACGACGAGAAGGGGAGACTAGTGGGTACCGTCCGCTTCTCGTAGATGGCGGAAAGCTGCTTCAACAACAGAGGCAGGCAGATCTCATCATACTGCGAGTGGGAGATTCGGAAGATTAGGCAGCTCCTACCGCCAACCTCCTGCACATGGAACCACTTGACGAATGCGGAACCTAGAGGCATGCTGGTCTGGACATCGAGATCGCAAAGGTTGCGTGTGAAGCCTTCGAGGCCTTGGTCGATATGGTACTGGACAACAGGGGTGGGGAGATCCTCGAGCACGACACCAAGGTATTCTTCCTGGTGCTTCACGAAAACAGTGCGCAAGATCTCGTTCATGGTTACGAGTTCTTGACACGCCTTGTAGAGCTGGTCGCGGTCAACGGGAGAGTCAAAGTACATGATCTCGTACCGCGCCGAGAAGCGGGGATGCGAATAGTGCCGTCAATGGCAACGGCTTGCAGAGGCCGCACGGGCAGCACGTCAACCACCTTCCACCTCGGGTTTTCTAGGGAGTTGACCAGGACCGCAGCCGAGTTATCCGCATTGAACCCCTCCACGAGGGAGAAGGGTTTCGCGACTTCGTTCATCACGGGCTTGGAATCGAGCTCCTCGAGAACCTTGGCCATGTCATACAACGTTCGGTTCTGGAAAACCTTTGCCACCGTGAGCGTCCAGCCAGCATTTCTAGCCTCCGAGACAAGCTTCATCGCCGAGATAGAGTCGCCGCCGAGCTGGAAGAAGCTGTCGCCTAGACTGATACTCTCCTCCTCCATCTGGAGAACGCGCGACCAGAGTGTCCTGAGAGCCTTTTGCTTACTCGAGGTCGCCGAAACCGTCTTGGAACGTGCCTTGGCAACGACGTGGTTGGAAGGGAGTTGGCTCTTGAGTCCCTTGAGTTGAAGGGTTCCTTCTGAAGTAAATGACGCAAGTCGTCCAGTCTTGTAGAGGTTCTGCGTCACCTCAGGAAGCTGCTGGGTCTTGGCCCACTCGGGTGCTTCCAGCCGCTCAAGGGAAAGCTCCTTGGTGGTTTGCACAACGAGCTCTCCGAGGGCGCCGCGGGGAACCAAGCGGTCAGGGTTAGCAAGATCGACGACCCAGATGGCGTTGGCGCCCGGGAACTCCCCTCGACCTCGGGGGCGCAGGCCGCGCTCAGGGCCTGAAGACCCTCCTTGTCACTGTCGGCCAAGAATTCGATGTCGCCAAGGGCCTTTTCCGGTTCCTGGCAGAGCTGTTGAACGACGTGACCAAGCTGATGGAGAGCCTTGTCCATGGTCTTGACGTCAACAGTCTTGGAGTCAAAGCTTGCCATGATCAAGAACCCCTTGGGGTCAAGAGAGCAAACGAGCATAAGGGCGTATGTATTAAACTTGAGAGCCTCCTGTGCTGCCTCTTCGTCACCGGCGGGTACCAGCCGGCTGGCAGGGAGGTCCGCATCAGGGTTGATCTGGTCGGGGTCCGCCGTGGGGTGCAGAACGATGCCGGTTCGGAGCTCGCAGGCTTGGAGGGCATCGGGACTTAAGCGGCGGATATGCTGCAGTCCAATATGCTCGTGGGGGATCTGCTGGGCGGTGTTGCTCTGAATACTGTCCAAGTACTCGCCCACAGACTCGTTCAAATCCACGTGAACGCGGATGGGAACCGTGGTGATCATGGGGCCTTCAATTAACTCGGCTCCGGCAATAGGTGCATTTCGGCCCGTCAAGGTCTCACCAAAGACGACGTCCCGGGAAGCCGTATACTCGGATGCAACAAGAGCCCAAGCACCCCTGAGTACCGTCGCAACCGTTGCCGTGCAGTTAGCATGTCGGTCAATAGGGACGTAGTGCTCAAGAAGGGACTCGGCTTGGGGCTGGTATGAAGGCCAAGGAAGCATGGGGAATTGCGGGCCAGTGGCTCCCTCGAGCTTCTCTCTCCAGTAGCGCTCGCCACCTTCACGGTCAAGGTCCTTGAGGTACTTGATAAACTCGCGGAAGTGAGGTGAGGCGCTCGCAGGCTCGTCCTTGTAAGCGCGGTTGATGCGATCAACAACCAGGGGCATGGACCAACCATCATACAAGGCGTGGTGCATAGTTAGGACGAACTCGTGTGTGCCAGCGGCCTCATCGTAAATCATCGCGTATCGCACGAGCGCCTTACCAAGCCCCATGGCCTCATCTCGGTCTTGGACGAGATACTCGTTGGCATCGCTGCCACGATACCACTCAATTCCCTTGTTGAGAAGGACCTGGACTAGGCCGTGCTCGGGGACCTGGATGATCCTGGTCCTCAAGATGGCACAATCTTGAGTAGCGGTGTTGAAGGCACCCTCTAACTTGGTAGCCATGTCCAAGCTATCAAGCTTCACTACTCGCTGCGCAACATAAGCCTCCCTGACCTTCGCGGACAGAGCCATGAGCGCCTCTTGGAGAGGTGTACAGGGGTAGATATCCTCAATGTCCTCGACCGAGACGCCGCACATGTCGGCGGCAACAGCCTTGGCCTCAGCCGGTTCCCAGTTCTCAATCATGGAGAAGGGGGCCGCGGGTGCCGAGGCATCCGCGTCCACCTTTGCATGCGGGCCGCCATTTCCTTGAGAGTGGGGTTTTGGAAGATGATTGCAACGGTTAGCTCGAAGTTCTCTTCTCGGGCAACCGAAGCCAGCTTCATTGCCCTCAAAGAGTCGCCACCAAGGGCGAGGAAGCTGTCTTGCAGGCCAATCTCCGCGTCGGTCCCAAGCACCTTGACCCAGAGCCCATGCAGGGCTATTTCCATCTCGGTCTGAGGCTTTTCGATTGATTTTCGGAGGCGCTTCATGCTCGCGAGCTGTTCACGGGACATGGATTGCCCAATTTCCTTAATCTTCTTCCTGTTGGTCTTGCCGGAGACGAGGGTAGGCACAAGAGTGAGAGGCACAAAGGTAGAGGGGATCATGTAACGTGGGATCTCCTTCTCCAATTCTATCTCAGCATCAGAAATGGCGGTAGAAACCTCCTCCGAGAATTCCGTGAATTCGGGATCCTGTGTGTGGGAAGAGGCCTTGCTCTCTACCAAGAAGGCCACAAGAGTGGGCTCTCCGCCGCTTGGGTAAATGACTTCAGCAACAATTTGGGCGTGTTGTTGGAGATGCCTGCGCAAGTGGTGCTCTACCTCCGACAGCTCAACACGCTGACCGCGGAGCTTAACCTGCTGATCCTTGCGGCCGACGAAGGCGATAGAACCGGTTCCGTTCGAGTCGTACTTGACAAGATCACCAGTCTTGTACAAACGGCCCTGCCTACCCTCGAAGTCCCCGTGACCCTGGAGAAGCCATGTTGGGTCGCTGATGAACACCTCGGACGTTTTCCCAGGGTCATTAAGGTATCCGACACCAACAACGGGGCCCTCGACGAGGAGCTCGCCAACCTCGCCAACGCCAACGAGCTTGTTGTGGTCCTCCGGGTCCACGACCCAGGTCAGGCCGCCAACACCGTAGCCGATGTTGGTAGATACCTGGACATTGTTATTGACGGTACAACCGACAGTGCATTCGGAGGGGCCGTAGGCAATAACAACGCTAGTGTCCTTGCCCCATGTTGCAGCATCGCTAGCGGAGACGGCTTCACCTCCGAGGCCAAGGACCTCCAACGAAGGGATAATATCCGAGTCGAGGACACGGGCTACGGAAGGAGTCATGTGGGCCATGTTCGCTCCGCTCTTTCGGATGGCACCGCTGAGATCGTTCATCCTATCGGCATCGGACGGCACGGAAAGGCATCCGCCATTTGCCAGTGTGCACAACATGCAGTCGATACTGACGTCGAATGCGTAGGAGGCAAAATCAAATACAATAGAATGAGGGCGGTAGCCGACAGCGTCAGCTCTGGGCACGGCACCGCTCGCATAGTTCTCGTGAGAGATGATAACACCCTTTGGCTTACCCGTGCTGCCCGAGGTGAAAATGATGTACATTGGGCTGCTAGGGGGTACCTCGGGGAGAGAAACTTGGGCGTTATCCACGATCGGTACGGTACAGCTATCAGTGATAGATGGAGGAGGACTGGGCAGAAGCCTAGGAGCCACGTTGGGGACGGGAGAGAGCGGGGCATGCTGTGGTGAGTCCGATCCCCCATCCTGTACGGCGGGCTGAGGCTCCGGCAAGTGAATTCCCAGACCCGTAGTCGCAACATCGTCCAGGGTAGTTACAAGTTGAGGGAGAGTAGAAGTGTGAGAGGTAGGTTGAACAAGGTCCTCCGCCGTGGCGGCTTCTTGGGGAGGCGTCGTGTCTAAGGACTGTAGATTCTCGTCCACGGCTTCGAGGCCTTCATTTTTGGAGGACGATGAAGGGGACGGTTGGTGGGATGAGAGGGGCGGTGTGTGAGATGAAGAAACGGCCACCGGTAGGTCGTGGAGCTCGGCAGGCGTGTCTTCCGGAAAATTGGAGTTGGTATCGGGAATCAAGGCCGGGGACGGGTGGATAGATGACAAAGCGGCTTGGTTCCGGTAAATGTCGTCGCTTGGAACCACAAAGAGCTCCGCGGTAGGTGCAACGCGACGGCCAAGCTCTTCCTGTCTCTTGGAGGTCAAGATGAACTGGGCCGTAGATTCCTCCGCAATGGTACGCAATCTAGCCTCTGGCTGACTAGGGTCTGTGAGGATGAAGGTGCCGCCCGCCTTCATGATGGCTAACACGCCAACAACCGTCCACATGGACTTTTCAAAGAGTAGAGGAACACGAGTCCCTACGCTGACGCCAAAGTGACAGAGCCTCAGTGCGAGACGAGTCGAATAGGTCTCCACCTCTCCGTACGCCAAATGGCCCTCCCATGACTGGACGGCAATTTTCTCAGGATTCTCGCGAGCGCGCGCGGAGATGGTCTGGTGTGTGCATTCCGTTATTGTAGGGGGCAGAGTGCTGTTCCACTGCCATATCTGTGTGAGGTCTGCCGAGGATAACGTTGTCGGCTCATCACTAACAACCTCATTTGACTCGGGTTGCTCTGACGGCTGTGGTTGCTGGTCCTGCTGTGGTTCCTGCTTTTCAGCAGCGTCGCCTTGGGAAATTTCAGCAACTTGAGATGATGGCGTAGCCTCCACCAAGAGGCTATCGTCCTCCCCAACCTGTGACTGCATTGTGAGCTCGTATATTGCGGGTGTTCCAGAGTGATGCAACCGCGGGCCAAGGCAAACGATGTATGGAACCGACTGCAGAGTAGCGGGTTAGGTTGAAAGTGCGCGTGTTGGAGTTTATGATATTCTTTGGACCCCCAGGACGCCGTCAGCAAAATAGAGGACGAGAAAGAAACGAAATCGGTCGACTCTCTGAATTAGTGCTATGGAGACAGGCACCGGAGAAACCAAGCATCCCGGTCCCCTGCCTTGGCTCTATTCCGAAGCGAGCCTGCTGGGTACCAAAGGAGCTGTCCCAGAGAGATACCTTTGACAAAGTGAAATGGTCGGGCCAGTTACCAAAAGCAGACTCGTGGGTGACCATCCCTGGTGTGACGGGGTGGGAGGGACGGAATTCGAGGCCAAACTCGTTTCGTTAAGCTGCTGTGGAGGGTCCCCGATGACGATCTAATGCGGAAAGGCGACGGTGGCGGCATGTGCTCAAGCTCCTCGGTCTGGATGTGGTCACAGTCAAGGAGGCCGTAGTGCGGCCTGTGTAAGAAGCATCTCGCGTGGGGAGGGACGAGGATAAGGTGGGGGTGGGCGAGAGAAGTGTGGAAATGCGGACAGGGAATCCCTGAAATGTGAGTCCCCTTTGGAAATAGCGTGCTGTGGCTACCCTATTTTGGTCTCTGAGCGAGGGGAGTATGGATAGTAGAGGGGAGGGTAGTGGTGGGGAGCGTGGTGGGTTCTTCACTGCTACCCTTCTTTTGTTTTCCTCTTCTTATCGTAGGGCAAAGGAATAGAGGTTCGCAATCCCGGTCGCCCTTGGCCGAGGGCGGTACAAGTGGTGTAGGCCCCAAGAGACGAGTCGCCTGGAGACGCCCGCGAGGAAACGCGAGAGACGGGGGCGAGATGAGGCGAGGTGGACAATGGACTCGTATGTTAAGCAGCTCCGCCGTGGATAGCACAATTTCCATAGGGCAGGGCCTAGTTCCGTACAATACCGGAGTCAAGTCCCGACTTCGGCATCTAGGGAGAACAAGAGGCCAAGGTGGGTACGGCGGCCCTCTTTTTTTTTTCTTTTCCTCTTTGGCGCTGCCGGTATGCGGAGGGGCGAGCTAGCTGAACACGGATATGTATGGGTGCTTGAGGCCGGGAGCGGAACAGGCACGCCCAGTGCCCTCTTCTGCTTGAGCCCTATTACTTTTAGTCGGCTCGTAAATGGACGCTTCGGAGAGTTCGGTAACAAATGAGTTGGCTTTGCCTTTGTCACAGGGGTAGGAGGATAAGCATTGCCGGGGGGTATCATCTAGTCCGGGCGGGAGGAGGGGCAGAGGAATCGGAGAAGAGTCTCCAATAAGCCAGGCGAGACCGGGATCCAGCCTAGATATCCCGGGTTGGGCAGAGAGTGCTTGCAAAATGATCAGTGTGAGAGATGGGTGACTTGGTCAAATTGCACGTGGAACAGCATCGAAAAGGGCATTCTCCGGAGACCAAGCAACAGGCAAACTCGGGCTTGGGAACATGGGTTCCGGCGTGGGGAGGGGGTGGGAAATTGTGCGAACATTGACTTGATCGACCATTGTCCAAGAGGCGATGGGAGTGGGCGTGGGAGGTTCGAGCAGAACCCCTGGTCAGACATCAACGACAACAACATTGAACACTAGGGCCGATGGGTGGGCAAGACTGGGCGCTACATTCTACAGAACCAACCTTGGTGGGTGTAGTCAACTTGACCCTTTCTGCAATGGTGACGAGGAGACCCAGTTACCAGTTACCATGAATCTACAAGTACAGACGAAGCGGGGAGGGGACCTTCCTTTACAGGCACGGGCAGGGCAACTTGGAAGGTGGGATGTTGAGAAAGTGTCTTGACCGATGGGAATCCTCTCCAAGTACAGAAAGAAGAAAGGGTGGACCTGCCACAATGTCCTGGTATAGAACGGGTACAGTACTTCTAGGGATCGAGAGTGGAAATGGCAGGAGCAAGCGGTGCATAGAGGATACGTCCTTCACTAGCAGTCTCTTTGAATAGCGTTTAGAAAAGGGAACAAATGCAACTCGAAGAGGAGGGGGTTCATGGTGGGTAATTACGGGATGGTAGGGGCGCGCTAGATGGCGAGGAATTTAGTCTCGAGCGCTGATTAGATTGATTGATTAAAAGATCTACGGCCCATTGTTTCCAATCATTATCCCAAATTTCGCGGTGGTGGAGTCGTTTCTTGGCTAACCACTCCTTGCAAGTACCAGACTCGAGTGGGAGAAAAGTCGACCACTTTTCCATGGGTCCAAACCTTGCCGAGGTCAAAGCCGTTGGGTCGAGTCAAGACCGTGCAGGCAGATCTCGAGTATCGCCAAGGGGCAGCTTGCAAGCGAGACCCAGAGTTCAAACCCCATGCCTCGAACATACATGTAGGGTGCTGGCCGTGTTTCGGTCCTGGGTCCAACGCTGAGGGTGGGCCGAAAGTCTGGTGCAGAAATTGGTGTTGGATTGCATCGAGGGAAGAATTCGAGGCGGAGGGATAATACTATGTAGGCATAATTCTGTTTTTTCTTCTTTTGGGGGAAGAAAAAGAACAAAGCAAGGAAGTACAAAGGTTCGACGCCGGTGTGCTGCAGGAACCAGACTAGTCCACACGGCTCGTACCAGGAGGGCACTTCTGGCGCGCTATTTTGGTACGCTTGTGAGAAAAGAGAAGAAAAAAACCCCTAGCAAAGGAAAAAACCAGTGATGCAAGGATAGTGTTCCATTGGATGGTGTTGCGGTCGAGTCTGCCGTGTCATTGAGGTGCTTCTCGATCATACATGTACACACGCCGCCCACACACAAAGACCCCCAAGAGCAGCTTCCTCGGCTAGTTGGGCTCCCAGCTTACGCTCAAAAAGGCCCTTTGATGCAAGTGACGCAAGTGCAAAAGAGGAGCTCATGTCCGAAAGCAGAACGTCGATGAGGCCACGGCCACGGAGGAGCGTCCGATTCAAGCACTGGCAGGTCCTTGCTGGTGGGGTAGGAAGCTGCCAACAAGGGCGAGCATCACGCCGACATTCCCACGGACGAGGAGGCAAATAGAATGAGGGGAATATCTCATCGTCAAAGGTCTCATTGGAAGATGAGGAGAAGGAGGAGGGAAAAGGAAAAAGGTAGGGTTTCAATGGGGAACAGAAAAGAAAAATTCCGGCACACCTGATGTTCAGGAATCGCAAGCGAGGTGTAACATTGCCGCCTTTTTCGGGCGCGACTCGCGTCGAGCACGGTGGTCGAGAGCTTCGCACCCTGGCTTGCCTGGGGCCGCAACGGACACCACCAGACGCCGTCCACAGCACGTCCAAGTGCCGAACTCGCAGAGATTTGCAGTCTGATGTGTCCGATGTGACATCAACTGGGAGACCAGGATATGGTACGGGACCAGTTACGGCGCACCACCCACGCACCACCACCGCACACCACTATTATCCATCATATGCACGCACGCCATCCAAGAAGGGCGACACACGGAGAAAAGGCAGGAGGCAAGGCAAGGGTCCCTCCTCAACTTGCAACCAAGACGATCGGGCCCTCCACTATCACAAGTACACACGAAAAGCAAACTCGGCAGGACAACGAAAAAAAAAAAAATGTCGGCGTGGGCGATTCACGAGACGCACTGGATGCCTTCGCATTCGCCGCAAGAGAACAAGCCCCGGTCCGTCGTTTCTCGTGCATATGGCTACAGGTATTACCGCCGGGATGCAGCCAGTGCCGTGTGATGCTTGCTCGCGGTTGGTGGCCCCTATGCTTCCCCACTAGCGAAGAGACAATATTGCTATGTGAACCGTCGGTGCTCCTGATCGTTGGCGCTTCCTTGTTGGGAATGGCCGCAATGACTTGCAGATTGAAGATGTTTGTGGCCCATTGTGGCCAGGCACTTGAATGAACTCAGCTTCGCTCCAGGCTAAAAGATCCTCGAGGACAGACTCGGAAAGGCAGGGTGGGGAGGCACACAACCAAGGTAAAAGTACCATCCCTGTCACCCCTGCACAAACTGGGATTTTGTGTGGCTGGCATGGCAAGATCAATCGCATCGACGTGAGTGGTTCATTTTTCTTTCAAACTCATTTTGGGAAGCTCGACAACGATCATCGGCCGACCGGTGAGGGGGTTAAGGCGCAAAAACGAGTCAACTTGCGCACGCGTTCGCCTCTTGGCCATTTCGAGAGAACCCTTCACAACTTTCACGAGCTTGATTGAGTGATAATGATGCCTGTGACTCGTAGGTGTGCATAATTCCCCCCTCCTTCTATATAATTGAATGCAAGGTGGTAGCCGAGTTGAGCAATCAGTCCGAGGTGCTGTCGTCGTCATCTTCGAGGACGGAGATGCACATCAATTAGAACAGCGTCGTAATACCCTATTAACCGTGGAGTCGAAATTGAAGGCGAGGCTTTCGAACTTTCGCAAAAATAGACAGCGTTGCGGCGTGCGCTTTGCTCCGGCCAGCAGCGGAGCATTGCCATTTTGTCGGTTTGAACATTGAACATTGGATGCCCAGAAACCCCCCCACCCCTTCGCCATCTCGACTACAAGGGCCAGATAATACAACACAACATTGCACACCTTGATGACAATGCTCACTAGAAAAGGCCATCACCCTGAATTTATGCACAAACGTTCCCCACGCTTCGGAGACATGGGTAGGGAAGTGACGTGAGGCGTGAGCGTCCGCCGCCCTCAACCTACAGATCATACTCGGGGGACGAGGGGAGTCCAGAGCGACTCGCCAAGCAAACAGGGGCCTCCTCATCCAAGCGCCCTCGCCTCTCGATCGGGAAGCCTTGGGGGTTTAATTGATCCCTTGGGCAAGCCACTGTGGGATGAACGAGGGTGGATCTCGTACCCGATGTCTCGTGTTGACATAAGGCAAGCCCGGCGGCAGGCATGTTCCGCCCTATCGAGAAGGCACAAGCCATCACCAACATGGCTCTCCCCTCTCGAAGATCTCTTTGTACGCGCGGGGGGACTCGAGCTCTAGAAGGAGTGAACAAAATTTTCTTTCGCCCGCGCGGGTTTTTCTTGTCAATCATTTCCAAGTTGTTGATTAGTCGCTCCGGCATTTTCCCTCATTGTCGATCTCCTCGTGCTTAAAGAGTGGCAAAAACAGGGAGCTTTCCAGGGATTGGCCAAATCTTGAGACTTCTAGCCCCGAGAGCGCACGCCATCCATGTCATCGATGAAAGGCCACAGCTCCCAAAGAGGCGCGCGGGGCGTGGGAGCATCTATGGATCTGGTGTGTAAGTGTATCATTCCCCGACAGGCTGAGGCTGTCAAGGGTGCCAGGGCGAAGGCGAAGCGTAAAATGAGAGGAGGCATAACAAACAACAGATTGCTGCAACCTTTGACGTCCTGTCAGTTTTCTTCCCAGCTTTGGTTTTTTTCTCTTCTTTCTTTGCCACGTCTTTATTCTTCAGGCGTAAGTGGTGGGTATGAGTTTGGGTCTGGGCGAAAGTCTTCAGCGAGTTAGTGAGTGGGGTGAAATTAGATCAGTGGCAGACTTGTGGAGTGAGGTCCTTCGGGCCCCTCCCCTCCCCTGTTCCTGTCCAGGGCAGGGTTGAATGGACGACATCGACGCAGCGACCGATATCGGGGTCTGGAGTTTTGGGCTCTCAAATCCACCGTTTCCGTGCCCCTAAGAGCGCCAGGGTGGTCTAGGTGATACGGTACGTGCCCAGTAAGCCCGTCAAGGCACACACACGCCACCAGCGCCACCGTTTTGCGCCGCTGCCAAGCCAGCAGTCATCTTATCAGATCATCAGATTAGATCAAGAAATGAGCAAAAGAGGCAAGGTCCGAAGGGGAAGACGCCACTCAAGGACGGAAACATTCGACCCCACCCCATCTTGCCCATCAAAGCCGCTAACAACAAAGAGAATGAAGAGTATGGACAGAAGCTCGAGCACCCATCATCCCCTGACAAGGTAGCTGAGCGAGCTCTTCGATGCTTGCTTTTGCTTGTTTTTCCTCCCCCGCCCTAAAGGGAAATTAGCTAAAAGGCTTGTTGAGCGGTGCGATAATTCTTGAAATTCTCGAGCAGCCCCGCCCTGTCAGATTTGAAAGAAGAGGAAAAGAAAGACGAAATTATATCGAGGCGCCCTCTTCTTGACGGGCGAGACACCTCTGAGGGGCCGAAGATCCTGTGCAATTGCGTTTAACTCGACACTGCGTGTAATATCTCGAGGGTTCTGAGCGGATAATCGTCAAACGAGACGATCTACTTTGGGACCCGTTCGCTCTTGAGGATCTACTTGTACTTTGACGAAAAATTTTTCGTTCTTCTCGATCTTCATCCCCTCCCTCTTCGGCATCAAGGTCCCCACCGTTTCTACTCTGATCCATGTCCAGTGCATCTACCATCTCTCGTAGCGTCTCCCGTCGTTGATAGATCCATGACGACGTACCATCACTACCCTAGCCTACGAGTTACACTTGGAAGTATTATCCCCAAGCTAAGCTGGTTTTTCTTGCCCCTCCTCTATCGGTGGCCGCTCTGTTTCGGCCCCTACCACACCATCCACCATCCTTGTGCCGTCACTCCCCACGCACGCACGCATTCCCACTTGAGGGAGGTCGACCAAGCAGTGCTCGAATTCCGATGCCGTGGGCCTAGCTCCTCGATCACCGACAGCCCGCCGACTTGCATGAGCTGTACCCTAGTTTCCGTAGCAGAAAAGAGCTCCATTTGCAAATTTTCAAACGCAAGCATGAAGCCAGGTTTGCCGGGCGCGGGACAAACTCCGATCTGCTTGTTATCGTAGCTTAATAGGGACCTATTTTATCATTTTTTTCTTCTTCTTCTTCATGTCCCGCCCGCCCATCTATGTATGCACAAGCGTGAGCAGAACCCAAACGCACTTCCACTAGAAGTCAGGAGCCCGTCTTGTTGGACTGCCGGTACCTTGCGTGGCGTCGCAATCGATCTTAATTCTCATCGCACATTTTGCCATTGACCGACCAGAAGAACTACAGCCGGCTTCTCTTGTCTTTTTTTCTTTGTTAATCCCTCTCCATTTTCAAGGTCTTGTGCCAGGCCTTCGAGAGAGATAAAGTAAACCACAACCTAGCTTTGCCCTCTTCCTCCATTCTTCCGGACCGATCGAAACGAAGTCCTTTTCCCTCCCCCTTTCCCCCGCCTTGTTCGTGGACGCAGACAAAGTGAGTAAATTAAAGCGCATAATCATGGCCGCCCAAGCATCCCTCGTCCTCCCCGAGCCGGCGGTGCCGACCCAGCGGCTTTCGCTGCTGCAGGGTCCCGTGGACCCCCGTTGGTCGACCTCACCCTCGGCGAGCTCCTCGAGCTCCAGACCTACCAGAACGGCAGCAAGGAGTGCCTCGTGATCCCCTGGACCGGTGCTCGGTGGACCTACAATGAGCTTAACCAGCAGAGCTACCTCCTGGCGCAGTCCCTGCTCGCCATGGGCATCGGCTCGGGGGACAGGGTGGGCATCATGGCCGGAAACTGCGAGCAGTACGCCGCCGTCTTTTTCGCTGTTGCGAGGATTGGGGCCATCTTGGTGATTTTGAACAACACCTACACTCCCACGGAGGCCATGTACGCTATCAAGTTCTCTGGTAGGTTGTCTTTTTTCTTTTTTTTTTTTCGTTTCTTCTTTCTTTTCCCCTCCCTCGCTCCTATAGTACTGCGTTTCCTGTAGCTCCCCCGCAGCCATTTTCACTTGTCTTATAATCGCGACGTCACAGAATGCAAAGTTTTCTTCACAACGCAAAAGATTGGCCGCGTCGACAACTCCCGCCTCCTCATCCAGCTCGATAACGAAGTCAAGAAACCCAAAATCATCATTCTCCGCGGGCCCAATGGCAAATACCCCACATATGACCAGCTGGTCAAGTCCAGCCGGTCAAGGCCTCACGAGAAGCTCTTGGAGGTGACGAGGCGCGTGCTGCCCCACCAAGTCTGCAATCTCCAATTCACCAGCGGCACAACTGGTAACCCCAAAGCCGCTATGCTCACCCATCAGTAAGTATCTCCCCTTCGTTCTCTTAAGCCGAGGTTTTAAAACAATGTCGAAAACGTGTGCGCCGCGAGGACCTTGATAGCTAACACGCCCTGCCTACCTTTTCCAGCAACCTCGTCAACAACTCCCGCTTCATCGGCGACCGCATGCGCCTCACCTCCAACGACATCCTCTGCTGCCCCCTCCCCTCTTCCACTGCTTCGGCCTCGTCCTCGGCCTCCTCGCCGTCCTCACCCACGGCGGCAAAATCGTCTACCCCGCCGAGGTCTTCGACCCGGCCGCCACCCTCCGCGCCGTCACCGAGGAGGGCTGCACCGCCCTACACGGCGTGCCCGCCATGTTCGACACCTTGTTCGACCAGCTGCCCGCCGGCTTCGAGTGCAAGACCCTCCGCACCGGCATCGTCGCCGGCGCCCCCGTGCCCCGCTCCCTCATGGAGAAGATGGTCAACATCTTCGGCATGACCGAGTTCACCAGCAGCTACGGCCTGACCGAAGCCTCCCCACCTGCTTCAACGCCTTCACCGACGACCTCATCGACAAGCGCCTCACCACCGTCGGCACCCTCATGCCCCACGCCCACGCCAAGATCGTCGACCGCGACGGCAACATCGTGCCCCTCGGCGAGCGCGGCGAGCTCTGCATCGGCGGCTACCAGCTGCAGGCCGGCTACTGGAACAACTCGGAAAAGACAAACGAGTGCATGATTCGCGACGCCGCCGGCGTGCTGTGGCTGCACACCGGCGACGAGGCCGTCTTCGATGCCGACGGCTACTGCTCCATCACCGGCCGCTTCAAGGACATCATCATCCGCGGCGGTGAGAACATCTATCCCCTCGAAATTGAGGAGCGCCTCATCGCGCACCCTTCCATTGGCCGCGCCATCGTCGTCGCACTCGCCGATAAGCACTATGGCGAGATCGTGGGTGCCTTCCTGGAGCTCCGCGAGGGATGCATCCTCCCCGATGATGCCGAGATAGCGGAGTGGGTCCGTTCCCGTCTCGGCAGGCACAAGGTCCCCTCTAGACTATTTTGGCTCGGACGCGATGGCGTTCCTGCCGGTGTGCCGCTGACCGGCAGCGGCAAGGTCAAGAAGTATGAGATGGCCCAGCTAGGGAATAAGCTTATGAAGGAGCTCAAAGCCCCTGCCAGGCTGTAAAGTAGTCTCCCATTCTTTCTTTCTCTCTTTTTATTTCTACTTCCTAAACATATCCATTTCCTTAATGGCGGCGAGGCGGGTGGAAAACTTGTGCTTTTGTAATGTTTGACTTGGGCTTGGCGTTTTAGTATATACTGTTAGAAACAATGGTCTGCCAAATGAACGCCAGACGAAAATTGAACCTGAGTGCATGCTCTTATTAGTCCCTTTTCAACCTTCGTATTATTCCTCCATCCTCCATCCCATTGAACTCAATGAAGTGTGTACTTTACATATGTACAGTGCGGACAGTGGCTGCAAGTGGCACGCCACTCATTTCCACCAAAATGCCCCTATTATTACGTGTGATGTGCCTGCGAGCACCACGGCGTATGTGTTGGCCAACACCCCCATTGAAAGTGATGAACAGATCGCGGGCAGAGAGAGAGAAGGAAAGGCAAAAGCCTCAAGATATAAAAGGAAGCAAAATATTTTTTATCTGAACCTATTTGAAGTGTATTAATCATAAGCTACCCGAAGAGAGAAAAGAATCAATGTGCGCCGGAAAAACGCCATGTCTAATGCTAATGATAATTCTGCGTCTAGCGCACTAATAAAGTGTCTGTGGCTGGCTAATCATCCATTGTATCATGTATCCGCCACTGCATGGATCTAAGATAACTTTGAACCCTGTTGAAAGAAAAGAAGGAAACTAGCAATCGTTAATAACCGTGAAACCCAAAACAAAAACGCGTGGTATAAGGCCTCCCGGTTCGGTGCATCATTACTCCTCGGCGGAGATTACAAAATGGCATCAATAAACAAAAGGGTGAAGAAAAAAGGATGAAAAATGAAGCAAAGGGCATCAATAAGAGGGGGAGGGGAGAAGGGCGGCCCGGCCCGACGAGCAGTCCTTAGAGGACTGTTCCTCGAACCTGTCGCACGTTCTTAACGTTCAGATTCTTCCACATCATGACGAACCCAACGCAAGGGAACAGCACAAATATAGCAGGCACAAGCATCCGCGTCATCGCAGATGCGTACGCCTCATTAATGGCTATCCTCACGTCTGATCCCATCGGGAAGGACTTTTGCTTCCCCATGTCCGCATAGATGTGGTCAATCTGCGGGAGCGCGCTCGGAGGTAGATTGCGCTCGAGCTCGCGCCGGAAAACGACTTGCCAAATCGAGGTCGACACCGTCGAGCCGATGGCACCGCCGACCGAGGCGAAGACACCCTGAACGGCGAAGATGACGGCGATGTGCTGGTGGTCAACGGTGGATTGAGCAGCCAGCTGCTCGCAGATGAGGAGGATTCCGCTCGCGATGGAAATGACTACTTGAGGCAAGATAACCTTCCAGAGTTCGGTGCCGGCGCGGCGGAAGACGAGCATTAGCGTGACGCCAAGGATGTAGAGGGGCATCCCCCATAAAGCGCGAAGTTCTTAAAGGTGCCTCGCCTTCGAATGATCAAGCCGACAAAGAGTGAGGTAAAGCAACCGCCCATGTTGAAAATGTAGTAGATATAGCTAGAAATTGTAGTATCGAGGTCGTGCACAACCTGCAAGTAGGAGAGGAAGTACGAGTTCCAGATGTAAAAGCTGATAAACAGGCCCGCAGACAAGAGGCAGGCACCAAGGATCGTTCGGCTCTGGAGGAGGCTGAAGGGCAGGAACGTCCTCTGGTCCGGAAGGCTCTTTTCCCAAAAGACGAAAATAGTGAGAAGGGCTGGGCCAAGGACCAGCATGCTGATGATCAGGGGCGATTGCCAACCCTGCGCCTGAAGGGGCGCTAGATTGAATGAGAGCAGGAAAATGGCCATCCCAACAGTGACAAGGGCCAGGCCAATGAGGTCAAATTCCCTGCTATAGTGTCGAATTGACTCCTTGACAGTGCGACCGCTCTTCTGGACGGGCACGAGGCCGCGAGCCTTGGCTCTCTTGAGAACAGCCATGAGCAAAAAGTACAGCGGCAGGGTCAAGATCGGTGTCGCAATGGCAAAGGTTGCAAATCCCCAACGGAAACCGGGTCCGTCAAGGAATGCTTGGGAAATGGGGCCGCCGATCCAGGCCGTAATTATATATGGCGAGTTTCCGTACGCCAACATCAGGCCTCGAGATCGGAGTGCGGAGGTATCGGCGATGAAAATACTGAGACTGTAGATGACTCCATTATACCCGACCCAGTACACGACCTGGGCAGCACAGTACGTCTCCACGTTCCGGCACAGGGCCATCATCATCAAGCCGATAGTGAGGATAAACACCGACATGGCGTAACCTTGGGGCCGACCAAAGATATCGAGGACCTTGGCGAGGGTGAGTTTCCATAATCCACCTATAAGACTGCTGAGGATATTCGTAAGTGGGGTGAGGGAGTGCATCTGGAATTCACTCGTAACCCAGGGGTGAAGTTGGCTGTGATATTTTGCTGCAGAGAATCGAGAAAGTAGACAAACCAAACCATCGCATACGAGAGCAATAGCTCGTTTCTCGACCAAGTGATGGCAGTAGCCTCGATTTGCTGGACTCCCGCCTGGGCTTCGGCGTCAACCCGTTGCAGGTCGTCGTCGTCGTCGCTGCCTTCATCGTCACTGCCTTCATCGTCCCGGTCGTGGTGAAGCTGTAGTGGTACAACCTCGGCATGATTATGCCTCTCGTGAGAGCTTCCCGCGCGTCTAGCCGTCTTGCCACTCCGACGAGAAATCATCGAAGCGTTATCTTCGGCGGTGCCGTTCTCCGGTGGGTTGTTCCCGAAAGTGTTATAGCTTGTTTTCGAGTTCGACATCCCATCGGTAGCGGGCTCTATCCCGAGATTCTAGCTATGGGTTCAGGTAGGTTGGGTATCGATATATAGAGGTATCCGAATGTCGACGTTTATTTCGAGAACAGTCGTCCGAGATCGTGATCGACGAAAGGAGGTTGGTGAGGCGGGAGGGGTCGGTAGTAAGGTAATTCAGGCTTCGAGAAGGGGAGGCGGAGTCCTAAAAGCAATGGGGAAGGACACAGAATATTTGTAAGATGGCGGGAGCGGCGGAGCTTAGACATTGATGAAGAAGGCACAGGATGACAACGAATTTTCAGGTTCCCCTCGAAGAATGGTAAGAGTCGATGCAACAGAATATCCGAACCGTGCCGGGTAGGTGTGTGGTGTGTTGTGTGTGGCAGAGATGATAGAACCGAGATGCCCTTTGCTGTGAGCTGTTTGATTCAACAAGTTTCGCATCGGCTGCTCTCGGTCTCTCACAGCGTCAACAGCGGCAGCCCCCAAAAGGGAACTTTTAATAGCAGGCAGGCAGCGCGTGGGGAAAGAGACTGTGAAGGAATGTACAGTTGTACACGTACGTCTTGTCACGGGCGGGGAAACAAACAGGCAACAGGGGGAATGGGGGCCAGGGGCACCTCCTTCCGGAAAGAGGATGTCGAGGGATTTGTGAGAAGTGACTGAATTCCAGATTCAAGGTAATAATGCCATTCAAACATCCGCCTTACTCTTCCCGAGGCGCAAAATCTCGGCTGTAGTAAGCGAGAAAGGGCAAGAGACAAAAGGTCGAGAGTCAAGATCAGAACTCGATCTCCCTCGTCGATTTCATAATGCGGATTGCACAAGACTATGAGCAAAGGGGGACGTGGAATAAATCTGAGTGTGCGAATCGAATCGTCCAGGCAAAGAGGAGACCAAAAGACAGGGGTTTGATGGCACGTTAGATCCCGATGCCGCGCAGTGCCAGCGGGAGGCGGCAACGGGTGCCAAATCCGACGCGAACCAGGGTCTGGAGAAGGCGGGCTGCGGATCCGAGGAAATCTGGACGGATTGACGGACGCGCGCTTCTCTTTCGTTCTCGGCGAGGAGGGGCTATGACGAAGCGGAGCGCATATGCATACAGACTGGCGGGAGCACCTGAGTGCGCGCTGGGAGAGCAGGTTTGAGATGAGGATATTCTGTACAACCTACTTCATTTAGAGAAAACGATGGTTGGGAGATCAAAGGTGTGCCGGGGCTGGTGAGAATATGCGGGGTGGACGTGTGAGCAACTTGCGAAGATCCGAGACAAGAAGAATTCATCATCTTGGGCTAGATCAGCTTGAAGAAGGCTTCTATTTTATTCATCAACGTCGGCTCGAAGGTTCGCGCCTCCTTAAGGAGAGGGGCGAAGTCTGCGGATGAGCAACCCCAGAAACCCGACAACTGCGCTAGAACGAGAGACATGGAGGAAGAGCGGAGGTTCAGCCTGGGGTCTTTGCGTCACGTTGGGCCATGACCGGTAGTTCAAATCACAAGACAAATCAGGGAGCACAGCACCCTCCCGCTCGTGACGGTGTTAGCGCTTCTCAGTCTGGCACAGGCTTTTTCTAGGCGTCCATCACAGTTCAGGTGTCACAAAAGTCGCTGATTGGTGTAGCCTGCGACTTTGAGTCAGTTGGACACCATATTGGGCATCATCTTTAATCATCTTGCGCCAGTTGGGTAAGATCAGCTGACGGCCTAGGAATGGCCGCCGTTGCCCGTCCTCTGCTGGAGCTGACTAAGAACTCAAGAGCACACACGTGGGTGCTTCTTTGTCAGAGGCTGCATGGCACGACCATTTCCTATTTAGCTTCTCTCCGTCCTGTTCGGCCCACGAACATCCAGCATGTTTTTACGGTGCAAGTGGTTGGAGATGTCGGGTTGGAATGAAATCATAACAGCTGAAGTGATCAATGTGAAGTCGCTGGAGATTGATAAGCTTCTTTGGGCAAGTTCAAAGGGACCAAGCCACTCAAACGTCAAAGTATGGGGCTAAATTGGCTAGCATTTCCCTGCGAGCCATGGTCTGATTGTTTCGGGGAAGGAGGGAAAGGCCGCCATTGGGACCCGCACTGTCATTGTAAAAGCGAAATTACGGTTCAACGACTTTTGCTTGATTAGTCCCGCTCCTTCCCGAAGTGAAAATTAATTGATTGTGTGGGTCTTTGGTTTCTAGTGTTCCCTCCTCGTTCTCCTTTCTCTTTGGTTTCTCGCACTGAGGAACCCAGGCCAGCTATGGGGAAAGACGCGGAGGAGCCAAACGCGCCAAACGCAAGCATCGCTGGCAAGCTACTCCAAGGAAGTTATGTTGCTTTGAGGAGCAAAATTCAAGTTTCCAATAAGCCGATTCAATGTCCATATGAATGAACCGAGGCAGGCATCAGTATCTATTAGTGTAGATGTACTGGCTGTTTAAGGGCATAAAGGTCTGCAGTCGTGGATTCTACATCCGATGGAGACAGAAGCCCATTCACTGGCGGCTCGGGGAGAATTGGGCTGTTGGGAAAAAGGGTTCTGTGAGCACAGCTTGTCAATGACTTGTACACATTTTCCTTCCATGTTCATTTCTTTATTTTTGTTCTCCCTCGCCGATATGCTTCCTTTTCTTCGGAAAATCGGAGCTAGATGGTAATGCTCGGGTTGGGAAAGCTCACCATCGCCGAGTGAACCTCAAAGATCCGAATGGAGGCATAATGTGGCCTGGAGAAACGCCCGATCCGGCAAGTCAGAGACGATGCCGAGGAGAGGTTCGATTGTTGCTCCAGAGACTCCACAATAATGGATGGTGGAGAATGAACAGCACCAAAAAAATCCATCTCATTTGGTCCATTCTGGATTGGTACCCCCGTGCTAGATGCCAGAGGTCAATCGAGGGCTTGCGCTTCGCACAGTGCCGGCTCAATACCATAAATGATAACCGGGCCCAACGGGCAAATTTTTGGGACTATTACCTCCGCTGGAGCTCGGAGGAAATGGGGCCCATGGGTCAGTAACGGCGCTACTAACGGCACGATGGAATCAGGGTTGGGCCCAGCGATCCAAGCCCATCAAGCCATCCCATGTCTGAAGAGATTATCTGATTGATTGACGAAAGCGGTGGGCGCCCATCTCCGGAATCGGGCGCTTCACCAGCGATGGGCAAAGGACTCTCCTTCGCCGCCCCCACACACCATTGATGTCGTGGACGCACTTTGGAGCGTCAATCCTTTCCCTTCCACCCCACCAAAGAAGGCCAAGGGGAAAAGAAGAAAAGAAAAGAGAAAGCGATGCCACACACCCTTAAAGTTATCAGATCCGCAGGCAGTTCCCCCTGCTAATTGGGGAAACCAGTTTTCACACATCCCTCCCTTGCTTGGCGTGGACAAAGCCGCATGGACAACAGGTGCGACACGCCAAAGCCAGGACGATTCGTACACACCCATCCAGCAGCAATTCCCCGTTGCCTTCCCCCAAGCCCCCCTCCCCACAATGTCAATCGAGGCATGAGGCGCCATGCGTGGGACGGCAAGGGCGGCGTTGTGGCGAGGCTTCCAAGTCGTGGTGTGGAAGAGAGCGGAGTGCAGAAGAACCCTGGTCTTTCAAAATAAAGCCAGCCACGGCACAGGCAGTCACTTCCCATCGCGGCGCTTTCTCCGTGGTGGTCTGCACCAAGCCCAACCCAAACCTCCTTACACAGACATGGGGGAGCTTGTTGTTGTAGGCGAGGCTCGTCCCACCGTGCTTGCACCCCCTCCCCTGCTTTACAGCAACTCCAAGTAGTGGAGTGTACACGAACAGTGGCCGAAGTGGGCTGGCGACCAGAACTGCGTGAATGTCACAGCGGTCCAGTTCGGTTACCCTTCTAGCGCCAGCTACGCTGTCCACTGGTTGGGTGGCTTGGCGAGCCGAGAGTCTCGCATTCTCGAGGCCGAGAAGCAGAACTCTTGGGGAGCAGGGGGCCAATACCTGTAGAACGAGGCACCATGCTTGTTCCCAAAAATGATTGCTGCAAAATGGTCTCACGGTACGCTAATGCCCCAGCTGCATGTAGTGGGCACGAAAGTCGGTGGGTGGTGGAGGATGGTCTCGAACTCGAAACCCCGTCTTAGGCCTTTGCCATCCTGTGGACGACCACCTCGCTTCTTCGTATTGTGGAAAGCATCAGTACTAGGAACATTGAACCGACCCGCGTAGTACCGATACCCACCGCCCCCTCGAACCATTTCTTGCCGCGGACTTTCCCTCTGCCAATTCTGATCATTTCCTACCCTAGCTCACCGGTCGGGTTCATAGCTGGAGGCGAGTGGCCACCATCCAAACACAGAAACGACAGGCCCGCCATCTCCCCAGCTCCCCTTCGCTGGTACTCCAGTGGTCTCGTCATAACTCAAGATGTGAAACCCCTCCCTTCCCTTCCCTCCAGTTCCCATTACGTCTTGACCGAGCGCGCACCCCTCCCTCGTCGTCCGAGAGTGGAACAATTCTTCCCCGTTCGCCGAGCACATGCCTAGTTCGCGGGGAGCGTAAGACGTGGGGAGCATAAGCATGGGCCGGGGCTTGAGGAAGGAAGCCCAAGCGTGCGCGGACAAGCTCTGACAACTCGTTTTATCCCATCATAATCTTGAGATTGCCTCCAAGTGTCATCCTGGAGATGGGGTCTGGAAATGGTATCAATCTCTATCAGGCTCTCTGTGCTCGAGACCCCAAAAGTAACCCATCCTCGCATCTTACACCTATATCCATAGATCCATCCATTCAGAAGGAGTGTTCTTGCCGTCCCAGAATCCAGACCACATCATGCGTGCATGCCCCAATTGAGCAAGAGCGCCCTGTCTGTCGCAGTCGGACTGGAGAGGGGGGCTTTCGACTGGAAGAGGTGAGGAAGGCACTGGCGAAGCCGAAAACATGCCCGCTCGCATACTGTGCTCAACGACCAGGTGCTTGTGTCGCGAACTAGTTAACTTGGAGTTTAGGCCTGTGGCGTCCGTTCTCATCGTGCCGAGGACGATCGGCATAAGGCAGTCCTGGCTCACTGAGCCTTTTCTTTCTTTTAGTGGAATTCGTGCCTGGGCTTGGTCAAGTATTAGACTAGGGTGTGGTGAAAGCAAGCTTGGCAATTCAGGGCCACGCTACTTCCTCTTCAAGCCCCACCCTTGTTTCTTTCCTCTTTTTTTGTTTGTTTTCCTTTTTTCTTTTTCTTTTTCCCCTTCCGTTAGGATGTGCTGGGGTCCTTTTCTTGCAGTCCCGATTGCGCTCCCCGTCTCATCTCTCGCCGTCTCTCAGGGTGTATGCTGGTGTAGTGCAACTCAAAGTGGAACTCTTCGTTCTCATACCTAGTCCGATTCTCTTCTGCAAGACCCGTCTTCGGCCACCATACGCCCATCAAGTGAGGTGTCCGAGATTTCAGGGTCAGTCTTTTTACCCTTATTCCGGGAGGCGCCATTTCGGTGTCCGTGGCACCACGCACGAATTCCCTATCGATAGGAGAAAAGCCGGTCCCTCGGGCGGGAACCGAGCCATGTGCAAGACCTTTCCTTTGTACCCATTACCGAGGATTAGGTCGCCCTCAACGTTAGAGGGAAAAATATGAACAAAAACAAAGAAAGAGAAAAAAGAGGACGGCAGAATCGAAACCCCTCCCCATGTACAAACTGGAGCCCCTCCACCCCTCCACCCTCCTGTTTGATTTTGGAGAGCCAGAGAGGGAAATTTCCCGTTGTTCCTTCGTTTTGGCGAGAGACTTTGCATACCGCTGGTGCAACCCTCGTCTCCAGCTTTTCCCGGCCTAGAGAGCTACTTTGATGTCTAGTAGTACCGATTATGTAGTTAATCAATCTCTCTCTTATTTTTTTCTCCAGTCCCCTGACGTAGACACCTGTGAGCTTTTTTTTTCGTGCCGAGCTCTTCTTATTCCTTCTTCTTCCTAACCTGCGTGTAGAAGGCTTCTCTCTATTGCTCCTTCTCAGCGTCTTATACCAACGTTAAGTGTGAGCTTCTCTCTAGCCACCAAAATCCAGTCCCCCATTTCCTTCCTTGCTAGATTCGACCATCGCAAGTGTTTGGAATCCTCTTCCTCCCCTCCTCCCTCTCTCTTCCTCCCTCTTCCTCAAGAGAAATCTCTTTTGCCCATCATGCCCTCCTCCACAGCTCAATTGGGCTCTGCGTCCTCACAGGACATCGTCCTCAAGCTCCCTCACCCTTATCTGAACGAGTACATCCTCGACAGGACCTCCGCCACCGGCGAGCGCCGCCGCCTTCCGCGTTGCTGAGAACACCAAGCCCGCCGCCGATTCTGCCTCGCGGAAACCCCTCCCTCTCCCGCTCACTAACGATAGCCTGTACTTCACCGAGATCACGACCCTCAAGTCGAGCGAGCTTCCCTCGCAGTCCGACAACACCCTGTGGGCGAGGGCGCGCCGGTCCCCGGGTGCGTCTTCTTCTGGGACGCCAAGGACGCTCCCTCGCTCGGCCAAATCTGGCTCCTCGTCTACGTCATCTTCACCATCCAACCGGGCGTCGAGTGCCTCCGTCTCGGACTCCGCGGCGAGGGCTCCGCCAACGTCGCCCAGCAGATGAAGGACGTCACCCTCGCCATCGAGCTCCCCGTGCGGCCCCAAGCCCCTACCACTCCCGGCCAGGCCGAGGTCCTTCTCCTCCGGAGCGCCTTCTGGCAAGGCGCCGGTTCACCCTTTGGACCCCGCCCCGTCTGGATGCCCGCCGAGTCTCCCGCCTCCCTCCCCGAGACCACCCCTCTCTCTTCCTACCCCCGACCCCTCTCCACTACACCATGGACCTGACGCCCTTGGGTGATCCGAACCAGCCCAACAACTGCCACCTCACGCGGCACCCCGTCCGCCCCGCAAAGCCCGCGGCGGCGCGTCGTCTACAGTCGCTGGATCCCCCATCTCCGCGAAAACTTCTCCATGGTCGCCCTCGATCCCGAGGACGAGACCCACGTCAACTTCTTCCACACATGGCAAAACGATCCCCGCGTCTCCCAGGGCTGGAACGAGACGGGTACCCTCGAGCAGCACAAGAAGTACATCAACGACATGCACGCCGACCCTCACCAGCTCGCCGTGCTCGCCCGCTTCGACGACACCTGCTTCGCCTACTTCGAGATCTACTGGGCCAAGGAGGACAAGCTCGGCGCCTACTACGATGCCGGCGACTACGACCGCGGCCGCCACTCCCTCGTCGGCGACATCCGCTACCGCGGCCCTCACCGCGTCAGCGCCTGGTGGAGCAGTCTCATGCACTACCTCTTCCTCGACGAGCCGCGCACCACTTGCGTCGTGGGCGAGCCCAAAGAGACCAACTCCACCGTCGTCATGTATGATCTCATGCACGGCTTCGGCGTCGACAAGTTTGTCGATTTGCCCCATAAGAGGAGCGCGTTTGTCAGGTGCCCCCGCGAGAGGTTCTTCCAGCTCTCTCCCCTCGGTGACAATGAAAAGGTTGTTGGTGGTATGAAGATTGGTCTGGTTCCCAAGCTCTAGAGCCTTAGCGGCTGGCAGGAGTTGTATACTTTTTTTTCTTTTTGTTTGGTTCGCTTTATTTATTGACTCGTCGGTCTTGGCTCGGATGAAGCATTGATGTTTTCCTGTTTATCCACGATTTTCTGTTTCTAGATCAACTGGAAGGCTCCGTTTTTCCCTCCTTTTTAGTTTACACGCTCTCGTAGTACATGGTCTCCTGTAGGCTCAAGTATGTACTGTTTTGTATACGCAACAGGTTCGAGATCCGATCAACGCAAATTTACTCTTTGAAGCTGTTTAATAATTTGAAAAAAGATGTAAATCATTCACTCACAGCCACTGAATAAAAAAGTACCTTGGCTATTCTTATTTGTGCAATCTAAGTGCTTCCTCCTGTGCGTTGGAATGGATGGATCCATATGTCCAGCCGGCGTGTGCAGCCAGACAACAAAAAAGAGAAAAAAAAAAAACGATAATTCTAGGCGTATCCCATTCCATTATTTCCATGCCATCATTTGATGCCTTTCTTTTCTAGGCCTTTTCCTCAAATCTGCCTCCGTGGTATTCTACGTTATCCTTGCATATGTCGGTAATTCTATTACACCACTCTTTACAATCCAGCAGCGAGCCTATCCTTCCACTTGTCCTCGGAAAGCTTCATATACTCCCAGCAGACTAGTATCGCCATGTTAGCGGCTACGTTCCACAGTAAACTGCGAGAGAGGGAAATAGTGACGAAAACTTACTGGCAAGGCCCAAGTCGTCCCTAAAGTACGCTTGCATGACATCCGGGCCAAAGGTCGTCCCGTCAGGGCCCGACGCGACGGCACTGGTACCGACGGCGAGACCAATCATGGCAGGGATAGGGTCAAGCTCGTGCTGGAAGGGCTCATGGTCTGGAATAATACGGGAGAGGATGGTCTGGTGGATGTTGACGGCGGCGTAGTAGCCCATGTGCATAGCGCGGCCGGCGCGCTTCATACCGGACCAGCGGCAGACATCGCCAGCAACCCAGTGAGACTTGTGGTTTGGTACACCAGTGTCTTCAGTGAGGTGAAGGCTGGGAACAGCGAGAAAAAAAGTACTCTTGGTTAGCATAATGCTCCTTTACAACTTTTCCACTCGGCACCAATCAAATGCAATGGGGTAGCGAGGGGAGACGGGAGAAATGCCCTTGCTTACCTGGGGGTGATGTGGACATAGCCCTCCTCGTCAATTGCGCTGGCGGGGAGGTATTGGCTTGAGGGAGTCGGGTTGGAGATGGCCCACATAATCTCATTGGCAACAATGCTCGACCCATCGCTCAGCTCAATCTCGACTTTCTTGACGCCGTCCTTGACCTCGGTCTTGGTATCCTTGACTCGCTTCCCGAGGAGAACCTCGACGTTGGCCTCCTTGAGGAGTTCGAGAGCCTTGTCCTTACACTCATCCGACAGCGCCTCGGACGAGAGCAGCTGGTCACGCGAGTGGACGAGGGTGACCTTGACGTCGGGCTGGACGACCTTGAGCTCCGCCGCCATCTCGATCCCGACAGCGCCACCGCCCACGACGACCACGCCGAGCGGCGCGTTGGAGACGCCGTGGATGTGCTCCTCGGCCTCCATCAGGAACTGCTTCCTGCTGAGGGACTGGGGTACTACGGGGTACGGCCTCCGCAGGCCAGAAGCGGCAATGAGGAAGTCATAGTCCTCGAGGGAGGTCTCCTTGGTCGTCTGGTTCAGGATGCTCGCTTTCTTGGCGGCGCAATCGAGACTAGTCACGCTTCCTTGGACAAAGCGCACATTGGGGACCTGCAAGGCGGGGATGTCGGCGTAGCGAATCCAAGACTGGCGAGCGTAATCGTTGGACGCGAAGGCGAGCGGCGTGCCGATAAGATGGACTGTGAAAAGACAATGACTTGGTTAGAGGCTGCTACTAATTTTTATGATTCTCGGCTTGTACGGTGGTGCATAAATTCTTCCAATATTTGCAGTTTATACGAGGGAGTGAAAATGAGGCTAGCAAAGTATTAGGGGAGGCGCGTGGGGTTATCCATAGAAGGACCCAAGGGATTCACGGAAGTATAGCGCGTTACTCGGCGCGGATTCAGCGGCGGCGGAACTGCAGGCATGATGGCCTGATGGAACCGTGGGGTATCGCCAGACTCTACCGCACTCTCTTGCACAGACACAGGGATGGGGGCGGATTACAGGGATGAAGAGGCCGCGAACAACAGGAAGGCCCCTTGGGAAAGGGAAGCATGATGACATGATACGGGTGATATAAGAATGGGGGCGTGGGACATACAGAAGCCATCTCGCTCATCTACGAGAGTAATCTCGACTGGCGTCCTAGGGGCGTCGATAGTGTGTTTATAAGAAGGGTAGACCATCCGGGGTCGAAGATGGTTACCCAAGTCGAGGAGGTTGACGGTGGCGGATAGACCAGCATAGGATCCTCCGACTACGAGGATCTTAGTGACGGCCGCCGGGGAGGGGAGGGTGAGAGGTGCGGTAGCCATGTCTGCGGTGGATGAGGCGTTGCGGTGATGCGACGAGGCGCTGAAGGAGCGCGTTGGCGTGCGCAAGTGAACGGAAGCTGAGAGGAGGGAGAGGCTTTCTTTTGCTCGGTTAGCAAGGGAAGGCGCGGAACTGATAGAAGCAGTGACGCTTGGCCTTGTGAGGACGGGTAGTCGGCAACGGGTTTCGCGGACAAGGAAGGGGATGGCTTTTTGGAAGTGCTGAAGATGGCCTGGGTGCATGTAGGATGCTTAGTCGGGCTATCTAGATGTAAATACGTAGCCTTCCGTAGGGGAAGAAGTACGCGAGGGCTCGTGAGGAAGTTTAGAATGGAGGACTCGTCGTGAGGACGAGGAAGAGGAAAAGGAGGAAAATGAAGTGATGGTGGTTGCTGTGGTGGTGATGTATAGTTTAACTGGAGATCACGGGCAGACGCGGTTTTATTCTCTCTTTTCTTTTCTTTTTTTTCTCCTTTTTCTTAGGGACCAGGAGCTTGCGCAATGGCGGGGATCCGTGGACGAAGGGGGAAGGAGAAAAAAAAGGGCAAGAGATCCCGAGGTGGAGCTTGGATTTCTCTTTGTGTTTTGGCAGCACGCAAGTTACGCACACACACTCTCACGGCTGCGGGTGAAAAGTGAAAGGGACTTAAGGTTGGGGCAACTGAGAAAGGGCAAGAAGAGACGAGGGGTGCCAGCCAAATGGAGATGGAGAAGACGAAAAGGAAGCTTGGGACAAAAGGGAAGCCTGGCTTCGGAGCTTGGCAAGGAAGAAGGAAGTGGGCTTAGAGGGACCTATTGTAACTCTACGCTATGCCGGACTGGTTCGGGAGATGTGATTTTCTGGATTCGGTTGGATAGCTCTTATTAAGTTGAGGGGCCAGTTGTTGTGTGCGTCTTTCCTTGAAAGGATCTCGAAGGAACACGACGGTGGAGGGCATTTATGAGGCTAGATAGATATCGAGGATTTCGCTCTCTCGGGGATAGCCAAGAAGAAGGATTCACCGACATCCGATTCGGAAACGACGGAGCCGAAATCACAAACCAAAAGACAAAAAGCTCAACAATGAGAGATGAGACACCAGGGGAAAATAAAGTTGAACATGTTGAGACCAGTGTTGACGCGGGCAAGCTAAGCTTGGATGGAGGCAAAGTTATCTGATGGGGAATTCATACTGTGAGATGATCGCGAAGGAGGGGCCAAAGAGTGACATCCAGGGGCTCAACGGGTAGTAGGACCGACCCTGCGACAACGGACCTTGAGAGGGCAAGCACACAACATTGAACTCATCAATATAGGTCTGATGACGAGGCTACCGCATTAATAATTGATCTAAATAGTTCATCCCTAGGAATGATAGAAGCGGGAGGAGCAAGAGCTCCTAGAAACGGCGCAAAGAAAAAGAAAGGGGTGACGCCTGGCACGACCCCGATGACGCACCAAGATTGATAAGTCAAGAGTGCCGGCACTTCCATGCGCGGTCTGGGCAAGAAATGTAGGGGTCGTTTCCCCGAACCCGAGCTGGTGGCGCTCCAAGGTGGATCCAGCTTGACACGAGCACACAACAGGCGTAAAAGCTGGAATATTGGGAAATCACCACGACGGAAAATCATTTCTTCACTTTGATCTCAAGATTTTTCATCTGTGCTGCAGAGTACCAAAAGAACGGGCTTCTCCAAAGATTTACTGGTGGGGAACAACTATGATCATTAATATTGTTATTAACCCTATGCTACAGTTGTGTGGGCAAGGACGGGGGATGACGGGGAAATAGGCAAAGGAGAAGAAAATTATTTCTGCCAAGATGTGTAGCTCGGCTCGGGTTGTCTCGGAACCGAGTTGGTTTTCTCGGAGGGGAGGAGCATCAATGTACGAAGTAGGTATGCATTTTCATCGTGAAGAAACTAGCAGTGTAGGATGGGTGGGCTTTAGCAGGTTCGAGAGCGGTGGACCAAGGGAAACTCGGCATTTCAGGGCTTAAAATGCCCATAACTATTACTCGTGCTGTTCAAATTGTGTGCCAGAGGTCAACTCCAAATTTTGGTCCGTCGGTCTGGGGTTCGACCTGGTGGGGCCGCCGCAACATCCCATTATCAATCAGTGGCCTCAACCCCATCAAACAGTGGATGATGACACGAGGGGGAGTGGTGTAGACTGAATTTAGCGCTACCCTGTGGGTTTCGCGCAAGGGGAATGAGGTGGTCTCAGGAGACAAGAGGCCTGGCGATGGACACAATGAGTGGATGGAAAGAACCCTAGAAGCCCCGGCCGGTCCGTTGTCCATGTAGTCTCGGGCGTCGTTATCTGATCCGCTCAATATCAATCAGTGGAGCCGATGGGTCCCTGAAAATTTCTTTTTGGCGCTACGCTCGAGTGCGGGAGTGGCAGTGACAGGCCAAACACTGGCGCACCGGTATCGGAAGGCAACCAAAGAGTCAACCACGCCATACGTCCAATTTTGGTCACCGTTTTCCCTTTGCTTCGTTCTTCCGTTTTGATGTCCTGGCAAAGAGCAGACTAGCGACCCTTGTCTTGACATCCCGCCCCTCCTCGGTTGACCTCGACCTCGTCGCGAGGTAGCATTTTTTCTTTCTTTTTTTCCTTCACACACACCCACTAATTCGTAGACTTGCAGTGTCCCCAATTCCCGCCTCTCGTTGTATTCGCCCAGGCTCAGTCAATAATAAGAAGGCGCCCGTGGACGGAGGTAGAATGATACAAGTAGCCCCCAGTATTATTTTATCAATCTAGCTAAGACCGGGCCCTCCCCCTCCCCCTCCCCCACTCGTCTTCTTTCACCCGCGGGACAAGCCAAGTCAGTGCCAGGGTACAACAAAAGTCCTCTCGCCTTGCCATCACGACATGGGTGAAAACTGCACATGGATGGGACGTGTGGACGTCAATGTGGACGAGGGCGCCAGCAGTGAGTGCCGGTGAAGGGGGCAAAAGGTGGGTGTGACTCGGCCTTTATACCACAATCGGACGAGGGGAACACAGCAGATGTCATTTATAGGGCCTCTTGCCTATGCATACAGCCAGTTTCACTGTGGCGGACAGGACGAAGACGCACTCGTCACATCGAAACACCAAAACACCTCGAGCTTGGTTTCCTTTTCTGGCATTCCACACTCCATCCAAACACCCCAAGTTTGGTGGGGGAGGGAGGAGAGGGGGGGACGGTTGGGCTTCTCAACCGTGGAAAGGCATGCTCTGGGCTTGGGATTTGGAGCCTGGCTATGCTTCTCGTTCTGCTTGCCATATTTGTCTTTGTCTCTGTAGCGAGGCACTCTCTTGTTCGCTTTCGGGAAGCTGCTCTGTTCTACTTACGTACGTGCAGGTGTGCAGTGTGTGGTAGATCGACAAGTCCACTTCGTCCCCTCCCCCATTTTTCCCTTGGACAAATCGAGCGGTTGGCCCCTTGTCCCTCGTCTTCGCCTCCCACCCTCCCACGTTCCCCGCCCACTTCTGTCCAAGTACCCCCAACCATACCATAATCGTCCAAGGGCCATCATTGACCAATGGGCAAGGTATCGAGAATACCGCCAGCGACGAGAGTGATTTCCACAAGAGTTGGCGTACAAGCATCCCCCGTGCTGATCATCCGGGGCTCTCTCCTCTTCGCAACAGTGCAGCGCGTCTCGGTACCACTGAACATGGCCTGCCTCGACACTGTTCTCCGGTTCCCGGATGTTCCTCTCGTGAATAACACGCGACCGGGATTTGGGGCGGAACAAATACACGAGAATTCCAACCCATACGCCCCTGGCCCTTGCCCTGGTGCTAGAGCTGGTGCTGGTGCTGGTGCTGGTGCTGGTGCTGGTGCTATTCCTCGCGTCGTTGGTGGGGCCATTCTTCTTTTTCTGTCCCGCATGGAGCTTGAGCTTGGCCCTCTTGAACATTTTCCGTCGATCCCTGCACCCTGGCCTGGTCCCCTGCTCTTAGTTAAGAAGTCGGCCCAAAAAAAAAAACGAAAAAAAAAAAAAAGTGGCACGAGTAAACAGCGCTGGCCGATCGCTGGAGGGTCGGTCTAGCATCGGCTGTCGTCTTGTTCTGCTTGTCGGTCCCTCCCTCTTTTCGGGTTCTTACCATTCGACCACGCCATGGTTCAACGCAACGAGTCTAGCTGGCTAAAAGGGTATGAAATTGAGGGCAAAGATACTTTGAAGAGAATAGAAGACGTCTAGCAAACAAAGAAAAGAAAGAGAGAAAAAACTAAACTTGTCGGTTAGAAAGAGAGACTTTGGCGAGGACAGTCACGCTCGGGGCGAAAAGAGGTCTCGCAAGCATCCCCCCTTCTCAAGTACTTCCCGCATGACGGTGTCCTGCATTACCGCAACGTGCTTTGCGAGGGCCAAATTGGTTCATGGGGCCCGTTCAAATTAATAAAACCAAAAAATTATCCCCGGGTCGCCGGTATTCGCTCTTTCTTAAAGCTCTCGGAAGCTTCAGAATCCTTCTTCGTCTTCCCTTTCCCCCCCTCCTTTCCGCTCCGTGCCCCTCCCGTTGACGAGCTTGTGTCCCGCCCGTCGACCTGTGTGAAAGCGCAGATCTGGAAAAACACACAAGTCTTAAAAGCACCAAACGCTTTTGAGAACTGTCTTGCCCACCATGGCCGAGACCGAGGTCATCTCAGAGAAGCGCGCGGGCGACGTGGAAGCTCCCGCGTCCGCCGCTTCTGAAGCTCCCGAGAAGGAACAGGTATGTATTTGTCGTTTTGCTTTTGCCAGCAATTGTAATCGAACTCCCTCAAAGCAAAGCTTGTATATGTCTTGTACAAAATAGTATATCCTATAAACTCTTAGACTAACACAAGGCCGTGTCTCGCGCTCCCTTTCCTAGGCCCCCAAGACCAGCTTCTTCACCTTTTTCCAGCTCCTAGTCTACGCGAACCCGACATGGCGCGATTTCGCCCTGCTCGTGGTCGGCACAATCTCCGCCATCGCGTCGGGCGTTCCCTTTCCGCTCATGGGTATCATCTTCGGTCAGCTCCTGGACGACATGAACAGCGGCTCCTGCGACAATTCCGACGCCGCCCTCATCACCGACCCCGTAGCCGCCAAGCAGCTCCAAGACGACCTCCAGGGCGAAGTGAATAAAAAGGTCCTCATCCTGGTTTACCTCGGCATCGCGTCCCTGGTCCTCATCTACACCTACATCGTCTGCTGGAACCTCTTCAGCCAGCGCCTCGCCCAGCGCCTGAGGGAAAAGTACTTCATCACCCTCCTCGGCCAGGATGCCGCCTTCTTCGACACCCGCAAGGCCGGCGAGGTCTCCACCCGCCTCAACAGCGATATCCAGGTCGTCCAGTCCGGCACCTCGGAAAAGGTCGGCATGTACATTGCCACCATCTCCTTCTTCATCACCGCCTACGTCGTCGGTTTCACCCGCGACGCCAAGCTCGCCGGCATGCTCATCTCCTTGGCGCCCGCTTTCCTCCTCATGGCGCTCGTCGGCGGCCACTACGTCGAAAAGTTCACCGGTGCCATTTCCTCCGCGGTGGGCCACGCCTCGTCCGTCGCCTCGGAGGCGCTGAATCACATCGCCGTCGTGCACGCTTTCAGCGCCGCGCCCCGCCTCGAGAAGAAGTTTTCCGAGAGCATGCTCGAGGCCCGCCAGGCTGGTATCAAAAGGCCCAGACCAGCGCCGTCCAGGCCGGGTCTCTGTACTTTATTGCCTTCTCCGCCAATGCTCTTGCCTTTTGGCAGGGTAGTATCAAGATTGCCCAGGCCGTCGAAGGAGGCGGAGGCGAGGCTTCTATCGGTCGAATCTACACAGTTGTGTTCCTCATCGTTGACGGTATGTTTCTGGTCTGCGCATCCCCAGCGCCTACAGTTTGGATTGTCGTGGTACTAACTTTTTTCCCCTTTAGCCTGCGTGCTCCTTAGCCAGGTCGCTCCCTTCCTCTCCCTCTTCAGCGCCGCGTCGGCCTCCTTTGTCAAGTTGAGGGAGGACATCAGCCACTTGCCCACCATCAACGGAACAGGCGACCAGGGCCTAAAGCCCGCCTCTGTCAACGGCACCATCGAGTTTAAGGATGTCGAGTTCGCCTATCCTTCGCGCCCCGACCAGAGGACCCTCAACGGCGTATCCATCAAGATCCCCGCCGGCAAGCACACCGCCGTCGTCGGACCTTCCGGAGGCGGCAAGTCCACGATCGTCTCCCTCATCATGCGCCTCTACGACCCCGTCCAGGAGAGCTGTTCCTCGACGGCGCCCCCTCAAGGACTACAACGTCAAGTACGTCCGCAGCCTCATCGGCATGGTCCAGCAGGAGCCCACCCTCCTCAACCGCTCCGTCATGGAGAACATCGCCCTCGGTCTTTTCAACTCCGCCAACCCGAGCCACGCCGACCTGCAATCCGCCCTCCTCAGCGCGGATCTGTCGAACCTCGCCGAAGACATCAGGGCCGGCAAGGACTTGATCGCCGCCGCCGCCAGCTACAGCGCCGGCGTGCAGACCATCGCCAAGCTCGTGTCCGAAGCCGCGGACCTCGCTGATGCCTCGCCCTTTATCCAGAAGCTGCAGTTTGGCTTCGGCACCCTCGTCGGAACGAGCGGCTCTCAGCTCAGCGGCGGCCAGAGGCAGCGCGTCGCCCTGGCGCGCGCTCTGATCCGGGACCCCAAGATCCTCGTCCTCGACGAGGCTACGGCGTCCTTGGACTCCGCCACCGAGCAGCGTATCCAGGCCAACCTCGAGCAGATTACGCAGGGTCGCGCTCTTCTCTCCGTGGCCCACCGTCTCTCCACCATCAAGAACGCCGACAACATCATCGTGTTCAAGGCCGGGCTGGTCGTCGAGCAGGGCACGCACGCCGAACTCGTCGCTTTGGGCGGGGAGTACGCCGAGCTGGTCAGGCTGCAGAGTCTTAAGAACGACGACGATGATGACAACGCCTCGACCGTGCGCGAGGAGAGCTCCATCGAGCTGGCCAAGATTGAACCCGTTGCTAGTGCCAGGAGCGAAAAGGCGGCCGTTGTGGCCGCGGGGACCACCGAGGTACCTGCCAGCTCCGGCACCGGGTCTGACGCGAGCAAGCCGGTCGAGGACGACGATGCCCTCAAGAAGCCCATGGGCGGCGGCGTCGTGGCCAAGAAGATTCTGTACTTCATCCGTCCCAATCTCCACTTCATCTTCATCGGCTTCGTCGCCGCCTTCATCGTCGGCTGCACGTACTCGGCAACCGGCGTCATCTTTGGTCAAACCGTCGGCAAGGTCAATTCGTGCACCAACCCCGATAGGATCCGGTCTCTCGGCAAGCTCATGGGCGGCATGTTCTTCATGCTGGCGGTCGTAGAGTTCCTCGCCAACTTCACCAGTTGGTCCTCGTTTGGCTACCTCTCCGAGAAGCTGCTGTACCGACTCAGGGTCCTCTCCTTCCGCTCTCTCTTCAAGCAAGGGCTGGATTTCCACCAGTCGCACAGCCGCGACCCCGCCAGCCTGCTGTCCATCATCACCAAGGACACCGCCGAGCTGGGCGGCTTCAGCGGGTCCGTCGCAGGAACCATGATCGCCGTCACCGTGAACCTCATCGTCGCCATCATCCTCTCGCACGTCATGGCGTGGAAGATTGCTCTCGTCTGCCTCGTCCTCATCCCTATCCAGTTCGGCGCGGGCATCATGCAGATGATCGAGCTCGCCCGCCACCAGAGGCGCCACACCGAGGCCTTTGGCAAGGCCGTCGGCATCACCGTCGAGGCCGTCAACTCCATCAAGACCATCTCTACCCTGTCCCTCGAGCAGGAAGTTTACCAGACCTACCGCCGCGTCCTCAAGCAGCCCCGCAAGGCCATGGCCGGCGCCAGCGCCTACGTCAACCTGTACCTGGCCATCGCGTACAGCGTCGGCAACTTCATCTACTCCTTCGCGTACTGGTGGGGCGCCAAGCTCATCATCAAGGAGAGTACACCCCGACCCAGTTCTTCACCATCCTCGTCGCCATGCTCGTCGGTGCCCAGCTATGGGGCCAAATGTTCGCCCTCGCCCCCGAAGTCACCCGTGCCCGTCTCGCCGCCTCCCGCGTCCTCAACCTCGTCGACATGGGCCAGGACGAGGGCGACAAGCACCCCCTCTCCCCGACTACGAGCACAAGAGCGAAAAGGACGCGGAAGCCTCGGTCGGCTCGGCCAAGGGCGCCGCGCTGCCCGTCAGGGCCGGCGGTCTCAAGGTGGCCTTCAAGGACGTCACCTTTGCCTACCCGGCCCGGCCCGAGCTCACCATCCTCGACAGGGTGTCGTTTGAGCTGGAGCCCGGCAAGTTCTGCGGTCTCGTCGGCCCCTCGGGCGCGGGCAAGTCCACCATCATGGCCCTCGTCCAGGGTATGTTCGACGTGCCCTCGGGCTCCGTGCAGCTCGACGGCGCCGAGGTGAGCCGCCTCGACGGGGATTCCTTCCGCGACCAGATCGCCCTCGTGCCCCAGGACCCGGCCCTCTTTGACGGCACCGTCCGCTTCAACGTCGGTCTCGGTGCCCGCGCGGGCGAGGAGGCCACGCAGGAGGAGATTGAGGCCGCGTGCAAGATTGCCAACATGCACGATGTCATCATGGCGCTCCCGCAGGGCTACGATACCGAGTGCGGGCCCAACGGCTCTCGGCTGTCGGGCGGCCAGAGGCAGCGGCTCGCGATCGCGCGCGCGCTGGTGAGGAAGCCGAGGCTGCTGCTGCTCGACGAGAGCACCAGCGCGCTCGATGCGGAGAACGAGAGGGCGTTGCAGGAGGGTCTGGAGAGGGCGGCCAAGGGCATTACTGTCCTTGCCATCACGCATAGGATCCATACCGTCAGGAGGGCGGACGTCATCCTCGTCGTGGAGGAGGCCGTATCGTGGACAAGGGAACGCACGACGACTTGATCCAGAGGAGCGAGAGCTACAGGGCAAATGCTCTGCACCAGCAACTGCACTAAGGCTGGATTTCTTTTGTTTCATTTCTTCTCTGTGTTCTGTTGGGAACGAACACCCTTTCTTGATCTCCCGGGTTGTTCAATGAGTTCTTCCAATGAGAGTCTCGTCGCTCAGGCTTGACACTGGCCCACGAGGCTTTCTTCATCATCATCGCCATCTTCCCTACTCTTCCACACTACCTATCTCTCTCCAGCTCTCGATCTCGCCCACCATCTCTCCTTGATCTCTCTCGTCTTGGCTTCTTTCTTTGTATTAAAATATTGCTGAAAACAGTGGATTAATATTCTTAAAAGCATCTAATACCCTATAGTTAAAGCAGACGCGGCTCTTTCTTGCATATGTGAACCCGTAAGCAGTCGAACGAACCGGTGACTTGTACAGGCCTAGGGCTAGTGGAACCTTCGCTCAACTTGAGCTTCGGCAGAGTTCAATCTAACTTGTATACGTCGGTACTACTCCTGAACCTAACACTGAAACTAAATTGTCTTCGATATGACCTTGGGTGTGGTCCTTAGGTGGACTATAGTTGCTCGTCCTACCGTCTTTTATAGACCGTAGTCGCACTCTATGCGGTCCTCCCCTACTGGCTGCGCATCAATGTCCCGAGGGTTTGCCTTTCTACTGCCGGGGTTCACTGCTCTTCGGGCCGTCACTCCGATCATGAGCGGCCTAGAATGATCAGAGTGAAGTAACAGTACTGATTGATTAATATTAGATGTATATTTAAAATTATATATATAATAATAAATATAACTTTTATTATAATAAATACCTTAAGATATTTTATCCTAACTTACTTTTTAATATTTTAAATAGGTATTCTTAAATATTCTTATATTGATATATATAAAAAGTCTTAACCTAAAGCGACCTTTTTCTCTCTGGGCACCTTTCCATTGCGTGGCCGTTCAAGCCACATGTCGGGCAGAACAGCTCTTCATTCCCGTGTGCATAGCGACAACCATTCCACGAGCATTCCTTGCCTTTAAGACAGATCTTATGCTTAGATGCTTTCTTATTTCCATACGTTTTGAAGTGATCCTTTTCAGTTATAGTGTGCGCGAACTGGCATTGGACGTTCCTTTCACAATAAATTCGCCAGTAACACCTGAGACGAGACTTGGTTTCTTCGCGGCGGATCTGGTGTTGTCTCCTATCTGTGAAGTAGCGATTCTCAATGAAGGAAGACTCGGCTTCTCGTTCATCTAGATTTTCGTGAACCTCGCGAGGGGGTTGGTTATCGATCTTGATCGGTCCTGGGACATCTCCACTATCATCGCTATCATCGCCTCTATCATTCTGATCATCGTCGATCGTCATACCATCTAGTTCTCGGAATTTATTTGATACCTCGAGCTTGAACTGAGTCCTTCGTTCTCTCGCGGTCTCATAGTATTCCGTATAAGATATGACTTGAAGATTTTCCTTTTAAGAGCCTTCTGGATGAATATGAACAGATCTTCCTTCTCTTCATATGACATATTTACTGCATTTGCAGGGATTATAACAAGGCTGTTACTTGTTCCTTCTTTAGACGGTTTTTCTTTGAGTTCGTATTGGTAGACGGGGATGTGTAGGCCCTTGACCAGCTGGTGGAGAGCCTCCGCCTTTCGTAGGGGATCTCGGACCACGATGCTATATGGATCGATCGTGTGTCGCTCTGGGTCAAATTCGCCTTGAATGAACCCTATTTCGTCGAGGTAGGGGTCGAAGTGATGTATAGTGATGTTTTCGACCGGGGACGAATAGATCTTAGCTAAGTCATTCCTCCAAGACCAGACATGAACCGGTAGACCGTCAGTGGTTGCAATTTCGCGGACTGCGTCCCAAAGGTCCCGGTCTCCCGAGACGATGATGAATACAGTTGGTATTTTATATGCGTTCGCGAGAGTAGACTGTCGGGTACAATCGACGTTCAAGTTTGAATCCACTTGCTTCTCTTTTTAGTCCAGGGACTCCTCTTAAAAGTGTTTACTTTAAACTCTTCCTTCCTAAACGCCTCCCAGATAGTATCGACAGGTGGCGGGGTAGATCCGTATAATTTCCAGTAGACGTCATACTCTCTGCTCTGGAAGAAGTCCGGATTCCCGTAATAAGACTGTTTTGAGTTTCTGGGCACGAACCCTCCATAATGGCTCAGAAATGACCTGTAATTTAGAGTGTGTTGTCTGGTCTGGGTTTCGACTAATTGCTTGGTCGCCGTTCTCTCGGTTCTTCTGTTCTCTTTCGTGTCTATACCTCTCAGCGTACGTCTTTTGTCCCTGGATCCAGAGGTTAGAGTTATCAATATACACGTAAACGTCTCCCGCACTTTTCTTCTCCCCACGAGAGACATTTATAGTAGACATTGTTTTTAGCGGATTTTAGACTTAGAAGAAAAGCGTTGTGATAAGTCTATGTAATTAGTCTCTAATATTAGGGTGAGGAATAACTAAGGGTATTAAATATTACCAAGATATATAACCCCTAATATGAGAGGAGATTTGGTGTCCTGTCATCCTCACAGTCAAGGTTAGTCTCAAGCGGGCCTCGCCCAAGTTTCTTTACCCCCAATTCATATTCTACGAAGATTATCAGGGTGACGTGGCCCAATAATGGAATATGAAAAGGGAGACCGGTCTTGCAAATGCGCCTGCATTAATACCCAACATGGTTCCACAGCATTTAACCATTGCCCCAACTAGCTATTTTTCAGCTACTATCATATACTAAATGACGATCTTTACTAGATGGGGCTTACATATAACCCGAGTATATAACATTCGATGGGTATAAACTAGCCGAGTTTTACCTAAATATTTGAAGGGATGCTAGCCTTAGAAATCTGCTCGCATTTAAAATAAAGACTAACCAGCTCATCTTCAGCTGCTATTATATACGAGGGGACGATCCTTACTAGATAAAGCTTGCATATAACTGCGTAAGCCTTATGTTAGGGTCTAACCTATCCCACAAGATAGAGGCAGCCTAACCCCGCCGCCCACCAGAATCACGTCTCCTGCCATGAGCAGCTTCGTTACGCCCTTTGACTTATAGATAAGCAAAGTTACAGCAGCTATCAACTCATGCTAAGCTGTTATCATCAGTGTTATACTGTAAGAACCCTCGTGGGCAAGTACGCCATAAGGAGCACATGAGCCACGGCAAGCCACGGCGTAGCTGCCGGGGATCAACCGGAGACCCACCAGCAGGAAGATCACTCTGCTGATTAAGCGAGGTGTACCGAGGTCCTCTAGATCACCACCGGCCACGCGAAGGTGTAAGAGGTTGCACTCGGAAGCACACTTCAGCGGAGGGCATAGGTCATGGTAGGTATGGGGAGCGTTAGGAGTGTGTTCGCAGAATCGTGAGTTCGACTTCAGCTTGCAGAGCCTTCCTTTCTTCTCTCTGGCTCTGCGCTTTCGTCTCCTTTTATAATTAAGATTTCTACCCTCGCCATCCTATTAAGCTGACCTGTCTCCGAGCCTATCCTAGCCCCTCTACAGAGCTCTTTCTCTTTACCTTATAGCTTATTATCGCTTAATCCTTCCTTTAGCCGAGGTGTGGTCTAGTCTTCTAGAGTATATTCTTTAAAAAGTCCTAAGTTACCTCTTGTCGATGGACCCTCTTATAATTTCAGACCGAATTGATTATATTGTGCACCTTACACAGGCTGCCCTAAAGGACCCTCAACATTAGTAGATGTAGTTTTTCTTGTCCGTCAACGATCATGCTGAGACCATCTGTGGCATGGTCTTGAGGCACTGGTCTGTGCTTGTCCAAGTCTTCCAAGTCTGGTCATAGTCTTGACCGAGAGAGCCCCACTCGTACAACGACGATGTCCAATCCGAGGACGAGCCGGGTTTCAAGAATGAGTGCCTCGATCACGAGTCATCCATGAGTCTCTTTCGAGGCCCCTGAAGGCCCGGGACTAAGAAAAAGAGGCTTCACGATAACCACCAAAAAAGCCCAAGGGCCACGTTGATCGGTATGACTAAGCCACTTTTTCGAGGAGAATCGTTCCCTCCTTTTCTGGCGCGTTTAGCATTTCTAGTCTGCTGAGGCCTCGTGCCATTGCCAAATCACCCAAATGTCATACACATGGGTTGTTTCATTGGCTCAGAGCAGCAGTTTGCCCGTCCGGCCCTCTCCTAGAGTTCAACACCCATTGCTTCGACCTGCAGCCGGTTTCCCTGCGCCGTCGACACCATCTCACCATCATCGATTGCGTCACACGCCCAGGGTCGACCTGGGAAGTTCCGCACCAAAGAGTGGCCTAGGTTCCAGCGACTTTTCGTTGTTTCTCTGTGCTGCCCCACGGGCAACGCAATGGCTCTAGCTCGCTAGATCCTCCCCCGTCCAAGGTTGCCGTGTATCGCCAAAAGCTGCTAGCTCCCCATTGCGTGACCACCCAATGCGTGCTATCGGCAGCCGAGAGAAACCTGTGCGTCCCACCCAAATCCTCTTATCTGACCAAGTACTCCACCATCCCCACGCCTCAAGATTCCGAGCTAAGGCTAACGAGAGAGAAAAAAAGTGACAAGAGCGGTTTTTTCCTCTTTCTCATCCAATCCTGACAATCTAAAACTCGCTGCCCCCTAATTCCCGTCGTTTTACCGATCTTGTGCCCGCCCACAACGCACCCCACACCACCACCTCCGACCCGACACCCAATCGTTAACCATTCCACCCACAACTTCTTCTGGGTATCCCTCCTCTCTAGGTCGCATTGCTCACGATACATGGAGCCACACTGCTAGCCTTGAACAAGCGAAGCAAAGAGGAGGGATCGCGAGCTCCCAGCTGAACCAAAGCACCCGCGCCCAAGGCAAAACCTACGCCCCAGCCGTGGAAGAGCACGAACTCGGCGACTACGTCGCCATCCGCGCCCGTCAAGACCGCCTTGAACGAATCGCAAGAACAACAACTAAACGAGAAGAAAAGATCCGGTGGCTGGACGCTCAAGACGAGATGAAGTTCTCACATAGTATCCAGTTCAATGCGGTGCCAGACTGGAGTGCCCACTACCTCGCCTACAGTAATCTCAAGAAACTGTGAGTTGAAACACCTAGGGCCAGGATCGCGTCCCCCTCTCGTCCATTCCTCCACTTGTGGCGCCCCTCCCACTAACCTGCAAATTTCTTGCCCGCTGTAGGATCTACCAGCTCGAGAAGGATGTCCACGATGCCGCCGCCGCCGCCGCCGCTACTGATGCCGAATCAAGACCCCTTGTCGGTGGGGCCGAAGACTCTGAAGCTCTCTTCCAGCGCGCCCTAGTACCCGAGCTCCGCAAGATGTCCTCCTTTTATGCCTCCAAAGAGGCTGAGCTCACAGAGGAAGTAGACAAGCTGCTCTGGGAGGTGGGCCAGTTCGATGTAAGCAGCGAGTCCGACAATACTCGCCGGTATAGCGTCCACAGCCAGGATTCAGACAACGCTGAGGACAGCGACGAGGAAGACGAAACGGCCGCCCTGACAAGGAGCGCCTCCGGCCGACGAAAGTCTGCGCACAGCATCCAGACGGGAGCCATGACGGGGTCCGCTGATTTCGGGAGGGCCCTTCGCCGGCAGCAGAGCACACTGGTGGATGACTTTGCCGAGCAGTCATTGGTTTTTCGACTGGCATCGTGTTAAAGAAGCGCGTCACCGCCCTGTACGTTCAGCTGTGCGAGCTCAAATCGTATATCCAACTCAACAAGACAGGTTTCGGCAAGATCCTCAAGAAATTTGACAAGATCCTACACAAAGAGCTACGCACCCGTTTCATGGAAGAATCCGTTCTCCACGCGTACCCGTTCAAGCCGGAGACCCTTCGGGCCCTAGAAGGAAGGATTGAAAGATGGAGCAGGCGTACGCCGGCATCGCCACCCACGGCGATCTTGCCGTGGCGAAGAAGGAGCTCCGCGGCCACCTCAGGGAGCATGTCGTCTGGGAACGTAATACGGTCTGGCGAGACATGATTGGCCTCGAGCGTAGGGCAGAAGCTGCCCGCCTTGGAAGGGTTATCCTCGGGACCGAGCATGACGCCGTTCTCCAGGGCGATGACGACAAGCTTCCGGCGATTAAAGAGGTGTCGACTCCGTTTGGTCACATCTGGCTTCCCGTGTGGCTGGCGAATAGCGCTATGCTAACGCTTCTGGCCATCATTGGCATTTTCTTTGCCGTCTTGATGCTACCCATCATGGAGAAGCCCGAGCAGCAAAACTGCTTGGCTCTGCTGGTTTTTGTCAGTTTGCTTTGGGCCACCGAGGTATGTTTTGCATCCACAATATCTTCTCGTGGGACTTGTTGGTCGAGCTAGGAAACTAACACGAGTTCTTTCAACAGGCGATTCCCCTCTTCGTCACCTCGCTCATCATCCCATTCCTCTGTGTCGTGCTACGCGTCGCGCACTCCGAGACCCCCGAAGGAGCGTCTCGACTCCAAGGCCGCTGCCAAGTACATCTTTGCGGCCATGTGGACGCCCGTCATCATGCTCCTGCTCGGTGGTTTTACTCTCGCCGCAGCCTTGTCCAAGTGCAGGATCGACAAGTACCTCGCGACCTTTGTGCTCAGCAAGGCCGGGACGACACCTCGAGTAGTTTTGCTCGCTGTCATGTTCGTGGCCGCCTTCGCCAGCATGCTCATTAGCAACGTCGCCGCCCCGGTCTTGTGTTTCTCTATTGTTGAGGTATATCCCCCAGATCTCTTTGCTGCCGCATGCCATGTTCGCCAGACTAATCCAAGTGCAAACTCTTTTTAGCCCATGTTGCGGACCCTCCTCCGATTCTGAGATGTCCAAGTCGGTCATTCTCGGAATCGCCCTTGCGTCCAATATCGGTGGCATGCTCTCGCCGATTGCCTCGCCTCAAAATGTCGTTGCGATGGGAATCATGAACCCGGCCCCGACCTGGCCCCAGTGGTTCTTCATTGTCATCCCGGTCGGTGTCGTGTCCATCTTTCTGATATGGCTTCTCCTGCTTCTCTTCTTCCGACCTGGCCGCGGTACGACGCTTGCGCCCATTCGCTCGATGAAGGAGACGTTTACCGGTGTGCAATGGTTTGTGTGCGTCGTCGCCGTCTCCACGATTGGTCTTTGGTGCGCTAGCAAGTCGCTTGAATCCACCTTTGGAGACATGGGCGTGATCGCCATCATTCCCATGGCGCTATTCTTTGGCAGTGGTGTCTTGACAAAGGAAGACTTCAATAACTTCCCGTGGACCATCATCATTCTTGCCGCTGGCGGTCTATCTCTCGGGAAGGCTGTCGACTCTTCGGGTCTCCTTCATACCGTTGGCAGAATCGTAACGGCACATGTAGAGGGCATGAGCCTCTACTCTATCCTCGTCATTTTCTCCTGCCTCATCATCACCATTGCCACCTTTATCAGCCACACCGTTGCCGCCCTGATCCTCCTGCCGCTCGTTCATAGCGTCGGAGAGGGCATGGAGGTTCCCGCGCCGAATATTCTCGTCATGGCCGGTGTCCTCATGTGCAGCGCAGCCATGGGTCTTCCTACCAGCGGATTCCCGAACATGAGTAAGTTTTCTGCCCCTAGTCATTCGCGCGCCCAACCAAGATAAACTAGAGCAACTGTTTTGCTAACTTTTCCGCTTTTCAGCTGCTATCATGAAGGAGGACCCCACCGGCAGGAGGTACCTGACCGTCAAGCACTTCATCAGCGCCGGTATCCCCAGCAGTATCCTCACTCTTGCTGTTTCCGTCACGCTTGGCTACCTAGTCATGTCGGCTGTCCGCCTAGATCGATAAATGCGTGGACACTCAACAACGCCAATCCTCGTTTTCCCTCACCTTTAAACCCTCCAGAAAGCTTGTACAACAGTGAGGAACATGGACCTTGCAGAGTCTTTCCCCCTTGTTTTTCATTTTCATTTTTACCTTTATTTTACGTGCCTTGCGTTTCATGCTTGGACATCTACAGAGCGGGCGGACGGCAACGCATTCTGGGGAGTTATATAAAAGGACAACAATGCCTTGGTGAATTCTACTCTATGCATATTGATAGTCCTCGTTTGCCCAATTTATATCCGAATTTCTAGATGAATTTGCTTGCTTCATGATGCTGTCAATTTGCTTGATCGCTCTTTGTAGAAAGCACGGAAGGCACGTCTAGAACTCTTAGTCATCCCAATTCAATCAACGATGCATACGTAATGAGGACAGCAGCACATGAAGCTTGCTAGGGAGTCGCCCCTCTTCGAGGATGGAGGTCTAGGCTGCGAATTAAAAACACAGAGAACCCTCGAAACTATCCTCCCGATCCCGGACGTTGCGGGAAACGCGACCTCAAAAATTGTTTGTCGAGTGTAGTGAAGGCTTCGGAACCCCACGTCCCGCATCCCTGGCTGTGGCGGACGAAACGGGCCAAGCAGCCCCTCTCCCCGGGCCTTTCCCAATCCTTGACTCTCGCCAGCTTTATCCTCTGCCATGGCTAGTGTAAGACACCACCACCTCTCTCCCACCCACGCAATTCCCGCCCGCCGCCCTCCGTCCTCTACGCCCGGAAGTGCTCCTCGTTCCCCGCCCGATACCCTCGAGCGGAGTGATGATGATGACGATTTGATATCGCGGGAGCGCAGCGTAGAGGAATTTCCCATACATTTCAATCAAGCAGCCTCGCTAACGTAAAGAGGGGGAAACACCCTCCCCATTTTTCGAAACAGCACGGCGTCGCGAGAACGAAGCAATACCGAACAGCAGAGCAACACGCGCAGGACCAGGTCCGGATTGAAAAATACCGGAGTCTCGAGGACACGATACGAGCACAGGTCAGCGACCGAAACTACGGCGGGGCGACGTTTGAACTGTCGACGAGGTTGCTGCGCGCGAACCCCGAGTACTACACGATATGGAACGTCCGCAGGCGCTGCCTAACCTCTGGTATATTCTCCGCATCGTCGGGTGGGCGCTCGCCCTCGAGGGCGTCGCCGAATTCTACAGCAGCGCCCACTGGCACACCCTCCTCCGCCGACTACTCTACCTCTTCCTCGATAAAGACCCCGCGACCCCCACCATGCCCGAAAATCTCGCAGAGTGGTACAATAGCTAGCGAGGGTGCGGCCGGTGGGCCGGCGTTATCGGGCGAGCTTGACGCATCAGACACGGCGGCGGATACCGCGGAGGAGGAGGAGGAGAAGACGAGGGCAGAGAAACAAGAGAACGATGTCGAGGTCGTCAGGGCGGAGCTCATGTTTACGGTTCCGCTGCTGATGGAGTTTCCCAAATGCTACTGGATCTGGAACCATCGGCTCTGGATCCTCAACCAGGCCATTGCGCTATTTCCGGTGCCGGTCGCCCGGCAGATATGGGAGCAGGAACTCGGTCTTACGAGCAAGATGCTGCACAAGGATAAGAGGAACTTCCACGCCTGGGGATACCGGAGGCAGGTCGTGCGGCAGCTGGAGGATCCCGCGCTGGCGGGGCAGAGCATGGTGGAGTCCGAATTCAAGTATACGCGCTCCATGATTGAGGGCGATTTGTCCAATTTCTCGGCTTGGCATAACCGGAGCCAGCTTATTCCCCGGCTTCTTGACGAGCGGGGGCGGACCCTGCGGCGAGGACGAAGCTTCTAGAAGATGGTACGTGGCAGCCCCCCTAACAGGCCTCCTGTCCCCGTTTACTGGAATCTCACTAACCACTTTATATCCCTTGATTAGAACTCTCCCTCATTCAAGATGCGGTGAATGTCGGGCCCGAGGACCAATCTCTATGGTACTACCACCAGTTCCTAATCCTCAACATCGTGTCCAGCGATGCGAAGACGAGCTTTGTTCCGCACCTCTCAGCTGCGGAGAGACTAGCGTACATTGACGCAGAGATTGAAAACATCAAGGACCTTCTCGAAGACTACCTAGATATCAAGTGGATCTACGAAGCGCTCCTCGAATGCACACTGGCTAAAACCAGGGTTGAGAATGGGGATGATGGCACCTCGGCGGTTGCGGATGATGCCAAGGAGGACTTCCGGGGCTGGCTGGGCAAGCTCAAGGAGCTGGATCCGACGAGGCAGGGGAGATGGGTTGATGTGGAAGAGACGTGCGGATTGGTGTAAGAGGAGGGCGCTTCGGTGTACCATTTTTAGTTGATTTCTCGGAGCATTTTTTCTTAGTACCCACATATATATATCTTGTCTTTAATCTCTGGACACGGTCTGTTGTCGGAAAGATTGGATGAGCCAGTACAGAAACTCGCATCTTATCAATCGCTCACATGCCTTGTGCCGAATGCGCGCTCAGATGGGGCCACGGACAGATGCGGATCACACGAGAACGAATGAGCATGGGGAATACCTCTTACATCACGTCCGTCCCGCGAGAATGGCACGCAGGCATGCAGGGATCGCTTCCACTTTCGCCCGTGCCTGTGGGAAACGGCGTTCCGATTTCGGTTGGAAGAATTTGTGTAAATTGGTGGAAAGTGACCGTATTATCTCTTGCTGAACGGTTTGGACCCAGAGGGCCCTCCTCAGGGACAATCGCGGGTTAATGCCATGGCAATTAGAAAGAGGGAACCTCGGAGATACGATTAAATAAAAGAAGGTGACGAGATGGAAAATAAAAACGATTTGACTCCAGAAACGCCTCGCTTTCCTCCTGGGTATCTATCTCCAACCAGCTCAATTCCCAACTCCCACAATAAAGGTTTCCAAGTTCGACAGATACCCTCCCACGAATGATGGTAACAAAAGAAACAAAGTAAGATGGACCAAGATAGGCCCTATATCTAGGCCCTATATCTAGGCACATGATATGTGTATGAATGCAGCTTCAATAGGAACATGGTTCATACTGAGCGAGCGAATTTGTGTGAGACGACCCCATCAAATATTCGTCGTCCAGTTCGGAGCGTTAAGGACAAGAGCCATCATGCTGCCCGATAAAAGGGCTGTCACAGGAAGAGTTATAATCCACCCAAAATAGATGAACGCCACGAGGCGGGGGTTGATGGACCTCCAGTCGCCATTGGCGAGGCCGACGCCTACTGTCGCCCCGCATATACATTGCGTCGTCTAAGAGATGGAAGATTAGCGGAGATGATCACGATTGGCAAGGGCGAGGAAGGGCGGAAGGGGAGAAAACACGGTACGTACGGAAACAGGAAGAGCCAGTCTGGTAGCCATGAGCACGGTAATGGCACTCGCAAGTTCCATGCAGAACCCTCTTGAGGGTGATATTAAAGTGAGGCGGTTGCCCAGATTCCTCATCACATGGTACCCGTACGTCAGCAAGCCGAGGACGATGGCCCCGCCGCCCAGACAGAGGATCCATATGGGCACGCCGACCTGCGTGGGGACTTCCCCGTGCATCCAGACTTCGTAAGCGGTCGACAAGGGCGCGGCCGAGTTCGAGACATCGTTGGCGCCGTGCACGAAGCTGGCGGCCGCGGCCGTGAGGACCTGAAGGAAGCTGTAGGCGTGCTCGGCGCGGTTGTCGTAGCGCTTCGCTTTGGAGTGCATGGCCGCAATGTCCCATGTCAAGATGGAGTTGATCTTTGCAGGCGGATGACGTCCTGCTCCAGGCCCCGCAGGAGGACGCGGTTGACCTTCCAGAAAAACACTTTCGGGGTAGTCCAGTGCCCGGGCGGCCGCGGGGGTACCAGGCCGTTGGGGGCGTTTCGCACCGAGTGGAGGAGAAGGAAGACGGAGCGGCCGCGGTGATTGTGGGGGCGCGCGCGGAGGGGATGGCCTGCGCGGGAGGAGGCAGGATGAAGTCGTCGTCGTTCTCGAGGAATATCGGGGCCGAGCCGTCGGGGCTGCTTTGCACGGACTTGAGGAGGGTGTCGGAGGCGCGGACGTATTCGAGCTCTTCGGGGGTGAGGTGGCCTTGGTAGTAGTTTGTGATGATGACTTTTGAAGCCGGGGGCGTGGGTGGGGGCGCGGGTCGCGAGAGGAGGAAGGGGCCTTTCCAGGCCATGTACCATTTTAGGGGCCAGTCTTCGCACATGATGCGTCGCCAGAGGTAGGGTAGGAGGAAGAGAGAGACGCCGAGGGCGGCGGCGCCGGCGACGGAAAATACGAGGGCGATCATGAGGGTGGCGGAGGGTTCCTCGGCGACTTGGACTCCCTTCCAAGCTACCAGCACTATTGTCCAAAAACCAGTGTTAGAGAGTTGGCCAGTATGTTGGGGAAGGTATTGCGAATATGGCCGCAGAGGAAAGAAGAAAAAAATAACAACGGGGACGACTCACTCGTCAAAGCACCCACGGTAAGGAAGCTGTATACCGGGATGGACCAAAGAGCATTTCTCACAGCGTGGTGTCTTGAAAGAACCGCCACCTTTGTAAATAAGAAGAGGAGGGCGCCCAAGCAACCCGCGATTCCGGGCGCGATGATCCAAGCAAGAAAGACTTGGGATACCCCATCCACGCCCCAGTTAATCTTGCCGATCCCCACCGAGGCTGTGGCAGCGCCCACTAGCCCTCCGATCGTGGAATGCGTGGTGGAAACCGGAAGGCCGTAGCGAGTCGCGATGGTCAGGAAGATGGACGAGCCAAAGACGGTGCACATCATGGCGAGGAGGAGAACCGAGGGGTGGTCGGCGTAGAGACTCGGGTCTATCACCTTTTTCCGGATCGTATCGGCCACGCGCGAACCGATGGAGACGGACCCGGAAAACTCGGTCACGGAGGCGATGAGCACGGCTTGCTTCATCGTGAGGCAGCGTGAGGAGATGGATGTTGCAAAGGAGTTGGCCACATCGTTGGCGCCTTGTGGTATGCCGTGTCAGCGCCGGAGCAACGAGGTATCTACTGTGATTGTATGAGAGAGAGAGGGGCACCAACTCACCAATGTTCCATGCGTCGAGAAAGGCAAAGATGACTGTGATTATGAAGATGTAGTTGTATTGCTCAAGGGCCGCCATCTCGTTTCGGCGAGGACCCGAGCGGACCTTGGTTGGATAGTGTGAAGCAGACTGTAGTTGGGATTAGGTGTCAAAGCAGGGTGGTACTAGATTGTCAAGATATCCATCCATTCCTGGACCCAGCGAGCACGGCGCATCGCTGATCCTCTCTAGATTAGGGTGTGGTGGGCCGTCTTCAGCGGAACAAGATTTGGCGCTGGCATCTTATAAAACGGATTGACCAAAGGGAGGGGGCCCGCGCTCTTCAAGTGGCTTTTGACTGTGAGACTGCCCTTTCGTGGTAGGTCTAGTGGAGGGTGTGAGGGCGGAGGAAAAAAGGTGGTCAAGGCTTTAGGAAGGCGGGGAGGAGGAGAGGCAAAGATATGTCTGCGACTGTCCCATCGGCTGCGGCCCTCTCCCGTACAAGGCGACGTGGGTTCCAAGGGGGCCAGAACCGATCCAATGCGCTGCGTGGGAGACGAAGCGTGGGCAGAGAATCGTAACCAGACCCTCGGGACTAGAGCGTGATGCTTCGGTGGGGGTTGGAGGGCTCGGCGCGGATAAGTACTTGCCTGGTTCTACCCCGTTGCGGCAAGGGTGGGACGGTTTTCCATGGGTGCTTGAGAGTCGTGGGACTCATCGTTGGATGGATCTCTGCTAGCTCTGCGGTGTTGCTTTCCCGTCTACCCTCCGTCTTTCCGGTATGGGTCGGAAAGCTTCGAGGGATCCGCTTAGAGATCCATGGATGTAATGGATATGTCCCGAGGACTCGAGGCGCGCAATAGCAGACCAGCGTCGCTTTTGCACACGAAATAAAGGAAGCCCACCAAAAATTATAATGTTTCGTAGACTCAAACCGAAATATATTTGATTGCGATCAATGAGCAGAAAAGGGCTTAGCGAGACGCAAGATTTGCTTCAGTTTTGGTTATTCCTAGACTATGCGCCACCCTTCGGTGGCCCAAACCGGGCGTGATCCATCTCGCTCTCGGCAGGAACTTGGCGGGACGGGAACTACACTACACTAGATAATAGTACTTTGTCCATCAGAAGAAATACCTAAAGATAAGCTGCTAGAGAGGAGACAGGAGGTAGGAGGGAGGAGGGCATTGTCGCGTCTTCCCTGGTCGTTGCCCGGAGAGGAGGCAATGGACCAATCGTTGTCGTTAGATCGGGCACGACCTCCCGAGTCCGACTCCGAGCTCCAGCACTAAAAAGGGCTCCGCCCCCACGCAGCTTGAACCGGCGAGTTCAGGTCGACGAACAATCCCCCATTTCAAATCATGCTCATCAAGTCTTGCTGTCGCTCCGTGTTCCTTTTTGCTTTTTCTTCTCTCTCGAGTACTTTATGCTTTATTATGCCTCTGCGTGACCCATCTTTGTTGAACTTGTGGTCGACGCTGCAGAGAGCTTCTACATAACTTATGCATCCCCTTGTCTTTCCTGATCCTAGCACCCTATCATGAGCACGCTGTGACACGAGTGATGATATCAGGACGTTGAACTCATGGACCTGCATCCCATTGCTTTTAGACCAATGGTTTGATCCTGCACGCAATGATCCAGCTTGTGGTGCTCGTGATGCAAACCTTCGAGGTCGAGGGCATCTTAAGATGGCATCTCCCAAGTCGGCCCCTGCAAATATGAGCGGGGGCAGAGGGGAAACATTACCATGGGATTCAATATTTCATTCGTAAGGTGAATATGCTATTCTTTCTGGATCTTCGTTTCCTTTGTCCTGTTCGAAGCACATGAGAATACCAGAAACGTGCATCTATTGTCCAGCTAGAAAGAACCAAAATTTGACGGGGGTAAGGCCATTTGCCTTCTTGGCTCCCCGGGCGCAAGATTATGAAGCTTTGAATATCACAACCAGGAAGTCTTGGCCATACCTTGGCTCGATAGCGCCTTGGTCTGGAGACCAATCGTGCCTCCGCATGGGGAAACGGCGATCACCTCACGGAGGCTGCCCCCTTGCCTGCGCTCCGAGATATATGATATGAGCTCGAGGTTAATAGTACCGGCGACCTGTCTACACCCCCACGCACGGCTTGGCCCCCAGATTTTCAAATGAACGCCGGTGGGCATTGTGGTAGATCGGAAGCCATCAGGGTTGACTGCGGCTGGCAGCGTGGCTTGTCACCATTCCGAGCTCTCTCAACTCTGGCTAGGCTCGAGATCACAGGATCCTACGCCTTAGCTATCCACCAGATTCGGGTACGGTACCCTTGTTTCTCTGATTTAGATTGGCCGAGTCGTGAAGTGTCTCACCGGGCTCATGTCAACCTTTGCCTCCAAGCTTCCTTGCGCACAAGTCTTCGATATGCGAGTATGCACAAAAGACCCCGAATCCTTACATCCGCCTCGATAAATAGAAATCTGTGCAAGTGCGCCGAATATTCCTGTAGTGAGAAAGGGGCTTGCGCTCCCATGCTTCAATGGAGGCGGGGCGGGGCAATTTGAGCCGAACCTCCAAAAGTCCAAGCACGAGCACGAGCACGACACCGCCGACCCGTCCCCCGACGAGCCTCTAACACGACGTGTCGCAAAAGGGGGCTGCCTGGATCTATTACGAAGATATACAGCCTCATCTGTAAATCGCACTCTGTTGGATAACTTGACGATTCGCGCCACTTCTTTTGTCACCCGGAGAGAAAAACCCACGAAGCAAAAGGAGCCCTGTTCTGGACTCGCCGAGGACCCCACGATTTTCCCCGCACTAGCGATTAACCCCTGAATTAAAGACACAAACCACAGGGGAAAAGGAAACCCCAGGGAAAAAAGGGAGGACAAAACCAAGACAAGACCAGAAATCACGGAAACAGATCACTGCGCGAAGAAGCGACACGAATAGAAACAAAAAGGAAAAAAGAGCGAACCTCGACAAACTCTCCCACCTCCCCAAAGAACCCAACAATGTCCGGCCTCAACTCCACCGAGATCGCCAACGCCTACGATGCCGTCCGCTCGGACAAGGACGAGGCCAACTGGCTCCTCATCGGCAACGGGCCCACCGGCAATCAGCTGAACCTGACCAAGACGGGCTCGGGCGGACTGGACGAGCTCAAGAACGAGCTGGACGACAGCCAGGTGCAGTACGCCTACGTCAGGGTCGAGTACGCCAACGATTCCGAGAGCAAGCGGGTCAAGTTTGTCCTCATCATCTGGATCGGCAACAGCACCAAGGTTATGAGGAAAGCCAGGGTCAGCATCGAGAGCGGCGAGGTCAAGAGGGTGCTCAGCCACCACAGCATACAGGTCGACGCCAACGACAAGTCTGACCTGGACGAGAAGGACATTGTTGCCCGTCTGAGGAAAGCGGGCGGTGCCGACTACAACGGCGGACGCGGTTAGAAAGCGGGGCCTCGACTGGGTTCCCGACAAGGAGACTTTGAACAAAGAGAGACCTCGGGGAGGGAGGCTGGGATTGGAACGGGTGTGTGTGTCGTTTGTTGATTTGGACCGTCTGGAGTAGAATACAGCCAAAGGGCCTCCGCCGGTGTGAGGAGGCACTCCAACCTTTGCGGGCGTTCCACAATGGTACGGGCGGCGTTGTCTTTCTTCTTGAATATCACATTTGTTTAGCGTGGTAGTCAATATACTGTCCATAAGTATAAAAGTCTTTTCGCCAGAGAGTCTTGGGTTTAGGGATCGTGGCCTCTGGCCTGATACCTACGATCACCAACTAGAAAAAGACTCCAGACAACCCCCTTCTCCCCAATATCCCATCGGTTGGGGCATGTATAAGAAGGGACGGAGACCTAGCCCATGGTAGAATGTTGGGGAGAAAGGACCAAGGCTGGTGGCCAGTGGGCAGCTACCTACCACGAGATGCTCTACTCTGCTGAATAATGGATGGGTACAGGCCAACCTGAACCTGATAACCAAAAGTACACATGTACTTCATCAACGGCTCGTCCCCATAAGAGAGAGGTTTGCGCATCTAGGTCCGCGTGACGTCACATTTGAGGATCGCGACGTCCTTCTCGTTCCACCGTCAGCCCCCGCGCCCCACGTAGCTTCATTCCCACATGCAGAGACAAAGGAGAGAGTGGGCAAAGAGGAAGGAAGGGGTAAAAAAAAACTAGAGCACGGCAGCTGACCGGTTCCTTTAAAAAGAGAAGTGGGGAAGCAGCTCACGCGATTCGGACGAGAGCTTGTCGTCGCGCTAGGAGGAGTGCAAGGTGACGAGCGGATGAGTAAAACGTATCAGTCGATTGGTCAATTCCGCAAGGCAACACGGGGATGCCTGCTCTCACCAGCACAACCTCGTCGTTTAATCTCACCAACGACAGAGCTCCTGTTGTCATCGAGGCCGCGTCGGTGTCTCCCGAACCGGAAGTATTGTAAAAAAACCACAGAAAAAGTCGTTCGAGCCTAGACCTGATCGAGGCCAACGTGCATCTCATTTGCAGGCAGATGTGGGGCCTTTGCTCAACGATGTAGCATGGCGGCTCTTTGGAGAGGGGCCCTGCCCGAGGGGCACTCGAGAGAGGGAGGACGCCGGCATGACATCGAGGGTGAAGTGTAATATGGGAGGAAGATGGCGTCGTGGCAGCTCGAGAGGCATCACTGGACCCCACGAGCTCGCCACCGATCTGATCTGGGAGAGAAAATAGCTCGGCGATTTCCTTCTCTTTGTCTACGCGCCTCTGATCTGGGCCGGCCTGTTGGTGCGTTAGATGACTGCTCATATTTTTATTAAGATGCCCGTAGCTCGTAGCCTGCCGCGAACCCAAGCGCACGCATGCAACACTGCGGCTTGAGAGGGGGTGCTGTCAACAAGCCTTCCATTGCATCTTGACCGAGTCGACTAATACGCGAAGCGCACCTGCAAAGCCGTGGGAGCTAATGCGACACGGCACTAGAACGGCCGCGCTCCCCTCTGATCGCCCTCTGAAGAGTAACCTCCCTCCATCCTACAGAAAGGACATGTAGCAATGTGTAGCGTAGATTATCCCATCCGGAGGGTTCGCATGTGCGGGGGAAGTGGGAGAGAATGCAAGGGCTGCTGAGATTCGATTATGCGTCAATGTCCTTGGGTCCTTGATGGATGTGGCCAATTCCCGCCTACTGCAACCGTATATTAGAAATGTCCGGGTGGGAGGCCCGTTGGGGAGAAGGAGGGGCAACGGCATCCCTCAGACGCGGAGAACGCTACCAGGACCAGCTGTCAAAGAGCCAAGCTTTCACCCCGGGGACACCCAAAAAAACGGGTTCAAAAGAGAAGGAGCCAAAGGTCCAGAAGAGGGGGAAAGGAAAAAACTGGCAAAAGAGGAGGAGGGGTGGCAGTGCCCCGGCCAAGGTCAGAGTCCTCTTCGCGAACCAGGAAGAAGGGTTTGCCAATCTGCGACGTTTGGCAGGCTCTGGCTCCTCGTGTGGACACGACGCTAATCACGTTGACAAACGAAAGCGTCAACGCGGCGTCGAGTGTGGGTATCTCCCATTTTGATACACGCGCGCGAAAACCCGCGCGGGCAGGGTGGTGGGCTGGAACGGGCCTAGAAACGTTGGCAAAGCTCCGTTAGGAAGCATGGAACTATTTTTCAGCGGAGGGGGGTTTTTCCCTATGACTTTGCTCCTGACGAGGGTGGCAGAGAAGGGATTGGGGGAAGAGAGGAGAAAAAGGGACCCCCGTCCGAAAGCATATAAACTTCATTGATCCTTCGCCGAGTAGCGCTCACAAGGAAGGAGCACACGTTGCTTTTCAGTTCTTAAAGCACCGTTCCCCGCCCTTCTCTCCCCTCGTCTTTACTCAAGACTTTGATTCATTTAGTATCTCCTTGTCTTGATGAGCGCCTGTTACTCGGTGTCGTGCCGAATGCAGACCTGTCTGGAAGAGAAATAAAGCATCTTACGATTCCAGCAGCTTATTCCTGTCGGCATCCCATTTTCTCCTTGGAGTTTACGCCCTTTTCTGAGCCGGGAGTGCTACCTCACGGGAATTTTATCCTCGAGAAACGGGAGAGAGATTATCAATCTTTGCCATCTTGCTCCGATAATAGGCGGCAGCTCGGAACCGGACACGCCCCCTGGTCCATGCGATCAAATCCAATCCCAGCCACGGTTCCCCCAACCCCAGTCCTGCGAACAGGCCCAGACCCGATATCTCACTTACCCGGTGCCATTCCCCGAGGTGTCCGTCCCAGTTCCAGTCTGTTGCACCTGTCAGAGCTCGCAGACGGAGGGCCAGACTGCAGTGATTATTACGACGCCGACGGACGGCAGCCACGCTCGTTTTGGCGGCAATCCCCATATTAGCCAATCCTTCGACGGGTCGGAACGACACCCGTTCGAGAAGCAAATCTAAACAGAGCAAGGGCAAGCGAGGAGAGAGATTGATAAGAAAGAGAAACGGGTAAGAAATACGACGACAAGGGGTCGCAAAGAACAAAAAAGGCACCCAGCCGGTAAAGAGCTCGGCCGTAGGATCGGTGTCTTCCGCCTATATCCGAGGCCGCCATCGCAACGGTCGAAACCAGAGGTCCAATTTGAACGACCAAAAATCATCCTCTGCAGGCTTGCATATCCCCTTTGCATATTGGGGCTGTGGAGTCGAGATTGATTTTTTCTGCTGCTTCGTTTCGTTTTTCCGTCCCTTCTTCCCTGCCCTTTGCTGGCCTCCCCGCCTTCCGACTCCGCCTTCACGCTTTTTTGATATTAACGAGAGCTCGCCGGAAGAGCTACATCCCCATCCACGACTTCCAGCTCCAGACACTTGACCGTTTCGAGCTAGTGCTGCCGCCGACCCGTGCTTTTCGAGTGCAACTTGTCTCTTTCGACCCTCTTTGCTTAGTGTGTTTGGTTGTTGAATTCGCCAGCAATTCCAGCAGCGGACTCTCACAAGAGGACTGGACGTGGAAAAAGGACTGTTCGGTGGGTTCGGTCAGACGACGAAGCCACTTCTCGGAAAGTGGTAAAAACGACACTTGTTTCTTACACCGTTCTCAGGACGGGTTGCAACAACCTGACGATTGGCCGGCTCCGGCCTAGTCCTCCTGACTGTCTTGTCCGTTACAGTGGGCAGACCCCATCAGACTACGCCCCCAAAAAAATAACTTGGTGGAGGTTGGTTCCGGCTCCAGCGAGCTAGGCAAGGCAGGGGCGGTCCTTCCGTCCATCGATCCACCCCACCCGCCCACAAGCGCAAGCTTTCCATTCTTGGGGCCAGCTCGGGTGCTACCTGCCGCTTGAGCTGTCTGGCCTTATCCTGCCTTGTACAAGTCAAAGTAAATCACTGATCCACCAATTTTATTGCTTTGTTTCGCCTCTTGCTATCCCAGAACGGGAGGTGCCTTTCACCGTTTGGCTGCTCCTCTAGATTTCCGCCGCTCGGCTCGCGCTTTTGCGTCGTTGGTGCGCGGCGCTGCTTTCGGAGTCGGGGAATTCGTCAGACGTCACCATCGTGCGTCTTTCTCTTCCCTGCCGCCTCCGCATATCGCACTCCTCTCCAAAAAGTCACACATCCGAAAACTTCACCACATCCGAAAACTCACTCACGCCGTGCTCCTCTTCTTCGACCTCTTTTTTAACTTCGTCTTTTATTTTTGGGGAGGGTTTTTTCCCCTTGATCCTCCTACTCTCCCATCCTTGGTCTTCCTCCGTCTCTCTCCACCCGCTAACTTAACTTTTTTGTTTCGTTTCTTTTCTTTCTCTTGACTTTGCCAGACGCTGAGCTGTCCTGTCCTCCCGCTTGCGCATTGGCATTGTCGTTTCCTCTCCCCATAGCCATGGCGCCCGAGATCATCTACCTACCAGACGGGCAACACTTTACCGTCAAGCCCGTCTTCTCTGGCCTGTTTTTCAAGTCCAACGAGTTCAGCACCCAGCCCAACGCCTATCCCATTGGCTGGACCGTTGTTCTCAACACCACCAAGAGAGAACTCCCGAACCACCATCATTTCCACGACTCCCACCTCCAGAGCAACGGCGACACTACCAATGGGGCCACGGATGGCCAAGGCCAGAATAACCACCACCAGACGAATGGCGTGCGCGTACGAACACATGCTTTCGTCGAACCTACTCTCCAAGATGATAATCTCTTCATCTCCTCCATATCTGTCCCCTCGAGCACCGAGTACAAGGCCCCCGCCAGCCCTCTCGGCAAGTAGCTATGATGCTTTGGATTACCCTGTACTGGTATTTCCACCAACGCGAACCGCTCCCCTACCTACACACCGAAGCATCCAAGGATACCCCGACGACGCAAAACCCAGGGGGATTGGATCATCAATATCAAGAAAGACGGCGTGCTGCGTGGCCGAAATCTGATTCCCAAACTCGAGAGAATGGGCTTGATCGCGTCGGCCGACACCTCGGTGAGCGACGAGTCCAACGAGTCCTGGGCGCGCATGTTTGTGTCCAAGAAAATGTTTTGGCAGATCCCCGGTCGCCTGTTCCTCTTTAGCCTGCAGCATGCTGCCCCCAGAGTGCTTCCATCCCAGGTTCACCACCTTGCAGCAGGCCCGCAACACCCTGTCACCGTCTGGCCCCCGCATGCCGGCGACACCCCGATTACTCTGCCATGTTTTCGGTACCGACCAAGACAATCACCGGGCCCCCGTCCATGGTCCCTTCGAATCCCTTCTATTCGAACTCCCACTTGCCCACCTATTACCCCCGGGCCGCTCACTTATACCGTTACAAATAACGTGCGACATCCTATGCGCCCAAAACCCCCACGGATGGGAGAGATTTTCTACGCCCGATATGTACCAAGCATGGGCCACTACCTCTCATTCCGCGTCGCTTCGACATCGACAACACCAGTGCGATACCGCGGTCCCCTGGGGCCCAATTCGATCGAGCATACTCATCTCCGCGAGCTATCCGATACTGCCCTGCTGCAGTCGTGGCTGGCCAAGCCTCGTGTCTCCAAATTCTGGGGACAGTGGACATCGGACTTCTTAACCAATGCGGTCGCATCACAGCACTCTTTCCCCGTCATCGGGATGTGGGACGGTGTGCCATTTGGGTATTTCGAGATATACTGGGCCAAGGAAGACTTGCTCGGACAGAAACTTGGCGATCTCATTTCCGACTGGGACAGGGGCCTGCATATTCTCGTTGGGGAGGAATGGGCGAGGGTAGGGTCCCAACATGGCTGACGAGCTTGGTGCAGTGGTCACTCATGTCGGATTACCGCACGATGAGCATTTGCCTCGAGCCCCGAATTGACAATGAGAGGTTCGTACTATTTTTCTTCTTTTTTTCCTTCACTCGCCCTCGACGCATGATTTCCAGGTTGAGCCAGCTGCTAACGGCGCGAGTGACACAGATTCCTCTTGCACCTCCAGAAGGCAGGCTTCTCTCGGGAGCGTCAAATTGCCTTTGCGCACAAACAATCGTGGTTTATTCGAATGCGGAGAGAAGACTGGGATGGGCCGGCCCTGTAATAGGGCTCATTTGAAAAGATGACGATGATTCTGCCAGAATTTCGCAGTCATAGTCGCCTTCCTTATCCTCTTTTACTCTCTCTCATCTTTTTGCGAGGCATCATTTTGATTTGGGGTATCAAAACACACTCGTTTTGGGTGGTCCTGTTATGTGCGTGTTCATGCTTGTGATAGGAAATTATGATATCATGGGAGCTCCTGGTCAAGCTATACTCACAGTTCGGGACCCCAGCGAAGCCAGAAGCATTGCGTATTGTTTTGTACCTTTTCCCCCAGTGGAAAATGACACATTTTTATAGCCGACGAGTCCGCTTTTCCTAAGTTAATAGAACAAGGCAAATTCTGCGTGCTGGTTGATAGCGGCCTGTTGCGTGCTGGTAAGTGAACACTTGTAATAAGGGTCGTGTGTGATGGGAAGCGGCCACGATAATTCTGAGCTCGAGTCGCGACAAGGCCAAGTGTGACGCCATGCCACAGTGCACACAGTGTGACATATACTTTATCCCCGATTCGCTCTTTTGCTCGAAAATTTTGGGGACAGCTTCCGATAGCGATAGTACTTTTTTCCCTTTTTCTTTTTTTCCTCGTCGCCCTTCATGTCGCTTGCGTCCGCCTCTCATTCCTTCTCTGTTTGTTAATGTGCTACCCTTTATCCAACCCTGCAACATATACCCGCGAATTTCCCCTCCGACATCTCGAACAAGACCTTTGAGTCTGTAATGCGGATCTAGACCCCGACGCGCATACTTTCCTCAACCAGACAAAACCCAGCGAGAACCCGGCCCGTTCCGAAACTACGCGACACACCCACCGAGCCCGCATTTACCACAGCGCCCCCTTCCCCTCGAGGTCTCCCTCACTCCAATTTTTGTTGTTCCTCTTCTTGTCGACATGGCGGACTCAAAGGCCCCGAGCGACGGAGCTTGCCCCGTCGACCACAAGGCCCGCGAGGCGTGGCTCGCGCAGTCCCGCGCCGCCGCCGCGGGCGCTCCACCCCCACGCTGCCTCACCCGATGCCCCCGGCGCCAGCGCAATCGCAGCAAACGACGGCACCGACCAAGACGTGGTCGCAGACATTCGCCTCCTACATCCCCTTTTCTTCTTCTTCTTCTTCTTCTTCTTCTTCTTCTTCGCAGCAACAACAGCCCGCGCCACGATCCGGTGCTGCCGCCGCCGGTCCCGACACAGATTTAGGAACGCACCGCGTCGTATCCAGCATCCCGCGCTCCTCGGACCCCGACGCCGTGACGGCGTGTCCGCAGAACCGCGAGGCCGAGACGGGCCGGGACGAGGAGACGGGGAACTGGGTGTACCCTCGGAAAGATGTTCTTCGACGCCATGCGCCGCAAGGGTCTGGGCGCCGAGGTCGAGGATATGAAGACCGTGGTGCCTATCCACAATGCCGTCAACGAGAGGGCGTGGAAGGAGATTATCGAGTGGGAGAGGCCTTACTTTGCCGGAACTCCGTAAGTCTACTTGACTAGCCGTCCCTTTTGCTTCCCTTTTTCTCTCTTTGGACTCGGACACGCGGAGAAAACATCCATCAGCTAACCCATCACTCTCCTTTTTCATAGTTGCGACGGTCCCAAACTCCACTCCTTTGCCGGCCTCAGCACCAAAATGTCTCCCAAGGCCCGCATCAACACCATCCTCGGCTACACCGCGCCCTTTGACCGCCACGACTGGATCGTCGACCGCTGCGGCACCCGCGTCGAGTACGTCATCGACTTCTACGCCGGCCGCGCCGGTCCCAACGCCGCCGCCCCCGGCCCCAGCTTCTACCTCGACGTCCGACCCAAGCTGAATACGTGGGAGGGCGTCAAGATGAGGTTCTGCAAGGGTGTCGGGCTCGTTTGAAATGGTTTCTCTCTTTGCGGGCTTCTCTACTCGAGCCGAGGGTTGGGGGAGCCGGATGTAGAGGATGGGAGACTTTAATTCTTCCCTCCTCTTCTTCACGCTCTTCCCGTCACTCATTTTCTCGGGGGTAGTCCGCCTGTATATCAGTATGGGATGTAATATCATGGGAGGCGCGCTTGCGGAGGGCTGTTTTTCCTTTTCCCTTCTTTCTCCTTGGTATATGATTTTCTTCTTTTCGAGCATTAGCATAGATATCGCGTTGGCATGGGCCGTGGGTAGGTAAGATATAGAAGGAATTTAAGCACCACATCTCCCCTTTTGGCAAAACCAACATACCACCCTCAACTATTTTCAATCCGTTTTATTTGTGCTATGTCGCTTGACTTGCTTCCATCTAAAGTTGTGGAAGACCGTGTCCGCTTTCCTCGCATCCATTTTCACTCTCCTAGTATTCCTCAATCCCGTATCCCGTATGCCATTTCCGAAACGCCTAATCATAGCTCACATACACCTGCTGTCGTAGTACAAGGCTGAGAAAGATTCTTCCCAAAAACTTGGACACCTTCCACCCTGCTCCCCCACTCCCTCCCAAAAGGACTGGAAATTACTTTTCTTTTTGCCGTCTTCTTCCACGGGGTAGCAAATCTGGACGCGGAGGGCATTGCCTGGTTCCATGGCCGAGGTATCCAGATCCCACCCAGCGTCCTGTAGGTGGGTTATCAATGCGCCATCCTTATATAAGAACAGCTGGTTCGCCCTCGTTTGTGATTCCCAGGCTTCTTTTCCGTCTTCGCCTTTGTCGCCCCAGATAATCTCCATGGCCATGAACCAGGCCCTAATCACCTCCACAGGTTGGGCACCCACATTGATGAGGATCTTGGCGTGCAAGGTATCTTGATGGGGGAGCCGCCGAGTGCTGATTTTGCAATACTCTTCTTCGTATATAAAGAAGTCGTGGCCGCTCTCCATGAAGTCGCTATAATCCTTGGCGAAATGTACGATGCCCTTCCACTGGCCCCGGCTATTGGAAACATATGGGGACCAGCTGAGAATGGATTCCTGGGCTGAAACCTGCGCAGGTGTCAGAGCCTCCCCACGCCGAAGCCAGTGCGCGAAAACTAGTGAGGCTCGCTGTCGGTTGAGGACACGCAGGGAAACGCATCGCACGCCAAGGCAATTGACGTAAAGATGGCCAAGAACAAGGGCAACCATGAGGCAGAAGACGGCGGTGCGGTCTTCGACAAGCTTCACGACAATGGTGCCCGCGAGCAGTCCTATGAGCCCGACGGCGGTTTCTTGGCTCGCCTCCTTGGCGTTCAACTCTGCCATGTTGTTCTGAAGGGCAAAGTGGCTCGAGAGCGCAGCCTTGCTGGCGCTACCAGCAACGCCGCACATGGCGCGAAGCCCCTCCGCAGAAGCAAGTAGGAAGGCCTTGCCCACGCCGCTAACGCGGGGGCTGGCGAGAACGAGGAAGAAGGCGGTGTCGTTGAAAAAGTCGGCCATGAACCGGTACTTCTTGCACTCGGATTCGATTCTCAGGCCAAATCGCTGGGCGAAGCCAATGGTGCAGAAACGAGACGCGACGTCCTTGATGACGTTGAGCAGTACCGCGTACGTGGCGGATGAATTTGCATCTCCCACGCCGAGTCCCTCGAGAAGGGCACGATCCGCTAGCATCCCTGAAATGGCGCTGAAGAAGGCTTGGAGGAGTCGTATCGCTGGTAAGCCAGGTAATCCTCGGTAACGGAATGGGGAAATCCAACGGGAAGGAAGGCCTCGAGTAAGAACTGGTGGAAAGCACCTATCCAATAGTGGAGTGAGCGCTTCACTCCAGGTTTGGGCAAGGACGAAACCTACGACTTCAAGTCAGTATATTTCCCGGTATCCCAGCGTGAGATTGGTGGTCCATACCTTGAAGATTTCATCGGCGCCGGTATGAATCCATTCACCTCGCTTTGACCCGCCTTTGTCGACCTCGATGATCTTGATCGACCTTTTCTGCCCGAGATGGTGGCGCAGGGAGTTGTTTGGAATCATTTCGGACCTTGGACTATCCATCTTGACTCGCTGGTTCCAGTACCCGACAATATGCAGGAGGGAAGATGATGCGAGAATGTTGAAGAGGAGTGACAAAGGAAGAGGGAGAAAATCAAGCTAGAGCCCTGAATATAGAGGCAAGAAAAGATTCCCTCACCTGAATTCTTTCGGTAAAAGAACTTCTTTCATAATCATTAATTCCTTCCCGATCTATCGCTTGCTCCAGTGGAAATTTCTCCAATGCACCTTCCTTTTCACTATCCCTGAGTCCTTAAGTTAAGGATATCCAGAATGGAAGGAGCAAGAGGCAGCAGTGAATAGGTTAGATCTCTAAATGCTTGGAAGACTCATCTATATATATACAGTCTTTATTCTTCGTCTGATTATTGAATAGGAGTCATCTTTTTTCTTCTTCCTTTTCAAAGGGTTTCGTTAGGCTTTAAGCTGGGCATCTGTGTTTGTTCCTGGGAGGTTGACAGGATGACGAGGGCGAGTTGACAAGTTGACGTGTCGTTGAGATCCAAGCTCGTTTCCTAATACGGCAATTGGCTGCACTCCACGACAACGAATGTTTCACGTCCAGCACCCAGCATTGGGAGGGGAGGACAAGCAAGCAGGTTGGCACGCCAAACATTAAATTTCTGTTATTCGTTCATCATCGCTTTTCAGTAATACGAATTGTTCCCAGAATACCTTCAAAAGTTCATCAGCTTTTCTTCCTCGGCTCCGCAATTCTCGCATCCTAATTCAACTGTATATCCTCATCTCCATCCCTTTTACACTGCTCCCTCGTCCCCAAAACCCCTTAATTGCCTTTGACGGGGCTTCCATCATCGGCAACCAGGAACTGGTCTGACTTGATAGGACCTTCTCCAACGCCAGTTTCAATGACACGGTTGACACCCTCAGCTAGGAACGAACCAATATCCTCGAGGGCAACGGCCGCGTTGAGGGTCTTGTACGCCTCAGGCCGCTTCCAGCCGGGGCGCTCGGACAGGACGGGGAAGAGAGTGCCGATGACGGCCTCGGACGCCTCCTCGGGGTAGTAGATGACGGGGTTGGCACCGGCGTCAAAGGTGTAGGCGGCAACGGCCTTGCCAGCGGCTTCGTTGATCATCTGCACAGCGCGAATAGCCGCCTTGGAGTACTCATTCATGTAAATGATGGGAGGGTAGGTATCGAGGCAGGTGGCGTGGAAGGAGTTGGAGTCCTTCATGGTGACCTCGGCGAACTTGGGGAAATCACGGTCGCGTATCGCCTCCTCCATGGCCTTCATGTGGACGTCGACCACATTCTCCACACGCTGCTTGAAGAGCATCGAGGTAGCAACGGTCTGCTGCATTCCCGAGGTCGACGGCACAAGCTTCTTGCCAGCGCTGACGACGAGGATCAGGGCCTTCATGCCAGGCCAGTGAGAGGCCTCGGCCACCTGCTCGGCGAGCGAGTCGCTCCCGTCGTCCTTCTCACCCATCCTCCACGCCACGTATCCGCCCAAGAGACTCCTGCACGCCGAGCCGGAGCCTTGCCTCGCGATGAGGGAGAGCTGGGTGGGGGTGTCGGGGAGCTCGTACAGGTCGGCGATGGCGCGGACGAGGGCGGCAAAGCCCGCAGCAGACGAAGCGAGGCCGGCGGCGGTGGGGAAGTTGTTCTCGGAAACGATGCGGAGCTTCATGGCAGAGAGCTTCGGCAGCGAGGCATCCTTAGCCTCGAGGGCGGCGCGCCTGGTGCGGAGCTCGCGAAAGCAGGCCTGGGTGCGGGCACCCGAGATGCTCGCCTCTTCGCCATTGAGGGTGAGGCTATCGTTATCGAAAGATTCGGAGCATGCTGCGGTCGTGAGGGTGCGGAGGTCGGCCTGCGACAGGGTGACGGAGAGAGAGCTGTTGGTGGGAAGGTTGAGAGCGGGGTCTCGCTTGCCCCAGTACCTATGAAGCAGGGAGACGAGTCAGCAGGCGAGATCTAGTTTGTATGGATTCGCGTACAATTCGTAGGGACAGAGGCTACTGCTAGATAAAGGAGTATACCTACTTGACAACGGCAATGTTGACCGGCGCCGTGGTGCTGGCGCGGTATACCTTGGCCGACATGATGGAGCAGGTAGGTGATAAGCCTCGGGAGGGTACGGGGTGAGGGAAGAACTTTTTGACCTGCGAACGACACCGAACGATGATCGATTTGTGGAAGGGAGGAAAAGGGTTCGAAAGAGTCGAATTCTCAAAAATTTGCCCAACCACGAGGAGTACAGAAAAGAAGAGAGGCCATCACCGCCTTAAGCCTCCAGGGTCGTCCCACCCCTTTTGTGGTTTATTGACATTGCGGTGGGGGCGGGGTCAAATTGGGATGCGGTGGACCCGCCAAATTGACGCAGGGATTGCAACGCATGGAGACCCAGTTCGCAGGGATCAGGACGGCCCGCTTCTCTTGTCTACAGCTGTCGTGAGCTTCATTCACGCTCTGACACGCCGAGCTGCTTGCACACAAAGCGAGGACGAAGGCACGCCGACCTGACTTATACGCACGCCATCACAGCCAAGAGATGGCCACTAATTTGCAGAAACGGAGAAGAGGTTGAAATAAGCAAGTAAGCCATCTTGGATTCAATCGTGTATCTCTTCTCCTTCTTTCACTTATTGGGAGTATCGATACGCGTAAGGTTTTGTTGTCTCACATGCTATTCGCTTCCTCTCATAAGTTACAATCGTTAATCACAAACGCAGAAATTGGGATGAGTATATAGCAGATAGAGAAACAAAGAAAGACCGTGATAAAAGCCTCTAAGTACCAAAGTAGCATAGAAGGTATTATACTATGTAGGATAGCATCTATCTCTAAGTAGGCAAATGTCCACATCTAGGACGCAATGACCAAGGCAGCAATGCTAGGGACCTCGAGAATAGCATTTTACAGCTCCTCTTCCACTGGCCTCTAATCCTCGACGAATAGTCTTTCGCACATGGCGAACCTCTGTTCTCAAAGGTGGATGGCAGGGCTGCCCCGGGCTCCGGGCCTGATAAACAGGAGCAGAGCACCATGAAAGCTGAAAAGAATAATAGGGAGAGGGAGAGAAGAAATGTATCGCCTATATCCATCAATTCAATAAACAGATGACAAAATCTATATTTAAACCCCTTCTTACTACTGAACTTCTTCACGACCATCTAATTGCTGGAAGCTTCGAAAACCTCGACCTTCTCTCTAATACCTGCGTTGGGTAAGAAAATAATATCCCGATACCTCTTTGACCTCGGGTCATCACGTAATCACCAATCGCATCGCCACCCACCTTGTCCACCCTCTTCCTTCCTCCGAAGCCGTCCGTCGCAAAAACCTCCAACCGCAAACCTCCAACCCACTCCCACCCACCAACGCCTCTCTTCCTGCGCGCCCGAAAAACAACACCCCATTCGAGTTTCCCACAGCCTCGAATCTCTCCAAACCTCAAACAAGATCACCACACCTCAACGACCTTGTAAACAACTCAACCCCAAGAAACCACTCTCCCACCCACCCATCCACAATGTCCGCCCTCACCCCCTCCGCCTCCGCCTCCTCACCACCCGCCGCACCCTCCCCTCACCCGCACATTCGCCTCCAAGCCCATGGCGCCCCCTTCCCCCGCGCCCCCGCGTCTCCCCGAAGCCCAACAAGCCGAGTTCGAGGCCCTCCTCCGCGCCGCCATGGAAGCCCCCGCCGACGCCTCCACCGCCGCCTCCGATGCCGCCGGCCAGCGCGCCCAGGACCCCTTTTTCCAAAACGCCAAGCCCGAGTTCGACGGCGACGTCAACCCCAAGACCGGCGAGGCGGGCGGGCCCAAGACGGAACCCCTCCGCTGGGGTTCCACCAGCGACTGGAGCTTCAACGGCAAGGTGACCGACTTCTAGTGCAGGCCGGCTCCCTACCTAGACTTCTCTTGAGGCTTCTGTCTTCCTCCCCTCCTCCCGGCTTCTAGAAGAAAAACCCAATTGGGAATCTTCATCATATTAAAGATCTCGACATGACGGCGGCTGCTAAGGGTTCCTCTCAAGCTCCGGCTGCGGGAACGGTCCAGCTCATATCAGCCACGAACAAACGAATCTCTCGGCTATACTTGGCGAGTCCTACGAAGATGCTGGCAAACGGCCCAGAGTTGCAGTTTGTCAAGTGAAGCGCGTATGCATAAGGGCAAGGCACGGCGCCTAGTTAGCCCTGAGGGAGGAGTTTGACGATCAAAACCACTGTAAAATTCAATCATTTAACGCATGTATCAAATTAGCAAATAGAACGCTTAATAGATCTCTCTTCGAAATCAAGATCACAAAGAGCGGGTATTCCACCTCTATATCGTTACAGGGACGCATAGACTATAAAAAGAAAATGCGCGACAAAGACAAGCAAACCGCGCGCACACACACACACACACACACATAACCAACCACACAGGCACCACCAGACCACAATGATATCACCGACCTTTACGCCTCCACCGCATCAGCACTGCGTTCTCCCTCTGTCTTCTCCACCTCCGCCATCTCCTCATCTCCGGCTTCTCCATTGAGAGCTGCATCCGTGGATTTGTCTCCCTTCTCTTTCGTAGCGTCGGTTGATTCGACCGGTCGGTTCTCCTTATCCACCTCACCGTCTCCATCTTTGCTGTGGCGCTCTTGCGCACGAGCCTTTCGCTCGCGACAGCGTCCGCCGGCGGGATGAGGACGCCGTTCTCAAGCTGAGAGCGCAGCTTGCGTATGACCTCCTTGCCATTTTCGAGATCAGCCGCGCCGTTTACGCCGTTGAATGTCGTGCGGACCTCTCGCATCGCCTTCCTCATCCGGTCGCGGCGCGCCTGACCTCGGAGCCTACTCTGGGCCCCGGCGCCGTTCTCCACCCACCGCACCCCGAGAATCATAAAGCTTAACCCGTCGTGCTCGACCGCGCGCTGCCCATCATCCGAGCGAGATGAGCTGCCAAACTGACGGGACTGTATCCCGAACCGCGTGGTACTGCCGTACTTCTGCAGCTTCGGCAGGATAAGGAGCGTGACGTGCATATCGCGGTCCGCCGGCACGTGTACGGGACCCGTCTTTGGTGGTGCGGACAGATAAGGAGCCTCGTTCGCTTCCTGACGAGCCTTGGCCTCGGCCTCCTTTTCCTTTTACGACGACTATCTTTCTCAACATGCCCATCATTAAAGATTCCGCGATCCAGATCGAGCATGTTGACGTCCACATCTTCAGGCCACTCGCCACGGATCCAGCCTCCATGGATGCACGCTGCGATCACGTCCGAGTCATCCGTGTACACCTCTGTCCCCCATACGGCACGGCGCGCCGTGACCTCCTCCCGGGCACTGGGCGTCAGGTGGATCCTAGCCACTTTAACAGTGATGGTGCAATTTTCTTGGTCGCGGATCCTGTCAAACGGTAGCGGTTTTGGCGTTGTAGAAAAGCCTCGGTGGGAGGGCACATTCGGCACCAGGCGGGAGGGCGTGAAGATGGGTTCGTAGAGTGTATCGCCTAGGTGATGTCTAGGTCGGTCCGCGACGGAATCAAGAACGGCCTTTGAGTTGATGATTTGTTTAGGCTTGGGTGGTAGAACGGGAACGGGACTAGGCGCGGGCTTTGACGTCGAGGCGGTCGGCCGCGGCCCATGGGGATGAAGCATCGCGCCATCCTTCGGCAAGGTGGGTGACTGGATGGGCGTGTTGCCCTTGCCGGCCTTGAAGGGTGGCCCAACAGGCTGCGGGGCGGTGCCGTCAGGCGTCTGGCCGTGATGGTGGTGGTGGTGATGGTGATGATGATGGCTACTGGGAAAGTTAGCTTGGACTGTATATAGTAACATACATAATGGACCAAAGGAGAAGAGAGAGGGGAGGGGTTTAGTTTTCGACTTTTGACATACTGATGGTGGTGGTGGTGGGGGAGCGTCTTGGGGCGCTTGGCCTTCCCACCGGGGGTTTGCCGTCCACTGCTATCATCTTCTCTCGGGTCCTCCTCCTTCAACTTTCTGCGTCTACCCCGGCTCCCCTCGCGCATCATCTTCGCTCCATCCGCAGGCGAATCGTGCGCTCCTGCGTCCGCATCATCGCGCCGCGACATCGAGTTGGAAAACGGAAGGGAGGGTGGGGCCGAGGTTACAGGGCTCGACACTCCTAAGCCACCAATACCGCCCAGACCCGAAAAGACACGTCCAAACTCGGACTTGATGCCCGGCTCTCCAGCGGGTCCATGAAGCTGAGGCTGCGCGCCTTGCACGGCTTGCGGCAAGGGGCTTACGCGCCCTTTCGTCCGGTTCATCTCCTGGATCGCGAGGTGATTGCGGTTCAGCATATGCTGGCCAGGAGGGTCCTCGTTCGATCGTGAACGCTGCGATTCAAAGGACCCAGACGATGGGTTGGGCGGACCGTATGGAGTGCTACGCGGTGCATCGTTCTCATGAGGCCGCCCTTGATGCCCGGGAGGCTGTTGATGCTGCGCTGTAGGAGGTGGCTGTTGTTGGGGCTGGATTACATTGACCCTCGGCCGCTCCGGGGATGCATCATACATAGGGTGTGGGCCGGGGTTGGCTTTGGGAGGGTGTTGCACGGCTGGCTGATGATGCGATTGCGGATGCGGTGGATAGCGATCAGGTGGTGGCTGTGGATATGCCTGGGATGGGTGACCACCGTATGGGGGTGCGGCAGAAGTCGGCGGGTAGTCTGGGTGTCTGGGGGATGGTGTCCGGGTGAGTCGTATGGAGGCCGCGCAGGGTCGTAGGCAGACTGGCGTTGCCAGTGATTGGGGTCGCGTGGATCTCGAGCGTCTCTAAGATCTCGTGGGTCTCGTGGATCCCGTGGGTCGCGGGCATCTCGCTGGTCCCTCGGATCTCTGTCTCTAGGATCTCTGTCCCTCGGGTCTCGCACATCCCGTTGATCTCGAGGGTCTCTATCGCGGGGATCTCGAGCGTCTCTCTGGTCCCTGGGGTCCCTGGGGTCTCTGTCACGGGGATCCCTAGAATCTCGGGGATCTCGCTCTCGGGGGTCTCGGGGGTCTCGGGTATCGCGCGGATCACGGGCGTCGGGATGGGGGACCATATCCGGGATGGCCTCGAGGGGGTACTCCGGGTGGCCAGGATGTGATCGTCCAGCATCTCCCGTAGACAGCGTGCGGTCGCGCCGTTCCCTTTCGCGCTGGTCCGCCTCGTGCTGTCTTTCCCGCTCTGCCCGATAAGGGTCGTCGTAACCTGGACGCAGCCCCGTGCGCTCTGGGTTATATTCGGCCGAGGCTGGAGGCCGTCGGTTAGGGTCCTCCCTGCGATTATATGGATCTTCGTGCGGCGGCGCCCGTGAGTGGTCGATCGGCGGTGGGTGGTGCATGCCGCCAAAAGATTTAGGCTGACTGCTGGGTCGCGGAGGGGGCCCATTCCCAGGCATCCTGGAGTCCCTACCCTGATCGTGCATCGGCGGAGGCGGTCGCTGATGGTATTGCGGAGTCCCGTAGCGCTGTAGCTCGGGGGTATAATGTCCTGGACCCTGGGGCGATGGCGCGGCACTTCCTCTTGGATCGTAAGGACGGGGATGGTCGGGGGTTTGGGGTCGTCGGAAAGGAGGGTAGTCTGCCGAGGCAGAATGCATCCTCGGGGACGCGTGTATCGAAGGCGCGTATGCGGCGCTGGAGGTTGAGGGCGTGCTCGAGGATGCAGGATAGTGTTGCGGTGGTGGTGGTGGCGGCGGTGGTGCGTGCGAATCCCTCGAATTTGACGGAGGCCCACCGAGCATAGACGATATCGACATGCTGCTCCCCGTACTGCCGGTCCTCGCGATAGAATTGAGCGACGGCAGCTCGCGACCAGAGGATGAAAAGGTGGAGGATTGTCTCGACGAGACTGCGGGCCGCGGTGGAGGTGGAAGGCCGTAATGGCCCATTTGGTGCGAGCCGGGCGCGGAAGGGGCTGCTGCTGCTGCTGCTGAGGCGGCGGAGGCTGTTGCCCCGGGGAGGCGAGCGGGGAGGAGGCATTCTGCGATGTATTGATGATGGCGCGGAAGCTATTGATGACGAGCTCTTGTGCCTGGCGTGGCTGGCGTGCGGCGGCAAATGCGGGAAACGGCTTCCCTGGGCCGAATCCGAATTAGCGCCGGGCTCTATGGAGTAGGCACGACCGACTGAAGGATAAAATGCGGGATCGGAAGGATGGCGTTGATGGTCGGGGAAGCGCGAGCCTTGAGGGGGAGCATGTGTGGCAGAATTCGATGATGAAGGATAGCTGGGGTTGAGATTTGCGGGAGAATTTGATGCTGTCGAGGATGCGCTTTGGGACAAATGATGCCGAGCGTAGGCGGAAGTGGGTCCGTTGTGGTTCTGCACTTCAAGTTGCGTCGAGTGGGTCTGGCTCGGATTCTGATTCGAGTAGGGAGAGCTGTTGTTGGGGTGGATGTGGTGGAGGCGGTTTTCGTTGGTCCATGGCTGCTAGCCCGGTACTGTCTTTGCTGGTGCTGGTATTTTTTCTTCCTCGCTGCCTTTCCCCGCCCCTGTATTATTCGAGCTAGCGATTAATCGTCCGGGCTTTCGACAACGAGCGTCGCAAAATACAAGGCGTGCACCGCGGCTTCACGTTTTGGAGCTGGGGAGGAAAAAAAAAAAAAAAAAGTTTGTGTCTTGTCTCAAATCAGACGATGTCGTAGAAACTTTAGCGTAGTGCAGAAAAAGGTCCGCGCGAACAAGCACTCATTCCAGCTCTCGATAGGTGTTTTTGTTTCCTGGGTTGTTCTTTCGTAGTTGGGCTAGGGAAAAGATGAAAAGAAGAAGGAAAGCTTGACGCGGTTAGAAGCCACCTCAAGTGCACGCCAAGCTTGGCTCGGGGAGGGAGATAATCGAGTGTCAAAAGGAGCGAGTGCCAGCGCCAAGTCGATCAGTGGTAAACGATTGGGGAGGAACCCGCCTTGGACATGCGCCGTGTGTCAATTTGAATGGTGGACTGTGACGTGGAGGCTGGTGGTCCCGAGGGTGCAGGGACGGCCAAAAGTACAAGTTACCTTGGACTGGTTCCTGAGTGGCTGCAGGATTCAGAGGCTTCGGCTGGTTTAGAGGAGGAGCACGAGGTCGGCGATGATCATCCCTCGCTTCAAATCCAGCAGGGTGTGAGAGAGAAAAGAGTGAGAGTTGCGAAAAAAGGTCGGAAATGGGAAAATAAGAGGATAAGATCTTGCGAGGATGAAAAAAAGGTAGAAAAGGATTAGGCTCCGATGAAGAGAAGGGAAAAGCGGCGCCGGTAGGAAATTACGATTAGAATTGTTTTGCGCTGGGTGCAAATTCAGATAGCCTGGGTCCGCTCAACTTCCAACCCATGGAAGAGCTGCGTGCATGGATGGAAAAGCGGGAAAAGCTTCACTCCCACCCAGCTCCGCGCACTGTCGCAAAAGCGCGTGGATCGAGAGACTTGCGGTCTGCGACACGAGACCCCGTTCAAAAATCCAGAGAAGAACGAGCGAGCAGTATTACGCTCTGAGTAGGTTCTCCCTCTTCGTTGTATTCTTCGAGGTATAAGCGCGATGTCGGGACAGCGTTGGTTCGCTTCGTGGTTCGGATCGAGGTTCGAGGATTCGTGATTTCCTTGCGCTCGCTTGGGGCGGTGTTGTGCTGGGGGTTTCTTGCGTTCAAGGAAAGAGAGGGTTCAGTCTCTCTCTGGGCTGCACACGGTCCCCAGTGCGTCCAGGGCTCCCTTGTTTTGTGACCCTTGTCACTTTCGTCAGGCGGGAAACAAAAAAAAGCTGCCTTTGGTGATGCGCAAAAGCAACCAACGGCGAAAAGTTGGCAAGAAGTGATCGATGGTGATGGATGACGATGCGCGCCCGATGTTTCCTGCGCAGAGTAGGAGGTCGCGAACTTGCCAAGGAGAACTGGAAGAAATGGAAGGGGGGAGGGAAAAGAGAAATCTACGTTGATTCTTCCCGAACGCACGCTGCTAGGGTGGTGGTCGAGAAATCTCGGCTGTAATACAACAAAGAGGTCCCCCGACCCAAAACCAGCTCTCGTGCGAACCGGCTATGATAGGACGGCATCCGTCCAACGGAGCTGTCCCTGAAATGGGACATCCAGCGAGGCGAGCTGTTTACCTGGCGGTGCCTGAATCCCGAATAGGTGTGGTGCATTTCCCCACCGGCGCTTTTCTCCATCTTTCAGGCCCTCCTTCTTTCCTTCCTTCTTTTTTTCAGTTGGAGTTGGGGGTTGGACTGGATGCCGCAGCTTCCCTCCGAGCTTGTCCCGCTGCTGATTGGATTGTCACTTCCCGCAATAACCCCACCCTTTTCCTGCATCGGTTTTCCATGAACCGACCGCTCTTTCCACTCGCCAATACTACTGACTGACGTGCGGGACTTCTTTCAATGCTGGCAACCGCAATGCAATGCAGTCTGAGTACTTCGTACATGTAGCCGGTATTTTTGAAGATGGATTTTCCCATCCACAGAGGTTCAGTGACTCTCATAGACGAAGACCTCATCTCTCGGTCTCGGACTGTTCCTGCCTTCAAAATGGAGAGAATCAGGGCAAACTTGTAGAAGCCAGGGCTCCTCGGCATGTGACGAACAGCATCGCCCCAGCCGGCTCCATCACAACGACCATTAACTCGACTACGTTGAAACATCTACACTATGGAGACATCGAGGCATCGAGGCGTCTCCACCCTCATGTTCAAGCGCTAGCCGAGAGTGTTAGAGCGCAGTCAATAATCCGCTCTTGTCACCTTGTCCGGTCTCGTCGACCTTCTTAGTTCCACCCTACGCCATACAAGGGCCAGCCATCGATGCGCTCTCAGCCCAATAATCGACGGCCATCGCAGTGAGTACCTCAAAAGGCCGAAGAAGATCGGCAGAGGACAGCTACGGCAGGCAGGGATGACCTTTCGTACATCCAGCCCTGGGGAGTTGGGGTTGGGGGTAGATTCAATAATGCGCCTAATATTCTCGACGAGGCAGCGGGGTAATAAGGTACACCCTGCATAACGGAAAATCTGCACCCATCCAAGCAGAGGATTCCAGCATCATCGTCTTACTTGCCGCCCTTCAGCATCGCGTTCTTGGTACTCCCGCCCACGCCGCGAAGCAAAAATGAGATAACCTCAAAATAGTAGAAAAATAACCAGTGGGTATTGAATATTGTATCTAGTCGACCATTTCTCCCTTGTCTATACAGTCTGAAGTCGAATGAGCTCCTCATAGCCGCCCAGCGGCCTACATCCTTTACTAGCACCTTTGGCCAAATAAGTCCCTCCACTCGCACCGTGACCCAACACATCGTCAAAGTAAAACCAGTCAAAAAGTCATTAGAAAACCTCTCCTTCAAATCCGCCAGTGCCCACCCGTGAAACCGCCCAATGTTAGTCAGCGTCCTCTTGAACTCGGCAATCTCGTCCTTGTACACGTCCGCCCGGAGCGTCTCCGCCCACGGTTTCCCGTCCACGCGGAACTCCTTCCACTGCTTGGCCCAGTGCGGCCGCGTCCGGAGCTTCCGGCCCTCGGAGTCGGTCAGCGCCATCCACCCGTCGAGCACCTCCTGCGCGTACCATACCCAGTCCTCCTTGGCCGAGTACAGCGTCAGGATCTCGATGGCGCACGTCCCGAGGTGGTTGCCCCTCTGCGGCGCCATGACGACGTCGCTGCTGCCCATGATGCGCATCTCGAGCGGCATGCGCTGCGGACACGTGTCGCTGTGCTCGTAGCACTTGAGGATGGCATCCCACCACGCCTTTTGCACAATGGCCCAGTCCGGCTTCGTCGGGTCCGCCTTGGCGGGCACCAGCGGGATCGAGACTTCGAGGTTGAGCACCCGCACGTTTTGGATGCCCCGCTGGAAGTGGAGGGCGTCGTTGAGGTACGTCTTGACTCGCTTCTCCGGCAGCGCAAACTTGGCCGCCCTCCCGATGAGGGTTGTTGCCGCTTCGTTGAGACCCAGCTTGTCGATGAAGTCGCGGAGGATAGGTGCCGACTGCAATACGTTGAGCGCAAACTGCGTCACAAAGGAAAAGAAAATGGCCCCTTCGTTGGGATAGTCTTCGACCCCGTCTTCGTCCGTCGTGTGATCCCAGCAGTTCACCCAGATCGTGTCGGAAAAGGGGAACCAAAACCATTCATTGTAGTAATCCCTCGTTGCGTGCCGCTCAAAGGCCTCCTGGTCATGCTTCCTCTCCTCGGCCGTCAGCTCTAGTCGCAGCGCCGGTGGGATGTCCTCTAAGCTCATCCCAGGGGGCGGAGGAATCGCCCGGATGGTTGGAACGTGCTTCGCCTCGAGAATGGCATAGGTCATTGGCGCAAATTCGAGAGTCAAGTGCGTAATCACGCCCATTAATCCAAAGCACCCGCTTGCTACCCGGAGGTGCTCCGGCTCGTCGACCACGCGCAGCTCGCCGTTGGCGTCGACGTACTCTACCTTTCTCACGAGGTCGCTCAACGTCTGCTGCCCGATCCCCGAGCCGTGGCAGATGGGAGCATTGATGCCGCCCATGGTCATCTCCACCATGATGGTATTGACGGGAAGGGTATACCGATTGCTCGCGACGCACCATCGCCGCAGCCGTTCGTTGGTCACGGCCACGCCGACGCGCACAAGCGTATTTCCCTTCTTTCGGGGTTCCCGAAACGACCTCGATAGACTCAAGCTCGGTGGGTGCCCTTTGCGGGATAAAACTAAACGCAGTCGTGTTGGGGATGGCGGTTGCCTCGTGCAGCCCCAGGAGAGAAATGAGAATTTGGCCGTTGCGGCCAAAGACAGGAGCCCAAGAATGACCTGTCCAACGGGCCCATGACGTGTCTCGTCAGTAACAGTGAACTTGCGCTTGGACGAGTCAAGAATTTTGTCGCAACTTACGGAAACCCGCGCAGCGGACGCCCATCGAGCGGCTCTTTGCGTATCGAACTATTCTCTGTACACCAGCCACAGTCGAAGGAATGCACGTGTACACGGGTGTATACTGCTCGGTGAGGCCCCAATTGTGAAACTCGGTATCTTTGTAGACCTAAGTAATACGGATGGCGCAGCGCATCAGTTTCCCGAAAAAGTTTTCCCTTTGTCTCTAGGCCAGGTAACTTACGAGAACCTCGTCCGGATAAAGCTCCGTCGTCACCGCTGCCGTGAGCCGCCCGCAATGGAAAAGCGCCGCCAACCCCCACAAACTCATACAGGGGCCCGTCCTCGCCTCGAACTCCTCGGCGCTCAACCCAGCGACGTGCACGAACCCGCCCGAGCCCACGCGGGCCAGGAGCCGCCGGCACCCTTTTACCCCGGAGCATGTCGCGCAGGTGCTCTCGCACGCCCAGGCTCATGGTGTGCTCGAAGCCGACGCCGCACTCGTCCGGCGTGGCGGCGTCATCGTCGACGAAACGGGCCACGCGCTCGCGCTCGGAGCCCTCGAGCTTGGCGAGCAGCGAGCCGTAGGTGGCGTCGCGGGGCGCATCGCGGAAGACGCGTAGGAGGCGACGGTGGAACTCGACGCGGCGGAGATCGACCTCGTCGTCTAGGTAGTCGTCGAGGAGGTCCTTGAGGCCGGGTAGGGAAGCCCTGACCTCGCGGTTCTCGGCTAGGGCGTCGGAGAGACGCTGCAGGATCTGGTCGGTCGTCAAGAACCACGCCGACTGGGATCCGACCGGGATGGTGGTTTCCGAATTTGCACTTGAGTCTGTCATCTCTGCAACTCAATGATGGGGTGCTCTAGATCTAGTGGAGGGGAGAAACACTTCGCAGTAACAGATATAATTCAATCTCTCCCGCAAGCCAGTTCGGGGATCATCGAAGAGATCCCTCATCTTTTGTATCCGCGTGCACCGCTCATGTTCTCTATTCCTCAGCTGGACCTCGGTAGATATCATCACGATCTATCTGGCCTGAGGAAGCAGATCAGTCGGTTTTTCAGTCTCACATGCAGGTCCGTATATAGCACAATGCACGACCTGCCCTCCCTCAAGAATGAAATCGTTGCTTTTATTCGCACAATTCACGAGGTGGTATCCAAACCACCCACTCTTGATAGTCCGCCGAGCTCGAAACGTTATTCTTACTCGCTACTTTTCCGAGGCCAGGAACGGCTGAAGGAACGAGGCACTAGCCACCATGTCGAACATCGTGCGGGTTTGGCCGAACCGTGGGGCTTCTTCCCACTCCGGCGTTCTCTCGCATCTCACGTCAGCTGCTCCGCCCAGTGACATTCGCCGGCGATGCGACGGAAAATCAAAGGCCTCCTCCTTTTGCTGGGTTGCTATACGGGATGAGATTGACAATTGATATGGCTGCTTACACTTTTTGGCAGCCAAAATACCATTCTGTCGTTTGCTCCGCCATCAAGGAAAGATAGAGAAACCATGGCCAATCGGTGGCGGTGTCTTTTGGTCGTCAATCGTGATCGCACTTCATCCAGTCCGGACAAGACCCTGTCTGCGGCATACCCCTACGCTGGCGCAGGTACCCCTTGATCTAATGGACGTCTCTGCAATAGTTCCCAAAGGTCCCGGAGGCTCTCTGAACGTGGCGTATGTCAGCCCTACATGCGCACAACGGGGATTCCATTGATGGATGGAGCTTTTCGATGACTTATACACGCCGCGTCCACGACGTGCAGGTTTTCACCTGATCTAAAGTCTTTATCTGATCCCCCATTAGAGCCGCTGCCGCCATCACCTCCGAGAAGAAATCGATCGCTTTGAGGCGGCCAGACAGTTTACCAACCTTCCCCGCTACTTTCCCCTCCCCTTTCGCCCTTTACGCACACTATCAGGAAATAAAAAATTAGAGGCAATTAGACAAGACAAATAAGAAGAGAAGAGATGGAAAGCCAAGAGCTCAATGCACACTATCTAGTTGCCAAGATATCAAGGCTACTTGTTCCGTAGATCACAGAGAAGAAAAAGAGAGCGAGCAACTCCCGAGAATGCTGTGGGGAGAGAGATGGTTTCTTCTCTGGGTTCTTTCGGAGTTTGGCCTCCTTAGAACGTAGACTGAGGTGTGTGTTTTCTCCCCCAGCCGAATAGCCGTCAGTCATTATGACCCGCATCTTGGCAATCAATATCGTGGGCTTGGCTCCGCCTACGCGTGTTCTCCTCCGCCCAAGGGAGACACGGAAAAGGCGACCTCTCGGGACTTGTCAAGATGTGGAGACTTGGTGACGGCGACCGGCCTGCAGAAAAACGCAACCCAAGCGCGGGGATGGGGGAGGGAGGAGGGAGGCTACCAAAAGGAAGGCGATAAATTCCTCACGAGAACAAAGGACTGGAAACGAGGCCGATCAGGATGAGAAAGAGCTTCTCCTACCGAGGCCTCTTTCACCGTCGATGCAGGCTGACTCGTTTGACAAGGTCCACAACGGAGCGTACAAACAATTGCCCTAGATCCATAGATCCATAAATCCATAGATGTCTCTTGCGAAAGGGGTCGCGGAAGCAGACTAAGCCTGGGCGAGCGGGAGGAGGGTCGTGTGGCCTCTGGTCGTGTGCGCCGTGTTTTCTTGTCGGCCAAAAGATATCGAGCCCTCCCCCATTGCTCCGGTTATTCACAGGATGAGGACGGAATCCTACCCGAACCCCATACTCAAATCATTTGTTTTCGCCCTCTCTCCCTTCCTCTGCCCTAATACTAAATACCCCTGGCCTATTCGCCGCGAATGCGTGCGTACTTGCCAGACAACACGGGACAGGACCATCTGAAGTACCATGTACTACTTTCCTGTTGACGAACCCTATAACACCACATCATATTGCCTTTTATCCAGCAGCGCAATGGGCACGATCGCCTCCAGGGAAATTGAAAAAGAAGAGAAAATAAAAAAGAATTAGCGCGTTGGAGGCACCGTGAAAAAGGGGGTGGCCTTGTTGCTAAAAATTGCCAACCGGCACTCATCCACGAGCGGCGACTCCTCGATAGATTGTCTCGCTGTCACGGGGTTCGCCCCTTTATACACCCCCAGCACACCAACACCCGCGCGAGTATCTCAGAGAGGAAGCGAGAGCAAACTAGGGCCTCGAGTCGAGGGACCAGATAAGTGGATTGATGGGGTCGATGCACTTTGGCGGTGCACGCTGGGAGTTCTGGATATAGGCATCAGGCTCATTTGTTCCTGCACACCCTCATTTACTATTCTGGACCAGCTCCTCCCCTTTCTTTCTCCCTCCCCCGCCGTCGCAAGGGTGAGCCAGACAAACCCTTTGATCGTCCAACTGGCGATTGGTTTCGCTTGGGGAACCACTTCGTCTCCCGTACCTGATGCAGCCCATCTTTCTTTGGACCTGAAGCCCCTTCCCCTCCTTTCCCCCTTCTTCCCCCTTCTTCTCCCTTGTGTGTGTGTGTGTAGTGTGCCCGAGAAAAGCACGGGGGCGGCTAGGTCCTATACCACGAGATACAATGATGCTTGAAATAGCATCAAAGTTGAGGCAAGGGGAAGAGGAGAACCCGGATTCTATCTCCTGGCCGGTCACACCTACACCAATTGATGGCTAAGAATGGCCGTCTCCTTCCCTTTGGAACCCCTCCCTTTTAGATCTTTTCGTTTCCTATAGTCTTTATATTTGTTTTCATTGGGTTGTTTTCTTGGACCGTGATAACAACGGCATCCTGATGCATTGCGGTTGCCAAAGCCTCACAATGTCACTAGTCCTGTTCAACGACGTCAACATATCAAAGATCTAAACCATGCATCTTCTCCACGTTACCCCAGATTTTTTGGGACCAAAGTCACCCTCGGCCTTGGCAGGCTGCCAAAACAAAACGCGGGCAGCAGCCCCATCCCATGACCACGACCATGACAACGTTTCGTTTGGGCTGACTTGGACCATCTGGGTCTGGTTCCATCCCGTCCTGCTGTGAAGTGAACCGTGTCCGCCCCGTCTGGTCTCACCAGAACATGGGTCCGCCCATGGGAAAGGGAGCGAGCAACTGCCACCTCCCTCCCTCTCTTTTCCCTGTTCCTCCCTGTCTCTCTCCTCCCCCGCCCTCCCGCTGAACCAATGGCCGATTCGAGTTTTCAAAGCATACGTCTCTTGGGGCTTGTGGAGAAGGTGCCAAATGGTGCCAATGGGAAGATTTGCGGAGATATTCGGGCTCGTGGGCAGATGCCAATTACTAGTGGATGTGACTTTGGGCCGTGGCACTCGAACAACATACTCGGGCAAATAACACCTTTCAGCCGACAGGACTTTCTCTTATTAGAAACTCCCTCCCGACCATCCAAAGCTAAATAAAGAGGAAGTTTTGTCTCAATCAAAACCAACATATCCGTCTCGAGACGGAGGTGAACCAAGGAAATATCGTCGTTTGCAACAGCCATCTCCACCTCACCTTTCGAAAGTCAATCCGGGCCTCTTTTCTGCGACTCCAATCCTCGAGAACCCGCATGCTTGGGCAAGCGTGGTCCGAATTGTGTGGCGGCTCTGTGGATGCACGTTGTGTGATGTAAATTTAAATGGAAAGAGAGACGGCGTAATTAAAAATGGTGTGGGAATGTGACCAACGGTGTCGAACCTCGCCCGACCGACGCCTCCAATGCAATCAAGGTAATATATGAGATAGACAACTCGTCAGGGATTCTTCCTCGTCTTCTCGTCTTGGCGTCTTTCCTTTTCCCTTTTCATTTTCGCGACCAGTCCAGCATCTTCTCCCTCAGTGTTCTCTTTGGTTCCCCCCGCAACTTTCAATTCCCTCTCATCCATCATCCCTCCAACTCTCCACCCCCTTCCCTTCCCTTACCCTCTCCGCGCCGACCAGATCTGGGACAACACAAAGGAGGGGCCCATGCTACCGTAGTCTTGGATTATCTCGGTCGAACAGAAGATCCTCGTCTCACGTAGAAGCAGGTTCATAATGTTGCGACGCTCCCAAGTCAGATGTAACAGAAATGAGGGGAATAGATTGAAGCCAACGAGCGCAAGGCCTGGCCCGAGCCTTCATCGCACTTTTTTTTTTTTTTTTCGAGTCTCGTCAACTCAAGATCTTCAAAGTACTTCGTGCACTCGGCTCCAAGTATCTGCTCCCGCATTGCATGGTGAAGAGCGACCTGAAGGCTGAGATGCTGCTTCTCCCACCCGTGGTGGTTCCCGCATGTCACAACGTAAAGACGGAGAGAGAACTTCGGGACTTGTTCTCGAAGAACGGACCTTGCTGCGGCTGCTTCTTTCAGCGAGGAGTACAGGCGCCTATGTGTACATTAAATGAATTGAGCATGATATAAAGACTCTACATGTATACTTCTAGGATATTTGGGTTTGTTCCCTTGGTGCCGTTCTGGCAGCAACTCTAAGTGGGGGCTTTCTGGAGCTCGGCTGGTCGTGAATATTACTTACACCGGCGCAGAGTCTATCCCTGCGCTCATCCCCGGACGATACGTTCGTGAAGGTGAATTAAGACAGAACTCTGAACTTGCATGTATGCATGTTCGCATATGTATCTGGCTTTTTCGCCACTGAGAGGCGGGAAGATGGGACGAGAAGACGCGTGACATCGACCACCACGACCTTTACCACCCTTCAGTTCCCTTTAGTACCACGATCTACGTATGGCGGCCGTCGAGAGAAGCAAACGAGAGCGAGAGGTAGCCATGGTCTCGGTCCAAACCCGGTTCAGTACGTTGACACAAGCATGCAGGTTCTCCATCTCCAATGTGCCCTCCCCCAATACAAAGTCCTTGAATCGTGATTCGATGGGATGGCGGAAAGAGGGGGAGAGGGGAAAGTATAGAGATATTAAAAGAAGAGAAATTAGAGAAGGGAAACGGATATAGAGGATGGATATACGGCTTTAGCGGCAATGGGGTGGTGGTATCGCCTCGACGTCAGGTTGGTGATGTTTCGCCTGATACAGTACACCCTGTGCAATTCGTGGTAAGGAACAGAGCAGATCAACGTGAACAACGAACAAGGAACCCCCGAGAGACTTACGGAAGACTGGGTCGAATAACTCTAGATGGCACACACCCCGACAAGCCCAAGCCCAAGCCTCCTCTTCCCTTTCCCCACAATACGTGGAGATGCCATCGTCTCCGACGGTAAACAAGTGCAATTAGGACAAAGTAAGGGAAACAGATGGGCCAAGACAAGTAATTATACGGAACATGCTATCCATTGGCATCGCCCGAATTACACACAGAGGTTCCACACGTTGGCCGAATCAAGTTGGATGCAAGTCGCGCTGAACCACTATTCGCGGCGATACCGCTCAAGTGGAGTTGTACTGGCGAAGCAAGGCCATTGATCTTCCATGTTTAGATTGGATCCCTCTCTCTCTCTCTCCATAGTTGCCGCATACCCCCAGATTCTGCCAGGGAACCTTCATTGACGGAACCCCAATGAGGCTCTCCAACCCGATCAGCCGAGATCCCAAGGGGCCCACCGCCGTCAATATCTCCATGCGCTGCCGATTGGGTCTTTCCCCAATCCGACTTGTTTCTGAACGGGCCAACTTTTTTCCCCTTTCGCCCTCCCCTCCCCAGCTTGCGCCTTTTCTTCTCCCTCTTTTTTCTCTTTCTTTTTTCATTTTCCTTTTCTTTTTCTTTTCGTCATGTTCCCCACGGGACGTGTGGAGTAACTTGTTCTTTGCGCCGAGCCTGAGCGCGGGGTTGTTTTCCGTCTTTCAATATCACCTTTAATATGGCATTTCATTCTGATGCTCCATCTTCCCACTCGTATTAGCCGGCATTCTTCGAGCTTAGAGAGAGAAAACGAAAAAAACGTCAGGCGGACAGCGGAAGCCCCTACCCGACCCAGGCCTACGAAGCCATTCTCAGCCGTTTTCTTTCTCTTTCTCTTTTTGTTTTCCTGTTCTTTCTTTTTCCCATTGTGTCCCATTTTCCTTTTCTATTGTCCCTCTTCTTTCCACTCTCTACGCAATCTCGAGTACGTATCTTTGTATTCCCCTCATTTAGGGGGATGGCGGTACGGTACGCGCTATCATGAGCTTGCCTCCGAGTCCCATCGTGAGCCGGCTCACGGGGACCGTCCATATTAACGCCCCCGTCACTCATATCCATTTGTAGCCTCGTAGCATGGTTCCTCTCACCGTTCCTAGCCTACCTCCTAATAGCTCTACCCATCTGCAAGACAACCCACCCCGTACACGCCTCCCACACACACACACACACACACTCACACCCCCTTATTTTGGGAATGTGTCTTTTTTGGTCCGTGGATATGGGACTCCACGCCCTGGGCCCCCAGTGTGTTCCTCGCTCCTCCCACCCCATTCCCATTTACCTTTTCCACACGCGGCGCGGCATGATGCGTAATTGTAGATGGCGACTGGGATGTGGGAAGGAGGAACCCGTTCTCTGAGGCTTTCTGGAAAGGAAAAATCGGCTAAAAGAGCTCCGAGATTGCGCCCATGCCAGCAGCGGCTCAAGAGTACAAAAAGAATCGAGGAACCTGGATCTCGAGCTCCCCTGCTCGTGGGGATCGCTCAAAGTTTCGTTTCTCTAAGAAGGAAGACAGATAAAGCAAAAGCAAAAGGGGAGAAAGAAAAGATCCACGAACCTTCCCTTTTTCCACTTCTTCTTAGAGAAACACAGCTGCCCTCAAGAGGTTGGGATCCTGCCACGCTCCTCAACTCCCTTCCATGACCCAGACGCACCTGTTCTAACTCGCGCTTCAGAAGCCGCTCCTCTGCCGACACGAGACAGACAGGGTCCCTCTCAGCTGTTTGTCGTATCTCGCTGCTCCTTCGTCGAACGGGTGCCGCCCTTTTCTCGCAAAGAGATTCTCTCCGTCTCCGCCCATACCCTACCTCACCGACAACTTCCGCCTGTCTCGAAAACACTCTCCTCCTCGGCTTTCCCCCAAGTAAGACAAATCAGCAAGATGAAGTCATTTTTGGCGCTTCCGGCCCTCCTCGGCCTCGCCGTCGCCTTCCCGACCGCTTCTGAGGATACCCATGCCATCCAAAAGCGTCAGGCAACCCTGACCCAGTGGTGCAGCCCTACCACGAGCCTGTGCTATAACCAATACACGACCGGCGGCGCCTCCGCCTTCAGAATAGCCATCTCCGACTCCTCGACCGTCAACGACTTCGACATTGCCGTGCAGTTGATCGCGCCTATGGGCCAAGGCTGGGTTGGCCTTTCGTGGGGTGGCAGCATGTCCCAGGCACCTCTGACCGTCGCCTGGCCAAATGGACAGGACGTGACCCTTTCTTCTCGATGGGCAGAGTGAGTCACCCTTCTTCTCTTTCTTACCTATTTTCTTGTTGTCCCTGTCGTTTTCCATCCATACTCGTTGTTGTGCTGCACGGGGTTCTGGATAACGCCGCATGGTGAATCACCCCCTGGCTATTGACGCCGCGCTCGCCCCGGAGAGATCAAAATTCGGGCCAATGCCAGTCTCAGGCGGCTAGGCAGATCTAGAAAGTTTCGACATGGCTACCAGTGGAGCTATAACCCTCACTTTTGGGCGCGGCGAAGCTGTGTGTGCCACTTGGAATATGTTCAGACACACAATTTCTAGCGGCGAGTGGCAACGGCAAGACGAGAGCTTCCGCTAACTCTTCTCGCGTGAAAAATAGCGGCCATCAAAAGCCCATCGTGTATCAGGCCGCCACCTACGTCGTCCTCGCCGACACGGGCACCAACGGCACGCACTACACCCTGAGCGTCGCGTGCAAGGGCTGCAGCAGCTGGGTCCGCCCGTCCGGCACCAAGGTCCTCGCCTCGAACGGCGGCGTCCGCCTCGCCTGGGCCCAAAACACCCAGGCCGCCACCGTCGCGCAGCCCGCCAACCCTGCTTCCGACTTCAACTACCACCACTACCACGGCTACTTCGATGCCAGCTTCCAGGACTCCAAGGTCCCCGCGGCCCAGTTCTCCGCCGCCCTCGCCATGACCAAGCCCGGTGTTAACACCGCCGCCGCCGCGACTGCGGTGCCTGAGCCCGACGTCGCCGCGCCCGTGCCATCTTCTTAGACGATATTGCCTTTTTTTTCCTTTTAGGCCTCGCTTGCTCACGGAGATCCGGTGTTCACAGTCAATGTGGCTTGGGCTTGGGTGAGCGGTTTCGCAGCAAGATCACGAAACAGAAAACAAGGGAAGATACCCTGTACAATAATACCTAGAAAAGAATGAGGGGGCATTTTGCAACGGAGGAATCGCGGGTTGCATGGAGGCAAAGGGAGGGAGGGGATGGGGGCAGACATTGTTAAGGCATTGTGATGGTGGCCTCTGGCCCAATGCCGGTGTGTGCTGGGGCTTGTGCGTGCAGTTGTTGAGCGTCTTCATAGAACGGCAAAGCTCATGATGCCATTGTCCATATTGTTATCGAGATTCCATCTTTTTCTACACAATTTCCAAATTCATGGCAATTGCCTTGTTGCCTATTGGGAAGACTTCCCCACTCTTCTTCTTCTCTTTTTGTGCTCAAGGGACTGCCTTCGCTTTGTGGCTGCGCGGGTGGCTTCTGGCAAGTGCTTGACAACTTTCAGAGAGACCTCACCCAAGCATCTGGGCGGTGATAAGTTGGCTTGTGGCCAGCGATGGCATACTTATGCCGATGGTAATATTGCCTTTGGCGAGTAGAGAGCCAAGAGAAGGGTGAATTAAACTCAGGTGCCAAGCAGGAGAGATAGCTGGCTGTTATTTGTTTGCCTGATGAAGTCCCCATCCTCGTCGTTTTATGCACAAGAGGCTACAAATGGCATTCATGGGTCTTTTTAAACAAACATATGGTTAACGAGAGCTTTGCACCGGACAAGATGAGGAAGGTGAGGGGAGAGGGGCTGGGCTGTCCCTCACAAATCCATTATCCCCGCCTTCAACGGGAAATCTTGCGAAATGCGGACAACGCGGCGGGCGGGAGAATTGCACGCCAAGACCCCAATTGAAAGCTCCCTATTCTTATTATTTTCAGAATTAGGTTAATTTTCAGGACACATAAGATATTTGTGGGGTGTGTTCAATTTTGGAGGCGATATTTTTGACCAAAAGTCCAAATGCTGCATTGCTGCCGTGTGACAGGAGGTTCGATGCGGACATGGCCTGCAACGCTTTATTGGTAGGTGGGTGGCTTGTGGGAAGTAGGCAATGGGACAACGGGAGGCGAGAGTGATTGGAAATCGGCATGTGAGAATCGTCGTCGTTAGTTCCCTTTCCGTCCTCAGCACAACAAGCTACAGAGAGCCGCCGGTCCGAAGCATCTCTTGATGCGTCGAGTGGCGCGAGATGGCCTCGAGATGAGGAAGAGGACGAGGGAGGCTAACAGGCCTAGCCCCTGAACTAACGATGACAGGCCTTTGGTGAACGGATGATTCGGTGACGTACAAGACCAGGGTCTCGCAGCCATAATTTTCCCTAGCGTCGGCGGGTGTTGGGAGGCAGCGATGGCTCTTGATCCCAATCCTCCCTTGGTCCAGGTGCGGAAGCGAAGGTAATACATCTGATTGGAGAAGAGGACAGGAAGAGAGAGAAAACAAGTGGTATTGGGCAAGAGAGGGGGTTTCCCGTTCCCCACCCCTAAACCCGACACTTTGTGTCCGCTCCGCACGCCACACCCTGGCTGGGGCCGGTGTCGGGATGGAGATCAATGATGGAGGGCCAACTATTTGGTTTAGTCTGACCAACTCGAAAGCCCTGATTGCTTCCTCCCCGCCCATCCGCCGAAGGGCCACAGCGACGCTCGTCAGGGAGCCATGCCGCGAACCCGCTGTATTATTAGACTGCCGACCAAGCTGCATTATTCATCAGGCCCAATTCCATGCTTCTCAATCCTATTGAATAGCTCGTCTGTGAGGGGCCAGGCCAGCCATCTGCCAGTTGCACGCTAGGCGGTGTGCCGTCCGTCTTGAGGCCTGGCCCACGCAACCCTGCATCGAAAACCACACCTGTCCGTGCAGAATTACGCGAGAGCTGGTCTAGAATCCGTGCTTACCCTCCTCGCGTAGGACTCAGCGCCATGGCTGCGAACGTCGTTCGATTTGCCCTGCGCTTTCGGATGCCTGGTAGTAGAGGCTGCGGATTAATGGCGAGGAAAGCGGTGGGTGGAGCGGGGGATGACGGAGAGAAACTGGAAAGCGAAGGGAAAATCATCGATGGTGAGTTTTTGATTATGACGCGGGGTGCGTTGCATCCTCATGGGAGAACTCTCAGAGACCAGTTCCGAATCGAACCGAACCGAGGAATGGACACCCAAAGTTCAATCTCCCCTCCCTTTCATATTTCCTGTTCCCTTTCTTCCCCCACTCCCCTCTTTCACAAGGCCGAGACTCGGGGTTTCATAATCGGCCAGAAAGTGTGGGGGACGAAAGGGTATTCTCGCACATTTCCCGAAAAACAAATGTGGTCTAGTGCTTCGACACGAGGTTAGGCACGGCAATTTCTTTTGGCGTCCTTGATGAGAGATGAATCAGGAGATGTCTGCCTGACAAGCTTGACATGCCTGGCAGGTCTGACGTCTCGAGCAATTTCCCACTCCGCTTGGGGGACTTTCCAGCGCCGCCCTCAACTTGAAGAGAAGGTGAAGTGCTCGTGGTCGTAAAGGTCCGGAGAATTTGTCGGGGGCGGTCTGAGGATCTCGCCACTCTCACCGCCCCAACCAGCATTTCCTGTGGGCTGGGCTGGAAGTCCGGGGTCCCGACAAGGAGTTTAATTATAAAATACGAATGGTCGCGTTCCACCACACAAGGGCACACATGCCTGATGCCTGGTGGATGCAAACTTGCTGCAGCTGGATAAGAAGCCGTTGCGAGAAAAAAAGATTACTGTACTTTATTGGTAAGTGATGATGTCAGGCTCATCAGTCGCGCTTCGCGCTTGCCTAGTTCGCGGAGGGACAGAAGAAGGCCCCTTCCTTTGTTTTTCTCATTTTAGTATTACGAAAAGAAAGAAAGAAAGAAAGAAAGAAAGAAAGAAAGAAAGAAAGAAAATAAGAAACCCTTTGTTCGAGCTCGGGATGGAGGAAAGTCGCGAGTGGCGAGCGCGAAAGGGCCCCCAGTTAGGGAAGGAGAGTGGAACTCGAAGAAGCCGAGTTAAAACATCGATCAAGCCATGGGTGGTGCCATTTTGCCCCGTCTCGGTTCAAGGCTAGCTTCATTGTGTCTCTCTCGAGGGAAGCAGTGGAACCTTTGGAAGATGAGCAAACGAGATCGGTGGGCCAGATTGCAAGTGGTGCCAAACTTTTTTCTTCTCTCTCAGCGAGCTAGTTTCGTTTTCCCTACCCCGCTAAAGAGACTGCTCGGATCGGCATCCCGAGTCGCCCGTCGTCCTCGCGCTTGTCCGGCGCGCCCGTGGGGATGTGCAAGAACTAAATGAACAGGTTGGTGATTTCCAAGCATCGATCAACCCTTCCTCCTCTTCCTCCGCTTCCCTCCCCGTCTTGCAAACCCTCTAGCGGGCGACTCCAGGATTCCATGCAAGTGCTCCGAGGGTCGGAAGGACGGAATGCAGGCACTCTGCAGGCTGCGCTGCGTGGGAAGGGTGTGCGTCCCGCTGGAGAAGGGGTGAAGGGGTGAAAGGGTGCTGTGCTGTGCTTTGGGGGTGGAAAATGTTGGTAAAACTTGGTGGCCTAGCGTCAGATGCAAAAGCCCTGAGCTGGCGCTGGGATCCCCGTAGGCTCCGTGCACCGGCGCCCTTCCAGTTCCTGCTTAGCTCTTGTGCCTGTTGCCCCAATCGAGTGGAGCTCAACCCCCCAAAACGAAGCTGACCAATACCAAGCCTGCTTTTGTCTTGATAATGTTGCCGCACAAAGATGCTGAAGATGATATTACTCAATTTTTTGTTCCTATTCCTCCCGATCATCCTTCGCTTGGCTCGGCTTGACACTTCCACACTCAAGATCTTCAAAGTTGATATCAAGCTCCCCTTCCCCTCCTCTCAAGAACTTTGTTTCCTCCTTTTTCTTCTTTCCCTTTCTCCAGTTCAGTCTGCGTCTCGAACTCGATTCCAATTCCTCTCCAACGTATTCCAGCCGACCCAAAATAGAAGAAAATTTTCAGTCCTTGCACCAAAACAGTACACTTTTTCCACACCACCAAGCGTCGATCGCCCCAACGAGTTTCCCAACCACCACAATCTACCCACATCATCCCCGAATTCCTAGAAAAGATGATTCCCACCGCCCCCTCAGGCAGGCCGCCGTCCATGCCGAGCGTACCCCCTCATCCGATTCCTTGGCCGCCGAACCATTCCTGGTATGTTGTCCTCAAATCTCCTCTCGCGCGCATGGGGGCGATCCCTGCAATGTCTTTCAACAAACTTTCGAGCGGGACGCGCTCAGCTAGCTCAACAGAACGCTAACAAAAGCAAAACAATAGCTACCATTGACCACACTCCCCAGCCTCACCCTGCTTCCCCCACGGGGACTCTCCCCCAGGGCTTTGGCAACGGCTACACCTCCACTGGCTCCAAGCACACCTCCTTCAGCTCCTACAGGGACCACGCCCAGCAGTTTGGCCCCCTCCAGAAGACAATCAAGGAGAAGGGCATCGGCGGCATCGCTGGCTCTGAGCTCGGCGCCGTCCAGCCCCTTCCGGCGTCTTCTTCGACCGCAGCCAGCTCCCCAACCGTTTCAAGCGCCTCGCGATTGATCCTGCTGAGATGGAGGCGGTAAACTCTGGCGGTGCTGGTCTTTTCGGCTAAGCGGATCCTCGTCCAGACGTTTCCATTTCTCTTCCACATTCATCTCATAGATCTTCTCTTTCAACACATATACCCGAAAAGGACCGGATCATGGAATTCGGCTCTTTCATCATCTTCAACCTCATTTCTTATACACAATGCTGCCTCAGCGTTGGACCTACCACGAATAGGCGTGGTATGGTGCGGTGGAAACAAGAAGGCCAAGGAGGCCACAGCGGGAAAGCGATTCAAAATTGCTACTACGAAAATTGCAATGCGAGCGCGTTCTATACATTTCTCAAAGTTGGCAAAGCGATACGATATTCACATTATTTGGAAGACTGGGTTCATTGGAGACGGGGAGGCTTTTTGCGCTTGGATTTTAGCACCTAGAACGCTTCGTTTCTTCTCGTCTTCATGCTTAGCAACGATTTCTTTTTTCTTCATGTTTCCCAGAACAGATATCAATATAACCTGATATTGAAAATTTCATTGGATTGACCCCAATCCTGATGTCCGTGAAGACGACGAAAGGTTTTTTTACGGTTATCCCGTCTCCCCACACCACCACACCACCACACCACTACATCACGGATCAAATGGTGTGCGTCGCCCTATCTCGATTATTGCCACACCAAACCCCAACCTGCAGCAGCGATAATGCAAGGTTCGTTGCAGGCGCCCAGTAACCCCACGATTGGGTGGAGCTGTTCTCGTACGACCATGGCCATCTGAGGCGAGGAAAATTTTGCGACGCCGCGACTTCTTTCGCAGCCACGGAAACGGCCATCGCGGGGACTCGCTCGATGCACGAGGCCCAATTGGCGTGGCTGGCCCCCACGATCCCGCCCTTGCTCGAGATAAGCAAAGATAGCAAAGAAAAACAAGACCAAACAAAAAAGAAGCAAAAAAACGTCTTGATGTCATGAAGTTTTTTCCACCGTTGGCTGAGGTGGCTGACCCTTGAACGCTCCGCCCCCTTCTCCCTCGAGGGCACGATCCGCGAGCCAGATGATGATCTGATGAGCAGCGTGGAGTATTAGCACGAACTCTCAGTAGATGAGCCAGCCAACGAATCCATTCCATTTCAGCGCGTGGGATGGAAACATGGGAACGCTCGACGACCAAGAGCGCAAAGAACGCGTATCTCTTATCTCGCAGGCGAGGGCGCGAGACCCTTGAGGATTTTCTTTTGTGACCCAAGTCCCCTTGTGGTCTAATCCCCCACATCTTCAAGAACTGTAGAACGCCACTAGAAGGTGTTGCGTGTGAGGGACCCTCTCTCGATGTCGCATCTCCTGTTTATCATAAGATTCTGCTGTCTAGCCTAGCCAGGCGCCGGGGAAAAAATTCATCCCCCGCCGCGGATAGGCTGGAGATAAACCACCGCCAAGGCGATTTCCGAACTCCAGACCCTTTTACTCCCACTTGTGCCCCGGACAGGGGTGTTGGCGTTCCCGACGGGATGGGCACAAAGTTCGATTGGGTCATTGGGCCACGCACCCTCCACGAGCGTAGGTGTGGGATCGGCGGGTGGTGGCGCAGAGTCACGAGAGGAGGTGGCGATATGCTCCAATTCGGGCTCCAAAGACGTGACTCCTCTTGGGGTAATCCAGATAAAGAATGTCATGTCTCGAGCTTTTCTTTCAAAAAATGAGGATAGATCAGCTCCTCTATTACACAGTTGCCACTGGAATTCACCTGTGATGGTGGCAGTGCTTCCGCTGCGGCTCTTCCGGGAAGGCAAGGGAAGAGAGAATGATAAAGATTGACGATGACGTACCGAGAAGTTGTTACTCCAAGCGTCGTTGATCTCTGACGATTCATCTTTGCGTATTACTCACGCCGTTAAGCTAATATTCGCCATCTTTGTGGAACATATATCCATCATTGCTCGCCAATAGGGAACACATGTTAGTGAAGGGTGATGCAAACCGCGATGCTTCCTAGCCCAACAGTCAACACTTTGAGTAAACATATGTGTATCAAAAAACTTACTTAGGAAGAAAACCAATGCCAAGAAAGCAAAAGAGAAGGAAGCCTCAAGGGCGGAGAAAGTGGGTGGACGTTGCCATACTTCTTCGCCCCTTTCTTTTCGATATTCCCAGAAAACATGGAAGCATGAGGTGGAGGGGAAGAATTTGAACCGCCTCTAGTCTAGACATATAATTTCGCGAGACAAAGCTTTTCAAAATCATGCGCTCCAGAGCGCATGGCAAGCTGCGAGGCAGTGCTGGCTCAGCTTCCAGACTTCCAATGGGGGTTGGGGGACGTGAAACCGCATGCTGGAGCGCCAAGCCCAAGGTAAGTGTGCCTGGTGATGCTTGCAGCGGGCGATGGGAAAGTCTGAGAGCCGAGTCTCGCTACCAATTGTATCGCATCGTTTCTTGCTTGTTTCTTTAGGAGGGGCTTTTCTTCTTCTCTCTTCTGCGTTTCAAGTGCTCTCCCAGCAATAGCTACCCTGTCTTGTGGTCAACTAGTCCAAGAGACGAAAATAGGACTTGATATCAAAATGTGACAATGGATGCATAGGATGGATGCGATGCATTGCCTGAGCGCGAATTGTGAAATGCCGAAAAGACACCACGAAAAACATGAATATTACGTTAAAGCATGAAAATCAAGTGGGCTTGGTGGCAGAGCAACAGCCTCCTACACGTCACAGCTAAATTCCATCCTGATTCAATCTGACTCCAGCTTGACGCGAAACAAATGCCAGGCAACGGCTCTGTCGTCGCACATCCAATGTAATTGAAGGCAGCCCACGCTTCACTCGGGGTCAACTCATCTTCAACGTCAAGTAAAGAAAAGACTCTTCACGTTTCCGAAATGGCATAAACCCCTGCTTGAATGAGCTTAAGTCTAAAAGTTGCCCGGTTCGTGATGCACAACATGGATGGAACGAGGAGTGAAAGAACTGGTGTCCCCCCAGATCTGCGCGCACAGTCGTTTAGTCGTCGCGTGCAACATGGAAAGGCCAAGAAAAGTGGCTCGGATCCCAAGTGCCGACCTTCCCTCCCAGCGCCCGTGCAATGTTTCGTTTGAAAAAGGAAAGAAAACAATAAGCCCCTTCCCTTTGAATGACTTTCTCCTTCGAGACCTCGAACCCTCAGTGTAGATGTCCTTGCTGTGCTGTATGTATGTAATTTTCGCCACGTTTGGGGCTTGCTTTTAGCTGCTGGGCCCCGGCCCCTGGGGCCGCCCCTTGCGTTACAGCAGCCTCAGGCGGCCCAACTAGGCTACCCGCGCAGGCGCATCCGAAACCGCACACACTAAATTCCCTACTTCGCACTGGCGATGCGCGCAAGGAACAGGCACCACCCTGAACCCTCCTCCCACTCTCAGTGGCCGACGTTGATCCGCGGATCAACAGACCCCGGACAAGAGCAGATCCGGGAATTTTTCCCTTTCTCGTTTGGGGTCCGTGAGGTGCGAGATCCTGGGTTGCTCTCCCGTGCCTGGTTCTCTTTTCTTTTGAGCCGCATCCCCTCCCCCTCCCCTCCCTTCCTGTTCACGAACAGGCAAAACCCCTTGAATCGTCAAGGGACTTGGAGAGGCGGCTGCGCAGCTGGGCGATCAGATCCTCACCCGTACCCATCTACCGCCGTGAATTCCATCTTGGCGCGCCCTACGACAAGGGTCCCCATTGACGAGGAGGGCGAGGTAACCCCGGGCCCCCTCATCATGACGAGCCTATCGCATCTCTTCGTCTTCGAAGAATTCCCAACGCACAGGTCCGCGGCAGCGGGGGAGGGAGGGGAGGGATTGGTGATCACCGCAGCTCGCCAGTCCTTTGCCGAGTGTAATAGTTCTTTTGGGGCGGCGGTTCGTCCCCTGTCCTTGCCTCGACCCTGGGCGGAGAAGGACCTTGTTTCCGTCCCCACCCACGAGCTGAGGACGATACCGAACCCCGTCCGTGATTTGGCTTGGCTTGGCTTGGCCTTGCTGTTACGATCGTCCTGCCTCTCCCAGCCTTTACCCCTTGGGCCTTTTGACCTTTTGTTGAGGGGCGAGGCCCACGATGCTGGGTGAGTCTGTCCCTCCCAGGAGGCGCCGGGCTCGACTTCCGACCCTCGCTCATAGCAAAAGGAAAGAAAAAAGTACCAATGCGCTCCGCAAGGGGGCTTAGAGGCTGGGTCACGACGTGAAACGGGTCAAGCTCCGACATGGACGGTCCAAAATGGAAGTTGGGTTGGCTTCACGACGAACTGTCTGCGCGCATGTCGTGTGTCTGTGTTGATGGGTTGCTAGATTAGACTCGAAAGCTCTGTGCTCTTTGTCCGCTTCGTATGCCTTGAATCTGAGTATAAAGGAGGACCGTTGCTCCCTCCAAGTTCGATATTTTCTTTCTCATCCTCATCATCACAACAATCATCACAATCCAACAACTTCCTCTTCTCTCTTCCACTCTTCTTTCAATTCTTCGGCTGGTCCACTAGTGTATATTTTTCACAACCATTTAATTCCTCTTCTCTCTTTTCAAAAACCTCCACACTTCTTCACAACCACCACAACAACCTTTCAAAATGTCTCTCAAGTACACCGTCCTCTCCTCCGTCCTCTTCGCCGCCCAGCTCGTTGCTGGCCACGGTGCCATCATTGGTGCTACCGGTGATGCTGGTGGCTCCGGCATGGCCCTCGGTGTTGACACCTCCACCCCCGCGACGGCACTGGCCGCAACCCCTTCCAGCAGGACTCCACCCGCTTCCGAGGTGACGCCGCTGACACCTTTGGCGAGACCCTCGGCGCCGGCGACAACCAGCTCGAGGCTGGCACCCAGGCCATCATGGCCGAGACCGGCGACATCCTCCCCAGGTCAGCCAGGGCGGCGAGGTCACCATGACCATCCACCAGGTTAACGCCGACGGCGCCGGCCCCTACACTTGCATGATCAACGCCGACGCCAGCGGCGCCACCTGACCGACATCACCGTCACCCAGAACGTTCCCGGACGCCGCGGCCGTGACCGCAACGGTGAGACCACCGACTTCCCCTCACTGCCTCCATCCCCGCCAACCAGCAGTGCACGGGTACCGTCGCTGGCCAGGACAACGTCTGCCTCGTCCGCTGCCAGAACCCCGCCCGCGCCGGTCCCTTCGGTGGTGTCGTCCCCGTCCAGATGGCCGATGCTGCCAACAACGCCGCCGATGCCCGCCGCCGCCTTGCTCGCGCTCTCAAGCGCGCTGTCCCCATGGACTCCGAGTAAATGCCTGGCACAAGCATTCTCCGGCGCGATCCTCCTCAGCTCTAGCGAACATCTGCTCTCAGAGCATGACGCACCACATTAAAAGTTGTCGGCTCCCATATTCCGTCTCATCGCTCACCGTCTTGATTTATTTCCTATTTTTCCTATGTTTCTGCATGTGTCCATTTGATATGGATTGTGGGAGAGGCCATCTTGGGTCCCAGTCACTGCGGCGACCAGAGCCCTCAAGGGCCTGATCACCCTCGAGGGCTTGAAGCGCCTTGGTATTGGTGGCTCCTGTTTCATTAGCTGTATTTGTTTGTGATTTTTGTATGAAGAAATGATACCACTCCTTTAGATAGAAGATGGGATATGGGCTAGCCATTGTTTCCCAGAGCTGAATTCAAGCATTCTTGGTCTTGAGACCACTATAACTCTTGTTGCTTTTTGACTTCTCCTGCCTGCAATGTGCAATGTCTGAAAATAGGATTTAGCAAAAACGGAATAAAAGTATCTGGCGCTTCATGCATCTGCCGTTCTCATGAATATCTTCTGGAGTTATTTAGGCTCTGGTGTCTTAGTGGGTGATGTAATCGATCAGTGTCGTACACTGTGCACGGCCCCGGCCATTCAGGTTTGAGGTTGGCTGGACCATAATCCGGCCCCGGGTTCAGTGCTGTCCATGCCTAGTCCACGTGATTTCCTGTCATTGTCGTGCCTCTTACCAAATGCCCGACGCCCTCGTTCTTTCAGTCCCCGTCCCTTGCTCAGCCGACCCCCGCTTTGCTCGATATAGGGCGCGTTGCAAGCTCAAGAACGAATGCTTTGTGTGAGAGGCTCGCGGCTCCGCCTAATATTATTCCCCGTCCCTCCGTTTTCTAGCCAAAGGCTACCCTGGCCGCACACCATGTCGTCAAGCTCCTCAAAGCGCGGCCTCGACGCGCCCATCTCCCCACCGCCTTTGAAGCGGAGGCTTCAGAGCGGCACCACAAGTATGTACCATATGTCTGCGCCCGTCCTGTGATTTTTTTTTGGCTGATAAATCTCGAAAGAAAATGCCGTCGCCAGCTTTTTTACCCCCGCATCCCAGAAGCCGAAGGACAAGACGATCTGGACCGAGCGCGGCCCTGATGAGGACACACCCACGAGCCTTCTCGTAGCCCGGTACGAGCCCGATGAGAAGCCCGATGAACCGGCGAATAAACGGAGAAAGATTGCAGCGTTTGATCTCGTACGTCTCTCAATCTGGAAGAGAGCCTACTTCATTCAGTGGCTAGTAACAGGGGCTGACACCCACCGTGGCTAGGACTCGACATTAATTGTCCCTTCATCGGGGAAGAAGCACGCCGACAGCGCAACCGATTGGAAGTGGTGGAATAGTACAGTCCCGACGAAACTTAGGAAGTTATTCAATGAGGAAGGGTACACATTTCCGTCGCCAGGAGCCCTGACAACTCATGGTATTGACTAACGATGGTCATGCGACAGGTACCGAGTCATCATCATCTCAAATCAAGGAGGGCTCAAGCTCCACCACGATCCCAAATCAAAAGCGCCAAAGTCACACTCGACGACGCGCGTCAGCGCATTCAAGCAAAAATGTAGCGCGGTACTGGGTAATTTGGACATACCCACCACCCTCTATGCCGCCACTGGCAAGGACATCTTCCGGAAACCGCGGCCCGGCATCTGGGCCGAGATATGCGAGGACTACGACCTTGACCCCAAGGATGTTGACATGGAAAAGAGCTTCTATGTAGGGGACGCCGGCGGCAGGATAGCGGACCTCCAGGGCGGCGATAAGAAGCTGGCCACGGTGAAAGACTTTAGCTGCAGCGATCGAAATTTTGCGCACAACGTCGGCGTCCCGTTCCTAACGCCAGAGGAATACTTTCTGGGTCTCCAGCCACGGGAATTCCACAGAGACTTCGATTTGCAGCATTTCCAATACCCGGAAAGCGAGGCGAATGATATGCCCATGTTTGAGAAGAAGAATAAGCAGGATATAGTCGTGTTTTGTGGCCCGCCTGGTGCTGGCAAAAGCACCTTTACCACCGGAGCCTCAAGGCCCTCGGTTACGAGAGGATCAATCAGGATACCCTCAAAACGTAAGAAGAGACCCCACGGGTGCGACTCATACATACTAGACTAACCGATATTTGCAAATTAGACGAGACAGATGCGTCCAGGCAGCTTCAGATCTTCTTAGCGAAGGCGACTCTGTCGTAATTGGTATGTGCTCATCTTTGGGTCCAACGCCAAAAGCCTACTAACCAGATGCTTCAGACAATACGAATCCCGACCCAGATACGCGAGCTGTTTGGGTGAACTTGTCTAAAAAGTTCAAAGTCCCGGTTAGGTGTGTCTGGTTCAAGACACCTCCCACGTTTGCGAGCATAATGACTCCGTCAGGTCGATGAACAAAGAGGTTCGCCTCCCCTTCCCCAAGACCATGCCTCTACCCACGTGTGCTAACTCTTCATCCCCTAGATGAACCCCGAGAAACGTGAAGCCCTACCTAAACTAGCTTTCAATTCATTTACATCACGTTTTAAAAAGCCGCAAGAGAAGGAGGGTTTCCAAGACATCACAGAAGTCGAGTTTCGGTTCCGTGGGTCCAAGGAGGAATATGACATTTGGGCTAGGTATTGGATATAGACCGTTGAAGAGGTCCCCATTTCTTTCCGACGGATGGGACACATGGTGAATTTGAGGGTTAATATAACGCTCGTCTAGAGTCACTATCCATTGCCCTGGCTGACATCAATTGATCCATGTGAATCGCGACCTCCACATCAACTGATCGATCAAATTGAGTTGATCCTTGCTCCAGCGTCGCTGCTGGATGGCGATGCGCTGAGAATACTGGCGTGGTTGATCGAGGCCCACTGTTCGGCACGTGACTCGTACCAACCTCCAGTCTTAGCGCCTCCAAGTTCGCACCACCTGGAAGCTCAAGCTCAAGCTTAAACCGATGCCACTTGCGCATCGCCAACAGCCTCAGCCCCGCGTGACGATCGAACCGAGCGCATTCAACGTCATTCAGCTTCAAAAGGGGGCTCTCATTCCAATTGTGCATTTTGGATCCTTATATACCTGGTCAGCTAGCGATTCGACACACCATCTCTCATGTACGAGCTCTCGCTCCTCGCCATCGTGGCGGACAAGGACGTGCCGCGGGCATGCAACGTCCTATCGACCCTCTGCGCCCAAGACCCCTGGGAAACCATCCACCACGTGCACTTCTTCCGCGGTTCGGGGCGGCCAAGCGGCATGGCCAACCCATCGCCGACGCCGACACCGCAGCAAAGGACGTCCCTGCGCTGTGGAAGGAGCTGGACCAAGCGCTCGGGCGGCAGTCGTACCACATCCAGGTGCGGTACGAGGTAGCCAAGGGCGACTTTGGGAACGGGATACCAACCGACTTTAACGCCGTCCCTGCAACCCTGCGGTGGACGGATTTCCCGAGCCGCCGCAGGCGGTGGGCCAGCAAGAGAGGGGCCTGATCACGCAGAGGAAGAAGATTGAGATTTGGGGCCAGAAGAATCTCTACAAGATTCTGATCGGCAAGCAGTATGGGTGAGAGCAAGGAGCCGGATTCTCTCTGCGTTTGGAAATGGTGCTAACTAACCCTCATATTACAGCTTGATCTCCGACCAAATAGAGCAGGCGTACCTCTTCTTCCGTGACGATGTAGAGTTCACGCTCCATCGCCACTCTTACCCCCAGCACCCTAGCGTATCGCCCACGATACCCGCCAACCCCTTGCCTCCGTGGAGCGGCATCGTCGATGTCGACGACATGCACCACTGGCTGCTGCAGGTCAAGATGCACGTCATCCAAGACAACAAGCCCGACGAGGTGCGCAAGGCTCAGGAGCGGCTTCTAGCCATTAAAAAGGAGCTCGACGGCATTTTCCAGTTCGAAGTGGTGGACCGGCAGGTGTACGACTCGCGCGTGCCGTTGCAGGCGCAGGGCGCTCCGGCGCCTCTTCCCCAGGTGGTTCGCGCCCATGATTAGAAGGCCAGAAGCGTGAAATCGATTCGGGGCCTCGGGGCGTGGGGGCGGTGGGGGTGGTGGGTACTGTCGACGTCGAGGATGAGGAATCGGTGGGGTCACTTGGTGGGCGGTCAGACTTGTCTGGCAGTGATTGAGCGCGGCTGCTCGGGCCATGGAAGAAAGCGATTCGACGGTACCTGACCTGCAAGACGATACTCTTGCAAACAACGGCGGCCTCGCGTTAGAGGGCGGTGCAAGTGGAAACAGCAAGGGCACAACCAAAGATCAAACTAAACCAGCCCTAGATGAGGACGTGATAGGGGCACCTCGCCCCGAAACCGTCAGGGTGGATGCCTTGCCGGCTGGACGTTCAGCTGTATGAGGATCGGAAAATGGGCCCGGGCACAAGGGAAGACTTGGTGTCTTGGGCATTACGCTGTGACGACCTAAAGTTTTGATTTTCGGAATTACGAGCATAAAACCTCGAGCATGGTGTTTGGCGGTTGTTTCCTGTGGCTTAAGAGGGGACCTTGTCTCGGTTTAGGCTTTCCTGGCCTCGGGGGAACGAGACTTGTGTCCAATCCTTTGGCTTCCCGCGCTGTAGGCCAAGGGGGTTTATGATTGATTGATACACAAAAACGGCGTAGCGTTATTTTTATTGCAAGCATCAATACTGAAGCCACTATATGTTATTACAAAGCTCTTTGCCAGAATCATGCGCGGGCATCCTGAACTCCCCGACACCGGTTTCTTGGGCTACATGTACTCATTCAACCTCAGAGTGACTAGCTAGTAGCCAGATATGCAGCAACTACTCTCCGGTAGATTCCGCTAGTTTACGGCCTCCGAGGCGTGAAGAAGACCAGCTGCTTGTTTGTCAACCTTTAAACCCCATGTCACGAGCCTGATGTTATCCCAGGCCCCATGACCTCCATCTGCTTAACGATATCCCGGGGTTCTTCTCCCCAACCTGCTTCTGCAAGAAACTTGTATTGTCGAGGAACAGGTCCCGGAGGAATGTGAGAGGGAAAGGAATGTGGTGGAATAGCCGGCCCAGGAAATAGGCACCGTTAACCTGCTCCGTGGTATGCTCTATCTGAAAGCCCTCGTACTTTTCTAGCGCCTTGGCCACGGCCGCGGTGTCGGCGAGGTTGACGCGATGCAGACTCTGACCGATAAAGTAGCCGTCGCAGATGGACATGCCGGCACCGTAGGCGGCGTACGGGGACGTGGCGTGCGCGGCGTCGCCGGCGAGGGTGATCCTGCCCTTGGACCACTTCTTCAGGGGCACCCTGTCCCTGATGGGCCAGGTCTGGTAGTTGTCTACGGACGTCGCGGCCACGAGATCCTTGAGGGGCCCGGTGAAATCCTTCGCCATGTCGAGAGCGTGCGCGCGCAGGTCCTTGGGCGCCTCCTTGCCGTCGGTCCAGGCCTGCAGGATCCACCACTGGTGACCTTTCCTCCCTTTACTCAGGATGCTCGAGTAGGTACCCTGCACCTTGTCGTTGTGCATGAGCACGCACTCGTTGACCGCGGCCTCGGGCACGTCGGCAAACGTGAAGCCTCCGATAATTTGCAGGTGGTGGCTCCGCTTCGGCGAGTCCCCCACAAATGGGGGCGCACAATGGAGTCGATGCCGTCGGCGCCAACCAAGACGCCGGCGGTGACGGTCTTGCCGTCGGCAAACGTGAGGCGAACATGGTCGCCGCGGTCCTCGATGCCGACAACCTGCCTGTCAAACTCGATGACGTCGGCGGGAATCGCCTCCAGCATGCGCGAGTACAGGTCGGGCCGGAGGAGGCCGACGAAGCCGCCGCCGTCGAAATTGGGGAAACTGTCCGGGAGCTGGACGTCGGCGCGGATGTGGCCCTTGGCGTTGCGAAAGGTGGTGGTGCACGGGGCGCCGATATCCTTGATGTCGACGCCCATGCTCTGCAGGGCGTGGATGGGCGGCGGCCAGAGGTTGAGGATGTTGCCGGCGGGGCGGGCGTAGGGGTACCGCTCGTAGACTCTGACGCGGAATCCGGCCTTGATGAGGAGAGGGCGGTGGCCATTCCGGCGGGGCCGCCGCCAATGACGGCGGCGTCGATGTCGAAAGTGGTGGACATCATGTGTTGGCGGGAATGATTCTTCGATACAAGATCAATGGATTGGCTGGATGGAAGACGGTGAATCTTCTGTCAAGGATATATCAAATCACATATAAAATAGGATTGATGGAGAACTTGAGAAACCGTCTCCCAATATATATATATAATGTTTGAAGGCCCGTAGATGCTTCCAGGGGCCGAACCTTCAAGCTCAAGCCTCCCGGTAACCTCCACAACGACCCCGCGGTGAACTGTCAAGATGGAGGTGATCCAACACCGGATTCAGTTTGGGCTTCGGCTCCACACGGGCACAAAACTGGGATCAGTCCCTGCATATGGGACGTGAGCCACTCCATAAGGCTCTTTCCAGGAAAATGGGGGCCACGACATCCATGTCGACTGCCGCGACAGCCTAGGTCTGGCATGATATTGTGGGGTCATGAACTTAACCCTGTCCCTTCTTTGCTCTCTTTTCCTCCATTTTCTTCAGAATGAGTGGGGAGAAAACGAATCGTTAGATTGCATGGAAAGCCTCCGGAAGCCTGTCATTGGCTCGGGCTCGTCTCCCCTCCACACAAATCCCGATAGTCTGGGGGTGCGGGGAGCGTAGCTTGAGCCGCAGCCAAGCTGGGTCGCTCATCTCGAATTCGGGGGACGTCGGGGTTCGATCAGAGCCCGAGTTTGGCGTCTGTGCCTCTCTCTCCAAACACAGAGCTTGGGGATTCCGCCGGCGTTGGCAGCGTGCGCCGAAAATGGGTTGGTCATGCTTCGCTCCTCGCCCGGGAAGTGGGGATCAAAGGATGTGACTATTCCGTTCTGGGCCACGGCCTTGGCATCTCAAAATCTTAAGCCTATCCCGACTCCCCGCATTTTCGAAACTACTGGTCCTCGCCGTTCCAACGTCCTGCCCGTCTTCCATCATATAAGGCCGGCCAGGCGCCGCGCATTTCGAGCCCGGATCCTGGAGCTCATCGAAGTTGAGATGAATACTAGCTAAGATAGTTTTGCCAGTATCGTGATTCAGCCACATTTTAAATATTGCGATCTAGTCTTTGACGCAGCTTTCCATGGCTGTGTTGAGCCAGCTCGATAGGTATGGGTTTAATGATTACATGTAGGGTTTGTAACTGTCAAGTCAAATTGATATAGAAATAGTCGGCGTCGAATGAAGTTGGTTTCTGGGCCTGCTAACGAGTAGGTTGGTAGCTTAAATTGTGCATCTCGCAAATATTCTCATGTCTTCAGTTTGAAGTATTCGAGTAGGGTCAGCTTCCAAGACTAATATATCTGGAGTTGTTAGTAGTTATCCGATCTACATCCTCTACTAGCCGGTCAAAGACTCTTCTTGTTTACGTTGGGACTCATGATGGGAAGTAGCGTAAAAGGTTCCGACCTCACCCAGGTTTTATGCTGAGAAGCTCGTTGTAGTCATGCTGCCGTGCCTATAGAATAACCAATCTGGTGCAGAGAGACAACATCGGTCAGTACTTCGTCGTCATCTAAGGAGATTAGACCGAATGGAACTGTGGTTTTTAGTCAAATAGGATTATAAGATAGCTCCGTGAATATCACATTGGCGTCAGGGGACAAAGACAGTTGATGTGTGGCTATCATGTTGGTGCGAATAGTTGCACCCGATGGGCGTCTCTCTTTCAATGGAATCTGAGCGTGGCCGATTAGTCCCTCGACGGCTTAGTTTTACAAAACGTCTAGAGGTAGGGAGGGCTCTATGCCTGCCATAGATTTCATGTATAGCCGGCCATCGGAAGCAGAGGGGCGAAGGTGGGATATAATACGATTTAGTTTTTCTTTACATGAATGCTGCTCCATATCTCACCCCGGCCTATACATCGATTGACAGACTGCCGGCACTTCAAGTCACAGTTATATCAGGTCCTAGCCCTCTAGGTTGAGGTAGCATGTCTAAGTTATCCGTGGGTTTCGGCTTGGTTGGCGAAGGGTGCATGGGAAATAGAGAGTAGCGCTCTGTCGAGTAGTCACATAGTTTGAGTAATGCCGTCGAATCTGGGGAAAAGGGACACTGAGGTATCAATGAAAATGACTGAAGAGACAGGGGAAGCTAGGTAGGTATCTAAATCTAGCTGACTGCTAGCGTAAGACCCAGTATGCTCGCTCTTCGATACACCACGTGCATTCTTGATAGCGCCTCTCTAGACATCGTTCCAAGAGCTACCGGTCGTGAATACATATAATCATCAACGGTTACTAGCTAGATGGTTACTTTTGTCTCTGATCAGTCTGGCATGCCGTGAAACCCCATCATTGGTAAGAGCCCGTATGGTGCTACTTGGCTCCATGATCTGCTACTAATCACTTAGAAAACTCGTCATATCACTCATACCTTCCCTTAGACCCCCACTACCATTGCCCTCTACCATGGATAGGGGCCTAGGAATCAACATCTGAGGATGGCGTTTTCCTTCCCTCGACATGACTACAGTTGTAGACGTGAACAACCTGCCGGTCCTGGATCATGTACAGCCGTAATTTGGGTTAGCTCTACACGGTTCGGCAAGCCTCGCTCCTGTTTGGAGGCATCGGCGATAAGTAACTAATGGATGGAGCAGCTCTACGCGGGGTACACGTTTTTATTGATTTATGGTTGAGTTAGATCTTTCTGATCGAGTTTCCTTCGTAATATATCAGATGGGCGGGCGGAGTTTGTTATGTACTATAGCTGGATGTTCCAACACAATGGTTTACTGGATATGACGGGCTGGCTCGATAATATAGAATAGGACCCTGCTGTAGAGTGAAGAGAAGGGATTTGATAAATGGAGATGTCAAACTTTGGCTGCGGGTACATCACTTCGTTAATTGTCTTGCAATCATAAGGATTCACTGTTAGGTATCAATACGCCCTTTGAAGGCCTGACCCGGACCCCGAAACTTGATCACGGGGCCAATGCCGATCAACATACTTGTGATGCTCTGGGTGGGCAGCCATGGGCCGCTAGAATGTACGAACTATGAATCTCTGAAGCACGCGTAGGTCTCTGACTTATTCTAGGTAAGTAATCAATGTAAAAGGTCCAGACTGGCTGCTTCCGCAGACGTTGGGCTAGGAGGGTGATATGAACACAACTTTCTGGCTGCGAGCGAAGAATATATTGCATCGTACGTTGGTAACGGCCCCTAGAAAATACCCGTGGCGTATTCTGCGGCAATCCTCATTTCTAAGGGCTGCGGCATGACTTCTCCTTCGTGCCTTTTCTCTTTTCCTTCCGTGTAACACGAATTGAGATCCCTAAATCATCAGATAAGATAAGGGTAAAGGATAAAGTTCCCCGGACGAAGAAGAGCGACGATCTTTCCGGTGTTTGGATAGTCGGTGCTACTCGATGGCGATCGTGTCCGTCACCCGCATTTTCGGTTCGACGCGGCCCGGAATGGGGGCCACAGAGCCCAAGCCTAGCTAGCTGATACTAGATAGTAAGTCTTGAGATGGGGCGACCTCCGCTCGCGATGCTAGGGAGAGAAGAGTCTGCGTCCTGTTTCTTGATTGTGTGGGAGTATGGATGGAGGATTGCGAGAGTAGATGGCTCCGCAGTGACTGTCCCAATCTTCGCGAGCTGCAACTGTTTCATTGCAGAACTGTGGTTAACGAGAAGCGTAATCACTTCTCTTCGTACTGCATGTAGCAATGTTTGCCTCTTAAGATAGGTTCGATTCGGGGCGAGCTGGACATCTCATGTCACGCTGGCTTTGCCATTTCCGGAATCTGAAGCCAGTGGTAACAGTTAGCATCAAAATCTCCACGCCGAGAGCTCGCTTCGTGTGGAGATTGTTGATGTCTTTCGGCCCTCTCCGTCCCACATGTTCGGACATAACTGTTTACCAGTGAGATGTCTACCAAGGCACGGGAGTAGTTAGCCACGAGAATAGAGAGAGAAGGATGGTGGTTGAAGGGTGGATGTTGCTAATGTCTTCAGATCGGGGGCTTCTTGAACGCAGCTCGAAAGGGTGCATGTAAGGCGTCAGGACAGAATGTCTCATCTGCAACTGTTCACTGTGGCAAAGGCTTCCACAAAGAGAGCCTTGACTGCCGTAAAGTTGAGGAACAGAAAGCTTTGGAAGAGCATACAGACAAGAGCATGAATCACTACTCTTCGACAAGTTTCGTGTCCTGGACAGGACAGAACAAAGATCCAGTCGTAAACCAACAGAGGGATCCATCTCCGAAAGTCGGACACTTCATAGTTGACTCGTCGCATTCGCGATTCCCGCAGCATCTCTTGATCAACCTCTCGCTAGATGCAAGGGGAGCGCGAAGAAGGCGAGTGTGAGCTGACGCACCTTCAGCAGGAGAAGGGTCACCAGCGTATCCACTTGATCGCTCTTGGCTCGTGAAAGGAGATTTGAAGGCATGTAAGGTCCCCAGGCTATCTGACGCCTGCGTGCGAGGAGATTAATAGGCTACGAATGGAGCAGCGATATCACACAAAGCAGGCGCCTACTTCCCGATCCGGGAAGAGACAAGGGGGCGCTATTTACGAGGAGAAGGACGGGAAACAGTCCTTGATCAAAATGGACCAAACAGGGAGAGGGGACGGAAGGAAGGGGTAAGAGTCCAAGAAAGGGGGCTAAGAAAGGGGTGGTTTCCTTCACACCAAGAGACAGAAAGGAAGGGAGATGGAGATTAAACTTGGGAACCGGCATCGCGCCGGCAGGTATTAGTTCGATGGGTCCGCCCGCCGCCATACAGCCCTGCCTAAGCCTCAAGAAGGGGTTGAGGGAGGGAAGGACGATGCCGAAAGAGATCGGAGGATGCATCACAATATTCGGATTAGACGAGAGCTAATATTCGCAGGACAAGTGGTGGGTGGCGCCAGGAGGCGTGGAAATAGCCCGTATAGCTAGAGGAGTACATTGAACGAGCGATCGATCACTCGAGACCACACTCAAGCAGCTTGAAAGGAGAGAGGCCAGGGGGCGCGTTTCTCTCCCTCCTATCTTGCTCGAAGAGGGAAAAACAGAGGGCAGGTCAGGCTTGGCGTGCTGTCCATGGCAGACCGTTGTGACGGTATCCCCCAACACGTGCATTAGGAGGGTCGGAAGTAATTCCACTTTGAAGGCACCTGCAGAAGCCGGCCGGAATCGGCGGGAGAAGCGTGTACATAGGCAACGTCGAGTGACGTTCAAGGATTGGGCCAGGTGTTGTTGGTGCAGGCATGCTCTCGGGCATTGACTGGCTCATGCTTATGGGAACCCATGCTCCTCGTGCCCCAGAAGGTGGCGTTGACTGATTTCTTGACAAGGTCTCGTCACAGAACTCACGCTCCGGCCAAGGTGTGTGGGAAAAAAACAACAGGGTTGGGGATGGGCGGGGAGGGGACGGAAGCAAAGATCAATTTGGTGGCTTCCCTTGCCGACCCGGACTCGGTGTGCCTGTTCATGGTGCTCTCCTGGTCTCGATGACCAAGGAGGGCGCTAATTATACATTGCATCTAGCCTACACCGATCGATGTACAGAGATCGAAGGGGAAAAAACAACAGTGAAGCGAAAGGGCAGAGCCGGGCTGCGCGGCCGAGTCGACGGTCAGTCAACTACCCTTGTTCAGTACTTGTATACACCTCCTATAGGCCACCAAGCAACAAGTACAAGGAGGTATAACGAGAACATTATGTGAAATTTGGGAGTCTGCCAAACAATGAATGAGAAAACATGAAAAACAGCAGGTCGGCTTTGGCCATGGCGTGTACCGAGGTACTGTACATTCATTGTTCCTCGAGTTTCCACTCGTGGAGTGGCGGCGTGTGACGGCGGACAAACGATCGGTGGAGTGGAGAGTTTTCCGGCGGGCGTGCAGGGGTCTCTGTTATCAATCAATCCCATCTAATCTCTCCTCGGTTGGTCTCGCATCAAAAGTTGATCGATTCATCAAGCCAAGGATCAAATGGATCAAGTCCATTCCAGTCCCTTGTCTCGTCCGTCGGCTTGATTCCTTACCCTTTCCCTCTTCCTCTTCCCATCTCATCCCCGACCGCTAAATTCTCCACAACACGCACCAAGTGGGCTCTTGTGTTCGCAAGGCTGGACCGTAATTTTCTTCAGCGGCATCCCCCAAAGGCAGGTACAATTGTACAAGCAAGTATTGGACGCCCTCAACTCTCGACAAAAACTCGCGCTGAATCCAAACACCACTCTTCTCCCTTTCGTTCTTCTTCTTTGCGCTTTCGGCTTCGTTTACAAACTGGATATTTCTAGGATCCGGATCCTCCGTGTAATAATACGCCGCAGACACGGCCGTCTGGCATAGTGACACGATCGATAAATTGGTGTCCAGGGGACTGCATCGGACTGGTGGTCTGGGGAATACAACATTGAATATTGCAACCATGCAGCTCGCCCTGAAAGTTTTCCCGTCACTTTCCTGAAAAATAAACACTGGCCAACCCACACGAGCTCCTCTCGAGCCAACGAGGTCGACACCCCTGCGAAGACTGGATCCAGAGATCCCACATTTCTCTGCCCATGGGCTCCACACCGTAACCGAGCCTGAGTTCAACTGCTGCGTGCTCGGAAAGCGTTCCACCGTCGGGAGGAAGCCGACAATGGCCTCAATCCTCCCTAAAAGGGAAAACGAGTCGCGGATCTCTGTGATCTACTAATAATAAGGAATCACCAGTTCCTATTGATCCCCGATTGGAATAGGTCCAGCGAGGTTTTGACTCTCAGCTGCTCCTTTCGTTTGGGCCATGCAAGCAGACCCACACCCTGAAGAGGAGATGAAGGAAACGCTGAAGTACGGATATTGACGTAAGGAAAACGGGGGTTGTAGGATTACCTCCACCAAGTCTTTTCTGTCGACCTAACCCTCCGTTTGATGAAGCGGCTCTCCTTTCTGGGTTTCGCGGAAGTACTTGTACTCGCTCGAGTTTTCTCGTGGCTGAAAATTACGCATTGAAGTTGGTCCGCGCGCGCGTGGGTGACAGAGCGTGAGCCAGCGCCATGTTCCCAGCTTCCCTGGTAACATGCCGCAATCCGGCCCTCGCTAACATCCATGGTGAGCCCTTGCTTGCTCTCGTCCAAGTCGAGACCCTGCCGTCGGATTCCGCGGCAGACCCGACCCTCCTACTCAGCGTCATTGATCCACAGCTGTCCGTGAGTGTGTTATACAATTGTGAGAATTCATGCCTCAAGCAGATGAGGGCAACACTGGAAAAGCAAGCAAAGAAAATCTGGGGAGACCGAATAGGGCGTTGCTGGTTTGCATGAGGAATCAATACGTCCGCACGCCACAACACATGGGCACTACAATAACACCAAGATGGGGGACCCGGCCCACCTGCAGAAGAACTTTCTAATCATTGGAACTTGGCCTGTCGCTCTCTGCCACCTTTTTGGTTAGTGGTTGCCTACGTCAGCTTTTCTCGCTCGCCGGCAAAGATAAAAAGGACGAGTGGTCAATCGCGGTGAGTCCCTGAGATTACAATCAGGGTCGGGAATCATGCTCTGATGTTTATTTGCGGTGGTCGGGCCTGGTTGCTTGCTTTGGTGGCTGCTATGTGGCGCGTGAGTTGAATGTCGTGCAGTGCAGGCACCTGTGGCCAGTGAGTTCTTTGAATGATTAGATTGATCTGACAACCCCAGAAGAGTCAACTGGGGAACCGGGTCTGGGGTCGCGCACAACTTGGGGACGGGTAGTCCCCAAATCCTGAGAGATTGATCAGAGCTTCTTCGGTGGGATACAAAATAATAAGCGTAGGCTCATCAGATCCTGCTCTCCTTTGATGTCAATATTGTGGGGGTGCGATTGTCCCTCCTCTCGTTTTTCTTCCCCTGCTTCTTCTTTTCTCTCCTTCCTTCGTCATTATGGTCTCGGGTTAGACCCGAAGGCTACTCCACCGAGACTTTTTGTGGTGGACAGAGAGCGTTCTCCACCTCTGTTCCTCGTGTTCCCCGGTTGCCCTCTGACGAGGTTGTTCATCCCTGGTGATTAGATGGATGTACTTCGTCATTGATGTTGGTTCAAAGATGTCGATCATTTCTAATCCCAACGTCATCCGCGCTGCTTTCGCATTCGATCGTGTGCCGACGGTCTCGCATCCCGTATGACGATGGCCTCAGGAACCTTGACCAAAAACGGATGAAGGATCGAGGGCCCTCGTGTTGCGACACGCCTCTGTTGGTCCTCTACATTCGCACTTGCCTTGCAAGTGAAAAAAACTTTTCCATTTTCCTTGGCCTTGCTCGTTTTCAGACCATGTAGCTCCGCTGTCGGACCTCGAGCATCTCTTTTAGGGAAGGAGGGTGGGGGCCCCGCCTGTTTTGGGGGCGCGTCTGACCTGGACAGGGAACTTGACAGAGCCAAAGAGGAAGCAAGGTTCAGTTGTCATTGCCCAACGCAGATGGAGGACGGAGACCGAGACGGCAGGATCGATGGATGGGAAGGGTGGGAGGGAGGATGGTGGATGCGTTCACTCCCAGCCACTACCTTCCCTTTCCAACGCGATGGCGGGAGCAATTCCGTGCAGCGGATGCCCAATGTGATCGCCCTTGATTTCTGGGCCATTGAAGTCTGGGGGACAGAAGTGCCAACCTGCCAACCTGTACAAGCATGTCGTGTAACGAAAGTTCATCTAAACGTGAAATGGCTGAAATCAATGGCCAAACCAACATGGTCGGCACGAAACAAAACGAGGCACGTGTAGTTTGGACTAGAAGTACGGCCAGGCACACAGTTTTTTCCCCCTCGGCAAAGGGGCAATGACAAAGGGGGCGCCAAAATGATCTTGGTGCAAGAACGGTCGGCATTGATGGATGGGTCTTTGACAGCGCGCCTTGTGTGGGCCGCTTTCCCTCCTCCGTTTGCCACCAAATTTCCACAAGAGAAATCACGATGGCCTGAAGCGGCTAGAACCTGCGGGCCAGCTCGCTCGAGTCACTGGCGTGGGTTGGTGCGAGAGGCCGGCGCCCAGATCCCACCGAAAGCCGAACGAACGTGGATAGGTGGGCAGGGGGTTCAATGAATGTCCCACGTCCATTCTGGGAGCTGTGTGACAGGGATGGCCCGGGCTCGCGAGGCAATAGATTATCTGATGATCTGATAAGGCTAAAATTACCCTCCTGCGTTGGTCCCTCCCCCTCCAATACCCCCTCTCTTGTACTTGATCCGGGTTGACGATGGTCTCGCATCCGCCTATCACCGTCTTAGTTCAGTGATGGAAGAGGGTTTCGAAGTACAACGTACCGCCAAGCCTGATCCCTGGCAAGTATGACCAGCGACCAACAACGAGTGAGTCGACGCCTTCGAAGCGACAGGTCAAGATGGGAAATGAAGTGTGGACGAGAACGGACGATGCGACACTAAGACCCGCGGGCCCCTCTACCTTAGCGCAAGCCCGTATTTCGACCTTGCGTCCGCTTGCATTGTGCAGCTGGAGGCCATCCCAAGCCGCATACCTCGCAAGGTCCCGCTCGTTCACCCTCCCTCCCCTCTCTGTATGTAGCTTGGTACTCGATGAGAGATCGAGAAGGTCGAGGAGAGCCAAGCTAGTTGGACCAGGCTCCCACTAGGGTGGGTATGACCGAGCAGGGCAAGGACGGGAAGCTCTCTCCCACGTCCAAGGAGAGCGTCAAGAGGAGCATATATTGAGAGCTTGTCCCCATTTCCAGTTTCGTTGGTCCCTCCTCTTTTCCCGCTTCTCTTGCTCGTCCCACTACAGCTTCACATTCGCTTCCACCGTGATCTAAACTTGTCAACATTTACACTCGCTTTTACACTCAAGCTTTTGCCAACTCCCGATCATCAAGATGAAGACCGCCACTTTCTCCGTCGTCGCCATGGCCTCCGTTGCCGCCGCCATCCCCATGTGCGCTGTACGTTCACCTCATCCACCCACCCAACCTAGCGATCCGGGCTGTGGTTTAAGCGGATTGGAATAACCATTTACCAAACGCACATTTTAACTAACACGCTGCTGTCTCGCCCGATAGATCAACTGCTTCACTCAGGTCATCACTGACTACCCCCTCTTGACTGCACTGAGCCCGACATGTACCACTGCTTCTGCAAGATCCCCTCGCTCCAGCAGCACTTCCTCGACTGCGCCTACACCGGCAACCAGTGCGCCAACGAGGCCGAGGGTGCCGAGGCCGTCGCTTTCGGTGTTGACCTTTGCTCTCGTAAGTTTACTTAAAAGATTTCGTTCTAGCCCAATTGGCCGATGCCGAGAGAATCGAAACACTTGAGCCTATGCTAACTCTTGCTTCTCCAGAGCTCGGTCTTCCCATCACCATCGACACCAAGCCCCCACCCAGCAGACCACCACTCCCCGCTGAGAGCACCAAGCCTCCTACTGAGACCACTGCTGAGCCCGAGCCCACCGACAACGAGCCCGAGCCCACTGCCGAGCCCACCGCCGAGCCCACTGACGGCGAGCCCAAGCCCTCCGGCTCCGGCTCCAGCTCCAGCTCCTCCAAGCCCACTGGCACTGGCAGCGGCCCCACCCCTCCGGCACCGGCAGTGTCGAGCCCCCATCGTCGTCGGCGCTGCTAACGCCAAGGCTGTCTCTGGCCTTCTCGCCGCCGCTGGCCTCGTTGCCGCCCTCATCTAAGCGTCTGCCAATGCCTTTCCTCGCGACGTTGTGTGTGTGATGGCTTCCGCAACTCCTCGTCAACACGGGTTCTCCTGCCGGATTGTCCACTCTGCATAAGAGTGATGCATATCTCATGAAGGGTTCGGAAAAGAATCACCCAGGCTATCTAGTAACCACTTAATAATGAATAACAGAGCGGGGATACGAGGCAAACACTGGCTTCTTTGTTGAACGCTGTGTGGGCCCCGTTTTCCTGTGACGTTTCCCTGTCCTCTATATATATATCTCCCCGTTCTCGTCATGTATCATTAAAAGCAAAGAACAAACAATCGGTTCTTTTGGGTCTTTGGGGCAGGAAATGTATTGGTCCCTGAGACCTCTGGGAATGATAACTAATAATACTTTTTTGATATCCTAGCCGTTGTTGTTAATGTTACTGTGGGTATCGAGGCGAGATTCATGTTGAACCACATGTCGACCTTTGAAGTGAGGTGATGTTGAGTGTCAGTAGAACGTGGGGAACCCTGCATATCGTGTTGATGTCAATTACTTTTGTCGTATTTGGGTATGGGAGAGGATAGCACTCGACTCGGACGGCTTGAGACCAGCTTCCCCACATCGCCTTTATCCTACATGTATGCACTTGCTCTTTTTCTTCCGAGCCGCGCCATACCGTATGGAACAAGGAAGGAATGTTCCACGCCGACCGTCTTTGGGGTTTCTTCCCGGGATTTCTGATCATTAAGGGTTTAACGCTAATAAGCTTTAGCGAGGACGGGCGAAGCATGACCATGCTTCACCTGAACTAGAAGCAAAATATCACTGGCTCCATATAGTAAGGAAAGGCTACCTCTACATTCGTAAACCAAGCCTAGAATAGTAGAATTTTGGTAATTACTTCCCATAAACTAGAAGGTCTCGAGGAAAACCCGACCGGCAGACATACAGCATGCATACCACTCTCTGCGATGATGCTACATCACACGTTCATCGTTCGATTTTCGATAGTTGCTCGACCGCGTTTCTTGGATTCAACCTCGACACCCGACGCTCGCCGCACCGCGCACTCCCGCAAGCGAAACTTTCTTGCAAGATTCGACTCGTCTGATATAGCACATTTCCGACTCCGTCGCTAGGCTTCTCAAAACCCCTTCTTACCCCGCCATAACAAACATTTGGAATCCCGGAACCCAAGTTGGCCGAGGCGATCCCTGCCTGCACAGCCCGGCCTCAAAGCCAACGCATCGCACCTCACCTACCGCTCACCACCACCAAACCCACCTTGGCGCCATCGTTTTGCTAGGGGGTAATTTGTTTCGGTGGTAGACACATGACGTGGAAAAATCGGCGCAGCTTAGACCTAGCAAAAAAGAAACTTCTTTTTTCGTTTGGCCCTTTCGCCGCATCTATACATGCGTTCGCGCCCGCACATGGCAGACGCGTTCATACGGAAAGCCTAGATTAAACAGAGGCGCGCGAAACCCGCCCCCTCTTTGGGTCAGCACGCACAACATCGTGGCTTGTTGCCTGTGCCGCTGCCAAGATGTGATTGGGAATTTCCTGATTCGTTGGATGGCTTGATGAGTGACTACATGTAGGGTTTGGGAATGCTCTTAAAGGGCGGAGAAGGACGGATTCTTTTTACTGACATTGGGTTCAACCTTTACCGAACGCTTTCTTGGAACTGTTTGACTAGTCGGCGCGGTGTTGCCGGCCAAAAGCGGCTCGTCGTTGATATCTTGAATAGACGGCTTTCGCCCATTTCCATGCCAACATCCTCTCAGGCCATGACTTTCTCATTGACTCGTTCGCACACTTCCGCCCCGGAGCCGGTGACAACGTACCACCAGCCCGCTACCGGCATGCCCGCGCGGGTTAGTCAGGCCAGCACCCTCCAGCTATCCGGCGCGGGCATCGGCACAGAACATTTATGGTATCAGATGATTTCGCTGCACCAAAAGTACCGCTGCTATCACTCGGCGCGCATGGATGCGGCGGTCGAGGCGTGGAATCATGGCCAGTGGACCAAGACGCGTACGTGCTAAATCTTGCCTTGTTATTGCCCTTGTCTTCCTTGCTGTCCTTCCATATCACTGATTTAGATGGATAGGACAATGACTAACGTGCGGTAGCTTCGAGATCTTGCCTAGATCTTTTAAACGAGTGCGTGGGGCCGCTTCCGGAGGACGCTATGAGGGACTGGGTTGCGTGGAGGAACTTGGACATGGCACGTACATCGTTGCTCCCGCAAGGGGCTAGGAAATGATCATCTGTGTCTGGATTGTCTACGCATAGTGAATAGCACTCGACCTTGCAGTTTAGTTACTGTGTGTGGATGAGATACATGATACTTGTACTAGAGCATCCGGCTGGCTGAGGTCAGAAAATGGGTAAGAATAATAGATCATATTGTATACAAAGGAGACCCGGGTTGACTAAAACTACATATCGTGAAGAATGCTAACGATGGTGGTTGTGGTAATGCTAAGAGTAGATGCCGATGAGGAATGCCAATGATGAAGATGCCAAATAATACCGAATCATGCTAATACCCGCTTGGTGGAAAATCTCGCGGGAGTCCATCCGAAAAAGGAGATCATGAAAGAAGACAGAAAAGGAAATATGCTATATCCGGTTTCTTATGCCCTACCCGCCGCGCCCAATGCAGTGGATCTCTTTCCAGCAGATGAATCCGAGAAGAGACAAATGTGACAAAGGAGAGGTTGTGTAGAATGAGTGACTGAAGGAAATTATAGGAAATATGCGGAAAGAGAAGAAAGAGGAAAAAGAAAAGAGAAAAAGGAGAAAAAGAAAAGCACCGGCGGTGGGCGTGTACTGTTTTTCACCCCGCCCACCTACTCGTTGCGAACGCTCCCGGCCCTACTTCCCTGTCTCGTCTCTTCATCCGGAGCACCCTTCTTCCCATCCCGGAGAAGTCGTTTCCTACCGCCCTTGACGATGGACCTAATCTTCAACTTGGCTCTCCTGACGAGCTCGAGGAGGCGGTTGAGCCAAGTCGCGGCGATCTCACCCTGAAGCTCACGGATCTGATCGAGAAGGCTGGGCACTTGTGCCGCAAGCTCTTCGTAAGCCCGGGCAGTCTGGAGTTCGGTATCGAGATTCTTGCAGTTTTCATCGGCCTGGTCGAGCCGGCGCTCGAGAGCAACGACGCGTTCTTGGAGTCCCCTATTGTGGGCCTCGAGCCTGTCCCTATCGGCCTGCGTATTGGCGAGGAGCCCGCTGACGTCGGACAGCTCGCGCTTGACCTCCTCGCCCTCCTCCTCGGCGGACTGGACAATAGCCTCGAGCTCGCGCATGCGGCGGACCAGGTCGCTGTTATCGCGGCTGACCTTCCCGTGCTGGCGATCGGCGACGGCGAGCTCGTCCTGGGCGGTCTTGAGCTGGGACTGGAGGGCGTCTCCGCGCTTCTCGGCGGTGCCGAGCAGGCCCTGCAGCTTACGGAGCTGCTCTTCGAGAGAGGCGTTGCTGTGGCGGGCGCGGTCGTGGGCGGAGGAAGACTGCTGCAGGTTTTCGAGGGCGGAGCCGAGCTCCCGCTGGAGCTTGTTGCTGTTGTCGCTGGCGGCGTCGAGGGCGCCCTGGAGAGAGTCGAGCTGCTCGAGAAGGCTGGACACCTCCTGGCGCAGACGATCGTTCTCGGCCTTTTGGTCAAGGTTGGTCTCATTGGACGAGGCGAGCTCGGTGCGCAGGCGCGCACCGTCCCGCTCGGCCGTCTCCAGCCCGGCCTGCACCTCGCCCAGCTTACCCTGCAGCACGGCAATCTCCCCGCGGCACACGGCGTTCTCCTGGCTCAGGCGAGTCAAGTCACCCTGGGCGGTCTCGAGCTCGCCGCGCAGGTCCCCGCCATTCTTCTCGGCGGCCTCGAGGGCGTCGCGCAGGCCCTCGCGCTCGTGCACGAGGCCGAGGTTCTCGGCGCGGATCTTGGCGTTCTTGTCGGCGGCCTCGACGAGGCGGCCCTGCACGTCCTGGAACTCGGCGTTGGACTCGATGAGGGCGAGCTCCAGCTGGTCGAGGTAGGCGCTCTTCTTGACCACGACGGCGTCGCGCTCCTCGGTGGCCTGGGCCGCGGCGTTGCTGTAGTGGCCGCCCGCGCGCTTCACCACGTCGAGCCACCGCGCCACCACGTCCTCGCGCTGGTTCTGGTGGTAGAAGCTGCACAGGCACAGGCCCGCGAGTCGCCGGAGCTCGTTGGGGGACACGGCCGAGGGCGCCATCTGGGCCATGGCGCCGAGGAGGGCGCGGGCTTCGCCCGAGTCGCGGTTGTCAATGGTCCAGTTGCAGCGCGCTGTAGCGGGTTCGGCCGAGGCATCGGAGGGCGGCGGAGGTGTTGTAGCCCTCGACTTGGAGGAGCTGACCGGGGTCCCAGAATTCAGGCATGGTGGGGTTATGTGTGTTTGGAAAGGCTCAAAAGAATAAAAAGCAAAGGAAGAGTAAAGAAGTAGGCGGGAAGCCCTCGCAGAAGAGTTCTTGCACAGCAAGAAGAGTCGTTCGAGGGGTATCGAGGGGTTGTAGAGGAGTTGCGGAGGGGGAGGGGGTGGGGGAGAGGAGAGTGTATCAGATGGGTTGCTGGAGTTCTGATGGTGTGTTCGGTTTGTGTTGTTGATTTTTCGCCTTTTCGATCCAGGCAGGAGGAATTCAGTCCTTATATCCTTTCGAATTCTCGCCATGAGAACGTTTGAGACGTGTCAAAGCCATGACTGTCCTTCCACGTTGTCTCGAGAGCAGCGCTGCATACTGACGCCCAAGCTATCTTCAAGATACATCCATAGATCCCTGATCTTCAAAAGTCTCGTCAGATGAAGTCTGGCCCAGAGTATTTCGGGCCGGACCGTCCTCCGCCCTACTCTGTAATTGGTAGGCTAAGACATCAATACCCAACATAAGCTATCCGTGGTCTTGGTGTTGGCTCTGCTGACCCCACAACCGCCGTTAATCGTACATGTAGGGCGTTGGGCGCTGGGGGAGGAGGACACACACAATGCAGGGTTCGAGTCATCAATCGGTCCCGAATCTCTAAGTTTTCTGTGCCTTTGTTTTTTCTTTTTTCTGTCTCCATTTTCACGTGGTCTCGGCATTGCCTCGTCTTTGCTTAGGTTCTACATGTAGCTACAATGGGGGTACTGACCTGCCACCATACGTACGTCCTTGACTGCCTAAAGGGGAGCTGGTTGGACATGGATTGGCTGAGAACGATTCCTGGAAGCGGTGTCCCAAGGTGGTGATAAGGCGGCCCGACCCTTGGATCGGGAGGTTTAGGCGTCGCCAAGACAGTCGGGACTTGTTGCCGAACGGGTTCACCAGTGAGAGCCCAAGAATACCACCAAAGTCACCGCATCAATTGAAAGACCAAGTACCGAGGTAAGGTTAATAATAAAAAATGGTTGAAAGGAGAAGACGGAGAGATGCAAAGGCCAAGAATCTACCCAAAACGCCCTTCACGACCGCATCGGGCGCTTCGTGCTAAACGGGCGTGGTTGTGGTTGAATTGAGGGTGCTCAAGCGGCTGTCCTTGTCCCCAAACCCACGGGGCTCGTGTGACTGACTGCCGCCCCTGGCGAAACCCGCCGGACGGATTGGCCCGCTCGCTCTTGACGCTCTCTTTCACTGGCCCGGGGAATCAGGGCCGCACGCACCCTTGTTTTAAGCGGCCGGGATCTGAGCCAGTGACGGAGCAAGTGGCCCCACACAAACACTTGTCAATCCCTCAACTCTTCCGGGGCGCACGCAGCCCATCTTTTGCTCTTTCCTCGCCAACACCTGCCATCGTACCAAAAGAACAGTGAGGCGATGATGATATTCTTGCCAGCAAACCTGAAGCGAGGCGGCCGTGGCGCTTGCTTCCACATGACTTGCTGGGAGAGAGCTGGCAGCCACATGATGGCGAGCATCACCAAGTGCCTGGCTGACAAGGTCTTGTTTTCTTTTCTCTTTTCCCGCGTCTTTTTTTCTTTTTTATCAACCATGCGCTCTAAGCGAACCTGTTGACTCAGACTCGAGGCGTGCATGGCTCCTCCACACTCGACCTGGGACTCGAGAGCCAAAGGCCTAGATTTGTGTTGGGTTATGTTTTGCTCCAAACTTCAGCCAATCCCGAGTGGACAATCGTCGGGCATCGTCTCCCAAAGAAGCAGGGGAGAAAAACAACAAGCATCCACCTTCGTTTTCTTCGCTATTTTCTTGTGCTATATACTTCACGTTACCTCTTCTTCGACATGGCTATCCCCAAGGATGTGGTACTCCCCACGATCATCGATGATCTGGAGCAAAGAGCATCGGTTGCCTCCACATGTCCTCTCTTGTACCCACAGGCACACAACGGGTGACATGGCACGAGATATGGGTTATGGCTAAACCATTTGGTCAAGCCACCCCATGAGTGCACTCCACGTACTCTTCCAGTTGCATGTTGGGTGGATACTGCGGCCTCGAGTCTTCCATCCGCTCGGCTCCCGACGTGTTTGCTGTTTGTGACCTATCGGTATTTTCTTTTCCCTGTGCCATCCTCTTGCTTCCTAATCTTCTGGATTTCTTCACCGCAGCCCGAGGACGTTGGAGAAGGTCCTCCTCCATAATACTAAGGGCAAGCAAGTGTGAGCCCGGAGTCCCTTGGGGTCTGACAAGCTATGATCCTAGAGGTGGAGCTAAAAATAGATATATCCTTCCAAGAAGAGAATATACCGCTCAGAGGCCTTGTAAAGTATGTTGGCACTAGCTTGGAAGAGCCATTGGCGAATGGATGCTGTCCAAGTGTATCTTCTAAACGAAGTGATATTCGAGCGTCCGCAGGGAGAGTATACTGTAAATGGACAGGAGGTCTCCGTAATCATTCGCCGTACATTTTACGCTTTTCTAACCTAACCACGATCTCGTAGCATGGAGATTTTAAAGAACAAGTGACAAACAATTTATCGAGTCAAGCATCCTTATCTAAACTCCACATCATACGGCGTAACGGTGATTAACTGGCCGCCCCAAGCCCGAACAGGGCGACACAAACTATTGTGGTTGCGAATCGAAAGGTGACTTGGTCGATATTTTGGACAAGAAACCACATCAATTGGGTCAATGAAGAGCCACGCTGCCCATAACAGCTCCCCCAATTTTAAGCACAAAAGCCTCGCGAGCCAACTCTCCTGTCGTGTCACGAGAAGCCCCCATCAACCCTATCTGGTCCTATTGGTCCTCACACTCCTACAGGCCGGTGCAGATAACCCTTCGCCAGCCTCTGCACCAAAGCGAGCCTTTTCTTTTACATGCCCGGGTGTCGCCTTTGGAGAGCTTCGTAGATTATGATGAGGCAGTTCTCTCTGCGGTACTGCTTCACATCGGGCCAGCCATGTTCTCGCAGAATCCCCTGCACTAGCTCAACGGTACCCTTGAACCTGGCCTCGAAGGGGGCGACACAAATTCAGGCGACGGTCTAACGGCCCAGGGGCACCATCTCCATGGAGCGAAACTGGTCTTTGAGCATCTCGATGAAGTCAGCAAACACCCACGCCATCGGGTTCCCCGTCATGGCGCCCGCACAAGGTCGTCGTTGGTGTAATCCCAGAGGTCGTCGTACGCGGGCTCCCGCGAAGGCGAGAACCTTATCTCGCCAGGGCACTCGTACCATAGCACGATGCCCAGCTCTGTATCAAGAAGGAAAACGAGATTGTATATTTCGCCTGCTATCAGGCTGACGACATGGGGTGCGAGGATCTCGAATAAGTCGGGCCTTCAAGACCCTGATGTCCTCGCCCCCAAGGTTACCGTCGATGCCAAGTCTCGCGAACCTACTCCAGTCGGCTAACACACATCCCGAGGTGGCGTGGGCAATGGGGACGTTGTCGTCTCGGTTGTGGGACAGATGGCGGAGCAGCTGGACCACTATGTCCGATTTCCCTACTTCTCGGAGGCTGCCGGACTTGAACGCCAACCCTCCGGCAGAGACTCGATGATGAATGATTTGTCGAGATAGAACTGAGTCAAGAACAGGTAATAATCGCGCATCGCAGCCACGCAGGCATCTTGCGAGTGAATGATGTCGTTTGCAGGGCGTGGAGACGAACGTACATCATGGGGTTATGGCACCGACGAGTATACTTTAATTTATAGTGCGGGAACTTTACATTTGATCTTGCTTGCCCTCGTGCGCCATGGGGCGTCCTGGTGCAAAAGGCCTATGCGATGAGACGTCAATGTTTATAGAGAAGAGGAAGATTGATTTTACTATGAAATTCATTGCTAAGGAAACAACCAATGACTAAATAACGACAAAACACAAGAAGCAAGAGCCGCAAACCTCTTAAAGAGATATCAAACCCGATTTAGAGTATGTTCAAACTTCATCGTGTTTCTATGGATCCTAGCCCCTAGAGTCGTCTAATATTCGCCCGTCATCATGATTTCGCCTTAAACCGGCATGCATCTGTGTAATGCCCCACCAACCGGCAGTAGAGGCACCACGCCTCGGCCACCGCATGAGAAAAAGGACATCGGTTCCCTTTGTTACACCAGACAGTCGCGCACTTATTTACCTTCCACATCCGGAAGTCATGGTTCGGGTATTCCCGAAACAAGCTACGCTCGTGGTCGGTATGCTTGTAGCCGCATTCGCCTTTCATGTTACAACGTATGGCTTTCGAGCAGCGTTGGGAGTTGCGCATGGCGCGGCGATGGTCGCTGTTGGGGGTCGATCGTGTCACCGTCTGCCAGGGCTGTGAGTCGCCGGGGCCCTGCGAGCCGTCCTGCTGCTCCACGTCTTGCGCCGGCCTATCTCCAGGCGCAGCACCACGCATCGTGTTCGCCCTGGGGAGCCTATTCGTAGGACTGACCAAGCCGCCCGCCGGTGACTCGGTGGGGCGGAGCGGCTGGTAGACGTTGCTGGTCTCGATCACGCAAGGTGCGCTATTGTTGTTGCGAGACATGTACTCGGGCCACGAGACTACGCTGCACGTGTCCTCAAAGATGACCCGTACATTTTGGATAATGCTCTCGAGGTCGCTGGTTGCCCTGATTTCTGGGAATTCCACCACTACGTACGGTGCCTCGTCCTGAGGAGGGTAAAGGTAAAACAGGCGTGAGAGGGACAAAAGCTCCCCAGACACAAAGCGCACGACGTTGCGAATCCCATCATCCACAACGAGTATCAACGCCTTGTCGGGGCAAACGCGATTGCTGCGCCTGGTGGAGAGAAAATTCAAGTAAAAGATCTCGCCGAACGCGTCGTCCAGGAGGTTGACCGAGAGTTGCCCGTTCTTCGCATCCAACTTGAGGTACTCCTTTGAGATCCCGTCTCTCCAGGCCCATAATTCGACGTGGATTTTGCAGTTCAAGACCAACTCGATCGACGGCATCAGATCCCGATCCCCGGTAATTACGATGAAGACGGTGCTTTCTAGCTCTGCTTTGACATCGGGGTTATACTGCGCCCCGATACGGAGCTCAGTGGCAATTCTGGCAATGTCCGTGCCCATGCTGCCGTCCACTTGTTTCTCCTTGCCGCCATATGAGCGGTCGAATATCTTAGTTTTGAAGTCATTCCTTTTAAATGCTTCCCAAACTGTGTCGTTTGGCGGTGGGTGCGAACCATAAAGGAACAGGCCACCCCGATTTCGGCTCCCGCAGAGCCTTTGGATGAGTTGCCCGATGTCGATGCGGAGGCGCGGGTCACGGTCCCGGTCAGTTAACATGGGCAGATAACTATTTCCCGAGGCGGCATGCTTCTGGGCCTCGATCCAGATATTGGAGTCCTCCGCAAAGAGTTGATAGGTCTGGAGAGTCGTATCACTCATTATGGTTGGGCTGGAACCTGTTTATTATTTATTCATTATTTTGCTTGGCGAGCTTACGTTGGTGCGTCGATGTGAAGGGCTGGTGCATAATCGTGAGACGAGATCAGTTCTTCTACTTCGGTTGAGTGAGCTGCCATGGGTGCATTATATTTTATATGCAACGGCGAGAAGGGCATTCCGATCCTAGTTGAGACATTCATTACATGTATTCTTCGTGCATAGCCATCCATCTTTTGATGTTGGTGGCATCCACTGCCGAGCTTGTTGAGTCCAGGCTGCGTGTGCGCCACCAGGCTGGCGGCTCAACATACAGGCGCTCACATCACCTGGCTCCTTACAACTTGAGAAACGACAAACCTAGAGCTCCTAATAAACGGTCATTTCAGGTAATGTAACACAACTGCGATCAGCATCCATGGATGGATGCATTGTTTCCTGTAGTTCCCGCAAATCAATGGAGCTTCTCAACTACAACCCTCCCTGACACATCACCCAAAGTGTGGCTTGCCAACTCGATAAAGGAAAGCCCGATCTATCAGCGGCTATCCACTCCTCCTCATTTACACTTTGTCCAAACACCAGACTGTAGTAATAGATCCAAGCTGAAAATGCCCCATGCGGGGCGCCTGGCCCAGCTTCCCATCCAATTCCAGCCCCGCGCCGGATCCCTGAAGTGACTAAACTTCTTGGATTGCGGGAATAGGGGCTACGATCTACAATCCGTACCTTTAACACTTTGAATCTCATCGTGGAAGTTCGTTTAGGATATGCGTCGGTGCATATGTACCTGGAAAATGATTCAACGCGTGCTATATCCGCCAGCCTGGCCGAGCTTCAGCCATGGAACAGTCCAGGGTGCACCGCCAAGGCGCGAGAGTCGGAAATCACGGGCCATTTTTGACACGGGATTGAGTGGCTCTGGTCCTAAATATGAAATCTCAAATATTGCTTTTTCATGTGAGGGAGTCAAGAGAATTCTCGAGGTATTCTAGCCCGAGCGTGGGGGAAAAAGGGGAAGTGTCGAACGAGAAGTCCCCTAGCCGCCCTCCCTATCCAGGGCTCCCAGTTCGGCCTACGAGACTGTAGGGACCCCTGATCTTGTAAACAATCATCTTGCTCTCCTACAATGGCACTGAAAATGTTGTGCACTGAGAGGGAGGAGAGAAAGTAAGCGACTTAGCCAAGAACGTAACCGGGGAAGCATCGTTGGAATGGGCCTGCGGAATCACTTATACAAGAGCCCTTATTATGCTGGTTGTCCCGCAGCCACCTGGAGCCGCTTGAACGATAGAATCCAGGGTTTCTTTTAAGAAGTAGGCTATGCCATCACGAAAAACAAGTCTTCGTAAACTAGTAACCATTTTCGTTCGACCAATCAGAGTAGATACCTAACAAGCTATCTCGAGTAACGCTACCGAAAGGTTCTTTAACTACAGTCCTGATCCGGTCATCACGGTCCGCAGGCGATGGGGCATTGCATATGAAGTGTTCAGAGGGCAAATTAAACGGTTTTAACATCCTTATGGATGCAGAATGTACCAGACAACCTTTTAGATTGTAGCTTGAGCGAACACGCCTTGACGCCATGAAGGGTGTTGAATAATGTTAGTATCAATTTAACACCTTCAATAGTTAGACGGTACTTATCCTGATTGGACATACCTACATCAGAAGGTACTTGATTAGGAAGTGTGGGCCTGTAAGAAGGGGGCACTGATACTTATATATATATCTAAAATTTACAGGTTCAACCTTCATATATCTTCTCAGCTTCTTTCCATCGACCTTGGCGCTTATAAGTAGCTGCTAGGTTGTTCATACTACAAAGTGTGTTAGGATGGTCAGCACCAAGCTTCACCTTCCGCATCTCTACAACCTCAACCTGTATCTTCTCAGCTTCTTTCCATCGACGTTCCTCATAATAAGTAACTGCTAAGTTGTTCATGCTAGTAAGTGTGTCAGGATGGTCAGCACCAAGCTTCACCTTCAACATCTCTGCAACCCCAACATGTATCTTCTCAGCTTCTGTCCATCGACCTTGGTGCTGATAAGTAGTTGCTAAGTTGTTCATGCTATTAAGTGTGTTAGGATGGTCAGCACCAAGCTTCACCTTCCGCATCTCTACAACCTCAACCTGTATCTTCTCAGCTTCTTTCCATCGACCTTGGTGCTGATAAGTAGTTGCTAAGTTGTTCATGCTACTAAGTGTGCCAGGATGGTCAGCACCAAGCCTCACCTTCCACATCTCTGCGACCTCAACCTGTATCTTCTCAGCTTCTTTCCATCGACCTTGGTCCTGATAAGTACCTGCTAAGTTGTTCATGCTAGTAAGTATGTCAGGATGGTCAGCACCAAGCTTCACCTTTCGCATCTCTGCGACCTCAACCTGTATCTTCTCAGCTTCGTTCCATCGACCTTGATCGTGATAAGTAGCTGCTAAGTTGTTCATGCTGCGAAGTGTGTCGGGATGGTCAGCACCAAGTCTCACCTTCCGCATCTCTGCAACCTCAACCTGTATCTTCTCAGCTTCTTTCCATCGACCTTGGTGCTGATAAGTACCTGCTAAGTTTTCCATGCTACTAAGTGTGTCAGGATGGTCAGCACCAAGCTTCACCTTCAGTATCTCTGCAACCTCAACCTGTATCTTCTCAGCTTCTGTCCACCGACCTTGGCATCTGTAGATAGATGCTAGGTTATTCCTAAGGATCAATGTTTCGTCCATATCCTCAGCTCCGACTCCTTTTTCCAACACCATCCACTCCGCAAGCTGCTTCTCAGCAATTGCCCACTGGCCCTGGCTATAGCTGTACCTACTAGTCTTGATTATAAGACGACGTTTCTCTCTCCATGCATTCGGCGATCCCTTCTCTAAATGTTCTAATACCGCGTAGGCATGGGGTTGAAGCTTGCTACACTTCGCCCAATTTCTGTAGCCAGGGTTCGGGTATATATTTGACACCACCTGTAGAGCGAGATCTATGTATCGCTGTGCCTCATTTTCTCTTTTTAGCCATCCCTGGGCAATAAGCTGTACAAGGCGGTGGAGGTCATAGCCGTCAGCACCTGCAGATGCGATAAAAGAGAACGCTTTGAGTGTGGCGAGGGACTTGACAAGTTGAACTTCATTGGAGCTCTGTTGTGTAACTGCAATAAAGTGTATCAGGATTTCCTCCGGGATTGCCTGCCGATCGAGGAAGGCCATCAGCGAGAATAGACTGCTTGCTAAGGGTCCTGGCGACGGATCATTTCAAATGAGATGATCCACGTGTGCACTACTGCACGGGGTATTTTGGTTTCTTTCCCAGTCGTCTCAAACTCCTCGCTGAGCAGTTGTATGAGATTTTCGTTGCTGCCTTCTAAAAGATCGAGGTATTGGGCAACAGTTGTTGAGTTCTGTACTATAAAGGCGGCAGCCTGTGCCAGGGCCAGTGGTAGGTTCTCGAGGCGGGTAGCGAGCGACTTCAACTCGTCAGATGTGCCTATGTCTCCGCCAGTATTCTTTCGAATAAGTTCCTGTGACTCTTTGTCGCTCATACTGCCAACATAGATCGGTAGATTTGACTTTGCCAAACTATGGCCGACCTTCATATTTCGAGTTGTGATGACGATAGATCCATGAGCGCACTCGGGGATATAGTCTGCCAATCGCTTATGTTGTGTGTTATTCTCCTGGTAGTTTGACCCACATGCAGCGGGGAAGAACACTTCCATATCGTCAGCGTTGTCAATAATCATCAACCACTCTTGCCGGTCTTTGCTCTCAAGCCATTCCTTAACCATCTGCATCGTGTCTCTGTCAGGATCATCGTAGCCCGGCATCTGACATGTGACGGCGATGGTTCTATACGATTCATGGAACCTCTCAAGAGTTCCTCCATGAACCCAGAATACTGAGATTGGCTGGCCTTCATCAAGAGTAATTCGGTATGCGTGCTCTAGCGCGATCTGGGTTTTTCTGATATTTGTGAGCAGTGATTGTAGACGACGGCGAAGGAAAACATACCCAGAACCGCCAAGGCCAAAGAGCGAAATCCTGAACTGGACGCCAGCCCTCCTGGAACTTCGTAATTTCTTCATAATATCGTCTCGGCCGATAAAATTTTCGATCCTTGTATAGGGGATAATACCTATTATACGATCAGCATGTAACACTCTAGCAGGTTTCAACAAAGGCGGCTTACACCAGGTTTCGGGGACCCCTTGTAAGTGCTCTAAACTTTCTTGTTCAAATTAGACTATCAACCGCCTTTTATATATATGTGGCACTCTAACGTCTTTTACGTACCAAGCTGAGAAGGCACCCAGTGACGAAGAACCGACTTGGCGCAGGCGGCTGCTGATGCGGCGGCGTACTTTTGCCATTCCTTAGATTTATGACTGTCTGCATAGTCGCAAACACCCTTGATAATCACGGACGGAAACATATCCCATACGCCTGCTCCTTCCATCTCGAAGCCAATAGCACCATGTTGGCGCGCTATCTCGTCGCGCTTCTTTGCATCCTTCATCACCGTGTTTCCTGAGGCTATTAGTCCAATGTGCACATTCGGTAGTCCATCCGCTACTTCAAGGCGTTTTCGCTTCATCAAGGGGCCGTTACAGCCGCAGTCGTGACACGACTTATCATTGTCGCGATGCTGGTACGTCGCATCGAAAGTTGATCACGCTCGCCACCTGGATATTTTGCGCCTAAATCTTGCTCTCCCTGAAGCACGCTTAGATATTCAGTCGTCGCCTTAGCTAGAGCTTTCTTATGGCGGCGCACTTCTAGCCTCTGGAGAAAAGATCGTATCTCAAGATTAGGCCTAGCCAAGCTATCCCCAAGGGTGTCCTTCACTTTGAACTGATCTGGCAACTGCCGTCCAAGGTCGTACTGGATTACACCGCTGCTTATGATAACGTCTCCTAGGATGATTTCGATATCACCAGGCAGAAATGGGGCGGCGCCGCAGATGCCAACTACGAGAGCAAGTCGGATATTGGGGAAGCTCATCCGAAAGCTGGCCGCTGCACTGGAGGAGGCTACCGTGCCTATGCTTGGCAAGTGTGCGAGGACGACGTTGTGTCGGCCAATGGAGCCGGTAGTATAGGAGTTCGGATCATTCGGGGCCTTGTCATATGATACATCCTCGTCCCAATATTTGTCAAATAGTGCGTCGATAGCATCAGCCTCCAGCGGCAGAGCGCAAATGATGGCGATTCCGAAACCCTCTCTCGTGGCTGGACGTTGTAGTGTGTTGTTAGATATAGCAGTGCGGTCCATTTTGTCAGGTCCTTCAAGCTGTTTAGTTACTAGACGGCTTCGATGGCCTCAGAACGATATGTCTGTGAGGCTAGGCATGAGGGGCCTACTATTCATTAATAACTTACGTGTGTTTTATGAAGAGACGGGAAACTTCATGGCGCGATGATTATCGGGGATGAGTAGTGTGCTAGCACAAATAGAGCATGCTATGTGTTTTCGAAGATGGGCAACGCGTGTGATGACAGAAACAGGCCCCGAGCGGAGAAGGCAAGCTTACGACCGAGAACCTCAATTCTCTCACTCTCAACCGTCGCGCCCATGCTAATATAGACAATGGATGCATAGGAACAATGGGAGTGTCTCCAACCAGGAGACAGAACCCCTCAATAAACTGCAACATCGATTGGCTGAAGATGATTCCTTGAGTGTTGGTTGAGGCGAAGGGATGTCACTAAGCGACGCCATGCAGCCACTTTTCGAGGACCAGGCTGGCGCTGAAAGAAGAGGGGATCCTGTTGGCTCGATGCAATTCTTGGCACTTCAAAGTCACACCTTATGCACGCAGGAGGAGGTGTGACGAGCCTGACAATGCCGAGAGGAATGTCCGCCTGCCTCTTGTATCGATGCCTAATTCTAACATCCGTGGATGTATTGGATGTATTAAGAAACGGTTTCGCTCCCACTTTTATAGACCAGATGCACGCGTTGTCAGTTCCCGAGATTTTTCCGTGAAAAAGCAAGATAAACCAAATGCTCGACGACGGCTAACACCAATCAGCTCACGGTCCAATAGTCTAGTTGGTTAGGACGTCGGATTCTGATTCGAGATTTCCGTAAGCCCAGGTTCGAATCCTGGTTGGACCTTGCTTTTCACAGCAAACAAACCCATTTCACCTTACGGTCTAATAGTCTAGTTGGTTAGGACGTCGGATTCTGATTCTTGAAGTTTCCGTAAGCCCAGGTTCGAATCCTGGTTAGACCTTCATTCTTTCTTTTTTCTTTACTTTTTCCCCTCGGGTCCGATACACGCCGCTTCTCCGTTCCGTGCGACCACAGCTAGGCACCAAAAAGATCAATGCTTGGAACATGCCATGGTTGTTTGTACCTCGCCTATTTCCTCATCCTCTCCATCTGTCCGTGAAGGTTCTCGCGGCACTGCTCCTTATAGCCTATAGTTATTGTTGTGGATGTGCCTACGAACTACATAGCCCCTTCCTCCACTTCACCTATCCACTGCGGCATCAATAGTTCGTAGATGGCAGTTGTGAGGGGCGTTTCGAATAGAGGTCCAAACCAATGTTTGGTTACCGCATGACGTCTCAAATGATGAACTGTGGAGGCCAAAAAATTGTAATTTTAGTGGAATGCAACATGAGGTTCCATTGGCAGTATCCTGCCCTGAGCAAATAGTAATATCGACAAGAGAAAGGAATATAAGAGAGGTTACCACCTATATACAGAAAATGGTGGTATATGCAGGTCCCCAGGTTATCTATGTACGTTTTTCACGAATCCATGGGTGCAAATTCCGCAGTTCCGGCCCAGCGCGACGAGGTAAATATAACAAAAAGCCCACGAGAGATGAGCCCAAGAGAAAATAAAAGAAATGCAAAACCCCGCAATCAATCATAGCTTCGTAATCTGTTGCGCCCGTTTGTGCAATTTCGTTCGGCGCGGCGCTGACGACGACTTTCCTTTCGCTTACTCGGTAGGCTCCGCCAGCTGCGCTGTCCCGGTCGACGTGATCACGGCGGACGTTTGGTCGGCGCTGGGGGCGGCTTCCTCGATCAATTCGGGACCGGGGATAGGGTAGGGCATGGGGAGGATCCTGGTAGATGTCGTAGGTCAGGCCGGGGCGTTCTCGGGCCCGGTATAGAAGTCGGTGGCGGGGATTCCTCGGGTGTCGCGGTGCCCTGGCCGGTGACCAAGAGGTTGACGCACTGGGGGTAGTGCTGGGGGCCGAGATCGGGCTCGAGGGCGTAGTGGAGGGCGATGATCTCGTGGCGGAGGACGTAGTTGCCGGGGGCGAGGGCCGGGGGATCTCGACGGTGAAGCTGTTGTTGTTGCTGATGAGGACATCGGTGGCCCAGATGCCCATGGCGGAAGGGTAGAGGTTCAGCGTCCCGTTGGGGCTGATGAGGCCGACCTCGTCGATGGTGAAGAACTCGAGGTCCGTCTTGTTGGCGCGGGCGCACGAGGCCGGGTCCTCGCCGCAGTAGGCCATGTAGGTGATGACGGGCCCGTGGTGGGACTCGGGCCAGCCGTTCCACTGGAAGTGGATGGTGTTGCCGGCCTCGATGGCCAGGTTGCCGTTGGCGTTGGTGGCGTTGAGGTGGCAGACGATGTCGGGCGTCTCGTAGTCGTTGACGCCGACCCAGCCGTCGTCGGGGACCGTGGTCTTCCACGCGGCGAGGACGTCTGGGTTCGCGTCGGGATCGCGGGGGTGGAAGCCGCCGTACGTCACGCCGTCGATGATGAAGCTGGTGATGTAGCTGTGCGCGCGGGCGGCTTGGATGCCGAGGGCGATGCCCGTGAGGAAGGTACCGGTGAGCCTCATGGTTGTGGGAGATGTCTGCGGAACGGATGAGGGTTGTTCTCTGGGGTTGGAGCGGCGGGAAGGGCACCAGATACTGCCACGGACTTGAGAAACACGGAGGAAGAGTAGAGGCTTGGAAAAAGGAAGGGAGGTATGGTCGTTGGCAGAGGGGATGATGTGCCACGTTCTGTTTTTCTGGGAGATGACAAGAAGAGCGCGACAGGATATTATATAGATTCGCGATCCGCGATTCGCGATCTGCCAACGCACAAGAGATGAGCCAAACCCGGAATCTGGTTGACCAGGATTGTTGGCTTCTCGGCTCCGCGAACCGTTGCGACCTAGATCAGATGCCCCGCGCGCGCTCCACAGTCGATTAGTTTGAGGCGCAGTTTATCGATGAAAAGGATCGAGTAGCCTTCCATCGGGATCTCCACACTATCAAGGGAGGATATTTGACCACGATGCTGCTAGGGAGAAAAAGGGGATCGACACAGAGGAAAAATCCCGTCGGCCAAACTCCACCCACAGGGTCGCACCCCTCTCCAATATGAGGGGCGAGGATATAGATTAAGGCTAGGCGTCAAAGGACTGATATTTCCAGGAACCAGATGGGCTAATACTCGTGCCGCGGCGGCGATCGCATCAATTGGTTGGTTGGTGGGTCGGAGCCGGGGGCCAAATAGACTGGGGCGGCTCGATATTAAAACAGCAGATCCCATCCTCAGACGAAAAAGTGCGCAGAATGTTGGTACTCGAATTTTGGGGGCTCTTCCTCCCCGCTTACCTTTCAACGTTTGCTCAAGGAAACATATTTTCTAGATACGAGACTGTTGGATTCCGCCGCAAACGTGACTACATGGCCTCAGTCGCTATTCTACTAAGAAGCCTGGGCTGCTTTCAACTATATTTATATGGAGTTGATATGGAGTTGTAGGGACATCCCCTACGTAATCGTCTTCTCGGTGACGAGAAGCGCCCTTTACTTAAGCTCCTGAGGAGGCACTGCCGATGGACTGCTGTTGCCAACATGAGAGGAGGCGGGGAGCCTCTTTTAGAGCAGAATCTCCTCCTGGCTCGGATATCATGGGAGATATCATTTGATCGGCTCGCGTCCACATGGAGGCGGAGTCGTCATCTCACATATCAACTCGTGCTTCCGCTGGTCCTTGCCTCATGTTGTTCAACCGCACCCAATCTACCTTTGTAGGACCGGTTGTCTTGCTTGAAGTGTGTAGCGACCTACGACGTCCGACTCTGGCATGGCATTCAATCTTCACGAGGTGGGCTCTTACGCCTCTCTGCCTCCGAGGAACTCACGTTGCCTCGTGACAAATTGTTATAGAGGAAAACTAGAGACCTAATGGATGCACGGGAGTACCCAAAACTAGGCCCGCACAAATAGCCTTGGATGGGTTTTCCGTTTTGGTGTGGGCACTTCTTCGTCTCCGCTTGATTTGGTATTATCCGGGATGCGATCGACAGCTGGGGGAGCCGTGATCACCAGCGTAAATTTCCACATTCTGCTTCCTCTCCCCCACCACAAAGCGCCGTTCCTTGGCCTTTTGGGCGGGTCCCGCTTTCGATTCGGGAATCTTGAAACAAGGCGCGAGAGAAGCAATGGAATATCTATCGAATTATTCTTTTTCCACCTATAATACTCTATTTTCCGTCCCTGATATTTTTTCCCCATCTTCTCCTCGCCCTTCCTTGGCATCCTTCGTGTTCTGGTCTCGGGTAGTGACATGGACGTGGCTGGACAGGTTAATTTGGCCCGATCTCGACTTTTCTTAACATTGAAACTCCCCTTTGTGTTCTGCAATCCGGTCAGCGTTCACGCGCGCCTTGGAAGTACCCGTTCCGCGACCGAACAAGGACCGCCGAGAAATGTTCCGTCAACCCGGAAGGCCGGCCCAGGCGACTAGAGAGTGGGAGTGCAACGCGGTGACGTATGATGGGTGACGAGGACGCTGCTCCCAAGACTGTGCACTCGTTCTGTTAGGGCCGGACCGGAATGTGTAATGCCGCGCGGGGAAACGGTCTCGACGTCAACCGAAAAGGCGCAGGGCCGGGCATGCGGGAGACACCCAGGGTAGCGAGCCGCAAAGGCAGGCGGGCGGTGGCTGATGAAGCAATGTCACCTATGTCATCGCGCTGGAATAGATCCGTACAGACGGATGTAACCCTAGAGGTCGATGGATCAAATTCGGACAATCATCCAAGGAAGCACGAGTTGCACTCTATGGTCCCCTCTTGCTCACTTGCTCATCTAGAGAGTCTGCTGGAAGGGATCTCGTTTTCACAGCACATGAGAGCCCGGTGCTGGATCTCACTGGCATGGTCTTCACGACTTTTCTTGCACGGCGCCTGTTTTCCCAGTGCTTCTTGGTATCCTCTGTTTTGCTAGGTGCTCAGGCGTGTCCTAACGTGAGGCCTATATTATATAGCTGGCTGTTCGTGGGACTCGCACCATCTGTGAGATTGATACTAGCAAGTTCACGGCTTTAGCTTATATGTATACCGCGTATCAAGGACCTCGAGGCACCAGTACGCCTTGGCAACATCTAGATAGTAGGGACTGTAGGATCTAGGAAACCCCTAGGCGACAGTCATACGACGGTCGAACAAGAGTTATAGGATAACCTAGTTACAAGTCCCTAAGGTCAGTCATTCGAAGGTCGCAAGACGGTATCTAGCTCCTTACAGCCGCTGAAGATAGATCAATAGATAGATGATAGTTACGTCCCCATATTAGGGTTATTATCTTCCTATCTAGATAATAAGAATGATTATCATTCTTGTAAAGGGGCTTACCTTTTTTTCCTTTGTTTCCATTTTTTTCATCCCGATCAAGAGGAGGCCTATTTTTGGTATATAAATCGTGATCAAAAAGTATGGCTGTAGAGATATGAACGGTTGCAGTCGAGGTAAAGGGTAGTGGGACCATGCCCATGCCATTAGGGAGTCCTAGTTGCCTCCGCTATCTAGATGGGCTTTGCGAATGGAAGGTGTTGTAGAGGAAAGCCAGAATCGAACTTCTTTCACCAGCATGCTCTCCGGTGTCGTGCGCAGGCCCAGCGCCAGCCTTTATACTATGCGCTCAGTTAGTGCTCCGTTAAGAATGTTGGAATCCCTCTTTAGGAATGCTAGAGTGCTTTGTTAAGAATGGCAAATTTGACAAAATGAGGCTGTGAGCGGCAGTCAAGTCTGACAAGCATAAACCACAGCAAGGGCCGAGGGCATTCCATCCGACTAACACATGTGGACTTGCCGCTTCCGGCTTTATGGCCCATAAAAACTTTATTACGGAACCTAGGCCCATACCAAGGTACTCAGCTCGCATCTACAAATATATACCCCGGTACTCTGCGCTCTCATACCTCGACGCCCTTTCCGTACCAACCTAAGAAGCCCCCAGAGGGATCGAGGAACAGTAGCCTACGGCAGCGGCCAGGGCAGCAGGATACTAGGATGCCGGGATCGTGCATACACGGCGCATGCCTAGAAAACAGCCATGATTGGGTTGTTCAGCTCGCGTGTGTTGGTTCGAGAGGGGATTGCTGCGGCGCGCGCGGGTGGCTGGCTCCTGCTGCGAGGGGAGGGCAAGGCTCCGTGTAACCTCGTGTGCAACGGCGAAGAAGAGGGGTGTGGCACGCGCGCTTTGGGACGCGCCAACCTGCAGGTTTGCCGATCGATTTGGAAATTGTCGTTGGTGGCAGTTTCGTTGGGGGCCTTGGATTGGAAAAAAGTGCCGTTCCGACTGCTGTGCCTAGCCCAGAGCCTCCAACGGTTGTGTGGTGGCTGTTGCGCAGGGCACGATACCAGTGGAGGTGCAATTCCAGGGCGAGATATATCAAAATGGAGGCTTTGTCCGGGAGCATGCTGTGCAGGTACTTCGTATTATCCAAGGGAAGCTAACATGGGTCAAGAATGACCCATTCACTCGAACAATCTTTGATTGCTTTTTCTTTTTTGTAACCATTCTCACTCGCGTCGCGTCGTTTTGCGTTTTCATCTGGATTCCCACACTTGACGAAAGTTCTTTCCCCTCTCCTTGCAGAGCCGGCCAACCCTTCCCAGACGAATGCAGGTGCATGGACGTATCATGGTAGAAATGTACAGTGACCAGTAATTGGTCCACGATATGCAAGCGTGTCAGTGGGAGAGACATCTACAAGTAGTAATAATGATGACACCACGTCATCTACAATCGGGCTTTCAAGTTTCTAAGCAGTAGGAGGGAGGAGAGGAGCAAAAGGCGGGGAAAATTCTTCATGAGCATGCTTGCGGGAGAGGAGATGTCAAGAATGGCAACCGAATTAATCCTCCCTTGCTCGGAGATGGATCTCGATGGATTGATGGGGATGGATCCATGCGTATTGCGAACGTGTACGCACACCAAGGAAAGAGTAGGCTATTCAAGAGATTGTGGATGCGTTATGAACACTGAAGGCGTAAAATGCTCGTGTCTGATTCCAGGGTTTCTTTTGCCCTTGTCCCCTGACCCCGCGTCGTCGGGTTTGGCTCCTGGCTAGTCCAAGCTAGGGGCTAGGGGCTTGTTTGCTGACGGGGATCCTCTCCAGGCCATAATCAGGTGGCAGCAGCAATAACCAGAACATTGGGCTGGGCATGATAGGAGATGCATATGGGTTGATCGTGCCATCATCAGATTCCACATGGATCAGTTGATGGCTCGAGAAGCAGAGCATGGCGTGGGCCCTCACCGCCTACACAACCCAATCAGCCCCCTGTCTCACCGTCAAATTCCACACACAGTCCGTCCCATGCCATACCCGAGCGTGCCAGGTATTGGCGATGGGCTCGACGATCATGCTGCTCCCATCTGGCTGGGCACAAAAAAGAAATACCTTGATATTTTTTTGGGTCATCGTCTTTTCCCCCGTCAAACCCTTTCTTTTCCCTACCAAAGCACCGATCCGGCAATTGCGTACACCTTCAAGATACACGATAGCCACGGTCTCGCGCCGGATTTGCAGTCTACAGAATAATCCGGACATTCCAAGTCATTATATTATCCATTATATATATATATATCTCGTACCCTCGGCCACGGACTTCCCACGACTAGTTCTTGGACCAGGTTCACCGCCCAGACATTCGCCCCCTTCCTTACCCTTCTTCTCAGTTCAGCTTCTTCACGTCGTCGTTTTTTGATTGCCCCCAAAACATATATGACAGCTTGACCACGGCAAAGGAAAACAACAGGAAAAACAAGGGATCAGGTCGTATCCTGCTCTCGAATTTATTGAATCAAGATGGACACACAAACGTTCCACACCTACATGAGTAAGATGCAGGCTTACCGCCAGGCTGATGCCGAGCGGGAGGCTCTCCTCGTGGACATCATAGAAAAATACGAGGGCCTACTCCGCGAATACAATCAAAAGTGCGACGACTACAGAAACGAGGTCGAATCTCGCCGCATGTGGCAGCAAAAAATTAGCCGCCCGAAAGGAAGTTAAAGACACCCGGCAGGCACAAGTAGGTACCGTCTCTTTGACTATTATTTCCCCCGGCCTAACCTAACCGAGCCGGAGCCCAATTCCCCAGAATTCCAAGTGGAACGGGGAAGCCCACTCTTCGGTCCACTTGTCTGGCCCGTGACGTCGTACCCGCAATTCAGTTCTTATTCCTCCCCCTTCCCCGGAGCGAAAGGCTGTACACTCGGATCCGTTTTTTTTATGGCACGCATCTGTCTTTCCCTAGTGGCACATCTACATACATCCATTGTATAATATTATAAATATCTGGATGCATCCACCTTGCATCTTTACCCCCTACACCATCATGCTAACCGGGGTAACCCAAACCACAGGAATCCAACCCATTTATATTCGTCGCCATCGACGGCGACGGCGCCATCTTCGACGATAAATATCTCAGCGCCGGCCCCGAAGGCGGAGCCCGCGCCGCCCAACACCTCTACGAAGCCCTACAGGAACACGTGTCCGAATTATATCCCGAAGTAAACACCCAAGAGTGGTCTATAGTCGTCCATATCGCCCTAAATGTCGAAGGCCTCGCCAAGCGCCTCGTCGCCGGCGGCATCATCGCCTCCGTCCCCGACCTCTACGCCTTTGGCCGCGCCTTTACCCGCACCCAGCCCCTCTTTACCTTGGTCGACATCGGCTTCGGCAAGGAGCAGGCCGACCACAAGATTAGAGAGAACCTGCGCTTCATGACCCGCGTCTCCCAGTGCAAGCACATCGTCTTCGGCCCCTGCCACGACAACGGCTACTTACCCGTCCTAGAAGAATACAAGCGCAACGCCAACGTCGCCTCGCGCTTTTCCCTGCTGTCCAGCACCGCGCCCGAGGCGGGCTACCTGAAGCTGGGCTTCCCCATCAAGTCCTTTGACGGCGTCTTCCGCAAGACTCCACTCCCTAGCGTCATCGCTAAACCCGCTTCCCCACCTAGCCCCGTCAGGGTCGCGCCCGCTGCCGCCGCCCCGGCCCCCGCGCCGGGCTCGTCCCCGACGTCCGCCGCCGCCAACTTCAGCTACGCCTCCGTCGGCTCGAACCGGACCCCGCACCCGTCAAGACGATTACGATTGCGCAGAAAAAGGCGGCCGCCCCCAAGTTCTACCTCGTTAACCGGTACGACGAGCGCCTGACCACGACCTGCCCCGCCCCGACCCGGCCGCCGAGAAGCGCTACATGGACAGGGTCCGCAAGCTCGGCTACAACTACTGCAACCGCCACCACCTCATGGGCACCTGTCCCAACGGGAACATGTGCAGCTACGAGCATGGCGAGCCGCTCCCGGCTTCGGAACTCCTCGTCCTGCGCTTCAAGAGCCGCTCCATCAAGTGCCCCTACACTACCTACTGTGAGGACGTCGACTGTCCCTTTAGCCACCACTGTCGTATGGGCAAAGATAAGTGCACCAATGATGTCTGCAGATACGCCGATACCCATCATATGGAGCTTGTAAGTTTCCTTCGCCCCACCCTCCGTGCATCAAGTTTCGTTGACGGCTGTGTGCTAATCGTTGGTGATAGCGTCCTGCTGCTCGCATCCTTGCGGATGGAAAACGGGTGGCGCTCGTTCGATAGAGTTGAGCGATTGGTTACCTTGCCAGGAGCGATAGAACGTTCTCTGGTATCACATTAGTATTAGTTGATTATAGCTGCATCTTCGGACGAGAATACGAGTCCAAGATGCAATCCCCTACACCGTCCTTGTCTTTCTTTCCCGCCATGTTATGCAGCAGCCCTTCCCTTTTGTCGTGAGAGAAGAAATGCTCCGTTCGTTCCGTGCTCTCTTCATAGATACGATCGACAGAGCTGGCTTCACCATGGCGGGCTCGCTTTACAAAAACCCTTTTTTCTTCCAACCCCTTCTGCCCCAGGCTTTATAAAGACCATGCCATCCTATCTTTCTTTCAACAAGAAAGGAAAAAATTATATTCTAGAATTGACAGACACCAATATAAGATTGATCCAATGGAATAGATCCATCTATGCATTCACCCTGAATATTTCAAGGCTTGCTAATTATTGTACAAAATCATGTGCTTCGTAACGCTTCCATGCTATAATGCTCGAAAAAGAAAATAAGAAAAATAGACGCGCTCTCCTCTACTTCCCTCAGATATCAAGCGACTGCTCAGCCAACTCCGGTAACCTATCCCACCCTTCCCCACCACCTCTCTTGCGCATACGCCCTCGATCAGCCTCCCTCTTCCGCGCCTTCTCCAAATCCACCTGCGCCACAGTCACCGCTCTAAAACTCGCATCTTCCCTCTTCTGCGTCCGCTCCTCCTTATTCGGAAGCGGCTTCTTCGGCTTCCCCGGTTTCCCCGGCTTCCCCTCCCCGCTCCCAGCACAGCCTCGGCCTTGCTCTTCTCCTCCGCGTCCGAGCCATCGGCCCCATCCACAACCTCCTCCTCCTCCTCCTCGCCGAGCGCCACCAACCGCGCCCGGAAAGCCTCGAGCTCCCGCAACCTCGCCCGCCGCTCAAACTCCAAATGCATCAACTTATCCGGCGGATCCGGCAACCCGAGCTGCGCCCGCCTCCCCACCCACCGGCGCAACCGCTGCCGCGCCGCCGCGACGCGCGGGGTCGCGCCGACGCCGTACACGGAAATGTCCACGTAGGAGCCGTCGCGCAGCCGCAGCGTCGCATCCGGGTCCCGGAGGAACAGGCGCGCGCACTCGGCGGGGTAGTCGTGGAAGTAGTAGTGGTAGCCGACCCTGCGGCGGATGGGCCAGTACCAGACGTGGCTGTCGCGGAAGCCGAGGCCGTGGGTGACGAGGTGCGCGAGGTGCAGGCAAAAGTTGGTGCGGAAGTCCCGCGCGTCGTCCCGCGCGCGCTGGGGGCCGCTGCGGGGCCCGTCGAGCGTGGCGTACCGGGCAAAGGGGAGGTCGAGGGCCGCGCGCACAAAGAGTCCGGGGATCATGATGTGCAGGTCCTTGGGAGGTTTCCGGCCACGGGGCAGGTGGCCGGGTCGTAGGTGCGCAGCATCAGGATATTGATGGCGAACCGTTCCAGATGGGGTAAGTGCACGGCCAGCTTGGCGGCGTACTCGGGGTAGTCGGACGCGGCGTTGCACATGTCGTCCGGGACCTCGAGCGAGCGGAGGCCGGAACAGGTGAGCACGAGTTCCCACACGGCGCACTGGTCCACGTTGTCAAAGGGACCAGGGTCCGGGAAATCGTGCATGGTGTGGTGCATGATGACGACGTGCTGGATGAGCGCCTTGTACTCGTCGCGCAGGTTCTCCCGGACGTCGCGCAGGAATTCGAACCCGGTCCAGAAGTGGAAGACGTTGCTGGACCAAAAATGGGGGCGGCCTCGTGGTGGATGGCGCGGTTGGCGAGGAGGAGGTTGATGCCGGCGCGGCGGGCGCAGGGGCACTCGACGCGAAAGGTGGTGTCGCGGAGGCGGCACGTCGAGTCCCTGCGGCCCCAGGTCGTCTTGTACATGACGAAGGGGGCCGCTCGCACGTGGCGGTGTCGACGACGGCGTAGCGGCACAGGGCGTTGTGGTGCTTGGTCCACCGCGGGGGTTCGACGAGGGTGAAGTGGTAGATGAGATCGCGGATCTCGCGCGGGAAGTTGAGCAGGCTGGGCCGCCGGCGGAAGTAGAGGCATCCTTCGGTGAAGGGGACGTGGATCTCGGTGGGGTGGCCCGGGGTGACGAACTTGAGTGCCGTATTCATGGTGGAAGAAGATGAAAAAGGGCGGGAGGAGGAGGAAGGGAGGAAGGGAGGAAGGGAGGAAGGGAAGAAGGGTTCAGCTCCCTGGTGGCGGTGGGAGCCTTGGGGGCGGGGTGGTGATTGGGATGAGGGGGTGTGCTCGGTTCCCACGGCCGATAGTCCCAGAGATTTGGAGATCCGAGGAGGGGTGGTTGTCGTTGCGGTGGAAGGGTCATGGAAGGCGGTGGGCCGCCTCACGTTTGGTCGACGGACGTTGTTAAAATGCTGCAAGGGACGTGGTGGCGCGCTTTGGGGCCTGGGCCTGTGGTGTGTGTGGCTGGTGGGTTTGATTGATGCCAATGTCGTTGGGCTCAGCTCTTTATTACTGGCTTATCCCCGAATCCCTGCTTGGTGCCTTGAATAGTGGATAAACCCTCAGCTCAGGGGCACAAAGAAAGACCACTGGGACTGTGCGTCTTCTGCCCTTTCCAAGCTCGAATAATCCTTGAAATGCTCGTGGTCGATTTCGCCGATGAGCAATGGGATGTTCGTGCCCACATGTCCCCCTTCTTATATCCACCGGCCACGGCACAGTCTCGGCTCGGCTTCGTCCCTCTTCCTCCTTTGTTCGCAGGATTGCAGTGATTCATCAATTGTGCGGAGTGCTCCCTCTTCCCGTGATTCCATGACTGATCTGTGCTGGCAGTTGCCTAGCTTGGAGCTACATGATTGGTTCGTTGAAAATCCATCAATGCTTCCTGCAGCGTGCGGACCCAAAAGTTGCAGCGCACAGCCTCTCGATTAGAGGGTCGTGGTAGCGTGGCTTACCGTGCTGTGCCTGAATTCTATTGCACGAGACACTGCACAAGGGATTCAATGTTGGGGATGCCAAGGATTGAGCAAGGACTTACAACTGCACAATTGGGGGATTTGCTCCGATATGTGGCGTTAGAGGTGGCTTGATCGGGTTGACCAGAGTGAGAGGAAGGCGCTGTTTGAGAGGCTACGAGACATGATTGAGATCAATTAAATATTTATATAATTCCACGGCTATTAACTTGTCTACGCTGTTGCAATGGAAGGAGGATTTTGAAACCCTAGAAGAACCGAGGGTCATTGAAATAGGCTCAAGGAGGCTCAGTCTGGAAATGTCAAAGTGAGTCATTGATGCCCCTTATGCTCTCTCGTATTAGCCCGTGGTCACTAACCTCCCAAAAGAGCAAGTGGCCAGCTTCATGCACTTCTAGCTCACCAAACCACAAAAGGTCACCAAGGCAGAAATTAAAGATTTAGTATGTAGTGTGTAATAAAAAAACTTCCTTCGCGCCACGCATCGTCTCACAGCTCCTCCTTCTCCATATCCTTCTGCATCATCCCCACAAGCCCTTGACCCTATACCCAGAGAACCAATAATTCCCCTCGGGGTCCTTACCCACGATGATGAGGCCGTCGGTGAAATTATACGGCCCTTGCATGCTCTGGACGTACGACGGCCGCAGCGGCGCGGTCCGGGGCGTGACCGCCGCCGCCGCGAGATCCGTGCCGTACATGTCCGCCTGTCGCCAGTTAGAGAACATGAGCAGCTGCATCGAGCTCTCGCCGAAAAAGGGCGGGGCGCGGTTGGCCGCGTCTTCTCGGATGAGCGACGTGTAGGCCTCGACTTGGTCGCGGGAGCCTTGCTCGAGGATGGTGGCGCGGATGCGCGAGGCTAGGTGACTTAGAGGCTTTTGGAGGACCTCGTGGACCGGGAGGAGGGTGACGAGGAAGCCGACGCAGTTGCTGAGGAAGGGCTTGTTTTCCGGGAATAGGTCCTTGAGGACGGGGCGCCACTGGTACGCTTGCTGGACGGCGACCTGCAGGTTGCAAACATTGGTGAGCCAAATACTGTCTTATAACCTGGTGGAAAACTTGGGAGGGAAGGCAAGGACATCAAGACTACTTACGGTTTTCTGTGAGTCCTTTGGCAAGTTAGCCATGGCCAGCCTCGTCGTCCACGCGAGGAGAACATCTCCCTCGCTCACGAACGGAGTCCCCTTCTCATCCCCGCCGCGAGCTCCGCCAACGCGCGCTCCCTCAACTTGCGAATAAACGGCGCCGGCACGCACACCATACGATGTTCCTTGGGCCGTATCGCCAACGAGTAAACGTTCATGAGCGCCCACAACCCAAGCCCCGCCGCAGAGACGCGGCGCGGCGCGAGAAAATGCGGCTCCGTGGGGTTGACGCCCACGGCCTCGAGGGGTAGTCGTCGGGCGCGAGGGGCTCGGGGATCTCGTCCTCGCGCCCGCTCAGGGCGAGGATCCAGGCGTTGATGAGAGCCTTTTTGGCGATGGCGTCGCAGGCGAGGTGGATCCAGTGCAGCACGACGACGGTGGAGTTGCGGAAGGACACCACGCGCAGGCCGATCTCGGGCCGGTCGGTGTAGATGTAGTCATCGAGCTTGCGCGGCACCTCGGGCCCGTAGACGAACTCGGACAGGTCGTCTGGGTCGCCGACGATGGAGGGGCGGCCGTCGCGCGGGGCGCGGGGGATGCGGGATCCGGTGTGGTGGTCCTCGACGGCGATGTTGCTGAGGTCGAGGTGGTCGAAGCCGACGGCTGGGCGTGCTTCGGAAAACGAGGCGGGGATGTGGTGCTCGAGATCTCCTTTGTCCTATGTTTGGGGGTCCCGGGTAGTGGTACCCGCTAATGTTAGAAACGTCTGTGGTTTTTGGTTCCTTTTTTTCTTGGTTCTCATGTATGTGTGTGGCAATGTCTGTGTGTGTGGGCGTACGTGTGTATGTGCGGGTGCGTCTCCATGTCTGTGGGTGAAGGGTGGGTGTGGGGGATGGGGATCGGCTTATGCTGCGCTGCGCCTTACATTTTTCCGGAGCCGAGCTCCCAATTTATTCCAGCCCGGACGCCTCACCACGCGCTCCAGGGCGTCGTGAAGCCTCGAGACATCGAGGACGTCGTCAAAGACGAAGAGGGTGTACAGGACAAACGTCCTGAATATGATGGTGTTGTCGAAGAAGCCCACGGGTACCACGCGGTCCGTCGGTATCCGCTCCGGGGCCTTGGGGCCGCTGAAGAAGTCAAACATGATGTCGTCCCCTTTCTCTTCTTCTCTGAATTCTCCGCTCTTTTCTTGGGGGACTTTTTTCTTGGTTTTTCCTCTTCTTGGTTATTATTTGACCGCTATTGTGCTTAGGTGGGAGAGATGAAAGAGTAAAGTAGATACAACAGTGACGCAGATCCATTAAGATGGACGAAAGCTATTATGCGGGGACCTATCCTCCCCTCCCTGACCTGCTCTCCCAATCCGGAGTAAAGATGGACAGGGGCTCACTTCGGCCGTTGGTTCTCCCCTTGCCCCTATACTTGCCCCTCCCCCTTGAAAGAACTAACAGAGGTGGGTAACAAAAATGTGAGGACGAGAGCTCCATCACACAAGATCCCCGGACAGGGAACAAGGGGTCGGTAGTCGATGGCGTTTGTCTCTGTTCTCTTTTATATTACTTACTCAAGGGCCAGAGAGCGGCGATCTTTCTTTTCTTTTTCTTCTTTGTCAAATGCCAAAAGATCCCATCATCTCTCGAGTTCAATGCCGTTACGCACGTTGATACCGGCAAGGAACAAAAGACGCCGAGTTCTAGCGATAATACCAAGTCTTGCCCTCCCAGCAAGGAGGCCAATCAATTCCCAAGTTTGGTCGTGGGCGTTGCATGGATGGAGCCCGTCCGGGGGAGACGAAATTGCGTTTGGCACAAGAGTTTGCTAAGCGAGACTAACGTTTGGCTTCAAACGGCCGCCTTTGCCCGGCGTGGCTAGTGTTGCGCCGATCTCGCCAGTGGCATGCCCCGGAGCACCTTTCCGCCCTCTTTCAACCTTGCTGCTCTGCCGCGGCGGACCCACTTTCCCCTGCCAGGGTTAGTTTTTATCATGATTGATGCCTCTCTCGTTCTGTCTCTTTTTCTCTCTCTCGTTCTATCACACCATTGTCTTTCCCTCCCTCCCCCACCGCGACAGAAGACAGAAAGGCAAAAGACAACGGCGATCATCGTTTTTCTGCTTTGTCGTGGGGTTTTATTTATGGCCGATCATCCATCCCCGCTTAGGGGAAGGAGGGGGCCGGGGAAACGCTGGTTGCTTACCCAAAGTCCCAATGCCGACCCATGGCTTTGCGGAGTCTGGAGATAATTGTTATATGCCCGGGTTGGGTTCAAAGTTGGGAAAAAGGGGGTACAGAGGATTCGCTGCCGAAAACCGCATCATCATGATTCTGCTTCAGAGTTGTCGACCGAAATTGCGGACCGGTCTTTTCCTTCATACGCCCCCAAGAGGTAACCCTTCAGGTCTCTTCTCTTCCGTTTCTTTTTTTCTTCTTTTTTCCCTCTTTTTCTGCTTTTTTCTTTTCCTCTCCCAAAACTTCCCTTCGCATGAAGAAACGCAGTCGAGAAAAGTTCCACCAAGCAACCGGCCCGGCACACCAATCGCCAAAAGCTATTGTTGTCTGTCTGCGATACGACGTGGGCGACAGGGGTCGAGAACGCCGACCCACTCTCCCGCAGTCTCTTTTTGACGTGTAAGAAATGAGAGACGACTTTTCTTCGTCGTCTTTTCCGGAGCAGTCTCCGCGCCGTTTTAGCGCTTCTCTCTTCTGAGAGAAGAATGCGAAGCTAATACACCCTTCTTATTCTTCGTCGGGGCCGCATGTACATATGCCAAGGGCACTATTGCGAAGGATACGCATTCCGGGTCCCCGATCTGAGATTGAATCCGTTTTGTTGCTGGTATTTTATGCGAGCGGCGATGGCACCAAGACAGGAGCGTTGTGCATCTCTTCAAATTTCCATTTTCTTGGTGTCCAAGGTGGCCAGGGTTGCAAGATAACGAACGACACGACGCAATGAGACCATAATTTTTTCATTTCTCACTTCGTCTTCGTCTTCGCAGAGACCGACACGGCGGATTCACGATCATCTCATAATAATCTTTCTTAGATAGCCCCCATGTGACTTACGATCTGATGCCTCCCCACTTCCTACCTACCTTGTCCCTTCTCTCATGCCGATCACGAATCCCCAGCCCTCGTCTTCTCGGCGACCCCTTTCCCCTTTCACAAGTGACAGGGCCGGCACATCTCTCTTAGCACCCGCCCAAGGGCAGAAAAGAATTTGCCTACGCTAGCGTCCCGCAGGACGGACAACAAAGGCGTGGGTTTCCTGTCGTGCTTTGGGGGCCGGCGCGGCAAGACGGCCTCGGCCAGCCAAGGAGTCTGAGGCGCCGCCACAAGGACCTCCCTCATTCTCCCCATCACACACAGGATCATGTTTCTCTCTGCAATAATCACCTCGCCCCCTCTCTCCCAAGAAAGATGCTGCTGCAAGGGGCAGCAAGGGTGTAGGGGTTCGCGACAGAAGCGACCTCGACCCACTCCACGCCCAGCCCATAGACCCATATTTCCCCGACTGACGGGACGGCCGCTTTCGGGTTGGATCGGCAGGAGAGAGGGAGAGCCTAGGAGAAATTTCTCAATTTGTGCTGTCCAAGAGGGAAAGAAAAAGAAAAAGTGAGAGATCTGGTATCCTGTCTGTCGGGCGCTCCAATGCAGGGGACAAGAGGCGGGACACCACGTCGTGTACTTGTAGGGTAGGTTTGGTGGCTTTTTCCTGATCTCCAAACCGCCGATGAGCTCTGAACGCCTCCACGTCTCAAAAGGTGACGGTTGCGTCCTTCGCGAATGTTCTTCTATCCTTGGTTCATCCTCGAAGAAGCACTTTTCTGACCCTTTGTCCTTCCTTTTTTCGTCTTCTTTTCTTCACCCGCCCTTCCTTTCATTCCTTTTGCGATCTAATTCACCAAGGCCTCGATCGGGACCGGATAGTGTCATGACCAGCTCGGCAACACGGTCTTAGTCGTCGCCAAAGCGAAGCTCTCCCTCCCTCCTTCCTCCACCCCACATCATTCTCCCCGCGATGGAGGCACTACTGAGGAGAGGCAACGAAGAGGGAGAGCGCATCTCCGAGATTGCGCACTCTCTACCACGGATACCCTCGGAGGATTCACGATAGCGATCCAAGCCGTCTCCTATCTCCTTTGCGCCCTATCCACCCTCATCGTCGGATTGCGCATTCTCGTCAGGGTCAAACTTAACGGCTCGCAAAGGGCATGGGGATGGGACGATATCTTTGCCGTCGCTGGCTGGGTATGTGCTAAGCCATCTGTTGATCCCCTTTTCTTCTTTTTGCAAATGTGCCTAGGCCCATATTGTGCAGTACGCATTGGATTGCATTGGCTATTTCTGCGAACGGCATAACTAACTATGCACGTGAGGCGTAACCACAGCTTCCCATGTGGCCCTCCATCGTCTTCCTCATTCTCGCGACGCAATGGGGATTAGGAGCCCACGACAGCCAAGTCCCCGAGGGCATGCTCCTCTACTACCAGGTCCGGGTCAAGGAGTACATGTTTTACTTTGAAATGATTTACTTCGCCTCCTCCGTCCTTACCAAGCTCGCCATGGCCATCATGATCCTCCGCCTGAGCTCCACCAAGATGTACGCCTACATCATCTGGGGCAACATGATTGTGCTCGGCATCAACGCTACCGTCTGCCTCATCATCATGTTTGTCAGCTGCTCGCCCATCCCCGCCTTGTGGAACGAGGCACTGTAAGTCTTTCATCTTTTTATTTTATTTTTCGCATTTGGCAACTCGTCCACCCGCTAATAACCGTCCGTCTCTCTCCGCCTTAAAGTGGATTCTGCCGCATCAAGCACGGATGGATCATCATCAGCTACGCCGGGTCCGTCGTCCTCGCCATGGTCGACTGGACATGCGCCATCACCCCATTCTTCATCCTCCAGGGACTGCAGATGCCGCGCCGGCGCAAGCTCTCGGTGCAAATTATTCTCGGCCTCGGCATGTTTGGCAGCGCCGCCGGCCTCGTCCGGATGGGCTACTACCACACGTACGACACCGAAAAGTATCCCGACGAGTCTCTCTGTAAGTCCTCCCGAGAAACACCCATTCCGTTTCATCTATTTCCCCGCCAGGGCCTCCCGCTTCGTGCGGAAGAATGATGGGCAGAGCTAACCTCGCGGCTCCACTTTTAGTTAACTGGGGCCACACTATTTTGTGGTCAGTCTTAGAGGCGGGCCTGGGTGTCATCGCTTGCTCTCTGCCCCCGCTCCGCATCTTGTTCAAGAGGTTCTACCAAGGCTCCTCTGGCATGTCGGGAAGGAAGTCTGGCATGGACCTACGTACCGGCGAGGTAAGAAATTCCCACTCGGTCATATTAATACCCATCATGGCCAAATATATCTTGATTTTCTTCTTGATGTCTTTTGGGCAGAGCGTTCCTATGAGAAAACACCGCGACTAACCAATCTTTTCTTCATAGACGGGCACACAGCTCGATTCTCTCGGGCCCAGTGGGATGCAAAGAGCATTCGCCGGAAGGACGGCCCCTCTTGGAGCCGGCTGGATGATTCAGTGTCCACGTCGAGCCAACAAAATATCGTCAAGGAGACCCGGATATGTGTCGAGACAAGCAGCGCGGAAGAGGAGCTCACCGATCACCCGAATCGCCATAAAGGCCACGGGACATACTGGAGAGAGCAGGTATGAGCTGCCGACTCGCAGGTTCGAGACGTTTTTGTATTCGGGTTTCGGGTCGGGGTTCGGGGCCTCTTAAACGGTTAAATCAAGCAATAGATTCAAATAGAAGTAAAAAGTAAAAAGCCATCAACAAAACAGAAGGACATGACTGTGGCAATCTTGTGACTATCGCTGAAGCTATTGAAGCTATGGACGGCGAGCCTCGGGGTGTTCCGGGGCAAAATCGAACCAATAGGAGAGCGCCAGACAGAGTCGCTATAGTTCTACTCCTGAAAAGCGAACAATGGCAACTATTGTTTGTACTGTGACACTCAAGGAGCGATTATGTATAAAATGTCTTTCAATTCCGCTTCGAGCACTTTCCCCACTACCTTAAGTCAACTTTCAAGGCCAGTGCTTTCCAACTCTCCTCCGTGCACACATCGTTGGACTTGAAGTGGGGACCGAAGACAAATGCAACTTGTGCCCACCAGCCTGATGAGGGACATTTGGGCACACAGTTTTCAACAAACTAGTAACACGGTCGGTTAGCTCAGTTGGTTAGAGCGTGGTACTAATAAACTATCCGGTTTATCAAGTAAATGCCAAGGTCATGAGTTCGACCTCATACTGACCAACCATCTCTTTTTGCTCTTTCGAGTTCCATCTTTTGGCCGGCCGTCATCTTATTTACATGTAGTGATTTGTTCTCTCGGCCAAGGTGGATGGTTAAATTAGACTTCCGTGTCTTGTTAATCGTCATTATGTGCTTGTTTGGCTAGACCCGAAAAAATTCTATATCATCGGACGCAAGCTTAACAGCTTCAAAATTCTTGATGTACACGTATGTGCCCATGCGAATCCCAGTGGACAGACAACATACCAATAACGATACAGTTAATTAGAATCTGAAAAAGCTCTACTCCTTGATTTCCGCCTTGTGGAAGATGTCTATTGGTCATTGTTAGCCCCAGAAAAGCCGCTTCCGCTTTCTTCTCATAACCGACACTGCAACGGAACATTCGTCCTTACCAGGAATCTCCGGCATCCAACCCGTCCTATCCTCGCAGAAAAATTCGCCCTTGGGCGGAAACGAGTCTGGCTGGTCAAACGTTCCCCACATGACGTAGCGAAACTTGTCGGCGGCTTGTTCCTACATAATCCGGCCCTTAGTTATCTCTCTAGGCCTGACAGAGGGACGAGCAGAATATATCAGAAGCAGACGTACCCCATATTCGCAGATGAAGGCACCGCAGTTCTCGCAAAACTCACGGGTTACTCCGTTATCTTGCTTGAACACCCTCGGCGATCCCTTTTCGTATTTAAACCCATCAATCGAAACCTAGGCGGAGAGGGCAAATCAAGTTGTGTTAATTAGTCGGGCATCGCTCCCTGCTTGCTGGTTCTCCGCCAGCCTTCATCGCTCCGCTTACGGGGTAAAGATTCTGCTCACCTTGGTTGTGAGGCCGTAGTTGGTGCCAAAGGCGCGGCGGCAGCTGAGACAATGGCAAAGCGAAGTTCTCGCTGCGTCGGGAGAGTCCATGGAAACGCTATATTGGAGCGTGTCGCACACGCATCGTCCTTTATAAGTGGGCATTATGACGAGGGTTGAACAAGGAGGGGACGTGGGGTGTCAAAATATTCAATATCTGAGACCTGTGGGCAAATTAGTTCTGTCAGAGGTTGTAACAAAGGTTGTAGTATAGAGTAGGGGAAGTTTTCATGGTTGTTTTGGATGTCGAAGACTGAAATCAAGCCCCGTGTTGTCGCAATGTCATCAGATCCATGGATCGTGGATCTTAGTCTGACGTCGCAATTACGTCTGGAACCGCTTCAAGTGATGGACACTGCTTCGAAGCTAATCTTCGCAATGTTGATAAAACTACTATATTCCTTTTCTAATAGCAAGTATTGTATATAGCTTGATGCTAGAGCTAATAATTAAAATCATTTGGAAACCTATTGACCGATCAAGGTATTCGAGTCCATTCCTCGAACCAAGTGCGTGGAACGTGAAGACAAGACCATCGTCAACACCAGGAGAGAATACTAGTTTTGTTTCGATGACACGGCCTCATTGGTTCATTAGATCATTATTCAGTCCACTAGTTCAAGCTCTAAATCTTCGGGGGTCTTTGTCTTTTTCCACTTCCAGAGCACTCGGATTAGGGGCTGAAGTGAAGCGGTACGTGCCACCCTCCATCGTGGCGTCGCGTGCAGGGGAGCGCCAAGCGACAAGCGGGACTTGCCGGCGTTGAGTCACTCCCCGAGACATTGTATTACAACCGTTCCCATTGCTAAGGCTTGAATCCGCGATCGTGAGCAAGGGAAATTCAAGACTAGCTCGTTAAGCGTATGTTATAGATCGGTGAAAAGCTCATAAATCCCTGCGCGATGGAAGGCGCAGTCCGCAAGGCCTATGTCGTCGGGCCCTTGAATATTGGTATCACGCTCGAAATCGGTCTTGGGGTCAAATTAAGTGGCGTTTTCTAGAGACGGACCAGGCTAGTAAAGCAAGATATAAACACAGCGCCTCACCCAGAAAACACCCAACTTCCACTTCCTCCCACCCGATTCCTCCAGGGCCAACAGACACACCCTCCCGCCGGTCCCAAGCGGCGTCCTCCACTCCCTTGACCAAGACACTTGCCCGCGCACCATTCATTTTGGCTGAGCCGAAAGCATGTCTCTAGACTCTTTACCAACGGAGCTTCTGTGCAACATCCTGTGCCGTTTGGATCCGATCGGCCTGATCTCGGTCAGCCAGGCCAACTCCCGGCTCCGGACAATCGTCGCCCCCAGCGGAGACACTTTGTCGAGAGACTCCTAGCCCTCGAGGCTGACCCTCGGCATGGCGGGCCTCCGCTCAGTTTCCGGTCGCGGGACAACCACTTGGATCCCGGGACCTCGGAGTCGGGGTGGGATGCCATGCGCTGGGCATGCACCCAGTGCATGCGCCTCCGCCCGCACACGGCCTTTGGGAACCACGCGCTCTTGCGCCTACGCTACCGGAAGCCCCGCCGGGAGTCCTAGGCTTCGTTTGCCCACGACGTGGATGCCCACAATGAGCCACATGAATCCGCGAAAGGGAGGCACTGGCGAGAACGATGAAGACGAGGGCGACGACAACGATTCTCGCGATCGCGGCCCCGAGACGTCGATCGGGCGGCGGCGCTACCTCCTCTGCTGCACCAACGGGGTGGGCCACTCAGACGACTGGGTAACGGCAGCCCAGAGGCTCCAGACCTACGTGGACTGCGGCATGGAAGGGTTCGGCCGGATGACGGGCTCGCAGTACATCATGCTCAGCAAGAAAATGGAACTGGACTTGCTCGACGAGAACGCGCACGCCATCGAGCTCGCGCGCTGCGGCTACCAGCGGGCCCGCCGCACGTGCAACGAGTGCGCATTTCACCTCGGCCGCCTGACCTACAAGCGCCAGCGGACCCACGGCAGCGCCAACTTCCCCATCCTACCGAGCCGGGAGATCCGGTTCGACTCGCCGCTGACCCGGTGGTTCCCTGGGTTTTGGGAATACGTGCCCGGCGTGGGGCCCCGCCCGGAAGTCGAGGTCCCCTGATGCTGATCCGGCGGGCCGACGCGGTGGACCAGCGGTGGATCACGTACGTGGCCCGCTGCCAGGGCTGCCACGGATGGAAGGAACTACGAGATTTCCGGCTCGGCGAAATGCACAACCAGTGGATGCCCACGGCGTCGCCCGAGTCCGACGGCGAGCAGGCCGACTGGTCGCGCCAAAACTGGGACGGCACGCCGCTGACGGAAAAGTTGCTCGAGAGCGCGCGGTGCAACGCGTGCTTCGCCAGGAGCACGGGCGGGAAGCGCTCGCCGCCGTGCTGGGCGAGTGGATCGCCCCGCTGCTCGACAAGCAGCTGCGGGCGGCGGAGCACCAGCTTCGGCGCGGGTGGAGCTACGATGGGGACGGCCTTGTCAAGATGGTGCGGCACAAGTACGCGTGGGAGGTCAAGACGGCGATCCGGCACAACCCGTGCGTGAGGACGACCAGCGCGCTGGGCTACGCCGAGGTGGCGGCGCTCGTGCACCTGCGGAGCCAGGCCGCGGAGCTGGTGCGCAGGATCGAGGACAACTGCGACGGCACGGACGAGCTCCGGGCGTGGTACGCCGCGTGGGAGACGGGGTTCGCGGAGGCGGAGCTCGTGTGGCGGTGGTTGATGGATTGTAGGACTCGGCTCGCGCTTGAGCCGGGTCCGTTGGTGGATTGGGCGCTTTCTCGGAGGGGGATACGGCTCACGTAGCTTTTTACCTAGAGGTTTTCTGTTTTCCTTTCCGAGACGTGGGGTGGTGGTTTGCTTGCACGTTGCGTGTGGCGCTCCCATGCCCGAGAAAAAAGTGTCGGTATAATTGAAATACTCCGAGGCAAGAAAATGAAATACAATTCGCACACACCTCCGCGATTAAGCTTAATTCGTCACCCCTGTCCCGGTCCTCCTTCTCTCTCAGCCAGACTCCCTCAGTGATGTGTGTTGTTGGCCACGGGCGAGGGCGGGCGAGGTCCATCAATTGATGACGCCAGCTTTTCAGGGTCCAGCAGACCCTCTCCGGAAGTTAATCCCACTTTACCACAGGTTACACCCGCTCTATCCGCCTCGCTCGATGCTTCCCCTCTAGTATCCTTTTCGAGATCAAAGTCTTTCTCCACGGCTGTTTCAGGTTGCGCGAGAAGCGGCAGTCAAATAAAAGGAGAGCATCCTCTAATTTTCACACGTTTCCTCATTCATGGGGATATCGGCATCGGCGGCACTGCTTACGCGGGCCAAGTATTTTAGGGTGGCTTGTTAGCTTGGACCCTTGAAATCGGTCCATTCCATGTCCTGTGGAACAGTCGCATATTGTTTGCAGGGCGGGAATAATTGCCGAAGTGCTGGTCTCTCAGCCCGAGATTCCGCTTCCATCGAGAATTACCAACGAATAGATCAGACAAAGAAGGTCATCAGACAGGATGGGTGGTCTCATGCAGCAGCAGAAAACGCAGCAGTAGACACCAAGGGAAGAGAGGAGAAGGGAGGATTTGCGGCGTGTCCGAATGAACCCAAGCTTGCGTTGGGTCCCCGCTTCTCTTGCCGTGGGGCGAAGTGCTTGGTAGCGCACATCGCTCGACGTTGCTCCCCCTCGGTTATAGTCCTTGCATCCATTCGAATTGACTTAGCGCAGTCTCACAAGGCAAGCACGCCGAGATGGTGGTGGTTGTGATTGTGGGTGGTGGTGGGGCTGAGGCATGTGGGTAGGGACCGAAGCCGACCCATCCGGGGTTGCGTGCCACTCTGGCTTCGTAGCAGTTGTGGCTGAGCCCCCGTCCAACAAAACACGAGGAGCAAGGAACAGCCAGCCATGAGCTGTTCCCCCATGACCTTGTGGCTCAGTCTCATAACGTTGACATTGGGATGATTAGAACCCCGTCCTTTTCTGAACGGTCGTTCCTTCCTTTTGCTTTTGGTTTTTCGATTCAAGGAACCACTGCGGCGGCCCTTGCTTGCTTACCCCATTCAAGTTAAGCCACTTTTGGCCGAGCGTTTTGTGTCGTCACACGGCCTACAAAGTCCACACAAGGTCGACGTCAGCTCTTGCTCCTCTTTTCCTTAGTCGTATAAACCTCGCCCCTAACCCTCTCCACCTTTTCTTTCCCCTTTTTCCAATTTCTTCTCCCTAGGCTCTCATCTTTCTTCCTGTCTTTAAGGAATTCTTCTACCAGAGTCCTTCTTGTCAGTTCCCGGGATTTCGTTTCCGCAAACGAATTTCACGACTTGCGACCAGCTCCAGCGAGAGAACGACGATACACCCCTCTCTTCACCCCGCCAAGACAGGGAAGCGACAACACCCCTTGCGAATTGCGCACCTGCAGATAATCGGCGCCCACATACATCTTAGCACAAACCGTTAATTCCGACAATGTCAAATCACGGATACTACGGCGGTGGCGGTGGTGGCGGCGGCCAGTACGGCGGTGCTCCTCCTCATCAGCAACAACAGGGAGGATACGGCCAAAACTATCAACAGCAGGGCCAGTACAACCAACCCCAAGGCTACGGCCAAGGCGGCTATCCTCAACAGGTTCGTCGCTCTACCACTCTTTTTTCCCCTCTGTTTCTTTTGTTTTGGCGTGCGTTCGCGCGGCTCCTCTGTTGCGCCAGGGACCCTATGGCACCCTGCGTTTTTGCCAAGGAATCCATCCGACCCTCGGGATCAGACTATGCTAAAAGGATGCATCTGCAGCAGCAATATGGCGCACCCCCGCCGGCCCACTCCCCTACAATCAGGGTCCTGGTTACGGTGCCCCTCAACAACCCAGCTACGGCGGTGGCCACCACCCCCAACAGCCCTCGTACTCTTCTCCCCCACCGAACCATCAGCCCTACTCCTCCCCTCTCCCGGCCAGCAACAGGGCTACGGCGCGCCCCAGCAGCAAGGGTACGATAACCGAGGTTCATCACCTTATCCCCCCAGCAGTCCTATAACCAGCAGTCGCACCAGCCTCAACAACACTACCAGGGCGGCAACCCCGATTTCGGCGGCCAGCCCTCCTACCAGGGTGGCGGTGCCGCCGCATATCCCGGCCAGCCCGGTGCTCCCGGGGCCCGGATGGTGACCGAGGTCTAGGTGCCACGCTCGTCGGTGGAGGTGGTGCGGCGTGGGCCGCGCACAAGGCTGGAGGTGGCATGTTGGCGACGCTAGGCGCTGCGGCGGCGGGTGCTGTGGGTGCCAACATGTTTGAGAACAAGTTCAAGAAGTGAGTTATCTACATCCCCTTCGTGCTAGTACACCGGTATAGACGCGAGGAGTACTTCAAGTCCCGACGATGTCTACCTATCGGGAGGTTCTGTCGGCATTCCTCGTCTCCCTTTGCGTATTCTATCAGTTTCTTTTCTCCCTCACTTGAAACCATGCGGTCGCTAACCTTGCTATAATTCTAGGAACAAGAAGCAAAAGAAGGAAAAGAAGTATGGTCACAGGGGCGGCGGCGGTTCGTCGAGTAGCAGTGACTCTGACTAGAGCCAAATTTTCTCTTAAGTGCCTGGATTCCGCTAATAAGAGATACCTACATTCACGGGCTATAAGAAGCATACCATTAGTTACCTTTGCCCTTTCATACTTTTACTTTGCTCTATTTTCCTTGGGATAGTCGGGACAATTGATCATACATAACATATTAATACGGCATCAATAGCCTTGTTCCTGTACCGTCGTGACATGGTGACGTGTGCGAAACATGCCTACCACTTCCTGCTATCTACTTTTATAGTCACTAGCATTAGAGCAAAACCAACCCCGGCTTCGAAAAGACGAGTCTCCAGGGATCTAAGAGGAGGGTTCACACCTTTTAGCCTCCCTTCCCTTGCCGGGCCGCCGAGCCGCCTTCACAACTAGCTCTCGGCAACACCCTATTTCGGGATGAAGGGTGGACAAACAACAGTAGCACCCCTTTCGAGTGTTAGCATGGAAAGTACCTGTAGAGATCTGGGCACCGTGCCAAAACTTGGGGAAGCCAAAAACCGAGCCCGAGGGGCGGAAGACTGTGCCACACACGGAGGCTGTGTTGTGTTTTTGCGAAACCCCAGCTTCTTAGAAGGCGTGGCAATTGTATCCTTGATTAAGCAAACCGAGAGAAAGGGAAAGCCTCACATTTTGATGAAACCACGAGTCGAATCGGTGAACTAAGGGTAAGGACACTTGTTCGTGCGCCGGACGATAGCTCTCGCCCAAACATGTCGCGCCCACCAGGCCATCTTACACAACGTGTGGATCAATGTTCCAAAATTTCTTCATGCAGCATGTAACCTAGATCTTTCTCCCTTCCCTTTCTAAGCTCAACCTCCACGTGGCAAGAATTTGGCGTTGATTAGTTTCCCTTCCTGGTGATAGGTTCCTGAGCCAATCGCCTATGACGCCCGCGGGGATATCGAGTTAGACGATTTGCTTGCGAGAATCCAGGCTGCGATTATTGCACACCACGCCCTCCATGAGAAGCTCATGTGGGCCTACTTCGCGATTGCGGCAGAGAGGGTACCACTCCTCGTTCACGAGATGGAGAGGCTTTTAGCTTCCCTACGGCACACCAGCCAAGAGTTCGCTCTTCCATCTTCCGCGGGTCTAGTAGTGTCTCGTCTAGTTCCGACGCGGAGATATGTGGCAACAATTGCCGGTGTGCTCAACACTCTCACCATATTTGGCCGTAAGATTTTGACGATTCATACACCGCCAATGGACAATGCCCCTTGCAAGCTATTCTCCTAGGACAGTTGGGTGAAGAATTATGCCAACCAAGGGCATCCCTGCCAGGCCCAACTCTCTTCTCTCCGGGCTTAATTCGCTCCTTGGCGGAACTACCGGAGGCCATCCTCCAAAAGGTTGTTTTCAGGGGTAACGCGCCCCTAGATGGTTAGTTGTCCGTTCTACTCGCTACGCACACTCTCGAAGCTGATTCAGACGTTGACATGATGAGCTTGGTCGGCTGCATTGCGCAATATACCGTTCGGCTTGATAACACCCTTAAACAGTGTCAGTTTGTCGGGTTTCTCACGCTTGCTACCTTGCGACCCTACCTGCACAAAGCCGCGGTAATGACAGTCATGGAGGCGCTCCGCCATTTAAACTCTATACCGCTCCTAAGTTCGAGCTCTACAACTCCAGGGTCCGAATGGTGCGGCTCTGTACCGCTTCCGGATGGGAGGACTGACTCGCGCCAGGATTACCAACTAGACGGGACCGATCTTGAAGAAAGTGAAGAGAATATTTCTGCCATAGTATGCTTCGTAGCACCGTTCTGCTGCTCGCCGTCTTGGGCTGCGTGGCTGCGCGGTGCCGTGGAAGTTCTCATGGACGATCTGAACAGCGAGTGGGTGGTCGCTTATGTTCAAACCGCGTTGGACCAGCCGCCCCAAGTTGAACTCACAACAATTAACATAGCAGCCTCACGAGCCGAAGCTGATGAGGGCAAGATGATTATAGAATCTGGGGGCATATCGCTGTACATGGCCATTTCCGGCTGTCTGGACAGGTCACGAGAGAGGCAAGTCGTATACTCTTGGAAAAAACGTATTTGGGAGTCTCTGCCAAGCTGACCATGGGGTGGCTCACACCTCTGGGTATCGTGGTCTTTCGGAATGATGGCCATGGAAGGAATTTCATGTGGTTCCCCCAGAAAGAATGACACTCAGATCACCGACTTACTTCGTAATAGAGCCTCGCGACCCAACTCACGCTGATGAGGAAACCCTGCATTAATTACGGATCTTGACCTATCGAATGTGTCTCTATATGGTCGTGTGGCGCATTGACACTACAGATCGGCTATACTTCAGGAGTTTGAGGCAGTGTCTCTACGCGTCTTGTGGATCTGGACTCAGCCTGATCTACATCAAGTAATCACTCATCTTGTCTTAAGACCTTGCGCCAGCATGGGTATAAAAGCTTCATCCTACTAGAGCACGTGGATGTTATTCGAATCGAATATACTCCAATACTCCAATGACCAGTAGCGGCCCGTTAGAGCAACCTATTGCGACTAATAAACCATCCTTTGATATTGCGATCTCACTCACAGTCACGACTGGGGGAATTAATATTAGCTTTTGCTTCCCCGCCTGATCCAGCGTTCCTGTACCCATAACTGTGTGGCGCTATCGTTTGTCTCCGGGAAAGCCCCGTACGATGGAAGCACGAGTATGTCGTCATGTGGCCGAGCGACCACCTGATCTGTATTCAACTCCCGGAAATAAGTCCGATGCATCGTAGTTATCTGGGAAGTTTGAGTTTCGGGCGCCGGATGACTCTCCCAGATTCTTATAGTGCCATCATATGAACTAGAGATGATACGAGTACCATCTGGCGAGAAGGCCACCGATGACACCCAACGAGTATGGCCTTCAAGCTTATGCATTTGCTGCCCTGACTTAGCATCCCAGATCCTGATCGTTTCATCATCTGAACCAGAGATGATGCGAGTACCATCTGGCGAGAATGCTACTGATCTAACCCAATCACTATGGCCTTCAAGCTTCTGCATTTGCTGCCCTGACTTAGCATCCCAGATCCTGATCGTTTCATCATCTGAACCAGAGATGATGCGAGTACCATCTGGCGAGAATGCTACTGATCTAACCCAATCACTATGGCCTTCAAGCTTCTGCATTTGCTGCCCTGACTTAGCATCCCAGATCCTGATCGTTTCATCATCTGAACCAGAGATGATGCGAGTACCATCTGGCGAGAAGGCTACTGATCTAACCCAATCACTATGGCCTTTAAGCTTCTGCATCTGCTGCCCTGACTTAGCATCCCAGATCCTTATCGTTTCTTCAGCTGAACTAGAGATGATACGAGTACCATCTGGCGAGAAGGCCACTGATGTAACCTCGCCACCATGGCCTTCAAGCTTCTGCATCTGCTGCCCTGACTTAGCATCCCAGATCCTTATCGTTTCGTCAGCTGAACCAGAGATGATACGAGTACCATCTGGCGAGAAGGCTACTGATCCAACCCAATCACTATGGCCTTCAAGCTTCTGCATCTGCTGCCCTGACTTAGCATCCCAGATCCTTATCGTTTCGTCACCTGAACCAGAGATGATACGAGTACCATTTGGCGAGAAGGCTACTGATGTAACTGACCTACCATGGCCTTCAAGCTTCTGCATCTGCTGCCCTGACTTAGCATCCCAGATCCTTATCGTTTCGTCACCTGAACCAGAGATGATACGAGTACCATCTGGCGAGAAGGCTACTGATCTAACCCGCCAATCATGGCCTTGAAGCTTCTGCATCTGCTGCCCTGACTTAGCATCCCAGATCCTTATCATTTTATCATCTGAACCAGAGATGATGCGAGTACCATCTGGCGAGAAGGCTACTGATGTAACCGACCCACCATAGCCTTCAAGCTTCTGCATCTGCTGCCCTGACTTAGTATCCCAGATCCTTATCGTTTCATCATCTGAACCAGAGATGATACGAGTACCATCTGGCGAGAAGGCTACTGATGTAACTGACCTACCATGGCCTTCAAGCTTCTGCATCTGCTGCCCTGACTTAGCATCCCAGATCCTTATCGATTTATCATTTGAACCAGAGATGATGCGAGTACCATCTGGCGAGAAGGCTACTGATGTAACCGACCCACCATGGCCTTCAAGCTTCTGCATCTGCTGCCCGGACCTAGCATCCCAGACCCGTATGGTTGTATCATCTGACCCAGAGATGATTCGAGTACCATCTATCGAGAAGGCCACTGATGGCACTTCTCCAGCATGGCCTACCATCGTCTGGAGGCACGGGCTCCAGCCCTGCTCAACTATCGGTTTCGGAGAGATCCAACTTGGTTCTTCAGACTTGAATAGTTTTCGGATGACACAATTCGCGGGTGCGAAAATGAGTGCGGATACATATGTTTGTAACGGGGACTTTTCGATAAATGCGCGGCTATGCAGGATGAAGCGGTAGGCGTCTTCTATTTGCCGGACCAAGGTGCCGTGGTTGCTTGGCTAACTGACAGTTAGATATATTATTATTCTCTCTCTCGCTCTTACTCTCAGCATTGCGGGTACTAACCAGAACCCTGGAAAGCTGGGGGAAAGAAGCCATTGGGTTTATGAAAGCCTCGAGAAGACTCAAGGCTTCGAGCCAGTGGAGGAAATGTTGCCGAATGAATATAGAAAGAACTTTGACCAGACTCTTCACTTCTTTATCGGGGAATAGCACACGCTTCAATCGATAATGTAGCCGTGGGCGGAGGTTGCTTGTAAGAGCAGCACAGACGTGATCAATCCAATACACGCAAGAATACCCTATAGCAAGGAGTGGATCCTCACTTGGCGGCGTGATATCTTCGAGAAGGGTCCCGGATATTTCAAGTCGTAGATATCTCTCCTCAATGTTCTGTTCATCTCTTCAAGGGATCTGTCGGCAATATCGCGGTGTACGGCTTTCTTCCCAGAAGGAAATATTGTATCGAGCGCCTCTTCGCTAACCAAGTAGTCATTGGCCGATTGATGGATAAGGTAGATGCGATGGTCAAGAAGAGTAAGGAAGGAGCCACACAACTCCACAATCCTCTTCAAGTCAAGATCATCGCACGAGAACCCTGCTAAGGTCCGCAACTCGAGAATGTGAAGGGGGCGATATGCTGCCGTTACGATAGACAGGGTTCTAAGGCACGCGTCTCTTGTGTCGGTTCTTGACATCATCACCTCCATCATCCGGCCGTAAAGAGCTGGAAGGCCTTCGGGCATCTTTTGAATCAGGCCAATTATATCTTTAGCTAACACATCGCGGACCGACTGGAAAACCAAGTCAACCCATAAGAAGGTGCCGCCAGCCTTGTCGAGGAGTTCTTTCTCGACGATAGCCTTCAGTTCAGGGTTTGGTTGCAGGGATGGTATTCGCATAATTTTGTGATGGATGTAGATCTCGATAGAGTTGCGCACAGCCTCCGAGTTCACCTCCAGACTCAACGTGAGAGTCTCATCGATAACTACAGTATTGCGGCTTGTTACGATCCATTTCAGGCAGCTGTTTTGCTGGGAGGTATCCATAATAAGTTGAAGGAGGTCGTCTCGCTCAGTTTCGCACTCATCAAGAGCATCGACAACCAAGTAAACGGTTCCTTGAGTGAAACTTTGAACCATGTCCTGGAATATTCTAGAAAGCGCATGGAAGGCATTTGCATTGCTAGACGAATCGAAAAATTCTTTGCCCTTTCGGGCGTACTCATGCTTGATGAAGGAGATCATGCTGCTATCCTGGAGCATTAGGAGATAAATTAATCCCTTGAGGATAGCCACTGCATCATTTAGCCTCGGGTCAGTATTCTGGCAGAAGAAGAATGATAAAGTTTCATCAAAGGCTGATTGGTTGTCCGGGGAGTGGGTGGCAAGTTTGGAGGAGGATTGAAACTGCTCCACAAGGGTTATCAAAAGCATGGTTTTGCCTTTTCCAGCATCACCCTTGATCCAAAGCGGCTTAGATGTCCCAGTTTTCCATTCAAGGTAGCCTGGGTGTGTAAGGATCCAGCGAGAGACGTCACGGTCCAGGCCACCTTTGACTCCTCGAATTCGGTGCAGGTCGTCCCTGGGATCGTCCCATTCTAAGTTCTTCAGTAAAGTGTCTCGCTCCGTATCATTGGTATTTAAAACATCTTTTCCTCGTTAGCTTCCGTCTCACAATAGCTTGAGCCTGGGATGGGGACGTACCCGTGGAAGGTGGGGATAACTTTAGCTGCTTCAAAATGTTGAGAGCCTCTGCTACTTGGGCCTCGACGCCTGGCTTGGTGATTTGGCTGATCGTTAAATATTGAATGTCCTCCGCTATACCACGCATAAGTGATGCGACATTGTTGCTATGGGTCAGGATGCGAAATTTAGCTTTCCGGCGCTCCAGGCCGCGGGTTTCATCATTCAGCCTAGTTGATTCGAAAATCGTGTGGAGTTTCTCTGCCCTTTCTCGACAATTGTTAACAACGCGGCTTATTGCCTCGCAAGATTCTTGATCGACGGTCGTTGTCTGGATAGATCCGGGGATCTGGTGGAGTGTTTCTAGCAAAGGGGAGTCTATCGGCAGCATCGCGGAAATCTTGGGGAAGGCCCGATGAATGGCGAATAGCGGTATATATTTTGTAAGATGCCTCAACCAAAGTGATAATCGAAGAAATGCCACCGAGGATCTCAAGCCCAGACATAATTGCTAGTTGTGCGTCGAAACGTAGTCTTCGTCAGGGCCGGGTAGTAGGTAGCTCAAAACCATGGACTTATTTTCTTGGCAAGCGTGCAGATATTGATCATCGGGATAGTTGTGAAGCTAAGATAATAGAGGCGTAGAGTGGAGAGAGGAGAAGGTATCCAGATCACCTGGGGAGATAGACAAAGCTGCCATGTCCTTACCCCTCACTCTGGACTGTTTGGCAAGCTGGCAAGGCTCTGGGCTGCATGATGCATCTCTTCAAATCACCCAACCAGCAGTGACTGCATCCATCCATTGGATGTATTCCTGGTGTGGCTATGCATCAAGCATAGGGACACGGGCCAGTTCAGCTTCGAATATAAAGCCAGCATATTCAACAAGCAGGGTACATGTACCTATTGATACCCAACCACATCACGATGGGGAATACAGGCATTCAGGAAGGAGCAGCCATTCTCAGAAACCAACATGAGTAGTGGCGCCACAACCGTATCATGTAAACTCACATTCGGGCACGCAGCACGTGCTCCAGTATCACGACCTCAGCGGTCAAGTTGAGGCCCATTGCCAGCAAACATCGACGGATGTAAATTACCCATGCGGTCGATGAGGGTCAGAAAGTTACTGTAATGGCACCGCCAGGTCAGCGATCTCTCTGGAGGCTACTTATGGCCCATGATCAGCGGCAACGCTAACTAGTACTCGGCTGCACGGATGCCGCTACATAGACCCAGGAAATGGGCCAGGTTGGTGGTTTTACCTGCGAGGCCGACAGGGATCAGTATTTTCCTCAAAGTAGTAAGACAGGATGGCTTACCGTAACTAGAATGGGTGGGAATAGCCTCACTCACATCTACCAGCATATATCATAACACAGCGCAACGCGACGGGAACGCAAGGGAGTGGCTGCTGACTTGTCTATCACTAGTGACTTGGATCCTGCGTCTACTGTGGTTATATTGGAATGTTCTAGATGGTTGTGTAGGATTATGTCATTGGAGATTGATGCGATTGGCAACATCAGAGTTGTCTAAGGATCGCGTTTGACAGCACCATTAATGTTGGAATTCTAGGTTGATGTAAATCTTGTTTACAAAGCGAGCTGCTTTTTGCATTGCGTTTCGCATGGACGGTGAGACAACTACGCGAGATATCTCCCGAAATCCCGCCCAGATAAGTAAAACGCGGCCATTTAAGTCTATGTGGCTTTGGACTGTCAGCTGTTTCAAGAACCCTCTAATTGCCTGGCCACCTGGAACACTCGCACCCAGAGGAGAAGGGTAGAACGAACTGGTATTTCCACGAATACTAGACTGAAGGGCGTAAAAGCATAGGAATGTGGTGTGGCGAGGGTACTTTGGCCTAAACGACATTCTCTATCATTAGCGCTTCTTAACTCTTCGAGAATGGAGCTATCGAACTGTAGTTGTTCACCACAAGGCGGCCACCTCGAGATCTTGATCTGATGCCCTTGGTCGTTTACGCCGCGATATCTGCTAGGCAACACGCAGATATGGATTCGGTTCATACCGTTCCGCAGAGCACTTGTCTACGGAGCTTTTCGGCTTGCACCTAGATAATCTTTGCTTTTGAACCCGCCTTGACTGGATTTACAACTACATTACCTCGGTACTAGGTATGTCTTCCTGACATTTTAACACCTGTATCTGCCTGCTATAGTGCACAAGCTTGGAACAGCCTACACTGTCGTCGAATGTTCCTACGGCCATACTCGAGACAATGCCGCAAGTTTCATGTTCACCGGGTTCACTCGGAATTTCGACGAGTGAAATTTTCATCTTGGAATAACTCTCCCGGACAAACAAGCTAACAGCAAAAGGGAGTGTTTACGGGTTATAATATAGATCAATGTTTGGCCAAACGTGCATGCACCTGGAGCCGCCGACGGACTGCGGCTGCCGTTTCGTCGCAACGGACCGGCGCAACAATGATAGAAAAACCAACAGGCGGGGCGACACAGTCCTGACCATCGTCAATCAATCGATCTCAAGGCTCGTTGGCGGAAAGATATCTCTCGCGTTGGGGGATCTCTTCCTCTGTTTTTACCTCCACCGATTGTCCATGCATCTCGGTTAGCGCAGTGCATGTGCGTTGTCAAAAGTGTCGTACCTCGCCTCGCAAGCGAGCTTCGGTAGCGGCAAATCCCCTGCCCCATCCGGGAATCCTCTTCCCACGAACGACCCACCTGGCAATCTTGCCCAATAGGGCCGAGATGGGCACTGACCGCCGCGCGGGACTCCGTATGGCCAATGGGCGAAGCGACGGGGCGGTCGGCGAGTGATCTCGTTACTCACCCACTGCGATACAACGCAAGGCCATACCAAGAGTTCGTCAGGAGAAGACCAACAGCCAAGCGAAGCGAATCTCACGTTGAAACCCGCGTTGGTTTGCATTCTTGATGTCGTCCGAGCTCTGGACCCACTTCTTCCCCACATCAGTTCCTTTTGTTTTTTATCCTTCCTTTTTCCCTCACCTGCACCTTTTGAGATGCGCGATCTCTAACCGAGCACACGGGTCGGTTCGGGGGCTGCGGAGACCAAGCGTTTGGCTACTGGCGCGGGTGCGGACTCGGAAGAAGATGAGCGTAATTATGCGGCCGCCAGCGCATTTCGGCAGGCCACGAGGATCAATTAATCCCGCCTTTAAAGCCCAGCTCTCGCCTTGAAAAGAAGGTGGATGGGAAGGGCGAGCAATGTTCAAAGCTCAGATTCTGTATCCTTCGTATAGCCAAGCGATCGTGTTGCGGTAAGACTCCAAAACCCACCCAAACGAATATAGAAGATCACCAAAGCAATGGGGAGGAAAAGGTTCCATCCTGTTCCCGTCGTCGCCACCGATACGGTTATTCCCTTGCACTCGCTAGATGGCAACCACATCAATGCCTCGATCCTGCTATACTGTCTCCTCCGCTTCGACGACGTTCTCGATGCCGAAAAGCTCCGCGCTGCCCTTCAAAAGTTACTCGACCGTGACGGGTGGAGGAAACTCGGTGCCAGGTTACGCATCAACGTAGGGCAACCCAGAAAACCTAGCCGTTCAAACATGCGTGACTTGAAGAGATGGGTCGTGATTGCTGACACTGGACCCTGGTGTCACGTCGACGTCTAGGATACCGGAAAATACGAATATCACATCCCTCAAGCCTTCAACGACTCCCGCCCGGCCTTCACCTACTCCCATGTGAACCACGGTGTGCCCATCGCCGAGCATCCGGCCGGTTCCCAGGTGCCATCGGGCCAGCCAGTAGGCGACAGCCCCAGCATCCTGCCCGCGCCGCCCGAAATCGCCAAACTCGCCAGCCCCGCCGACGGCCCCAGGACCTTGGCCGACTACGTCGAACACGACCGGCCCCAGATCGGCCTGCACGTGGTCTCCTTCGCCGATGCGACGCTCGTCTCCATCAGCGGGCTCCACACGCTGTGGGACGCCATGGGGCGGAAGGAATTCCTGCTAGCGTGGATCGCCGTGCTGGAAGGCCGCGAGGACGAAGTCAAGCCCTTTTCGGGATTCGACGAGGATCCGCTCCGCGAGCTGGGCTCGCAGCCTTCGGAGCCGTTCGACTTGGTGGATCGCCGCTTGTCGATGCTGCAGCTGCTCGTGTACGGCCTACGTCACAAATTTGAGCAGGTCGCTCACGACGAAGATGCCGGCGTTATTTGTATCCCGGCAAAGTTCCTAGCGTCTCTCCGGGACGAAGCTATGGCAGAGCTCGATGGTTTCAGCGCGTTAGAACAGGAAACTTCCACTTCGGAGGAGGACATTTCTGAAAAAGGAAAAAGGCAGTCACATTCGTGAGCGATGGCGACTTGCTCCTCGCATGGATCAGCCGCGCCGTGGTTAAGCATACACCCATTAGGTCGGCCCGCACCGTCACCCTCTTCAACGCCCTCAGTCTACGCGGGATCCTCGCCGACGAGCTTCTACCTTCCACAGATGCCTACGTCGCAAACGCCATCTCCGGCATAAACACCATCCTGCCCGCCCGCGACATTGCAGAGCGACCCCTCGGCTACACGGCGGCGAAGATCCGGCAAACGCTGGGGACGCAAACCACCCGCGACCAGCAAGAGGCGTGCGTCGCCCTCATGAAGGAGACTTTTGCCCGGACGGGATACCCGGCGCTTTTTGGCGACGCTACAATGCAAATGGTGCTCATGACCAACTGGTCCAAGGCTAAATTCTTCGACTTGGACTTCTCGTCCGCCGTCGTGGGTAGAGGCGATGCGGTAGAGATCGGCGGCGACGATGTCGCGCGGAAGCCGGGTAGGCCGACGTATGTTCAGCCGGTTTCGTTCTCCGACTTCTCGACGAGATATGCCTTCAACGTGGCAGGGAAGGATGCGAACGGGAACTACTGGCTGTATGGCGTATTAAGAAAGAAGACGTGGGCGCGCATGGCGGAGGCTCTAAAGCGAGGCGAGTATTGCTGAAACAAGCAGGATCATACTCGCATTTGACGTTGATGGCCCAAGATTTGGGTGCTTGGGCTGTATGATGGTGAACGATGAACGCTTACCAAGTCACCCGTGCGGCAACTCATCGGGAGAAAGGGGGCGGAAATAGCAAATAGAAAGGACTGACTGGCTCGTTCGTAGCCAGGCGTTCTTTCCCTCCCTCGCTCGGGACATGTTGGCGTTTTTGTGTACCCAACCGCCCATGGGGAAGTGAACATTGAACCGTATCCACGCATATATTTTAGGTCGTTTTCTTCACGTCATTCCCGGCCGGGGAAAATGTGCGCCTACGGCACGACTCCCTTCCGCGGCACCTCGAATGATTCGCATCGAATCCCCCTGTCGTCGGAACCAACTGGGCCAAGCAGACGAAAGCGAGTCCGGTGGCAATAAGGCTCGAATAGCTCTGCTACCCAGCGGGATCAATGTCCCCCTATTTTTCCCCTTCTCCCGACGGGTCTTGGGGCAGGGGTCTTCGTCGAGGCCCAACATGGCCCAATAGAATCCAGACTCGTTTCGACAGCTGTGTCTGCTGATCGAGCCGACCCTTGGTGCCGAGAACAGCTAACCTTCGCCCCGTCTGGGGTAAGGATCGGAATGGATCGTGGACCCTTTCCTCGAGACCTGCGCTTTCCCAGAATGGAACTGTGGGAGGGCGGTCAGGTTTGTTCCTGTCGGCAGGAGCGCGTCGCTCTGGCGAATTTGTGTTCGTGGGTTTTTGCTTGGGCAGCTGAGCCAGGTCGATTTTCCCTTCACCGCGATATTGGTGTACGTCTATAGGAAGTGAAGGCGCCAAGTGGGTTTACGGCTGTTGATCAATTTTCTTCAATGCTTCTCTCCTTTTAGGAGTTACATGTAGTTTAGATGTAGTTTTCTTGCATGTATCCTAATTCCCTTGGCTTTAAGGATCGTGTATCACAATGTGTCTCCGATGTCTCGAGAGACATCGATCTAGTAATTGCATCTCACGAGACTGCACTTCATCTCCACGCCACATCCGCCACGTCTCTGTGGTTTTCAGGCACGGTTATCACCATACTTATCCCCCATGAGAAAGATACTTGGGAGAATGGCTTTTGTTCGGGTTTCGGGGAGCCATGTAATGCAGAAAAAGAAACAGAAACCAAAGGTAGACAAAGACAAGCAAATAATCGTCAAGAAAACAAATGGTCGTGGCATACCGGTGATTGGCCTGCATTGCTGCCTGACTAGGTTACGAACCGCTCGTGGCCACTCCCCAGCACACTCGAAGGGGACGATCCGACAACCTATCAATCTGAGCCCAGTGGCTGCTGTGGAGGTTGTTGCCAGCTCCGGAGGATCAAAGGGACGCCTTCTCTATAAGACTGCCGCTTTGGTGGCGAAGATGAAGGGTGGGATGCAAACCTCTTTTTGTGTGACACCGAGATCTTAAATCCATGACCCAGACAGACACTGCAGGCGGCGATCAACTGAGTCGAAGCAGAGAGTGTTGAAGTCCAAAATTATCTCAGTAAAGGAAAGCCATGGCTAGAGTAAAACTCGTCGCTCTGCTCTCCAATATCGTCACATCCACCCGAGAACTGTACCAAGAGCTCAAGTTCGCCAGCGCCCACCACGCCGCCCTTTCTACGCAGGTTGACAGCACGAAAAAGGTATGCCCCCTTTCCCTATAGATGCACTCCAGCACTAGACAAAGGCCTCAAAGAAGAACCACACGAAGAATTACCTATCCTTTTCGCCTTGTCCAATACACATTGTCCCAAATAAGAGGCGGTCATATATGCTAACGTCCCCTCCCCTTCCATAGACCATCGAATTCGCCGCAAATGCCCTCTCCGACATCATCGAGCGCTGCCCCGACGGCGCCCTCAGCCACGTCGTCGACCCCGCCCAGCTCCGGCGCCTCCTCCGCGACTGCGCCGCCCGCATCGAAAACGCGAAAGAGATCCTCTGGCGCTGCCGCGTCGCCGGCATGCGGGGCCGCCTACGCTTCGCCCTCCGCCGGGCCGACGTCCAAGCCATCCTGCGCGACCTGAGCCCCGTGGCGCTCTGGCTCTGTGTAAACCTCTCGGCCGTCGTGGTCGGGCTCGCGCGCCGGCTGGCCGGCGCCGCGGAGGCGGGCGCCTCGCTGGGCGAGGAGAAGCTGCTACTCGCGAGGGCGTTTGGCGGCCGCGCGTGCGTCGAGGCCCAGATGAAGGAGGCGCTGGAGGCCGTGGCCGCGCTGATGGGGCCGGACCCCGCGGCGGGCTTGGCGAGGGAGGCTCAGAAGAAGAAGGAGGGGAAGAGTCGCGGGGTGGAGAGGAGGTTGCTCAAGGCGAGGGGCCCGAGGGAGAAGTTGCTCCGTCGGCCGGCGAAACAGGGTGGTATCGGGATGGGGTACGGGTTTTCCGTAGGATGAGCCTGTCGGAGAGGAAACCGGACGCTCGTGAACCTGCTGCGACGACGGCTCGCGAGGAGGTTGGGGAGGGTTCCGAGAAGCATGAGCGACACACCCCGTCCACCGGGTGGTCTATACAGCGTATCCCCACGGGAAACATGATGAAGAAGGGCCTCTTGCTCGCGCCCCAGGCGACGGCGGCCATGGCTGCAGAGAGGAGTCCGAGCAGGTACGTGCCACTCCCGACGCCCGCGCCGACGGACTCGACGGTCAGCCGGCGTACGAAAAGGGGACTGAACCCTTCCTTGCACCGACCGCCTCCTCCGGCTGTACCAACGCCCCCGAGCAATAATGGTGGCCGCGCGCTGGAGCTCATGAGCGGCGCGCTCGCGGCCCTGGACTCGCGGAGCAGCTTCTCCCTCCACCATCGGAGTCAGCTGTACAAGATCGGGTTCGGCTCGAATCGCGCGAGATCGCCGCATACGCCGTGGCGACGGTCGAGATCGAGCAGCGGTGCCGGATCATCGGGTTCATCTTCCAGCGGGGTGCGTTACCACTGGCCCCGTCCAGCGGTGAGATCACGCCTCTCAACACGAGCCACTCGGACCTCGGGAAGCCGACGACGAATCACCGCGTCACATCTCAACTACCTCCTCGTGCTCCTCCTTCGTCCTCTCCCTCGTCCTCGACTTCATCTTCCTCCTCTTCCTCATCGACTGCGTCGGAGAAACAGACCACCACGCAAACCGCGCCCGAAGAGAGACCAGACGATTTCCTCGACGCATTTGCGAGAATCATGGAGCAGAAGCAACAGCAAGCATCCTCCACAACCAACAACGCGGCGAACCCCGTGAGCAAACTGAACTGGGCACCAGGCACGTGGTTGGGCATCGCGGGATGGGTCGACGCGGCGTGGGCCTTCCTCTTCTTCCAGAGACAGGACGGCTGGGTCCAGCTCTCCCTCGTTCCCGACGACAGCGCCCGAAGCGCCGTGCTCCTCGAGCCCATCATCCAAGTCCCGGTGAACTCGCCGATGCACTGCGAAGTCACGCGGGGCTACCACGGACGCACCGTCATCCGCCTCTTCATCTTTATCAAGGACGAGGACGAGTCCTGTTCCCTCGTCGAGTGCAGGCTCGACTTCGGCAAGTGCCTCGAGGCCGGCCAGACGCCCTGCTGGGCCATGGAGCGGTTCGAGATCCACCCGCCGCCCCCGGCGGACCGCAGGTGGAGGATCTCATCGCCTGGGACACGGGCATGTCGGTGCTCCTCGCCGCCTCGGCCTCGGGCGGCGTAGTGAGCGTGTACGAACGCACGAGCCTGACGGGGAACTGGGAATCTATCCCCTACCCGGAAAAGATCCCCGTGGAGGCGGGCGACTACATCTTCCACACCGAGCTTCCGGGCAGCCACAAGGTGCGATTGCGAAGGCTCAACGGCGCGGGCATTACGCAGTACGAGGTGGACGGGTACGAGAGTTGGCGTGACTTACACCACGAACAGCCCAACACCAAAGGCAGCGGCAGCGGTAGAGGAGCGGCGGCGGCGGCAGTGGCAGCGGCGCGCGCCTCAACGTCCTCGGCAAGGAGGTCGACTGGCACCGCCACCCGCCCAAAGCCTCCCCGGGCTCCTGCCGCGTGGTGCACAACGCCAACGGCACGGTGGCGGGCATATTCTGCCAGACGGCCGAAGACGACATCTACCTGTTCCGCGGCCACCCCTGGTGGAACGACCTCCACTCGCCCGAATTCGTCTGCTCCGTCCTGCCGGGCTCCAAGTTCGTCGTGTCCGAGAGCCGACGCATGCTCATCTTCGTGTCCCGCGAGAACGAGATGCAGCGCGTCGACTTTGGCCTCGACCGCGAGGGCGAGGTCACCATCGAGACCGTCGGCCCCCTCTTTTCCGGAAACTGCGTGGCCACCACCTTGCCGGACTTGCTGCTCAAGAGCCCCATCGACGACTACCTGCAGTACCGGCCCCTCTACCAGGGGAGCAGCGCCGACTACTACGACACCGAGTCTTCCTCGTCCTCGTCGTCCTCTTCTTCGGGCCACCACAACGGGCTGGAGCACGGCGCCTCCACTGTCACGTCCAGTTCGTTTCGGTCGTCGCCATTCGATGACGCGAGCCGCTCTTGGTTAGGCCTCCCGGAGACGGACACGGCCCCGCTATTGGGCTCGCAGGCGACGTGATGCGGAACGGATTGGCTGCGAGACATCGGACGCTGGGGCTGGTGCCTGAGGCCGGTTTCGGAATGTAGAATGTACTATTGGGTATCATGGCATATCACGAGGCGAGACTGCTCGTTGTCTTGGACCAGTAACAAGATTATGCGAGATTGGCTGTCTGCATCCTCGTTGGTTTTATTCCTTTCCTTGTATTTTCTCTTTTCATATCCTACACATGCATCTCTCTCTCTCTCTCTCTCTCTCTCTCTCTCTCTCTCTGCCCCGTTCAGTTTATGACAGGGCCTGTCGCTATAGTCACTAGGGTTAGGGTTATAATTCAGGGTAATTTTTAGTGGTTCGCATCTCCTTCCAGCTTCATCGTACGTGAAATTCGTAGACCCCAAATCCCCCACGACCCACCATCGAGGAATTTCCATGGGACATGGATTGGAGACTGGTAATTAGGCTCTAAATCCTGGCTCGACCTCTCGCTTGCACGCACCTTCACATCCTGCCCACGTATTTCTTGTTCGTGAGACGAGGCCCCGTGTGAATTGATTCGGTCCCTTGACCCGCTATACAGCGCGATATGGGGTGAGGGGCAGGGTCCATGTCCGCCAAGGGTCTGATCCAGCTCGAGGATAATAAGGGGGATCGGGACTCGCCAGCGCGCGTTAGCGTCTCCAGCGAGGGGCTGGGGCGGGGAAGTCGAGATTCGAGCTTCCCCCTTGTCGTTTGTTGGTTGGCCCACATCACCACGTCGTTTTTGGCCTTTGGGCTCTCCAACACCCCCGCTTTGCTAGCCCTCACGCCAGAGCTGATGAGAACGGGGACAACAGCCAGCTTGCAGTGGCTGGCCCGCCAAGGATCTATGGATGCTTCGCTCCAACGCTATGTAGCAGCCATCCAAACTTTCTGGTCATGCTGCCTGGACGAAGCTTGATAGGCAGGACCCGACTAGATCCAGGGGTCGTCCGCATTAGGTCCTCAGCCGCACTTCAAGAAGGAGCTTCCAGCTTCCCCGAGGTTTGCTTCTGGAAGGGGCGAGCTGAGAGGGGCATCTTTTTTGGCGGTGTCCTCCTTTTTCTTCACTTTTTATTTTATTTCTCCTTCCTCTGCCAACCTTTTTTTCTATCGCCATCTTTTCCCCTCTTGCCTCATTTGAATCATGAGTATCGCCGCCCTCGCTCGGCAGATGTCCCTGGATTCCAAAGAGAAACCCACCGCCCCCGCACCATGGTTGCAGTCAAAGCTCCCGGCTTCGGCCTCAAGGTCGACGGCAAAGACGCCCGTCCCAGGTTCCCCAATGCCATTTCGGGCTGGCGCAGCAACGGTGTCCCGGTCCGCGAGCAGCGCATGCTCGCCTTCATCGATCGCATCTCGGATAAGCCCAATTGGGAAACCAAGGTGTTTGACGAGACGATCCTCGCCAAGTGGCGCGAGGAGGCGTCGGCGCGGCCTGAGGATCTGAACGGCGACGTTGTGCTTTCGGAGGAAATGTTTGACTTTGTAGGTTAACGGCCCCGTCTGTTTCGCCTTGGAAACCGGGGAGGGACAAGAGTGTTTACAGCCAGTTTCCGCTTTATCTATTTGCTAATTCACTGTCCACCTTTTTCCCCCTCATAATAGTGCATCAAAGAACTGCAAGACAAGGCCGAAACCTTCAAGAAGACGGGGCTCGTCAACATCTACGACTCCGAGGTCACCATCGTCAAATCCGACACGGCCGTTTCCGAAGACCTGCGCCAGTCCCTAATCCAGGCCGTCAAGGTCCTCGAAGACGTGCCGGACCACAAAAGGACTGGCACCCCGGCTCGGAGGGGACCGTCCTCGACCTGCTCCATCCTTCGCTGTTCCCCGTCATTTTCGGCGTCACCCGCGCCCTCCCCGAGGGGACGGTGCCGATCGAGAACTGCATCAGCTACACGGGCAAGGGCGAGCTCACGGACAAGTTCGAGCCTCCCGAGGGCGGCAAAAAGAGTACGGCTCGTTCCAGTGGCTGCCGACCGACGTCGAGCTCACCGACTCGGGCGCCAAGTTTCTCGGCTACGTCAACAACCTGCACCCGGAGCGCCACGCCGAGGTGGTCAAGGTCCTCGAGAAGATGGTGGACGCCGCGCTTCCCCTGTGGAACGAGAGCCTGAGCGGCTACTACTTGAGGCCGCGCATCGACCTCGCGGGGACGGGTTCCGACGACTGGTGCTATCCCGAGGGGCTCAAGTATCAGATCCCCGGCAGGGAGGGACCGATGTCGTGGTGGGACCCCGTCACCGACGAAGTCGGGGAGGGAGTCCTCGATGAGGAGACGGGGAGATGGAGTACGAGGAAGACGAGGACGACGACTGGAAGTACGAGAGCCACTTCTACGACTGGAAGACGTCGAACCGCATCCTCGTCTACAGGGAGCCGCGCGCCTACGAGCCCCAGGCCAGCCTCCCGAAAACCCACTGCCGGGACCTAGAAGACCTGGTGACGGACCTGAAGAAGCAATCGCCCGACAACACGATCCAAGTCATCGTCAAGCTCGCCAACATCGAGCTCACGCCAGAGAACCCACACTACGCGGGCGGGAGCTGGCACGTGGAAGGCGCGCTCAACGAGGGCATCTGCGCCACGGCCATCTACTACTACGAGCAAGACAACATCACCGACAGCCACCTACGTTTCCGGCAGGGCCTCGACGCGGAAGAAATCATCATGCTCCCCGAGCAAAACGAGTACGAGAGCCTCGAGCGCTTCCTCGGCGTGGAGCAGGAAGGTTCCGCCGTGCAGGAGCTGGGCGAGGTGCTCACGCGGGAGTCGCGCATGCTCGTGTTCCCCAACTGCATGCAGCACCAGGTGCAGCCCTTTGAGCTCCAGGATCCCACGCGCCCGGGCAGGCGCAAGATCTTGGCCATGTTCCTCATCGACCCCAACCGGCCGGTGCTCTCGACCTGCAACGTGCCGCCCCAGCGCAGGGACTGGTGGGCGGACGAGGTGCGTCGGCAAAACGCGCTTGACAAGCTGCCGGCGGAGCTGTTTGACCACACCGTCGGGCTGGTGGACGATTTCCCCATCTCGTGGGAAAAGGCGCTCGAGTACCGTGAGAAATTAATGGAAGAGCGGTCTAATATGAATGACAAGGTGACGGACGAGATCATTTCTGTAAGTCGAGTTCCCTTTTCTTTTTCTCTCGCCGGTTGCTCACCTTCCTTGGTTTCCCCTTCCCCCTTGAACGATGGACACCGGGGAGTTAAGGTTATCGTCGGCTTTCACGCCGTGTGTAAATCGGAAAACATACTGACCCATTTCTCTTCACCCCCACGTGTATAGGAGGCCTTCAGTTTCTGCGAGCATTAATACAGATGGGGAAGAGGGACCAAACAGGCACGGGTTAAGAGAAAGAGAGAAAGAGCCGAGCAGCCGAGGATATAAGAAGTAAGAAGGTACATTGGGGATGCGTGGGATGGATTGAGAGAAACAAGCTATCTATGTAAAAGAAGGAGAAGATCAGGCGTTGATCTTCTCTCGGTGCTTGCCAGTTTGAGTCCTTCACATGGACTGCACACACGCACAAATACATGTAGCCGCATGTGTAAGGAAAACACGAGCCCACTTGATATGCTGTACCCACGTGCCGCTCCAACATCCGAACATGTCAATCAACATTCCCCCTCTCATTTTGTTCTTGTAGTGCCCTTGAGCTTCTGTTACTACTTTGGATGGTAATCGCCGACATCCATTCCATCTTTATTACTACACAAGAATTGGCCTTCTTGAGCTTTTCCTACAGCAGCTCCGCTGTGGAATTTGCCTACTTCCGATCTTTGTCACAGTTATTCCTTCGTTCTTGTTTGCTCCGGCTTGGCGCCCCGGTGTGCAAAAGTCGCGAAACGTTGTGCCTCACCAAGTCGACTGCAACGGGTTCCACGTCTCGGAATTGCGAGCGTCGTCGTCACTAGCCAAACACGGCAGTTTCAGCCGCAACCCACATCTACGCACACACGGGCACTCACAACCGGCCGAACAGGGACGGAAGTATAACCTTTTTATTTTTCCGAGGCCCCTGGCTACATGGATCGAAGCCGCAAAAGTATTTACCGGTTCCTACCTCGGTGGCGGTAGTTGATAAAGATTCTAGAAGGAAATTTCAACCAAAGATGGACAAGGGGCGAAAAGATGAGCAAGGCAAAAAAGCAACGGAAAAAGGAAACGCGTACGAGGACTACCGAGGTATACCTGACACTATCTTTCTATCCTAAAGCAAAGCCATGTCTCCCGCAGGTCACTTTTCGGGTTCCGAGAAGAAGGTTGGTTGTCAAACGGTTGCCATCCGACGTCACATCCGCCTTGCGCAACGAAGGCAACGTTAGTTGCATCAGGTTCAAGATGCGCTAGAAGCAAAGAGGAAAAAGAAAAATCACATACACTAGGCACGGGCCAAGAAGAGCCAAGTTGCGATGAAAAGCTTGAACAGGGGGAGCTCCCATGACATCATTCAGGGTTTTCTTCGCCGCGGCCGGCAGAAAAAGGAAAAAAAGAAAAAGAAAAGAATGTACTTTTATGCAGACCAAAGAGAGAAGAGAGATAACAGAGAGAAAAAATACCACCGAGAAGGAGGCGAGCACACTTCTCCACCGGGGTCACGTATAGGTTCGGGATTGGTCACGGAGGCGTGGCCGGTCCACAGAAAAACAGTGGGCAAGGTGGGCGTCAGGTCCACCGCTATGCTCCACGGGAGAGGGAACATTGAAGTCGTCTCTCCAAAGCCCCGGCCCGGACGACGGCTGCGGCTGGCTGGCCGGGTGTAGTGCCCGCTTCCCCTACTTGGCCTGCACTCACAATGCACCCGCCCACACAAACGCCTTCTCCTGTGTGTCTCAGGCAGCAGTGTCTCGGGAGGGGCCAAAAGGGGTTGAAAGATAAGATCAATCTCTGGAAAAGAATCTCTTGGCCGAACGATGAGGCGCTTGCCCTGCTTGCCAAGGCGTTCCAAGGAGTCAGGCAGGTATGGAGATATATATCTCGCGACACCGATCGCAATCTTCGACTCTTCAACCACATCCGGGGTCTTACTCCGTTCAACCATGTATCGCGAGCGGGGTCAAGCGGGGAAAACCACAAGAACAAAGAAGAGCAAAAAGCCCTCTTTTTCTCCTTCCCATCAAGAGGTACCCCGAGAAGCCTATGTGACGACATTGCGGGCCACGACGGGGGAGTGTAAAGATCGAAATCTCTCTCTCGAGTCTAGACTGCTCCACGACCCCCATCCCATCAGGCGCATGTGGAACTCCTGTGCCAGGTTTTCGGCATCAAGTCCTCCCCTTTTTTCTTCTTTTCCTTTCCGTCTTCTTTCGAGGAAGAGGAAGGAGACCTGGCGATCCTCCCCTTCCGTCCGGAGGAACCCCGTGAAGGAATCCGCCCCCGGAGTCTCTATAAGATGGGGGTCCCTCCCACCCCACGGTGGAGGAAGGTTTGCGGCAAGAGGCGTAACGATCAAAAGCAAAAAGATTAAAAAAAAACAAGGTTGATCTGTTCTTTCAACTTTGTCCTCGTCTGAGTTTGTCGCTGAGGTTCTTTTGTTATTCTGCCGTTCAAGCTTTACACTGTTTCCTTTCCTCACATCCCATCTTTCCCTTGCTCTTCCAGCCTGGTCACTAGATGTCACCTCCCTCCTGTTGATCCGTCTCCAGTTTTTCACCGCGGGAAGGTAAAAAACACAAAGCCGCCAAAAATAACATATTTGGACTCCAAGGATGGATGTCCAAACCAGCGATGTCGGCGTACCGACCTTCTGGGGCACCTCAGGCAGGAGGCTCCAGATGATGGTCACCGCCGTCGCGACCACCGATTTCCTCCTCTTTGGGTACGACCAGGGCGTCATGTCCGGCATCATCACCGCCGAGGCCTTTACGCACGACTTCCCCGAGGTCGTGTCCGAGGGCAGCGCCTACGAGGGCTTCGTCACCTCCATCTACGCCGTCGGCTGCCTGTTCGGCGCCCTCTTCATCCTGGGCTTCGGCGACCACCTCGGCCGCCGCATGTCCATCTACCTCGGCGCCGTCGTCATGATTATCGGCGTCATCATCCAAATTGCTTGCGTGCCCGTGAGCGGAGGCACCACCGCCCAGTTCATCATTGGTCGCTGCATCACCGGCGTCGGCAACGGCATCAACACCTCCACCATCCCCACCTATCAGGCCGAGTGCAGCCGCTCCCACAACCGCGGGAAGCTCATCTGCATAGAGGGCGGCAATGTCGCCATCGGCACTCTGATTGCGTACTGGATCGACTACGGCTCCATCTACGGGCCCCACGCCTTTACTTGGAGGTTCCCCATCGCGTTTCAGTGCGTCTTCGCCATCATTGTGCTGATCCTCAACACTAGACTGTAAGTTTTGACAATATTTCTACAATTGTATGTACAAAACTAATCCCTCTCCTTACAGTCCCGAGTCGCCCAGATGGCTCCTCACAAAGGACAGACACGAAGAAGCCTCCAAAGTACTCGCCGCCCTCGCAGGCAAACCCACCAGCGACCCAGAAGTCCGCGCCGAGATCGCCGCCATCGTCGAGTCCATCAGCGCCTCGGGCCACAAGGGAGGCATAACCCCGATGTCCGCCCTCTTCACCAACGGCAAGACCCAGCACTTCCGCCGCATGATGCTCGGCCTCTCCTCCCAGATGATGCAGCAGCTGTCCGGCTGCAACGCCGTCATCTACTACTTCCCCATCCTCTTCCAGACCTCCATCGGCGTCTCCCACAACATGGCCCTCCTCCTCGGCGGCGTCAACATGATTGTCTACTCCATCTTCGCCACCACCTCGTGGTTCGTCGTCGAGCGCGTCGGCCGCCGCAAGCTCTTCCTCATCGGTACCGTGGGCCAGTGTCTGTCCATGGTCCTTGCCTTCGCCGCTCTCATCCCCGGCACCGAGTCCGCCGCCAAGGGTGCCGCCGTCGGCCTCTTCACCTACATCGCCTTCTTCGGCGCCACCTGGCTTCCTCTTCCTTGGCTCTACCCCGCCGAGATCAACCCGCTCAAGACGCGAGCCAAGGCCAACGCCGTCTCCACCGTGTCCAACTGGCTCTGGAACTTCTTCATCGTCATGATCACCCCCGTGCTCATCGACAAGATCAGCTGGGGCACTTACCTCTTCTTCGCCGTCCTCAACGCCATCTTCTTCCCCATCATCTACTTCCTCTACCCCGAGACCTCCCAGCGTACCCTCGAGGAGATTGACCACATCTTCGCCAAGGGCTTCGAGGAGAACATGAGCTACGTCCGCGCCGCCAAGGAGCTGCCGCGCCTCGGCACCGATATCCATGACCACTACGCGCGCGAGGACACTGAAAAGGCTGGGCCTTCCACTGGTACCGACTCCGTTTCCGACAACGGATACTCCCCTCCTGGTCAGGGCGAGAAGGAGAAGAATGAAGCTTGATGCTTCCGCCAGTAGCGCAGAAATGATGGAAAAACAGGCATGCCACAAGTAGCAGCCTGTGTTAAGGTCAGGGCACATGGATGCCCAACACTGGACCTTGTTAGAATGACTTTTCTTATTTTCTTTGTTTATTAAAAGTAGTTTGGGGCTCGTCATTGCGGCACCACTAGATGATACCACCTATAGAAGATAGAGAATTGGAGACTCAAATCACCAGCAATTATGGTGAACAAAAGAATCTGAAGTAGCATGAACACTGAACACATGAAGAGATGTATTCGCCATCAATCCATAGTCCCCGTTGTCTCTCCCATATGTGTGCTCTCCACTCCATCCGTCATCCCCCTTCTCCACTTCTTACCTCCATGATCGCGATATCAAAAGTCCCCCCAACATTGAACCCACCGTCAGCCCCCACATCATCTACCCCCACAACTATCTCCAGCATGAAAAAACAACCCCACGCGACAAATCCTAGTCCGCTCGCGACCCACTGCTCGGTGCTACCTCCTTTCGCCAAGTCCCCGTCGCAAAAGGATCTCCGAAAAGGAGTGCCCGCCGATCATAGATCGTGGCACCACGGAGCCGCCGCATCGGAGCCTTTCGGGACGGAGATTCGGCCCATCTCGGGCCAGAGGTGTTTTATACACAAAATCTTGGAATTCCTCTCATCCAATCTGTTCATTCCGCTTAGAAAGCATAGAGCAATTCCGGGCAGCCACTCGAATGCTCGGAATCATGTGTCTCGTTGAGCTCAAAGCATCACCCCTCTGTCGTAGAAACCTCGGTCCGATATAGCGCACCTAACCATCTACCATTGTGACCACCATCTTTTATGCCTGCTGCATCTTTATGCTTTCGCGCCCGGAGCGCATCTATAAGTGTGGGTTACACCAAAATCTCACCTCTCGCATCAGCCAAGGATATGGAACTGTCACTTGATTTGAGCCTCAAAACCAGTCAACCTAGCCAGGGAGCAGAGCCCTAGTGTAGGATAAATTTGCCGGGCAGGACTATACCCCAAGTTGTGGCGTCCCACCAACGCAATTTCCCAGACGCACGTCATGAGGCCTTCTTCAGCATGACGAACAGCCATATGCGCGCTGCCAAGACAGTAAACTATACACAGCTAAGAGCATGGCATCCTCGTGCGGGGAAGGGCAGAACTCTGGATCGTTGTCGTATAGAAAGGGGCAATTTTTGCTAGCTAGCCACGGAATGAGTAAAGACTTCTCTTCTTGATACTGCTGCGGATATGATACTACAGACGAAAACCCGGAGAGATGTGGCCAAGCCATCGTGCCACCAAACCGGTGCGTCACTACGTCCCCTCTCGGAGGAAACGGACCGCCCCCGCCCCCACCTCTCCCTCCCTCCCTCCCTTCGCCCTTCCGACCGGGCACAGACTACTTGGGTTCTGGGCACGCGTCCAGGGCTAGCCATCCCACTGCCGGGCGCCGCTTCCCGAACTTGGACAACGGGCGAGCTGTACGGCACAGACGACAGGAGCGGAAACGGGAGGGCGGGGGATACAGATAGAGACACAAAAGAGAGAGCGAGGGAGAAAGAGAGAAAGAGACAGGCAGAGATGGAGGAGGGGTGCCGACGATTCCGGGTTTTGTCCCGATGCGGGGATCTCGTCTCGCGCATCCAGTCCGGGGGCCGAGAGTCGCCTCGTCAGGTGTCGTCTGGAAGAATCCCCAAATTTGATATGACGAAAGGAAACGGGGTGCAGCGGAGGGTTAAGAGCGGGGCAGTAACAGATGGAGGGGGCGCGGGATCTTTCTTTTCCCTTTTCCTCTTTTTTCTATTAGTGAACGGGGGCTATAATACATTACAACAGACGGGCTAGCTCGCCCGACGATGGGGGCGGGAGGAAATGTGCCGAGGGAGGGCTGTTTTCTTTTAGGCTCAGACTGGCAAGTCCACACAACCAATTTTGATTGATTCTCTTTACCACGGTCAGCCTGAACTAGACAGAGTACGTGACGGACGTGAGGAGACGGAAGTCATAGTGGAATAAGGGACACGAGTGAAGCAGAATACAAGAGTCTCTGAGATCTAGAAGTTAGCCATTAGCTATAACCTTCTTTTCGCGATTATTAACAAAGAGCTATACAGACTCCCAGATACAAGCAGCCCACCGTAAACAGTCGAGCCAAATACCAGACCTGTGAGAATAGGTTCGTACGCGCTAGTGCTTGGCGCACTCAATGCGTGGCATGATGCAGCGAGGCTATCCTATGTTGATTGGGCAGACAAATACCGAAGAGGAAGCTGACAAGAAGAGCTGTCTCATCTACATGCGTAGATTGGATGAACAACCCATTTGTAAGGAACCCATGGGTTCAAGAAGAAAAGAAAGCTTGCCCAACACGCGCGCCATGGATCCGCCTCTGCCAGCTCCCCAAGCTGCGCTGCATCTCCTCCCCCTCCCCCTTTTTTTCTTCGTTCTCGTCCTGAACTTGCGCACCAACTCCCGACAGGCATCGGAAGCGATGATTGACACTTGACCTCTTGCATTGCAGTGTGCGTCAGGGCTCCCCTGGAGGAGGAGATAGACGAATACGTGCACGCAGATTTGAACGTGCGTCAGGCGTATGTCTCCGGACGCACCCATGTCGATCCAATGTATCGACTATTCGCCTGTACGAATGAGACCCCGCGAAAAAGATGCCGAAAAATCCATAGGTCCAACGCGAACACCGACTCCTTGCTTCTAGAATCTCCAAATTAGGTTGCGGTGGCCTTGTACGTCATTGGCTAGTGGGAATTTGACAAAGAGCGCCGCTTACCCCAATATCCGGCCCTCCCCGACACTAACCAACTACTCTTAAGGCTCAGCGCCAACTGGTAACAAGACAATGTCTGAGTCCATGGGCAAAGACACGAAATCTCACCAGCTATACTCTGCCAGGGTTTATTTGCTCTTTTAAAAATACCAACGACAAAGCCAGAAAAGGGTGCGCATCTGGGGAATGCGTGAGCGCAAGAAATGCCGCTAAACGAACGAATGAGCCCCCGCGTGGATATCATAGCCGGATATAAAAGCCTGAAATGCCCGCTCCACCTCTTCGTCGCCCCAATGTAGCTTCAACCCACACACTACACGTAGAGTCTGACAGAAAAAGAATAGGGAGATGTGCGAATTCCCATGTTCTCTTTCTTTCGCAGAAATCTTCAGGAGAAAGCCAAAGTGAATCAAAGAAGACTGAGCAGTTGAGCTGCCGGGGAGGCTGTCTACCCCAATCCTGCGCGGCGATCTCTCGGGCCAGCTCTCCGGAAAGTCTCCGGTAGGCCATCCGCTTGCCGATCCCCAGAGTGTTTCTCTGATCTTCAAGTACCTTTTCTTTCGCCTAAGAGTTAGATTGAGCGCTTTTACTTGATTTTTTGTTTGTTTCTCGTGCCGGCCAGCCATCAACGGGCTATCAATCTATCATCGCATAGTGCAAAATCTCCCCACCTTTGCCTCTCGGCAAAGACAAAAGGAAAATAATAGGGCCCTCTGCGATAGACTCAGGACGTTGGATCCACAGCTATGCGCAAGTAAGATGAGAGCAATGATTCTCTTGCTCGAGTAAAAGTCGTGGTGCGTGTGCTGGACGGCATATCACACGTCCAAGCTTTCTTGCTCTCTCAGATTTGTGTGATGGCTACGTCTCGCGTCTAATATAATTCCCCGACCGAACAACTTTCTCGAAAGATAGATCCATTGTCTTCATCCCTGCACGCCTCCCCCTTTTGTCTTCCGCCACTTGTTCCACACGCCCCATGCGCAGCTAACCCCAGACGGACGCAAAAGGACGGTCCGCTCAAATTGCAGATTGAGTGATGAGGATGAGGGCTCATTTACACCCATAGGTCTATCGGTCTATCTCCATTTGCCCAATTCCCGTTCCTGTACTCTCTGCCGCACCACTACCAACACCTCGCGACAAACGGAGGGGGAAGGACCCAGGTGTCCACGCGACGTATTAATTTGGAGAGGTCCCATTACCCTCCCCTCCCCACAAACAGGCTTTAAACGAGGGGGACAGCGCATGGGGAATGGAGAACGGGGATTAAAGTAGGTAGTGGTAGTAGTAGTAGAGTACGGCAGAGGGGCACGACGATAATAAATATGACAAGCTCCCATTGCACATGCCCGGCGCGTCCCCTTTACCAAAAGAAGGCCGACTATCCTTGCGAGTTCCGTGGTTGACATTGGCTTGGCTCTTGCGTGCAACTTACCGGTACATGGAGACCGCGAGTAGAGTGCCAACACCGCGACCGGAACATTAAAGACGACGCCTGAGCTCGGGACTCGCTGCCAGTCCTTGTCTTCCCTCGCCAAGGCTGTCTGTCCGACCTCATAGAACCGCGACGCCCTCAAAAACACCAACCTCCGGACTCTCCCAGCAGTCGAGCCCGCAGCATATCTCCATTTCTGCAACGATGGGTTCGTTAGCAAAGTCAGTCCTGCTCTCCGCCGCAGGAGCGCTACTATGCGGAACAGCAAACGCCGCAGTCGCTGCAGTCGACTCGACCGATATCCCCGGAGCTTATATGGTCGAGTTTGTGAAAAACTATGTATCGCACCCCGTTTCATCCGTTGCCGCGTTTTCTTCAAGTGCTTCTTAGTCTGTTTCATGAATCTTCGTACGGCCTCGTTTTCTTTCCAGTCTTCTTGCTATATCTGGCTATCTTGGTTTTCAAGTAGAAAGGCCTTTCCCTTCTCCACCAGTTTAGTTGCAGAGGAGAGAGTAGCAGGTGAGCCCGCCAAAAAAGAAGCGGTAGAAAACGGGGGCAAGCATACGAAGAAGAAAGTGGACATGTGAGCTCGTAAACAATCATGATAAGCCCCCAAAACTCTCTAACATTTTTCTTTCGCCTCGCGCCCTCTAGGACATCTCGTCCTTCTACAGCCAGCTCAACGAGGAGAAAATATCCGCGACCGCGCGCCTCAACCTCACCTACTCCTCTTCAAGGGCGCCTCCTTCGAGATCGCCCAGTCCACCGCCGAGGGCAGCATCCCCAACCGCATCGCCCAGCTCCCCGGCGTGAAAAAGATATGGCCCATCCACGTGGGCCGCGTCCCCGACGAGGTGGCCTCCTGGTCCGAGGGTACATCGGCGCCCTGGGCCCCACCATTCAGCGCCGGCAGGACGAGGCCGATGAGGCGGGCGACGACGGGAGGACGGCCGAGATCGCCGATATCTTCTCTCCGCACGTGATGACGCAGGTCGACAAATTGAGGGCCGCGGGCATCACGGGCAAGGGTATCAAGATCGGCATCGTGGACACGGGTGTGGACTATAAGCACCCCGCGCTGGGCGGCTGCTTCGGTGAGGGCTGCCTCGTGGCCTACGGCCGAGACTTTGTCGGCGATAACCTGGACAAGGGACCCCTCATGGTGCCCGAGCCCGACGACGACCCCTGGGACTACTGCAACGGCCACGGCACGCATATCGCCGGCATCATCGCCGCGCAGCCCAACCCGCTCGGCTTCACCGGCGTCGCACCCGGCGTGACCCTCGGCGCCTACCGCGTCTCCAGCTGCTCTGGAATCGTGCACTCCGACATCTACGTCGCCGGGTTCAACCAAGCCTTCGAGGACGGCAGCGACATCATCACGACCTCGACCCAGTTCAAATCCAAGTGGTCCGAGGACTCCGTCGCCGTCGTCTGCCAGCGCATCAACGACGCCGGCGTGCCCTGCATCGCGCCCATGGGCAACGACGGGCTCGACGGCCTCTTCTCCACCGGTAGCCCCGCCGTCGGCCACGGCGTGGCCGCCATCGCTAGCGTCACCAACGTCGACTACCCCATGGTGCTCAAAAAGGCGTCTTACGTCACCGAGGACGGCGAGGAACATGACTTCGGCTTCCGCCCCGGTAGGTTCGGCGACTACAAGACCATGACCAAGCAGCTGTGGCTTCTCGATGATGAGACCACGGGCGACTGCACGAGGCTTCCGGAAGACACGCCCGATCTTTCCGATTACATCGTTCTAGTAACCATGGAAGGCTGCTCGTCGTACGACAAGGCCTCCATGGTTATGGACTTTAGAGGCCGAAACCTGCTTGCTTACAGCAACAACTTTACGTGAGTCTCACGAAATGCCTGCTTCCCCCATATCCCTTCTTAATCGCAAAGCCACCCAGCACGGGCAACATCTAACATCCAAACCCAAAATCCCAGCACCTCCGAGCTCATCGTGTACCCCCTCGCCGTCGACGGCCTCGGCATGGTCACCCAAGGCCAGGGCGAAGAATGGCTCCGCCTCCTCGCCGCCGGCGAAAAAGTGACGCTCCACATGACCTCGGTCAGCAGCGCCGAGTACATCGTCTACAGCCCCAAGAACGACCTGAGCCACGGCTACGTCGGCACCACCTCCTCATGGGGCCTCGGCCTAGAACTAGACATCAAGCCGCAGTTCGCCGCCCCCGGCGGCAACATCCTGTCCACCTACCCCATGAACAAGGGCAACTACACCGTGCTCTCAGGCACCTCCATGGCCAGCCCCTTCGCCGCCGCCGTGTACGCCCTCATCGCCGAGGCCCGCGGCACCACGGACCCCACCAAGCTGCGCAACGTCATCGCGTCCACGGCCAACCCCAACCTCTGGTTCGACGGCAAGTCGCTCGCTTCGGCCCTCGCGCCCGTGGCCCAGCAGGGGGCCGGGCTGATCCAGGCCTACGACGCCGCCTACGTCAAGACCATCATCGACACCGCCGGCATCTCCTTCAACGACACGGCCAACTTCGTCGCCAGCGCCAACTTCACCATCGAGAACACGAGCGACGAGGAAGTCACCTACGCCCTCAGCCACGTCAAGGCCGTCACCGTCTACGCCTTCCTCGAGGGCAGCGCCAAGATGGCCCCGTTCCCCAACCCCACCCTCGACGTCGCCGCCTCCTCGACTTCTCCGCCGAGAGCGTGACCCTCGGCCCCGGCGAGTCCGCCGTCGTCGAGGTCGTGCCCACGCCCCCGGAAAACGTCGACCCGGAGCGCTTCGCCATGTACAGCGGCTACATCGCCATCAACGGTACCAACGGCGAGAACCTGTCCATCCCCTACATCGGCCTCGCGGCCAACATGCGCGACCTGCCCATCATCGACCGCGGCGACCACGGCACCTATCTCCAGTACTGGGACGTCACCAACCGTCTCACCCCGCAGCCCCCTGGCACAACCTACGTGTTCCCCAAGCCCGAGGGCGATCCGGACACCAACCCGTCCCGCCAGGTCTCGTACGTGTCCGCGGTCCTAAACCGCCCCGCCGGCACGGCATCCCTCTCCGTCTTCGTTGCCGCCGTTGACGAGGACACCACGCTCGAGTCGACCGACTTCATGGGCACCGAAGTCGTCGGCCTCGTGCCAGGGTACCCGCAGGAGTTCATCCCCACGGCATGTCGGAGATTGCTTTCACGGGCATGCTGGCGGACGGCACCGTGGTGCCCGAGGGAGACTACGAATTCGTCTTCAAGGCACTCAAGATTCTCGGAGACAGGGAGAAGGCCGAAGACTGGGAAACCTTTACCGTGGGCCCCTTCAAGCTCACCTATGGCGAGGCCGTTCTCGCGACCCCTCCTACAGACCCCTTCCCGCTCCCTACCGGGTTCGCACCACCAGAAAAGCGGCGGTGAACACAAACGTCTCGGCAAAGTTACTGATTTTTAGCTGTACATACGAGCATTTTCTCTATTTTCTTTCCTTTTTCTTTCTTTCTTTCCGTCCTTCTCACCCATACTGTCCTTTCTCAATGGTTCCGTACTTTCCGTTCCTTCAACACTATCCTCGCTTATTGTAGGATCCCCAGGTTCCTACCCTGGGCTTCCCCGGCTCCAAAAGCTTCGATATATGTATTAGTTTTACCAGCTTTTTTCTTTCAAGGTTTCCACCATCTGAGACAGCATGGGACATCAAATGCATTCAATCTATTCTAGGGACGGGGGTGAAAGAGAATATATCAATGACTTCATGGCAGCCAGTCTGAACTCGCGTGAACAAAGAGAGATTTCAAGAACCGTTGTCGTGCTAGCTTTCTCACCTCAAGACCTTTTCCCAACTCCCAACCATTGTCCGCCAACACATCAGCGTCCTCTTCATCAAAACTAAAGAATGCGCCACCAAATTTTCAAAAGCCGATAAGACGCCTCGCAAACGCTGCCACAACTACCAATATTCGTATCCATAGCGGCTCGGAGAGTAAAAAAAAAAAAAAAAAAGACTCCGAACGAATAGAATAAGAGCCGAAACAGTCCGCACTCTCTCAACATCTTCATTTCTTGCATTCCTTTTCCTGCAGTGCGCCCAACCCTACATAACCCCAGATGAGATGCATCTCCGTGGAGCGGAGCATGGCTCCACGGAGACGAGAGGGAGATTTGTTGTCTCCGCCATGCTATCCTCCCCACGTTGTCCGATCTCGTGCCTGCGTATTTTGTAATCATCTACCCAGATGTCCTCCTCCTCTCTTTTCTTAAGGCTTTGCGTCTGTGATCCATACCAATACCATGGAAGACCGCTCCGCGCTTCTCCAGCGCTTCCCGCTCGAGCTAGCCCAATTAATTCTGGAGGCATGTTTCCACCAGCATTCAAGAACAAGGGGATAAGAGGCATACACACATACACACGACCATCAACGAAAGCTAACAAGCACCTTAGAACCTCGACAAACCATCTCTCCTCTCCCTCCGCTCCGCATCCCGCCTCCTCTCCGCCCTTGCACTCCCATACCTCGCGCGCCTCCTCGCTCTCGAAACCAAATGTCCGTCCACGGGCCCCCACAAACCCTATCTCGCCCTCGCCGCCCGCGGCTGCTTACACGAGATGATGGCCGCCATCCTGCCCTTCCACCCCGATTCCACCGCCGGAGACGGCGCAAGCGGCGAGACGGCGCTACACGTGGCCATCCTTAAGGGCTGCCGCACATGCCTCGACCTACTTCTCGGCGCCGGGGTCGAGACCAACGGGGCAGATGCCGCGGGCTGGCAGACATGGCGGTGCAGCTGGTCAGCGCCGGAGCGGCGCTGGATGCTAGGGGTTTCACGGCTGGACGGCGCTGCACCTTGCCTACCGGCATGGGCACACGGAGATTGCCCTCCGGCTGACCGGCTGCGGTGCGAACGCGGACGTTATTGACAACGACGGGGTCAAGGCAATGGAGGCGGGGCATCGAACACGGGCCTGGGGCGTGGTCAGCAACATGCGCACATGGCCGACACAACTACGTCGCCCATGAACAAGGCTAAGGAACAATGCGTTGCGGAGAAGAGGTAAAGGAAATAAGATGTCGCCTTTACAAGATACATGTATCGTATATCTGGGAATGGAAATTCGCCACCGGTGCCAGTTGGTTTTAATTCTGCCACCCAAAAAAGAAAAAGAGAAGAAAAGAAAACGCCGCCCTCCGTCACCACCTTCACGCCCCCTTCTTCAGTGACCACACGCTCACCATATCCTGCCCCTGCCCCTCAAGATACGACTCCCGAGGCTTAAACCTCTCTACCCGCGTAAACGCCCCGTTCCCGCGCCCCGCCTTTTCGTCCCTAAGCACGTGCACGATGCCGTTGCCTCCCTCGGCCAGCAGGTTCCAGTACGCGCCCTGCAACGGCCATGGTGGACCCGGGTGCTTCAGGTCCTTGTGCAGAGGGAACTCGACGCACACGAGGACGCCATTGGGGGCGAGGAGCTGGCGCATGCGTCGAGCCCAGCCTTCCCGCATCTCGGGCCTGATGGCGCAGAGGAACTATCAGACGTAACATTGCGTTAGCAGTTTGTGATGTGGAAGTGAGAACCCTTCGCTTTGCGACATACGGTGTAATCGTAAATCAGGTCGAAGCCTTCTGCCCCATCCAGCAGCGCCGCCTCCCATCCCTTGTCGAAAAAGTCCCGTTCCACAAAGTCACCCGCCCAGGCTCCCGCACGGCCGGGTCATCTCGGTTGCCATAGTTGTGCGTTCTCGGCTCGGCCATTTCACCCGCGGCGTACGCCTGGGCGGTCTTGACAGCAACTCGGGACACTTCGAGGCCGACTACGTCGAAGCCGTGCAAGGCCAGCATTACCACATCGTAGCCCTTGCCGCAGCCCTAGTAGATAGAATTAAGTGTTACTTTGGTTCCTTGTCGCTCTTGCATCTTTTTTCTTCTCATAATAGCGAGCCTTTCAGGTTTAAAAATTGTTTGGGTGCGAGGAATATCTGTCGCGTCACAAAGAATAAATGCGTTGGATGTGGGAGTGTGCGTGAATGTGTAGGCAAGTAGATGTGTATGTGTGTGTGTGTGTGTGTGTGTGTGTGTGTGACTTTGTACAGAGGCAATGCGGGGAGTCATTGATTGTCATACCGGGATCAGCGCCCGAGGTCTGGCTTTCCCAGTCACTCGGGGCAGCAGGTCTGGTCGGGTCTCCACAAGCTCAATTAGGGCCGGAGAAGGTCGACCCCGGTCCCACAACTCGGACTGGTTCGTGTCCCACAGCTCCGCCCAGCCCGACGACTGATCCTCGAGCTGCCTATGAGCAAGCAGAAATCATACTTGTTAGCTCATGCGCAGAGGCAAAAGGAATTCAAGGCATATAGACCGAAATACCCCAATGGGGAAAGAATCCTTCCACCAGCAGAGTACAGGTAGAAAAGGGAACAATGAGGAAATGCCCTAGTGGAAATGAAGGATACCCGCTACCCTCAACCGAATAAGGGCAGAGAAAGAGGCCAACTCACCTGTTTGTAAAGTACCCAATAAGTTTCCCAACTTCAAACTGAGGCCCCGGCATCCTCACACCCAGACTCGCAGACCAAACCACCCTAATCACCTTTCGATCGGAGAAATTCCGGCTGTCAGTAAGTAGCGAAAGCTACACACACACAGAGAGAGAGAGACGGAGAATAACAGATAGAGACTTCTGCGAGAAAGACCCAACAAACTTGCAATAGCGAAGGTAAAAAGGGCAAAGGGAGGGGAATAAGGAACGGGGTTGCCTGCAGCAAAAAACCGGCTCGAAGAGGGGCGTTGCCACCCTTTCAGTGCGCGGGGCGGAAGGGAGAGAAAAAGGAACGAAAAGAAAAAGTAACAAAAGTGGAGAGATCAATCGAATCGATAGGAGGGAGAGAAGACGGACGCCGGAATTAGGCATGGGGAGAGGGCTTTTTATGATGCGCCGACAACGACGAATGCTTGCCTCCTCGGCGGTTCCCCCACTTTGTTCTCACGTCCACGCCCTCTCGAGGTGCGGTATTAGTTCAAGGTGTCGAGGCCCGGGATATGGCATCTAAAGTATGAGGTCAAGCTTGAGTCCCTCTCTCAATCGATACACCAGAAAGATGCCAAGTGTGCGTAATGCCACATGGCGATGGGCACATTCCGCATCCCGACAAGACGTCATCTTCCGCCAGCAAAGTTCCAGCCCTCCTGCGGCGGTCCTTGACCACTGTCCATAAGTCTGATTCGAGGAGGATTGGTAAAAGAAAAGGAATGACACAGCGGGAAGATAGGGTGAGCCAAAAATAAAAATAAAAATAAAACAATTGCCATACCCCTTCCTCCCTCCAGGTGGGCTAAGATTTTCATGCACGCGATCGATGCCCAGTGGAGCTTGTGAAAACTCACATGCAAGGCGCGAATAGGGACACGCCGATCCGCGCCTCAAATGCTCGATTAGGAGAGTAATATAGCGGGACTAATGCAGAAGTTGCCGCAAAGGAATCCCTCACTTCCTTGTCGATTTATTCGTTCGGAGAAGGGGGACGGGGAGAGGGGGTTATTTGAACCAAAGAACATTGAAATCTAGATTTCCTCCTCACCAGGGCTTTTGTGTCCCATCATACAAGTAAAACGACCCATTATCCTTATCCGTCAAGCCGTGGACGACGTTCAAAACTCCCGCAATGCTCTGGTGAGGCTCCAAAACTGCGTTCGGTCCACCCATCCTCGTCCGGACCCAGCCCGGGTCTACCACAATGACCACGGCCCCAGTGAGGCCGGCCTTCTTCCTCAGATCCCCCGACTGGTGCACCGCCAGCATATTAAGCCCTGCTTTCGAGATACTGTACGTGCAGCATTGTCGAAATGTGTTGCCTTCTGCGCCCAGGCTCTCTGACATCGACGCCAGGCCCGAAGTGAAGTTAACGATCCTCACGTTGGCCGAGAGCAGCGACTCGGCATTGAGAAACTCCACCGTCTTTGCAGGCCCAATGACGTTGACGCGGATCTGATCGAGAAGCGCTTCCGCATCAAATTCCAAGCTCGTTTGGTATGATTTTTGTTTACGCCTGCGTTGTTGAGGAGGAAGTCGACTTGGAGATTCGCCGCTCCCAGGATGGATTTCGCCTCCGAGGCAAACCGCCGTACCGATTCGGGATCCGAGGTATCGCAGGCAAGGATATGAATTTTGGCCGGACCGGAAATTGCCCTGAGGTCTGAGAGGTCGCCATCGAGCGACCTAGTACCGGCGATGATGGTCGTGTCGGCATCCGCAGCAAGCTGTCGCACGAATTCGAGGCCGAGGCCACGATTCGTACCGGTTATGCAGTATACAGGCATAGTCTAGAGGGAAATGCGAGAAACACCAAAAACGGCTATTATATATACAGTCAATATTCTAGGAAGGTCTATGACTTTTTGTCGGGTTAAAAGTTCTGAGCTGGCGCAAAGGGTCGGAGAGCTGGGTTGGAGAGCGGCCACGGCGGAGAACTGTCAATCAAGGTTCGGGAAGTGCCAGCGCCCCTCTTATACCTCGAGTGCGTGCGTGGGGTATTGTCGCAATCTTTTAAAGATTCGAAACCGCTACCGCCCAGTCGACGCGGATCTTGCTGTCGGTATCCCACAAGCAGACGCGGGGAGTTTGGAGGAGACTGTTGGGCATGATCTCCCGGGCACGCATGAAGCCGCCCCGCGACCGCGCGGGGAAAAAAACGGCAGGGTTGTCCCGCTAAGGACCCCGCAAATTCGCACAATCTCCTACAAGATGTCGCAATAGAAAGCTCACAAAGGAGGAAAAATATAGAATAAGTGGAAAGGAGAAGACGATGATCCCAGGAGCAAGAAGGGCAGACAACCCCAAACGGAAAAGAAGGCTAGAACAGCATTTTGCTTTACTATTCACGACCAACCATGAAGATCTTCTTTATAGCGTACTTGGATTCCTGGGACGTGTAGTATCCCTTTTGATTCGCGACGACCCTTGTGCCGTGCTCGTCGACAAAGTCGCAGCTGTAGTGGGTATGGCCGAACCCCCAGCAAACCACGGCCTCGCGCTGCCAGCAGACCTCACCCCGCATGTCGCACACGAAGCCGGTCGAGACGGGGCTGTCGAGGAACCTCGGGTCGAGCGCCCGCGCATCCTTGGTGGGGCAATGGTGGGTGAAGATGACAATCTCGCGCTTGGGCTCGGTCGCCGTGATGGCAGCTACCTGGCTGTTGAGCCACTCGACGTCGGACCGGTGTGCCTCGTTGTGGTCCTCGACGGTCCATTCGCGAATGCCCTTGAAGTCGACCATCCGCTCGCCCACCTCCCTCTCCTGTTCGGGGCCACATGCGTGAACAGGGTGCAGCCGAGAACGGTCAGGGTGTCGGTGACATCATATCTGGTCTGGTCAAGAAAGACAAACTTTCCGATGGTGGAGGTGGAGCGCAGTCGGCTCATCCTCTGCTCGAATGCGCGTACACGGTCCTTGGCAATCTGCCATGTCTGGTAGGTAGGCTCATGGTTGCCGAGTAGGAAGAAGACGACCCAGTACCGCTTCAGCAGCTTCTCAAAAACTTGTAGAGGCCCTCATCTCCCACGTGCCCAATATCGCCCAGCAGCGCAAGGTAGGGTGCTGTTAGCTTGATGTCAAAGTCGTAGGTCGGATGGGTTTCGAGGTGTAGATCCGACATGAGCTGAAAAGCTATAGGCGCCATTATGGGCAATATTATGGGCAATATGCGCTCCCTCCTCTACCGGCCGGAGGGTCTTGCGACCGCCAGCAAAGTTTATGGGCAATTATTGAGTGGCTAGCACGGCTGGTGGGACGAGGTCGATATTAGATTAGCAATGGTAAACGATTAGTTATATGCAACTTGTGCCCCGAAACCAGGGCCGAGCTCATCCTCGGACGCACGCCAAATGCTGCTGCAGCGCAATGGTCCGATGAATGGATCAAAGGGTAGCACCGCCAGGAAGAGATGTCCCGTCCCCACCCACTCTGCCGTACGTGGTAGTGATGGAGGGGCGCGCCAACGAAAAGACCCAGCACAACACACCAGCTAAGGTTTATCGGGGTTAGTATGTAAACACTCTGCCAAGCTTCCTACCTGAAAGCCAAGGAGGCCAAGTATCAGGAAGTTGGAGGAGGGTACAGTTCCAGCCTTTGCTGGAGAGACGTCAACTGCGTAGAAAGCGGAAAATGATAGAAAAGGTCGCCGCTCAAAAGGCGCAGCAGGTCGGTAGCCGTATCGGGATTCAAGAGTCGAGTTGCGATCGTGCCTAGCACAATATTGACGGGTTGATTCGAGAGAAGTACACGAAAGTTGAAATAGAATCAAGGTCATGTGCCCCACAAACTCTTCAGTAGCAGGAAGTAGATTACAAAGATACCCAATGCAAGAAGCAGTAACGTTTCTCAGTGACCTTGATGAGGGCCTCTGCTCAGCTCCCGAGTTGTAAGATTGATTCAAGGCACGCAGCCTGCTGATCATCACATCACGAAGGACAATGGGAGAAACGAGGGAAATAACATTGAAGAGGGTTTCAAGTCCGAATCTAGCACCGGTCAAGCACCGGCTCCGGGACTGTCAAGGCAGGAAGGCGCTGGGCGCGTCCATGAAATGGACCAATGACCCGATCGAATATGTCGAGTGTACTCAGGGTTCCACGGTGCCTTCCGAGTCTGGGATGTCCCATTTGATCATTGATCCTTCTTGCCTTCATCAGAGACGTTCATCCGCCCCATCAGGCCAACACCGGCTGGAGGAAGAGCAACCGCCCAAACCCCTCCGCGACGGCAAGAACCGTTCGCCGCAAACGCAAATGACCTGATCAGATGTACCGTCTCGGAACAATAATGAGATGAGGAAATACAAGCGCAGGGCCGCCACTTGAGCAAAAAGTCAGCGCCCAGGACGCCATCCGCCAAGTATTTTGCCCACAGCCCCAAAAGGTTTTGCCCCGCCAAGGCCTCGCCCCACTCATCTGCAAATGGCCCCATCAGGTATTAATACTAATAAACCAAAGTAACGGCCCTCTCCTACAACTGAAAACCCTTCTCCAGGTGCGATTGCGGCCCCAAGTAAGCTCAGGTAGCTGCCCCCATCTCTCGGAGAGTTCCGTGAGTATCGCTAGTCTCTGGCCCGACGCGCGTGCCTCGCCCTTGGTTGACTTCATCGGGTTCACGAACAAACAACCTTCTCCTCTTCCTGTCCCCGCCAACAAAACTTAGAATGGCCGCTCGCTAGCAAAGAACCCACACGGTCCGGTCCATCCAATCCTCGTTGAGCGATTTGATCGATTCTCCCTTGAGGACCTCCTGCGCCCAAAATGTCTAACGCCTCCTTCCGGGGCTCTGCCCTGTCGCCCAGGGATCGCACCTCCTCGCGTGACTTGGAGCTAGGCTTAGCCGACATCATGCCAAGCTGATGGGTTCGTTGGCCATTACGCCAACAGCTTCCACTTAATGTTTCAGGGCCCACACGAACCGTACATGTAATAATAGTAATAATCAAGGATTCCTTTTCTTCATGTGGCCCTCCCCTTCCTCCCTCCCTTCATGTAATTATATAGACATGACCACGGACACTCCCCGTTCACAAGTCTACTCCTTCAACCCCCTTGACCACACCCTCGCAACATCGATCGCGAACTCAATGGAAGTCCTCTCCCGCAAACTTCAAATCACAGCAAAACAATCTCGCCCAAGATACCGACATCCTTAAATGTGCTTATTCTTCACCCGCCGCCATGATAACCTAAACGGTAAAGGGTCGTCCTACGTCCACGGACCGAGGCCGATCCCGATCCCGATCCACCTGCCCGTCGACGTTCACGACACCAAGGTGAACCCCAAAAAGGCTAGCACCACCCTAACCACTATACCATCCGCCCTCTCCGCCGCCACCTCCATCGGCGCCTCAATCGCGACCGTCCCTACCACCCCGACGATTGCCGGCTCGCCGCTCCCCGGCTCTACTCAGTCGTCGGCCACTAATGTCTCCGCTCCGGTCACACTCGGCCCCGTCCTCAAGGTCCCCGCCGTTCCGCGCCGGCCCGAGTCCATATGCCACCTCGACATGTCCCGCCGCGACATGTATGCCGCCCTGGCCATCATCTACAAGACCCTCTCCGATGTCCCTTACGCCATCATTGGCGGCGTCGCGTGCATCGTCCTCGGCTCACCCCGGCCCACCAAGGACCTAGACATTGTCGTCCCGGACGGCCGCGCCGCCGAAGCCGCGGCTCTGCTAGCGGCCACCGGCGCCTTTGGTACCGAAGTCAGCCACAACGGCCGGAGGCGTACGTGGTACCATGCCTCCCAGCACCGCAACTACAATCTCGACATCCTCGAGCCGCACGACATCAACCAAAGCTTCACCTCCACCGGCGGTGTCCCCAAAACCATCCTCGCCAACGGGTACCCGGTTCTACACCCGACCCAGCTCCTCAATTTCAAAATCGCCTCCTGGATGGACCGCATGCACACGCACGGCTACAAGAAGATTAATCACGCCAAGGACATCCGCTTTCTCACGAATTGGCTCGCTCGCGAGCACATCACGGTCACCAAGGAGGAGGTTACCCACGCCACCGACGACTTTCTCGTGCTTTTTTCCGCCAGTTACCCGGGTATGGAGAAGGCTTTTGATAAGATTGGCCTTTCAAGGGTCGGCCGTTCGAAAAGGAATTCGATAGACTCGAGATGGAAGGATGACGATTGGTGGTACTCTTGAGAGGCTGTTGGCGATTGGACCCCAATGCCACTCATACCTCGTGGATCCCCTCTCGCTCTTCTGCTCTCCGGCTTGACGCCTCTTTCTATTCCAATAGGTTGTTGCCGGCAAACCAGATCGAGTTCGCCCTTGGCTAGATCCTGGAACCCAGTTATGGACAACGCAGCTGATAAACCCTTTCTCTCGGCAGCCTCAGATTCATTTCTTGTTCTTTTTCCTTTGGGTCGGTTCCGGAGATCAAAGATACCCAGTTGCCACCAGATGCAACAATGTATGAATAACGCTTTTCCAAATGTAATGATAATGACCAGAATACACTCATCTCCAAGTTTCGTGTTTCCTCGCCGAGCGCCTTTGAAGCTACCACATGCATCATCTCCTCACTCATAAGCAGTCCCCAAAACCGAGAAAGCCCGTCCACTTTATACTCGGACTTCTTTAAGGGGGAAATTATTGGCGGGACGTAAATAGGCAAGTATTCTTACTCTAGGCTCTTACCCAAGCCGTGGGAAACAGCGAGCGGCTACCCGGCAGCCCCGATTTAGCCAGATATACAACCCGGAAATCGAAAGAATCCCTAAGCAGGCCCACTGAACCTGCAGCCGATAGTAGGCAATGGCGAAATCAAGCCATCCGGTCCCACAAGGAAAAGGAAAGAACAAGGAAATCTTCCCCTGGCCACGCTCTGTTCCCCAGCGCCCTTCTTTACGCCACCCCGTACCAGTTGAGCATATAATTGGACAGCACGTTTCCCCTCGCTTAGTGCGATAAGACCTTCGAAGCATTCGTGCTAGACTGCCCGCCCGCAAGAAACAACAAAAAGGGAAAAAAACGAGCAAGTTAGGTGGCACGGGGGAGAGGGGAGCCGAGCTCCGTTCCTGGGGCCGGATTGGGCCGGGTAAACAAGGGGACCGAGGGACGCAATAAGGCACGGGAATTGTGTGGGCGAGTAGCCCGACCCAGGACGAGGGGCACTCTCCGAGGACCGAGAAGGGCAGGTAGGGATTTATCCAGGAACGTGAGGGACAAGAGATATGGAGACAAAGGGAGGAGAGGTGGAGAGCTTCCCTTTTTCGATTCCCTTGTTTTTTTCTGTCTTTCCCTTCTTTCCCCAATCCCGTGCTCCCGCCGGCGATCTTCAACGTCGTCTCCTCGTTACGCGCACCAATACCTCTGCCCCAAGCTTCGCGGGGTGGAATGCAACGCTAATCCGCGGAATCTTGTGTAAGTGACCGCTCGCCAGATTTCCAACGGCCTTTTGCACTCCCTCGCTCGAAGTTGATATTTCTTCGAAACATCTGTTGTCAGAAAGGGAAAATAGAGAGAAACAATAAAAAAAGGGTCAAGTTGTGCAGCTGCGATCAATATATAATTCGGTTTTTCTTTTCCCAAATCATGAGGATTATCCGCCTCCTCGCTCTCGCTCTGGCGACCGGCGTCGCCCACGCCCAGGGCGGTCTAATTCTCCACTATCCTCTTACCGGCAACGCGCCAGCGGACGGCATCATCCCGGACGTGAGCGGCAACGGCAACGACGGCAAGGTCGTCGGCGCGCCGCAGTTCACGGGCGCCGCGGGCCTTCGACTCGACGGCGTCGACGACCACGTCGCCCTTCCCAACGACCTCATGCGCGGCCTCGACGCCATCACCGTGAGCACCCAGGTCCTCGTCCGCGCCGAGCAGTCCGGCAACTACTTCATCTTCGGTTTGGGCGTCACGTCCAACGCCGACGGCAACGGCTACGTCTTCGTGACCGGAAATCCATACCGCGCCGCCATCTCCTCGGGCAACTGGGAGCTCGAGGCCGAGTCGCGCACCGACGCCAACCTACCCCGCGACGCGTGGAAGACGGTCACGTACACCGTCGACAGTAAAGCAGATACCGTGGCCCTTTATCTCGACGGGGAACGCGTCGCCGGCCACACCAACAGCAACCGAATCATCGCCCCCAGCACGATCGGCGGCGGCTCCACGCCCAACAACTACCTCGGCCGGTCCCAATACACTGCCGACAGCTTTCTCGCCGGCTCCGTCCGTGACTTCCGCGTCTACAATCGGGCCCTGACCGAGGCCGAGATCGCCCAGATCCAGCCCAACGAGGAGAACCGTCGGGACGTTGCCCTCGCTTCCTTGACGGTCGTCAACGTCGACGACGTGCGCGGCAACCTTTTCCTTCCCGACAACGTAGACGGCTTCGAGGTGATTTGGACCAGCAGCGACCCCGACGTCATCTCCGCAGACGGTATCGTCAACCGCCAGTCGTCCGATGTCGAGGTCAAGCTCACCGGCATCATCGAGAACAACGGCCGCGAGTTTACCGCCAAGGTACGCAAGGCCGCAGATCTTGCGCCCTTCGAAGGCTACGCCTTTTCGTACTTTACCGGAAATTCTCGTGACGGCGAGCGCATCTACTTCGCTGCCAGCGAAGGCAACAACGCCCTAAAATGGCGTGAGCTCAACGGCGGAAGGCCCGTCCTGAGCTCCACCAAGGGGACCACCGGTCTCCGAGATCCGTTCATGATCCGCTCCCCGGAAGGCGATACCTTCTACCTCATCGCAACCGATCTCTCCATCGGCTCTGGAACCTCGTGGGGGACGCGGTGCGCGTCGGAAGCCGCTACCTAGAAGTGTGGGAGTCGCACGACCTCGTGAACTGGTCGGCGCAGCGCCATGTCCTCGTCTCTCCCTCTACGGCCGGAAACACCTGGGCTCCCGAAGCCTTTTACGACGATGAGATTGGCGCCTACGTCGTCTTCTGGGCGTCCTCGCTCTACGGCGAGAACGACGGCAGCCACACAGGCTCAACCTACCACCGCATGCTCTACGTAACAACCCGAGACTTTGTCAGCTTCTCCGAGCCCCAGGTATGGCAAGACGCGGGCATGTCCCGCATTGACACGACCGTCGTTCGCGACGAGGCCAACGGCGTGTATTACAGGTTCACAAAAGACGAGGGCGCAAGGGCAACAGGCTGCACCGACATCATCCAGGAGCGCTCAACCAAGTTGCGCGGCCCCATATCTGAATGGACTCAGATTGCGACGTGTATCGGAAAGAATGCCGGGACGACAGCCGTTGAGGGTCCCTCGATCTTCAAGGCCAACGAGGGAGACGTCAATGGCGGTGACAAGTACTACCTTTTCGTGGACGAATACGGCGACAGAGGATACGTCCCGCTCGAGACATCAGACATTGCTGGAGGGAAATGGAAACTACCCGCCAACTGGAATCTTCCCAGGAGCCCCCGCCACGGCACCGTCATTCCCGTCACTGCTGAGGAGCTGTCCTTCCTCTCGGGGAGTTTGAGCTGACCGACCTTGCGCAAGAAGCAATCACTTTCGAAGAGAGCCTCCTTGCTCCATAATGAGCAATAACTCGCGACCACCCCCACCATAGCAAATCCAAAGGCGGCAGGAGTCAAAGAGCGGACCAGGGAGCCAGATCCATACCTGTACTTTTTATGCGTATGCTTAGTGAGGACCAAGTTCAATGCACTCATCAGGAGACGGCATTCGCGGAGTGAACTTTGCTGCATGCTCAGCCAGGCGTATATTAGTAATTCTCACTAAGTAACAAAACCAAACTGAGGTCTCATCAGAAGCGTCTACCGCACCGAGCGGCTATTCCCAGGCCGTGACATGTTCCATCAGAGCGTGGGGAAACGGGAGTCCTCCCTACCAAATATAGAGCGCGATTGTTATTGCAAGTATCCGCATTTGCCTCATGTTTAAGCACCGCCCTTGCCTTCCCCTCGCCATACTTCTCCCTACCTACAAGACACGGGCTTTGAGTCAAACATAACCCCCACACTTATATCCATGGTTCCTGACTTGCTACTACGTTTGAAGCAAGGGCGGGCGCATGACAAGGCGACTTTCCAGACCCATAAAAAAACTCCATCTAAAAGAACCAGGGGTCATGTTAAGAACTATTTCCAGCGCGAAAGGTTGGGAGAGAGGACAGAGACGCACAGGTGCGCCTGTCGACTTGCGCTGAAGGTTTCCATATTTGGTTGCCTATTATATCTGCTGGAGCCTCGTCTTGGTGATATCAATCTATGGCAATCAAGCCACACATGACTGCTCCAATTCCTAAACGAGCAAGACAATCAAGCTGGAACAACTCTATTTATCAGCATGAGAGAGGCGGAGCTAAATCCACTTTTCATCTATCAAGGGTAGAGATCCAGCGAACGCACCTTACAGAGCTTTTGATTGCCAGGAAGGCTCAAGCGGGAGCATCGTGCCCGTATACCTCTCCTCGCCAATATGTGAATCCGTTCGAAACATCATTACACCTGTGGAGCGATATGGGAGCGGGGTTGTCTGGGGGAAGATTTGTGAGCCTTCATACCTTCCTGGTCCCCCATGCCAAAAAGGACCCAATCTACACACGGCCGCCCGCCCCAGGCACCTTGGGTCTTCGGGAAGGGACACAACATCAATCGCAATATTGAAAGGCTCCCGAGGTCGTATCTGCGGTACAGTCCCCAATAGCACCAGCCCGATATTATCACTTTCCAGGGCTTCCCTCTCGTGGCGATCCAGCCCTCATCGGGTTTGACTCTCCCGACTTTGCCGCTGGGACGCGTCCAAAGGGTCGAAGAGCAAATAACGATACGTGGAGGAAGACGGAAACCACATACCCACCCCCTCTCGCTCTCTCTCTCCCCGCCCTTCTGCCATAATGCAACACCTCAGATGCGGGTCGGTGCTACCTGGAGGCGGGAGGAAGTAAACAGGAGTGGAAAACGGTAAACGAGGGCTCGTAAACGATCCCGAAAAGACCGGGGTAGAAGGCGGCCGGTGTTTGTCGGCGTCTTGCATGCACCAGTAATCCAATGCCGCTCATGCTTTGTGACGAGGGGAGTGCAGATCGATCTTGAATCAACCAAATTGGGCAGACGATGGAACGTAAGGAACCACTAAAAAGACGAAACATTCTTCCCCAGACTTTTTTTTTAACGACTCAATTTCATGGGACGAGCGGTCTGGTAAACTTTTCTTTTTCCCTCTTGCTTATTGCAACCTGACTTAATCGGTTGGAAAAGACTGGCACGATCTTCTTCACCTGAGAAGAATAGGATCTGCAGCGCCATGCTTGGGATCCGATCCCGAAAAGGCCTCCCGCTGTTTTTTCTTCGCTTGTAAATTTGAAACCTGGGCGCCCATGGAGCCACAGCGCTTCCATATTGAGCGGTAGGGAAATGGACAATCACCGAAAGCGCGAAGGAAGCATGCGAATTCCGCAGCGGTTATTCCTTAAGCTCGAAAGTGTTAAGGTGAGGGGTGTTCCCATCAAGTCAGCGTTCTGGCATCGCGCAGTTAGAGACTGTGGACCGAGGACATGTTGAAGCGCAAGGAGAAAGGAAACAGAAATGGATAGACCAAATAAACTAAGAGAAGTGAAAGAGAGAAACCGCTGATTGATTCCCCAAATATATTGTATATTGAGGAAAATAAAGATTTTGATTATGATTATGAGAAGGCTCGACCCGATATCGAGCATCAACGCGAGAGCCGACACTCCGTCTACCTCGGGGCAGAAGGACCAGAAGAGCAGATTCGAGAATCAAGAATTCAGAGAGCATCAGGAGCAATGAAGGCGGGAGCCAGTTGTGTCGCATACCAAGATCCTGAAAGGAACTGCTCAGGTTCACGCGCTGTCCGACATTCATTACGCCATCATGATGGGGGCCCTGGATTAAGTTAAGCCACGCCTGGGGGCGATCGAAGGAAGAGGCGATGTTGCTTGATCATCCATTTTTTTGTTTCCTTTGTCCATATTCTTGCTTAGCTTTGTACTGCCTCCCCGAAAAGAATCTGGGCCTGGAATGTACTGTGCCTGACCGGTGGGATGCGAGCGGCATGATGGTGGATGCTTGGATTTATATCAGGTCCCCGAAAGGAATTGGCGGCGAGGGTAAAAAGAGTTCAGGTACAGTTTGGCCATTGACGTCAATTCGCTGTATGAAGGGGGTCACACACGTCTTGCACCCTACATTCAGGGATCACACAATTATTTTTTGAGCCCAAACGAGTTATGATTTTCGCCATGTTCAGGAAAAAGAGGAAACAAGGAAGTCTGGTAACCGAATGAGTGGGGCGAAAAGGAAAAGGAGAGCAAGGCGAAAGAGAGCGAGGCAGACGGCATGAGACAGCAACCAAGGGATAGACTATACAAGACACACGGGGTCGTGGAGGCCAGGGAATCAACGAACCGACCCCATGTGGTGGAACGAGACACGTCTATCATGAACACCGAACACGGCTCTCACTGTCAGTCTCTGTCAGTCTCAGAAGGCACCATTGCTCATTGCACGGGTGCCAGAGGATTGGCTGCCCGTCAGGAACGAAGTGGTTCATCAGGGGATCGTCGCCCTTTTCAACTTTGGCTACTTTAAAGTAATATGCCTACTTTGGAGAAGTCCCCCCGCCCCAACTTGACGAGCAAGATGCTATTCCACTTTGAACGCACACACACCTTGGGGAAACGAGGGGGAAGCGTCGCAAAAGGAAGGACAAGTGTGAATTAATGACGCTCGTTTGCAGAATTTGCAAAGGAGGGTTGGGTCTCGTGGCCTGGGCCGTACCCAGGGAGGGTCGAAGTGGAGTGTGAAACGTCGAGTTGTAAACAAGCCAGGAATTAAATGGGGGAAGAAAGGATCCCGTCGAGATAGATGGGCCATCGCATTCTCCCCCAAGTCGTGATACGGTTGCGAAAACTATCGGTGGTCACCTGGCCATGGGGGAGCATGGAACTTTCCGAGGTGAACAAGAAACTGTTCCACATGGCTACGACGACGGGGGCGGGAAATTCAGAACAGAAACCCTGAAGGGTGGGCTATATCCCTGCTTCCTAAGATGGAATCCTACACCTCCTCGGCAAAGTATCGTGGGTGTCACCGATAGGTTGCACGCATTGCATAGTGGCTCAGAAGCTGACAGCACGGGAGACACATCCATGACTTGTAGAATATTGAAGGCGGCGAATGGCGACCACCCGCAGCTCTCGGGTATGCGCTCCCTTGTGCTGAGACGACGGCGACAGCCACTCTTTTTTTTTTTTTTTTTTTGTTTTTTGTTTGGTTCGTTCTGAAGGGGAGAATCTTCTCATATTATTACCTGCCTCGATTTCCCGTTTAGTTCTTGGGTTGGAGACGGCACTTTATCGATAACGTCCAGCATCCCGGACGACCCCTCTCCTTGGATGCAAGGAGCAGCCAAGGGGTAATACTTGTACCGGTCGTACAGCCAATTCCTGGTTTCGTGATGGACGCGCAGCCATGAGGAGTCACTGGCAGAATCCCTTGTCGCTGTGCCTCCCCTTCCGTGGGAATGGCTTGCCTTGGATGTGTGAAGCTGGCGAGCCGTATCCCTTCATGCTAGTATTATGTTAGAAACGGAAATAAAACTCGACATGTCATCTGGCGAACGGCATGCTCCTCACAAAAGGGTCGTTGATGCGAGGGCCCGCCCGCCCAGAGAGGGCTGGGAATCGCCAGAATGCGCCTCTTCTCCGTATCCTTTACTCGGACGTCTCTTTTTGTCATTCCCCCACTTTCCCTCCTCTCGCGAATGCCCTTTCTTTTTTGACCTCGAATTTTCCATTCCATCCTTCTATTGTTGTTCTATTACCATGCTCCCCACGTTTCCGGAGCGAGTCTCCGTTGGCCATCCAAGTTTAGAATTCAGGTGACACTCGCATCAACTTGAGTCGGTGCAGACCATCCATCTGCCCGCCACACTCACCGACAGTCGACAGCGACGCGGGGTGATGGCGGTCTCCAGTTCTTCTCTTTACTCAAACAAAGTATAACCTCGAATCATCGTTTAAGTCCGAGCGTTCCGATGGTTACAATGGGATGGCGCACTTGGCCACCGTTACGGTACCTCCTCGCGGCGACTAGGGTTAGGTGGCTTGCCCCTCGGTTCATTCGTAATACCGGTTGTCACCAGAGGCGAACAAGCTACTTTGCAACATGCATCCTCTTTACGATGACCGGGCTCAGCAGGATGGATGTGCCTGCCTGGTGCCTGTTTTCGACACCCCAGTCAACCTGGCCTGGCCTGGCCTGGCCGCCACTTGGGAACCGAAGGGGGAAGGGTGGCACAAAGTTGGTGCGACGACGATTAGCTTTTGAGCAAACGTAGTTGGGCCAGGGATGTGGCATTTAGCCCATCAGACCTTCGACCGACGCTATTCAAGATCGCAAAACTGTTTTAGATAAAAGGACCTAACAATAGAAGAAATATCACGGCCAAAGGTGCATTTCCTTGGGTGCGCTCCGTGCAAGCGAGGAACCCCGAGT